GGGGGGGGGAAAGGGAAAGGCTCTAAAGAAGGGAACAGGTCTTGCTGTGAAGAGAATAGTGTGGAGAAATGGGTTGTGTTCTCTTAAGGTGGAAGATGCAGTGGTGATGTCGAAGGGATAATATTGACGTTGACGTTGTTGTTGTTTGGTGGTGCCTTTCCAGCGTCTTCGAGGAGGTGCTGTTGGAAGGAGGGAGATTTGGATGCCCGAGAGAAAGCAGGAAGAATCGTACGGACAGTCTGCAGTATACGTAGTACTAAGATGGATTGGGAATGTTGAGCACCTTCAAGTCTCGACTGACTGACTGACTGACATTTCGGACAAGCCAGAAAGGAAGAGATTCACTCTGTCCAGTTTCCAGTGTGTCCGGTCTGTCCGGTCTGTCTAGTGTTTGCAGCCTTTCCACACTTCGTCAACCCCATGGGTGACTTTGCGCAAGACTTGGACGGGGAAAACGAATCAACGCGGCCCGGCGGGGTGGATGGAAGACTTGTTTGGGGTTAGATTCCAGCCGTTGCTGCACAAAAAGTTGGCAGAACCAATGGCAATTATGGCCGTGAGAAGAGTCCACCCTGGCTCGCTCAGTCGGAGAGGAAAAGATCGGCCTTAATTCGATCGGATAGCTTTCCGACAAATCAGATCGCAGTTTTTGACACCCACGACAGCTGGATATGGTAAAAGCTGAGGGGGGCCGGGGGGGGGCTTGTTGCTGACTTAAGCCAGGAAAGAGAGCGCAAGAGGCCGAGTGAGAAAAATCTCACTCGCGACTAGCTCAGGGAAAGTTTTCCGGTTGACAAGGGCCCACGATTGAGAATTCTCGGTGCACGAAAAAGGATTAAAGGATTCTAGGCTAAGCAATGACCGAGTAGCGCCGCCAAAGCCCCGTAGAGCACGTCGTTCTGGATTCATGCAGACAGGAGTAGAGTAGGGAGTTACGAGCAGATAATAAGGTAGCTGAAGATGGGGACTCATGTCCTCATGGCCATTAATGTCCTCCCATTTCCTCCGCGGCTGAGTCAGCTCGAAGTTGGATTCTTGTTGGTCAACACTTCCACTGCGACGCGTACTTAACTCGTACTAGTGTCCCTCATCATCATCATCCGCTTCTTATGCGCATCCAATGCGAATACGTTTTCCAAGGAGGATGAAAAAGAACAAGAAGACCAAGGCCGAAGGGATTCCGGGTGTTGATGCTAAAAACCGGAAATGCCAGCTGAGGATCACGGTCAATCCCTGCACGATATGACATGCGTTCCCTCCTTTTTGGGAGGGTTCTCTCATCCTCGTCTCGAATATCCATAACAGGAGTGGATTCTCTGCTCCCTTGCCTTGTGGCCCGGGGGGGAGATCATGTTACCGTCAGCTCGGATGCGCTTTCAGCTGGTGGATACGCGATCGAACGATCTGTCTTACTCCCCAGTGGAACGGCAGGAATTAGTCCTACCGCAGTCCTACCTCTGGTCCTTGGCCATTCCACGGCGAAGTTATCCGCCTCTCAACTTCAAAGTGTCGTCGTGGAGGGAGGTCAAACTGCACTGGGTGGGGATCGCCCGCGACAGGCAGACGGGAGGGTCCAGCAGCACAAGAAAGAAAACCCTGCTTGAAACCTGCCCTGAGAGCTTGGACGCAATGCTGGACAAAGCTTGGTTAACATATCTCTCTCTCCTCCCTCCACGATTCTCGTCTCTCGAGTCTCATGCTGGAACTTCTTTTTAGGGGCAGTGGACGCCGGTGTCTGGCATGCGTCCTAGTTTCGACGCTAGTGAAAGTTTCCCACTGCATCGGACCTGGCTAGGTAGGAGGAGGGGATAGTCTGGAACCTATATGACCTGTATTATGGGCGGACCCAGGAGAACTTCCTTTGCATCTGGCGAGTTCGATTTCCGACACTAAGGAATCGATTCCGATCTGTCCACCCTTCCCGACGGCTCGGGCTCGGCTCCGGTTTACCACCCCAGCCCCGGGGAGCCGTGACGGTACTTTTGCATCATTACCTTAATGGGTCGTACTATTAGTCGGCCGTAGGGGTTTGAACAGGTTAATTCTGTTGTCTAACCTACTCCACCCAAGTTTCCCCCTTCCCGGAAACACCATTCTACTCGTAGCAATGGACCCGCGGCCGCTCTCTACTGGGCGGATTGAAATTCTTTGCTGTGAGTATGACAGGTTTCAGACAGTCTGGACGAACACCTTACGGAGTAGATGTTGCGATTAGATCTAGATCGGGTATGTGCAAAGCACCACATGATTTACAAAAATGATATGTACAATTTATGACTGGTGCGAAGTCGATACAGGTTATAAATAAGCCGGCTTCTCGACCGGTCGACCCTGTCGCTTGACGTTGGGCACGCATATACATACGCCATGCCTAAAGAAGGAAGCCATGACTCCTTCAGCTTTAGAGCCAAGATCAGCCGCAAATCCCGAAGAAGCTCGCAGGGGTCATCCTCATGCTAGGCGGGGATAGACTTCGGCCCGCTCAATTCGGGCGAACCAGGCGGCCCATAAAGCGCGCTTGACGGATGCCTTGGAGGGCATGCAGCTACTCGCAAGCTTTAGTGGTATGGTTAGGCCCCGAGCACCCAATCTGGCAGGGGCGTCAGGGGACCTGAACTAGAAGTCAATAGCCACGCAGCTCCTCTGGGACAAATGACAGGTCAACAGATATGAGAGCCTAGCCGCTCCAGACGTCAGTAGTTGGGCCCAACGCCTAAGCGACCGGCTTCCATTATGGCCTGTAATGTATGCTTCAAGGTGGCCGAGGAACCTCCGATGACTGCGACAGAGGCCGTCTACGGTCGGATAAAACCAGACTGTCCATGGAGAGAGCCGTCCAGGGATACCGGGACTGGGTCTGTGAACTGGGAGGAGCTGCTCGCGTGACATCGCCTGTGATCTGCTCGGGGTCCACAAAATTGGGGTAGTCATCCTGGTCCGTCGAACTAGACTCGGAGGGGCGGGTGTTGACGAGCGAAACCAGCTTTCGCAAGACGCCAAACTCTAGCTTCAATTTAACACTGTAAACTGCGGCTTTCAGGGTGGTCTGGAGGGTGTACAATCCCACATACTCCAGTACCAGGAGAGAAACATCTAGCAGAACGATAACCAGGTTGATTGCTATCAACTCATACATGCTCTTGTGCCGTTGCGGGTCCTTCTCTGGTCGTAGTCGAAGCAGGTTGATCGTTTCCACGATATAGATGCCGGAAATGAGAATCTCTTGGGCGCAGAACCAAGCCAATTGCATCCGCTCCATCACGTTATAACCTCGGATGATCGGCTGGGAGCCGACGTAGATGGTGGTATAGGTCAGGACAGTTGTGGGTATGAGCAGGATAATCGCGTCGATGATAATCATGGCGAGCACACGTCGGAGGGTCGTTTGGCTTTGCACAACCAAGTGGAGGCGAGAGTATAATACAATGGATTGGCCAGGGACCATGAAATAGAAGCCGATTGTCGAAAGGGTGACTGCAAACCACAATGGCCCAACTGCAAAGAACTCCAACAGATAGCCAACCGCGTGAGGGATGACCCCCAGCACGTCCGACAGGAGCATGCTCCAGAAGTAAAGACCACTGTAGCGAGTGAAGGTGAGGAAAATGAGGATAACGAGTTCGACCGCATTGTACAATGCAATGGCACTGAAGACAGACATCAGAATCTTGATTACGAGGCTAGATCCTTGGTAGCCTCCGATGAGGCCCTCCGGTGGGATGGAAAGAGAGTCCCACATGGCGTGGCGTCCAAAGAAATTCGCTGGTATCACCACGGATGCCGGTCACAGCTTGACGAGAGGGCGGGATAGGCGCGGTTGGGGATCGTGAAGATATCGTGATATCCCAGGGCACGGAGTCAGGCACACCGGTATAATATGAGAAATTCTAACGTTGGCCCGCTTGACAATTCAAGCGAGCCATGATCAGGGACAATGTAGTGCAGGAGCCGAACAGAAGCTTTGGAGGTCGAAGCGCAGTCTCATTTGCATGCTTGTTGTTCCAGACCTGACGACTGGCCAGCCGATCGGGCGCAATACGCTCGACCACCGGGGTTGGCCGGGTTGGTTGATGAAAGGGTCTCTGGCTTGAGGATCTCAATCAATGCGGTCCAAGCGTTATAAAGTCCGACCGCCAGCGAAATTTCCCCTTCCCAGCAGCGGGTTTTCTATTTATGTGCCTGCACAGTGCGCTAGTGGCAGGGGAAACGCAGTGGCGGCAAATGCTGGCGTTCCTGCAGAATGAAGGGGGAGGGCGAACAGCCTCGGATGAACGCGACGCAAGCGAGGATTGGGGATGGGCTGCGAGATGGCGCCTCTGGAAGGGTTATTTAAAGTTAAACACCCAAGGGAGGAGGCGGAGGAGGGGGGAAAGCAAGAGACTCGGGGGAAAAGGAGTTCCGACCAGGCAATGAAGAGATGAAGGGACAGGAACTGGGAAGAAAGGAAAACGACCCCCTTTCACTCCGAGAGAGGGGTCCAAGATAAGTCGCCACTATACGCGGTAACTTGATCGTTGTGACAAATGCAGACCCAGCAATTAGAGTAGCGGAGGGCAATTTCGTGAGAATTATGGATGATAAGTCACCGAGAATGGAAAATACAAGAGGAGACAGGAAGGGGAGAAGGTAGAGGGGGAAGTCCGGAGTTTGAAAGATTGAGCCGCCGATGATGATGATAATGATGATGGAAGTGCAGGAAGGAACAGGCCTTCTTTCTCTTGGTCTTGGTCTTGGTCTTGGAATGGGGAGAATGGGAGCCTGAGGGACCAGGCCAGAAACTGGGGCGAGCCAGGTCTCTCAGGCCCAGCCAGTCACATGTCCGGCCGCCCTTTTGGAGGTTCCTGTCCGGTGCCAGGTGGTTCCTGTCGGGTTCCTTGGTTCCTTTCTCTTTTCTTCTCTCCTTTTCTCCGGCTCTCCAATCATTCTTCCAATTGAACTACGCCTTGTTTCCGCCATCGCTTCTCGTCCGAGTCGTGTCTAGCTAATCCCGACAGCCTTTGAGAAATCTGAATCGCCAAGATGCCTTTTACCGTGTTTCAAGCTCAACAGTCTCGGTGTCGGACCCATTCGATGCCTGGGTCCGATCGATCATCTGGAGAGTCCGTCAGGGGATAACTTTACGAGCATCGCGAAAGTTTAATGAAGGTAGTGCGACATGAGTGAGCGTCCTTACTCAAATATGATGACACTGCTGTGTATTAGCTTGCGGGGCCCCGCCTGGCGTGGTTTGTGATCAATGCACCCCAGGCCTAGAACGACCCCGGAAGCAGTCCGTAACATCATTCTGGATGGTCGTCCACGAGGGGGCCATGCTCTGCAGGTACCGATTGCAGCCGAGCAGGCTTTCTGAGAAGTACCTGCCTATTCCATTGGTTTCAAAAAGGGGCCCTTGCAGTCATCACCTAGCTCATACTGATCATCTTGCCGAACATGGCCCTTGTCACAGGCAAAGTGATAAGAAGAGTCTCTCACTAGGATTGATCTCTATCACGGCATCAGCTTATTTACCTTCGACTTGAAGCTTGACCAACTTGCGGCTTGCATGGATCGACGACAAGCTCCATCGTTTCCCGGTCAAGACCAGACTGTATGCAACCACTAGGCCTTGCAGTATATTTTAAAGCCGGCGACAGACCCCGTACACAACCAAATTATCTCAATGACCATACCTAACCCGTCTTTCTCGTACTTCTTGTCCGCTCTCTACTCGCGTCGATGTTGTTCTCGTGCATCATGTCAGTGACCGTGACTTCGTCCCTACAATTACACTCGCGATGCAACGGTCCTCAAATACTAGCATCGCATGCTCCTATCACATTTCGCTGGACCTTATAAAGACAATAGAAGCCATTTGACAATGAGTTCATACCATAGACATATCCCATAATCAATTCAATTTTCTTCATCGGATCCCGATTCATTGCACACTGCACGCATGCTCTTGGACTTGTCCAATTCTGGAGAAAGAAAAGAAAACATTCCCCAATGCAACCATAAATCAGGCTACTGTCAACATTATTTGTTCAGTGCAACCTCTGAGAATCATTTAGGGTCTACAGTCTGTTCTCATCAATGAGCCGTTCCTCGTACCCTGACTCCGGTAGGAAGCTTAATCCTGAGCGACGCATGTCCCTATTTGATGGAGAGGGAAGATGAATGATATGCATTCCTTCGCCAAGGCCATGCGGGGAAGGCCGCGTAGCTCGGCGTAGGCCCAAATTCTGCCCCGAAGTCGGCGAGGGATTTCGACTTATATTAACCACCTCTCTCGGTGGAGCGACATAATATAATTCTACTAGTTAAGTATATTTTAGAAAAGCTTTAGAGTATGCACTAGATATATACTAAATATATATATAGTATATATACTTATTCACCTTATAAATCCCAATAAAAAAAGGTGTTCTAAAATAATTACCCTAATAAAATCATACTAATATAGAGTATACGCGAAGAAGCCTAATACAACAGGAGAGAAAAAGATTTATCGATCTTTTATACAGTATTCAAAAGGTACTTTGAAGCTATCTGCAGAGAGAAAAGATTAATATAGGTTCAACTCTCTCACCACTTATAGGGCAGCATTAGGCCTAAGGTGACCTGTTTTTGAACCACGCTGAGCTGGCACCCGCTGTCCGGATTATTCCATGATAATTCACACTGGTGATGTAGAAGATTTGATCATAATGATGTGATTTTAGTGAGCTATGAGTTGTTCCAAAATGTTTCTCACCTTACAGCTCTTATGAGCGGGGTAATGACTAATAAATAGATGCCACGAACACCCTCCTGCTCTCCATTTCAGTATAAAACTTGCTCTTTCTTACTAGATACAGTACAACACACTACTACGCCTTTTAAGAATCTCTAGACTGAACACTTCTCGAAATGCCCCGTGACGCAGACTTCCTCAGCCCACGCGAGCTGCTGGTAAATGATGGGTTTGTTTGCAAGCTTGCTTCATTTCGGAAACTGGGGGACCTCTGCATCAGGAATCAGACTCTGCCCGATTCTGACGACAGCCTGATGCAACAAGCTGGCTTTGAAGATAAAGCCTATAATGTGGTTGTATGATCCTTTCTGAGACATCATTTCACTTCAGTGTATCCAGATTCCACGGACAAAGGCACTCCCCTCCCGGCTAACTCCTTGTCAGCTTCCGTCTTACTTGCAGCCGATCCCTATTCAATTCCAGACGGTATTTGAAAGAATATTCTCCACTCGGTCCATATTCTAGACTACCCCTCACTCACTAACGCTATACAGGTCCGGCAAGTCGCTCTTAACCTCTATGTACGCTGAGAATCGCATCGCTGCTGCTCAAGGGGACAACTCAACCTCAGACGAGCTTCCATTATACAAACTGACAATCATATCTTTGTGATAGGAGCAGTACAACTATACCGCCACTGTGTGCAGTACCGCCTTACAACTTTGTTCTGCCGCGCCGGACGATTACAGTACGTCGATTTTGTCTCCGCCCCAAGAGACGTTGAAACTTACCACGCTGAAAATCAGACAAGATATTCCAGGACATGGAGGCATTGAGACAAGACCCCGACGACGACAACGCTCGGGACAAGGTCCAAAGAGAGATCAATGATCGAAAGTACCAAATCGACATACTTAAAGATCAGGCTGACGCCTGGAGCTCGTATCTCAGAACTTACAGCCTAAATGCGGAGGATTGTGAGACCAATGTGCATCAACTGGCTGCGCCTTTCCAGGGAACGACCTTGGCCGACATATTGAAAGATGAGATATCCGATCCCGAGTACCTCCAAATGGACCTTGATGCTCTGGATTGGACTAGGGTAGGTTCGATCTCGACAGTTGGCTGTCTGCATAAAGCTGACTTCCAATCAGAATCTGCTCGAGAGTTTTGCCATGATCGATGACTTGCAGGGTTCACTTCAGGAGGCCCAGAAGATGGCTGGTATGTCCTGGCGTTGCATTATCTGCGGGCATCTAGCCTCTCGTTAACGTGATAGCAGGAGCTGCATACCTTATTGCGGACGATATAGACGTGCTGCTGAAGTATGTCGAGGATCACCTTGATCCGGATGATAATCCTTTAGATGGCCTGGTAGAAGCGACCCTTCTGCGAAAATGGAATAACCTGGAGAAAGACGGTATGTCAAGGTCCGATGTATCAATTCTGTTTTCTGTTCGTGAAGACTGCCTGGTGCTGATTTATTGCCCAGTCAATGATTTCCTGGATGCATACAAACAGTAAGAATTATTGAATAGGCCTTTCCAGTGATTAGACACATATGATACCGTGTGTAACCAAAAATCTTTGATTTGATCCACAGAGAACAGAATGCAACGGTAGTGAGACGAACACATGAGATCATAATGAGAAGACCGGCCGGTAGAACGCGTCCCAGTGTAGCTCAAGTTTTTCCAGAGTACTCAAATCAAGGTCTTCGGGGTTTTCGATAGTGAGCTTCCAGAGAGTAAATGGCGGAGGTTGGGCGTGCTCGTGGTCATCGTACGTGGCTCTCTCCACGTCGCGGAGCCAAGCGCCCGACTCGTCAATCTCGTAGACATAGCGGTTTTGTCGGAGCTTGCTGACAAAATGCCAGACCTTGGTTCCCCCCGTATCTAGGTCGTACCCGAGATCTGAATAGGACCCGGAGGTTTCGATCCTGAACCTTACAAACGCGCGGCCATCGTGCACCGCGTCGGGCGTGGGTTTCACACCGATCAGGCGAGGCTCCAGGCCATTAAGACGGTAGTGAAATCCACCTGTGAAGGGGTATGCGTAGTTCTCCGGGCCGGGGTTGTAGTTGGCGCCTGGAATGGGCAATAGCGTGAACGTGGCACTATACCCTTGCTCACTGCTCTTCAGGCCTGTGATAACCGTCTCGGGAAAATTGGATGCTAACTACGAAGTGCTTTCGTCAGTTTTCGTCGGATAGCCAGAGTTGAATTTTTCATGGGCTGGGCTCGTACCTCATCAGAAAATGTGGTAGGAGTGGTAACTGAATCGAAGACATGGATTAGCTGCGACCCTAGAACATAATTCAAAGCACTATAACTGGATTCTACCCACGCGTGTATCCATTTGCATATTGAGCATCTACATCTTGCATCGCACCCCGCAGCTCTGCAATGCAGGCGGTTATATCGTCCACAGACATCTGTGAGTCCAGGATAATTTCGGGTTCTCTCAGAGTGTAGAATCGACAGGCATCGACCACATACTGCAACTGAATGACGAGCGTTGTCCGCAATTGGAGGTATCGATCATAGAATTTCGCTTCGGCCTGTGCGTATGCATCTTTCTCTTCCTCGTAGTGGGCTAGCAGTTCGTCGATGGCCTCGATGTCGCGGTTGGCTTCTAGCACCATGAGAGTGGCCTGGACATATTCCTGACCTTGCTTGACAGCCTCTGCCTGGGCCTGGGCCAATGCTCGGCCGTGAACCGCATGTTTGCGCAGGGTCAAGCGATAGTCACTGGCTCCGTCAATCGCGGGATTCTGTTGTGATGTGGCCCATTCCATTTGTTGGTCCGAGTCTAACTCCCACTCATCCCAAGCGGCCAGACTCATGATTAAGCTGGCGTCTGCATCAGTCCCATCAGAGCCGGAGACATCGCCGCCCAAAGTGGGCAGATCAATATCATCATGATCTCCAAGACGGTCAATCTTGCCCACAGCAGTGACAACATTGGCAATCTGGGGATACAGCTTTCCCAATGCTTTGGTATATTCCCACAAACCCTTGAAGGCTTTGGAGCCGAGGATGACATCTTCCGCAGCCCCTGCCGCTTTTTCTGCCTTCTCAACGTCTTCGACGATTTTTTCGACAGCGGCTGGGTCGCCCGACCCCTTCCCTACGGCGTAGATTCCGGCCGCAAATTCTAAAGCGGCGCACGATATGTCAGTTCGAATATGGCCCGTGACGGAATTCAATAGGAACAGGGAGCCACCCACGAAAGACGGCACCAAGGATTGTGCAAATTGCCAGGAAGGTCTCCCTCTTTATCCATTCATCGAGACCGTTTTCGAACCTGTCTTTTGCATGTCTCAGCTCTTCTTCATCATCACTAAGCAGTTTGTCGCAGGCCTCGACGGTATCTGCTGCAGCCTGATACTTAGCCAAGGCCTGTGACTGTAGATTGACCCTGGTTGACTGTTCGTTCTGAACGGTTGCGAGGAGGGTTTCCCCTGCCGCCTTGGCGTCATCGACCTGGTTTTTGGCAGCCTGAAAGGCCTCGTACTGCTCCTGAAAATTCTCGGCTGCCTGTCGCTGGGAATCAAGTGTGACGACATACTCGTCAAAGGTGAGGGTCGGAGCATAGTAGGAGTCGGGACCTGTCATGGCATGGGCAGCCAATTGCTGACCCAAGGAAACGGCTTGTGCCTTGGACAGAGCATGCGAGCCCGCTGTGGCCGCCGACTTGGCCACAAACGAGCAGATCAAGATGGCGACGGCGGGGTATGACCAGCAAACCGAAAGGGCGACTCGCAGCTCAGTGTCCAGAAAGGCTTGGTAGACCGAGGTCTGGTCGTCCCCGTGTCGGTCGCTGTAATAGACCTCCAGCTTGCCATCGTCGAACTTGATCTCAGCTTGCAAGTGGCCGAAATCAACTCCAAGTTCCAGCTCAGTGCGCTGATCTCCCTCGATAGAAACACTGATAGGCTGATCGAGAACGGCGGCATAAATCACCATGACACACTTTTTGGCTCCACTCTTGGACATATTGAGATGGACGGGCTGGTCGGCAGTAATAACTCGGGCATTGACTTCGAGGTCGGTCAATTCGTCTGCCGACATTTGGATCTCGGGCTCGGTCAATGCGAGGATATCGGTGTAAATCTCACAATAGCCTGGGAGCTGCTGCAGGATTGGTGTTCCATCCAGAAAGATAGAACGGTAGGTTGGTCCCTGCACGCGAAGGAGGATCTTTAGAGCAGTCTTGGAGGATTGAAAGGAGAACCACGACGGGGATCGATTGATTCATACCATTGCGTTGTCTTCATCCTTGGACTCATGGTTTGGGATGTCGTCCACCTGCTTCATCTGGCTGAATTTCTGCCATTGTGCGGGAGTGTTAGGCTGCGTGTTGGTAGACATGCTGCATCAATTGACTGAGAACTAAATAGATAGAATCTGCGAAAAGCAACAGCTTTTCATATCGGAGAGTATTGGTTAACGCGGGTGATGTTTTTAAAGCTTTGGATTCGATTGGGGTCTCGCTGGCACGCTACATCATCATGCCGCTGGAAGGTTACACTGCATGCAGTTGGCAGGTGCGCGATTTAAATCCCTGCGTTTGACAAACACCACAACACTCCAATAACCAGTTCTCCCGTGGAAACAATCATGTCAGACTCACATCATGCTGCACTTTATCCGTGATGTGAAAACAACCATATCTCTGCATTTCCATGCTTCTGGCAGGGTCAAAAGCAATATGGCAGCCAATCGACCCCAATGCTGCAACCCAGCCTTGCTGTATGCGTCAACGACAATGCCTCGCAGCTGTACGCCAAGCCTTGCAACATGCAACTCGGAACCAGACGGCTACAGTACAGTCGAAGCGGGGTTGGCGTTAGTAGGTTATGCAGACCATACGTGCTGAGGACCTTCTCGGACAATAAATACCCAGTTCTCTCGAAGTAATGACCGTATCGCCTCCTCTGCATCTCAATCAACGACTCCTCAACCTGTCTCATCTTCATATTCACACCTGCCAGATACGCACGGCCCAAGATGTCCACGGCCGGCGACGACGAAAAAAAATGGTACCCCATAGGACAGACGGTGGAAACCCCTTCGCGCGCTGCTCGACGTACCGGCCGTGCCGTGAAGGATGGTGGTGACGATGATGATGGGACCACCTTTGCTTTTGCCGACGCGGACATGGGCAAATTAAACCGATATCTCCATGGTGGAAGAGTTTTACCACTCGATAAAGACAGTTTCTGCCAAAAGGTTGGAATCTTGGACCAGAGCAAGATCACCGACCACATCTGGACCCAGATCAATGATTTGATCGGTACTTACAAAGAGGCAAGTCGAGTCTTCATGGGTTCATGCTTTCTAAGTGCAACCGATATCATATGGCTGATCGCGCTGACCTGGCTCCAGATCTACAAGGACTGCACCGATTTCCTTGGTGATGACAGCTCTGAAAAACGCAGACAGTGGACGAAAGAGGATGGCGATGACAGCGCCTTCGATGCCCTCTGTACTTTTGATAAGATGAACACTCTTGCGTCTCAGATTTACGGCTATGCAGACAACGCCGGGGCTGATGACAGCTCTTATTATTTGTTCATGCTCAACCAGTGCAAGAAATACAACGATGATAACGCAACTGACCAGCAGAAGCAGGAGGCCAGGAAAGCCATCCTAGATGCCACGGAGGATTTGCTTAGTGATGTCGAACCAATGCAGCTCCACGCTGCTAAGGTCTCGGATGCACTGGATGTTTTTGAAAAAGCCTGTGACAAGAGAGAGGGTGCGCTCGTTGACTCTGAAACTAGCATGACCTCCATTCTCAATGAGGATCTGGGAGACATAGACGATTTGCAGGACAAGATTGCGTCGCAGCTTGCGGATATTGCGGCCGACCAGAAAATCATTGATGCGGGTCAGTCCAGAAACAAACCCGTCTAAACTCTTCGCTCAGGTGTTGACTTGAAGGTTTCTAGATCGCTATGATCAACAAATGACAGCGGCATACGTTTGGATGTAAGTTTGCTCACTCAATCATTAGGTAGCACTCTGTGCGCCCTCTACCCCCCACCCCCAACTAACCTGTTGGCCATAGCCCTATCATCGGGACAATTGCCGGCCCCATCGTATTTGCGGAAAGACAGGCGGATATTGAGAAATACGAGAAGAAGATTGCGGCCCTGAAGGATCTGATCAGTTCCGAGCAGGACAAGATTGCATTGCATCAGCAACTACAAGGTCATGTCACTGCAATGTCGGTAAGTTCACCATCGCCGGGTTGCCTGACACAAACGATCCCCGAACTAACATCAGATGTTTAGAAACAATGTCAGGACTTGAAAGCACTCATCGGTCCGGCTAGAGAGACGGCCGAGAAGCTTAAAGGTGGCTGGGACTTGATGGGAGATGAGATTAGAAAGGTCCACAATACCGCGGAGAAGTTTGAAAACAAGATCCCCGGCGTGGACTTTGCTGATATCCAGCTCCAATCTATTGTTCGGGAGTGGAAAAAGCTCTACGAGGGTGGTATGGATCTTTCCCCCCTTTGCCCTACTTGTGCTCCGCATCTATGTCCTTTGCTAATTTGATGATCGAATCCTCAGTCACGGAGTATATCAAAACGGCTCCAGTCCTACCGAGGACTGATGTCATGTCAATTGATGACTACCATGATCAGATTAAGGACTTGATCAACTGAGCCTGCACATGGACACGGAATGATTGCTTGGATTAGGATAAAAACGACAGAGTAACGAGCTGTGGAAGGTAGTAGGGAGATTGTTAATCAAATAGCACGTGAATTTATATTCTTAACCATGATGTACGGGGTCCCGAACCTGATTATGTTTGATATGTCTGAGACATGAGTTAAATGCATAGTAGTACTTTTACTGCGTAACTGCGCGTCTACGTCCTAACTCGTTTCTCCCAGCGCAGGATACCTTTGATCGGCAACCTACACTCAATATCAATCACTGAGTATCAAATTCACGGGACCTTGTCGTGATTATCAAATGTCCCTGCTATCAAGAGCGCCGCGAAGGAGTGTTTGAGGAATTAAGGTCTTGCCCAGGCCCATTCATCCACAAGTACCCTTGATGGGTAGGGTGCTATCCCGATTGGGCTACGGTCGATGTCAACAGGTCCTGTGATTTGAAGCCGATGTCTGCCGCCTGCTGATCGGGGACTGAACCTCGACTGGTACGGTCTCCATCAACTTACCAGCGCTCTATCTACACAGGCCTTAAGCCTAGGCGTACATTTCATTGGTGGGGCTCGAACCTAAGCGCTCAAAGTCAAAAGGTGATGGCTGAAGCATGTTGCAAGCCTAAGGCAGAAGTTCTTTGTTAAATGACGAGATGCTGGGCCTCTTGACCAAGATTTCAGTCTCAACCTTCTGAGACTCTATCTAATCACGTGATTTAGGCTTAAATTGTCTGGGTTACAGACCTTTTTGTAAATAATTAATTAGATCCATATTTTCGTAAATAACAGTATAATCTTCCGTAAGTATTCTAGAGTAAAGATAATCTACTTATATACTGTCCTCATAAAAATAGTGGTACTTTAATTAGGTCAGTAAATAAGAGTTACAGCAAAACAGTTCACTTATGCGCTAGACTAGTGGTGATGCCGCGGATCGTCATGGAATGTTGCTCAATAATGGATCTCTCATACCTTGGCGCGTTTACAATGTCCCCATCATTGACTCTCATGAGAGGATGATCTTCTCTGGTCCCGCTCATGGCCCAAGGTTCGCGATCTAGGCGACAAGTGGGTCATTGATGATCGAGCCTGACGATCAGCCCCGGCAGCCTTTGTTTGCTCACGTCAAAACGCAGTTCGACATCACCCCTCACCGCTGCAATTTCCGAAAAGGGAGAATCTTCCTATCGCTGGGAGCGAGTTCTTCGTAAATGCTCTTAGACGAGCGGGAATTAGACTTTGATTGCGCTCGTCGATCGCAGTGTGGAGCCCCGGTTCGCGAGTCAAGCTCGGCTTCGCGCCAGCTATATGAGGAGCCACGACATCCGGATGTGAGGGGTGATTTCGTCGCGTCTAGGGTATTGTTTGCTTTGCTGATAGTTGATTTATCTCGTTAAGCTCGTACTTCTGCCGTGGCTCTATCCTGGACTCGTGGGGAACAGCTGTGATAAACGTCTTGACAGCATGGGCTCTTCGGGGGATCGCACGTGGGAGTTCATCGTAGTCGGTGGTAAGTGCCGCGTGGAGTGTAGATTGTTTGTTCTGTGTACTGACCTGAAGCAGGGGGTCCGGCGGGCTGCGCCCTTGCCTCTACTCTCGCCCGCTCCGCCAAACGTCCACGAGTCCTGCTGCTAGAAGCCGGTCCTCGGAACGAAGATCTCGCTCTCCGCGTGGATGGTCAGCGATGGTCGACGTTTCTCCAGGGGGGCCTGAACTGGGGATACAAAACCACACCCCAGAAGCACTGTAATGGGCGGCAAATTGACTATTCGCGCGGCAAGGTGCTTGGGGGCAGCAGTGCAATCAACTTCGGCGTCTACACGGTGGGCGCCCGCGATGATTACGACCTGTGGGCTGCGCTGGTTGGGGACGAGACCTTCGGCTGGGAGCGGATGAAGGCTCGGTTTTGTGGCCTCGAGACCTTCGATGGCGCCATTGTTGACCCGAATCATGCCAAATACGCTACTCCGCAAGCCTCTAATCATGGATCCTCGGGCGCATTGCGGGTGGGCTACGCTCGTGAATGGGAGCAGGATCTCCCGCTCATGTTGGACGTGTTCGAGCAGGCGGGAGTGCCTCGAAACCCGGATCACAATTCGGGCGACCCAATCGGCATGGGGTTGATTATCAACTCGTCCCACCAGGGTCGCAGAGTGACTGCGACGGATCTTCTCCTCGGTGCACCGGAGAACTTGACAGTCATCACCGAAGCACCCGTACAACGGGTACTTCTGGGGGGCACTAAGGCCGTAGGCGTGGAGTCGAACGACAGACACTGTACGTTTTGTTTATCTCACGAAGTACATGGATAAAACGCTGATACGGCCGCTGCAGATCTGGCCTCCCGCGAAGTGATTCTGACGGCAGGCTCTCTGGACACGCCGCGGATCCTGATGCATTCGGGTCTCGGACCAGCCGACCAGCTCCAAGCATTCCAGATTCCCGTTCGGAAGGATATGCCTGCCCTGGGTAAGGGTCTGCGTGATCATTTCTTCGCACCACTGTGCTTCAAGCGCGACCCGGCTACCAACGACCGCAATGCCTTCTTCGGCGACCCGGCCGCGATGAAGACCGCCATGAGACAATGGGACAAGGACGGCACGGGTCCTTGGGCGCGACACTCGTGCCAGATTGCCGCCGGCTGGCTGAAGTCCGACCGGCTGGTGCAGACGGCCGAGTTTCGAGCTCTCCCACCGGACGTGCAAGACTTTCTGCAACGCAAGACGGTGCCTCATTACGAGTTTCTGACGCATTTCCCTTTGCACCTTGTTGCGCCGGAGTGGCCGCCGGATTACAGCTACATCTGTATGTTGGTGTTCTTGATGAACGAGCAGTCCAGCGGCGAAGTGCGGCTGCGGTCGTCGGACCCCAACGTTCCGTTGCTGTTCGACCCCAAGTTCCTGTCGCACGAGTTCGACCGCCGCGCGTGCATTGAGATCTATCGACACGCGCTGGAGGTGACGCGGCACGCGTCCTTCCAGAAGGACGTGGTCGAGACGGTGATCGCGCCGGCGTCGGACTCGGACGCGGACATCCTGGAGCACTGGAAGAATACGTTAGGGTCGAGCTGGCACATGACGGGGACGGCCAAGATGGGGCGGGCGGGCGAGCGCGATGCGGTGGTGGACAGCCACTTCCGGGTGATGGGGACCAGCAACCTGCGAATCGCAGACATGAGCGTAGTGCCCGTGCTGACCAACAACCACACCCAGGCGACCGCCTACGTGACGGGGGCGACGTGTGGCGACGTATTGGTAGAGGAATACAATTTGAACCGGGAGGTTGCGAGATTATAGTTGTTGGTTCAACGAAATAGTAGCATTATATATCCAGCCAACGCATTACCCCGGATAAACTTAGTACAAGAGCTATCATCTCCCACCCATGCACCCACTAACCCACTCCCACTTCCCATTCTTCCCTCAATATTAGCCAATAAACAAAGAAACCTAATAAATATAGCGGAAATGCAAATTCTCGCGATCGGTACGATCCTCAAACGCATGCGCCAAATGGTCATCAGTACCGTCCTCGGCCGGCCCATCGAGACTCAGCCCAGCCTCGCGCAGGAGACGCTCCTTCTTCTTATTTTGGGAGATGAGGTAGAAGCGCAGGAAGAGAACAGCGAGGGTCATGGCGGAGTAGCAGCCGAGGTGGACGCCGAAGGCGATGAAGTAGCGGGGGGCGTCGCGGTCGAGGAAGACCTGGGGGCCTTTTTGCATTGATTATTAGCCAGGATGACTCGAGAATAGAGCTGGAGAAGTAGAGCACAAGCACACAGGTTCCAGAGCATGAAATAAACCCCAACAGGGAAACATACCAATGGCATTACCAATAGCCCACGAGACGAAGGTGGCAGCGACGACAGTCGACTTCTTGGTAGCGCCGGCGATATTGCGCGAGACCATGGACAGACACAGGTTCTGGGCTGACCAGAAAGATAGCGTGATGTAGTAGCTGATGAGAAGGCCAATTTTGGTGTCGAGGCCTTTCTTTTCGACGGTCATGAGGACGATGGTGCCGATGAAGGATCTATTCATCTTCCAGTTAGCATATGCAAGACTCTCGATGGGGTATCGTGAGCATCAGAATCAGCACCCCTCACCCCCGCTCAAGAAAAGAAGGAAACATACGGAATAATGAACCCCAACATCACCAAAATATTCTGGCCAAACCGCTTCACCAAAAACGCCGAGGTAAGCAACACAAAAATAATATAGAACCCCAACACCATGGCCAACAGCTGGGTCTGCAGCTCGGTGAAATCAAACCCCGTGATGATGATGTTGGCGAAGGCGCCCAGCCCACTCGTCGGTAAGGTGGTGAAGATCTGGATGGCGCAGTAGCAGTACATCTGCGGGTCGCGGAAGGCCTCCCACATCTGGTAGGCCCGGAAGGTCTTGTTCTGCAGCCCGGTCTGGTTGGCGCGCACGCGCTCCACCATCAGGTGCTTGTCTTCTTCGTTGAAGCATTTCGCTTTCATCGGGCTGTCGGGCATCCACCACAGCACGAAGAAGCCCCAGAGCACTGAGATGCAGCCGTACGTGAGGAAGAGTGCTTGCCATGATTTCAGGGCCGTGGGACCGTGTTTGCCGATTAGGCTGAAGCAGTAGGCCAGTAACCCGCCGACGATTTGTTGGCCGCCGTTCATCATGTACCTATTCGGGTTCAGAGGTTAGTACGTGAGGTGAGGGAGTGGGAGTGGGATGAAGTTGAAGACTCAGGACAAGAACGAGGAAGCGAGGAAGACATACCAATAGGTCACAGTAGAAGCCTGCTCCTCACGCTTATACCACATCCCCGACAACAGCACAAACGAAGGCTGACACGCTGCCTCAAAGATACCCAGCAACGTCCGCACGGCCACCAGCCCAGCGAAGTTCTTGCACGCGGCGTGCAGCGCCAGGATAGTCCCCCACAGAATGATGTTGATCCCCAGGTATTTGGCAATGCGGACGCGCTGGATGATCCAGTTGGTGGGGTACTCGACGATCAGGACGGCGATGTAGATACAGGTGGTCAGCCAGGAGTACTGCAGCAGACAGTCAGCACCATGATTGTTGAAGTCAGCCCGAGAAGAAAACACACCTCCTGGCCCTGCAGCCCCGTATCCTTGCGGATGCCCATGATCGAGGCAAACGACATGGTGCCCTTGTCCAGCGCCTGCAGGAAATACGTGCAGATCATCACCACCAGCACGCGGCGGTCGATCATGCGTCGCAGCCGCCGGCTGGTGGCCTCGTCGACATCGACCCGGCCCCGCGCCGCATACGCCTGGATTTCCTCGTCGACCCTCGCCGCGTCGATGCCCTCCTTCAGCCCGTCGTCGGCCGGCGAGAGCACCCGCTCCACGTGCGCGGCCGCCTGCGCCGGCTTATCCTCGCCCATCTCCTTGGACGAGACGTGTCGGTGAGACAGCGTGGTCTCGGTGATGTTATTCTCCGCCATATTGTGCGTGCGGATGGATCAAAACGATGGGGGAAGGGGGCAGGGGGAGGGGAACAAGACCGGCAGGGGGGATGCAGCCTTTTAAAGGAGGCTACCCAACGCAATGCACGAAATGTCAATGTGACCTCGTCTACATCTCGTTTATATTTCTCTTGGCCAATCCTTCTCGGGGACGGATTTTCACGCCAATGGGGAAAGGAAGTGGTAATGGTGGGAGGCGAATAGTGGTGGTGGTGGTGGTGGTTTGCTTTACTGCATCTTCGTCTTCGCTTAGGGTTAGGCACGACATGGGTCAATTGCCTACCCCATGGGCAAAACAGAGTGCCAGTCAGTTTACGCGGGGGCGGGTCAAGCCGTCAGCAGAAAACCTGCCAGCGAGTAAAGTGGGAATTACCCGGCGGGGATGAATTGACCCGAGAAACGCGGGGAAAAGTCTTGGAAAGGAGCTTCGCTCGAGTCGTGGATGCACCCCTGCGCCAATCGCTGCTGCATTCGGGGAGGGGGCGGACTTGGCTGGCAGGCTTGCTCGGCGGACTCTGGCCCGAATAGATGGTGGGAATGGGGTGATCGGATCATGGATTCAATGCGGGGGAGAGCCAGGTGGCCAGGGCTTGCTACTTGTACTGTACTTCTACCGGGTATTGTGGCAGAGTTGCGATTCTTCCTCTACCTTCACTCTCCCTCCCTAACCTTTCACTTCACATACTCTCTCCCTCCTGTCTCCTCCCTCTACCTCCCCAAGTTCTCCCTCCAAACCACCCAAAATGGCGACTCCGATCCCCCCGCCGCAAATCCGGCAAACCATCGACCTCCTCATCAACAACCTGATCAACATCCACGACCAAACAGGCGAATTCCTGCTGCACCTGCCCGACGGACGGATCATCGACACCAAGTCATGGCACGGATGGGAATGGACGCACGGGATTGGGCTGTACGGGATCTGGAAATACTACGAGCTGACGGGCTCCGAAACGCACCTGCAGACACTCCGCGACTGGTTCGCGGCGCGGTTCGCAGAGGGCGGAACCACCAAAAACATCAACACGATGGCAGTGTTCCTGCCGCTGGCGTACCTGTACGAGACCACACGCGACATCACCTACCTCCCCTGGCTGGACGCCTGGGCCGAGTGGGCAATGCACGAGCTGCCGCGCACGCGCCACGGCGGCATGCAGCACATCACGTACCTAACCGAGAACCACCAGCAGCTGTGGGACGACACACTCATGATGACCGTGATGCCGCTGGCCAAGATCGGCAAGCTGCTGGGCCGGCCCCAGTACATCGCCGAGGCCAAGCGCCAGTGTCTGCTGCACCTGCAGTACCTGTTCGACGCGCGCACGGGGCTGTTCTTCCACGGCTGGCAGTTCCACGACCAGGAAGATGCAGGCGGAAAAGTAGGCCATCATTTCGCCGAGGCGCGCTGGGCGAGAGGCAATAGCTGGATTACGATGGTCATTCCCGAGATCGTGGAGCTGCTGGAGCTAGACGAGCACGACCCCATCCGCGTGCATCTGCTGAGCGTGCTGGAGGCGCAGTGCGCGGCCCTCAGGAGGCTGCAGGAATCCGACGGCTTCTGGCATACCTTGCTGGACGTCAAGGACTCGTACGTCGAGGCTTCTGCCACGGCCGGGTTCGCGTACGGCATCCTGAAGGCCGTCCGCAAGAGGTATCTGGGCAAGGAGTATCGCGTGGTGGCCGAGCGCGCCATCCAGGCCGTTGTCGGCGCCGTTGACGCCAAGGGCGAGCTGCAAAATACCAGCTTCGGCACGGGCATGGGCGACAGTCTGCAATTCTACAAGGATATCCCACTTACGGCGATGCCGTACGGGCAGGCGATGGCCATCATGGCCCTGGGCGAGTACCTCCGGGGGACGCTGTATTAGATCTATAGAAGCAAGCGTGGCATACATGGTATATAGAGGCGTGTACAGATTCAATAATTTATTCAAAACCTCAAGTCCTTAAGCAACTGTACCCAGCTCATTAAGCACCTTAAGCCATAAACCAGAGGTAAGCGTCCCGGGGGAGAACCCCCGGACCCCCCTTTTCTTTCAGCTTCCCAAGCACCTCAATCCACTAAGAAAAGCAATCACAACTGACTCCTGAACCAGATAGTCTGCGAATTACACCATCCAATCAAGCCATTCAATCCCCACTCCGTCCCAATCCCACTAGCCTTATGCCCCCCAAAGGGCACATGCGGCGCGACATCGAAATGCGAATTCACCCACACCGAACCAACCTGCAACCGATCCACCAACCGCCGCGCCTGCACCATATCGCGACTCCAAACCGAGGCACTAAGTGCATACTCCGAGTCATTCGCGCGAGCAATGACATCGTCCTCGTCCGACCATTTCAGCAGAGGCAGGATCGGCGCGAAGGGTTCCTCGCGCACGACCCGCGAGTCCTCCGGCGGGTTATCCACGATAGTGGGCTGGATGAAGTACCCCTTGTCCAAGTGCGCGGGGAGGTCGCCGGCGGCGATGGTCTGCAGGCCCGCGGCGTGCGTGGCGGAGAGAAGATCGCTGGCCTTGTCGAATTGCATGCGGTTCTGCACTGGCCCGAAGAAGGTGTCCGGCTCGCTGCCGTCGCCTACCTTCAGGTTGCGCACGAATTGCACCAGCTTGTCACGGACGGTGTCGTAGATCTTCTCGTGCACGTACAGTCGCTTGATGGTCATGCAGATCTGCGAGGAGCAGATGAAGGCGATGATACCGATCTGAGTTTGAATTCCACGGTCAGTCGGTCTAGCTAGCCCCACACTGGAAACCCAGCTTGGTGGGGATCTAAATCCGAGACCTGGGAACTGATCTTCACTATCCCCACCAGGCCGGAAATGCACCCCAAACAAGAACACCTCAAGCTATTGTAGGGGAGGGGGGAGAAAGAACGAACCTTAGCAACAACAGCATCAACATCCACATCCTCACACACGATAGCAGCATCATTCCCACCCAACTCCAACGTAACCCTCTTCATGCCCCTAGCACACGCCTCCATCACCTTCCGTCCCGTGGCATTGGACCCCGTAAAACTCACCTTCTGAATCCCAGGATGCGCCGTCATCCACGGCCCCAACTCCTCGCCACCACTAAGCACCTGCACAACCCCCGGCGGGAAACACCGCGCCGCAAGCTCCACCAACTTGATCGCGCAGTAAGGCGTATACGGACTGGGCTTCACGATCACCGTATTCCCCGTATACACAGCGGGCACGATCTTGCCCACCGCCAGCAACACGGGATAATTCCACGGCACAATGGCCGCGCACACCCCGATCGGTACGTATCGCTGGATGATCTTCCGGTCGGCCGTGTCCTCCAGCGTGGATTCGGGGATCTCCAGTGTTGGGATCGCGCGCGTCCAGCGGATCGCCATCTCCACTTCGATCTGCGCTTGGCTGAGCGGTTTGCCCTGTTCTTGCGTGAGGAGGGTCGCGAGGGCGGTTTTGTGGGTTTCCAGGAGCGTGGCGTAGGTTTCCAGGAGGCTGCGGCGGTAAGGGATCGTGGTGCGCGACCAGCTTGTGAAGGCGCTTTGCGCGGCCTCTACCGCGGTGTTGAGGTCATCCTGCGTTGAGATGGGGACCGCTGGGTTCGGTGTGCTGGTTGCTGGGTTCAAGCTGTGGCGTGTTGTTGGGGTGGTTGTTGCTTCGTTGTTGATGATGTTGTGGAAGGTCTGTGGTTAAGTAGGAGTTAGGGCTGGTGGGACTGTGAGGGAGGTAATGGGAGAGGTACTGTTATGTCGAGAGACATGGTGGATGGGTATATCGGTAGTTGTCTGGGTTGCGTTCGAAGATGGGTTGCTAGTCGAGGAAAGAGAGAAGGCGGGGGGTTTATATCCTCGGTCCTACGATTGCAGTCCCGACTCGTGACACAAACAGATTTACAAGGATGCTGCACGACTCTAACCCGTGTAGGCTGAGATTGGCATAAGGCTGGTTAATCCTCATAGTTCGGCAGGCCAACCAGCCAACATTGGGTGCGGCCTCACATTGACTTTTGGAGATCGGCACAGTGCGGGGGTGATATTTGCTCGCCAGGCTTAGAAATCGAGGGCCTCGTCTGGACTACTGCTTTGGTACACCTCAGCTCAGCTCGACTCGTTCTCAGCCTGTATACCCTAATTCACTGTGCACCGTGGCTTCGTTTGCCCCCAAGGTCCATGAGCCAAGACGGCCAAGACAATGGCGGCAAGTGCAGATAAAAACGCTGTCGCCGTGGCCTCACCTGCATCGTCCTGTTCACCCCCGAGAAAAAAAAAATAGAAGAACAACAGGAAGATGAAGGACGAGAAGCACGAGACAATTATTCAGGCAGTTCCGACGGCCTCGCTGGAGGAGGCCGGCGACTCGCATGAGTTCCTTGCAGCCGAGCATGCCTTGACATTCTGGCCCGCTCTCCGACAGCACTGGCCAGCGGTAGCGTGGGCATTATTCATGAACCTGGTAAGAGATCTGGTGCCTTCCGCGACGATCACCGACTGATTATCAATTATAGGCGACGATCTTGAAAGGCATTGTATGTGTGGCGCTCTCACTTGCGGAACAAAACCCTAACAGATTTACGAGTAGGATGGCGGCATTGTCAAAGGCCTGGTCGGGCTCGACGTCTTCAAACAGAACTACGGTTACGAACATGAGGGACGCTACATCCTCGCCGCCCGATGGCTGTCTGCCTTCAACTACGCCAACCTGCTTGGAGCCATTGTGGGCGCTCTCTGCGCCGGCGTCGCCTACGACCGCTTCGGGCCGCGCATCCTGCTCATCGTGTGCTCCTGTTTGTCGATTGGCTTCATCTTCGTGCAGTTCTTCAGCCAGACCCCTGCCCAGCTGTTCGTGGGCGAGCTGATCAACGGCTGCGTCATTGCCTTCTATCCTATTTGCGCGTCGGCGTACGTGGGAGAGGTGACGCCCCTGCCGCTGCGTGGCTTCGCCGCGACAATGACCAACCTGGCCTTCTCCATCGGCTCCCTGATTGCCTCCGGCATCCTCAAGGGCACGACCTCGCTTGATAGCGACTGGTCCTACCGGATCCCCATCGCCACGCAATGGGCGCTACCGTGCATCATGTTGGCCATCGTGCCCTTCTGCCCGGAACCTCCATACTGGCTCTGTCGGAAGGGCCGACCCGACGCCGCGGCCTCCACGCTGCGGCGTCTCACCACCGCGGGGGTCGACATCGGCCCCCGACTGGCGCACATCCAGGAAACCCTACGCCTGGAAGCCAGCTTCCAGCAGAACATGACGACACGGTTCGAATGCCTGCACGGCCCTAACCGCCGCCGCCTGTTGATCTGCATCATGGTCTACTGCATGCAAGCCTTCACGGGCAACGTCTTCTTCATCAACTACGCGGTGCACTTCATGGAGACGGCCGGCCTGAGCGCCTCGCATGCCTTCTCCATGAACATCGGCCTGAGCGCCCTGGGCCTCCTGGGCACCGTGCTCTCCTGGCCGCTGCTATCGTACATCGGCCGCCGCACCATGTACCTGGCCGGCTGCTCGGCCCTGGCGGTGGTCTTGTTGCTGATCGGCGTGCTGGACGTGATCCCGCGGCACACGGCCACCATCTGGGCTCAGTGCGCGCTCATGCTGGCCTGCACCTTGGTGTACGACGTCAGTCTCGGGCCCTTCTGCTATGTGCTCCTGGCGGAGGTCTCGTCGGTGCGATTGCGCGGGGTGACGATCGGGCTGGCGACCGTGAGTTGCTTCGTGTGGTCGGTCGTGTTTGCCGTCGTGATCCCGTACGCCATGAACGAAGACGAGGGGAACTTGGGCGGGAAGTTGGGGTTTCTGTTTGCGGGCACCAGTGTTGTCTGCGCGGGGATGTGCTTCTTTTGGTTGCCCGAGACGCAGGGTCGGACGTTCGCGGAATTGGACGCAATGTTCGAGCAGGGGGTGGCCAGTCGGCGGTTTCGGCGGTGTGTGGTCGTGATCGGGGAGTCGGAGTCGGTGGTGACGAGGAGAAGTGTCGAGGGGAGCAGCAGCGAGGGAGACGTTGAGAGAGATGTTGAGAATGTGCGCGGTGCACAACTTGGAAACAGAACAGCGAGAAATCAGTCGGTGCATAAGCCTAAAGAGGAAAAAGCCGAGGATGTGTGATTTTGGAGGGGGAATAGGCGAGGGATTATTAATCCCTTCCGGATTCAGTAATTCTGCAGAAGAAAATTTAGAGTGCTGACTTGCTGATTCAGCCGGCTTTTATGCATAACTAGTTAACTCCGTCTTCTTCTTCTTTTCTTTCTCTTCGTCTCGAGTCATGAAGCAATGAACCACACTTCGGAAACTTAGTCCTCAATTGAGTTCGACTGTTTGCCCCGTTCACTTGAGGCTACAACAGAAATCATGACTTCATTCCAGCCCACCCTACCGCCCTGTCTTTACTGTGGCGTCTGAACTGCCGCAGCTTCCAGATCAAGCTTCCCGGGCCCCGTTCCACTGCATAATTCCAGTATTCCACGCTTCCTGCCCATCACCATGCCCCATCCGGCCCGGTATCTGTACCCTGAAGCAGCAGCTGCCCCGAATTTCCTCCGTCACAGACTCTTCCGGCTCCACTCACCCGCCGAGCCGTGGTTCGACTCTCCGCCTGCAAATGGTCGTGACGAGAGCGTTGGGCAAACCCCTCCCCCCCGGGGCCCTCACTGCATTCGGCAGGTACCTAGGCAAACGGAGAAGCATGATTTCACTTCTCTCGAGAATCTTCTTTGATGCCCCTTGCGGTGCTTCGTCAGCAGAAGAGTGCTTGATAATCGACTCTGGGTGCCCCACCAGCAGCAGAGAGTATAAAGCTGGCTCGACCGCTGCCGTGAATCGTTAAAGGGCAAACCCAAACCCCAAATCACAATCACCATCATGTCTGAGAACAAGGCACTCATCTTCAAGGAAATCCCCACGGGATACCCCGTCCCCGGACAGCACATTGGCCTCGAGCCGGTCTCCTATGACGCCAATGCTCCTGCTCCCGAGAACGGCATCTTCGTGCAATCGCTCTATGCCAGCTTCGACCCCTACATGCGCGGCCGCATGCGCCCCGCCGAGGTCAAGTCGTACTCGCCTGCCATGGCCCTCGGCCAGCCCATCGACAGCGCCGTGATTGGCAAGGTCCTGCGGTCCAACAACGCCAACTACAAGGAGGGTGACTTGATCCAGGGCTACCTCCCCATCCAGTCGTATATCTCCGTCGGCGCCGAGAAGATGGCGTACGTCAAGCGCCTGGAAAACCCGCTGGGCATCGAGGACATCCGCGTGTTCATCGGCGCGCTCGGCATGCCGGGTCTGACGGCGTACTCCTCGCTGTACGAGATCGGACAGCCCAAGAAGGGCGAGACGATCTTCGTGTCGGCGGCCAGCGGCGCCGTCGGCCAGCTGGTCGGCCAGCTGGCCAAGCACGAGGGCCTGACCGTGATCGGCAGCGTGGGCTCGGACGAGAAGTTGGAGTACATCACCAAGGAGCTGGGCTTCCACGGCGGCTTCAACTACAAGAAGGAGAAGCCGGCCGACGCGCTCAAGCGCCTGGCGCCCAACGGCATCGACATCTACTACGAGAACGTCGGCGGCGAGCACCTCGAGGCCGCGCTGGACGCCATCAACAACTTCGGCCGCGTCGTCGTCTGCGGCATGATCTCCGTCTACAACGGCAACCCCTACCCGATCAAGAACATCTCCTACGTGCTCACCAAGCGCCTGACCATGCGCGGATTCATTGTGAATGACCCCGGCATGGGCGACAAGTACGCCAAGGAGCACCAGGAGAAGGTGCAGCAGTGGATCAAGGACGGCTCGTTCAAGGCGCTGATGCACGAGACGGTGGGCATCGAGAACGCGGCCGAGGGGCTGGTCGGCATTTTCTACGGCAAGAACAAGGGCAAGGCGGTGTTGAAGTTTTAATGCATGTATATATTAATTAGATGAACATATCTTCTACTATTATGACTAGCAAATACACTAAACATTAATATTTCCTTCAGTCAACTCAATCAAATTCCCATCCCTTGCCTTTCCCAGCCCTAGGTACGTGTACTCCTCCATCGAACAATCTAAATCCGAATAATCAAAATTTAAAGCTTCTCCCTATGCCCCCCCACAACCCCAGACCCTTCCTCCTCCTTCCCCTCCCTCTCCCCAGACCTCGACCTCTCCCGCGAAGCAAAAACCTTCGTCCTCCCCCAAAACACGCCCGCCACATACCCCAGAAACACCACGCCGGCAACAACCGAATAAACCACCACGCCCGCCACAGAAACCTTAGGACTCCCCACGCCGCCAGCAAACCAAAACCCCAGCCCCCCATTCACCATTCCCAGCACGATCGCCCCGCGCCCTACCCACCGATGCATATACCCGAACACGCTCTTCGCGGCCTCGCGCTTCCAGTGCCGGTGCTGCAGGTACCCTGCCAGCGGCTGGAAGAGTACGAGGACACCGACCAGGATGATCCCGATGATGGGGTGCGCGTGCTTGAATGTTGCGGTTTCATCAGCGAGGTAGACCCCTGTGCCCAAGCCGACGAGCGTCAGTATTGTGGTGAAGAGTTGGAGGGGGGCGTGGGTTTTGGGGATGTTGTATGTCAGGCCAAGGGGGATGGGGAGGGCGGCTAGCGGGTAGAGGAGGGTGAAGGCTAGGGACATCATTACTGCGTGGGTGATTAAGAGCGAGTGGGTTTTGGATGCGGATGAGGGTTGCGGGGTTGTTGTTGTTGTTGTTGTTGTTGTGGAATTGGTGGAGGGGAGGGCGAAGGGGTTGAAGTCTGTGTTATTGGTGGTGGTGGTGGTGGTGGTGCTTGGGGCGGAGAACTGCGCGGCACGAAGGTCGACTGTTGTGCTGCCCATCTCTGTGTGGATGACTATTGGGCTGGTTACTGAGGTCGTGTTGAGGGAGTCGCCGCTGTGGTAGGCCCAGATGAAGGGGGCAGAGCTTGAGTCGGGCGCGTAGGTCGTCTCGGACGGTGATGACCAGCTCGATAGGCAGTTTGTGCACGCTATGTTGGCCGTCATGATCCCGTCGGTTATGTTGCTTGATGGCAGGAGGCTGGCGTGTGCCAGCTGCGTGTATTCTGGCTCGATGTGCCCGAGGCCTAGCCGGGGCGATAGTGTCAGTTCTGTGGACGACGCCGCGTATACCACGAAGATGTTCGAGCCTGCCATCCGTGTGCCTTGCCCCAGAGCTACCCATTGCATTGTTGCGGGTGCGCGGATCTGAAGGTAGATTGGTCCGGCATTCTCCTGGGTTGTGGTCTCTGGGACCGTGATGCTGTAGGTTAGGTCTGGGTGGGAGGAGGAGGGCGAGAAGGAGACGATGTTGGCGGTTGTGAGGGGGGCTGTGGTGGCTGTGAGTTCTCAGGTCAGATTGGGGTAGTTAGGTGCGAGTGCTTACCCAGCCCCAGGAGAGTCTGGAGAAGACGGATCGTGCGCATGGTGTGGTGCGGACGAGGTGGTTCAATACAACGACTAGTAGTAGCGGTTCACAACCCTGGCCCGCCACCAGGCATCATCCCTCCTTTATATCGATTTGGCGGTCAAAGTTTCATTATGGCTGGCTCTTGGCTCAAGGGGATTCCTGCACAAACCAATTATCGAGGCCTGGGCAATCATCATCGTATCGACCTGTCGACTGGCGTCCACCAGAACGTGAGCCCTTCTTCCGGTCTGGGCATTGCGCTCCAACTGAGACCTCAATCTTAGCAGCACGCACCAATCTGCGTTAGGCAATCGCTAATCCCCCCCTGCTCGAGTCGCACAGGTCTCACTCTCATCTTGCCCAAAACACTGACATCTGACAGCGCTTCATTCCACGGCCAGTCCCTTGCTGCGCCCTTGCATCAAGGTTTCCTTCCCTTCCATCTTGGCTGGTATCGACTCGGGGGTGATTGCAACCTGCGAGGCGAGGGGACCGCCCTTGCACGGGGATTGTCTTTGAAGTGGTTTCATGGAGTGGGGAATCCCGGTCTTTTTTTGTGTTGTCGCGTTGAAAGAGACAAAGCTGGTTGAGAGGGAGAGTTGGAGTCTGGTGTTCTGGCTTTCAATAAACAACTCTTGATATCAATGGTTGCCCCGCTTTGACTTGGCGCTAAACCATTCTGGGCCACGATAATGGATCGGTCTCGCAGCCAGATTCCTTCCTCCCCAACAACGGTTTCTGATTCTGGTACCTAAACAATGCTGCAGTGTTCGAATTCGATTCTCGAGTTCCTCTGCCCTGCAGTGTACAAGTACGCCAGCCAGGGCATCTATCACCCATGATGTCATGAACAAAAGATGCGAAAGCCATGCCGTAGCAGTAATACGAGCACTCACGTCACGGCACCAGATAAGGAACTGGATACCATGGTTGTATGGCGACAATGCTCTGCGCGGTTCAGTCACCTGCATTCTTGTCACAATGAAAGCTACAGTTGAAATTGTCTATTTATATCTGTGGTCTTAAGACTAAGGCTAAACATGGGAGTGTTCTGTCACAACGGTTTCCGACGCCACAAATCCTAGATCACTCAGATCGCTGGTATCAACTGCTCTACCTTGTTCGTACACACAAGCACCTTGTGGACCACATTCTAGTGGACACAAGACTTCCTCATGGGGCTTCACAGATCAAGAACCGTCTGAAGTATCAGCAATGACCATGGGTCAGTTCTTGCAAGATGTCACTCATTCCAGGCAGCAATCCTAGTAACCTCACTAGGCTGTGGATTACCACGTACCTCCTAATCTATTAAGTCCTAACATCCTCCTCTCCCTCTCTCCTAATCTCTTTCCTCATAAACACCTCATGCAACCAAATCACCTCCCCCTTCAACGATAGCTCCTTATACCTCGGCTCCTCCTTCCAACCCACATACCCAGCCTTCTCATACCACTCCTGGATACTGAAATCGGGCATCGGCTGGCCCATACGCTCCCAGATCCCCCGCCAGTCCGGACCCTCCTGGTACATATACTTCTTGCTCAACGCCGTCAGCGCAACGTACCGACAATTCGGCTCCTGGGCCGCCAGCCTCTCCGCCAGGTACATCACGTGCCGTCCCAGACCCGCGAGGCGGTACTCCGGAAGAATGAAGAAGGTCTGGATGGCGAGGACGGATCTGTCGGCGCGCGCGAGGTCGGGGTCGGGCGGTTCGCAGTAGGCGTCCAGGGAGATATGACCCGCCCGTGAAGACTCCTCGGCGGTTATGGGCCTGCCGTGATCAACATCGGTGACGACAATCCAGAAGAGGTTCTTCAGGCCCTCCGAATTTTTTTGTCTCCATTCTTGGAGCTTGTTTGGGTGGTAATCCCAGCCGCAGAGGGATCGTTGGCGTCGGAGTTCGTGTAGTTGGTCTGGGTGGTTGAGGTCGATGGGGTCGAGATAGCAGGGACCCCGCATTGTTGTGTTTGTGTAGCTTATTTGGTTTCGCTGGAAGTTATAGACTAGATATGACTGAGAAGGGCCTGGATGATATATCTGGAATGTTCATGGGTGACACGTGGATATTAATATTGCAGAGCACGGACTAGTGCTGACTTACTAGCAGCTGATACTAAGCACTAAAATGGCGTGGCTTCCATGCTTAACCCGACTGCAGGAAGGATTCGATTTGAATGAGTGCCCATTTCCCAGCCGCAGTGTTCGGCCTCGGACTAAGCTGATGATGTCGAATTCCGAGTCTAAGCCGTCCTCCGCCGATAAGCGCCGATAAGCTTCCCTCTACTGACATTTTTATCTTCTTACATCGCCCACCACTCACAACGGCTAGTCTCATGCTTCGTCGCAACGGAAAGCCGACCTCCTGCGAGCCATGCCGGCTCTCTAAGGTCCGCTGCGACCATGCTACCCCCATATGTCGCCGTTGTCACTCTCGAGGCATTGTGAACCAGGTCAGTATGACTCATTTTTTTGGGCTTCACCACTGACAGCTGCAGTGCTACTACCACCCCGCCCCCTTGACGCGAGTCAGGGATGGAGGTATTGGACGGCCTCGTGCAGCTCAACACCGTGGCGCCCATCGCCAGTCTCTGTTGAACGTGCATGACTTGAGTCCGACGCCGGAGGTCGCGAATGTCTTGCCTGAGACCGGCTCCGACACCAAACACAGCCAAGACTCGGAATTCTTAGGCTCAACGAGCTACCTGTCCGTCTTCAAAGAGACCCCGCGCGGGATCTCAGGGAAGGCAAACCGATCTCTCTACACCGAGTTCGAGTACTGGCGCACCGAGCATGCCTATGCATCCTCACGGCTGATCCGTCTGGCCTCCGCCATGGCTTTCCACCGGGAGCAGATAGATTGGTACCATCGCGTAAGCCGCTTCACGGTCGTCCCAGCCCCGCTCATCCTGGACTCGCTGGACCGAGTGCAGGAGTACATCCGGCGTCACCCCTGGGATGTAACGAGAAATTGGAAGGGACTGTACGAGCAGATCACGGCCGCGACCGGACGGCCCCTCCACGTCTCTAGGGACATGTCCCCGGGTGACTTCTACGCGCAATTCACCGGGCCGAACCTGCGGTGGGAGTTCATCGCCCTGATCCTCACCTCGTCGGGTATTAGTACCATGGTACGGTATCCGGGTCACCACGTGGTGGAGCTGGGGACTGGGGAGAAGATGACCGTCGAGATGTTCATGAAGGAGATGGTCTTGGCCAGTAACGCGTGCATCGAGATTAGTAAACAGTTCGGCCACGTCAATGATCTGATCTTGTGGGCACGGTATATGCATGTTCATTTGGCAATGGAGGTGCTGGGCGATACCAGTGAGCTTGCCTTTTTGCCATTGCTCGATTGCCACTAATCAGAGAGTAGGTGAGCGAATGTACAGTCTTTTCGGAGACCTAATCTCGAACATCTACACCATCGGGCTCCACCATCAGCCCTTACGTGATGTGCCTTTCTTCCTGGCGGAGACAAGGAAACGGATGTTGGCTGTCGCTCATCGCACGGACAAGAGCCTTGCCACCCTCATGGGACGACCTCCCCGTCTGCCGCATCAGTACTGCGATGCAGCTCCGCCGCTTGACATCGCGGATGAAGATCTTTTCCTCGACAGCGCCTCGCTGAATGCCGTACTAGCAGGTCTAGACGATCAAGGATGGCACCGCGAAGCGAGGTTCATGCCCGCAACAGTGATGCGCATTCGCCATTTTCTGTCTACGCTTCGTGAACAGGTCCTCGAACTATCCCTGGGCAACAAATCAGCCAGTGACTATGGCGAGCGTGTTCTGTACAGTCTCCAACACGTTCCTACGCCCCAAGTGCTAACAACAGCGCCAGGAAAACTTACCACCTATGCCAAGAAGTCTCGAACAAGATCCCCTCGCGCTTCCACTATGACCCCCTCTGCTGGAACAGCTGCGACCTGATGGAGTCTCTCGCGCGAATCCTAATTCAGTTCGACTACCAATTCAGCGTCCTGCACCTGCAACGCATCCGCTGCAAAGAAAACAGCGACGCAACCGGAGACTTGATGGACACCTCCCTGCAGGTCCTAAACATGGTCATGGATCTGACGCGCAACTACCAGTCCCACCGAGTCCAACGACAGTTCGCTTGCATCGTACGCTACCCAACCCGCACTCTTCCAAAGCAACACTAACAGAGACAAACCAGTACCTAGCCTACGGCATCCCCGCCGCCGGAATCCTGGTCACAGAGCTCCACAGTCACACTCTCGCCAATCGGCCTTTCCCTGCCTCCACCCCACGCTCGGAAATCATCCGCTCGCTGAGTGTGCTGATCGCCTGGGTGCAGAGCACTGAGATGCCGCCGTCGGCCACTGCCGTTGCAGCGAGGGAGCTGACGAAAGTGATTAGTCGGCTGCTGGACGATGCGTTGAATCATCAGCATGGGGCCAGTGTTGCGGTTGCGGAGCAGGCTGAGAATCCGGCTGCTGGTCCGCTGGTTCGGGATGCAGACGAGTTTCTGCCGCAGGGGCTTGGGGAGGGGTTTCATTTGCCGTCTGAGGCTCTGGGCGTGGGCTTGGCTAGTGAGGAGTTTTTGAGTTGGTTGGATGAGTTGGATTTGGATATGATCTCTGGGGAGAGGTTCATATAAGCTCTATACATTGCTGTAAACCACTTCTAACGACTGGACACCCCACCCCGGCGATCGTATGCAGCCAATAGGAAAAACAGCACAACACAGGTGGTCTAGCAAGTGGAATCCACATCATGGATGTATCCGAACACTGAGCCAGTCATAGTCTTACCAATCATACACTGACAAGACAGATCTTTGTGCCTTAGTGTCATGCACGATGCTTCCCCGGGGGGCTGACGTGCAGCTCGCGTAGATGAGCTGAAAAAGGAGAAGGAAGCAAAAAAGCAAAAACAAGCATTTATGAACCCGTCCCCGCCTTGTCAGCCATTTCCCTCTCCAGTCCAACATTCTGCATATACGACCCCCGACCCCATGCGTTTCGATTGTTGGTGTTGTTTCCGGGAGAAGGGAAGGCGCACTGCGGACGCTAATGCTGGTCCTCCGCGGCCCGTCAGGCTCGACCACCCGTCTTTTCCTCCTCCCCAACAACAGCCGAGAAACCACCAAGCGGTGGCTGTTCGCCTCCTCAGATCAGTGGTTTGTTGTCAAAGAAAAAGTCTTTGATAGAGCCTCGAACTTCGCGTGTGTCGGTACCTCGAGAAGAAGAACGCAGCCTCAGCAAGCCTGAGGGCAGTCACAAGGATGATGACGAGAATTACAACAACAATGAGAATAACGGCACCGACAGTCCCAACAATGAAAACACGATCCACAAAAGCGACACCGATGATAGCGATCATAGCGTATTGAAAGAACCCGAGAAGCACAAAGAGCCAACCACCGTACCAGCAAACCTCTGGAAAGTTGCAGAAGAGCAACTGGACGAAAAAAGCCGCAAGTGGCTTCTGCTGAACCGGGAGGAACACACTACCGACTCTGTCGAGGAAGCGCTTGCGAAAGTCATCAGCGAGGTCGAAGACAAGTACAAAGATCATCAGAAAGGTGGTCTACGCATCCGGGAACGCGGCGACGGCGCCGGTCGATTCGATGTCCGTGGGTCGGCGAAGAAGGTTCTCGTGTCGGTGCTGCAGGTCCAGGACCTGATTAAGACTGTTGCTGGGTTTGATCCCACTGGCCATGGTATGCGCGACCTTCCAACAACATGTAGCGTGCTAACACGCAGCAGCGTCCACTGCATGGTCCGTTGTCTCGTTTGGGCTCACGGTAAGACTGCACTACAACTTCATCTTCTGACCCCGAGATTGTGCTAACCATTATGTTGATGACAGCTCGTTCGGAACGATATCGAGCGGCGAGACGCAATCATGGAAGCATCGGAGTTCCTCGCCAAAGTCCTAGCTTATCATAGTATCATTGACCACAACTATCGACAGGGAGATATACCAAGCCCAGCAAGACTCGGGGATGCCCTTGTAGATTTGTATGTTGCCGTTCTCCGCTATGCAGCGGAAGTCCAAAGAACGAAGGAGGAAAATATTGTTGTACGTCGCGAATTCTGCCCGTGGATTCATCCTCACTGACATTTTCTGTAGCCCGGGTGGGAAAGAGTATAACGGCTCTCGTTGACAAGCCTCTTGAACGCTCAAGTCTGTCGTAGAGCAGCAAAGTGCCATTGTTGATAAATGGAAGGTGATCGTCAGAGATGAAGGTAAAGGAGCCTATATTACTAGTGAACTAAGAGTAACTTCATTTAGATCAGAAACGGGCAGAAGGTATATTGATGCGTATTGAGGAGATGGCTAAGCAGGTGCACAGCATTGATGTCAGGACCAATGGTGGGATCTCAAAAGCATGATTTGATACATGGTTGCTGATTGGACTCAGACCAGGAAGAACTTGAGATCCTCGACTGGCTTTCCAGGTTTTCTTACTCTAGCATACACAACCAAACTAAGCAGAATCGCTCACCTGACACTGGAGTATGGTTTGTGGACTCAAGCGACCTATACCAAGAGTGGAAGTCCACACCTGGACATCTTCTTTGGCTGCATGGTGCTGGTAAGCATTTCCTGTGCACAATTTATGCCCCTGAGACTAACTGATCCCATCAGTGGGCTGCGGTAAATCGGTCCTTGGGTAAGAGACTTTCCTTTAAGTGGTAGAGCTAGAACTGACTATCGCCAGCTCTACGATAATTCCTCACACTGATGCGTACTGCCGGTAAAATTCGTCGAAAATATTGGCTTACTGGTACTTCCAATTCAACGATAACGGAACACAGAGCATGGAAAGCATGATTCGATGTCTCATACGTCAAATATGCCCCAAGCCCCTTCCAAAGTCGATTCGGACAGTCTGGGAAGATCATCGAAGGAACCGAGACCCGGCTGGGACGGTCTTTTGGACATCCTCGATGAAGTTATAGATTCATCATCAGCAGATGTCTTCTTTGTATTTGATGCTCTAGACGAATGCCCTGCCGAGATCCGAGAACGGCGTCTCTTAGCTTTCTTAGATGGCCTGACGAGAAGACATGCGACCAAGCTTCATCTGCTCGCTACAAGCAGACCAGAGCCTGATATTCATGGGATCTTGATGCAACACAAATCATTCGGACTCGAAGATACTTTAGGCGACGATGTGGAGAGGTTTGTGCAAGAAAAGCTAAAGACTGGGAAGCTGAGCAGATGGGAGGACTCAATCCTTGAAAAAATTAGGAAACAGCTGCAAGATGTGCCAGAAAGGTAAGACATAAGTTGATTATCTCTCTTGCTTATGGTGATACATCTTATTTAGGCGATTCCGCTGGGCTGACCTGCAGATAAAGCGTCTTGAAAAATGCCATATACCACAAGACATCGACGAAGCACTGGCGACAATTCCTGACACCCTGGACGCGACATACCAATCAATCCTTGAAAAGGAGATCAGGCCCAAGTACCACGATGCAGTGCAACTAATTCTCACTTGGCTTACCTTCTCCGTGAAGCCATTGACTCAGGAAGATGTCGCACATGTTGCCGGATTTCCATCCCCTGATAGTGTGATCGAAATATGTACAACCCAACTGGTGACTTTGAATACATCAGATGGGACAATCACATTGGCCCATTTCTCGGTCAAGGAGTTCCTACTTTCTGAGCGCACATCGAAGGTGGCTAAATGGTATCACATGTCCGAGATACTCGGGCATCGTGCAATACTCAAGCAGATATTCTCCCACCTTCTCGCAGCAGATGATTTGTCAACAAGGGCTGCAATGGACAATCCATTGCTTTCTTACAGCTTTGAGAACTGGTCCAATCATCTGAAGAGGCTGGAGAGCATCTCACCTTACCCTTCGCCGGAATTATATCCAATGATCCTGGAACTCTTTACCATGCGTGCTGATTTTCTGGATAGAATGAGTTGTGTTCGAAAAGTACCGGTCCTCGGAACAAGCGATAATGTTTGCGAAGTCGAGTCACCAATCAAGCTGGCTATCCTGTTTGATTTGGTACATTTAGTGGATCTTTTGCTCCCATGTAGGCTTGACACCATAGCTGAACGCACCGTTGTAAGATTCTCGATGGAAGAAGCGTTGGTTCTTGCGACTATGCTCAGTAGATCTTGTTTGATACTGCTGTTGCAACGCGTTATCATGATCTCAGACGAGGACGCAAGGAAGATTATTAACGGGCTCTATTCTGAAAACGTCGAGAAGAGGAAACTCGAGCTCCTCATAGGCCTGCTCTGGAACATGGGTGCGCTGTATGGTGTTAATGAGGGCAATTGTGTCCATCCAGCCGTCCGCCAAGCCATGGCGCGGAACAAATATTGTGGGGATGCGCTTCTGGAAATATGTCTCAATCGCATGGACAAGGAAATATTTCCGATAACGGAGAAGTTCATGAAGGCTGTGGTATATAATAAGAGATGTGGCGATAAGGTCCTCGAAATCTTGCTGCGGTTACGAAAGAACGAGATCCATTTCACAGAGCCGGTAATGGACATTGTGGTAAAGAGAATACATCGCAATCCGAGGCTGGCAACTCTAGTTCTGGAAAACAGAGACAAGATCACTTGTCTGAGTTCCCACTATGCTGAGGTCTTGCAAAGAGAGCCGGTCCTGAGCACTTGGAATTGGCTCTTGCGGCGTACGGTAAGGACATGATGTTGGAAAACACGGTTCTCCTTGCAGCGGCTGGCAACTCCTCTGCCGGAAACATGGTTCGCTATCTTTTGTCTGGAAGGGAGACGAGTGCCATAGCGCGACAGTAAATCATTCTCGTCGCAGCAAATGCGCGAGGCGGACTTGGTCCGATCGACTTTCTATTGGATGAATGGGGCCCACAGTTTCAAATCAATGAACAGATCATGATGGCTGCCGTCGCAAACCCTGAGGAGGGACTGGCCATTCTCGAGCTATTCCTCGCCAGGCAATAGGCCGGGTTCGCGGTCTCAGAAATGGTCCTTATTGAAGCTGCATCGAACAACAATGAAGACGTGATGCAGTTGCTTATGAACAACGGAGGCTTGCAAATCCCGATGCGTGAGGAGTTAATGGTTACGGCGGCGAGCAATAGATTCGCAGGCTTATCTGTGCTTCGATACCTCCTCCTGCTTGGGCCCAAGCTTAGGGTGTCTCCGCGTGTACTTGAGACAGCCGCAGGAAACCCGTGCATCTCTAGTGAGGATTTTGGTCTTGTCCTTGACAATTTCGAGGAAGCAAAAGTACCGGACAGCGTTTTTGTTGTGGCTTACGCGATCGCTGATAATATGAAGTTACTATTGGACCGTTCAGACAACAATGCCCCAATGAGAGGAATTATCGACAAAAGGGGCTCGGAGATCGAATTGAGGGCCTGTGACACACTTCGACTGTTTCTTGATCGGCAAATCCTTGTCGTGGACGAATGGGTTGTTGGAACTCTTGCCGGCAACCGTCTTGTCTTTGAATTGTTGACAGATAATGTTCCTCAATTCCCAATCAACGAAAGAGTCATTGAAGTGGTAAAGGATGCAAGTGCCATCGCTAATTTACTTGAGTTCATGACCGGCATGTTGACAGAGGAAGTCATGAAAGCTATTGTCGATTACTCAATCATGACCTTAGAGGACTTCCCTTCTCTTTCAAAAATGAACCTCTCAAAATTCCCATCACCGAAGATGTCCTGATTTACAGCGAAGCGGATTCAAGGAGTACTCATGGTTCTGCTAGAGCAAAAGCGAGATCTCGACTACCAGGGGGTTTTTGAGGAACTCTGGAACGAGTGGAATTCGGCGTCCAGTTCAATCAAGCGCGAGACACTCTGCACCCTGCTAGGGTATTGCGATGTCGAGATCGCCGAGGGTATGGTCGCCAGCATTATGGCTACTCCTGACCCAGAGAAGGGAGGTAGGTTGATCGAGCTTCTTTACTTCGCCAGTGAAAACGACGTCCCGTTCTGCTCGGAGGCGATGGAGCTCATTTGCAGTATACAATCTGCGGAGGTCGACCAGTGGCCTTGGGGAAGCATGTACACCATCCCGGAATTTCAGAGGGGTTGGGAATACGGTGAAGAGGAATCCCAGATTGGATAAGGACTCGGTGGTGTCGCTTTCAAATCTTTTCGGCACCGAGCAATTGTCAGGATAAGCTTGGCTGAAGATGTTAAGGGGTGGGTGTATGTTTTCTTCGTCGTTTACATGTCCTTTGCATCTCAGAAAAACGATCATGACAAGAATCCTTTCTACGCAATATGTACGGTCAGATGTAGAGCCGTTAGTGGATTATGTGGCCTTATGTCTGTGACTATACCATCGATCATGATCCTCCGTGTGCACAGAAGACAAGATGGGAGAACGGAACTAGTCCGCGGCGAAACCAATATCAAGCTCAATCTTTCTGACTCCTAGCCTTCAGCTCCAATTTCCGGGGTTCCCTGCGATGAACAATCAAAACCCACATATTCAGATTCCTATAAACCACAATAAGAAACATAGTCCCCTTGTCGCAGACTTCAAAACCCCCAGGAAAAGCCAATCTAGATCAAATCTTCACACATAAGCCAGGAAGTTCAACACCTATGACTATTTAATGCCCCATCTACCCCCATATATAAAGTAATAAACGCCCCATCATACATACAGTAGAAGCCCTCAACACACGCGAGCGCAGCACGATGTCCCGGGGCCAGCATGAACACTATCTTCGTTCCGTATTCAACAGCCGCAACAAGAATGAGAAAGGCTTGCTGCGTGCTCTGCGGAGCCTGCAGGACCATGGCAGCGGCATGGTCTTTCGAGTACTTCATACTTTTGCTCAGAGTAGCCTTGAGGCAAGGAAGTACATACAGGACATGCATAGAGCACCCGAGCTTGCAGCGATTACGGCTACAGCTTAGTTCTATTAGCCAGTACTGTTATCCCGACTCGACGGCGACGGAAGGTAAGTTTATGACAGTGCTTAGCTTAAGACTGCCGTTAAAGATGGAGGAGCGGCCTCGAGGGTTCCGTGCATGCCATACCGCACGATTTGTGGTCTAAGAAGTCAGATGCGCGCCCAGCTTGCCAACAACCACATTCAAGCAGTCACTCATTCCAACGGCTGATCATTCTCTTGTAATTCACATTGTGATATTCTTCCAGCATAGGTCCATCATTAACACCGGCCAAGCAAGCGCAACCAGTTCTATCCATGCGTTCCAAATCCGAGGGTGAAACTCGCAGCGACAAGGAGCAGGCCCCATCCGGCTTCGACCGCCACTCACCCCTTCAATTGATAACCGTGACCATGCAAGAGCAATGCCACGACTGCCAATCCCTCCAACGCCAAGGCTCAACTCAAAAGCGCAACCGCTGCGCCCAGCAAGCAAAGCCATCCGCCGAACAAGACCAAGTGACCGACGAAGCGTGGGAGCTGATCCAACAAAGCGCCGGCAGCGCCCCAACTCGCGACGAACCGCTGATCCCAATCCTCCAAATCGAGTGGCAGGCATGGCCCTCGTGAACCTCGAACAGCACCTATGGCACCCGCTCAAGCGACAGGAACCCACCTCCCATCGCCCGTACCCCTGCGCGCCGTACTTCAGCTACCTAACGCGAGCGGACTGGCGAGGCCGCACGATCCGAACGTCCCCCATTCGAGCCGGGATCCGAGTCGACTACCACGCCATCGACACAGACGGCGACATGTCGGAGATTGATTTCTTCTATTTCGGTCTGATGTGTCGGATGACCTCGATGGATGTGGCGGAAGCGTATATCGGTCGCGTCGTGGAATTGGTGAACCAGGGCGTCGATCGGCGGAAGACCCATCAGCGGGCGAGGGAGGCGCTGAAGCCTCTGATTCCCGCGCCCCTGACGGACCATGAAATCGACGTCACTATCTCCAACGGCCTGGGCTGGCTGGCCCTGGTGCGCACGATCCGAGTGCTCGAGGTTTTGCTGCTGGATTACGAAGTGCACGCGTCTCTGGATTGGGTCGATGGTAAGCCCCTTCCCCCGCATGCTGGACGATGATAATCCGCGGCGGCGAGCAAGGGGTGGCCTTTCGCGAGCTTGTTGAGTCCCAACCGGGAGCTTAGGGAGCTTTGCTTGAGGATGGATGGGTTGCTCGATATGATTTTACGGTTGAAGGATTTGCCGGAGTCGCACGAGCAATTGTTCTTGGTGAGGGAGATTGAGAATCGCGTGCGATGGGTTTTGGTAAGTTCTGAGGCCGTCGATAGGCAGGAGTAGGCTCGAAAAAGAGAATAGGGGTACAGTGGAATGAAGGGGCCTGGGTACGGGCATGCAATTGACTTGGACATGGGCATGGGAGTAAAGATAGGACCAAGATCAAGGTTAGCAAATCTCTGTCACGGTGACTTTAGTTAGCTAGACTTCTGTCCTCCCCGTCGCGAATGGTATCTAATCATAAAACATAGTTCCAGGATCAATATGCGCTACGTCCGACCAATCATTCCTGCCTGCACATACTTGACAAACAACCAACCCAACCAAAAGTTCGTGTAGCCTAGCCAAAGGAGTTCCCAAGATCACTTTTCCAAATTATCCTGAAGCCCTCAGTGCAGAGAGATTGCCCGCGCCTTGGGTCCGCCACACTCATACGTCGCCATAACCGTGTGACCATCCAAGCCAAAAACGCCCGGCCAGTGACTCGACTCCCCACAGATCAATGTGGAGGAGTGGTCCCAGTCGATGTGGCCATTCTGCGGCGGGCGACCGAACACGGCCTTGATACAGGCGTTCTTGGTCCATTGCACCTCCTCATGGTCCTCGTCCGTCATGAACACAACGGCCAGCGTCCCGTCCGCAAACGAAGCGATCTGCGGCGCACCGGCATTATGGCGATGGCCATCGCGCGGCGCATAGACGACATGGCGGTCACCCCAGGTTTGGCCGTCATCGTAGGAGATGAGACCCTCAAGCTGCATGGGGCCCTTGGTGTTAGTCTCGAAGACCATGACGAGGGCGTCGCGGCCACGGGCCTGGTCGAAAGTCGGGGCGATGCCGTTCATGCCGTCACGACGGCAATCGTCGCTGCCGTGCAGACATACGGGGGCGGACCAGGTGCTGCCGTGGTCAGTCGAGCGCACCAGCATCGTGCACTGGTTGTTGTGCGCCAGCTCCTGCGAGTAGGTCAGCTGCACCTCGCGGCCGTCACGGCCCATCCGCATGAACGGCTCCCACACGCCCAGCCCATCCGCGCCGCTCTTCTCCGCCGCCTGCGACGCAAACTGCCAGGTGCGCCCGCCGTCCTGCGACCGGCACACTGTGATCCGGAAGTGCGTCGGCCGCCCGTCCGGCCCGTGGTCGTGGTTCCGGAACGCCCCGAGCACCACGTTCGGCGCCGCCTCCAGCAGGAACAGGTTGTCTGTGTCTCCCCTTCCCCGTGTCACTTCGCCGATGTCCTCGAACCGGTGCCCGTCTCGGCTGTGTGCTACCACCAGCGTGCGCTCGCCGTCGCCAGAGAACCGCGTGAAGCTCGACAGGAGGCTCCCGTCTGAGAGCCGCGTGAGGCGCGGGTATGTGCCGCTCGGGTGTGACGAGAGGAGTCGCTCGTCATTGTGGACTACGCGGCTGCGCTGCTGTGACTGTTGTTGGTGGTGGCCGTGGCCGTGGCCCTGAGGCGGGTAGCCCATTTGGTGCTGCGGCGGGCCGTAGTTCTGTTGCTGTGGGTTGGGGTAGTACCGCTGTTGGCCGTATTGTGGTTGACCGTATTGCTGTTGATCATATTGCTGCTGTCCATATTGCTGCTGACCGTACTGCTGCTGGCCGTATTGCTGCTGACCAGGGTATTGCTGTTGCGGAGGGTAGTATTGCTGCTGAGGGGGCTGCTGTTGCTGTTGCTGCTGCTGTGGCTGATCGTGGTGGTCGTGAAAACCAAGCTTGTTGAGGATCTTATGGCCGAAGTCAGGCATGATGGCTGTGAAGCTCAATGGATAGATTTGTCTAGTTGAGAATGAGGATGATGGTAAGATTTAAGTTGAGATGATGTTTGTTGACAGCATGTCGGGGAATTCGTGGCTTATAAAGGCGGGGCTGGATGACGTCACGCGGGGCCCCTGAAACACGGGGGCCGGACGCGCTATTTATAGTTAAAGGCGTTGCCTGATCTCCCATCACGGAAGAAAATGTTTGATTACTGACCAAGTTATAGGAGGGTTTGAATATTCACTGTCTACTGGTTGGTGTGGCAGTATTAGGGTTGAGGATTTAGATCCAGTCTTTCGGAGTAACACATTGGGGTTGGAACACATGTGCTACAAAGGCAACCGATATATCAAGAATGTATAGTCTCGTGATTAACTATCTCTCTGACCTCTGAAATGCCGATTAGAAAGAAGTCTGAGCTTAGCGCCTTCCAAATCGCCCTTGATTGGCTAACGGTCACCTGGGTATTTGTTTGTCCGATACGGGCAATGTAGCCTAAGTGCTATGAGTTTATGTACAGTATTCGTTGACACGGTTAGCGGCGCCGGAAACGGCGCCCATTGTACTGCCCGTCTGCCGCCCGCTACTGATGGACCGCTGGTCTATCCACGTGGCGGAGCTTATAGGCATCTCTTACGCGACTAGCGTAGTGTTCAAGATAGCTTACCAGCGCTCAAGATCCGGAGACAGACAACAGACAGCAATAATCCTGTGCGACAGCAGATCAGCGCTACAAGTGATCCATAGCACGAGAAATCGATCTGGGTAATGGATTGTCCACACAATCCTCCAGGCTGCCGCTGAAGTCCTAGCTATAGGAATCACCTTCCGTCTTTAATGGATGCCAGGGCATTGCAATAATCCTGGAAATGACAGTGCAGACCGCTTAGCTAAGGATGCCGCCAGTCCGGGTAAAACTCACCCTTTCGCCCCCTCCTTACCAGAGAGAGGGCACTCATTCACCGGAACACCCACACTCGGTGGGAGCAAGAGTGAAAATAAACCACCAAGGGTGGTCACTTACGAAAGATTGATAACACCCTACCAGCAACCTACACTAGGAGATCTACGGGACCCTACCGAGAAACCGGGCGTACCTCTTGACGCAGCTACGCACAGGTCACAACTGGTGGTCCAGCTGCCGCAAGGACATTGGCTATTGTGACGATGACTATTGCACATGCGGTGCGCAAGAAACAGTTACACACGTCCTAGTAGACTGCACAAGACTGAATGAATTGCAGAGGGAACTAAGGAGAGAGGTCAAGGACGCGTTTACCAGCGTGTCAAGTCCGCTGGGAGGCTCAAGAGAAGGTAAGAAAGGTGAACCAGACAGCGTGTCGCGGGCTAGGACGGTCGAGGCCGTGCTGGACTTCGCCGAGGCGTTACAGCGGTTTCGCAGTCGCACGCCACGAGGGCAGCCTAACAATAGGAACGGCAATTAGGCCACGAAAGGCCTTGACGAGGCTCTAAGTTTGTCTTCAGGAAGTAGAATACTCAACATGTACATATACGGGTATATATAGTTGATGTAGCCTGCATATCGTTCGCGAGGGGTCAGGGTAAATGATTTCACACATACACACACACACACACTATGTAATATGTTTGTTTACCGCACAATGAACAATAAAATGACGTAAGTGTTGTGGATACGGATTTACTAGCCTAATCCAATGGCTTGGGATATAGGTGGTAGTTTAGGTAGGTTGGTATAATCTTTTGCAAGAGGGCAGGGGGATACTAAGGTAATAGAGGACGCACGGACCTACAATTCACTCCAACTTGGCACTAGATACCCCGGGGTGTTAAGCTTGGCGTATACCCTGAGGGTATAACCCCCGTGGAGTAAGTATAGCGTAGGCCCTTGGTGGTGTAGGCCCTTAATAATGGAGGCTAATCTGGGTGAGTTAGTCTTAGGAAGGTGGAGACAGACTAGCCGTAGGAACTCAATTTGGGTTGTCATGAGTAAACACACTTCCAAGAGCTAGGTTGCATTTTCAAAGCAATATCTAGTTTGCCATAGCGGTCGCGAGACTATAGAGAAGGAGTAACACCAGACCAATAGTAAATCGTTTAGCAGAGATGCTAGATGGCGTTGGTTGTTGATTAGTCTTAGGTTAGGAAATTGCGGCCCAAGCTACAAACGGGCAGTGTCTCTTCCTCCCCACCTTTTCATCGCTGGTATTCACCCCACTAATGCCACGACAATGGCCTCAACCGAGAGATCCCAAATTCCTCTTCTCTCTCTCGCGTACCGCGACTACCTCGATAAAGTCTACTCCAGGCTCTTCAACAGACTCAGAGAGGTGGCCCACTTCAAGCGCGCAAAGACCGCAACTGCCACGCTCTAATCCCTCGCCGAGACTACCTTCAACAGAATCATTATAAAAGACGAAGGCCTTACCGAGTCCAAGCAAGAAACCCGAGACGTACTCAACAAATTAAAGCATACACTGAGAATGGTTGTCTATCTGGTCTCACATACAGTAATTCTGTATAGGACGTTCGCGCTATTAGCAGAGGGAGCCAAGGGGTTTGGCTAATATGTGGTAATACGTGTTGGTATATAAGTAAATCGTAGCGACACAAGCTCGCAAGGATGATGTGATAACAGGAATGTGCAACTGAGCGGGGCCGATGGACGAATAGGATTAGAAGTACTTTTGCTCTTCGTCTGGCAAGGAAAACCATCTGAACTGTCTCCCTATCCCGTGTCAATTACCTTAGACTATTCATTCTACTTCCAGAGTAGCAACTCAGAATCTAGATTGATGTCTCCAGCATCAGACCTTACAATTAAATGCGCTGAGAATATAGCCATCACTTCGCTATTTCACAATATCCCCCTTCCACCGTCTTCGAATCTACCCGACCGCTTACCAGAAGATCAATATGCCTTTTCTTTCGATCAGGAGCGCAAGGTAGCGGGTACCCTTGCTTTCCTTGCGCATATTCGAGGAAATGCCGATTTTATCCCCGCCGTTTGTATTGAAGAAGATCTAACAAAGGGCTCTCTAAACGTGATACTTGCTATCAACAAAGCTCGAGTTTCTGATGGAGACGATGTGTTGCGTTGTGCTCAGCAGGGTTTTGATGAGATCTTTGCACTCCTTGCCCGAGTGTCTACTGGTAGGTGAAATACCGCTGGCTTCTCTGGTTACTAATAGTGCCATGCCCAGATAATACCATTATCATAAAAAATCGGATCTTCCACGTTATAGTTTCAATGTGTTCACCTCGCATCCTTTCTCGATTACGGTTGGCGCCTTCCGGCCGGCAAAAAATGAAAAGGCCTTTCAAGGATACTCTTCAAGAGCTTACTATAGCTCTAACTCAAGTCAACCAACGCAAACTGGCAGATGAAAATATTTCAAAAGCCGTCAATTTATTAATAGACAGGGTTAAGGAGGCGAGAAAGCAAGTTGACTCATGGTTTCGATATCAAGTGACTGAACGGCTGTTAGAGCTCGTGGAGAGTATTCATCGGATTAAACAGCTCAAACTTCTTCAGTCCGTTGTCGGCATGATACCAAATATCTATATGAGCCCTACCTCCAGACAGAGCTTTCTCAACATCGTCAATAAAATATCGAGGTACTGGGAGGCTGCTCGGTTTTTGTACCGTACGGCCAAGAAGGTCCCCTTGGCTCGGAAGATGCGGACAGTGCCTGTCCGCCTGCCAAAAGAAGCGTTTATAATTCCATCTACGAGCCCATACACCCCAGATCTGCTCAAAAAAGTCACCGAGGCCAGTCCAAAAGGAAGACAACAAAAGCTTCTAGTAGAGATATGTCGCAAACTCGGTTTGAGTGAGCAGGAGGCGAAAGATAAATTCTCCCGGCAAGTAAAAAATACCTTGACACAAGCGAAAATCCATGCCGAGGTCCAGATTATCGCTTATTGCGAGTCCCGTTCGCAATTGGTTCTGCCACGAGTTATATGCTCCAGCAAAGACGCTTGTTTTCTCTGCAACTTGTTCATCAAAGAGTACGGGAAAATACATACTCCTCGTTCTCATGGAAGACTCTATCCCGGATGGCGGTTGCCTTGTCTGCCACAGATTGAAGAAGTTGAACGAAGGTTCTGCCAATCGCTACAGAACAACTTTATTGAAACTTGCACTTCACTTCTGTCTGGAAGACGGCAAATACTTCATCCGGAACCTATTGAAAGTACACTTTTCACCCTCCCTGGATCTGATTCGACTTTCTTAGCCACCACTTCAGTAGGAGGTGATTTGAAAGATGTCGGGCTGACACCACATGAGACTACATCCTTTCTTCCAGGACCGGACCGGGCCTCTGATTCAGGAAAGAGCAAAGTAAGCAACTACGAATGTCAGGTCATGAAATCAGTCAACAAATCAGTCACTGTGTCAAATCCTTCCGACATACCGGGCCCCTGCAGCCAGCAGGCAAGCTGTGAGCTTCAAAGCAGCTCAATCATACTTCAAGGTTCCGGAGTATTCGGGAATAGCGGTCCCAGCGGGAAGTCCAAACTGTATTCTGCTGGCCCTTTGGAGATCATCGTTGAGGGACTCACAGGTTCTAGGAGTGTTTCTTATCATATTGAATGGCTTGGCGAAGAAGAAGCAAACAAGACAAGAGAAGTGGGTTTCATTGTCGATATTGAAAACATTGACGAGATCACCCTTGATGGACACAATCCACTATATGTGACCGCCAGAGGAGCAATTTTAAGACTAAGTTGGACGAGCGAGAGACACTAATATGTCGAAATAGTAATTACAGTGATGATGTTCCATACGCTGACCCCTCGCAATGAGTTAGAACATTGGCTTGAGATACAAACTTGCTATAATATCATCAGCCTATGGAAAGAGAGATCTAACTTCCGTCTGTTTCATAACGCAGCATGAGCCTTTAAACACCAAACCGATATGAGATGGCCCTGTGATGCCTAGTAATGCCGTATATCTAGCTTGTAGTGTACGCCTTCTCCAACTCGTGACCGAATCCCATAAGCTCATGTGGTCCAATGTGCCTTTTGGTTTCTGTCTCTATGCGTCAAAAAATGGCAGTGTTGTTCTCAACTGCAACATTAATCGTGAAAGGTTCCAGTCCATTTTTTTGCTAGGCATCAGTTCGAAAGAGATAAAAGTTTCCGAATAATATTTTGATCAGTCAAAAGATCAATGAAGGGTCCGTCATACAAAGCGCGTAAAAGTGGTTCAAGTGGAGATTCTGGAAGGCGAGCAGCATTCTGAGCTATGTATATAAGGCCAGAATCTTTTGCTACCCTATTAGCAATTCTCGGTGAAGACCATAGTGGGGGGCTGCCCGGGACAGCAATGGTGGGAACAGATGCTTCCTTGACATCGCAGGTTGATACTGCATTAGCGGCGAGGTTGCATTATTACTCAGCGACAATAATGTACACGACGGCAGTTAACGATTAGGTGAGTGTGTTTAGTGGAACGTCGCGAAGGTCCTGGCTCTGCGTAGATAGCCAAATACCCCTCAACAGTTGTCCCTCGACCGGGGCTCCTCGTAGTGGGACTCTTCAGCCCGACAAAAAGTAGGTGCCCAACATGTAACATTAAGTTTTCTGTTCCTAATTGTAATTCGTTCATCTTATGTCCAGATAAACCACACAAGCGCTTAGACCCCTTAGAAAGTACGAAAGGGGGCTACTCCTTTTTTGATTGGACATCGACCCACAGTTATTGGAGTGACAGCGGGGTAGCCTTCCGGCGCAGATCGATCACCCTACGCGCATGACTACGAATTGCAGGAGCGTTTCGTAATACTGAGATATGCTGGGAGGAGCAAGTCAAGCTAACCCACGCCTCTAAAAGAGAGCCTAAGACATAAGAGACACGCATCTTCCTCCCAACTTTCATTGAAAACTGCCTCGCAGTGAAGATAACGCTTTTGAAGAAGCCAACGAATCAGAGTGTGAGTCTAATACCTATACTATTGTCTCTTTCTCGTTGCTGAAGTCATGTATCATTAGCCAAACCGAAATTAGTTTTGCGCCGGCCTTCCTGTTGGTACACCATGCCTTTATTGGATGATGTAGTGAAGACATTCCCACCGCGAGGAAATATGCAGCAGCATAGGCTATCGAAAGCCACGAATGTCTATTGCACTCGATGCAACTGTACAAAGACTGCGAAGCTTGTGACCACCATCGATGAGAAATGGGACGAACTATACTGCAATGCATGTTACGGCAACAATTTAGCAACAACAGAAACCGCGGGCTAAAGAGCGGTTTTTGGTAGACATTCCACCTGGTTGCTTCCTACGGGATAATACTACTACTACTCTACAAAAAGCTATGCACAGACACATTGGGCTATACAAATCTTGTTCGATACTGTTATCCATGCAGGGTTCTGTTTTTAGCCATTAATCACGTTGCTATACCCTGCAGAAGGGGTGCAGTCTTTTATCATTAGCTTGGTGCTATAGTGTACGACGATATAACTGAAAATAGACGGTCCGCAGAGACAAGGAATGAACACTGCTTGCGGATATTTCTTAATATCTTTCGAGCCCTCCCTCTCCAAAGCCATAATTTAATGTATACCATAATGTAGATAACGGTACATAAGTGGCGTGCTGATTACACCAGCAAGGGTATAAAGATCAATGATTATCTTTCTCGCTCTCAATCGAGACACCTCGAATCACTCTCTACTCTTCTGGAACGCTGTTTTCGACCAAGAATTCGATAGCTTTATCAAGGGTTGAGAAGCTTTGATGTTTAGCGCCTGGATAGCCGTTGACTAAAGACTTCGTCTCATCCCTAAGTTATGTCGTCAGCGGCGATGAATGCTTTAATTAGACCAGATCCTCTCCAGTCGTGGTATACCACTTACCAGGTCAGAAAAATGCCTGGGGCAGGAGAACGACCCTGAACAACAGCATAGTATCTTTGCGATGGCATGGGTAGAATTAAGTCTGGCACAGAATCTTTTAGTCTTAAGGCGAAAATAGATCGACCGAGCGATCGAAAGGATATCGAGACTTTTTAACCTTTAAATAAATTGTAGGGAATATCCCAATATGTACCATTGGGAGACAAAGCTGAAAGGATGTAGCGTGGCACACAAGGCTTGATTTCAGGATTCTTAAAATTTAAGGATCCGAAGAGTTGTTTGTCTGTGCGGCCAATGGCCAAGTTACACATCAGAGGCCTTGTGACTCCTTTGAACAAACAACCGTGCGCTCAGCTTCGGGAATGAGGGGTTTGAGACTCATTACACAATCAAAATTCCCTGACATAGTTGTGTTCTTTATGACCTTGGCATCCATCGTTTCTTAGCAACTTTAGTCTGCTTTTTCTGACGTTCGTGCAAATCACACCATTAAGGTTCAACACAATGATCTCAATAGCCGACATATCTGAAGCAAGTGCGACAGAGTTTGTGAAATCGTACGTGAAACTCCAATCTTAAAAATGGCATGTCTAAAGGCTTCCATTTCCAGCGTACTTTCACTATATCACGGTCCCTGCGTCAAGATTCGAATTAATCCTGGCAACAATGAATACACGGTTTCGAAACAACTTCTCTGCAGAGATTCCGAATATTTCCAAGCAATGTTCACAGGTGAATTCAAGGAGAAACAAGAGCAGACAGCCATCCTGGAAGAGGTTGAAGGTGTCGTCTCAGCGCAAAGTCTCGAAGCACTCTTGCAGTGGATATACATCCGCCGGGTTAAATTTAATGTGGAAGTGCCGGAAGACCAAATTTCAGCTGCAATAGAACTCGCAAGGTTCGCAGATATGTGCACCGTCGCCTGTTTAGAATTCCAAATGGCCCAACAGATCAAGGAAATCCTTAAAACCAACCCGCATCCCAAGCCTGTTACAGGGAAATATGTCAATAGAAATACCTATTGTCTCACAACTGAGCATATCAGATCGGCAACCTTCTTGCCTGAAGGGCATGCGGTGCGTCAGGTTTTAGCTGCAGCCTCGGCTGAGGGATTTTTTCGAGACAAGAACCACAAATTCAAGGAAGAGGTCCAGGCATATCCCACGTTTGGAGCTGACGTCCTTCAAGAAGTGAGAAAAGCACTGGATACGCTCAACGTCGTTGACTACGGGGCTACCGTTGAAGGTTCTATAAGCGGGGAAAGAGTAAGGATCAATTGGGTTTATGATTATTGATATGACTGTAAATAGCATGAGTTATTTACCTGGTGGAGGGGGCCAGCGGGGGTGTCATATCTTGATGATTTTCCCCAATTTATGCGAATCGGGCTCGTGCTGCTGTTGCAGGGGCAAGGCTCGAGCGGAATCATCTTATTTACAGCGGAGATGTTGACAGGGAGGATGGATCAAACCATCTTATTTTGGCGCTTTGCGGGTTTGAGGGAGGGATCCAGTCTCATGAAGATTATGATAGTTAGCAGGAGAAGTTAAATTGGATATTCAGATGATTCAGCTCTATTTTTGGACTACAAGTAAACGAAGAAAAAGTAATGTCGTCGGTCATTAGTAGTAGAGTACATCAAGATACGAGACGGATCAACAGTACCACAAAGCAGTATATATTTCATGGTCGTGATCAATGGCCAGAAGAGAGCCTGCAGTCCTCGGGCTATTGAGACTATATGCCGTTAATGTAGCTTAGCCAGGCAACTCCGCGAAAGGAGCTATTCCTGTCTTTTCTGCCTCTAGCAGAATTGTGTCGATATCGGGTTCGGAGAAGTTATCGCTATCTGATATGGCCTCGGCAGCCGATGCCATTTTGTGTGGCATAGCGTTAACACAATCTGCAAGTTTTGCACCAGCCTCTCTATAACAGTTGTCTACTTCTGTTTTAGCATCCTGCATTGCCGTTTGCTTGAGCCGGGCCTGCTCTGTCGAGATTCGTTCAAGTCGTGTCTGCAACTTGTCCGACAAGGCATGTTTCCGTGACCAAGTTTCCTTGATGATGGCTTGGAAGTCCGACTGGAGACTCTGAAAATGTTGAAGAACAGTTGCATCCCGATGCATCGTGGCCAGACCTATCCCAGCTTCCAGGCTCCGAAAGACCGATTCAAAGTCCTGTGGTCGGCGATGAACTGCAGAGTGACGAACGTTGGCACAGGTATTGAGGATATCTCTTCTTTTTTCTTCTTGAACCGCTGCTAATAGTGATGATAAATCGTCCGGACAATTTAAGATAACGCGGCACCAGGAATGCAATTCCAGTGACTTTGGCTCAATCCAGCCATGCTTCTCTAGAAGTTGTTGACATTGACAATGTTTGGCCCCAAAGTTTTCGCACATTTCTTCTAGGATGCACTGCAGATAGGAGAGCAATAAATGTTGGTCTTTGAGTGGAAGACTGATGGAGTCTGTTGACAACCCGCTCGAGATTGCAATTTAGCCAGCTTCACTTTCAAAGATTTGTATTTCATACCCTGATGGACTCTGCCGGGCTCTTGTAAGTTCCGATGACCGCGCTCCTATGCTACCTCGTTGTGTTCGTGACGCGCCCTGGTCCCATTTTTGTTGTTTTTCTTTGTCATATTTGGTCATGTTCATCAGAGAAACTGATCAGGATTTTCATATAATTTAAAAGCCAAAGCAAAATTATCAAGGAGAACTAGTCCTGCAAAACGCGTCTGGCCATGTGGGTTTTCCCTACGTCCCGCGACCGCTGGACGACCGCGTTCCAAGAAGAAATGTGTACCTGATTCGACGCATACTCTCTATCTGATATCCAAGAACGGCAAGAATTGCAAGTAGAAGGCCTGAAAGAATCCGTCTCACATCTCCTGGACATTCTCGAGAGCGAGATACAACCGCTCGATGGGAAGGCAAGCCACGTTTATCTGGGAGGCATCAGCCAGAGCATGGCCGTGGCCTTGTGGACAGTATTCTGCGCGACGAACAGGATCAACCAACTGCTAGGCGGTCTGTTAGGCTTTTGCGGATGGCTGCCCTTCGCCCATCAAGCCGAAGAACTGATCGAACGGGTCAACGGAGGAGAGGCTCATGAGGATGTAACCTGAAAAGCCTCGCATGTACCCGAAAAGCCTCGCATGCAGCGCCTCATATCTGATTGCTTTCTGGAGAAGATTGGTGGGGCTGGGTCGCCGCCGACAACGGGTGCTGGAGATGGGACCTTGCCCATCTTGATGACGCCGGTCTTGTTAGGTCATGGGACGGATGATGCCTATGTACCCGTGGAACTGGGGCAGCAAGCCTTCAGGGTTGTGCAACAGGTTATGGGTCGTGTTGAATGGACCGAGTTCTCGGGGGCGGACGGAGAAGGACACTGGATCATTGAGCTGAGGGTTTGACCAGATTTTTCAGTTCCTTCAGGCGAGTTCGAAGGGAGCTTAGGCAATTCAGCTACGGCGTGAGGAGGGTTATCCGTGAGAGGAGAACCTAAGAAGCCTGGGACCGCCCTTCAGTGCCACCTATGTCTTTGTATGTCAGGATGGATGTCTATGGTAGCAAGGCTGGAGCTTTGAAAGGACATGAGGACGTGAAAATTTCTATCGGCAGACTAAGGGAAAAAGAGGTGAGCACCGATACGCAGAGAAAAGTCGTTCGAGGACAGCTTCTACAATGTTCAGTGCACCAGGGACAATGATAACCAAATAACTATGCCTTGTAGTACTCCGTAGTTCGTGCATTTATGTCTCTGTAAGCGATCAACCCTGAAACCAACAATGGAGCTGGCGCACTACGGCAAACCTGAGACGAACCCCTCTCGTCATCAGCGAGTCATGCATGGCAGCTGGCGCAAATACCGGGTCAGGGACCGGATATGCAGTTCCAAGGTTGGCGCAGGTTGACAGATCAGCCCCTCCGCTGCCGACCATCACCGCCGACAGAAGGAGCAGATCGTGGGAGAAGGACGAAAGGGGAAAGATGATGACAACACCTGGCTAGCGAGGAGGGGTCCTCTTGGCACTTGGCAGCGGGGTCGAGCTGACTAAGACCAATAGGGCGATCTTGCCTCTTCGGGATGAGAAAGTTTAAGCTCGCCGAGCGGCAAACCCCCGGCTGGTTTCCCGCCGCATCGAATGATTGGTGGACAAGTGCCAGCCCAGAGCGGAGAGAGCCCACCCAGGCGGGGCGGACACTGGGTACTAAGCGGCCACTATTGGCTGGGGAAGGAACCTAGATGTAACTTGGCTGGGCTGGCAGAGTTTGAAAGCCATGAGGCAATGCGTGGCCAGCTCCGGTGACTCAAAGGCCACTCCTGCTATTTCCCTGCTGTCTGACCGACTGGTCGACACATTTTTGTTTTGTTTATCGCCAGTTCACCTCTTCCATTCGCCCTCCTGGAAGCTAAACTAGCTATCTGCCAGCCATCTGTACCTTAATTTTGTACCGGGTGTTCAGTGGATATTCTGGTCTCGGACGATCCCGCCTTGCCGCTTTCGGAAAAAATCGGCAACCCTCCCCCCCAGGTCGTTCGGTTTTTCTTTCATCCTTAATTCCTTGCTCGCTCCCCTCGGCTCGACCGGAGAGCTGAAGAGCAGAGTTGAGTCTTGCTCACCTACTCTCCCCCTCCACAACACCGCACGATGATCTCGCAACCCACGGCGGTGGTCTCGGAGGACCACGGCGCTGCTGATTTGGATCGCGCTCCTCAGTACGACGCCGCCTTGAACGACAAGGAGGAGAAGCAGGAGGATCGGAAGGGCAGTCCCATCTATCAGGACACCTTTGGTGATGAGGAGTATGCCGAGGTCAAGTACAAGGTGCTCAGCTGGTGGTATGTTGCATCGTTCCTGTTTGGATGCTGTTCCGAATGACTGATTAACTGACTCTCTGCAAAGGCAATGTGGTTTCCGTGAGTTCTGACCACTGCGCTTGGTCTGCCCATTACTAATTTGATAGTCATGGTTGCCGAAACCGTGTCCCTAGGAATTCTCTCGCTTCCCGCCGTCGTGGGAGTCTTGGGCTTAGTTCCGTATGTCTTGTTGTTCTGTAATTGCTTGAATCGTCAACTAACTGGCCCAGCGCCATTATTCTCCTCCTGGGACTGGGTCTCTTGGCCACCTATACCGGCTACACCATCGGCCAGTTCAGATGGGCCTACCCGCACATCCAAAACATGGCCGATGCGGGTGAGGTCCTGTTTGGGAGTTTCGGCCGTGAGTTCTTCGGCACCGGCCAGCTGCTCCTGGTGGTGTTCATCATGGCAAGTCATATCTTGACTTTCACTGTGGCCATGAACACGATCACCGAGCATGGCACGTGCACGATCGTGTTTGGTGTTGTTGGCATGGTCATCTCTTTCTTCTTGGCTCTGCCGCGGACATCGGCCAACGTCTCCTACTTGTCGGTGGTTTGTAAGTTATCTGACGACTCTCCGCATCAGCATCAGCTTCCTGACTGTGCCGACAGCCTTCATCAGTGTCTTTGCTGCCGTCATGATTGTTATGATTGCTGTCGGCATCCAGCGTCCATACAAGGGCGCCCTCGAAGTCACGGCTGACACGAGCCTGTACAAGGCCTTCCTTGCCGTGTGCAACATCGTCTTCTCTTTCTGTATGTCCCTTATGAATAAGTGTGTTTTGGGTCTATGCTCACAATCGGTAGCTGGTCACGTGGCCTTTTTCGGCTTCATGTCCGAACTCAAGGACCCTCGCGATTATCCCAAATCACTGTGTCTGCTGCAAGGCATCGATACGGTTTTGTATATTGTCACCGCTGTGGTGATTTATGTCTTTGCCGGCCCCAATGTTACCTCCCCGGCCCTGGGTTCAGCCGGCCCCATGATTGCCAAGATTGCTTACGGCATCGCTCTACCAACTGTAAGTCTCAGTGCCTCACCAATACTGCCCAGCAGCTTCTAACGTGAGATAGATCATCATTGGTGGTGTCGTAAATGGCCACGTGGCTTGCAAGTTCGTCTACGTACGGATCTTCCGCAATAGCGACCGCATGCACAGCCGCGATTTTGTGGCCACCGGCTCCTGGGTTGTTCTGATGCTGGTCCTGTGGATCGTTGCCTGGGTCATTGCCGAGGCAATTCCGGTCTTCAACGACTTGCTCAGTCTGATTGTGAGTCCATCCCGTCTAAGTGAGATGCACCTTGCTAATTCCATCCCAGGCCTCTCTTTTCGCCAGCTGGTTTACATGTAAGCATATTCAACCCAGCCTATCACCAGTACACCCCGATACTAACATAACACAGTCGGATTCAGCGGCATGTTCTGGCTGTACCTCAACAAGGATCGCCTGTTCTCGACCCCGAGCAAGATTGCGTTGACAATCCTCAACGCCTTGATCGTTGGTATCGCCGCCTGTGTGGTAAGTCCTGGTCATTCGTTCGCTCCATACTGTCAACTAACCCCAATCTCAGTGTGGCCTTGGATTATACGTCTCCGGACGCTCGCTGCACGACGACGCAAATGGCTCGAGTTTCTCGTGTGCGAGCAATGCGTGACCGGTAGGGGTTGTACATTACCGATGTGGGATTTTTGCATATATTTGCATGTTTTGTATAATATTTTTTTGGCCGGTGTCGTCACATACCTGGGCATCTTCTAGCTATAAATATTGCATCTAGAGTTCGTCTATATTTCCGAGTTTTACACAGACAATGAAGGATATATCCATAGCGGCTTTCGCGCCAAGCCTCCGCCACAATTCGGCTCCGCCTGTATAGCACGTCGATCACGTGCGCCGAAGGCAACTTTGTCTATCGAGCAGGATTAGTGTCAGGATGCCCAGGTCTGTCAGCTAGAGATCCAGTTCAAATACACTAAATTCACTTAATGCTAACGCGGAATTTGCCACCAAGCGCTGAATGAATCAATGTCGATCTGATATTCGAAGGTTTTTATGGCTCTGCACTTTGAAAATCCGACAGGATATACATGGCAACCACACTCCTTTTCAGAAACCATGCCCTCATCTTCTACCTTGGGGGTAACTAGATGAGAATCCGCCTTACCTCACGCACGCAGCCAGTCTCCAAACTCCGCATCTTTATTGTGTACCGAGGTGGGGTGAGATTCGTTGACCGCTATAGCCTTTAAGTTATGGAGAGGATATGAGGATGGGATAAAGTATTTCAAGGGACAGGTGCAGACACAGTGACTCCGCAGGTTGCTGAGACTTATTGACTTTTGCTCTCAGGATTCAAGGTTTGGGAAAGAACTGACTGCATCATCGACTGGCTTCCTGATGCATCAGATATTAGGTTGTTTATTGTTACACCTCAGAACAGTCTAGCTCCCTGCCAGAGCTATTTCTTCAAAAGGACCTCACCAAAAAAAAAATACAAGCAGACAGAGAAAGAAAGGCACACCACGATGTCTATGAATAAACACTCTGAACCACCGCTTGACCCACGCCTAACAGACAACTCATCAACTACTCCAACCTCAACCAATACCGGCTCTCCTGCTTGCGATCCGCGGGAATCACGTCCGGAACTCCAGCCCCCTCAGTCTGCCACCCTGCTACCCGCGACGCAGTATCGTCTGGCGAATCCTCGTCCGAATCGTGTTTCATCCCCCGCTCCTTCCGCACCTCATCAAATTTGTGCGCGGTTTTCCGGTCCTCCATGGGTTCGGATTCTTCCGAGGCCGCTCCTGCGCGCGGGACGCTGTTGACTGAGGAATGCCCCGAGAGGAAGTTCGGGATATCCGTCATGGCTTGGGAATGGTTTGATCTACGGATGCCTCGAGATTTGTGTCTTTGGAGAAGATATAATCTTGTGAATTAGATATGCTGATGGAGCGATGCACAAGTTGCACCTGGGGTAGGGATCAACAGACGTTAAATATACCACAGAGGCGAGACAGAGAACTTTTGCATCATTGACAGGTCATAGATCTAGGCCGACGCCACTGGACTGGGTTTAACTTCCATGCGATCAGAGCCAAGGAAAGCCCTGTTCAAGCAGGGCAACACGAAAGGCTATTGGAACCCCACAATTGGCGCATGCCACGCGCCATATGACAGGTCGGCTGTTGCTATGATGGCTAGAATAGAGGGAAAACATCGGTGGCGGCTGATAAGCTTAAATCCGGGCGCATGATTGGGTCTCGAACCTCACTTAGTCTGCGGGCAGTAATATCGAACAGTGGAAATTTATCTCTGTAACTATTCCACCATCCCTGAATGAAAAGCACTCACCTATTTTTCTTCATATAATCATGTTCTTATATAACTATATGCTACGCCGGCTTTATTCTTGATGTTTGGAAAAATCTTGTCTGGGGTTTTCAGGTTCCCGTTACGTTTTAGCTCAATATAAAAGTACAATAAGATAACAGATTATCTCTCAAGGCCAGCACGTGTATTTACTAGGTTCTTAGTGGTGTTAAAGAACCGGCGCGGTTTTTGAAATCTATACTATAAGGAGCAGGACTCTCTTCATCATGCAGCTATGTGCAGGGTGTGGATTGGTACGACTGCATAAAATATACATAAACTCATTTGTATGCCATGAATACAGGCTCACGGCGGAAAGGAGTCTTTTGAACGTGGCAGGCTCGCATAGTTATCTCAGGCTTAAAGTGAGGACCGTAGTGGTGACGTTGGCTGTCAAGGTGCTTCTGCCGCAGTACATTAGTGAATGACGACTGAGCAGACAATTGAATCCGGAAAATGAAGGAGATGGAAAGAAGGCTAAGCGAACTGCCGGAAGCAGAATCATGGCTAATTCTGGCGGAGGGCGTTGGTGTTGGAACTGGAAAGGCGCTGACAGAATAGCCCACAATCATCAATAAACTGATAGGCTTTGAATGATGGCTGTCACAATCTGGTAGGTCCTTCATGGCTCTCCTGTCTCCGGAGAGCTTCCGAGGCGAAACTTCATTCGAGGTGAAGGAAAAGGAGATAGGGATGCTTGAATTGGAGATTTGGAAACTGCACTCGTCCTTCATGAAACTATTCTCTGAATGCCAATAACTGCTTTCTCCAGTAACTAAGTCAAGGTCTCAATTTGCCAAGAGAGTCAAGAAGTGATCCATGCACCCAAGACATGCCTTAGTTCACACCTCCAAGATATGTTCTCTATCGCCATCAAATCAACCGCATGAGGAAGGGCGATGTAGCACAGACTCTTTCTTGAAAAGCTTGTATCATACATACTCCAGCAGGTGCATCACGTCCAAAACTTACTGTGAGAGCGCGATAAGCAATGCAGAGCCCGTCATTAGAATAGAAGTCTGCAATTCTACAGGAAGTGCCGTTCATACATCACTCAGTGCACGAGCGCAGAGTTGCTGTATGAGTACGCCCGACCTCATACTTCGCCTTGTTTGATTTGCCATACGTTGTCCCTGGTATATTATCTGTTAGCGTAGGAGTCTAACTTTAGTCAAGTTCAAGGGAGGGTGAATTGTCAGTACACTTGGCATAAGTAATCCTAAAATCGCATCGCCGATTTCGATGTTTCGGTACAGCGCATTGCCAGAAGGCGAGAAGGTCTTGTCTCTTTATGTTATTAAGAAATATGCTACGACAGAAGACCCTCTGCAAGCCTCTCTCTCTTGTTTACTTTCAAGTCTATGAGTTTTTGATGGAAGGGGATTGTAGTAAAAAACCTTCAAATTTGTTCCAAGGTATCAGAAGTCGATTGTGTTACTAATTGGTCAAGTATTGGAGAAAAAGATCTTCCATAGTATGCTTCCGCAAATTATCAGCTGGTATCTGGTCAACGATTATTCTGGGGGAGCACTGGTGTATAATCCACTAATTACAAATTGGCAGTAAAACTTCACTTTTGATGAATACTCAAGTTGTATTAAGAGGTGACAGAAAGTGGTTGAATTAAGGTTGTATTTTTAGCCAGTGGCATCCGAAATGAATGCATCCACAACCGGTTACTTCCATAGCGAAAACCGTTGCATCCAAAGCCGGAGACACCCGTACCAAAGACGTCATATTCTATCTTTCCGATACGCCTTTTTTGATATATGACACGACGGATAGCCCCATATTTCATCCTTTATTAGAAGCCCCTCTCGATTATCCTTCTTGACACGCTTTCTGAGGATTTTCCAGGTCTAAGATTTCATATCCATCATTTAGACACTATTTTCTTTTCTCTCTTTTTTCCCCCCCCCCCCCCCCTTCCTTACTCGTCGGTCCGTGTACTGTACAAGATATATTTCAAATCGTGAGTGCATTAATAATTCTAATAGTCTTCATAAGCTAGTACTATCTAAATTCAAGCACATACGACCACAGGGTGTGGAAAACAGGGCTTCCCGTCCGCTCAGCTGTACTTAAGCCACACGCCGGGAGGTTAGTAGTTGGGTGGGTGACCACCAGCGAATCCCTTCTGTTGTATGTTTTTGCTCATATGGTTTTGAAAGTGCTTGAGTCAGGTATCCTCGCCGCTCTGTTTCCACCCGTTGAGCAGTGTGGATAGGGCAGCAATAAAGTAGAAGCCGTCGGACGTGCTTTTGTAGCGGACAGGGCTTCGAAGGTATCTTAGTGCTTTACTTCGAGTTCACCGCCACTAAGCGAACGCAGTATCTTCGAGGATGACCGCCAGAAGACAGCCCTGGTGCTACGCCACTGTCGATCTTGTAGCTTCTTGTCTACATGATCTGTCTTATACAAGCCAGAAGAGCTGAGAGGCACAGGTTCATGTCCCATCAGCCAGAGCTTTCTCTGAAAGAACCTTTGTTCGAGTAACATAATCAATGGAATGTTGTCAATGAGTCTGAAAATTCGGAAGTCTATACCCCTCGTTCTGCGTACAGGTCATATAGTGGCTGTACGGGTCTACACTGCCTTACCACGTTGGATCCATCTATGAACTCACTACCATCTTCCCCTTGTATTGGCTTTTCAATTGAACCATCCGCGAAACATAGAATCGCCTGTGAGACATAAAATTAGCGGCTCGAAGAAGGCAGTAAGGAAGAGAACTGATTGGGCGTAGCTACCTTGACCAAGTAATCCATACAGTGTGGCCAGTGACCATCGTCATGCCAATCCATACCTATAGCTTTACCCTCACTCGCAGATTGAAGGGCTTTGCGGATCGCTGTGAGGCAGTGTAGTTGATGGAACCTGTTAGAAGCCATCAGTAAGTACTCAGGACCGCTTTTCCCAGTCGCGCAAAACGAAAAAGGCAGTCAATATGGTTGACATTGACTCACATACTGATACCTCCTTGCTTCTCCTTGTTTCCATCCTCTGAGATATATATTAGGCCACCCGTTGACTTGTTCAGTGATAAGTCTGCCCATAGCTGATCATAAGAATGATCAAGTGACTGAAACGCTTTATCTTGAGTGAATGTCGTGGCGAATGTGTCCTCAGTGTTATGCGTGGCTACACACGACCTGGAATCAAGTTGTATCATTGTAAGAGGCAAATTTAGCAAGCTCAGAATCAGAATGATCAAGAGAATCGTGACCTTGGTGGTAGGATGCAGAAGGAAATGGGCAATGAAGGTAGAGTGATTATCCATTTGGTGGCCGGTTTCGGGTTCTGGTGACTTCTCTTCCGAGGGCTGGCGCGAGAGAAGACGGTAACTCATATCTGTGGATAGCAAAGATAAAGAACATTTAGTGTATTTTGAGAAGGTCTGCTTATGGGCCAATAATGCCTCTAGTGTTATATACCTTTCCAACTGTAAGGTTGAACTATAGCACATGTATATGTCCTTAAGGAATAGTGACTAGGGAGGCGGCCCTGGAGTTTCTCGATAAACCCATAGTAAGGGGCTCAGATCCATTCCCCACATCTCGAAAATGTAACAAAAACCCTCAAAACTTAGAGATAATAAAACACATTATCACGGTGATATCAAATAGCAACATTCCAAGGAGCGCAGAGCACTGCTTGACCTCACGGTTGGTACATTCAAGTATGCCCCCTTTGAGATATACCTTCTGTATCCAGGTACACGGGGGCTTATGATTCAGAATCAGAATATGTACAGCTAAACAGTATCAAATGTTCTTCCACACTATTCCACGCGCTATGACCATCTCGTTATCCCTCGAAGACCAAAAGTGCAAAAAATATGGATGCTACTGATTTTGTCCGAAGAAGTTCCTATGCCGGAAAGGTGGTATATCTGACTGCAATGTCTCTACTATAGTATAAATCAGATAATTGAGACGCAATATGTCAACGATCTTTGGCATATGGCGCTGATACAGTTCCGAACATATTACTTTGATCAGATTAGCCCTACAAAACATCTGGGAATTGAGGTAATCGAGTTTACTCCATCAAGGCTTTAGCTTATGCTGTCAAGGGTCGAAACAAGAGAATTATACTCGATAACATTTCACCTTGACTCCTTACACATGTCTGCTTGATTTCAGGAGTTGGGAAGTATAAATGTTCTTTCAAGCTGATCTTCAGACAAAGAAGGATGCATGCCAAGTCTACGGTTACATGACCATCCCTTCTTCCCGGACTCGGCTTTCCTTTGTTCTCAACCCCCCCAGCAGAATTGTCAGTTTTGCTCAATTTAACTTTCTTTGTTGCCGCATCCTTAATTCCCGATTCGGCAGAATTGTCAATCCCGTTCGTTCTTACTTCCTTTGTTGCTCCATTCTCAATTGCCCCTCCCCTAGCTCTTGTGGTAAACTTTCATGAGGTAAGGAACCGTACAAAGGCTAGAACCAGTAATGGTTCAACTTGACGCGGAAATGCCACAGTTTTCTGTATACCTGCGGGGGCCCGGCTACGGAAATAGACTGTCAAATGATGTCGAAATATTCTGCGGGTAGCTCTTTGAGAAGAGTATCTGCAAGAATATGACGAGCTCAAACGAGCGGCGAGTTGGATCCAAAACAAAATGGAAGAGCCGAAGAAGAATCCTTCCCTTCTAACCGTGAACAAGATTTATCTCCTCAGGACCGACCGCTATAGCTTCAAAATATAAGAGCGATTCGAATGGTATATGGACCTTCGCAGACAATTAAACATACGAAAGAATTGATACTCTGGTATTATCAATAGACTGTATTGAGATCTCGGCAAAGATGTGATCGTTTGTTCTTATCTTGTAAGGATATAATTGTTGCAACCCGTTGCAGTTCCTTTCGCGAAAGCTTAGACCTATCATGAGAAAGTGATAAGATGTACATTATGATTAGATTTACTTCGCCGGTTAGTCAATGGATATGACAGATGATTTACTACCTTCCACGGAGGGACGCCTTTTCAAAAGCTTCGCGAGAGATACGATCAGCGATCCTATATTAACAGACATCGTGCCTACATTAAGCCTGGCGTAAGCTCAACATCACAGCGCTTAATGCATGTTGAATCGGAGAGAAAATACCAATTTATTGCATTAACAACTAACACGAACTGCATTCTTGTGCGATTATCACAACAGAGACAACTCATAAAATCCTTTGAGACTCCTTGCCAGGACATGGGCATGCCTCCGAAGGTATAGCGGGCAAGGAGAAGCAAAGCAGTCATCAAGCGAAAAGACTCAAAACATGTATGCTACATACATCAGAGTCCCCAAATGTAGGCATTAAGCACCTGATACCGGTATTGACGTTTATTCCACCTGCGGTCCTTGATGTCAATATCTATCAACATCGGATCTTCGAACCATTCGTCCAGTGGGACTTTGAAGCCCCGGGTTTTAGTACAACAGACGCAGGTAGACAAGCAGTGACCGTAGTAAGACTTTGCGAGGACGGCGCATCTTGCCCTCGCACAGCAGCCGCAAGCTCTAGCACAACATCCGCCTTTAGCGGCACACTGGGCTCGCTGCCATTCGGAAAGGTGCCAGCCTGGTTGGCTATGAGTCAAAAGGTAGGCTCGCTTCAAGGGTCCGTCCATTAGAGAGGCAAGGATAGATTGCCTTTCCTGCTCCCCGTACCAAACAGCCTCTTCATACTCATCCACTTTGTGTTTCTGTTTTTCTTTGTCATCTGATACTGAAGAGGCCAATTTTCGTTGAGATTGCTCCAGGACGTGTGTCATAGCATAGAACAGGACTCTCTGATCAACTTTGAGAAGATTCTCCATTAATTTCCAGTGGTATCCATAAGGTGTTTTGAAATAGGTCTGTTTCCGGCGGAGTCGCTGGGCTTGTCGCCATCTTCCCTTACGCTCGAGCAGGTTCGCCAGAGCCATGAGGGGGCGCTCTGCTGCACCAGTTGCCAAGTTGATGGCGGCATAAGGGACAAAGTTCAACAAGGTCACCTCCATCTCGAATGTGTCTGAGAACGTATTCGGGCTCGAGAGAACTTATAGGTATGGATTTGGAAAATATTGGTTATTGTTTGTAACTAAATCATTTGAGAGCTCAAGAAGATACTGCAGAGAAAGATCGGAAGGTGGGGGTCTTCTGGTCTGGTCGGCTGAAACAGTCAATCGCCGCAAACTTCCGGTATCATCGTCATCATTACTATATCCACATTCACCGCATTATGTGCACAATTGTCTTGGGAGCTTGCGAGGCTGATATCGTGGGTCGCTGTGTCCTTGGCTTAAAAATCTCTCCCATGTGTCTCTTTTTTGCATTATTGAAATTCAATACCAAAGGACCCTCTCGCCGAGCACTCACCTGCACTTCTTCTTTCCCTAAAAGGGAAACTTCAAGCTTCGATGAGTTAGACTTGGCTCTCATTCTAGCAAAGCTTAATCAAATGCTTGTACTAAGATAACCACACAGCCTAACGGCGCTCCTTCTCATCCATGAAGCACTCTACTCCTCTAAAATGAAGAGTTAGGTAACTGTTGGACATTGCTCCTTCTCTAGATGATGATAGCATGCAGGCGTCCCTTAATTAGACTTACAGCACACGAATCCTCTTCATCTTCTGTAAATAATCCTACGTCAAATAGAATCTAATTACGTCTCAGCTTTTAATTTGCATCGAATTCAAGACAATGTCTGCTTCCACTCCTACCCCCCAACCAACACCCAGCGCTATTGCTGGTAAACCTGTGACCTTTTGGACCACGCTTGGGCCAACGGCCATTATGACAATCATCGGTTTTGGCCTCGGCCTTGTCACATTTATTGTCGGACTCCTGGGATGGTATTGTTTCATAAAGAAGAAGACACAACTTGAGCGTCGGTATGTCTATATGTCTGTTTGACCGTCTCTTTTCAATTGTCTCTGTTCAAGTAGGTGTAGGATAATAATTCTGAGATTCTTTTCTAGTTACGCACTACCAAACATTACGTACAATGTAACCGATAGTCACGACCTGGAGGCTGTGCTGAATATGTTACGCCTTCCGCCATCTTTGCCGGCACCCATGCCGGTTGATAGATCATGTAATAGCCATCATGACTCAAATGAAGAAGTATATGAATTAACATGTGATTTAGCTCTAAGCCGCTGGCAGCGGACCAAGCTTTGGTTTCGTCGGGCGCCTGCGCCTGCCCCTATATTCCGGCTTCGCCCCCTTGAGCCATCAAAGGCCGCATTCGATGGACGTGGCCCTTGGATCTTGGACCGGCCCCTAGTTCGACGAGTCAGCCCTAAGCCTATCGCGACGCGTCGCACACGCTCCGTTTAAATGGTCGAGGAGGGCGTCGTGTAACCTTCACAACTCCGTCTGTCTTTTTTTCTCTCTTCGTGTCTGTTGCCTGTTGTCTGATGTGTTTGTTGTGCTAGGTGTTTTGGGTTCCGTGTCGTGTTTGTGTGTTGTTTTCAGTATACACTATAGTTTGTATAAATTAAACCCGACTTTCTAATCACTGTTTGATGTTTCTGTAGACCTTTATATTACTGGCACGCACTGGGAAACTACAGTAAGCCGCGAAGACCACGAGTTGAGGCAGATTAGCCGACAATATGGACTATAGGTTTGGAATTCAAATAGACGGACCGAAGCCACTTCCTCGGATAAACTGGGTTTCTCGGGTAATACAAGGTGAGCTAAAGAAGATTTCTGGAATCGGGAATCCTCACCCGATGCCGAGAGGACGCCGAGTCGAGTCTGGCCCTTGGTGGCTTGGTCTCCGATCTGCGGAATGTTGACTTTCAAGGGTCCTCCACCATGTGCACTCTTATCGCTCACATGGGCTAACAATACTAAATGACATTGTGTGAGTAGGGAAGCGACTAAAATGAATGAGACCTCAAAGGGAGTAGAACGATCTTCGCCCTACGTAATGCGAGGGTCGAAGATATTGCCACATTAGAGCTCTTTCTCAATGAATTCCTGCCAATATTGTTTTGGGATAGAACATCGGGTCAGTTTCTGTAGAAGTAGGCCTGAGCCACTGTATCATCTTGATTAGAACCGCTTATTGCAGGTCCAATCATTGATATGCATGTATTGGGTGGAATAACTGTCGTTGCAATTGACTTTCAGGTGAAAGTGCGGGCCAACCAAGGCCAATGCCGCGTTATAAGAGCCCAACCCCTCGTATTGTTCTGAACTGTGATTGAGTCTTGCACCCCAACCTTCAAGGCGCGAGTGTCGATCATGTTCATTATCAAGCCAGCCCTCAATATGGTCACTTTCGGCGCCGGCTGGGATTTGATCGACCTCATCCCTGCCCTCCGCGATGAGGACCTGCAGGTGCACAATCTAGGCAGTGAGATGGTGCAGAACTACATCGGCGCGGTGACCACGGGCGCCCACGGCAAGGGCAAGCAGCACCAAGACCTTGCGATGCAAATCATTGGCTTTCGCGTCCTCGACGCCCAAGGAAACATCCACAGCATGGACAAAGCGACTAACCCGGACCTCGTCAAGGCCTTCAGCATTGGCATCGGTGCCCTGGGCATCGTGGTCGAACCCACCATCCAAGCCGAGGCCCTCTCCTACCTCAAACGCACCATGAGAGTCGTCCAGGGCTCGAGCAACATCACTGAGCTGTACCAGCAGATCGCAGAAATCAGCGATTAGTACGAACAAATCAACATCCTAGGCCCCACGCTAGACTGGTCCCCCGAGAAGCAAGATCTCATCCTGAAGCCCAACCTCAGCGTCGCCTCCTGGGAACCGAGCAACTACAGCGCCGTGCAGAACTGCTCGCTGACTCCTGCGCCAACGACTGCGGCTCCTGCGACCGGGGCTCGGTCTGCTACGACTACAAGAACTTCGTCATCGCGACCCCGCCGCAAGGCATCTGCTACCGGGGATCCATGGGCCACTGCGAGCACTTCCTCCCGATCGAGCACTTCGCCGGCGCCGGCGAGAACTAACTCCACTACGCCCAGTCCCAGGCGCAACGCATGGTCACCTAGCAGAACCTGGACATCGCCGCCAAGAAGTCCAAGGGCTGCCTCAGCGACGACGTGACGGTCATCACGCGCTTCATCAAGGCCGACGACAACTGGCTCTCGTCCGTCAACGCGGACACCTTGCCCAAGGGCTCGCGCGGCATCTTCGCCTCGCTCAAGTACTCCTGGATCCCCACGTACAACGGCTGGACCCAGCAGTACTTCTACCAGGACCAGACCTGACTCGTGCTACTATTCCAATCTGAGTGTTTATTTTTTTGTCCTTCAGTAGGCCCGCTGGAACATCAGTACAGGGCGAACCACAAAACAGCCGCGTCCGATCGAATTCCGAGTGTGCCCGAGTAGGGATGCGGAGACAGATCTAATACATAGAAAACGAATGGAAGATCGATCCCTGAAAACATGACATACTGGGAAGAGTAGTGGACACAAGGTGAGAGATTGAAATCGTCTAAGGTCATCAAGTTTTAAGTTTTCATTATGAACATCTGTTCCCAGTAAGTACTCGGAGTGACAAGAGACTTCGTCCTACTTAAAAGTAAGCATGAGAAGGATAATGTATTGCAAGGGTAAGAAAGATCCTAATCCCACGCTCTTCTATCTGTAGGATGTGGTTGCATGTAACTAGCAAGGCTGGCCTGGGTTATCTTCAGCCACATATAAATGAATAAACGAAGCGGTTGAGCCTTCTGGAACTCGGTACTGCTTGCTGGTGCATGTTAGCTACACCATCAATGATTATTATAATATTGCTTATCTGCAGAGTAATCGTGGACGGTTATCAATGCAGATTTGTGCAGCCAGCGAGAACCTTCAGCCCATCCAGAGAGCCTTGTCCTCCATTCCTATAGTGCATAAGTTTAGTAGTACAGTGCTTGTACCCTATCTATCGCAACCCCCTCATACTCTCGAACAGCCTTCCTTCTTTACAGTTACTTTTATCCCCATGATGATCCCCTGTAAATGTGTTTTCTTTGCGCATGCGTCTGATAATGCGAATCGTTAGCTGTACTTTTCGCTCTTCTTCCCTCATTTCCGTGTGAAACTCTCAGGTAAATAGCCTTTCTACGCGATACGAGCTGCCTGCTTCTATAGTCCTTATCCGAGACTGTCTGATGAACAACCTTTGTCTGTACTGGCACTATCCTCCAGTATGCTTGATCTGTGATAGCATCTCTCCGTAGATTCCTTTGTCTGTAGCACTTTTGTGAAGCTCTCCAGAAGATGGATGTTTACCATAAAGACATTTGCCCATACGATCATTTTCTGCCAAAGTTTCCAATCTTCAGGTATTGTTACCTGCAGGGAATCCTCAATGTAAATTGCCTAATCTACGGGACCCTCCTCTTAAGTGCTATAGCAAGACCAGCCCAGTCCCCTCCAACCTGAGTTATAAGTAGCACCTAATACATTGCCTGTAGGCTCGAGAGATTGATCCCATCACTCACAGCGTGATCTGCATGAATCATCCTGGATCTAAATCTCACAAAGAACCTGACGCAGCAATCTGCATTTGTGTCTCGCTAACAGGTACAGACAATCCCCAGGAACATTCACAATGGCCACCAACCCATTCGGCAACCTCGCAGGCGAGACGCCAGTCAGCCGCACGTTCGACGGAGTGCAGTACACCTCGTTCCCGCTCCGCCAGGAGCGGGTTCCGCACGGGACACGGGTGGACACGGTTCTAATCGACGAGGGCCAGGTGCCCCAGGAGCGTATGGGGGGTTTCTCCACGCGCCTCCTGCGGGATCACTGGCGGTCGTCTCCGCAGACGTCCTCTCACCACGGGCACGGACACGACCACGGCCACAACCAGGACCATCACAGCCACGGCCACGGTCACAGTCACCACGGGTCATCGTCGCACTCGCACCACGGTGGATCCTCATCTTCCCGCCACGGATCCCAGCGTGCCCCTTATGGCTCTTCATCCTCCTCCTCGCGCTACGGACCCTCCCGGTACAGGGAACCCGAGCGGGACCCCCGGGGCGCGGTGGTGATCTCGGGCGACCGCGTGCGCATGTTCCGCGACTCCGCCCGCCACGGCTCGCCGCAGCCGGCGATCCATTCGCACCGCGATGAGACCGAGTGGTTTGCGCAGGCCCGTGACGGTTACAACCAGCCTATGGAAAGCTTCCTTGAATCCCTACGGGATCAGCGACAGTCCAGGCGCCATGGCTCCTTTGATCGCGATCCTTTTTTTAGTCGCCGCTAGGATCGAGCTGACTTTTCTTTCCTAAATACAGGAATAGGTTGATACTGTGGCGGGAAGAATTGGGAAGTGAGTGTTTGTGCGGGTAAGTAACGGCTGGAAAGGGAATTCAAGCAAAGCAGGAAAATAATGAAAAATATGAAAGATACCCTGGTTGGTACCTTGTTTTGAGGGCACGCCAGAGTGATTAAATATTATCTACCTTGAATCTAAGATTGTATATCCAGACTTTGGTATTTATGATAAAGTGTAAAGTCAGTAAACTGACTATAATATATGGCAAGAGAGTAAAGAGCGATATATGACGTCCCATCGTTTAGCTCAGACAAGTAGGGCTTTCTTGTTTTAGACCTTGTTAGAAGGAAGGAAGTGCCCTTTCATCACTAGATGCGCTAAGCTGAATTTGCACACCAAGCTAGTAAACATGCTTTTATTTGAGATCTATGAAGAATGAGTCCATACTGCATAATAACGTAGAGGAGTGGCCTCGGATCCTCGAAATTTTGGTTGGCTCCGGCGGTGCAGCTTCCCGTGATCCTCAGAACCCTAACTGGAATCAGCCATTCTCTTTTCCGGCCAAGTCCACTGCAGCAAACTACCTTTTCGCATGCTCCAGACTCGTGGTACTTCCAAATTAAGTCACCCAGGAGAAGGACTCTATGAGCGCCGCTTCCAATGCTGAATTGGCTTATGGTTAGAGCTGCTGGCGCTGCATCTCCGGGCGGCCTGCCGCGGACGGGCTGTCCTTACTGTGATGTGCATCGTCTAGCGGGCTGGCAATGGCGTCGAGCATGAGTACTGCTTGGAGTTGGACTACACTGTCAACGCATCACTTCGAAGCTTAGTCGCAGCTGTATTCTAGCTGGAGGGTTTCAAAGCCCCTATAGAAGTTCGTGTCGGGCGCTGATAGAGCACGTCGAATATTGATTCTATCCTAATTGCAATTGATACAGCTATCCTACCCTCCCACCATTCTTTAAGTATCGGGCCATGGCGCGCGGCCTGCAGCACGACTGACTGAAAGCGACCATGATCATTAGTACTTCATCATAACCGGGTTCTCAATAAAACACTCAAATTATGCCTCTCAAATCATCATGCGCGATCTTAGATTATCTGGCAGCGTGTCTGCACGGCAGGCGATTGTTTCCGGAGTCCGCTATTCTACTTTCATTGTCATCGCGAGCGAACATACAACCTCTTGCCACACCAACTCAATCACAACCACTCTAGGTAAAGACAAAGCACTATTGCAGTCGCCATGCTCATCCGACAAGGTAGAGTACAAGAAAGCAAGTAAAAAGGTCTGTTGGGATTACGTAACTTTTGTCGAGCTTGTTGCATCGATTCCGCAATGATAGTATAGCTGAAATGTTCCTCGGAGTTAAGCACGTCAGATTCGGGTCTCGGGAATTGTGCGTGGAGTTAACGTCTTGTTCTGTCAACACGAAACAACACAAGATTTACCGATTACACTATTACCAATCGACCTCCAGCTATGAGCAGCGAATTGCACGGTTAAGCATTGTTCTGTTCTGGTATTGCCATTAGAATACAAGTATCGAACGGACATAATTTGTGCATGTTTCGGGCGCGCTTATCGGCCTCCGAAGGTTAGTTTTAGTCTTCCGTCCTCCGAAGTCCGTTCGGTGATTGATAATCACTGATTCTACGGATTGATAATCACCTCTAACCCATAGACAGTCAGATCATCGATGGCATATAAGACGAAGGTATTGCTGCAATTCGCTAGCAAGAAACAATTCCTCAATCTACCAAACAAACGCAAGAAAACAACATGTCACAGACTCAGACCGCTCTCTTCGTGACCGAAATCGGGAAGCCACTGAGCAAAAGCTCGCGGCCCATCCCCGAGCCCAAGGATGGACAAGTGCTCGTCAAGGTCACTGTAGGAGGTCTCAACCCCCACGACGCCAAGGCCCGCGACCACGGGCTCTTCATCGCGGGTTTCCTCCCAGCAGTGCTCGCCGCGGATGTCGTGGGCGTCGTGACCCGCCTGGGCCCGAATGTCACACGCTTCCAGAAAGGGGACCACATCGTCGGGCAAGCCTCGCTCCCAGAACCCAATGTCAACACTCCGGACCCCAGTTTCTCGAACCCCAGCAACGACAGCCTGGGTCTCCAGGAATACGCAATCCTCGACGCCAGATACTCGGCCAAGGTGCCGGCGGGATTCACCGACGCCCAACTGGCGACCCTGCCGACCAACCTCGTGACCGCCGCGGTCGCGCTGTTCGACTCGACCTGCCTGGGCATTCCGGCTCCCTGGGATCCCGCTGCGTCCAGCTTCGACTACAAGAATACCTCCATTCTGATTCTGGGCGGCGGCGCCAACACGGGCAAATTCGGCATCCAGCTCGCCGCGCTGGCAGGCATCGGGCGGATCATCGTCGTTGCGAGCCCCCGCAGCGCAGCAGAGACCCGGGCGCTAGGCGCAACGCACATCATCGACCGCACCGGGAAGGCCGGGGCGGAGATTGCCGCGGCGGTGCGAGAGATCGTGGGTGATGAGCTGATCTACGCTTATGATACTATCAACCCGCCGGATAGCCAATGGATCGGCGTGGAGGCTTTGTCCAGCTCCAAGACGGGAAAGCTGGCGCGCCTGCTCCCTGTCGGCCCGGTCGATGAGTCCCACCTCTCGACGAAGAAGACCGCGGGTTTTGAGACGTTGAATGTATTCGGCTCGTCTTTTGCAAGGCCCGCGACTGCTCAGCCGCTGTGGGAGCGCATCTCCGGGTATGTGGAGGAAGGGAAGGTCAAACCTACCGCTTTCCAGGCTATAGAGGGGTTGGATGTGGACGCTGTGAATAGGATTTTGGATGGTTACTCGAATGGGACTGCGACTGGCCATTGGCAGGTTCATCTGTGAATGACTCTCCGGGTGGATTCCATGCGGGAGTATCATGGTTAAAACACCTGATGTTTATGTTTCTTGTGCGTCTGTTCTATCTTTCAGCGCTTGCAATGTGTTTTAATGAAATGCCACAAGTCAAAGGCGAGGCCGTGTTTGCTTGATTATTGGGAAGTTTCTCTTTGGGGGGGGGCACTGATTGATTATGTCCCTGTGATGCACATATTGTTATTGTACGCCAGAATTAATTCTAATCATACATATTGCACTCTGCGTCCTATCTCGCCCCAATCCAGCCGTATCAGAGTGGACGGGAAAAAAACCCTCGTGACTCGTAAGAATCGACAGACAAAAATCAATGTTTCTGGTGCATTGAGCCATGTTGGATCCAGAGTCTGCGAGATCCATGAATGTCGCTGCGCGCGGGTACATTACGTGCCTTATATTGTCCCCAGATGGTAGACATGGTGGACGACGAGGAAAGTAAGGTGACGATGAAGGTGAAGACGAATCCGACCGCGGAGGCCCGGGGAAGTAAGAATTGCGGTGGCTGTCGGAGAGTAAAGACGGAGGGGCGAACTCATGATCTATCATGTTCTCTAGCAGCTGCTAAATCGAAGTCAATGACTAGCGTGCTGGATTCAACAGCATACAACCGAAACACAAACAATTAAATCTTATTTTATTTCACATATTCCCAAAGCACAACTATATACACCCCTCACCACCAAACCAAGGCCAAGCTAATAAGTAGCCTTGGCCAAATTGGCATCAAAGTTCGCATCCTTGAACGGCACGTTGGCTTTTCCGAAATCCGTATCGGACAGCGCCGTGCGCGCCGCCGTCGGCAGGCTCTCCCACGCGACGAGCGGCTGCGTCCCGCCCACGGTGGTCGTCAGCCCGCACGAGTGGTCCAGCGGCCAGTAGCTCTCGTACTTGATCAGGGACTTGATGCCGTCCAGCGTGTACCCGTCCGTGGAGCAGTCCCAGCCGCCGTGAGCGGATGGGCACACGGCCAGGATGTTGTCGGCCGTGTAGACGGTGGGATCGGCCAGGTAGATGATCACGCCTTCCCAGTCGTGACGGTGGCCTATGCCCGTCGAGGGCTCGTCCTTGGGCATGTACCAGCTGTACATGAGGGCGGTCGGGTAGGTGTGGTCGCCAGTGGAGGAGATGTTGCTGCGCACGTAGATTTGCCCGGTAGAGGAGCTGCACTCGCCGTTTGAGGAGCCCGTGGGGGCGAGACCGGCGCTGTTTTGGGGGAGTAATTGTTAGTAATTGAGGGGTAGAAAACACGAAGAGAAAGAATGCGGGGAGAGGGAGGGTTGAGGGGCAAAGGGAACGGGAAAATGCGGGGTCACAAAGCGAGAGTCGCGCAGAAGACGTACTTGGTATTACCCTCCGCATCGACAGCTGGGAATGGTACACATCCGTTCACAACCTTCAGGTATGGCTGGTAGTTCAGGTACAGTGTCCCCACACTGGTATCAGGGACAGTCTGGTCGAAACCCACGATCTGATCGCTAGCGATCGTGCCTCGTGCAGCGAGCTTGGTGGTGGCCGGATGGGCTTGAACCAGGGACAACCCCGTGGCAAGAAGTAGGGCGGATCGGAGAGACATGGTCAAGAGCACGCGAGTTGGGAATAAATCGACTTTTGTGGCAAGCTTAAGCGCAGAAGGATTTGTTCCTGACAGCTCAGCAGATTTTGGCAGGGCGAATGCGCGCTTTTATGCTGGTCGCAATGGACAGGAAGCGGCAGGATCGGCGGTGTTCCCCTGAAGAACCGGAGGTCGGAGACAAGAACGGACAGTTTGCCGCATAGATCCACCACTTGAGCACCCATCAGAAAAGAGATTGGAACCATCTGAAAGGAAACGTGACGGATGGACGGAGGGGAAGTGGTTGTAGGCTGGCGCCTGGCAGGATTCGTTAGGGCAGGATCATGGATTCGTTAGGCGGGTTCGATATTAAAAGCGTCGGCGCATTTCCTCCAATCAGAGCCCCGGGAAGGCTCACGCGACGGGTTGAGCCTCAGTGCGCAAGGAATCACGGTGAGAATTGCCTGACTACCAGGAGCCGATGAAGAACCCACGCTAGCTGTCAGTCAAGCTCCTAATTCATTGCTTGTCGAAGCGGAGAACTTCGTCAGGCCAGTAGCGGTTCTGCAGCTTAGGGCGGGGCCGAAGATGACCCGGGACCCAGCTTTCAGTGTGCTTGGATAAGCATCTCTTGCATTTTATGAGGATGGTACAATGCGAAAAGACGATCCCATCGCTACCACCAGGACAAAAATATATTATCATTAGACAAGCAGAATACCCGATCAGATCATGGCAGCCTGCTGTTGTTGCAGTCCACCCTGCCCCTCTATCAGCCCCATAATCATTCCGCTTGTCCTGGCTATCGCATCGGGTGACACCTCTCTCTTAGTTCTAGCTCTCCTGATGACCGTACCTTCACCCAGGCCTTCACCCGAGAATACCTCCTTCAGCAACCCCCTCGGATGTACAATCGACACTCTCGCCTCTTCCCCTTCTTTTCCTTCCAGCAGCTCTCGCACGGCCCTCATCCTCACTCTCCACCGCATCCCCAACCGTGCCCACTCTTGCTCCCTCAACCACTCCAGACTAATCACATCCATCTTCCTTCCAGTCCTCCCATTGACTAGCCCACCCGTCTCGGACAGGTACACTACCTTCTCCGGGCGGAGCACACGAGCCAGCGCACTCGCCGCAAGATCTGCATGCACATTGAGAACCTGTCCATCGGAAGTCTCCCCCATGCACGTCAACACCGGCACACATGATGCGCGCAGAGCAGCGTGAATGGGCGTGGTCTCGATCTTGTCGACTCTTCCCACGTGGCCGTATTTGTTTTGGTCGAGATACTCGGTTTGGAAGACGCCCGAGGTCAGCGGGCGCGCGGACACACCGATATTTTCAAGCTCCTGGGTCAGCTTGAAGTTCTCCTCAAGTAAAGCGATGCGGACCAGCGCCAGTGTGCGCCCATCCGTGACGCGGATTCCATCGTGAAATTTCGGCTTGGCCCCCGTGTTGGAGAGCAATGTATTGAGCTGAGGCCCTGCGCCATGGACGAGAATAGGGTAGAGACCAATGTGGCTTAAAAAGGCGATCGCAGACACGAGCGATGGAAGATGATCGGCTAGGACAGCACCACCGACTTTGATGACGGCGAAAGGGCGAGTAGAGAGGGTGGGTGTGCTGAAGTAAGAGAGGTATTGCTGTGCTGTGTGTTTCGAGTCTATTTGGCGCAGGAGCTGTGCGATCGTGGATCGTGTCGCGGCCACTTGGTCGCTTTGAGTCTGGGAATACAGTCGAGTGTGTCGGATAGGATATATTGAGGGTAATGTCGAACAACTTCGAACAGAGCGTGTCAGCCCCAGGGGGGCCGATATCGTCGGCGCAAGGCGACTCATTTTGTGGGCAACGGCGAAGTGATCGGATTTTCGCACTCAATATGCGAAAAGATCCCTATAGACATCAGCGCGGCGCAAAGAGACTTTATATCCCTCACAGCGGGGAAGCCTCATGGGCAGCCCAGATTATGCCTTGATTATGAAAATCGGTTGGGTTGATTTATATCCCTCATCGGGACCCGTGGTCGGCACTGAACCTACGATGTATCACGACTGCACCCATGTCGTGGTCGTTCCAGGCAGACTGGCGCCACAAGAGCAAGCTTCAATTGCAAAAATAACTCCCTGGTAGCCACAAACCTTGGTGAAACCACAGTCGCCCATCAGAGCGTTTCAGAATGGTTCGCTGATATTGCGACACTCGATCACATGAACAGTTCGTGGTGGCGCCCAAAGTCAGCCACCCCTCCTCAGCCATGCAGCTCGGGCAGGCACACCGACACCCTGACAGCGACCAGGCTGTCTGGCATATCCCCTGCAGGTCCACGTATCCTATTCCAAGGCCGGAGTATGGGTCTTCTTTATTTTGCTCCAAAGTAACATCGCGTAGCGCGCTCACCGCCATACGTCTCTCATCCCGCTCGGTGCGTCATTTGATTCCCCGGTAGCTATTGGTCGGCCAAACCACTCTGCAAGAAATCTTGAAAGACACGCATCGGGCACGCATGTGAAGTTTGCCAGGTTGTTTCGCTGCTTGCGCGAAAAAATCAGGCGAGAACATGCCAAGACCTCGGAAGGACTGGGAGCAAATCGAAGATTGTCCTTGATACCGCACAAATCAAAACAAGCCAGATGTCGGCGAACGCGGTTCCAATAGGTCTAGCCTTGTTCACGCAGCGCACTGAATATTAGGTCGCGCTAGTCGCATTTCCAATAATGCGACACTGACAGAAGATGCCCGTCTTCCGTGCACTCAGATTCGCGGTCATTTTCAGTTTCTCCAATCACTAACCGCGATGAAACCTATCCTCTTGTGCCGGAAAAGAGGCAGTTCCAAATCCCTTCTATTGGCCAGCTGTCTGATACTTTTTCTTCGCGGCACGCTTGATCGGTCTCTAAGCTGGTGTCGGTGCGATCCGTTTAGCATCTGACTATAATCGCCGACTGAAAACAGACTCATCTTAGACTTATTCACAACGATCGTGAATGAGAAATGAGCAACAGGAGATCGCGATTGAGTCTGGGGGTTTGCATCGAGGGGCTTTCTGTGCTGCTGATCGAAAGCCTTCATCTCAAGGACTGGATATGCCTCCCTTGAAGTCAAAGTGTATTGTCATCTGGTTGACAAGAGGATGGGTTGCCATCTTGGCGAAGCATCGCCAGCTTCATGCTTGTATTTGAGGTATACCAGTATACCCGCAATCAGAGCGGGATCGGTTTTCGGAATCGAGGCTGCTCTGGGCGAAAGCGACCGTGGAGCGAGGGTAGGGGTAGGATGCCACGCCAGGCCTTTTGACGACTTCGGAATTTGCCTTCAACCAATAAGTCGGGTCATATAATTGAAATCAACTATATGTGATCAACGCACAAGGACCACGAGCAATCGATTGGTTTATCTGCATTTATCTGTAAGCTGACAGGGTGAGCGTGCATTCCACACAGTGGTACAAGTGTCCGGAGCCCCAACCCGCTTCCTATACGGTTATTCAAATCTCGATGAATTGCAATCAGGATCCACGGGCCGACCCACGTTTTCTTTTAGCGACCCGGATCGCGTGCTACCCTTCCATGGAGCACTTTGCGCCACATCAGATGATAGACTCTCGCCCAGAGACCACAAACCGATAAGGCATAATATCTCTCCGCACGGATTCCAAATCCACTTGTCGAGACACCAGGCCAGCATATTGGTAGCCACGGGCACAGTACGTACTCGTAGATAAGTACCAGTACCAGCTGGCTAAGAGGTATAGAGTGGGGCGACTCCGCTGAAAGGCCTGTGCACGCATGGATCAATGCTCACTCACGCGTTACCCACCCGGGCGGGCTAGTCACAATTCATGCTTACATGACTCAACCCCTCCCCCTCCTTTATTTGCTTATCCCTCCCAACTGTCCTCTCCACTTCTCTTCACAACTCTTCAACAATATGAAAGCTGCGGAAACCATTCGAGTGGCCCAAAGGGATGGCTCTCCCTTGCGACTCGAGTTCGCAACCCCCCATGATCTGAACGAGATCACCGACTTATGGTACAATGCATTTTCTCCCAGCATGCTACCCCTCTGGCCAGACACGCCCGGGGTGCGGCAGTGGTGGAATGAGGCCAACGGCCATGATATGCGCCACAATCCCAAGGCCAAGTATCTAAAGGTCGTCGACACCACACAGAACGGCCGGATTGTCGCCTATGCCAAGTGGTCTTTCGAAACCGCCAAAGAGCGCGGGCCACGGTGGCCAGCCTGGCACCCAGAAATGGACGGTGCCTTGATGGATCGGTTCCTCCGTCATCTGGAGACCAACCGGACGACGGCTGTGGGAGATGCACGCAAAGATTTCTGTACGTTTGAATGCCCAAAGTTTGTGGCAATCCGTAGTAAAATCACTCAAGATGTGCTCACAAAACAACCAGATCTTGACATGCTGGCGACGCATACCGACTACCGGAAACAGGGTGCGGCACGGCTGCTTCTCGAATGGGGTTGTGAGGTGGGCGACGAGGAAAACGCGCATATCTATATTGATGCCAGCACCGACGGCCAGCCGGTATACCGGAGGTTCGGCTTTGTGAGCAAGAACGATCCTTCCATCGACGCATTTGAGGTGGCAGCAATGGTGAGACAGCCAGGGTGGAAAGCAGCTTGACAACCACACGGACAGATGTTATGAGTCGCAAGATACCGGAGTGGTACAACAGCACATTTCAAGCGACAAAGCGATTGGCATACGAGTCTTCCCAATAGGTCTTTGAACATGATCGGTCATTCGTGACTTGGGAGGCTGTTATATTATTCTTTCATTGTTATAGATTGGAGTGTGGGTAGGAGCAATGTGAAATTTCATTTGAGGAACCTCAAGTAGACCTCAAGGTTTAGCCTTCGAGGCAATGGAATCTAATGGGGCAGCATGCTTGGCTCACTCCTCATCAAAGTTCGTATGTACCGATCGCCGCTGCGAGCCATGGTTGCGGTATATTGCTCACGACGCCGTGATCTGCCAGCATCATGAGCCTCATCGTAATACCATACTGATGCGGCCAGGTAAACGTATACATCACAAGAGAAAAGCATACCCTCAACTGAATCAAGAAACAACAGATGTGTTCTTGTGCGATGGACGGGATTTGCTGATCGTTACCTGAAGAGCGCTCGGTATAATTTCGGGAACTGGGAGGCGCGTCCAGGCGCCCGATTCGTTTTCCTCGCTGGTCAACCAAGCAAACGACCTCGACCGAGCGTCAAAGCATCCAAGCCAGGAAGTGTCAGTCTGAGATGTAAAGCAGAAAGGATAGATCTAGTCATGGGGTGTCCCTTGGGATTGAGATATTGTGGACCTGAGGTCATTGAACTCTTGTTTTGGGATTCTAATAATCATGATAGATATATTGATTAACGTGGTTTCATACGCTTAGACTAAGAGCACTACAGGGTTTTCTTGAAATTTAACCTTTTCGTTTAAACTATGATAGGATCTTATCGACGAATTTAACGATGGGTGAGATTAGATTATTGTACCTGAGAACATTTTGCCGGGAACTGTATCACCGGGCATCAACTCGATGGTTGGATTCGGGCAGGATGCGTTTTGCGCATATGACTTTGTAGGGAAACTTTCCTATTGGACGCATATACGCAGTCCGGGCATTTGTAAACACCTGAATGCCACTCCTTGCAATGAAGGAAGATACCTTCCCTTGACATATACCTGCGACCACACCGCACTCCGTCCACCTCGCAGGCACATTTGAACCCTATATCATCCTTGGTATAGCGAGCGTATTGATCCATTGAATTCAAGTCGTTGGGTGCGCTCTTTGACGTCGGCGCCTTCTGCTGCTCCTGCTGAGCAGCGCATTGAGTGACCACACCACTCGGCTTCTCCTGCGGCTGCTTGTGGCGATCACTGCATTCATCGACAAGAGAGATGGTCTTTTGCTTCAGGGGAGGAGTATACTCACTGGCAAGAAGGCTCTGCTCCAGGGAAACCCTACACCCACTTACCAAATTCGTCTGCTCCTGCGGTAGCTGCTGCTGCTGCTGCATCAAGATCTCATTACCCCAGTAGTTGGGATTATTCTGCTGCTCTGGCTGCTGCACACAGTCCTCAATACCCTGACAGACCCAATCCATCGGCCCTTCCGGCTGCGGCTGCTGCGGCTGCTGCGCCAGCTCCAGCTCTACCCCGCGCTCACTGATCAAGCGCCAGCCAGCGCCGCAGGCGGGACAGCCGAACCCAAAACAGCCCCCCTTATCCGACTCGGAGTTGAGCCAGTCGTTGAGACAAGTATCATGCCAGTACCGCCATCCGCAGTCATTGGCAGAGCACGACCAGAAGCAGGCGGTTGGTTCCGCATGCTCGTGGCTCTGGCACACGCCGCAGACCACGTCGCTCGGCGTCAGGGCCATCGACGACCAGTTGACGCACACCTCCTGCCTTCTTCGTTGCGCTGGGCCTGGCTGGGCCAGGGCTCTGAGATTTGGGTGCACTTCAAGCATTCTTGCGGTACCAGGGTGAGAGCTTACCTGGATTGGGTTTTCGGTGTTGGGTGTTGTGATGGTTCTGGGTTTGATTTGGGAGGTAGATGTAGGTTGTTATATATGCTTTGCGGGTGGGGATGAGAAATCATTTTCTGAGAGGATTGTCTTTTGTCTTCCTGAAGAGAACGGAAAATTCTGTTTGTCTTTGTTTATTATGCCGGAGTATCTTGAAGTCATTGCTGGATTGTGGGGGATGTGCTTTTGTTTTTTGCTTCCGGGAACGTAATTGTTGTGGGGTGGAATAAAGGAATGTATGACATTGTAGGAAATACACGATTATCCTTGTTTCTTGTATCGAAGTATAGCATATGGTTGCTAGTTGAAGACATCTTGGTGAACAGAGTTGGCCGGTGATGGATGTTGGTGTTTGCGCGAGCTCTCTATATATCAGGTGGTACTACTAATGTTCTGCAACTAATTGCATTGCTTGGTGAAGCAACCACTAGAGATCGACTGAAGTGTAAAGTGATGAAGAGAATATCACATCTTGTTTCTTCCTAACCTATGAATATATTTACTAGTTGGAAAGAAGATCAAAATAACAAGACAGACCAGACTCAATAAAGGGGCAATAAACCCTCTCGGAGTGGATCAAGTCGAGCGGTGAGCGACCGACGTCAACATGAATCCATCCCCTTGGAACTGGTCTCGCCTGCACAAGAATGCTCCTCGCTGAACCAATCACTACTTAAACTAACAATACATCTATAGTCTTCAACCGACCTACATCAGCTCCACTATCCATCAAAGCACCCAAATCAGACCCCCAAAAATGCCCAGGTGGCCGCGCCTCCAACTCCTCGAAATCGGCGACCAAACCTGGTGCCCAGGCTGGCTGCACCAACACGAGCAGTTCACGCTGACGCAGCTCTGGAACCTGCGCATCCCGGGCTGGAGCCACGGCAGCCTGGCGACGCAAGCCTGCGAGGTCTTCCGGAAGTATCTGCCGGATCTGACCTCGTACACGGTAGTCGACCTCTGCGCCGGCGCAGGCGGCCCCACGCCCGTCCTCGAGCGCGAACTCAACCAGACCCTCGCGAAGCACGGCAAGCGCCCCGTCACATTCCTGCTGACGGACCTCTACCCGCACCTCGACGCCTGGCAACGCATCAACAAGAAGCAGCCCAGCGTCTCGTATCTCGCAGAGCCCGTCGACGCACGCAGCCACCGCCGGTATGCCGACGCCGAGCGCAAGGAGTGTCGCATCTTCAACATCTGTTTCCATCACTTTGATGACGAGGATGCAAGGGGGATCCTGCGGAGTGCCGTTCGGTCGGCGGATGCGTTTGTGTGAGTTTTCCTGGCGTCTTAGTTATTTTTGGTGGAATGGAGGATGCGGGAGAGCAGGGCTGGCTGACGAGTGGCAGGATCTTCGAAATCACCGCCCGCGATCTGCGGACTTGTCTGTGCTCCCCGCTGGTGTTCTTCTTCACGTACCTGGTCACCCTGCGCTGGTATTGGTGGTCGCCGTTGCATCTGTTCTTCACGTATGTGTTGCCGGTGGCGCCGTTGAGTCTGTGGCTGGATGGGTTGGTTTCGTGCCTTCGCACGCGGACTCCTCTGGAGGTGAAGGCGTTGCTGCAGCAGGACGGGCTGGATCTTAGTGGGTGGGAGTTCAAGAGTGGCAAGCGCACGGTGCAGTGGCCTTTTATCACGTTGCATTACTTTGTTGGGGTGAAAAGTGGGTGAATAGTTTAATGAGCTTTTGTTTCTTAAGTCGGTTGGTCAGTTGCATGACTATGTAAAACTCAAATTTAGGCCGTCATAACTCTCCCAGCTTTCATTGTGTACCTCTATAGAAAAGATGATCCATACGCCCCTGGTCACAAATCCCCATACCCCCAGCGGAAACCATTATCGCGCCCCAACCCGGCTGGCAGAAAACCACAGCGGAAATGGTCCAAGCGCCCGCGCCCCGCCCGCCCCGCCCCTCCATCATCGCACCATCGCCTCTCTTCGACCCCTTCCGCTCCTCAACCCATCTCATCAACCACCACAATCACAAAAAGAAAAATGAAAATCCTCATCCTTGGCGCAGGCCTAGGCGGCCTCGCCTGCGCCATCGCCAGCGCGCAACAAGGCCTGCACGTCGTCCTCCTAGAAAAGTCCCCCGACCTGCACGAAGCCGGCGCGGGAATCCAGATCCCGCCTAACGGGACACGCGTCATGCGCGAGCTGGGCATCCTCCCCGCGCTCCTGCAGCACGCTAGCGTAGTTCAACACGTCGACTTCCGGCGTTACGACTCCGGACGGCTCCTCCGGTCGATGCCGTTTGGCGAGGGTATTGTCCGGGAGTTCGGGGCGCCGTGGTTGATTGTGCATCGGGTGGATTATCATCGGGTTTTGTATGAGGAGGCGGTGCGGTGTGGGGTTGAGGTTCGGTTCGGGGTTGAGGTTCTGGCGGTTGAGGGGGCGGGGGAGGGGGTAGAGCTGGGGCTGAGGGGTGGGGAGCGGATCAGTGGGGATTTGCTTGTTGGGGCTGATGGTTTGTTTTCCCCGTTTTTCTCTATACGGAGCTTGCTGGGGCAGTAGAGGCTGATGAGGTACTGGCGTTTAGGGCTTTGGTCGCAGGTGCGTGGGTGGGTGGTCGGCGAGGGGATCGCGCCCCGCGAAACCGGCGATTTGGCGTACCGGGCGGTTATCCCCGCGACACAGCTGCAGGCGCTCCGGGAGAGCGATGCGAAGGTTGATGAGTTGTGTCGCAAGGTCGCTGTTACCAGTTATTTGGGGCCGGAGAAGCATACCATTTTTTATCCTGTGCGTGGCGGGAGAGAGTATAATCTTGTGCTACTGCGGCCGGATAATCTTCCCGCTGGGGCCAGGAAGGAGGAGGCTGGTGTGCGGGAGATGCGCGAGAGTTATGCGGGTTGGGATTCGACGTATGTTTCGCTCTCTGGGATGAGCTGTTGGAAGATTGGGTTGCTTTGTTTTGTTGTTGTTAAGGGTGAAGTGGTTGATGCTGACAAGCGCGCAGGTTGGAGAAGTTGCTATCTCAAGTGACTACCGTCTACAAGTGGAAGCTGACCGAGCTCCCTGAGCTGCCTACGTGGACGAAGGTTTGAAGCCCGACTTACTACCATGCAATCCGCTGACCGCCATATTAGGGTCGAGTGACTCTTCTCGGGGATGCCTGTCACCCTACCCTGCCCTATCAAGCCCAGGGCGCGGCAATGGCCGTCGAGGACGGAGCCGTGCTCGGCCGGCTCCTCGGTCTTTTGCAAAGCCATCTGTCGCAGTTAGACCTGGAAACTCGGGAGAAAGCTGCTGCTGACAGCATTTCACCTGTGTTGAAGCTGTACGAAAGCCTTCGCAGAGGACCCACTACGCGCAAGGTTCGGGCGGCACGCATCAATCGGTCCCTGCTCCATATTCCAGACGGAATTCTTCAAAGGGTGCGAGACTTCGGTCTTGGCTACGCCGGGGTCACCTATGAGAGCGACTGGACGTGGGCCTTTTCTTACATGATGAGACAGACGTTGGGTCCGGATGTAATCCGGGACTGTGAGATTGCATTCGAGGAGTGGGTGCGCGCGTCGGGTGGTGTCGGGCGTTAGATGTGTTCACCAAGCAGCGGTTGATATTACTAGCAATTAAAGATAGAGATGTTTCTTCTTTCGTTTGCTGTCTTGGACGAGATGAGATATCGATTTAAATAGCATGTAATGAGAGAATACTGGAGAGGAACACAGAACACATATAACAAACACACACTCAAGAGAGCATACATCCAACAACCCCAACTTCCAATCCAAAGCCAAACCAAGCCAAATGACCTGATTTAATCAACAAGCATCTTCAAAACCGCCCTCAACGCAGAATTGGGACACCCAAACGCTTCCTCCAAGTCCACAACCCTCTCAGCCAACTCTTCCTCCCACATCTTCATAACGCGCACCGTCTCCTCCAACGCCCCAGACCCCTCCAACAGCGCCAAAACCTGCTCTTTAACCTGCCTCGCCATCCCACCATCACCACCACCACCATTCGCAATGCCCCCCTTCCCATCTCTAAACAATCCCAGCACAATCTCCCTAGCAAACAGATCCCGCTCACAACAAACCACAACCGGAAACGAAAACTCCTTCTCCTCAAGATCCTCACAGAACCCTTTCTGGGCCGTGTACCGCCCATCCACGAGGTTCCGATAATCGTCACGCACCTGGTAGTAGCGGCCAAGCAGCATCATAAAGCCCTCGCACTTCCCCATCAAAACCCCCTCCACCCCCATTTTTCCGGATGACAACGCATACAAACAAAACATAAGCCGAACAATCAACACAAACAACGCCCCGGTCTTCCCATCCACCATCCCCAAATACTCCGCACGAGACGGACAATGGTTCTCGGCCTTCCATTTCAGCTCCCAGCTCTGGCCGGTGAAGAGGTCTTTTAGACTGGAGAGGAGGGTGGTTTGCGCTTTGTCCGCCGCCGCTGCTAGCCCTGCTTCTTCCCCCGCCGCCGCCGTCTGCACCACCTCGCTAAGCTTCCGCACCGTGTCGACGATCATGAACGTCGCGCTGTTGACGCACTGCGCGACCCCGAACACCCGGTGCGTGGCGGCGTGACCCCGTCGGAGCGCCGAGTTGTCCTGGATGTCGTCGAGGATTAGGGAGGCGTTGTGCAGATCGCGGATTAACTCTTTCAAAGCGGCGAGTGGGGTGGGCGGGAGGTGGAGCCAGGTGTTTAGTGCGTCGAGGAGGTGTGAGCGGAGGTTCTTGCTTGGTAGGGTCTCGATGTAGGTGCTTGGCGCTGTAAGCGCGCTTGTGTCTTGGGTTGTTGGGGGGTTCATTTTGGTCTTTTATGACTCTTTCTTTTGGAGTTCGGCGAGGGTTTTTGGTTCTTGGGGGTGGGTCTGTGGTTGCGGTAGTCTGCTTGGGTAGTTCTTGGTAGAGCTCTGGCACTTGCTGGTTTCTGAAGCGTTGGTCTCGCTGCTGAGTGTCGTTGTGGTTTTTCGGTCGTTTCGAGGGTTGTGTTTGGGTGGAGTCAGGATGGGGAGCGAGGGGTGTGAGGATATAGCGGGACTTTCGCTCTCTCGAATTCTCCGACGGAGAATGTGAATTCGCCGGTCAGGCTGTCCAGGTCTCTGAATCTCCTCTTTTGTGGAAAGATGAGGTCAATGGGGGTAAATCTGGGGAGATATTGACCTTGAATCGTGTCAACGTCCACTGATTACAGGGAGAGACGGAGTGGAAGATGTGTGACACCCTCGCAAAAGTCATCTGGCACCGGGAAAATGACTACGACTGCCAGTGAGGAACTCACAATCTGTCAGCCTGGGCTGTGAGCACAGCTGATTGATTGGTCGCTCGACCTCAGTGTAGGGGGCTGGGTCATGTGGGCCACTGCTCATTCACTGTCGGCCAAAGTCCCCCTACAAACACCTGGCTGCGGCCAAAGAGCTCTGAGAAAATCGAAGAAGATCTGGTTTATCAGCACAGATAACAAAAGAACTAATGGTCTATCGGATAGATTCAAGCATCGCAATCTCCAATGCACAAGAGAGGATAAAGCAGATTACTCGAAATAAGTCAATTTTCAACTAGTACTCGGACTAATATACAAAGAATTCAAAGGATCCTCGATTGAAGATAATCTAGCTAAGAAGAGGAAATAAGCTTTCCACGAGACATCACCCCACATCTAAGCGGCGATGCACTGGAAGTAGTAAGGGTTGTACTGGTGGCAAGTGGCGCCCTCAACACAAGAAGTAGCGCCGGTCCAGTTAAGACCACCGCACTGGCCATACATGGACTGAGCGGCACCGCTGCTGCTGCTGGTAGTGGTGGCACCAGAGCTGGCGGCGGGAGTCTGAGACTCGGGGACGGCAGCAGAGGTTGTAGCGGCGGCAGGAGGAGGGGTGACAGTCACAAGGGTGGTCCAGGAGGAGGGCACCTGAACGGCGATCTGGGAGTAAGAGGAGCTGCTGCTGGGCTGAGCAACCTGAGTGCTGCTTTCAGCACTAGTGACCGCAGCGGCGCTGGTGACAGCGGCAGCAGCAGAAGAAGCAGCGGCGCTGGTAGTGGCCGCGGCGGCAGAGGTGGCAACAGCACTGCCGCTACCGACAACAGCAGTTCCGGTGGAGGTGATGGCCGAGGTGGACTGGCTGACAGAAACGGCGCCGCTGTACTGGGTAGGGCCAGGGACGGCGTAGCTCGACAGGGAGGCATAGATGTTCACCACGATACCGGCCTCATCCTCGGTGTAGAGCTTGGTGCCGAGGGTACCGGCAGGCTTGTCAGTACCGGAGCCAGTAACCTGGAGGTTGAAACACTGGGGGTAGTTCTGGGCACCATCCTCGGTGCCAGCGCTGTGAAGAGCGATAAGCTCGTGGCGAAGAACGTAGTTACCAGGAGCAATCGTCGGTGGGATCTCAACCAACCAGCTGTTGTTATTAGCAATCAGTTGGTCGTCTCCCCAAGTTCCGGGCACTTCCGTGTCGCTGACCAAACCCACGCCATCAATCTTGAAGAATTCGAGGGTGGTCTTGTCGACCGTCTCACACGCACCGTCACAGCGAGCAAGGTAGTCAAGAACAGGGCCATGGTGAGACTCGGGCCACTCGGTCCACTGAATGTTGATCTTGTCACCGGCCGCAACAACGATGTGGCCCTTGGCATTGGTGGCATTCTGGTGGCAGATAATATCGTCACTGCCATACTCACTGGGAGAGATGAAGCCATTGCCAGTGTTGGGAGTGGTCCAGGCAGCCACCTTGGGAGGGTCGGACTCGTAAGGGAAGCTGCCGATGTCAAAACCCTGGTAGTAAACGCCGTTGACGACGAGGTTGGTAACGTGGCCGTGACCGGCAACACGAGTAGCCGACAGAAGGGCCGTCAGGAGGGACAGAGACTGAGCTTGACGCATTTTGCTGAAGTTAAAGAAGATTTGATTGGTGAAAAGAAAGATATTTGATGGAGAGAATGGAAGTTGTTGACTGAAAGAGTGAGCGACCCAGCGCAACGAAGGTGAGAACTTCAATCAATGAAGCCCGAAGGAAAGAATGTAGTAGAGATAAAGTAAAGAAAGGACCTGCTGGTGAAAAAACCGATGGAGCAGGGGTGGTGACCGAGTTCTATTTAAGGTGTGATGGCATTGGGTTTGCATAATGGCATTTGGGTCGCATGGCAAACGGCCAGGAGGCTAGACCGGGACCACTGCCGCACTGGGCCCTTTCCGGAGGCGCCGAAGCAATTAAGGTGAGGTTGAATCTGTCGCATGGCGGTTAGGGCAAGGGGCAAGTGTTTTAGGTTGGCCGCCGATCGGGTGAATAACGAAGCTATTCCCGCACTAGCGCCTTGGCTGTCTGAGGTAAAACATGCTATTGTGGTGACAGCTCCTGTCCAAGAAACTTCTTTCCAGTTCGAATGCTCTTTTCCCGGCTGGATCAAGCTCAGGGTGACTTGAACTGACAACCTGGTTCAAATTAGAACAGCTGCTTAGTGTGTCTGGCGAACCACTGCATGAGTCACCGTGAGGGCACAAACTGGCGCTGGCCAGCAGTGGGGGACGGGCTTCGTTGCCACTTAGCCGATAGTTCTCTCGGACTAATCCCTAGCTCGCTAGCTCCAGTCGGCTCGCATTCAGGCTGGTCCCAGCTTCAGCTAGATTGGGCTCTGTTCTGTGCTCCTTCCAGCCGCCAATCAGCCACTCGTCCTTCGACCCGGCGCCTGCGAGAACGCCACTCCCTGTCAAATTTCCCATCCCATCAGGCCTATCCGAGCTCCCCCCATTTAAGCCTCCAATGGCTCTCCGCGCTATGAGCTAGTCAACGGACTCTGTCCGTTGTCGGTTTTGTTGCGTCGAACAGAGACTTGTCCCACAGAGGCTTGCATATGGGAGTGGACCAGTGTGATAGATAACACCGACGAGTCACACCGTTGGAGGAAGAATTACCCTGATGTCATCACTGGACATTATGTGGAAGATCTTAATCATTTTGATGCAAAGTCCCGTGATGGTGCTGTTGTTGAGCATGCGTGAAGACCAGCCCATTGAGTCAGGTTCTTCGGCAGGAGTGGGGAAAGCCCTGTTGCAGAGTCAAACGATTTTTAACCGTGCGGGGGGTCCTCCAACGTTGTCAATCTGAGACACTATCCAAAATATGTCCGTGATTGTTGCTGTGTGCAGCACCCCGTCATCTTCAAGTAGATTTTATCACCCCAAACTGCAATGACGCTCTGCACGCCATATCAAGATGTAAAGCCAGTATGTAATGTGTTAGTATGTAATGTGCTAGATGGATGTAGACCAAGACTTCTCCCTATGGGTTTGTCTGGCAGTGTCGAAAGAAGGTCGATTTCAATCCGGAAATCCAGAGCTAAGAAGTCAGGCGCCTAAAGCAGAAAAAAACAGGTATCAGCGTGGAAAGGCATACATTCGCCGCGCCTTTCTATGACAAGGAACTCACAATACTGCTCCGATAAATCCGACCGAGTTGTTCAGTTGTAAGCCCAATGGCTTTCACTCTCGATGGCCGAAGCTGTTGACGAAGTATATTGGCTTGCGTAAAAGAGCGGAGGGAAATACGATCCAAAGCAATCTGAAACTGAGAGGGGTTGTAACGCCGATCTGCAATTGAGACTGCCTGACAAATTATGGGGATGGGGGAGGGCATTTTGGGAGAAACAAGAGTGCAGGGACAGTTGAGGTGTCGGCGAATTTAGGATTTCAATTGACGTTTGTTCACTGAGTCACTTGACTTTTGGTCACATGCAGATGCCTTCCTTACGGTTCAGGTGTTGACTCTGCCACTCCTCTCACTACACTCACCCTTTCTCCAGTCGCTTACAGGAACATCCGACAACATGCTGCGCTCATTGAGATCTGACGAGGTGAAAGCCAATGTGGCGCCTCTTGAGTACCGTAAACAATAACGCTAGAAGTAACGTTTTGCATACTACGACTCATGATCCAGTTGTTTACTGACGGCGACCGTTCTTTAGACATCCTCATCCTAGCCGATAACGAGCACGGCCCCTCTCCACGCTACTAAACAAACGTCGGTCTCCCCTTTTGTCAGAGGCCATACTGAGTCCAAGTCGAACCCTGGCGATCCAGGATCCTCTACGCGCACTCTCTCCGACCCACCATACACAATCAGAAAAGACCTTGGCGGAACTCATTGAACAAACATGCGCAATAAGTCTTCACCATGCGAGTGAAATGGCATTTTTCAGATACAAGGGATGTATTGCTTGGATGCACTCCGCCAAGAGCACACAGTTAGAAACCATCTTGCAGTGTCACTTGTGCTACTATCCTAATCCTTAGTCGCCTGACTTGGCATGTTTCGTCATCCCGGGAACACTTGAACCTAAATCTTTAACGTACAACAAGCCTTGTTGTGGAACAAATGATGTCTATTTTCCGGGGGTGACACGGTGATATCTCATTGAGCCGAACAATGACAACGCACAGCCTTCACCGCCTGCTGAAGTCCCCTTCACATGATCAGCACCAACCGATGCAGGCCGTCATGTTCAGCATAACTATAGCATTACGCAGTTTATGTCACTGCCGTCACTTCCCCATATGCCGCGCAAACATGCAGGGGTATCAACCAACCAAACACCGCCCTGCAGTCCCAAGCCGTCGGGCTCCACCAAAGCCGGTTTTGGAGCATTAAGTCATTTTCAGCCTTATGGGCTCATGACATCACTTCCAGGGGCATTTTTCCAGACCCATAATCTCAACCCAAATGTCAACAAGCACGACTTTTTTTTCTTCTCTCAACCATCAACAAAACAAAAAAAAAAACTTCTGCATGGTCCGCTCACCATTTTGAGCACACCTACTTATAATCTCTCAAAATGACACAACGAAAGCCGTCCGCTGTGCAATATGAGATAGACCTTCACCAACTCCCCATCCTCGATAGTCTCCCACTTTCGCTGCAAGGTACGTGCGTATCTTGCGCGCTGAGCATTTTCCGTCTCCCTAGTAACACGATCCAGACCAGCAAGAATGCATAATCTGTCTAGAGGATCTAGAGTCAGTCAACGTCAAATCATATCGTCAACTGCCGTGCCAACACTTCTTCCATCAACCGTGCATTGACGACTGGCTCAAACGGCCGAATCCAAGCTGCCCGCTTTGTCGGCGCACATTCGAGCACCTGCGGCGACCGTGCAAGGCTACGACAAGGCCCGTCTCTGATGTAGTGGTCAACAATTGGAGCACCGTCCAGCCTCTGCCGCGATACTTGTTGGTTGTCAGCCCCGGGTCTGGACCAGCACTGCCGGCGCAACCGGCCCCGCAATTCTCTGTTCCCGTTCTTGTTGATGAGCCACGCGAGGCAGCGCGACAATCGGTCCGAGCGTGGTGCAAGAGGAAGTTAAAAGTCGGGCGGGTAGCATGAGCGTCGCGTCGGCTCTAGCACGGTGGTTTCACACGATGAGATGATTTTCATGCAGGGATTTTGCTGAAGCAGGAAAGACAAAGATGACTTATGATTCTCTTTCAGTTCTTTGCGGGCTTGCTTTTTTTTTTTTTTTTGCTTCTTCTCTTTCTGCCAGTTTTATTTGTACTCCCTCTTTTTTGTTACCGAGATTCCCACCCACGTCAGATCCTAGTTTTGATGCCAAGCTGGAGATTGGCCTATTTTACGTCTTCTGATATTTTTTCGTCAAGTGCATGAGATTCACTGAACTTCCTCTCTATGGTCCTCTTAGAGCTCCGCCGTCTCACTGTATGTGATATCCGATTCAACTAGACTGACGGGCGTGGCGCCCTTCACTGGCATGTCGGGGAGATTATCCGTCCTGAGAATCCATTCATTTGCATGCAAGGGGGACCGGTCAGCTACGTACACCTCACCATGCCCCACCGACTTTCTTTCTCCTATTTAAACAAGTCAGAGCTGGACCCACGACATTGTGGACGCCTCTTTTTTGTGTTCTCCCGGCCGCCCTGGGCTCCCGCGACTTGCAAAAGGAGATAGACTGCAATAAGGGAGCGAAAGATCGTCCGATTACAACATGTCTATAATGGAACTAGAACAAGAGCAGCACGAAGATGCCCTAGACCCCGCAAAAAGAACTTCTTTACATCCTAGCCCACCAGCTCACGAAATCCTCGACCCCGAGAAACCTCCGCAACATCAGCCCCGATCCCCATGGAACGATGATCCACCGCCCGATGGTGGCGTTGCCGCTTGGTCCGTCGTTTTCGGGGCGTGGTGCGCCATGTTCTGCAGTTTCGGATGGATCAACAGTATGCGTTTCCCCCGTCAATATCTCCCTGGCGCCTCGGATCGGAACAAGCATGCGTGCTAATAGTCTCGCACACGTAGGCATCGGGACTTTCCAAGCTTACTACGAAACGACACTTCTACCGCAGTACTCTGCCAGTACGATCGCGTGGATACCGTCGTTGGAGGTGTTCTTCATGTTCTTCATGGTCAGTTGAGTCCAGCCAGTAGCCTTACTGCCGAGCGGCCAATTCTAACAAAATTCAATCAGGGCCCCATCGTCGGCTTTCTCAGCGACACCCTAGGCGCGCGTATCGTCATCACCACCGGCGCGCTCCTTCACGTCTTCGGGCTGATGATGGCCTCGCTGTCCACGCAGTACTACCAGATCCTCCTGGCACAGGGCGTCTGCAGCGCCATGGGCCTATGCGCGATCTTCCAGCCCTGCATGAGTGCCATTCCCAGCTGGTTCCGCCGGCGCCGCGGCGCCGCGTACGGGATCATCGCGTCGGGGTCCAGCGTGGGCGGGATCGTCTTCCCGATAATGATGAGCAGGTTGATCGGTTCGGTGGGGTTCCCCTGGACGATGCGCATCGCCGCGTTCTTGATTACGGGGCTGCTGGTCGTGACGTGTCTGACGGTCCGAGGTCGCGGGGCCGGTGCAGGGTCGGGCAAGAGACCTGCGATGGATCGCGAGGCGCTGTTGCGGCCGTATCGCGAGGTGAAGATGCGGTTCCTCGTCGCGGGATTCGTGCTGCTGACGTTTGGGATCTACATCCCGACGGACTATGTCGAGACGTCGGCCATCAGCGACGGGATGAGCTTGGATTTGGCGCAGTATGTGGTGCCGATGGTAAATGCGGGCAGGTATGTACAGTACAGTACAGACGGTACTCGACTTCCCTCCCCATCGAATACAGTTCACCCATCCACACTATCACAAGGATCCAGGGCGAACGCGCACTAACAATCGAGGGAAAATGTAGTATCATAGGTCGCATGGCCGCGGGCTTTCTCTCCGACGCCGTAGGAACGTACAATATCTTCCTGCTCGTCGGCGCCGTCACCGGCATCCTGATCCTTGGCCTCTGGATCCCCGCCGCGACCGACGCGGAGAACATCACCTTTGCGGTGCTCTACGGCATCACGTCCGGCGCGTACTTCTCGCTCCCGGCGGCCCTCGTCGCGAAGCTCGCTCCGCTCCCCGAGATCGGGTACTGGACCGGCGTGCTCTACCTCTTCTCGTCCATTGGCGGCTTGACCACGAACCCCATTGCCGGGGCAATTCTGGCTCTGGACCACGGGTCGTATACGGGCATGAAAATCTTCTCCGGCTTGCTGCTGCTTGCGGGGACTATGTTGGTGCTGGTGACGAGAATCCGGCAGACGGGGTGGGTTTTCCACGCGAAATTCTAGGCTCTGCTCTGCCGGCGTGTCTTGTGGTTTGGATATATAGTTTGGGCCTTGGTTATAAACATGTGTCTGCGAGTGCGTTGACCGGATAGATGGATAGTCTTCACCTAATGTTTAGTTACAAGAATGCTTGTCATTGAAGTGGATATTTGATAGTTTCCGGCTATATAAACCCCCTTCTTTTAGCTTACCGGGCCCGGGTAAAGCAACTGAGAGAAAGTAAATATACCACGTCCGGCCAATCTCGTTATGACCAACTGGGACTGATCTCGCCCGCTTGCGCGCATCTCTCTTGCACGTCCTTCCACATATTCTTTTGACGTAGCTAAGCGCTTAAATGTGCCGTGACTTCCTTTTCTCATAGTAAATACTGACAACGAATATTTATTCTTCCTGACGTCGAAAAGACTGTTAAGGGCAACAGCGGGAACGGCTGTATGACTCCAACTCACAACAACCACAGCTCGATTCCCGATGTTCTGTATTCTCCCTTCCAAGGACCCAATTACTCCCCAGATCGAAGAGGTCTAGACAATAGCATCGGGGATTCTTCCACGTCACGACCGTGAATACTTTACAATCTAGCCTTTATCTGGTCATGAGATGTTTTTTTAGTTCCACATTATTTTTTCCTAAGGTACATACTATTAAAAATCATTTCAAGGTGAATCCCCGTCTGGACCCCAGCCGTCAAGCTGATTTATCGATCAATCTTGTAATCTGTGAGACACCACCTAGGCTGTCATAGCTGATAGAGCGGTAGGCAAGGCCATCCTTCATTGAGGACTCCCCGATTGCTAGATTGATGTCTGGCCCTCGAATACAGTCCTCCCAGCGAGGCTCTCCCCGAGTATCGCCGACGGCCAACCGATTGCCCTTTTACGGTGCTGCCCTCAGGCCAACGGCTGGTATGCGACAGCATTGCACGTCTCCGTACCATCCACCACCCTCGTCAACTCAACTTTGAATCTATTCTTATACGCTCGTCTGATTTCATAGAGGAAGTCTTCCATCTCTATCATGTGCAATTCGTTCCGTCCACGTTTCTCTGCATTGTACTCCCCATCGTAGCGAAAGGTACCCCGGGGACGGCAGTACACATGGGTTCGGGTAGGGCCCCGCCGCATCCCCCTCAGGGTGATGACGTGTGCTTGATAGGCATAAACGAGGTCAACGGGTGGCTGGGTTGGATGCGACCTGAATCCTCGAGCGACCTTGACGCTAGTAACCAAGTATACCGCAGGCCTGCCGCCCCAGTACATCCCCGTATACTTCCCATACCGTAGGAGCAAATCCCCAATGCGCTCGTTGATCGTTTCTTCGCTGGGCAGAGACCTGAGAGAGACTGTTTCGAGCCTGTCAAATGAACAGTTTGATAGATCATATCGGGACTTTTCGTCATGATATAGGGTGTTGGGATAGCGCAAAAACCTGTCCCACAGCCTGTCGTCGTCGCTGTCGTCGCTGGACGGGCGAATTTCGATGACGGGAGGACCTTGCGCGCCAAGACCCATCAGGTTTGGGAACCGCCGATAGCGTGGCTTCCGTTCCATAAGCCAATGGTCAAGCATTTCACCCAGGTTCAAAAAGTCGAGTGTATAGTAGAGGCTGGGAGACATAATCCACGTCTTCTTCTCATCCGTCGTCGCTTTGGGAGGCGAGTCGGGCTCGCTGGCCTCCTTCTCATTGGAGCTGCTAGGATTCACCACCAGACAAGAAAGACGGGGGTCTGAAGGAGCCCGTGGTACAAAGAGACAATCTGCCGCTCCCTCCCCATCGAGAACATCGGTATTAGTGGTATAGGAAAGGGACATCAACTTGTCCGAGTGCATGGCCATGTGGGACAGCGCCAACAATCAACGACGTTCATCCTCGGATGCACCGTTTTCTTTGAAGTGGCGGGGCTCGCCTAGTAGCTCTGTTTGTCGTGGATCTGGAACTTTGCCACACAGATGGCACTTGCTCGCTAGGTTGACGTCCGTCTTTGCCTTTGTCTTTGACTCCAACTAAGTGATGTGATAACCATGATGTGTGTTGTTGTTCAAGTGGTAACTAACGGTAAGTAACTACTGAGCAGTTTGTATGGTTTGTATTGTTTTGCCAAGCACCGTCCCTGAAGGCGACTATTGTTGCCTGAGGCATCAGAAGATGACCCGGGCGGGAGGTGTCAGTGAGACAGGCAGAGAATCAGTCATGGTAGTCATGTCCACAGGCCGTAATGTATGCTGCGGCACATGTGATGTGATTGCCCAGAGCCAGGACCGCAGCCGGCGCTGCAGACGGTCCTCAACACCACCCAGGGTGAAGTCCGCAGTGGGTCAAGGTTCTCGAGCTCCAGGATGGCATGTGTCAAAACCATGAAGCATTTCTGGCTCACGGAGCTCGGGTGCATTAGCCTAGCCGAACAGGATTCACTTCCCGTCCTTTCGTCAACGGATGGCCTTGCCGTTCATCTCCGTAGACTAGTTTACAATATAGCCGAGGACTGCACCACCCGCACACGTGGCTGCAGTGGTTGGCGCTCAGCAGCAGCATCGGTGATCGACAGGTTGACTTGCGGTTCCTGGCGATTGTAAGTCGATTGACAGTCGACCTGCCCTAGCTCGTTTAATCTGTCTGGGTGGGCTGGTCGGCCACTCTGCCAGGATTTCTTCCAGTATGTTGCAGCTAGAATTGAACTAGACTAGACCTCCAGGCTACTATATAGAGGCCTGCCATAAGGCCCTCGATGTCTACCATGGCCATCCCCAGAGAATCCGATCTGCGATCATGCGTCTCCCGCTCACCCTCGCCCTCCTGCCCTTCTCCGTGCAAGCCATCAATATCATCTCGTCGAACGATGATGGCTGGGCCGAGATCAATATCCGCCAGCTGTACGACTCGCTTACTGCTGCCGGTCATTCGGTGGTGATTTCCGCCCCGGCTGAGAACGAGAGTGGCACTGGTATGTATAGCATGGCATAGCATAACATCCATAGCACACCCCTCAAGCCCGCCCAAAGACTAACTCCATGTCAACAACTACGCAGGTTCCAACGATGGCACGCCCAGCGTGCTCACCTCCCCCTGCGAATTCAATAGCTGCCCCACTGGCAGTCCCGCCTACGGCCAGAACAGCACCGAGCCGCGCTTCAACTACGTCAACTCGTACCCGGTCACGGCCATCAAATACGGCATCAACACCCTCGCCTCGACCTTCTTCGATGCCTCTACGCCCGACCTCGCCGTTGCCGGGCCCAACGTCGGCTCCAATCTAGGCTTGGGGGTGTTCTTCTCCGGGACGGTTGGCGCCGCCACCTACGCGGCCAACACGGCCGGGATCCCGGCGATCGCGTTCTCGGGCGCTACGGGCTCGCAGACGGCGTGGGACGTCTCGTCCGTCCCCGTCTACAGCACGGTGTATGCGGAGCTGGCGCGCAAGGTGACTGACCAGTTGATCGCGGCGGGCACGCCGTATCTGCCGGAGAATGTGTGGTTGAATGTAAACTTTGGCAAGGTGAGTGACAGTTCTTGTGCGACGGCGGACGACTTCACGTTCGTCCTGTCGAGGATCCACGCGGCCGTGCCTTTGATCACGGCGGAGGATGTGGAGACGTGCGGATCGACGAGATTGCCGACGGAGACTAAAGTGGTTGGCTCGGACGGGTGTTTTGCGAGTGTTTCGGTGGGGATGGCGGGGGATAAGTTGGATGCGGATGCCACGGTGCAGGGGGTCGTGTTGGAAAAATTGGCAGATCTGCTGACCTGTCTGTAATTCCTCTCGGGAGTTCAGAAAGTTGTCAAAGCGGTAGAATTGGGTGATTTTGGGCAGTCAACTATCCCTCTGTGTGTAGGGCTGCTGCATGTTTAGTAGGTCAGGGATATGCCTGTAGCTTCGCAATGAAATTGTAGTGAACGCAGTGCCACCTCGTCGATTGCTTTACCCTGCAGGTAGATTTCTTTCAGGTGAGGAAAGGCATCGTGGGTGGTTACGAGGACTGATAGTTCCCATAGTAGATCTGCGCAAAGGCTCTGCACGATGTCGAAGACCCGGAGGGTCCGCAGAGATTTGGGGAGCCGGTCCACAAGAATTCCTTGACTCTTGGTCCTATCATCTGAGACTGGTGGTAGCAGGTTGGCGTGCCGGAGCGAGATGGCTTCGAGGACTTCGAATCCGCGTAATGAACCCACGGGTGCATTGCAATGGTCCAGCTTTTGTTCATCCTCGGTCAACCAGAAGATGTCCTCGTAGAAGAGGTCCAATGACCCATCACTGTTCAGTAAAGAGTTGTAGAGTTCATCGTATTCTACGTGCAGGCTCTTCAAGGTCCTTGTGAACGGGAGGAGGGCTTGAAGGAATCGCGCTGGATTGAATGGGACCCCGAACCGCGTCTCGGGAAGTCCCACGAAGGTGCAGGCGATTCGCACAGAAATGTGCTCCAGCCCGGTGCAATCTGCCAGCCAGGTGAGCGTGCCGCGGGATTGCTTCAAAGACCGAACGATTATCCGCTTGACCGGGCAAGAGGCGTGGCCGGGTTTCCGCCGGCCCTCAGAAGAATTATCCCGTCCTCTACCTTCCCACATCTGGGCGACATCGACCGTTTCCACTGCCGGAAAATAGAAGAATGGGGTCAGGGCTTCGAGGTTGAATCCACGCTCGCACTCTCGTATTGAAATTTGCCGCAGATGAGGATAAGGAAGGGCCGCATCGAAGGGTCGCTGCCGGTTACCAGCTCTATTGATCATATCGCTTATCGTTTGGTTGTTGTAAAAGCCGACGAACTCGATGGTCTGCAGATGAGTTAAGCGAGTAAACAACACTCCCATCCAGGAGCCCCATCGACCGTTACGCAACCCCTCCTTCAGCATATCACGTGGGCGCCTTTCCTTGAGATCCCACATCGCGTTCAGTACGCCATCGACGAAATCCTCCACCTCGGATCCCTTATCATGGTCGAAGAGGTACGAAGGGTGGATGACGGATATTGGAAAGTGTATCTCAGCATGGCGTACCAGAGACGCGAGGTCAGGTCGCTGCCATAGGCGTATGACCAGGGACGTATAGCTGGCTGTCAATGGCGGAGTCAATCGAAGTTCTGAATAGAACAGCGGTTGGAGGATGTCGTATAATCGCTGACAGCACCGGACCAGAGAGCATAAGGTATATTTCTCGACGAGCTGTCCAATTGAGATAATTAATTCGGCTGGTAGTTCTTCCATTGAAAGTCGAGATGTTGAGAGGGCCGTCAGGCTCAGACGGTGTTGTTGCAACACCTTGCAACAAACACGGAGGGCGGTGAGATACCAGTTGCAGAATGAGCCACAGGGCCCGACAGCCTGGGTGGATTACACCCATCAACTATCCCGCAGAAAGCATCCACTTGTCTAAGTGGATCCTGCTTCTGAACTGTGAAGACATCTTTCTAATTATTATGATTATGGCTGTATATTTCCGTAGTAGCTAACCTACCAGTGAGCCACCAGGGCGTCTCTTTCCGACCCGATTCTAAGTCATTAAAAAGGGTTTAGCGTCAAGTTACGACCGTGGAATGCCGACTGCCGAGGGGACATTTATGCACGTGACTAGTGCAAAACTGACTCAGCTATATTATCAGCATTAGTTAAAGCGGAACTAAAGCGGAACCGGGCAGGAAATTGGCAATACAAATGCATGGCAATTGGCAGTTGATGCCGTATCTCTGACCAATTGTATCCACATCAATCACTGCTTTTGCAGTCTCCATGACGCAGCAGTCCCTGAGTAAGTACCTTAGCATTCAATCAATGGGCGATAGCCACTGGCCACCCGGGGATTAACTCAATCCGGAGTTTGCCTTGAAGGTTTGCCTGATTCTTCCCCTGTATCTCCAACAGCCGAGCACATTTCCAACTTCTCCCTTCTCTCACTCAGCCCCCCCAAGTCATCGTGCGGGCGAGCCTCCCTCTCCCAGTCCTTCCTTTGACCTCTCCTGCATGCCTGCGTCTCACGTATGCCCCAATTTATCCCTGGCAACACCAGTAACAACAACACCACCGGCTTAGAGCGGCATCTGGGTGACCCCAACGTCGAGGAATATGTGTTCCCGATCCTCATCGCTCTGGCGTGGTGCAACGCCATCGAGCTCATCGTGCTGTGCTTCAACACGTTCAAGCGCTACGCGGGCTCCTACTTCTGGAGTCTCCTAATCGCGTCCATCTCCGTCATCCCATTCGGGCTGGGTTACCTGCTCAAGATGTTCGACATCACCTCCACGCATTTCTACCTGGAGATCGCCATCTCCGAGGTCGGCTGGACCGGGATGGTGACGGGCCAGTCGCTGGTGCTCTGGTCGCGGCTGCACCTCGTGCTGCACAACCAGCGCATCCTGCGGGCGCTGCTCGGTCTGATCCTCGTCGACGGCTTCCTGCTGCACTCGGCCGGCACCGCGCTGGAGTTCGCGACTAACGCGCGGCCGCACTCGCACACCGTCGCGCTCGCCTTCAGCGTCATCGAGCGCATCCAGGTCGTCTGGTTCTGCGTCCAGGAGCTGCTCCTCTCCGGCATCTACATCTTCGAGACCGTGCGCCTGCTCAGGCTCGACGCCGGCTCCCCCTCGCGCGCCGTGCTCACGCAGCTGCTCCTCGTCAACGTCGTCATCATCTTTCTGGATTTGTCCGTCGTCGCCATCCAGTACTCCGGTTTCTTCACCTTGCAGGTTACCTTCAAGGCCCTGGCCTACAGCATCAAGCTGAAGCTCGAGTACATCATCCTCAGTCGCCTGGTCGATGTCGCCCACATCCGGACGCAGGGTTCCGGCCCGCGTTTTCGAATATGACGGCCGACGCGATCCCGTCCCGGGCCAGATTCAATTATACTGTCATGTACTGTACATTCTATCCCATTATATAGCCTTCTCTACCTACCCTGTATCACTCTAAATAAACCCACCCAAATTTTAAAATAACACTAATCCCGTCCCTCCATCCGATGCCGCATTATGACGCGCATAACCCATACCCACAACTCATCCACATCTCGACCCACTATCCAACAACCACCCCATGGGATCGCGGGGTTGATACTTAGTACTTACCTTAGATACTCCTATCACGCAGCGTGGCGTCAGCGTCAGCATTACCAATTCCTAATGGATCTAGATACTCAAACATCATTACCCCCACGTGACTCCGATCTCTTGCTCAGTAGCACCACCCACCCACCACTAGGTAAAACCTCGCTCCGTGAGGCCATTCCCTCAACCCAACCTCCCACAATTAACGATAATAATAATCCATGATGTAAGAACTCAAACCCCATAAGATTAATGCTTATACCCGCCAACGCAGCACCTTCTGAAAAGTGCAGAGAGAGCATGACTCCCCATCCCCAAGGAAAGACTTGCAAAATACCTACCTACCCCGGGAACATCCCCTGACGTACTGTATGTACCGGGGAAAGCTGGGCGGTGATGCAATCGTTGCCGGAAACGACAATAACGGGAGGCCCGGGTGGCTTGGAATGGCAACGCTGAACTCGTGCCAGCGGGAAGAACACGGGGGCGGTGTGGACCCGACCCGGACCCGGGCGGTCGGGTCAGTTCGGTTGGTTCCATGGTTACAGTAACTCATATAGTAAACCATTACTGAGTGACTCTCCGATCCGCGCTGTGTGCGCATGTCGTGCTATTGTTTATCTGGGAGGATGTTTTGAGGAGCGGCGTGTGTCGAGACTAGGGTCCCGTGGGACGGTTTCTGGGTCTGGTGGTTAAAGGAGTTGTATGTATGTAGAGACTAATCCATGAACTGCAAAACCTGATGAAGTCTAGTACAGCCATCGACCAATCGATATACATGGGATGTTCATGTCAGCCTTGTTTGTCCATTCGTGGCACTATTTACTTAGTAACGCTATATACATATCCCTCTTCAAATCTTCTTATCAGACCCCTGATCGCCCGTCTCGGTCTCCAGACGCTGCGCCTGGATCATCGTCGCGATCGCGTCCTCCGTCTTCAAGTATGTACGCTTGCCCTTCAAAAACCAGAACCCGACGGCCACGATGAGCATCACGCCGAACACGGCGATGGCCCAGTTCATGTCGCTGGCGGACGGGTTAGGGGCGCCGGGAAATAAGAAAAAAATGGTCGTGACAATGCAGTAGATGACGCTGATGTAGTTGATGGGGGCGCCCCAGCGGCCGAGGTGGAATTCGCCGGGCGGGAGCTTGTCGCGCCCGACGATCAGCAGCGCGGCGATGGGGAGGCCGTACGAGATGGTCAGGGCGATCGTGCTGACGCTCAGAATGGCCTGCAAGACCGTGTCGGCGAACAGGTACAGCACCCCCACCAGCGCGATAAGGAAGCCTTGGAACCACAGCGCCCGCGCTGGGACCTTCCACACCGGGTCGACGTGCATAAGGTACCCGCTCCACGGGAGGCCGCCGTCGCGCGCGAAGCCCCACGTCAGCCGCGAGGCCGTCGTGAGAATGCTGATGCCCTGCCCGAGGCCGTTGAAGATGAACAGTGCCAGCAACGTGGCGCCGCCTTTGAGCCCGATGGTTTCCAGCATCAGCTCCATGAAGGGCAAGCCGGTCGCAGAGTTGATGACACGGTCGATGTCCTGGATGGAGAACAGGCAGACAACCATGAAGATGAAGCCGGTGATCGCGCCCATGAGCACGGAGAGCCAGATCACTCTCGGGGCGTTGCGCCGCGGCGCGGGAATCTCTTCCACCATGTGGATCACCGCGTCAAAGGCGGTCAGACCATAGGCGGCCTGGACAAGACCCATGAACCACACGATTCCGTCGTCCCAGCCGGTTTCGTTCATCCAGTTGCCGAAGACGAAAGAGGCTGGCTGGAAGGAGAGGTCTTTCTTCACGCCGACGGAGATGAGCAAGGCCAGGGACAGCACAACAAACAGGGCCATGAACCAGACTCCAACAAAGTTGTTCAGCCATGGGAGGAATTTCTCCTTGCGACAACCGATGAGGTTGACCACTGTCAGCGCTAGGACACACCCGATGTAGACGACGAATCTCAGCCATCCCATGCCGGCACCGCTCCACGAGTTGTCAAACAAGACCTTCATTCCTAGCAGGAACTCGGTCATGAAGGCGAACTGGGAGGCCGTCAAGGTCCACCAGCCAAAGGTATTGATCCACGCACACATGTACGAGGTAAAGCGACCCAGAGGGTTCTCGCAGAGTCGAAAGACCCAGTAGGCCTGGCCCAGAGCAGTGGGCATACTGCTGGTCAGCTCCCCGAGGGAGACGGCCACGCACAAATTACATCCGGTGACCAGGACCAGCCCCCATAGAATAGCGATTGGGCCTCCATTGGTGAGGCCGCTATCGAGATCCTGAGCAAATGTGGAATAGGTGCCTGGATGCCTGAGGATTAGTTATCGTTCTTCGCCAAGTAGCGGGTCGGGACGGAAAATCATGGACGGGGCCATTATTGAATCGTTCATTCCTTCATTCATCCCAGTGACGCAAGATGGAGCATCTCACCTAGAACACAAAAGGCAAGCGACAGCATGCTCCAGATATCGAATTTACGCGAGAGGGCCTGATCATGGCCCATGGCCGCCAGGTCGTGCGCATCTTGGGCACTTTGGTCGCCCGAGTGGAACGGTTTGATTGTGTCGGGGTTTTCCACGTCCATACGGAGGGAATAGAAGGACAAATGACCTCAATGGGTGAAATTCAACCGACAGAGAGAGCAATGAATTCGAGAGATAGGCAGTTCACCCAACTGTCCATTTTCTGCTGATTGGGGATCACTTTTTGTGGGATGCCTTTGAGGGGTAGTTGATATATATGAAAGATGAAGTGGCAGTCCTCGGTCTCTTTCCCCTCACGAAGCGAACATCCTAGGCCAGGCAGCACAACAAGATGGGCAGGGAAGAGGGGGAAGGTTATCGATAGACCGAGTTTTGGGGAAGATAATCAATGAATTGAGTAATTGGTCGTGACCGGGGATCTTTGTGAGTGGACAGAAGAGATAAGTTTTGGTGATAACCGAAAGATTTTTTTCGGCGCGGTTCGTTTTTTTGACTTTTGCGGGGACATTGGGAGAGGTTGGGATTGGGAAAGTGTTTTCAAGTTAAGGCTCGGCAGGACTTCCCAAGTGGGGTTGGCAGCTTTTTTGCCCCATGAATCCGGTCTGTCATATACACTTCACCTCCAACTGTGAACTATGGCAGACTGTTGCAGACAGACACTGCATTGTACAACTGCAATCAGTTTCACCAGACATTCCATTCCAAAAGGTCGTTCAGATGACATCACCTCAGCTGTTATGCTCAGTATGAAGCCAATGCGTCAACACCTCTCAACAACTGACTCGATTATCTGCACCTGTTCCCTAGCCTCAACTTAGCGGAGAGATCCAGCCAACATGCTTCAACACCAGCCAACGCTATCTCTGGTGACTGGTGACATTTCCTGCAGCATCAGCTGGCCCTGCAGCATCATCATCGCATTCCCAATCGGGCAAGTGCACGCGGTGGCGATAAGTTCATCCGGGGAACAGATTGTCGATCGGAACCATGGCTTTGTTATCTCTTCCCCACCCCCCCGTGATTCATAGCTATCTCATCACACAGAACGTGGTCAATCCCAGGCGGAAGGTATACCAGAAGGTATCCCGGACAACGGAAATGGTGAGCTGGACAGAATCATTCCAGTCATCTGACTATCATCCCCTTTCGCACGCTATTCATACACACCAGCATACAAATCGCTTCATCCAGCATCGGAATTAGTTGGACGAGACTAGTCTCAGCTCTCTATTGAATCTAGGCATATTGCGGGGTAATAAGACTAGACTCCGACACGGGCGCTGACTGACGATCAATCCGAGACCGGAATCGCTAATTTAGGTTACGGCATAAACTTGCCTGATGATAGGTTCAAAGCACCGAGGGTGACGGGATGTTGGAATCGCGCTTCGTGATAATCGCTGTGTCCTGGTCTCCGCGGATTGGAGCTTTAGATTAGCATTCAACTCGACGATGGTCCTTGACTTTTGCATTGTGCCATGGCACTCTCCTAATGTCAATGCAAATCGATGTCCTTTCTGCATTGCTGCAACTTGGATCGCCTAGCCGGTCCAAATCTCACGCCGTTGCTCCTTTGTTGAAGGGATACCCAGAATCACATTGACTCGTGTCAATGTGATTCATCTGTTTTCGATCGAATCCATTCACACAGCTGAGCAATGTAAAGCGAGCGCCATCCACCGAATTGCGCGTGCTTATACTCCTACATGATGTATCATGTCTACACTAACAATCGAGTAAAGATGGACTTCACACGTGGTCAGAGCATGCCAGTTCCCAGATTAACAATAAGGTTGTGATTACAAGGGCTACGGAGGCAAAAGACTCTCTGCACAAGGCATGATTACTGCGCGCCCATGTTACTATAAGCCTGGTCACTCTCTGCCCCAAGCCACTTTATTACACCGCATTCGGCTTCTCCCCGGTCATATGTCTCGGTACCATGTGCCGCATCATGGAATCAAGCCGTGGCAGTCTATATCACATCGATGTCATGTGAGCCGAGCCTAGACCGACGGAGCGCGGATATCAGCTGCGACCCCAGATCTATGAGCCAGCTACCATATTGATCCATCGATTAACACGGCCAGGCAGGTAAATATGAGATTGTACATCCAGGCGGCATGGCACGAGGACCAGACAACCCCCTGTAGCGGTAAATAGACATCCACTCAACGTTTAATCCCTGTGGAGCCATTCTGAAAGCCCTTCGAGATCCTCTGAAGCCATATTGCATCATGATGCTCGGTACATTTGTTCAAGCTATACTTGGGCTTGCCAATCAATGTACAGCTTGGCAAACCAGCTGCCTGCCGTGCTAAACGAGATACACCTACTAAGAATTGTACATCGGTACTTGAGGCGGGTGACCTCGCCAAGAGGGAAGTCTGCTCAGATGGCACGAGGTGCATTGTATGAAGCTGCTGTGGCGACGGGGAGGATCCCACACCAGGAACTGAGTATGAAAAAGAACAACCCCGGATAAGGCTTTCGCGCCTGATTGAGGGTATCTCTGCATGCATGGCCACTAGCCAGGTATTTAGATCAGTGGTTCCACATGCAGGCAGCTGGTTTTATCAATTTTCACAGCTTTTTTCGTCGGTTTTTGAGGGTTTCTGGGCGTTCCTGGTGAGTTCTGGCTTCGGCGAAGCATCTACATAGCTAGCTACACTTAGGCGGGCTCCATTAGGTTAATGGAGCTTGACTTGAGTCGAATTGAATTGAATTGCTGTGGTGACGGATGTTTCAGGAACCGCTGTGGCCTGGACCACAGTGGATGTAAAGCCTCTTCCCTTGGGAAGTCATCATCCCGTTGCGCATAGCCATGCATCATTGATGGACATGCTCTATAGTCGGGTGCGAACTCGGCGCGCGATGCCAGCTCGAAGACAATGTCTTCATCGGATGCTGTGACAAGATCGTTGGGTATGCACCATTCCCCATACTTCCTCTCCTTACAACAAATCTATTCGCATGATTTTCCAGAGCCTGTATCGGAGATGCCACTCGCATCACCGTCCTCACTCCCTACAGCACCATCACTCCCAGTGACTCAACACACAACGTCTCAGTCGCGACGACGTCCGCAGACTCGTCACCCTCGACCCGGAGAGCAAGCGTGACCCGCACAACTTCATCATCCACGCCAACTGATCGTCGAAATAGACTACCGTATCCTCCCTCTCCACCTCGTCCAGCAGAAGACCCTCCACAACTCCCTCCCCGACGACAGAGCACACAACCAATTCATTCCTCAGCACATCTTTCACTGACCCGCCATCCCAGCCTCAACCACACCCTCATTCCCATCCGCTGCGGACACAACCACCGCCCCGGAGATTGCGAAGTGCTCCATCAAACGACAAGTATTGATACTAAAACCCGTAGTACAAATCAAAGCGCCTGGCGCGTGGAACGACAGCAACCTACGAGATAGTATACCAGTCCACGGGACCTATTATCGACGCAATAGCGCTAATCCTGCTAAAACCAACCCACTTACAGATAATTCTCAATCAGTCACAAGTCACCGTCCACCCCACAACATTAGAAGCCGGTATCACCACTTTCGGCCGGTCACCACTGATCCGGGTGCGAAATAGGTTCCACCCCGGAGCCAGGCGGGTCACGAACCGGCTGTCTGGGTTCTCTGCGACGTTCAGCAGCCTGTGGGATTTATCCCAAAATGCATGTGGTACCCGATCGCCGGTGAATCTCTTCCATTGCTTTCCTGTCTCGAGACTAGACGGATTGGGACAGACACGGTGATAGACGCTGAACTTTCCAAAGGAATCGAACGCTCAGGTGTGGAAGGTGATCGGTTAAGGGCTTTGATTGTCGGCTAATCGACCGTGGTACACGACCGGGATAGTCATCATCATATCCCCGGCAAGCGGTATTGTTGAGCTACTGCTACTTAGCTAAAGACTCAGGACTAGTATACTAGAACTGTCTTAGATATTAGCTGACGAGCATGCCTTCCCATTAGAGTGTAAAGGGACTTACACTCTCTCGCTTGGATCAATTAGTTGTAGAATAAAAGAAGACAGAATAGAAGGCTCCTCCCTTCTTACACTGTGAAAGTAAGGTAAGCACCGCCCGAAACCAAGATAAGGGGCCATTTACAGTCCGTTTTCATCTTCGGCTGCGGCGTACCCCAGATTCAGACTGGGATCTCTTGGCCCGTCCAGAGAAGAGTATAGGTGCATCCTGGCTGTACAAGCTTAGCCCAGTTATCAGGTAAGCTTGTTTGACAAGCCGTCGGTTCCAACGTTTCTTAGCCTCTTCAATATAGCACAATACCGGTTCATTGGGAAACTGCGTTATACTTGGCAGTAAGAGTAAGTATCGCGAGTACACCTCAATACCGATCCGCGTAAGATTGCTGCTCTCTAGATTATAAGATAATAGAATGGATTCTCTCTTTCGAAGATCAGTGAGACTCGGCGACCAGCGCGGCCAGAATGGTTGATCGACTGAGATGCTGCGAAGAGCAATAGTGATGGAGTATGCTGATTGCTAATACTCCGTCCTGAATGCCGGGCTATCATCTAGTTCCTGGATTAACAGTGGGGTATTAGGTCTATGTAAATTGCTTCTTAACGCATGTCTTTTACAATGGTCGTATTCGTCTTACGCTTACTGTTCTCCTACGCCTACAGTTCCCCTTCCATCTGATAAAATAATCTATTAGAAAACTTTTTTAGAAATTGTTTGTCGACGCCCGTTGTAGGCGAGAGTAAGTCGGGAGGTGCTGGGCGGTGGCTCAGCTGCCAGCTTATAGTACCATTGACACCGCACAGACCATCTTAGTGCTTAGTGCTTAATACAGCCAAGTCTAACTACTGAAACACTATACCGCCTGTCTTTCTGAAGATTCTGCCGGAGTAAGCACTCCTCCGGATCAGCGGTGCACCGGTCCACAAGCATCTTGCAGAGTTAAACCCAGAGTCTAACAAGTGCATCGTCAAAAATTGGTGATGCTAGAAAGTCAGAGAATCGATGATAAAACTGTAGGACGCTGTTACCCTTTGTATCAAACAATATAGATGTCATGCATACTGCTAGCTGAGAGCTTGGCGGAGGCGATACTAAGTGACAAAGACATCTTTTCAATCCGCAGAAGGTCGGATATCTGAACACAAGAGTAGAAACCTGCGAGTGACTAGACCTTTCTGAACTCATAAAATTCGCACCTCAATCACTGCATTCCTCAAGAATCAAGTTCAATTAAAGACGAAGACTAGAGGTACTAGCGCCGCAGAGACATCGATATGTCGCCATGGAGTGCCGAAATATATTCCCGCTATCCAACATAAACCAGTCAGAATTTCCACTATTTTCCTCTCTAGAAACATAACCCATATAAAGCACGTGAAACAAGACTTAATGCACCAGTCTATACCTCCACCATTCGAAAATAATTTGCTATTTCCATAATTGATGGATGAACTTCCAAGGTAAACCTGATTTGTAATCTGACCATCCAACAAGTCCACTTTCACCCATGTCTTGGCACCCACCCGCCAGAGCACTGCAACAATATAAGCTTTCCCTTCATCCCAGAGACCGGTGCTCTTGAAGAAACAATCCAGAAACATATCACACCATCCAGATCACCCTACTCGGGTTGAACTTATCACTCTACAAAATCCAATCCCCTCCATTTCGTTTCCCGAGACGCGAAAGACAAACACACCCATATTACGTCATTCCTCCCCCCCGAAAGAAAACCCAACCAACCAACAATGCCAGGCAAAATCGGCGTCTTCCCCGCGGCCGGCGCCCTAGGCACCAGCACGATCAATCACCTGGCGAAGCAGGTCCCGGCCTCGGATCTAGTGCTGGTCGCGCGGAAGCCCGAGACGCTGGCGGAGCTCGCGCGTGCGGGGGCTACCGTGCGGCAGGCGGACTACGAGGAGCCGGGGACGCTGGACCGCGTGTTCGACGGGGTGGAGGTGCTGTTTTTGATCTCGTATGCGTCGATTGAGATCCAGTTTAGGTTCGAGGTATGTATCCGACCGGTGTCCTTCCTGTTCGCGTTCTCTGATGGGGTGGGGGTGACGAGGGGCGCAATAGTGAGTGAGTGCTAATATGATTGGGGTTGGGTGGACAGGCACACAAGCATGCGATCGACGCGGCGCGGCGCAGCGGCGTCAAGCATATCTTTTACTCGTCGTTGGGGTTTGCGGGGGATCTGGAGAAGTCTAGTGTTGCACACGTGATGGGGGCGCATCTTAAGACGGAACGGTATTTGGCGGAGGGGCTACAGGGTGCCGATAATCATAATCGGATCACCTACACCGCGGTCCGGGAGGGGATCTACTCCGAGTCGTTCCCGATCTATACCAGCTGGTTCGATCCCGGCAACCCGCCCGCCAACGGCGAGGTTACGATCCCGCATCCCGGCGATGGGCCTGGAGTGACGTGGGTGAAGCGGGATGAGCTAGGCGAGGCTACTGCGAAACTGATTGCCGACTACGTGAGAGACCCGCGAGGGTTCCCGTATCTGAACCGCGTGCTGTTGCTCTCGGGTCCGAGGGAGATTACGCTGAAGGAAACGGTGGAGATTCTGGGGCGAGCGATCGGGAAACCCCTCAGGGTTCAGGAGACTCCGGTCGATGAGTTCGTTAAGCTGCCGCAGCATGGGCGGAAATTCTTCTATCATGGGATTGATCTGACGAGGGAGTGGGCGACGGCTTGGGACGCGATCCGGCGCGGCGAGACGGCGGTCGTGTCGCCGCTCTTAGGCCAGATCCTGGGCCGGGAGCCGGAGAGCTTCGAAACCACGATCACGGCGTTGTATGGTAGTGGTAACTAGATGAGTGGCTGGTCGCAAGTGTCAACATTTCCCTTCTCATGTACACAATGAATGAAATCATATCTCAGATGACGGCTATGACGCAGGAAGATCGCTCCGGTTCCCGTAGCGGGGTAAACGGTGGGTGGCATCGGTCCCTGCGTCAACTACCCGCGGCGGCGATGACACTTGCCGATTTGCTCTCGGTCGGCACTTGATTCTGCAGACAGGATACAGAGTTTATCAGGTTGATGATGCCCCTGTGGGTGATGATCCTCCCCTCCCCCGCGAACAACAACCGACAGCGCTTGCCGTCGGCCGGGAATAGTCTCTTCCGCCTCACGGGACCCGGTCCCCCCTCAGCTTGTCACGGCATTACCCCACGTCGACAGCAGCCGTCGCCGGGCGGTCGACAGCCGGAGTGCGCTGACCTGCACGTCAGCACCCCCTTGGGTCTTGGGCCTGGAGCCCCTTCCCGCTCGATCTAGAGAATAGGCAGTCCGGACCCGGCGCGTGTCTTGATCTGGTCATGGTCAGTGCTTGTGGAACTCGATGACGATTGAGGCTTGAAGACTCGAAACGTAGTCTAGCCTCTTGGTCCGGGTTCATACCTCAAGGGACCCAGGCCATGGGATTCAGCTCATCTGAATTGCAAATGCATCTGATGAACCGGGCAGCAGGTGCAGACTGAGTGCAGAGACGGACCCTGGCCATAACTGAGATCGCGAGATCTGATCTCTTGACGATTATCTTGCAGCTGCCTCTGATCTCATCCTTCGTCCCGGTGCCTAGAAGAATCGGATCAGCTAAAGAACAAATCGGGTGGCTGCACTGCGGGGTTACCATTCTGGGCTGGTCTTGTGAAGCTAAAGTCTAACCTTGTTCAAGGTAGCCGCTAGGGTCCCGAAGAGGACTGATCAATCAAGATGCAGTGCATAATTCTCGAAATGGGTTTTTGTCGCCTGTAAGTGGTAGCAGAGGCATAGGGCTGACAGGCACTGACACAGCCGAGTTTCAACATAGTTAGCGAGCAACTATCATTCCTATCGACGGGAATAGTGTATATCTAAGGACGATTGCCTTCCCTCCAAGGACCACCAGGTTCGTGACATCTCGTGTGCCGGAAACACCTGGACCGAAGACCGTAGACTTGATTCTGGTCAGCTGCTGGCAAACACGAACAGCTGAGTCACGAGGACGAGGCGAATAGGTATCTCAGACAATCCACTTGAACGATGTTGGCCCTATTCTCCAGACGACTTGACGGTTTCTTCCGATGGGAGACGAAAATAATGAGGCTTCAACGGTGTTGGGGATCTGGCGTTCCAGATTTGGGGTGAGGCATCGGAAACTAAGGAGGGTTCTGAAGATGCCGGATCACACCACTGGGTGGCATCGCAACCTACCTTTGGGATCCGGCATCCGGCCCGTTGTGTGAAGGCACCCGCTTTGGGGGGAGGGGCCTGAACCTTACTTGACAAGGTTATTTCTCCAGCGTTGAAGGCCGAAAATTTTACTAGCGTCCGCGCTGCTGGGGAGGGAGGAAGGGAGGGAGGAAGGGGGGAGGGGAGGGGCCGGGTGATGGTGTCGCTAGTGCATGCCGGAGATTTAGATGCCGATTCATTCGCTAATCAGCTTGCTTGGCTTACTTAGCTTTACTTCGCTGACTTAGCTGACTTTAGCTCGTTATGTGTGGTGCACGCAGGGTTGGGGGAAGTGGTGGTTCCGAAGTGAAACTGTCAAGGTGACGAGTTCAATGCATAGGGACGGGACTTGGGCTAGTACCGGGGTGAGGGGCCCTCTAATCAGGATCCGGTAGGAGGGGTAATGGTGGACTTGATGGATGATAGCTATCCAGTATCCAGTCCATCAATATGGGAATGGGATATGGAAGGACAAAACGAGTCCCGAGACATTCCTGCATCCACCCAAACTTCACCAGCCAGGCAATTCTGGTACTTTCATCCTGATGAGCTGGCGGATTACCATTATGTCACCAGGGTGCGAAGATGAAAGAAAACAGAGATTTAGCGAGGTCGTCACAAACAACCAGCACAGGCAGTCCGTGAATTCTCCGCTGACTCCGCTTCGGCTCTTGTTTTTTGTGCGTGCACACACATCTGTTTTTGTTTGGATGGTATAATATAATAAGCTGGTCATAATGGCGGCCATCACTGCGGAACCTTTACTTTTTTGGTCCCTTTTGTCTAGACTCTCTCCACCCGGACGGTCGCCGATCCACTTGCCTTGGTCTGTGTGCCCCGTGATCTAAATCAGGAGTTGATAACTTGATTCTCCTCGGAAAAGTAATGCTCAATCATCTCGAGTCTTATTCGCTTGAGAGAAGAGGCGGGTACAACAGCGGACTTGGGGATGTTTCCACGACAATGGAAGCAAGGGTTGTGGGGGAGCATTGATGCTAGAGTCAAACTGACCCAACAGTCCTCTCCCCCGAAGAGCTCGAGAGCAGAATGACAAAGACAGTACCTACCTGACCAGTTGGGCACCGGACCAGGGGGGCCAATACAATGGCGATCCAAAAAGGGGAGAATTGCCAATGGTAGCCTCACCATTGGTGGACGAATCGATATATTATTTTACGAATGTGATACAGATCGGTTCCCGACTCGTGTAGGCGAGAAAACGAGGGGCGAGAGGGTTTCGGATTAGTCGTGATTCCCACCCACTCTGCTCCGTACAGATCGTCTTTGGATCTGGGCTGGACCTGAAGGCTTCGTAGTACAATACATGGTACAGGAGTAATGGACATACTGTATCTAGAGGGCCGGACGGATTCAGTTGTTGCGGCCAATTTCCGCCGGGGGCACCCTTGCATCCTGAGGCACCACCACTCCGGCGTGCATCAACATGATACCTTGACAGTGGCCGCGAAAGAATGAACTACCTTTGGTGACTACCGAGCCGAATGCCTAGCATTCAGAAGGATTCGTGATAAGGAAATATTCTGCATCTGATCGACCCTCTGTCGCGGCGGATAACATCACCTCAAAGGGGCAAGAGACACGCTTTCGAGTTGCATCGATTCAAGACAACAGGCCGGGGAAAAATTCAATTCCGGTGTAGGTAAGGCGTTTCGAGGCGCCATGCTTGCTGTCAGCTGTCAATTATTCTACTGTGAACATTGAACAACAGTATAGCAGACAGAAGGTTTCAAACAGTCAAAACATTTCCCTCTCCCTCCGGCCGATTGTTCGGACCCGAGACTCGGCCGCCGGACGGCTTGGCGGAGCCACCATTCCTTTTTTGACGATCACGGGTCCACCCGAGGTCTCCCATGGATACCAATCAGGTCTAGATTCCCTCTGGTTGCCCACTGGGAGTTGAGAAGTTTCAACGGTTGTGCATCATCGATCGATCCACATTCACCCGATCCCTCCTCCAGCTCCAGTCTCCTCCTTCTCCTCAGGTCCTCCTCCTCCACAGTCCACACAAAGCCTCGAGGCAAATTGTCTCTGAGGTAACCTACGGGCTACTAAGGCACTGCCAGTCTTTTTGCCTCCCATCTCAAGTAATCAGTACGACGGCGGCCACTGCCGTAGCTGTCTTCCTGGCCCTATCAGTACCTGCGACCTCAGGCGGCTATGGAGAATTCACTGCCGAGTGAGGTACTAATGAACTATGCCCTGCTTTTTCGATGGATGATCCGACGGACGGCTCTCTTTCGGAGCCGGCCGAGTCAAGTCAGTTCTGGTCAGTCTGGTCAGTCTGGTCAGTCTGGAAGATGGATGCTCTGCATCCGGCTGGGGTGATCTCGGCTGTGCTTCACCGGCCCTGTGCAATAAACGGTTTGACAGGACTGGTCACTGCGTTCTTTGCCTTGTCTTCCTTTAGTGTTTTTCGTCACTGTGAGAATATTATTTTTTAATTATTATTTTTTATTTGTTGCCAATTGTCATGGTTCTTTTTTGCTTGCCATTGCATCATTGGCTTCGGTTGGTCTAGGGATCGGTTTCCAACGCCGGCTTCTCCTGAAATTCTCATCTGCCTTTATATAGACCCCTCCCCGAGCGCCTCTCTGTCCACGATCCTTTCAGATCCATGGTTCTATATTCAGAAGCTTCCTACCTTCCTCAAGACAATCTTCAACTCTTTGCCACTCGACCTTGATATCTGACTATCATCGTCGACGACACCAATCTACCTTGCAACTATCTGTCTTCTCATCTCACGAAGACAAACCATTCGCACCAACATCAAAACAATGGCATACACCAGGCCCGACAGTTTCACATTACCGGAGGACGAACGGATGTTCTTGAGTCAACCAAGTCCACTTACCCGTCCCAACGATTCCTTTCCCAAGGGGCCCGACCCATTGTCGGCCAACTGGAACTACGACAGCGCGATCGATCTCTTCTCTTTGAACACCATGATGCCCGAGACCTTTCCCTTGGAGATGTCCAATGACATGATGACCTTGGACCCCAAGGACTTTCCCACCGACTTCTTCGCCCCACCCCCGGATATCAGTGGCTTCACTATCTCCAACCACTCCGGTGAAGATGCTGCTTCCTGCGGCTCGCTTTCTTCCGTATGTCCAACCGCTAGCCATCCGATCACAATCGAAAACTAACATCGCATCCATAGGACCTCGAAAGTGACGATCAATCATGGTCCCCAACCTGCCGTGTCTCTCCTCTGGACTCCATGCCCATGGAGTTGCCCAAGCCAGTTTCGAGAACCGCCAAGTCTGCCGCCCGCCGCAAAACTGCGACTGCAACCCAGCAGCAGAAGGCCCGTGATGAGGTGGTGACGAGGTGGTCGTCTAGTCCGGAAATTACACCGCAGGACTACCCCGCTGCCAGCGTGTCTCCTCTCCTCGCCCCCTCTTCCCCTGTCACCACCACCCGCAAAACGACACGCAGCATGTCCGGGGATTCGAATGCCAGCACAGGCCAGGCCAACACGGCCACGGGCCGAAATGCCGCCAAGCGGGCCGCCCACAACATCATCGAAAAGCGCTACCGCACCAACATGAACGCCAAGTTCGTTTCCTTGGAGAAGGCCATGAGCGGTGGCATCCAGAAGCCAAGCAAGGGTGGATCGGCCTCGCTGAAGAAGTCCGAAATCCTTACCAACGCTATTACCTTCATGCAGCAGCTGCAGGAGGAGAACAAGGCCCTCCAGAAGGAGCTGGCCATGATGAAACAGAATATGGTCCCCAATGGGATGTGGCGACACAACAAGGGAACCGAAGCCTTTCACGCATAATTCTCCCTCGCCAGTGGGGCTTCCCTTTCTGCTATGACCGTCACGAACTTTTGTATAATATATTATGATGTTTTCCCTTGTGTTGATAATCCTTTATTATCTTGGGTCTGAGACCCCTCTCCTGTCGTGGATGGCGAATATGGAACGGCTCGGTTTGGATGGAGTCTTGATATACCCGGGATAAAAGTCATGAACTAATCTCATCCTCTCTCTCTTGATCTTACCTATACTTGATGTTCCTTGTAAACCTTTTCTTGCCAGTAACTAGTTAGTCAACTTAGTTAGGATTTGTTGCTGGATCAGACGGGTAAACAATGAATCGGTCACACCGCCAACCCCGCCCAACTCTCTCCCACCAACCCGCCTTGCCGTACCTACCTTAGTGCATCACCAACCAACCCATCCCGTCTGCGAGGGAAAGTCTCCCGCTCCCGTTCCATAAGTTGACTTAGCAGTTCTCCGATCAGTCTGACATCCGGCAGATTACTGTCAGTACCCCACCTACTTTGAAAGGTCCGACCGGTCCAGATTGTCTCCATCGATCTAGACCTTCCCAAGTTCTGCGATCTAGACCAACTGCAAGTTCTAGACTGTTCACGATATTTTGTTTTTCTCTTTCCACCTTCCTCTAAATATGCAAAGTTTGCTCACTACCGACCTCCGAACACATTGCTTTGACCGCGGCTGTCCTTCCTCCATCGGTCTTGCAAAACAATCACAGTAGCTCCTATCTGTCAGGGTCTGGACCAGCCATGATCATTTCAGCACCAACCCGGGCTGTCTGAGCACCTCATCTTGCATGAGCATTGACGGCCATGTAGCTCAAGCTTCAAAGAAAGCACGAACATGGCTTGTGATGTGAAGGCTGCTCCGTGCAGACAGGGCTCTCTGTTGCAAACACAAACAATGCTTGCTACTTACCGGTTTTCCTCTCTCTTTGTGAGAGGGACTGCTGCCTGTCCGTCCTCTTGACTCCGTGCTTTTCTTTCGATGATTTCTTTTTCCATCTAGACCTCTACAATGATCGTCATGAGGCTGATCAGGTTCTGGCTGGGTTTACCGGCTTAGCTACTGCCATCGGTCGTTCTGAATGATCTTTGTCAGGAAGGCGTATAAATAAAAAAGCGGGGAGGGGGTGGGTACCTCTCGCGACGATGCAGCATTATTCCGGCTCTGCCTTCTTCTTCTGAGCCTCTGACGAGTTTATCACGATTCTCCAATTGTCATTCTTGTCATCCCCTCCGTGCGAGAGATACAGGGAACTCGACTGTTAAGAACCGTCGTGTCCTGTCTTTGATCACTGTTTGACATGACAGAACACCAGACGTCAGATATGCCTGAGTGAGTTCCTGTCTTACCTCCTCAGTCTACGGCCATGGACAATGTTCAGCATTGCGTGCTGACTAGGACCTATGGTCTTTTCCAGTGGCAGCAGATCAAAATTCTCCTGGGCCACTTCAGCTACGTCAATGGCTGCGACAGGAAACGACCCTGGGTTGCCGTCATCAGAAGACAATACCAAGGATGAGGAGATGCTTAAGCAGTATCGATTCGCTCCCGCTCATAACGATCCATATTCTCTTCCGCGCAGGTCAAATGATCGCGAAGCACATCGGAGGGAACTCGAGGAGAAGATAGCTCAGATACACGCAGTTCTGGGAAGGTTACCTGAGAAGGGGGAGGCTGGCAAGCACTGAGATGGTTGTGCGACATGATCGACGGGGGAAAGTCGGGATGCTTCTGAATGACCTTAGACATGGCTTGAGGCTGGTTCTCGAAGCTACGTATCTCAAAGTATATACTTGATTCGTTTGCTCCTCTGCTGAGGTTCTGGGAGATTGAATGAGTTGGCTGTGGGGTGGGAAACTATTTCCGGGCCAATGTGACCTTACTAGTAGGTGCACTACCACCAGGTGAGACGTGGACTCAGGTACAATAGACTTGAAATCTTGGCCGGTAAACAATGGGGATTGTCAATGACTCAATTCTCAGAGCCTGTGTTCAATACTAGTATCCCTTTAATCTTCCCGCGTGCCCCTTGCTGCCCAGTGCAGGGCCAACCTTGCAACTGACAATTATCTTGGTCAGCTTAGCGACAATGGCGGCTTGGTTTTCATGCACTTCGCATTTGTAGAAGTGCTTTGCGGTTGCTTTTCTATTCATATTTCCATATATCAGAAGGCTTTTGGGCGTTGCCAGACATAAACTTGTCATCCCCTGAACAAAGGTAGATCTCCGATCGTCATCCGCGGATTCCCAAATATAAATTGCTTGGCATCATTGGAGAGCACCAGAGGGAGTTACTCAAAAGTCGCACAACGACTATTCCTTCATACATCCGCAGTTTCCCGGCGGGGTATCCTTACTGTTATCCTCCGAGTAGGATAAAGTCCCTCTCACCTCATTTATAAATTGGTTGTTCGCTTAATCACTCATATCATAACGTTACATCGTCAAGTGGAACAGAAGGGGGGAAGTGGTGGGTGCCTGAGGCTTGGCAACCCCGGTGGAAACAAACAAACAAACAAATCAGCATTCATTCCTGGCTTTCCTCCCTGACGATCTTCCCCAATTCCTCCAACCCCCCAGTCTTGGCTTGTCTCTCTTCTCAGTCTTCGCTCGCCTGTCCGACGGTGTCCGTCCTGAAAACATGCTTCGACTGACCTTCAGGTCCACCAGGCGAGCCAATCACCTTCCCCAATGGGGGAAATCGGCATGCACATCCAGGCATCGATGGACTGAATCGCATCCCAAGTGGTGAAAGGACCAAGACATTCCCCCTCTCTCCGGAGATATCACGCGAGATGCAGCTCCTCTCCGCTCTGTTCCACAAGAGGCAACCGAATAAATACACCTCCCTTCCCTGCTGATTGCACCTGAATCTCGTCCTCGTCAATCGATCCTTCCCTTCCTCCTCAACATGCTGCCCTCACTCTTCAGCAATGGTGCAGCTCTGTCACTCGCTGCCCTTGCGCTGCTCCCCTCTCTTGGAGCAGCCGAGGTCTTTGAGAAACTAGCCGGAGTCCCCAAGGGTAAGCGATCCCTATCTCCTGTTGCAGACGCGGCGAGCGCGGGCGCAAATTTGGGCCCAGTCGACCTTGTACTGACAATGGTGCTGCGATGTAGGTTGGAAATTTTCGGGCAACCCCAGCGGAAGTGAATCTCTTCGCCTTCAGATTGCTCTCTCTCAGCATGATCTCGATGGGTTTGAGCAGGCGCTCCTGGACATGTCTACACCCGGACACCCCAACTATGGAAACCATTTCCGCACTCACGATGAGATGAAACGGATGCTTCTCCCTACCGATGAAGCCGTCGCGTCGATCCGGGAGTGGCTTGAGTCGGCCGGAATCAGCGACATTGAGCAGGATTCTGATTGGATCAACTTCCGTACTACTGTGGACGGCGCCAATTCCTTGCTCGATGCCGACTTCAAGTGGTATGTCAGCGAGGACACGGATATCCGACGACTGCGCACCCTGGCCTACTCCATCCCTGAGGGAGTGGCTCCTCATGTGAACATGATCCAGCCGACCACGCGCTTTGGCCAAGTCAAGCCAAACAGAGCCACTATGCGCAGCAAGCCCAAGCAAGTTGATGAACAACTCCTAGCATCCGCTGTGCGCGCCCAGAACACCTCGCAGTGCAATTCCGTGATCACACCACACTGTCTCAAGGACCTCTACAACGTGGGAGACTACCAAGCCGACCCCAAGTCCGGCAGCAAGGTCGCGTTCGCTAGCTACTTGGAAGAATATGCTCGGTACGATGATCTCGCCAAGTTCGAACAAAAACTTGCCCCCTCCGCGGTCGGCCAGAACTTCACCGTGGTCAAGTTCAATGGCGGCCTGAACGACCAAACGTCCAGCAAGGACAGCGGAGAGGCCAACCTCGACTTGCAATATATTGTCGGCATGAGCTCTCCGCTCCCTGTGACTGAATACAGCACCGGCGGCCGAGGTCAGCTCGTTCCAGATCTTAGCTCCCCTGACCCGAACGACAACAGCAATGAGCCCTACCTTGAGCTTTTCCAGAGTGTTCTCAAGCTTTCCGACGCAGAGCTTCCTCAAGTCATCTCCACCTCCTACGGCGAAGATGAACAGGTACGAACTCCGGATTTTGTCCCCTGCTATGCCTTATCCTCTTTCGCCTCCCGATTCATCAGTTCGTTCAACCAGCCCACAAGCTAACACTTGATATAGACAGTGCCCAAGTCCTACGCTTTGACCGTCTGCAACCTTATCGCTCAACTTGGCAGTCGCGGCGTCTCCGTTATTTTCTCTTCCGGTGATTCGGGTGTCGGAGCTGCCTGTTTGACAAACGACGGAACCAACCGCACGCACTTCCCCCCTCAATTTCCAGCGGCTTGCCCCTGGGTCACCTCGGTTGGTGCCACTACGTTGACGAACCCCGAAAAAGCCGTCTATTTTTCCTCCGGCGGCTTTTCCGACTATTGGCCACAACCCTCCTACCAATCTGGTGCAGTGGGCAGCTATCTCACCACCCTGGGACCCAAATTCTCTGGGCTTTTCAACAGCTCCGGTCGCGCGTTTCCCGATGTGGCGACCCAGGGCACCAACTACGCGGTCTACGACAAGGGGTACCTCTTACAGCTCGACGGGACCAGCTGTTCTGCACCCACTTTTGCCGGCCTTGTTGCTCTTTTGAACGATGCGAGACTGAGGGCGGGGCTGCCTGTGTTGGGCTTCCTGAACCCGTGGCTCTATGGCGCTGCTACGGAGGGAGAGGGGTTTAATGATATCACCCAGGGAGGTAGTTTAGGTTGTGACGGACGGAATCGGTTCGGGGGCACGCCCAACGGGAGTCCTGTTGTACCGTTCGCCAGTTGGAATGCTACGGAAGGGTGGGATCCTGTGACCGGGCTCGGATCGCCAGACTTTGGAAAGCTGCTTGAGGTGGCTTTGAATGCTTAGTCCTCCGGAAATTGTGTTTCTTTGTTCATATTTTGTCTGGTGTTGAGGTGGAGATATCCGGTCTAGTCCCGAATATGCTTCTTAATGGTCAGCTATGCGGCCAGCGACGTGGTCAGTGATACCATTTCATGAGAATTTATCCCTTTAATATATCCAACTTCGAAGATCATCTCGCACTCCATCAGGCCAACTCATAACTACTGGCAGCTCCTCCAGACAAAAGCCATTTTAATCATGATTGCAGCCAATGTGACCAGGCCACCTGCTGACTCAGCCCGCATATGCCATCAGCACAACTCCGGCCTGATTCAAGATGTCACCGTTAGCAAACCTCCAAATGTGTGCTTGACAAGCACAATACTGCATGTCTTGAGTCCGTTTTCAGACTGAATAGGAATGGACATGACCGGGAATACCCTGTTAGCCGCCCAATATGACTACATCAGTCTTCACATAAAGACACCTGGGGACGCCACTGCTGACGGGTCCAGACTCTCTGGCATTGTTTGTCAACCATGGACGATTCATCGACCTGCTTCCCCTCATCCGCCTGAATACTTCGTACATGCTCGGTTAATGCCTCGTATATGATGATTCCTACCCTTGCTACAAGCATAAATGCATTCGGTTTCGGCCGGCGCCATTGCCTGCATAACAAGTCATGACGTCTCTCGCTATCATCGGTGAAGACCGGACCTGGGGGTGTTGAAGGGGGAAAAGCCTGAAACTCTTTAAATCAGTGGGTTGAAGAATATATAGCTGCAGGAGATCCTGTTCTACTGAAGGCAATTGTCATTTCTTTATTAAGACCTTACACCTGCACATACCAGACTTCCACATTATTTCCGTTACAAGTCAATTTTGCTACGCACAGGATACACTACCTACGATCACGAAGATGCCTCGATGGGTTCCTGGGGCTAGAAACAAGTCCGACTCTTCTCAACCGGAAATGTCGGACAGTTCTCCGCCCACTCGCAATCAGCTGCCAATGCTGCACCTCGCCGACACCGCGCGAAACAATCTCGTCGCGGGGGTCGGCGAGTTCGTGGGCACATTCCTGTTCTTGTTTTTCTCCTTCGCGGGCACGCAAGTTGCCAACACCCCCAAGCCGGCGGATGGTGCGCTGCCGAATACGCCCAACCTGCTTTACTCAGCGCTGTGCTTTGGGTTCTCGCTCATGGTCAATGTCTGGGCCTTTTACCGTGTGACGGGTGGGCTGTTCAATCCCGCGGTACGTTTGAGTATCTCCCCCAAAACCAGGTTCGGAAGGGTTCCTTTATGACATAGAGAGAGTATCGTTCGATTGACTGTGATCCTCCGGTCGCACACAGGTCACCTTGGCCCTTTGTCTGGTTGGCGGCCTGGCGCCGTTTCGGGCAGTTGTCGTCTTTGCCGTCCAGCTCGTAGCCGGCATTGCATCTGCGGGGGTAGTCAGCGCCCTGTTTCCGGGCGCGCTGAACGTTGGAACGAGATTGGGGGGTGGAGCTTCGATCTCGCAGGGTCTCTTCATCGAGGTCTTCCTCACGGCCCAATTGGTTTTCGTCGTCATCATGCTGGCCGTGGTCAAGCACAAGTCCACCTTCTTGGCTCCCGTGGGCATTGGGTTGGTCTTCTTTGTGACGGAGCTTGTTGGTAAGTTCCTCTGCTGTTCTTCTATTCTCAAGTTTCTTCTGTCTACCCCACAAAACGGCTAACAAGTAGTTTTCTTTGCAATGACAAGGCGACTACTACACCGGCGGCTCCCTGAACCCTGCGCGCTCGCTCGGCCCTGATGTCATCAACCGTAGCTTTCCCGGCTACCACTGGATATACTGGGTGGGACCGTTGCTGGGCAGTCTGCTGGCGTGTGGCTTCTTCGCGTTCCTCCGGCTCTTCCAGTACACGACCGTCAACCCGGGCCAGGACTTTAACGAGTGGGAAGCCAAGCAGGGCCCCGGATCGTGGGACTCCTCGATGCATCGCCCCTCCGTTCTCTCAGAAAGCAGTACGCTAGGCAGGGCGCACTCCCCGACGAATGGACGCTATGCCGGACCGGGGCAGCACATACCCCGCGGGGCCGAGCAGGTTTAAGGTGGCGGTTGATGATCGGTCGGCCGGTCCCGGCGGGATGGGAGGACTAGCCGAGCCATGGTACGGTTTCCTGTCACGGCCTGGAAACTATGCTTCTAGCCGCATGCTGCAAGTATGACGGATGACACTGTGGGGGTCAGTAGTTGGCTGCGTTCAGTGATATGGTGTTTAGCCTGGATCTCTTGCTACGGTTCGGTGGAGAGCTTGGTGTTAAATTGGTTGTCTACGTTGTGCATTGCTCTTGCTTGTGCGTGGAGTTTGGCCAGCTGAACTCAAGGAATATCTACTTTCCAAATAATTTCGTATGGATTCATGGACATGGATTCAATAAAAGACTCATATTCTGCCTTTTAGAAGAGAGCAGAGAGCGAAAAAGTAAGCGAGAATCTCGTATTGCACCATTGACTTTATACCTTTTCTTTCCTCTGTAGGGCAGATTCCGCAAGCGGTAACACTCTCCAGCTGGGTTGGCAGTACCACGGAACCCCCATCACTCTCCAACAAAGGTATGCCGGTGGAATTGGCCAAGCGCAGAACAGGTATATCCCACTTCTCCAGTCTCATCGGCCCTTTGGCTAAATCCACGCCAGATCTTGAATGCGAGACCCTGGGCTTTACACAGCAACGATCCTCTTACCTTCCTGCCGCCCACGACGGAATGTCAAATAGTCGGATTTACTTCCATTCCGGTCTTGACTCCCGGTACACATCGCCGGAGTATTCGCCGATTACTGGTATAGCTTCCATTGCTTCAATCTTCGGAGGAGTCTTCTACTCTAGGATTTTAGACGAAGATTTTCTGTTCGACACATGTAGTTCAGCAATTCTGCGGTCTGGGGCTCTAAAGAGCGCCGAGCTCGCTTAGAACTTCATAGTGGCCCCAGGTACAGTACGAGTCTATCTCCTTTCTCTCACGATCCCACCCAGACAGAGCACTGACTATGCCCAGACATAAAGATCGACAAGACTCTCTGTTTCGTGGGGGCTAGATCACAGCATATGACTCGCAAGGAAATCGACATTTCCCGGATATCAGGCCGCTGAGCTCATCTCACAGAGAGAGCAGGATCCTGTACCTGCCGTAGCCCGCGCGCTACCGTGTCAGAAAGATGATTTCGATCGTTCATTCTCCAATGCTCCGCCGCATTGGACGAGGAAAGCATGGCGATGGGTGCGTGCGGGTTGGATATCCAATTCGCTCGCGGCTTTGTTTTCGGCCCTCTGGGGGCCAAAAACATCGATGCCGCTAAAGCCTCGCTGAGCTGGGGAGTTCCCCTGAACACGCGTCGCATTCACTGTTCGTTAAATATGGCTGGTGATTGCTGTTTGGGCTTGTTTTCTCGTGGCACAGCATACCTACAGTCTTTACCCTGAATTTCCCTACCCCAGTCATTCTTTTACCATATATGATGCGTGTGTATATCGGGAAGACCCTGCTGGCAGGGCTTTGGGCAAGTAGTCTGGTCTCACTCTCTTCAGGGCTCTCCCCGTCTTCTCGACCGAGCTCGTCTATCGTTATCGGATCTCAGCCTGTGCATCATGCGTGGTCTACTGAGTTGGATCCGGCGGCAACGAGGGATGCCGGCGATACCGGTTCAAGCACATTCGTTTTTGCTGCGCCTTCGTCGTCGGTGACGCCTAGCTCAGCTCATGTTCAGTCGGCGACTAAGGGGAGTAGTGGTGTAATTGTTACATTGTCAGGTCAATCCTCTGACTCGAGTACCGTCGTTCACCCAAGCACCCCGGTTAACTCGCCCCACAGGTAAGTTTCGTTTGAGGTTGGAACAATGGCATACTTCCAGGTACTGACTGGTGGTAGCAGCAGTAGTCTTGTGTCTAGCTCTACATTTCTTAATAACCCGCATTCTGGCTCTCCTGCGGGACAGTTAAGCTCCTCAGCGGCCGTTGTATCTCATTCTTTCACCCTTGCAGTTTCATCGACTTCGATCACTTCTGTTACAAGCTCAAAGACCCGAACGAGATCCACCATCACTACATCCCTATCGTCGACGTCTGAACATTCCAGATCCACGGTGGCCACGCGCTCTGAGACCTCTGCTGCGGGTTCGACAAGCTCCACTAGCTCCCATATTGCGATACCCTCTGCAGGCTCATCAACTCCAGTTGTCTCGAGTTCTTCGTCGATCGTCTCGACGTCAACTCGCAATTCCCAGGCTTCGATGCAGACTACTCAGTCAAGCTCATCAACAGCTGTTGAGTCAAGCTCTGCCACTGTATCTTCGACTTCAACTCACACATCCAAGTCTTCAACGCTAACAAGCCAGTCAAGCTCAGCAAGCGTTCAATCTGCTTCCCCTAGCAGCACTCAGACAGTCACCACAAGCTCTACAAGCTCTAGTGTCACAACCACCGGAACCGGCAGCATTACCGCCAGCCCTAGCACGATCGAGTCTCCCTCCAGCAGCCCAAGCTCGACTACCACTTCTGCCGTCACGGCTGGCCAATTGTGGTCTACACTGAAGAATCTGTACAAGCTGGTGAAAGAAGCTTATCCTCTGATCAAGAAGTGGATCAAAGACCCCAAATCGGTCAAGGCAACCGACGTCGCGAAACTCCTCTATAGGGTGGTAAAGGTAGCCGACGATGCCAGCGACCTTCTCGCCCCATCTGGCGGTTCCAGTAGCTCGGGAGGTAGCTCTGGTGGTGATGCATGCGGCGGTGGCGGCTTTCTCAGCATTGTCAGCTGCCTCTCGGCCAATGCAGGGAGCATGGCCTCAACCCTCGAGGGAGCTGCTTCGGCTTCGGGCAGCGAGCTGGACGCTGCGATCAGCGAGGTCTCCTCTCTTTTCGACACCTTCGAGACTCAATCGAGTGCTCTGGGTGCTGCTGAGGCCACGTCTTCTAGCATCCTGGCAACACAGACGGAGCCGGTGACAACCACAAGCAGCAGGTCCGATGCGACCACCACGTCTACCTCGTATGCATCCGCTAGTGCTACGTCCACGATAACATCATCCTCCACAACAAGTTTTACTTCAAGCTCAAGCGCGAGCTCGAGCTCGATCTCGCATGTGTCTTCGTCTTCGGTGAAGAGTACAAGTACGACGAAGAAATCTGCAACATCTTCTGCGGTCATGATCGAGACATCCCCATCCTCGTCAAGCACCTCGGCACGGTCTTCGTCTTCCAAGCAGACTGATGGCAGCACTTCGATCGAGTCCACAGCGTTGTCAACGGCTATAAGCCAGTCACGCAGCTCAAGCGTGTCATCGCCGACGACAACCCACACGATCACCGTCTCAACAAACAGCACAGCCCAGCATTCTGCAACCATCACTCCCTCTCCGTCTCGCAACCAGAATGCAACAACCCTAATTACATCTTACACCAGCGCGACGGCCTCCGTCCCATACTGCTACAACTAGTAAGCCTTCCCTTGACTTCTCGTCTCTGCACCCCTGGATCCCCACTAACCCTTCACGCAGCGCGGACCCGCACGCAGGCGCAGCAGGAGTAGACTACTGCATCTGCAGAGTTGGCAACGACTACACAAGCCTACCACTACTGCCCTCGAACTCGGGATGCAGCTACACGAGCATCGCCTTGCCAACGACAACCTCCAAGGCCACCTCCACGACGACAACAAGCAGCGGGCCCTTCACAACAACTGACACAGACGGGGACGTCATCGTGTGCGCGAGCTCGACACTAAGCTACTTCCAATGGTCGACCACGACCTTCACCTACACGCGCTGCGCTGGCACCAGCACCACCGTGCACACAGCCACCCACTCCACCACCACCACGAGCGCCACCCCAACGCCCACCGCCCAGATGCTCATCGCCTACGAGTCCGACTACTATAGCAAATGGGCGTTCTTCACGCCCGACATGGGCTCCTCCGTCAGCTACTGCCACGACAGCCACGGCGAGATGAAGGCCAGCGGCAGCATCAAGGTCAAGAGCCCGCCCTACCCGGATGGCACGTTCAAGTTGAGTTCTTTCAAGATCGATGGTATGAGCGACTGTGTGTATACCGGTACCAGCTCGGACCCGGGCACCCTCAGCTGTCCGGATCTGAGCAGTGAGGTCAAGTGCACTGCGTATTCGGATACTGAGATCCATGATTGTTATGGGTATGTTACTATCAGTATGTTTGTGGGGAAGGTGCTGTGTCAGTGGTGATGTGATGTTGTTCAGCATGTGAGTAGTGTGCGGAGCAGTGGGTTCGGAGACTGTTTTTGCTTTATATGTGTGTATAATTAGATGCCAAGAAGATCTTCTTTTCTTGTATCATCTTCACTGCAGCCCGAGTATAGACACCTCAGTGATATGTGGTCAAAAAAGCGCAAGTCGCGTGTGAAGGAGGTGCGTAGCATTACAAGGCAACTGACAAAACGCCCCCAATCAACCCAAGACAGACCAGCCAGCATCTTATATCTCTTCCACACCAGATACCCCGCAAATGCTAAGCCTTAGGATCTAGCCCGTAACCCAACCATGCATCATCAGACCAGTAAAAAAAAGCATCATACCACCCCCCAAACCATCCATATATCACTCATCCCACAACCCAACATAGCCTTCCAACTCCTCCAAACCCTCCATACCCCCACTCACACAAAACCCACCCACCCTCTCAGTCAATCAACATATCATCCACTCCCACCTACGATAACCACCCTACCCAACCCTATCTCCAAGCAAGGACACGATCCACGATCCTCGTTATCTCTCACCAATCAACCCGCCCGATCCACCACGCCCAGAATCTTATCGCTGCAGCGGCCCTGCATCCACACTAACCCTACAAGGCTTTCTGATCCGGGGTTTTGGTATGTATCCAATTATCTCTGGGTGGTGGGGAGGAGTCTTATCTTTGATATGCTGTTGTGTCCTGGGGATAGGGTCTTGGCGGTGTGATTACAGTCATATCTTAGGTTGAGGTCGGTGTCGTATCTGTGGAGCTGGGGAGGTTTGTGTGCTGTGTGTGGGATTGGGGGGTCTTGGGGTCGATTACTTGTGCTTTTAGGTGGGTATTTGGTTGCGGGTTGGAGTGATAAGGGGTCTTGGTGGGTGCTTGGCGGATGGGGATTCGGATCGGGGGATGAGGATTGGGATGTGGATGTCGTTGTGGAAATTGTGATTCTTGGTTTGCGTCAGGTTTGAGGGTCGAGAGTTTGGAAGGATGAGGTAGATATATTGGGAGGATTCCTCGAGGAGGAAGGTATGTATCTGACTCGGCAGGTTCCTTTCTTGAAGTATCTTCGATATGGCTACGGTATGTGTATCCTCGCTTTTGCTGGTCGGTTTAAATTGCTCATGTCCGGCCAGCCTGTCTACAATGCCTCCATGCCTGAGGGCGGAGACCCGCTCGTGGTCGACGTCAACGCCCAGTACGTGGGTTACGAATACAACTACGTCTACATCGTCACGTGCACCTTTGTCGTCTTCTTGATTCTTCCCGGCATCGGGCTGCTGTATAGCGGCTTGACGCGGCGGAAGTCTGCCATGGCGCTGCTCTTTCAGGCGTTCATGGTTCTTGCGGTGTGAGTGTCCCAGTGGTTATCCCTGGTGACTCCGACCTCCGACGTTGACACTGACGCAGCTCTACCTTTCAATGGCTTTTCTGGGGATACTCGCTGTCCTATTCCAGAGACGGAGGCCCCTTCATCGGCACCCTGAAGAACTTCGGCATGATGGAGGTGCTGGTTGCCCCCTCGCCTGGCTCCGCTGTCCTGCCTGAAGTCGTGTTCTGTCTGTTCCAGCTGCTCTTCTGCGCATGCACGGTAAGTGTCCCGGATGTTTTGACATACCGATGCTAAGAGCTACAGGTGATGATCGTCGTCGGTGGGACCTTTGAGAGAGGTGCCATCCTCCCGTCGCTTGTCTTCAGCTTCTGGTGGGCCACGGTCGTCTACTGCCCGCTGGCTCGCTGGACCTGGAGCAGTAACGGATGGCTGTACAACCTCCCAGCCATTGACTTTGCTGGGGGCGGTCCTGTGCATATCGCTTCGGGAGTGTCGGCCTTGGCCTATGCTTTGATCTTGGGGAAACGGAGAGATTACGGGGCCCCGTCTTTCCGCAAACCCCACAATACAACACTAATTTTTCTGGGAACCGTCTTGATCTGGACTGGCTGGCTTGGCTTTAATGTAAGTCTTAAGAAGGCCCGGGATTTCGCATCTCATCTAACCTTTGATGATCACAGGGCGGTTCGAGTCTCAATGCGAGCATGCGCGCAATGGTCGCCGTCTTCAACACCAACACAGCCGGGTGCACGGGAATCCTCGGCTGGGTGCTGGTGGACATGATCAAGCATCGAGGAAAGTTCTCAATCGTCGGTGCCTGTGAAGGTGCGATCGCTGGTTTAGTCGGGATCACCCCCGCTGCCGGCTGCGTGTCGCTGTGGCTTGCTGCCTGCATCGGATTCATCACCGCCATTGTCTGTTCGCTGTTGCAGAATGTGAACGAATGGATCGGGGTTGACGAAGGCTTGGACGTCTTCAAGCTCCACGGTATCGGTGGGATGGTTGGTGCGTTTCTGACCGGGTTGTTCTCCAGCCAGAAGATTTCCGCCCTGGATGGCAGCAGCATAGCGTCCGGTGCGATTGATGGCAATGGCGTGCAAGTTGGGAAGCAACTGGCGGAGATCTGCGCCATCTCCAGCTACTCGTTTGTTGTGACTTGCGCCCTGCTGCTGATTCTCAAGTACATCCCGGGCATGCAACTTCGTGTTGACGAGGATGCCGAGTTGTTAGGGCTGGACGGAACGCATTTCTTCGATGAGCAGATCGGGGACTGGTCGATTACTCAGGGAGGCACCAGTCCTACTTTGATCGGAGTGTCGCAAAATTCCTCCGGGTCTATAACGAAAGAAGAGTGCCAGATGAAGGGGAGCGGGGTATAGACTGGCTGCAGGCAACTTGTTTTTTCTAATTGTGATCCCAGCTTGATCCCGGCGTGTTTGTAGATCTCTGTGCCAAGTACTGCACGAAAACATTAGATTCGGCTGCATCAACATGGTGGTCGATGGTCTGGACGCGCGGCCCCCTGTCGTTCATCGTATCGCGGCTTCGCCTGAGTAGCACAACGAGATTCGTGGTTGTAAGTCTATATCGCCTGTTGTTGCTCGTGACAGGGATTGCTGGAAGCCGATCGGAAGATGGTTTTCTCGGGCCAGATAGGTGGAATGATGCCATTTCAGCACTGTCGCAGCCTGGTAGGGTACGGTGGAGCCCAGAAGCTAACTAAGAGCGGGTGCATCGTCATTGTCACCAGGTAGGAACGGTGGTCCAATTGCGGTAGAAGTCCAACACATCTGAACCTTTTTTTTTCTAGTGGGGTAAATATAAAGATGGCTGGTCGGTGTCAGGCGTCCAACAGGAGCGATGATGATATTGTTGATAGCCTGGACGGGAGTTGCTGTGAGAGATGGAAAGAGAGGGAAAGAGAGGGGCGGGAAGTGGAGGGAGAGTGCAGTGGGTGGTCGAATGGCCAATCAGCGGGAAAGGCGGTGGACGAGGCGTGCAGAGCTTACGTCAACCCCGGCCGGGGTATTTTCAGTTAATTAATTATGAATAATTTTATCGACTACAACATTCTTGGACCAGGGCAGGCTGGCCGAGACCCTTTCCATTTTCATCTACGGATATTGTTGAGAGATTCTACTTATACAGGAGTGGGAGATAATTGATGATTTATTCTCCATTCTCTTTGATTGTCGCCTAGAGTCATATAGTCATAGATTCATCTATAATTACCACTCCAATCGATACGGACTCCCGGGAACGTGGTGATGGCCAGTCTGGAGACAACGAGAGAAGTCTGGACCATTCCCGAATAGGCTTAACTCCCTCCTGCCGCATCCGTTCCCGTCTTATCGGACTTCATCCACTAAACTCTCTCTGTCACTTTTGCCTTTTTCCTTTCGACCCCTTCTCCTTCTCTTACTCCTAGTCTTCCTAGTCTACTCCTCGTTCGTCTTCGTCTTCTTCCTGCCATTCTTCCTCCCCACTCCTCCTCCTCCCTTACCCCCCCCGTCTCGTCTTCTTACGCTCTTCTCTTTTCCTACCTTTGACTTTCGACTTCCGTCTTGCTTCCTCGTAGCAAGAGTCATTCGTTTTGTCACCATTCTCCCGGCCGACTGTCGCATCTCCCTTATCTGTGACCGACTCCCTCCCGCCTTCGCCGTACCTTTGCGATCGCAACATTCCGCTTTTGTGCATACATTCAACTGCTGACAACGATCGCTACACCTTTGCTCCCCTTATCTGAGTTGGCCATGCTGCTCAGATCATTTACTCATTTATAACTCTAATCATAATACTCTTGTCGCGATCCCCATGGGCAAATGTAAGCCGCCGGTCGCATTCCGCCCCGCTTAAAATTGACTCCAGGGTGCTAATGCAGGGAATCATAGGGCGCTATGGAGTCGTCCTGGACGCAGGCTCGTCCGTATGTTGGACTTTAGACAATCACGCTTGTTGCAGCCACTAATACCTGTATAGGGGACCCGCGTCCACGTTTATCGATGGTTAGACAACGCCGTCGCTCGCAAAGAGGCTGATGGCGATAAACTCAAGTCGCTCCCGGAGATCAAAACAAAATCCCACTGGACGAAGAAAATACACCCAGGTACCGACCCCATTGTCTCACCCAATTTCACGCAACTCGAACATGGAATTAACATCCATCGCCCATAGGAGTATCTTCCTTCGCCAACACACCGGAAGATGTAGGCCACAAGCATCTTGCGGAGCTCCTCGATCATGCCCGCGAAATTGTACCGGACGATTCCCACAAAGACACCCCGATCTTCCTTCTCGCCACCGCTGGTATGCGCCTGCTAGGTGATGTCGAACGAAATGTATTACTTGAGCAGATCTGCTCCTACGTTGGCGCCAACTCGGACTTCATGCTTCCCGACTGCGGTGTTCATATTCAGGTTATTCCTGGGGTGACCGAAGGTCTGTATGGGTGGATCGCCACGAATTACCTCCTGGGGAGCTTCGATTCGCCAGGAGCCCACGACCACGGCAAGGGTCACCATACCTACGGCTTTCTGGACATGGGTGGCGCATCGGCACAGATCGCATTTGCGCCCAACGCGACAGAGACTGAGAAACACGCAAATGATCTGACATTACTGCGGCTGCGCAACATTGACGGATCGGACCAGGAACACCGCGTGTTCGTTACCTCCTGGTTGGAGTTTGGGGTGCACGAGGCTCGGAGACGCTTCGTGGAGTCCTTACAGGCGGCAAGTGCTGTTCCCGATGCCACGGAACTTCCGGATCCCTGTCTACCTGCAGGATTGCGTACCACGCTAGATGGTAAGCCATTTGCGCCGGAGGATGACACCATTCATCTGCTGGGAACTGGCAAGTTCGATGAGTGCTTGCGCCAGACGTATCCTCTACTTGACAAGGATGCGCCTTGTCCGGACCAACCTTGTCTCCTTCGTGGGGTACATGTACCAGCTATCGACTTTGATGTGAACCATTTCGTTGGCATCAGCGAATACTGGCATACGACTCACGAGATATTTGAGATGGGCCATAAAGATAAAGCGTACGACTTCCATACCTACCAAGATCGCGTGCAATCCTTCTGCTCTCAGGATTGGTCGAGCATCGAGACCGGTCTTGAGAACCATCAATGGGGAAAGAAGGTTGATCGAGAATCGGCCTCCGAGGTTTGCTTCAAGGCGTCATGGATCATCAATGTGTTGCATGACGGCATCGGAATCCCTCGTGTGGGCTTGGACGCGATGAAAAGTTCAAGCCACAACGGAACCAAGGAGGTGCTGTCTCACGGTCAAAGCAAGGGCTTCCTGGACTCGTTCCAGGCAACCAAAAAGATCGAGGACACAGAAGTGAGCTGGACTCTCGGAAAGATGGTCCTGTATGCGTCCTCACAGATTCCTATCGAATCTCAAGAGGCACTTCCCGTTGGGTTTGGCAGCAATGTTGCCGGGGTCCCTAGTGACTTTCAGTACCCAAGCGCCGAGTTGTTACCTGATCCCGAAGGAACGCATAACGGATCATGGCGCGATGCCATGCTCGAGGGAAGCTCATCCCGCAGAGTGCCCGGTCTCATTTTGTTCCTTCTTATCCTAGTCGTGGCTGCATTCTTCCTCTGCGGACGCAGCCGCCGACTCAAACTTTACCACAAGGTTCACAATTTTTTTGGCGGAGGCGGCCCCTCCCGTCCCAGCTATCCAAAGAAGCGGAGGTTCCTCGGCGGCAAGTTGCCTTTCTTTGGCCCGAGAAGTCCTACCTACGAGCGCGTCCTTGAAGATGGCGCTGTCGCCTATGATCTTGGTGAGACCGCGTCTAGTCGCAGTTCTTTCGATGGGGGCCGCCCATCAGAAGCGGACTCGTCGAAATTCCCAGCGCCGAAGCGGGCATCGAGCTGGGGAAGCGGTAGCAACACACCTACGTTCAAGTATGCGTTGGACAACTCATCTTCGGTGACCATTGGGCTCGGGATCACTCCGAGTCCGGGTGTCTCAGCAATGGATCGACATGGTCTGGTGGTGAGGACAGAGAGTAGGGATCACCTGGCACCGGTGGCACTGGGTCCGACCACAAATGGACGCCGGTCCCGGGCTGGCAGTCCTTCCCGATCTCATCCCAACAAGTCGCCAGTCATGACCCCTCTCACCGATGAATGATTATCTGTATGATTACGTTTATGCCATCGTGTTGCATTTTCAGGAGTTGGTGTTCGTGCAGCCAGACTAGGGTTGGTTCTTGGTATGATCTTGTCGGAGCATGTGCTCTGGCGTACATAGTTACTGTTCAAAATATCTGTCGAATTAGACCTAGCCAACTTAGTTATGCCAGGTGTCAAATTCACTTAATGAAACATTCTAGCCAGCCGATTTACTAACTGCGAAACGAACATCACGTGCGTAGAAGCGTGGGACTGACTAAGTCCTTCACCGCCCTGGCAAAATCATCCGCGATCCTGAAGCCGTACCGGGCCAGGCGCAACGGGAGCTCCGACATTTATTAACGTTGTATCATCCAACAAAAGCTTGCTTCCCTACTTCTAGACCAGCTGCCTCTCGACTGCCTTCTGTCTTATTAGTGTTTTACGCGCATGATACCCCCATAAACCCGAACCCCATCACCACCGCCACGATGCGCTTGACCGTCGAACTGATCCAAAATTCCCTGTCGTACATCAACCCGCTCAAGGACCGCGAGCTAGATCTACGAGGTGCGTTCTACAACCAACACCACCCGAATATCTGAGAAGACGGATACTACATTCTTGTCTAAGGAGCTGGATTGATTATCGAGTCGTTTGCGCGATGGTGTAGGGCACAAGATTCCCGCGATTGAGAACCTGGGTATAGCCAAGGTGGGTTTCCTCTTTTCCAATTATCTCTATCCCCTGGCGCTTTAGGCCTATGCTAACGGGCAATGCTGGGGATGATAGGACCAAGACGCCATCGATCTCACAGACAACGACATCACAACCCTGGGCAACTTCCCGTTCTTCCCGCGCCTGCACACCCTCCTCCTGGCGCGCAACCGCATCAAACACATCCAACCCACCCTCGCCTCCTCGGTGCCGAACCTCACGGCCGTGAACCTGACGGCCAATGCGGTATCTGAGCTCGCGGACCTCGATCCCCTGCGGGGATTAACTGGGTTGACGCATTTGGTTGTTTTGGAGAATCCGGTTACGAGGAAGGAGGTTAGTTCTCCTCCTTTCCCCTTCTGTTGTGTTGCTCGCCGGGGCTGTACGCGGGAGTACGATGCTAGGAATTGACAGGATTCGCTTTTGTTCGCTGCACCTCGCTAATGCTTAACGCCGCAGCACTACCGCCCCTACCTCATCTGGCGCATCCCCAGCCTGCGCTTCCTGGACTATCAGAAAGTGAAAGACGCGGAGCGCGAGCGAGCCACCGAGCTCTTCGGTACGGCGGAGCAGCCCTCCGCGCTCGCGTCGAAGATCATGGGTGTCAAGTCCCGTACCTTCGATGTGCCCGGTGGTGCTCCTTCTGAGCGCCCCGGCGCTGGTGAGCGCGCGGTGCGCGTGAAGTTGACGGAGAAGGAGCGCAAGCGTGTGGAGAAGATGATAAGGGAGGCTAAGAGTTTGCAGGAGATTTCGCGGTTGGAACGCGAGTTGAATGAGGGCAGGATACCCGGTGGTGCGGTCGATTATGCTGATAGTGGGGATGAGATGGAGTCGTAGGTTTGGGGTTAGATTGTTTTTACTTCAATGGAGTGGTTTTGGGGTCTTCTTTTGAGTTGTGGTGGTTGGATGCACTAGTTGTGTAGTGTTGCTTGGTAGGGTTGGTTGTTGACATGAGTATTGTCTTTGTGCTGGCAGCTTAAGGAAAAGACTGTGTCTATACAGCCAATACAATCTACGGCCTATCCGTATAACTACATCTATCACAATCTACGGATACTAAGTCTGACTCCGCAGTCCAACATCGCAGTGCAGCTGTAGATAAGAAAGCTCACGTGAAGATAACCGGAACAGCTAGATTAACTATAGTAAACGTCATTCATTCACCCGGTCACTCAATGTCCCCTCCATCACCTACATACCTCCCTCACCAAACCCATATCCTCTCATTAAACCCACCACCCAGCACCCTCTACACCACCAACACACAAAAAAGAAGAAAAAAACACCGTGGCTAAAGCAACCCCCCGCCTACAAAACCTCACCCGCCTCCTACGCCCACAATCCCACCACAATCACAACCTCACCTTCACAACCAAAACCACCCCCGATACCCTCAAACCCCCCAAAATGCCCCCGCAATCCCAATCCCAAGCAGCACCCTGGTCCACCGACCTAAAATCCCACCTCTCGCAATCCAAAACCAAATCCTTCACCCTCTCCACCATAACCCTCGACCCGCGCACCAACGCCCCCGCACCCCGCTCCCGCACCTGCGAACTCCGCGGCTTCTTCCCGGAGGTCCTGAGCCTGCACCCTAGCGCCATTGAAGCGCTGAACACCCAGCAGATCGGGCTAAATCCTGAGGGGTTTGAGAGTGATATGCCGGTTTTTACGACTGATGCGCGGATGGCGAAGATCGGGGAGTTTGCCGGGTCTGGGGCGCAGGTTGAGGCGGTTTTCTGGTTGGCGGAGGTGGGGGTGCAGTGGCGGGTTCGTGGGGGGGTTTCGGTATTTGGTGGGGGTGAGGATACTGAGGCGGAAAGGGAGGGGAGGGGGGTGGTTTGGGGGGGTGTTAGGGTTAAAGAGTCTGATGGTCCTGGGGTGGTTGATGGGAATAAGGGGGATTGGTCGTGGGAGAGGATGGTGACGACTTATTTTGCGAGTCATTCGCCTGTTATGCGAGGTTCGGATTGTTCTGTTCCTTTCTTTGTTTGTGCGGGGAACAGGGGGTGATGGGATGGGATGTTAGGGTTGAATGGCTAATTCGTTTGCTACTGTAGGCTCGTTCAGGAACCCCCCGCCCGGTGCCCCGCGGTCCAAGGACCCCCAGAACCCCGATCTCAAGATCGGGCAGAAGGTCCAGGACCTGCGGGATCCGGTCGCCAGAAACAACTTCCGGGTCGTGGTTATTCGGCCCGAGGAGGTGGAGATGTTGGATCTCTCTAACGCGCCGGACGCCGTTCGGAAGAGGTGGACTGCTGTTGGGGATGGAGCAGAGGGCACGTCATGGGAGGAGATTGAGCTGTGGCCTTGAACTGGCAGGTGAAACAACCGTCACAAAGGTGGTTTTGTTGTTGGTCCTGGTTGGCTTCTTTGTCTGAACAACGGACAACGGATGCAAGTAAGGTTCAAAGATCGGATAAAGGCCTTGGTGCCGAAACCATGGCGTTTGTTGATGCGTACAAAGGTGTACCTCTGACCCAGTTATTGTGCCGCCGAATATAGACCGCCATGCCTTCAGACTGCTCTCGATATAGATCACGCTCGTCTCAGCTCCTTGTGCTGGAAGGAAAACAATGCCCGGTCTTGATTTACATTGTTAGTCGCTGTTCATCGTTTCTCGGAGAGCTTCATCTTCATGATATAAAGCATGGTGCTCGGACGTCAACATTGATCACGCACAACACTCCAAGAGCAAACGACTTATCAGTCAACAATTATCAGCCAAATAACCATCAACTTACTTCTTATCAGCAACTACCCATCAGCTAATTACCCCAAGAACGATAATATTCATTCCAATCTTTCCAATCCCGAATTATAGTACTCCACGATCCAATCTCTTCCTTGCGACATGGCCAGAATCATCAACACAGGACCCAAGGAGGGCGATGGTAAAAGCGCCCAGCCAGCTGGAAAAAGGCAGAGCAGTAGACATCTAGCCCGGTTGAACACTGGGCAATCAACCGAACCAGCCGGAAAAGAGGCCGAACAATACGTGGGAAGGGAGCTCGGCTCTGGGAAAGCAGTCACCCAAACAGCTGGGAAGGCGGCCGCACCGAAAGCTGCAAAGGCAGCTGCACCGAAAACCGCAACGGTCTCTGCACCGAAGGCTGCAAAGCCCAAAAGAAAGGTTTGTTGCTCACCTAAAAGGTACACCCTTCCAGATTCCTCATGCTAACTGCACCGACATCAGTACACCATGGAAAATCCCGCGTGTGAGGCATGCCGTAAATCGAAGAAGAAGTGCCCGCATCGTAACAGCGCGACACAAAAGGAGGAAACGGATGAGGATGAGGAAGACGATGAGGATGAGAGCGAGAAGGAGGTGAATAAGAAGAAAAGGAAGAAGGACGACGAGGATGGCAGTGATGGCCAGGGAAAGCGTTTGCGGCTGCACCCGCCAAAGCCTCCGCAAGAAGAAGAGAAACAAGCACCGAAAGGAGCTGGAGCCCCTAAGAAAAGGGGTCGGCCTCCAATGAAGGCAGCCACTCAGGCAACTGCTGAGGCAGCTGCTGAGACATCCACTGAGGCAGATACGCCTCAACGTCGTGCTTCTCCAGGGCTATCCGACCCATTGAATGTGGCGGGGCACATAACGACGAGCAAATACTATTGTGACCAAGTGGATCGCGCAATCAGCGCGGCGAATGCTAAATATGAAGCAGCCATGACGGCCATGAAGACGGCCAAGGAGGCATTGGAGGCTTGGGAAGAATTTTATCGGAGGCACAGAGACTCGCCCATTGACTGAGTTTCGCGGGCCCTCAGCTCAGCGGCTGAGATCGGAAATCGGTGGTGATGTAAAGAACAGAGTCGATGTAGTGTAATAGAATGCGTTCATTTCACTTTACTTCACCCAGGGCTAGCTTGACTAAAGGAGCAAGGAAGAAAGCAGTGGCTGCGTAGGTTGCATGATCCGAGCATTATTCGGCGAAGCCGATCTTGCAGGACGAGTGGCTCGTCCATGATAGGATTGTGCCCCAGACATGATCAAGCAGCACGCTGACGAGAGAATACAGCAAACGTCGTGTGATATTCCGGATTGAGGTATCATTTGGATGGTATCCATGCTCTATTGCGGAACATTTCTCGGGGTACTATGTCATGCGTCGTGGCTGGGTTGCGGATCAATAAACATCAACGAAGCGTGTTGGATACAGTATCAGTTTGTTCGCCCACCACGGAATCACCGATGGACATGTCATCACGACTGGGGGGAGGGGGCGCGCTCCTCATTCATCCTACTTAGTACTTGGATCGCACAACATCAGAGCCAGCCAAGCCAATCACCCATCGATTTCTCGACTCGGAAGGATCGGCATTTCCATCTAGCCAAACACAACACAAAGACAAAACCACCACACTCAATGGACTGCACGACACAGCAACGGCTGCGTTGGTTCCCGTCAGGCAATAAGCAATACAATCATCAATTGGAGCCCCTTCTAAATGACGGGACTGGTGGGGGGGTATTATGTTCGTCTATAAACACCTTGACGATCCTAGCGCGTCTCCGCCATCTGTCAGAAGGTGCAGCACTGCAGACCGTTACGTGTCATAACTCGCTTGGGTAGAGTCGCCGTTGCCGATGGACGAATTTCTCGCGCGTGAGCGACCATTGCGCTCGGCCTTCCCCTGCTGGTTGCATCGTTCATAACTTCTTTGCTTGTCTGACAGTCATCGGCACCAGGCAGGACGAACGGAACGGTTGGACAAGGTGCATGCTGGTTTCAAACTTGCTTGTAGTCGCCGGGGCACGTGCTGACAGTGGACACCCAAAGGCGTCTTGCTCCGAAGATCGAGCCCCGAGGCTTCTGTTGTTTGAGATTGATGAACAGCCAGGCTTCCAGAATCCTTAGAATGAAGAGGGTCCAATTTCTAGAAGGCCCTCTTTTTCCTCGACAGGTGCTTGTGGCCGAGCATGCACGCCGCCAACACAACTGAAGAGAATACAATGAATTCCCGCCATGAATCAGCAGTGAGAACAGCTTGTTTTTGCTCGTGCATCCAAGCAATCGAAGGCAGCGTTACGGTTGCTCACCGCTTGTCTTGTGCAGGGGACATGGATGTGATTCCATCTCGGAGTCGAGTGCTCTTGGACGGGAGGGAAGCAGAAGATCAAGAACAAGAAGTAGTAGTATCATTGGCAAGAATAGGTTTAAGAGTGAGGCCACCAATACTATCTACATATCACATGGTAGGGGAGGCCTCCGTATTGTCCGAGTGGATGGAGGGGAAGAATTCGACAGTTTGCTGCTTTGTTTTGTTGCTGGGGTAAGATTGAGGGTAAAATTACTGTCATGGCCACGGACCCAGTTTCGGGCATCACTTTTCGGGGACGTCACTTTCTCTTTTAGCTTCCTTTCTCTTGTCTCCCGCCAAACCTACCAGTCTTTTTTACTCTTCGTTTACTCTTTTTCCCTCCCTTTCCATCCATCCATCCATCCATCCATTCCATACCATCCTTCCTGTTCATTCATTCATTCTCTCTCCATCGTTCCCCTCTCTTCCTCCTTCCAGCCCCTCCTCCTCCCCTCACCACTTTACCCTCTTTCTTCTTCCCTCCCCTCATCCAACTAAAAAGAAATAATTTTCATTCATTTTTTCAGATTTTGTTGTTTGTTTAATCTAAGTCCGCGTCCGCTAATTTAGTGCCACACACCTCCTTCGCGTGCACTAGTCCCTGACCCATGGAGCCATCATTGTAAGGGTCTTATTAGAGTAGCAAACCCTCACACCTCATCATTACCATTCTCGACCTCCCGCCCTCGTTCCCGTCGGCCACTTTTAACGATCTCACGACGAGACGACCGACCTAGATACCATTCGACAGCCCTCCTGGCTGGTCAACTGGATAGCTTCTGGATCCCGGGCACTATCGCGCGGTCCCACAACCTTCCAGATCAACTTCGGACTCGGAAGTGCATATCCGAGGGCCGAAGTGCACTTTTCACCCCTTTCCAAACCCAAAACACCCTCGCCAACCATGTCCGCTGGCGAGCAGATGGACGCTCTGGGAGCGTTCTCCTTTCTGTCCGACAATGTACCCACCTGGATTGGTCAACTTTCGGATCTGGCTGCTCACACAGCTGCCAAACACACCGAATACGCCAACGCCTACAAGCGACATGCTGCCCTCCGAACTCGACGCCGCAAGAACAGCTCGGTTTGCTCCATCCACACGGACGACTTGACCCTCCCCTCCACGGCTACTCTGTCTCCCTCATCGGCGGCCGAAGCTAGAGAAGGGACTGCCCTCACCACCCCGAACACCTCCCAAACGCCATCGAACTCGAACCCCCGCAAACGTGGAGCCGAGGATGCACTCTCGGTCGATTCGAACGAGCAGGGCATCTTCGTCAGCACCCGGCATAACCTCATCATTGAGTACGATGGACACACACAGAAGGTCTTGGAGGAAATGGTACGCAACATAGGGACGGCCCGCAACAACATCCGCAAGGGAAAAATGTCGCAGCTACGCACAGCCGGGTATCGCAGTGCCGTCCTGATTCGAAGTTCCAGGATGTCGCCACTTGCTGCCTCGCTTGCGAGCCCTGGAGCGACGGAGGATGATGTCCTGTCCAGCATCCGCAAAGCTCGAACGCAAGGTCCCCCTACACCCCGGACCGCGGCCCCGCCGCAACCTTCCCCCCTTGATATGGCAGAGAAACAACTGGAGCTGGCCCATGTACAATGCGAAACCGCTGCCTATCATTTTCTCCGGTCCGGGGAGTGTTCGGCCGAACTGGCCAGCGTGGAGCAAAAGCTCAAAGGACTGCTTGACCTGGCGACCCAAGAAGTGCGCCGGCTCAAGACAGAACGACCGGAAACCCCTACGGTGCAGGAGGAGAAACCTCCAGCTGTTGCACCACAGCCCGCCATGGCAACCACCACGATTGATGGCGACCGTCATTCTATGACCAAGATGGATACCATCGAGGTGGATGATGGGTCCGAGTCGTCTGAGTCAATTGACCTGACGGTCTTTCGAGCCAACCGGATTCGACGATAGGATGTGAAGATTGGAATTGAAACAGCATTTGGCGGGGCCACTCTTTTCACGGCATGCACGGGGGTACAAGCATTCGTTCTAATATCCCACTAGCGATGATACCACTCAACCACACATATCAGCGTTCTTTTTTTTTAGGTTTGATGTACTGACCCAGCGATTTACCTCCCTCTACAAGCGTGCCTGTCATTTAGCCAATAATGTTGATTCAGCATAAGGGAGTTTAGTTTTTAGCATTTCTAAGTATTTTTCTGAACAATGAAATGTCATCAATCAAACAATCTAAATTCCATCAACCATACATAATATGTCTAACATACACATACTTAATAGCTAATCTCCCGTCATCCCAGTCAAACTAGTAACAAAACCAGCGATACCGGGCTCCATCCACCCGCATGATCGGGCTCCACTCTACTCTTCCCCCGACCGGGTAGGGTCTGCATCATTGGTCGATTCAACTGCAGCCAGCCATCCGAGCAGCAAAAAGAAAGTGACAGGGATCGTGATGCACCGAAGACCAAGACTTAGTCTACTTAGGTAGATACTCGGTGATGAAGATGGAGAGGAGGGATCAGCAGCCACTCCCGGCGACGGCTGGGAGCAACCTTTTCCGCTTACGCTAGACTCGCTGTGTTGGGCGTTTGACGGTGACGTTGGACGTTTGACGTCTGATAGTGTTTGATGTTTGCGGTGAAAGGGCAAGCAAGCTTGAAGCTTCTTGACTCGTGTTCCGATGGGCCAATGATAGGCTCTGGAAATATGTCATCGGGGGGATCCATCCCATAGATACTAGAGTAAGCTGGAGTAGGCCATCCGGGGCCGGGGAGATGGGAACCGGTCTTTGCGATTGTTTGGGTTCCGGTATTTCTGATTACAGTGGGCTGTGGACTGTATGCAAGTATTTGTGGCGAGGTTGTGGGTACCATGGGCGAGAGTGATTCTTTGTATGAATTGGATCGTTGATGCTATTGTTGTCGACAATCGCGAGGTCTCTCTCGGGTGGAATTGGTTGACTCTGTCCGGCAGCGCTCTGACTACCGTAGACTAGACTAGACTTGGGGAAAGTGGAATCTGTTGCAGAATGGTGGGACTGACAGCGCCTTGCTAGACCTAAGATGGCTTAGTTCTGGTCTAGACAGCGGCGGCTGCCGGCTAGCTTCGATGGTGTTCGTTCGTTCGGGGCTCGGGCTCGATGTGGATTTTCATGCGACCCGTGCTTGAGTATAGGCTTGTTTGGAGAGTGAGCGGTAAACATTTGCGAAGGGCTTCGGGTTGTGTGTGTTGATACCTGGTTGAAGGGAGGTTTGTTGATTCGGAGAGTGTTCGTTCAGGGGGTAGTGTTGAGGTACTATCAATCTTCTCGACTGTAAAGTCTTATTTGTCTTTTTCTAAGAGGCGGACTCGCATCGCCCGGTCCGCGCTTAGCACCACTGCTGGTTCCATCATTCTAGAAGCTACGGATACTACAGCCTCTGTTTGAAGGCGTCGGTGCTGTAACTTGACAGAATGATCTGATCGTTACCAGTATGGCTTGTCTGCCTAAACAAGGTTGCTGCTCGTTCCAAGCAATAGATCTCTAACCAGCATCATCCACAATGACTTGATTGTCTTATACTGAGTGAACCAGTCGAAGGGCCGATCTAATCTGATCTGATCGATAATTCGTGCTTTGTCTCCGCCGTGGTGTACCCTGACAGTAAACTATAGTATACTGAATGGTATTTTGATCAGGAAGACTTGTTTGAACGAGTAAAGAATGCATTCAACATCTACTAACTGTGTCAACGATGAGATCTAATCTGATCACTCTCTCTTGCCTTGCCTCATTTTCGTCCGGAGTTTACCACATTGTCAAGTCTACGTGAATTTCGGTATTCGGTATCAAACCATATGTTAGTCTGGACTACAAGCGGAATGGTGCAAGTGCTGTCCGTTTGTGAATGGGCACTGAACAGGGGATTAAGACGGGATATTGAGCAGAAGCGAGACCGCATACAGAAAGCTCTTGGAGGGATGGGCGCAAATATGTGTCTCAGAACTAGAGGCACTGGAAGTGATTGCACACAACTATTGGAAATACCTCAGTCCCTTTCTGGAGGCAGCGTCGCTCTTGATTAAGCTGCATTAAGAACTTGTTGAAAACAACTTTAGGCAGCTGTCGAGTATCACTCATTAGATGCTGCCAATGCCCTTGTAGCGGATTGTGATGACATCTCGTGGTAACAAGACTGGTGGAGAGTACAAACATCTGAAAAGCCTTCCTACCAAGCATCTACCAACACCACCTGCCATAACCCTCATGGAACAAGCAAGGCCTCAATGCACATGATTAGATCATTCACTTTGCCCTCTCAGGAACTATTCACCCGACCGTCAGATTGAGGTGGTACAGTCAATCAGATGCGGACCGGGAGTGACTATGAGGCGCGGTTGTACCTGCCATTTTGACAACCTGTGACTGGACATATCTGAAGTAAAATGACTACAAAGCCTTTCAGACGATCATTGTCATCTATACCGCGCATCTCCTATTGTTCACCAGCGCATCTATTCTTATCCAAGCTTCCTCCCTCGCGTTTTCATATATTCTTACCAAGTCCTATAAAACCTCTAGGCGACCATCTGATGTTGACGCTATTCTTCTAGAATATGGATCTATTGCAACTTGATCTCAAGACAGCAGAGAATGCCCGCGATGAACAGTCGAAACCTCCACGTCATAATCGTGGGCGCGTCAATCTCCGGCTTGACCCTCGCTCACTGCCTGTCCAGCACCAACGTCGACTTCACCCTCCTCGAAGCCAGGTCAAGTCAGTTCACCCACGGGGCTGGGCTCGTCATCCAGCCAAATGGGGCCCGCATTCTGGACCAACTGGGATTGTATGATAAGGTGTCGCGGCAGGCAGAGCGCATGGTGTCGCACACCACCTCTTTCGACGATGGGCGCCTTCTTCTCAACATCGACATTCGGCATATAACGTTACGACGGTAAGCTCTCTAGATGCGCAAATAGATCCTACTGTATCTAACCAGAGAATAGGACCGGTTACCCACTATCCATTATCTCACGACAGGCCCTATTGAGTATCCTGTACGACCATCTTCCTCGTCGAGATCGCGTGCTCTTCGATAAGAAGATCGTTCGGGTGACTTCCTCGCCTAAGGCTGTCACTGTTCACACTGCCGATGGATCACAACTTTGCGGGGACCTGGTCGTCGGGGCAGACGGTATCCACAGCATAGTGCGCTCACAGATGTGGCAATACATCCGATCCAACAAAGATGCTGCCCGTTTTTTCCTAGCAAGGGAAATGCCATTGCATGTTTCGTTTACTGGAGTATTCGGCATTTCGGACCCCATCGAGGGACTCGAACAGGGAATAGCCTATCGTACCTGCGGAACTGGGTGGTCGATGCTTATCTTGGTTGGTACAGACGCACAAGTCTTTTGTTACGTTTCTATTGCGTGTCCGCCTTCGAGTAAACCACATCGGCGACGACAGCAAGGCAAGGCGAGCCTCGAGCCAATGTTGGAACCGTTCCTCCATGTACACGTCACCCGCCAAGTTCTCTTTCGTGAGGTATTTCTCCATGCAAAATCATGCACATACGTTCCGCTCGAGGAATCTTTCCAAAATCAATGGTCAGCAGGGCGATTTGCATGTATAGGAGACGCAGTGCACAAGGTAAGCCCTAAACTCAAAGTTTCTCCTATACTCTCGAGCTGATTGTCCTGCTCGCAGATGACGCCCAACATAGGACAAGGGGCAAATTGTGCCATCGAAACAGCTGCTTCCCTCGGAAATCATATTCTTCTAGCCAGCAACACCGATGCTCCCTGCACAGAGGAATCTCTCGGATCAATGCTGGGGACCTGGGAGACTGCGCACAAAGGTAGAATGCGAACATTCTCTTGGGTTGCACAGTCCGTTGCGCGCATTGAAGCAGGCGGCAATTGCTGGAAACGATTCCTTCGATCTTATCTTGGATACTATCACGCGGCGATGGGCATCGCGCTCCTCGGCGATATCACTCCTCAGACGGCACGAGTACAGCATTTGCCCTTACCGCCGCACAAGATCACCGCTGTTGATAGTCGGATTGACCCGCAGGAGAAGGATTGGAGCATGCGCTTCTCAGGAATACCTGTTGTGTCGACCATAATCGTGGCTTTGCTCTTGGTTGTCCAGTCGCTTACAAGACCAGAGCCCAGTGGAGTAATTTAGCAGGCTTGGCTAGGGTTATGAAGTTGGTGGGAGTTGGAACCGTATCGTACTTCATTGCGCGAAATGATTTCCGATGGGAAAGACAGTAGGGAAGGCAGCCGTATTGTTGGAGGTTCAGCATCAGCTCGTTGAAGTCACGTTGCTTGGGTCGCTTCCGTCCCGCCAATTTCAGCCCACTTGCGGGATTTAACAAAGCCACTGATCTCAGTCTCTGTTCAGAATCAAGCCCAAGCTTCTTAGATAACTGGTTCGGATTAACCCCTCAATGTCGCACTTGCATGTGGTATCAGTGGTTATCTCATCAGCCGCTGCAAAAATGTCGCATGGCAGGTGCAGTGCCGCATCGGCATGGTTGACAGGTGAAGCAATGTTACCCCAGGTATAAAGAGCAACACAGCACAATGCGCTTTTACATGGGGCTTTCCATTCGGCGCTGGCTCAACTGTGTCTCTACCGTCTGTCTTTCTGCGAGAACTTCCACTCCCTCTATTCAAGATGGCAAATAAGCAGATCAGCTCACCCAAGGCGGAGGCAGCCCGCCTGCGCTGGCAGGAGGTAGACGAAGAGACCGGTCTTCAGCCCAGGAAACCACTTCCCGAGCTCTCGAGAACCATGTCAGCTATGTCCAACAACTCTCAGCTGTCTGCGCGCAGTCGCACTAGGAGAGCGACCGTGGACCCTTCTCTTTCTCTGCCAATCCATTATCGCACAGTGTGGGTTTTCTCTGCTCTTTAAGTTTCACGGGCTAGATAGGAGTTGACACTAGATTGATATAGCTCTTTCGACATAGACGAAGCAAGAGAGACTCAGCGCGTTGAGGCTGCCAAAGCGAAAGACAACGTCGCGACAGGTAGACATTTCTCAAGCTAGTTGTTGTTTCACCCTGTACGATCTGTGAGCTGATGTACAACTTTCTAGACCTTTCAAACCTCGACTGGCACCAAATCACCTCCGAAGAGCTACAGAAACGATGGAAGGTCGATATCTCACAAGGCCTTTCAAACGATCAAGTCCAACAACGCGTTCAGGAATATGGAAAAAACGCTCTCTCCCCGTTGCCGCATCAGTGGTTCTGGCAAATATTCGGCTACTTCTTCAAAGGTTTCGGGGCTATCCTTTTGATAGGCAGCGTTCTGGTCTTTATTTCCTGGAAACCTCTTGGACAACCTCCATCGATAGCTAATCTTGCCTTGGCTATCGTCCTGCTTGCGGTGTTCTTCATCCAAGCTGGGTTCAATGCGTGGCAGGATTGGTCTTCGTCGCGAGTTATGGCCTCGATCACCGCTATGTTGCCGGAAAGTTGTCTGGTTCTCCGCGACAGTTCACTGACCGTTGTCTCTGGGCCGGACATTGTCCCTGGTGATGTGGTACATCTTACGGCTGGAACCAAGCTGCCTGCTGATCTGCGATTGGTTGAAGTCTCGACTGATGCGAGCTTCGACCGTTCGATTCTGACCGGTATGCTCCCTCATAGAATATCGAAATCGATGCTAACAAGGCTCTGAAGGTGAATCTGCCCCGATCAGTGGAACGGTTGATTCGACGGATGACAACTACCTCGAGACACACTGTATTGGGCTTCAGGGTACACACTGCGTAGCCGGGAGTGCCGTTGGTGTGGTCGTCTCCACTGGTGACTCGACCGTTTTTGGTCGAATTGCCAAGCTGACGAGTGAGCCCAAGAAAGGCTTGACAACTTTGGAAAAGGAAGTGTTGCGCTTCGTGACTTTCATTGTCGGAATCATGCTAGCAATGATCATCCTTGTCGTTGGCGTCTGGTATGTACTGTCCTAAGCGAAGCATGCTGCTCAAGTCTCACTATTCACAGGGCTGGTTGGCTTCGAAAAGAACACCCCGACTGGATCAACGTTCCAACCCTTATTGTCGACTGCGTTAGTGTTGCTATCGCATTCATCCCTGAAGGGCTTCCAATTGCGCTCACTGCGAACCTAACAATCACGGCCAACCTCATGAGCAAGAACAAAATTCTGTGCAAGTCTCTGAAGACAGTAGAAACCTTGGGTGCTGTGTCTGTGATATGCTCGGACAAAACTGGGACACTTACGAGGGTTTGTCCTTCGCAATTAAGAGAGTCGCGATGTCCACTAACATTGAGGATTACTAGAACAAAATGTTTGTTACTGAATGTGCCATCTCGACGACTTGTTTCAGTCCAGATTCAGCAAGAGACGAAATGGTCCGGAAGGGCAAGAAGAGCGGAGTACACCAACTGCGGGCAATGGCCGGTCTCTGCAATGCAGCGGAATTCGATGCCGCTTCTATGCAGCTCCCGCTCCACGAGAGGGAGGTCCACGGCAATGCTACTGATCAAGCTGTCCTTAGGTTCTCTGAAGGGCTTGGATCGGTGACCAAATTGCGGCAAACTTGGAAAAGGACCTATGAGTTGGCCTTCAATAGTAAGAATAAGTTCATGGTGCGGACATTTGCCCTTGCCGAGTCTGATGGACTCGGGCTCGCAATGTCTGCCGCAGAATCTGCTCAATTCAAACGCAACGATATGTAAGTTGTTGACTTACACTTCCTTTGAATTAAAGCTTATAGGATTTTGGTAGTCTTTTTACGATCAAGGGCGCGCCTGACATTCTCATTGATCGCTGCTCGCAGTACATTGACCTCGATGGCACCGTACAGCCACTGGAAGCACGGATGCTGGCTCGGATGAAAGAAGTCAAGGATCAGTGGTCTGCAGAAGGGAAGCGCGTCATTTTACTTGCTCGCAAGTGTCTCCCTTCGTCCGAGATCATGTTCCAGCCAACCTCACACGAGTTTGAAACCGAGATGCTGAGTCAAACGAAGACTGGTTTGATTCTGGTGGGGATGGTTGGCATTATCGACCCTCCACGAGAAGAGATTCCGGACGTTATCAGTACGCTGCGACGCGCCGGAATTCGGATCTTCATGGTGCGAGATTCCTTCCCGCCATTGAGATTTGGACTGCACTGTGCTGACTACTTTACTAATAGGTGACCGGTGACTTTGGCCTCACAGCCTTAGCTATCGCACGTCAATGCGGCATCATTAGCACACACGGAGTAGTGGATGATATCTCTGCTCTTAAGAGATCAGTAACTTCCGAAAAGGTTTCTAGCCCTCTTACAGCGTCAGCGATCACCATCAGTGGAGCCGACCTTATGAGCCTCAATGATCACCAATGGGAACAGCTGTGTCGATACCAAGAAATTGTCTTCTGGCGAACCACTCCCGAGCAGAAACTGCGCATCGTTCGCGAGTTCCGCGCAAGAGATGAGATTGTTGGTATGACTGGCGACGGTGTCAATGATGCGCCTTCTCTCAAGGCTGCTGATATAGGCATCGCCTTGGGCAGTGGCTCTGACATCGCCATCGAGGCCTCTGACATGGTCCTCCTGGAGTCCTTCTCCGCCATTGTCGAGGCAGTACAATATGGACGTGTTGTTTTCGACAACCTGAAAAAGACCATCGTCTACCTTCTTCCGGCAGGCTCATTCTCGGAATTTTGGCCGGTATTCTGCAACGTCGTCTTTGGGCTTCCCCAGGTGCTCTCATCCTTCCTGATGATCATTATCTGGTAATTCGATCCCTGCCTCAGCTGGTTCCAATGTCAGCTAACAACACAATCTGTCCAGCTGCTTCACAGACTGCGCCGCCGCCACAGTCCTTGCCTACGAGAAACCCGAAGCAGACGTCCTCCTCCGTCCCCCACGCAAACCCAAGCAGAACCGTCTCGTGAATTGGAAACTCATCTTTCACGCCTATGGCGTCCTTGGTATCATTGAGACCGTCTGCTCTTTTGCCATGGCCTTTTGGTACCTGGAGCGCAACGGCGTGCCCTTCTCCGTCCTCTGGTTCAAATTCGGCGACTACCCATCCTCCATTGATTCGGACTGGCTTACAGCTCGTCTGAACGAGGCCAGCTCCGTATACTTCATCAACCTTGTCGTCATGTATGTCTTGTTCTCCCAGTGCCTCCGTATAGATCTCGGACACTAACGCAGAATGGAATCAGGCAATGGTTCAACCTCATGGCCGTCCGCACCCGCCGCCTCTCCATCTTTTCCCACCCGCCAGCATACAACAAGAACACTCAGAACCTACTTTTGTTCCCTGCCATCCTCTTCGCTTTCTGCATGGCCATCTTCTGGCTCTATATCCCCCCGCTGCAGACGGTCCTAGATACCACCAGTGTCCCTGCAATCCATTACTTTCTGCCTGCGGCTTTTGGCGTGGGTATCTTGGTGCTCGACGAGTTGCGAAAGGCAGGGGTGCGGCGGTGGCCTGATGGGGTTCTGGCGAAGTGTGCGTGGTAGACATGCCTGTGTTCCGCTGAGGTGGATAGAAGGGAAGAGTGGTAGAGATGAGATTACCCTCAATTTCTCCAGGTTTGGGCTAGTTCGAAGGCATCTTGCTGCAGATGGTAGGTGGGTGGATCTTGTCGGGTAGGCTTGCATTCTTTCGTTTCCGTTGTACATATGATATACTATACGACATTCCATGGATATTATCACTACATACATCTCGTGTCAGTAAACTGTTCTCCACCGATGATCGCTCTCGTGTTCCTTGTCTGCCGGGTTGGAGATAGTGTTGAAAGAGGGCTTGGTCATAGAATCAAGACATCAGACGGCGCATAATAGCCTGCTCACCCGCGATACTGTGTCACGATAAGATTAGTAGAAGTCCCGCAGTCGAGTCCTTCTCCCTCCACTACTACTGCTTCCACCCACGTCCAAACAGGCTGCGCCCTCCTGCTCCCACTCTCACCTACGTACCAAACACATATAAAAATTAAAATTCATAGATCATATAAATTGCTCATCGACGACTTTTTCTTTTCCCTCTCGAAACCAGAAAGAAAGATTTTCAAAACATATACAATCCAACACCACAAAAAGTTATAAGAGACACATGCGTGAAATCGTCGCCAGAGGCAAGACCAAGAAAGGTGGAGACGGCGGGCCGGGAGGCTTTTTTAAAAAAAAAAATATCGAAGAGAATTACAAGGTGAATAGATGGATGAAAGAACAGCGGGGGGGGGGTATTCTGTACAGGTGAGGGATGAAGTCGGCGGCAACGGTGACGGCGATGGAGGGATAAGAGAAGGATAGATCACAAGTAGGGGGTTCCGTAGACGTCCTCGTAGCATTGGTAGGTGTCAGGACAGCTGTTGGATGGCTTATTAGCATTACTTCTCTCCCATTGCAGGGAAGATGGAAAAGGAGAAGACAAAACGTACTAGACCGGGTCCTGGCCGAAGATAATATGCCAGGTATACTCCATGACATGGCGGGCGAGGTCATCGTTCAAGGGGGTGGTGAGCACCCATTCGTAGAACCACTGGTAGTCGCTCAGGGGCCGCTTGAGGACCTGATCCCTCGAGACGGCGAACTGCGAGCAGCAGGCGACGGCGACGACCTCGGGGACGTCGGTGTTGTTGAAGAGCTGCTTCCAGGCGTCGGCGTAGACGTGCTCGGTGGTCTGGCCCTGCTGCGGCGGGTCGCGGAACGGCCGGATCTCGTCCGGGCAGCCGGGACTCGGCTGGCAGCGCAGGTTGGCGTAGCCGTTGCGCTGCACGAAGTCCGTCTGCAGCGCCCGGATCGAGTCCACGTTGCTGTACACCATCGTGTCCGTGTGCCACGCCACCGGAAACCCGTCGCGGTGGCTGTGCATGAAGACGATCGTCGACGGCAGGTCGTCGTAGTGGTCCACGATGTACTGCAGGTATGCCAGGCTCTCGCGGCCCTTGTTCTTGGGCGTGTGTTTGGCCGCGTTGATGTCGTCGACCGTGTAGATGAAGTTGCGCCAGCTGTATCAAGCCAATGTCAGTTAGGTTTGCGGATGAAGAGGTTTTCTCCGCACTGCTGGAAATCAAGCACCAGCGCGTTGTATAATGGGACAGAAGACATACTCCGCCAAGTCATTGCTAACCCATGCGGTATCCTCCGCGGCCAATTTGGCCATCACAATCACTCGGTCATTGGGAACGATAATCGGCGTGGTTTCGTACATCGGCCGCGACCCGAGCGCAATGCCGTCGTCGTCCTCGTTGTTCTTGTGGTCGGCCGATGGTCCATTCTTCCCATCCCCCACCATCGAGAATCCCCCCTTTGCGGCGGGGGTGTTGGCACCGTTGTTGTTGTTCTGGTTCTTGTCGCTGGCCACAGGTTCCGACAAGCCCGGTCCTCCTCCTTCTCCTCCGCTTACGCCGTTGAAGCTCCAGCCCGACTGGACGCGCGAATCATCCTGGACGAGATCGAGGTGGCGCTTGATCAGGATGATGGCGACGATAAGAAGGGCGGCCGTACCGATACGGTAGGATAGTCTCATTTCATAACATTTGCTTGCTGTCTTTCGGCCGGGTGGCTTGGGATAGGGGGTGGGTGGGTGCGTGTGTGGCTGAATTCGGAGCAGAGAGAGATTTCCTAATGAGCGATGTGTTCAAGGTAAGGAGGAGGAGAGGGGGTGGAAGAAGGGAGGGAAGAACGAGGCACTAATGAGGAGCAATTGGGGGAGGAAATAAGGAGGGGAGACACTTGTGGGCTATAGGCAGAAGAAAATAGCAAATGAAACATGAGCGGACTCATGCAGGAGGACTTACTATAGTATCTCAAGGACTGTATGATTAGGGAATTGGCGGTTTGAAAGAGAAAAAGGGAGAAGAGGAGAGGAAAAGAAGGAATGAATGGCACAAGCAGCAGCAGAAGCAGTAGAAGCAACGGTGCAGCAGAAGAAGTCTAAGCAGAAGAAGTAAAAGACGCCGTCGACGGGGGCCTGAGGCTTATCACGGCTGGGTCTTTGCGCGGATTGGTGGATTCGCGGGTGGAGGACAGCAGGGAGTCTGTACCATACCGTATTGCGTATTCTTGGTCAAACCGAGGAAATCATAGCCGATTCTGTTCTTCTGTTCGAGGAATGACGGGCTATTTTTACCGGATATTGGACATCGGTCTCACCGGGCCCAGAGATGAGATAAACACAATAGATAGCTAACATTGGGACTTGGGAGATGTCGCCATCCCCCCCTTAAGTTGCACATATCCGGGCTGTCTCCCCTCAGGTTGAACAACATGACGGGACGATCATTTGCAGTGTATGTAGCGTGTATAGTCACTCCATCAACTCCGGTGGGACAAGCAGGAAGGAGAAGGGTGATTATCATAAGCGGCAATAATGTTTCAGTGTGCCGTGGGTAGGGAAATGAGGAAGAAAGGCCGGCAGCGTGAAGATTGTGCCTGATCTGGACGAAGATCCACCGGCAGAATGAGTCTATTTCAAACGTCCCACCGTGGACGAGGAAGGATGAAACGGTGAATGGTCAGTGGCTCAACCGACCGGACGGGATCGCTTCAAGCTTCCATTATTATTCCACTTTGAACCCTTTTTTTCTTTGCTGCTCGGGCTGGTCTGGCCCCTGGTTCCACTGACAGAAAAAAAAAAACCCCCCCCCGTCGGCTGCACTGACAGTCAGCTTGAGTATTCCCAGACCTTAAATTTATTTGTTGCTGCAAAAATACAAGGTCGATTGTGTGTCTTCCTCGTGTCGAACATGTATAGAAAGTAGCACAACAGCAACAATGCCCCCCTCCTCTCCTCTTCCCCTCTCTATCAACCCCGGCAAATAATAAGCACAATATCACAGCACCCAAATCCATCAATAGGAACAATCCTCATTCCCACCTGCTCCATGCCGATCAACTCATTCGTCTCGCGTAGAATAACCACTGGCAGGCATGAAGTTTGAAACACGTCTCAAGACTGTCATCTTCAGTGTGGGGCCAACCAGGGTAACTTGGAAGTCTCCCTCTTAGTCTCGTATTGCGCGGTGTATCTAGACTCGTGACTTCCACCCGTCTCCATGCTAAATACGGTCGATTATTGTCGCCTTCTATGAAGCTGAGATTTTCTGTTCCTTCCAGGTAGCCATATGAGAACACTGTGTGCAAAATTCGCGAATACGCGGAGGATCACCCAATGCCTTGGTTATGAGATGATTATAGACGACTTAAGTACTGGAGGACCTTCACAGGGACTATTGCAATCATGAACGCTCTCCGATAAAAAGTGTTCGGTCGCGTTTAAACGTTTATCTATCCCTCGAGGATTGGATCTCGCTGAAATCATGAAATTAGTTTAATAAATGGCCCTACCCTTCAATTGGACCCATAACAAGCGTCTCATATGCTTGTCTTTTGCAGATGCCGCTCAGAGGATTTTGACCCGGGCGACTGGAACGAATGTACTCGTTCGTGCACTCGCTTGCGCTCTACCATTACACCGAATGCTCTTTACATCTGATACAGGATCCTGAGAAGAGCTCGAACAGGGTTCTTGTCACTAAGCGGGGATCACACAGACGCGACTCGACTTCAAGAGCAGCGCGCTAGCTATCCGGATAGTAATAGTGAATAACGCCCAGTGATTGGCAAAGGGGAAGTATGGCATAGCAGGAGGAGATTGTCACGAAAACACTGTCTACTCGCACCATGGCCATCTAGGGCGCGAAGCGATTATATGGTTTGTGCGGCTCTTTATGCGACGGATTACTGGTATATAGGTTGGGATCATGGGCTGGATGACGTCGATAGACCGGGTCTATTACGTCCAAGGAAACGTAATCAACGGCTTTGGGGAAAGCAGCCTGAACTCTACCATCTCATATCTGGGCATGAGGAGTAGCACAGGTTAACATTCATCAAGCATTGAGCAGCGCTGGTAGGTGTCGAGGAGGACGGCCCATGCACGGGTATTTACAGCCTATTCTCGCGTGACTCGCTCCACGAAGACTTAACTCCTTCAGTCTCACTGGTAAGAACAAAAATCATGTAATACAAATCATATCCATTAGGTCCTCCCAGAAGCGCCCGAACAAGTTCTATCTAGATAGAGACAACGACCAAGCCCGAGAACATGCCATCATCATAGTGTAACAAGCCAAGCGAACCGCAAGCGAATTAGATAGAACGAAGAGAGAAACCCCGGGACCAGTCGTGTAAGATGCAAAACACAAGATGACAAAAGAGGAAAATCGTGTACATCATCAAATCATGCAGAGTGGGAAAATATTGCCAAGGAATGCAGACACACAAAACGCCCAACCAAGCGTTCAATGCGAACGAACACTGAACGCGAAGTGGATGAAGCCATGATGCGATCAGGGAGTTCATAATGCAGGAGACACGTAACTTGAGGTTGGCCGACCGATGAACGCAATCAATCAGCAACAACCCCCCTTCTTCCTCGCCACCTCCACGGGAACATCAACCTCATCTCCGACACTGCTGGGCGGGAATCCGAGCCAACTGCGTCGCTTGTCGCCGTAACCCAGTCGGAAACTGCCGCCACCGTCGATGTTCGCGGGACTGGCAGGAGGCAAACCATCCAGGGAAGACGGCGACAGCAGCGACGGACTCAGTCCAGCCTCGCGCCTGTTGCGCTGCTCGACCAGCTTTCGTGTGATGACGCGGAACACCTCCTCGATGCCCTCCCCATCCTTGGCGCTGATTTCGTGGCAGCAGTCCCATCCAATATCCTGTCCCCAGAACCCGCTGCTGCGCTTGCTGTCGAGGCCCTGCGGCATGCTCGATGAGGGGCCCAGTCCCGCGGATGGAGGTGGGGTCGACGCCTGCGTCGGGTAGAGTTGTTCGGCGACATATGCGATGGTGCGCTCGAAGGGGACACGGCGACGCGAGGGCTCGATGGTCACGATGTCAGATTTCGTACCCACCACGTGGATTACGATCGGGTCATCCTCGAAGACGTTCTTCTTCAGCTCCAGGAGCCACCCGGTCATCTCTTGGAAGCTTTGTTCGTCGGTGATGTCGTAGCAGAGGAGACAGGCGTTCGCGCCCCGGTAGTACAGTCGCGAGATGCTCCGGAACCGTTCCTGGCCAGCAGTGTCCCAGATTTGTAGGCGGACGATGGTATCGGAGGCGCTGTCGAGGACGCGTTTGGTGACAAAGGAGGCGCCGACGGTGGAGGCGGTGCCGGCGGGATCGAAGGCGTTCTTGACATAGCGTTGGACGAGGGAGGTTTTGCCCACGCCTGGCAGTGTGTTAGTTGATGGGTTTCTGATGTGTGCGGTCATGAAGGAGATACTCACCCTGGGCGCCGAGGACCACAATCTTGGCCTCGAGAGATGAGCTCATGGCGGGGTGGAGGAAAAGGCGGGGCCGAGGGAAAGCTGGATTTGCATGTTCCAGCGGGAGAAGAGGAAAGAGAGAAAGCGCGCGCAGATAAAGTAAATTTGTACACGAAAGGAAGGGAAAGAAAGAAAGAAAAATGAGGGGGAGTGAAAGAAAGTGAATGAGAGAGAGAGAGAGAGAAAACAAGCGAGAGGCGTGGAGTCTAGAGAAAGGATCAGTCAGTCAGTCAGTCAGAGAGACAGACAGACAGACACACAGTCAGTCAGTCAGAGTCAAGCAAGCAGGATTCAAGGAAGAAGAGCAGCGTTTCCAAGAAAGCGGGAACGAGGCTCAAACAACCCACCAGCCATTCATCATCCATCCATTCACTTTCAGCCCCCCTCCTCCTCCACTAAACGACCCCCCAAAATCAAAATCGGAGCCATCACGAACTAGATCAGATCAGCCGATTACTGACGTCTGTCGTGCGCCAGTCCACGATCTCCTCCCTTCTGTCACATTAAATGGGCTGCGAAGTGAACGACACTTCACCCTCACTCAACACAAACTGTGCAAAAATCAATTGATCCCTCATCCTGCAGTAAAGCACTCTCTCAAATGCATCATAGCCTGGAGAGAGAGAGTTCCAAGACAGGGTAGAAGCCCAAAGACCCTTCCTTCGGCCCCCTTACAGGGATTAGCTGCTGGGCTTGGCTGCAGAATTCTGCCTGCATCGCAGTTGAAGATAATGAATCCCCCCTTGATCGGTCTTTTCCGAACTGCGACCGGGGATGCTTTGTAGACCATGAGCAATAGCAGTTCGGTTCATCCCATACTTCTTATTTTTCAGCCTCAGTCGAGCGCTATCGCAGGGCACAGGCCGCTAGAAGGTGCGAGGGTCCGGAAAGAACAAGGGCTGAGCTTCTAGTCTTTCCCCCCCCCCTCCCCCCCCCCAAGCGATAAGCGACCCTCCAAACTCGGACCACCTGCAGGTCCCGCCCACGACCACTCATCATCCTTCCTAACAATACGTGTATCACGGACAGTTGTTTAGTGTCGCGCCAAAGGACCTTTACTGTTTATAGTAGGGAAAAGCAAGATTTTGGGAAATGTGTGCACTTCAAATACTTTCATGTTCTATCCGACCCATGTCCGCGGATGTCAACCATCAGATCTAGGTCGGCGATGGCGAAAATGTACAGAACTCTTGCCAGCAGGCAAGACAGGACAAACAATTGAGTCTCAACCTGTTCCACAAGTCGAGCAACCCAGGGGTAATCGCGAGAAAAACACAGAGTCACAACAGAATCTATATGTCCAGCGGCTGCGCCGGATCTGGGGCGTAGCCGAAACAATGACAATATCAAGCTTAGAGAACACTCGCCGTGAATTGGCAACGTTCTTAGGTCATGAAGAGGACTTGCAAACAGCTTACTCGCCCTTGCCGCTGTTCGAGCCGGACAGCTCGGCGGCGTTCGCCTTCTCTTCATCGCTGGCGCCACCGAAGCCGTACTCCATAGCCTTTTGCTCGACTTCGTCATCCGTAAGCTTAGGAAGATCCTTGGCAGCCTTCACGTAGCTGATATTCTCGGTGTAACCTTTGGCGAAGATGATGTCGATTTCCTCCAAGCTCCGGTTGGCGGTCTCGGGGTAGAAGAAATAAATGAAGGGGACGAAGAGGGCGTTCATAGCAGCGAAAAAGCAGTAAGTACCCCACCCGATGTTAGCCACCATGACGGGGGTAATCATCACGACGAAGAAGTTAAACAGCCAGTTACTGCAGGTAGAGACAGCGTTGGCCTTGGCACGAGTCTTGATCGGGGACAGCTCAGCGGGGTACAGCCACGGTAGGGGAAGCCACGCAGCTCCAAAAGCAGCCATGTAGAGAAAGATACCGAAAATGGCACCCTTGGCAGCCGACTTGGTACCCGGAATCAGAGATCCGAAAGTGATAATCATAGCAATGCACTGCAAGATGGAACCCCCCAGAAATAGCTTGCGGCGGCCAATCTTCTCGATGAAAAACCACGAAAAGGTAGCGAAGATAGCATAGATAATCATGTTGACTCCCGAGATCAGAAGGGCAAAGTTGGTACCTTCCTTGAGGTTCTCTTCGAGCAGCAGTGGCAGATAGTAGATTACAGCGTTGCATCCGCCTAGTTGCTGGAAGATCTGAGACGAAGATCCGATCAACATACGGCGGAGGTGCTGGGAACGGCCACCAGTGAGCAAGTCACGGTATGTCACGTCCTGGCCAGCAGCACTCGAACTGATGCCACAAGTGTTAGCTTTCTGCGCAACAGAGCTTTTGAGGCTGAAGTAAGGTGCACGTACGCTCTGATGGAGTCAATAACCAGCTGTTTCTGGAGTTGTGTCTCGTGGTCGTTGATCTCAAAGCCGCCCAAAGCAGCAAGCACGTACTCTCCCTCCTGTACACGATCCTTGGCGATCAGGTAGCGCGGAGAATCGGGAAGGAAGTACATTCCGAAGATAATGATGAAGCCGAAAAAGATCTGGAAGGCGATGGGGAACCGCCACACAAGATCCTTGTTGCCGAAGTGGGCACCGTAATCGATCCAGTATGCGATGCAAGTACCAATCGCGATAATTCCACCCTCAATGCAGATCAACAAACCACGGTTGCTGGTCTTCGAACACTCTGCCTGATAAGTAGGAATGGTTGAGGTGTTCATTCCATTACCAATACCAGTGATGACACGACCGATGAAGAATTGCAAGAGGGGAATGTGGCCAGCGAATGAGGTGACCTGAATGATGACACCGATAATCATGACGGTAGCGCCAGACATGATCATCAGGCGACGACCAGTCTTGTCACCAAAGAACAGGGCGAACAAAGCACCAACCAAGCAACCTGTGAAGTATGACCGTCAGATATGATGTTGCACCGCACCAATACTGATAGAGAAGTATACGAACCCAACTCATAGACGGAGGTCACCAGGGCCTGCATCGTGGCATTACCCTTGGTAGCAGTGAAGAGATCCTGGAAAGCTGTATCACTGATGATACCGGACATAACACCCTCTACATTGAATTGATATCAGCTCAAGACTCTCCATGGTAGGTCTCGGGGACCGGAGGTCAGGGACGACATACGATCGTAACCGAACAAGAGAAAGCCCATAGTCGCAATGGTCGAGATGGACACGGACAATCTCTTGCCCGACATCCCTGCGTAGGTCGGTGCCATGGTGGAAAAATTTGTACAGAATAACGACAAACGCTGAAGAGGTAGAAAGATCCCAATCAAGACCAATATCTAGAGCGATCGAACACTTAAGTTGAGTCGCCCTGTTCTTTCTCCGATGAACTCGTCTCTCAATCGAGTCGACCTGAGTCTCCTTGCTCGGTTTCACCCTGGGCTAGGAAAGGAGGAGAAACAAGAATGTGATAAGAGTGAGAACGAGACAGAACCGAGCGCGGAGAAGCCGGAGGGGGGAAGGAAGGGGCATTATCTACTTATTCCCCCGGAGCAGTGTGTCGCCTGGCGCTCACGGTCTCATGCATGCCCGGTCGACAATCTCTTGTCCCCCAAGGTGCAGTGATTCTCCACTGGTCGCCGACTCGACGGTCGATTGAAAACATAACCACACCATTATTGTTTGTTTTGTGGAGCAGCAGGCAACCGAATGCATCAATAACGCTGGGTTAAGCATCTTTTGGGCGCGGACCATTGACCCACTGTGGGTGCGCAATGAGCAATGACATCACGGCATTTTCCTTGCGACCACTAAAAGCGGAATTCCATTGCCCTTTTTTATTTGGTTTTTTATTTTCTTCGAGAAAAGAAGAAGCAGAAAAACAATGGAAGAAAAATAGTCGCAAAAAAGGGGGTGCCGGGAGGGAGGGAGGGGAAGAACCAGAGATTCAACTCTTTCCACCCGAGTCTACCTGAAAATCGGGACGGCCCTGCAAAAAGCGGGTGTCATTAATCATTGGCCATTTTCAACAGTCGGACTTTCTCGCGGGCTTTTGCTAGACGCGCGCACCTGAGTCTTCAATTGGGCTGTGAACTGCGGCATGTCCAGCGATCATAAGTACGTGACTGTTTTTTCCGGGCTGCTGTTGTATCGATTCAACGTATCTATCTACCGTCTCGCGTAGAGGGTGAGTAGAAGCGGTATTCAGCCCGGCTGAGTGGCGGCATCCCCGAATTCCCAACGTGGAGTCGACTTGTGCAGGGCTGACTTGCCTTTGGCAAGGAGATGTCTGCCTAAATCGAGCAACTCAAGCGAGGGGTCATTACGGGGAATCCTCGTGCCGGCTGAATAATCCTACTGATGGGCCCCAGTCAGTGCTTGCTTTGCTCCGGGGAAAATCTGAATGCGGGCGCCATTGTTGTTGCAGTATTTGAGCCTCCGATTCTGAACTGCCCAGTTTCCCCTGTGAACAGGGCTCAGCACCCATCTGTCGCGACCGCATCACCGACAACAGCTATTTACCTGCTTATGCAACCCTTTGTCTTGTGAGCAGTTGGTGATGCTCGAAGTCGCATGCAGCAGGCAGCTTCGGCCCTCGTTCGGGAAGCCGTTTCCGTAGAACCTTGATTGAAGTTCCGTAGAGTTTCCCGACTGCGCCTAGCGTTTGACTGCAAGGTAAGACGACCTTGCGCCAACGGCAATATCCAGTGGATAAAGTATATTGCCCACAATCTCAATCATGTCTCGTCTGGAAGAGGTTTAGACAGTTGTAGCGTTACACACTTCTTTCCCCAAGTAGATGGCAGTGGTGGGAGGCCCACGTTGCTGATTCGAGCCCACTGCCCACAAATGCTTTGATGTTCTCCACTTTCGTCCCCTCTCCGAATGCGCCGTCGACTCCAGCTCCCCATTTCCCCCTCCGATAGTATGGGTTACTATCCCACCGCGTCTCTCTAGCCCACGCGGTGTCACGCAAGTTTTTCGCGTCTTGTTCGGTCTTCTGGGACCGCGTTCCGTGATTCGGTCTACCTTGCCGTTGTCACTAATCTCGCCATATACGCCTACTGTGGAGAAATAATGTCCCAACATTTGGATATGCTGTCTGCCTTTCAGCGTGGAAGAGCGTCCGATTCCTCTTATGCCCTAAGTTTCACTAAAGACCGGAAGGGACACGAGATCAGGCAGGCCGTTGGCCCGTTCAAGTACACCGAATGTCGACTAGAAAATGATGTTCACCCAGTAAGACAGCGTGTAGGCATAAGACAACCAAGCATGCGATTCTCAGTCAATGTGCGGTGCCTGCGATCTGCGAGGCTGCTGTACCTCCGAGCCCCCACTTGGACTACAGCAATTTCGGGCGATCCTCTCGAATCCACACGTCGGCGCTGACAAGCAATCAATCAGCACTATCTGGTCGGAACGCAAATGCACCGGTTTGCTTAGCAGAGCTTAGCATTATCCGCCTTGATGAACCAAGGTTGGAATCTTGTCACTTGTCGTAAAACAAAAGGCAACCATGACGAGCTCAACATACTTGCCTTTCTTGCCCCTACGTCAATGGCGCTTATGACCACACTGGGATAGAAGCGAATAGCTTTTCCGCTAGCTTCAAACAGAAAGGGGAAAGGAGACCATGCTGTGTTTTGCCTTAGTATAGGAGGTGTCGGCCAACCTCAAGCCCTCGTCTCGGTAAGAGACGGAGTGAAGAGAGCTTGTGGGGAAGATCCAACTCTTTTGGGCAGATCGAGTGGGGTGAAGTCGGGGACTAAACCGACGCGCACCTGCCGCCAATCATCATCTGGGATACATCGTACTCGTTGCACCCAGCAAATGCGGTCCATTGGTCGAAGAGATTGCTGGTCATGCAGTTCCTGATCCTGCGCCAATAAAAGGCCTGATTCTGCTGAACAGAACAATCTCACCTCTGCCCCTCAAGGCTCCATTCTGCACATGGCCCCATTTGATTTTGTCGGGGAAATTCATTTCCCTACATAAGACTTTGCAAGCAGCATCTTCCGCAACACCGGCATATGACGGGAGTCTTTGCAGCCAACTACCGGAGTGATTGGACAATACAAACCCACTTCGATGATTGTCAAATTAAGGCTTTACGATGATTCGAAAAGCAATCAGAGCGATGGCGTAGGTATTGGTACAGCTTTTCGGATAGAAGACCGGTCCGGATAAAAAAAAACAGTGATGACGGAAGGGAGACAACCGATAGCCGAGGTGGTGGTGACGATGTCAATATTGTTGGTGATTCTTCTGCTGATCATGAGATTTTTCGGGCATCGTCATCGTTGTCTGCCCCCCTCTGCCTAGAAATAGAAGTGAGTTGGGATTATGCCTCAGCGCCAGCGATCGAGTGGTGTGGTTGAAAGCAAGAGCAAGCGGCCATCACCACAATAGGCAGGTACCAAGCAATTGGGTGAGAGAAGCCCTCATTGTCTCAGGAATAAGGCATCCACATCACCTCTAGTGGACAGAAAGCGCAATAATACCGATGGCCTAACATGGACCGAGTGGGTGCATCATCCTCTACGTGTGAAAAGTCGCAAACCGGGGTGTTGCGGTGAGGCCATCGGTCTTCACCCGGTTTGTTCTCAAAAATTGAGCCGAACATTGAGATAAGATGACAGGCTGAGGAATTGACGACGGCCCGAGAAATGAAACCGGCCGCCCACCGTCGGGCTTGGCTGCGACAACAGTCGGGATGTTGAACAACAGGACGGGACATCAGCTGTCGAGTTTGTCGGCGCTTCAGGAGAATCGACCCGCCCGGCGATGCGGAAAATTCTGTTTTGCACACACCGTATCACGTAAGAGGTCACTATTGCATGATCAACCCCATCATTGGCGGATGTAAGTGGACTGAGCAGAGTCGACATTGGGTAAGAGTAAGTCAAAAAGTAGTCCGAGGCGAAAACCACACACACAATGATCAGATAGTGGGAAAAGTTGGTCCTTCGCTAGCCAAGCTGCATCATGGCGAACGGATGGTTAGTGGTCGCTTATTATTAATAGTTGCGAGATCGTGCTTGGGTAAAACTGGGAAGAAAGAGGTGGTTCGTGAAACGTGCTGCATTCGGTAGATACCTCAACCGCAGGAAAACAGATGAGCTGGGGCTTGAAGCACTGGAGAGAAGTGAGCAGATACCATAGCTTTATACTGCTTTGTCCTGCGCACGAGCTCATGGGTTCAGGGGCAGGAAGACCGGGAACCCGATGCTTCTTATACCGAGCAGCGGACCCGCCACCGGCGTGCCGAGTGTTAACACGGCTATCTCGGTCTGGATGCCGGAGGTCTCGGAGCTTGTGGTCACGAGAACAGTCAAAGGAAGAATATAGAATCATGGAGTCCAAATTCGGTCCAATCAAGCCGTCCAAACGACCTCCAGCTGGTCCAGTGTATAATCTGGACAGCGCTGAAGGAAATCCGGGTGTGCTTTCACATACGAACTTCAGTTCTAGACCCTCGAGGACATGTTGACGCTGTTAAGCATCAGTCCCCTCTTTGAACAAGTGACATCTACCTCCTTAGCTTCAGGTGTCTTCAACAACACTGTACGTTGACAGACAATCGTTTCAACACGCAAGGCTGATAGGGAGCATGGAGCACAGTTGTCACCAATTCCTTGTTGAATGATCCGTGCGTGCCTGACAGCGGTAAACAAAGGGCGATCGATCTGCCAGACGGCAGGCAGGTTGTTTGCTTAGTTTGCACGCCATCTCTCGGCTTTGTTTCTCCCTTTCCTCAGGATGTTTATCTAACTTTGCCCATTCTTGAGCACATTCCTGTATGGTCTGGCCATACAAAGACCAATAACTCGCATCATTGCATCCGTTCATTGCATCCGCATGCATCCTATGCATGACATCCTTAATTCATGACTAATGAGCCACAACTGGGGAGATGCTGTGGCACTACGAGCCATTGCCCTTGCTGATCGATGGCAACGAGGCGTTTGCCCATTTTCCCTCTTTAGTATTTCCGTGCGATATGTGCTACACTCGGAATCCCCCCCCCCCTCCTTTTTTTTCCAACAAAACACTGTCCCGCCAGGGCGGTTCGGCTTTGCCGGATATGTCATGAGGACATTACCCGGCATGTCGATTGCCGCGATCTATAGAATCTTGTGTAACCACTAGCAGCAAATAGCCGATCACGCTATCGACTGCATCGGGCTTACTGTGCCTAACACTGCACCTGCAGCACCCAGTAAGATTCCAGTCGAAAAGACACAGAGCCTGGATCAATGGCTTTTCTTGTCGCAGCGGAATGCCCTGCCTGCCAGTCGATGTGCCTCGATCAGTGTCTCAGTCAACATGAAATCTAGATCATCGCAGTTCTCGCTCTTGTCATTCCAGACTTCGGTCTAACGACATGCCTGCCGTATCGCTGCATGACTAGGAAGGCTGCATCAAATACCTTCCCCACTTCCATTTATCCATCCCAACACTCGGATAGGTGCAGAGACTGTTCATCCTACTTCGGACAGGTCGATTACTACATGTGCCAGTTCTCACCTAAGGGTTTTGTCGTACATGCACCCATTACGATGCCATCCGGATTTGTATTCATGCTCGATGCATTTATTCACAGATGCTCCCACTTTCATCCCGCACGTGTCCAGAGTATGGTAGAAGCATGAGGCGGACACCTGATCAACTTGACCCATGTGGTCAAAGACACGGAGTGCATCCTCAACGAATGTCAGCACCGCGCGTCGGATAAGTTGCTCCTTCAGAAAAGCCTAAGCATCCACCATATGCTTTGTTTCCTATGATGCCATAGCGACACCAGCACGGACTCGCTCCATAAGCTTAGCTCAAATCCTGGCGCGAAGTCAAGCCTAGCAACCTTTGCCGAAGCCACCTCTAGCATAGTGACCTTCAACCTTCCATTCGGTCCCAAGGATGATTATTGCATCACCAAACAATGTCTGGACGAACTCCCCTAGTCATATTGGCTGGATCGTGAACTCCACCGCCGCGTCAGCTTTTGTGTTCCCCGGGCGAGTGTTGTAATCCATGATCCGGAGACGGCAGGAAATATGGGGCTTCTGGAGTCATATGATAATATATGTGTTTGCTCGTAATCATATCTCTGGTAGCAGAATATATTGGCGTATCGTGAGTTCAAAGTGTGGTTGATGCCTCCAGTCCCCAAGTTCGTGTATGTGTAGCGACAAGCGATATATCTACCGTCCACAACTTCCTCAACATAACTACACAACCCTCTGCAACACCCAATGTATCTCATCTGCCACGCGATCCGGCTCCGTGATCTGGATATTATGCCCACTCCGCGCCGTATACGACAATCTCGCGGTACTCGACAAATTTAACAATTCCCGCTGGAAACGTTCCTCACTCTCATCCCACCGCGCCAGATACTCGCGGAACTGCGCCCGCTGGGCCTCCGTGCCACCTCCATTCGCAACCCCAGCCTCATACATGCGTTCCTGATCACGCTTCGAATTCCCCCTCAACACACTAACAGGCTTTGCCCCCAACAAACTTCGACCAGACACCAGCTGCCACTTCTCGGCCAGAACTTTTCGACTGACCTGGAGGAACGGCAACTCCTTCTCCGCCTGCGCCGCATGCTTCGCACTCGCCTCCTCGGCCATCAGCTCCCGCCACTCAGACTCAGCCAACTTATAGTCCTGCGTCAGCCCGACCACCTCCATGTAGTCCAACCCGTCTGTGACAGCCGCGACGCTCGGATCGGGCCATGTCTCGAAGAGCATGCGTTCCTGCACCGGGTCAACCAAGACAAGGCCGCAGATGTCGGCGACGGGCCGGGCGGCGATGAATTCGCGCGCCAGGATCCCGCCCCAGGAGTGGCCGACGAGGAGGTACGGGGGCTCGAGGGAGGCAGCTGCTAGAAGGCGGGAGAGCTCGTCCACGATGGTGAGGGAGTCTGGGTCGTTGGGCGAGAGGTCGCTGAGGCCGTAGCCGGACCGCTCGTAGAGGAGGATGGTGGCTTCTGATTCGAGGTGTCGGCAGACTGCGCTCCATTCCAATGCGCTGCTTGTGATCCCCGTGAGAATGATGATTAGTGGGGCGCCGGGTTGCCGTGCGCGGCCGCGGAGGGCGTAGCTGAGGCTGTGCGTGCCGATGTAGGCTTTGTGTTTGAAGTGGTTCATTTTGGGGATGAGATGTTGATAGCCGAGAATGGGTTTGTCTTTATTGTGGTTGTGGCTCCATTTTGATCTGGGTCATGCTATATGTTTAGCATCGCGACCAGTCATCACCTTGACATTTCACTCGGGCTAGACAAGTTAAGTGTGAGTCATTCTGGATAGCTAGGTCACCGTCTGATCTATGTTGATTTGTGCCCCATGAGACTAAGGCCATTGAGTCTGCGGTGAGATGGCATGAGTGAGTAGTATGATGATGTTTGACAGGTGTGGCGATTATTCTCATCATGTAGCTGCAGTTAGCGTTGTTGCAGCTGACCTCCATTAGACAGAATGATGACTTTCTCGATGATCCCGAATTGGTGTGGAGCAGATCTGATATTACCGTCTCCGGCCACGGAGGATCGACCCGGACCCTGGAACACTTTGGAACAAGTTACTGAAGACAACCCCAGCATTTGGGATTCATTCAGCATCATCAAATTGATATATGTCATGCTCTGCTTTGAGATCCCACTTTAATGGCAGGAATATCTAGACTGGAGGTAAGGTTGGTCTGTACCAGTGCCACGCACATCAACAACGACCAGGCAGGCAAGACGGAAGCCGAGGCATGTATTAGTCGGCCGAGAAGAGCCCGTCGCCCGAATTGCCAGGCAAAACCCCCGGGTGTTTCTGGGCTGGTTTGACCAACGACGGCGCTTCGAATTCCCCCCGGCCAGCGTCAGCACGCTAAAGGCTCGCTGGACATTATCCCGAGGATCATTTCCCCAGTTGTCCTCCACAATTCCGAGGTCACTGACGTTCTTTCCATAACCCTGTGTTTCTCGGGCGAATCATTCCCTTGGCGTCCATAATCTTTCTCTTAAGTCCCAATCCGTCTCTTCTCTTCACTTTTGTTCTTCCCTTACCACTCCAATCCTCTCCATCTATCCTCTCTCTACTCCTGCCGCTCCCCTCTCTACTTCTCATATCACACACGACGCTGCCGCAATGACGAAACTTACCGGTGCTGATGTCGCTCAGCACAACTCCAAAGACTCGTGCTGGGTCATTGTCCACGGAAAGGCCTACGATGTAACGGAATTCCTGCCCGGTTAGTTTTCCTAAACTGTTGCTGTGCTCAATCGCCACTAACAATTCCCAGAACACCCCGGTGGCCAAAAGATCATTCTGAAATATGCCGGCAAGGATGCGACCGAGGAGTTCGACCCCATTCACCCGCCAGACACGCTCGACAAGTTCCTCGACAGCTCCAAGCACCTGGGCGAGGTCGACATGACGACTGTTGAGCAAGAAGAGAAGGTTGCCGACCCGGAGGAGACTGAGCGCCAGGAGCGGGTGAAGCGCATGCCCCCGCTGGCGGCGTGCTATAACCTGATGGACTTTGAGGCGGTCGCTCGGAATGTGATGAAGAAGACGGCCTGGGCCTATTACTCCAGTGGCGCGGACGATGAAATTGTAAGCTTTTGAACTTTTTGTGCAAACGTTCTATGGGACACATCGCTAATCTGGACGATTACAGACCATGCGTGAGAACCACTCCGCCTTCCACAAGATCTGGTTCCGTCCTCGGATCCTCGTCGACGTAGAGCACGTCGACTTCTCCACGACAATGCTGGGTACCAAGGTGTCTGCGCCGTTCTACGTGACGGCGACCGCGCTGGGCAAGCTGGGTCACCCGGAGGGCGAAGTGATCTTCACGCGGTCGGCGCACACGCACGACGTGATCCAGATGATCCCGACGCTGGCGTCGTGCTCGTTCGATGAGGTGGTGGACGCGCGGAAGGGCGACCAGGTGCAGTGGCTTCAGCTGTACGTGAACAAGGATCGGGAGATCACGAAGCGGATCGTGCAGCACGCGGAGGCGCGCGGGTGCAAGGGGTTGTTCATCACGGTGGACGCGCCGCAGCTGGGGCGGCGGGAGAAGGACATGCGGTCCAAGTTCTCGGACGTGGGGTCGAGCGTGCAGGCGTCGGGCGGCAGCGACGTCGACCGGTCGCAGGGCGCGGCGCGCGCCATCTCCAGCTTCATCGACCCGGCGCTGTCGTGGAAGGACATCCCGTGGTTCCAGTCCATTACCAAGATGCCCATCGTGCTGAAGGGCGTGCAGTGCGTCGAGGACGTGCTGCGCGCCGTCGAGGCCGGCGTCCAGGGTGTCGTCCTCTCCAACCACGGCGGCCGCCAGCTCGAGTTCGCCCCCTCCGCCGTCGAGGTCCTGGCCGAGGTCATGCCTGCCCTGCGCCAGCGCGGCCTGCAGGATAAGATCGAGATCTACATCGACGGCGGCATCCGCCGCGCCACCGACATGCTCAAGGCCCTCTGCCTCGGCGCCAAGGGCGTCGGCATCGGTCGCCCCTTCCTGTACGCCATGTCCGCCTACGGCCAGCCCGGCGTCGAGCGCGCCATGCAACTCCTCAAGGACGAGATGGAGATGAACATGCGTCTGATCGGCGCCAACAAGATCGGCGACCTCAGCCCCGCTCTCTTGGATATTCGCAGTCTGCTCGCCGGCCACAACGCCGTCGTCCCCTCCGATACCCTCTCCGCCGGCGCGTACGATCCCCTCGTCGCGCCGCGCTTCAGCGAGAAGGCCAAGTTGTAGGCTTCGCCTTCGTTCTCCATTGCTCTCGCTATGGCCCTACTACCGGTCTCCATTTTTCCTTTCCTTATACATGCATGTTCCTATACCCTGTCGTTAGACCTCACTTGATTCAGATTTTCAAATATTTACGGCGAGATGGTTTGCATCTGTGATTCGGTGAATGCCATGACGTTGCTGGATCTTCCCGAGTATTTTTCCCACGGGTAACCAGTAGTCAGGAGTCTCTTCATTATAGTAAATAGTAATATTAAACGCCTATGCCCCCGATGCAGCGCTTTTGAGAATAGACGACACGAGCAATAAGAGACAACGCTCATCCCGTCCGTGACCACGAATGATGACCCTATACACCGAGCACTTCAGCCTCTCACTTCACACAACCAGTAGTATATATACCCCTCACCCTCCCATGCCCCCTGTCTCTCACCTCGTTTATTCAGCACGTACCCACTATTATGCTAAATCAGCCTCCCGGATTTACAGAACAACCACCTGCGGTTTATTCCTCAACACCCCCTCATCGCGATACATGCAGGCGGCATTCACCATCCACCCGCACCCAGCATTCTCGCCGCCCCACACCTTGGCCCAGACGATCCCCAGCACCCCGTAGACGACCACGCGTGCGGCGTCCACCCACCCGGCGACATCGAACAGATCGCGCAGGCCGCCGGTGACCAGCGACCGGAAGCGCGACAGCCGGGCGCGGGGCCGCCGGGCGGCGCAGAGGCGCTCCCACGCGCGCTGGGCCTCGTCATAGTACACGCGCTCCAGGCCGTAGGCGGCGTGGATATGACCAAACACGTGCAGGGCGGGGCGCACGCGCCACGTCTCCGCCAGAAGGGATGGACACCCCGTCGAGAAGATCGGGGAGAGGTCCAGGTGCGAGGATGGCGGCGTGTGCGTGATCAGGATGTCGGTTGTGGCGGGCACGGTGCCTGTCCAGGCGTCGTGGTGCGGTGGGTAGGTGAAGGCGTGTTCGGGACCTAGAGGGGCGATGGCGGGGATTTGCGGCGCGCCGTATAGGGTTAGGGTGCGGGTGCGGTGGTGGTGGTGGTGGTGGTGGTTGTTGTGGAGCAGGGGGGTTGTTGAGTTGGGAGGTGAAGGTGATGGCGGGGGTGGTGAGGTCGGAGGGAAGGTCAGGGTGACGGAGGTGTGTTGCAGGTAGTGGATGTCGCCCCAGTCGACGCGGTCGAGGTCGTCGGAGGGGAGGGACCGCAGGGAGGCGGTTGAGGAGGAGACGGTCGCGTAGGAGGTCGTCGAGGATGCGTCGTCGCGGTCTTCGGGCCGCCGCGATCGCACGTCGAAGAAGCTGTCGTGGTTGCCGCAGATGACGACTTTATGGGTGTGCGGAAGACTGCGCAGCCAGTTGACGGCTTGTTGGATCTCGCGGACGGAGCCGTCGTTGCTTAGGTCCCCTGCGTGGATGAGGAGGTCGCCGTCTGGAATGTCGCTCCATTCGAGTGTGTGGGTGTCGGAGATGCAGACGACGCGAATGGGACGAGCGTTGGGTGGTGGCAGTCGAGGTGGTCCGCGGAGTCGATTGAGGAGATGGTGGACGGGATAGATGAAGGCGGCTAGAGGGGAGAAGATGATGTAGTCGGTAAATGGGCGGGGATTAAAGGGAGAGGACATGGTGGAGGTGGAGGTGGAGGTGGGAGGGGGAGAGGAAGGTAGATAGGTGTAGGAGTCAGATTGAAACAGGGTGAAATGAAGTCAAGGTGAAGTTATTCCATGGTTGTTGTTGTCTCAGCCAGTTGTGCAAGGTCATCGGATGGACTCGAGTGGAAGACCTACTCGGCCCCGGGCTGTTTCCATGTTCAGTTGAGTTCCATTGTTTCCTCAGGCGTCAAGGCCGGAAGTTTGTTGATGCCTGGGCGTACGTAATTGCGGAGGTGGGGGAGCTTGCTTGCCTCGTGCCGCCATGATTGGCTCAGCCTTGGTCTTTTTCTCTGCTGCAACCTTAGGCAGTCCAGGTTCTCCATCTTCACGGTACATCGGAGAAAACCACATCATTTGGCCATTTATCTTATGTTGTCCCTGCCACGAGACAATCTAGCATATAACTGCTTTGTCTCAAACATGCTCAAGAGGGGAAATCGATAGTGTTCTACCACCAGACTCGTATCTCAGACATGTACCCGCATGGGCCGATCCGTTAGTTTGAGTTGAATCGCCGACTCCGCCAACATTGAGTGACATCAAGCCTAGATCGATCGGGTGCCAACCGGCGGGTTCCTCCGGTACGAAAGCTGTCGATGGGTTGCACGAGAGGCAGCTTAAATGCTGTATGTACTGTACTATGGTGTAATATGTAGCATGTATGTAGGCATCATATAAATTGATCTATGTGGTATAATCTCCTTAGTAGAACCCCGGATTGGACGCTAGAAGCTTTTCTCTGCATGCAATCGGATGAAAGCCAATCAATCCTTGAGACCTGGGGAAACATCGTCGTGTACTTATTATCGACGGCCTGCCTGACTACTACTGTACTCTGTTTGACTCTTCTTGAATCAAGCTTACGGGGTGAACTGGCTAAGTTATATTATAGTATGTCTGTGCTCTTTCTGCCTCTGCGATCCCGTCCGTACATCCTACTATAGACACAACTGCCACGCCGGCGGTACATGTTCTAGAATCTCATATACAAGCAAGCAAGCAATCTTGAATATGATCACTTATTGAAGACGATGCACTGACTTTTTGCCCATACAGGCCCAACCGAGGAAACCCATCGATAGTAGTCCACTCATGATTTGCCACATGCATGTTGGTGGTCCTTAATCCTGAACAGTGACAGTGTTGCTTCGCGTGCGCGTTCTCTCTTCTTCTCTCTGTCTGTCACTTGTTCTCTCTCTCTTCCTCCCGCTACGCTTGCGGACCATTCCTTGTCGATCACTGTCATCGACACCTTGGTTTTCTTGCTGTCTTTCCTTCGGAATACCCCTTGTTTGAAGCGCTTGTACCCCGAAGAGGTCTAGAGGAGTCGAAGCGAGGAACCCATCGGATGGTGGTTGGGGCTGGTTGTTGCATTGATCCGTCTATATCGTTTGCGTCATAAGTCTGATGCATCATCCCTCCTTCTCCTTCGTCCACCACCACGCTGGGAATTATTAGGCTTCGATTTCCATGCTCAAGCATTGTTCTATCTTCTAACTGAAGAATATTGCTCGGATTTGATCTGATTCATAGACTCCTGTGGGCCCAGTTGGACTCCCATCTCTTGTTGTTCCTATTTCCCCCCCTCTGCTTTTTCTTCCCTTTTATTACTCTCCCATTGCGGGCGCTGCTGAACCCAAACCCAAACCAAACGACCCCTCAGATTCGCACAACCCAACAACCCGCCTTCTTTCTCACTTACTCACACACACTCTCTTCTCTCTCACTCGCGCTCTCATCCTCTCCGCCTGCCGCCGCCGGCCACACCCACCAACTACCTAGTACTGGACTTTAACGCTACTAAGGCGAAGAACGCCCGCCATCCTCCCAACCCCCCCGTCCTATCTTCCATTTTCGCCTCCTCCCAAATTTCGCCTCCTCAGCTTCAACCACCCCTGAAACCCCCGCTTCGATCGTTACTTAGGATTTTTTTTTTGTAACATCACCATGGACGGGGTCGAGATCACCAAAGCCGTTATCAATAAGGGCAAGCAGATGGCTAGTGTCGCTGCGGCCGCTGCTAATGGCAATGGCGGTAAGAAGAGAAGAAAAGGGACCGACTTAAAGCCGATCGTCACCAACGAACCCGGTGCGCCTGTTGACCAAGCGACTACCACTACTGAGGGGTATGGTCTTTTGCCCGCTCCCCTTCCCCAGCTTGTTCATGATCTCGAGTTCATCCCATCTGCTTGCCTAATTTCTTGTTTTCCTGTTCCGCCCGCTTCACAGCCCGCTTTTTCGTCGTAAAATCCTCTAACCGCCATGTCTGGCAGGAATCCCGCATACGGCGCCCCGCCATCGCGCTCATCCTCCTCTTCCTCCGGGGAGGAGCTGGAGACCACCGCTGAGGAGGAAGACTCGGAAGATTACTGCAAGGGTGGTTATCACCCGGTCAGCGTCGGAGAAACCTACAACAATGGTCGATACGTGGTGGTGCGCAAGCTCGGGTGGGGTCACTTTTCGACAGTGTGGCTGTCCCGCGATACGACGACCGGCAAGCACGTCGCTCTCAAGGTCGTTCGCTCCGCTGCCCATTACACCGAAACCGCCATCGACGAGATCAAGCTACTGAATCGCATCGTCCAAGCGAAACCGTCCCATCCAGGTCGCAAACATGTCGTCAGTCTGCTCGACTCCTTCGAGCACAAGGGTCCCAATGGTGTTCACGTCTGCATGGTGTTCGAGGTGCTGGGCGAAAATTTGCTTGGATTGATCAAGCGATGGAATCATCGCGGCATTCCCATGCCGCTGGTCAAACAGATTACGAAACAAGTGCTGCTGGGTCTGGATTATTTGCACCGGGAATGTGGAATCATTCACACCGATCTGAAGCCGGAGAACGTATTGATTGAGATCGGTGATGTGGAGCAAATCGTGAAGACGTACGTCAAGGAGGAGGCCAAGAAGGAGCAGAAGGAGGACAACCGCAACGGCCGGCGGCGGCGCCGGACCTTGATCACCGGAAGTCAGCCGCTGCCTAGCCCCCTCAACACCAGCTTCGATTTCAAACACAGTTCACAAAACTCCCACAGCAGTCTCAGTCAGATGGTCAATGACTCGTCAGGTAGGTGCTAGTCGCTTCCGATGGTTTCTGTGCATCAGAAATCGCTAATAAGAACTGACAGAGGCTAATTCGGGGGCTGCGTCCATGAGAGAATTATTAGGAATCAAGGATGAAGATGAGAAGCAGAAACAAAGAGAGAAGACTGCGTATGTTGTCCTATTTGATCTGCAGGTCCAGAGCGTCGCGCTAATGGTCGCAGTGATCTATTGGAACGAGAGGTATCCGGCATCTCGCTCGACAAGTCCTCCAGCACGAGTGATGATCTGGATTGTGATATAATCTCTGTGAAGATTGCCGATCTGGGCAATGCATGCTGGGTCGGCCATCACTTTACGAACGACATCCAGACGCGACAATACCGTTCGCCGGAGGTCATCCTAGGATCCAAGTGGGGGGCTAGCACGGACATTTGGAGTATGGCATGCATGGTAAGTCGGACGTGAATTTCTGCGCCTGATCTTGTGTCCCTGACAATGCGACAGGTTTTCGAACTTATCACAGGCGACTACCTGTTCGACCCGCAATCGGGCACGAAATACGGCAAGGACGACGACCATATTGCACAGATAATCGAGCTGCTAGGCCCATTCCCGAAGTCCCTTTGTTTATCAGGGAAGTGGTCACAAGAAATATTCAACCGCAAGGGAGAGCTGCGCAACATTCATCGCTTGCGCCACTGGGCACTACCCGACGTGCTACGGGAGAAGTACCACTTCAGTGTGGAGGAGAGCATGCGCATCAGCGAATTCCTTCTGCCAATGCTCGAGGTTTCTCCCGAGAGGAGAGCCAACGCTGGCGGCATGGCAGCCCATGAATGGATGAAAGATACGCTTGGCATGGAAGCAGTGGATCTGGGCATACCCCCTGGGAGTCGAGGCGAAGGGATTGACGGATGGGCGACAGAGGTTAAACGGAGATAAAGAGGAAAAGACCACAAAAAGTAAAGCAGGAATGAAAGGACTCGTGATAGACAGATATCACGAGTCGGGTGACGAGTTTCCTTTGGTATGATTTCGAGAGGCGGATCTTTTATATTCTATATTTTTTGGTTCCTTACTGGCCGTTTGACTGGATGTTTATGATTGCCCTGAACATGATTGATTGCATGGTCGTCCACTGTGCCGGTCGCCTCCAAGCCTTCTTCGTTTTCTTCGTTCAAATATTCTACCCCTCATAGAGTCGTCCTACTATTCACACTATGAAGTTCATTTGATTGCCTCCAATGCTACATTAATCTCTGCTATTCACCGTTCATGGATGTCCAACGAAGGCAACACAATCCAGTTACAATTCCTACGTCTTCCGGAGTAGTGTAGACTTACCTTCTCCTGATCTTTGTACTTGACGCAAATCTAGAACACCGACCTCCACCATAGAACTCAACACTACCCTCCAGGGAAATAAAGAGGATCAACAAAACAACTCATTCCCACTACTACCAACACTATCTCCCCCATCCTCGTTCCTCTCCCCCTCTGAATCCAACCCCTCCTCACTCGGCAACACCTCCGGAAACCACCCAAACCGCCCCGTATCAACATAGAACTCGCCCATGGCATCGACCTCGACCTCCACCCCCTCCGCCCTCAACGCCTCAGCCTGCCGTTCCGCACTCCCCGGACCCCTACCAACATGAGAATCACCATCAGTACAACCCGATACCCGAAACACCTCCTCCCAACCTCTCCCCCCTCAAAAAAAAGACCACACGGAGAATCAGGAAATCATACCGATGCGAAATCATCCCTTTGGAATTAATCACCCGCTGCCAGGGGACATTTCCCGAGTGGAAGAACGGGGTCGAGCTTGCTTCTGCTTCTGCTTCTGACTCTACGTCCGCGTCTTGACGCCTAGGGTCGGAAGGGAGGTGCTTGAGGCTAACGCCTACTTGGCGGGGGCGTTTAGCTGATGCGGTTCATTAGTTCATGATTGGAGAGATCGGGGATGGATTCGGTAGGTGTGTAGGGGATCAAGAAAGCGTGCTCAGAGAAGGTGCGGTACTGTAGGTCTCAGGGCTGGAGGAAGGGCTAGCATACGATAGCCCAGGAGGAGGGCGATATGGCCGTATGAAGTTACTCGGCCGGCGGGGATCTCTTGGACGGCCTCGTACACGGCGTTGATCCACCATTCTGCTTCGTCGGAGCGGGGCATTTTGTATATTTTAGACTGCAGTATTGAGTTGGTGGTGTCTGCGGGGTGGCTCTGATGAGATAGAAGGGGTCAAAGTGATTATGGGTGCTAGTTGATGTCTCCATAGATCCCGCGGGCTATATCTATCGATCTAGATGGATGATGGCGGAGATGTCCACGGTATGTATCGTACGCCCCAGACCGCCGTAATAATACCGGCGAAACTCATCTTCCGAGGGCGATCCAGACTTGGTTTGGAGCTTGCTTCCATCGCCCGAGCATTCGATTTACTTGTTGCTGCACACTACTTTATTTTCCAACACGGTTCTACTGTACCTTTTGATCAGCCACGTTTTCATACATCTACGAACTACTTGCAAAGTCATCTGCATACAACTACGTCTATCTTAAACAATCGACACACTCACATACGATGCCCTCCTCCCTAGCAGAATACCTCGCCAAAAACTACCTAACCGCCGACCCGGCCCCGACCGACCGCCCCAAGAAAAAGCGCAAGAAGACCGCCCCCAAACCCGAAGAATCCGGCCTCATCATCGCCGATGACGACCCGCCGGATCTCCGCGCCGTGTCTGGCGGCCAGTTGATGGACGATGACGAATATAACCCTGCGATCGTATCGGGCGCACGCAGCGGCGGCGGGGGGCAGTTTCGGCGGGCGAAGAAATCTGGGTGGAAGACTATTGATGGTGGTGGTAGTGGTGGTGCAGCTGCGGACGCGGAGAAGGATGCGGCTGATGCGATACTGGCGTCTGCGGCGGCGGAGAGGCGGGCTGGGCGCGGCGGCGGAGAGGATGACATGGACGAGGATGAGGCGCCGGTTGTTGCTGATGAGGATGACGAGGGGGTGAGGATGGAGTCCGGGGCTCGGGCTGGGTTGCAGACGGCGGCGGATACGGCGGCCATGGTGGCGGCGCAGGAGCGGAAGAAGAAGCTCGAGGCGGCCAGATACAAGGACAGTGCCCTCGGGGAGAAGGCGCAGGAGACCATCTACCGTGATGCGTCCGGTCGGATTATCAATGTTGCGCTGAAGAGGGCCGAGGCGCGGCGCGCCGAGGAGGAGAAGAAGCAGAAGGAAGAGGAGGCCAGGGAGGCGCTCATGGGTGATGTGCAGAGACGCGAGAGGGAGGAGAGGCGCCAGCAGTTACAGGAGGCTAAAGTCATGCCGTTGGCGCGCACGGCCGAGGATGACGAGCTGAACGACGAGCTGAAGGCGCGCCAGCGCTGGAATGACCCCGCGGCGCAGTTCCTCACAAACACCAAGGGCCCCGGCACCAGTGTGACGGGGAAGCCGTTGTATAAGGGCGCTTTCCAGCCGAATCGTTATGGGATCCGGCCGGGCCATCGGTGGGATGGGGTCGATCGGAGTAATGGGTTTGAGAAGGAGTGGTTCGCGGCTAGGAATCGCAAGGGAAGATTGGAGGCGCTGGATTACCAGTGGCAGATGGATGAATAATTGTGCGTGGTAGATATGACTTTTGCGATGACTATTGGCAAGACCGTGGTGGTTACACGGTTCCAGTGCTGGACACTGGCAGTGATGACATGAATTCTACCGAAATCGGATCCCGGCGTGGTTTTCCCGTGCATATTCCTGGCCATTCGCATTTATAGCATTTCCAACTTTGTTTCGATAGGACTTATCTCTTGTCGCAGGAGGGTTTGACCGGCGAGTGGAGGAAGCTCAAACCTGCCAGTTGACACTGTTGTCATGGTTACTGATGTCATGTTACTGCGCCTGGCAGCACCGTGACCTCCTCGTCTTCGCCAGCCATCACGTTGCCGCGCGAATGACTGAGGATCGGCCATCAAGTCACCCGCCGCGCTAACGGAACTCCGATCAGCGACAAGGAAGACATGCAGCTGATGACTCGTGGGATACGATCACGTTCACCAACACAGTGGCTGATAAGCGTCATCGGTAAAACCATGACGATGACTCGACTGGACCTCAGAGGGGCAGGTCTCATTCCCCGTGAGCACGGTGCTTTTCCTCATTCGTTCCCCGCAAGGTCTGGACTAGGACAAAGTGTATATGTGAATCCTTGCATGAGGTACCAAAAAGAGTCAAGTCAGTCACCCTGACCACAGGCATATCAACATCATCATGCCATTTCCCTTAGCAAGTGAGGTTCCAGATAAGCCAACGTGCCTGGAAGTAGTGGATCGGATTGACAGCCCCATCTTTGTTTTCAAACGTCTCAGAATCTCAATAGTTTGTGCTAACCTCGGGCTAAGGAACAACGGAGGGGAAGATAAACCATGGTTGGGGCTGTGGCGCTCGGGGGATCGGCAAACTTCGATAACAATCCAGGAGAATCACCATAGTAATGGTAATCTCGATCACTATCTTGTCGGGTCCCCAAAAGTCAGTAAACCCGTTTAGATAAATAGGCAGGCTGCCAAGGGTTTGTTCATAAATAGATCGAAAGGATGATATCCAACGGATGACCTATCCACCATCAGCTCCCTCTTTTGCCCCGATCCCGTGCTACCTTTTTCGTATCTGACTGATTTACCACCGGGACTACCGAACTACTACCTTCTTGCGGGCGATAGATAATAGTAGCCTTATTGAGCTACTGAGAGCATAATCCCACCCCCTCCTCTACTCCTCCTGGGAATGACTACTAGTCCATCCCCCAAGGTTGTCGGTCTCTTCTCAGCTCTGCGCCTCCTCATCTTACTTCCAGTGAGGTTTGTGCCCCTTGGATTGCGCCATTTGCCGCCTTGACCAATATCTGGATCGCTGATGATTGGAAACCAGCCGGGTTTCTTTATGACTCAGACCAAGAACGCTCTGTAGCCACGGTCATTGTTTATCGCGCATCTTTGGTTCGTGGTTCATTACTCAAACTTAGAGCCACCCATCTCGCGCCTTCCTCCGGTCTTGTTTCCCTCGCTTTATATCCGTCTCCTCTTCATCCGATCACTTGTAGCCGTCCAGGCAGCCATCGTCTGTCCCTCCGAAGCGTGTGCTACGCCTCGCCCTAGAAGCAAGCACCACCTGGTCCTCCAATATATCTTACCGAACAAGGAAGACCTGCGTTGATCGCCATGTCTGAAACCTTGCTCGATATGCGCCGGGCTGATAAGGAAGCCAAACGGGCTCACGACCACAAGGCGAAATGGGCTTACGGTAGTCGATGTGCTCGTACTATCCCTGAACCCCTCTCGTCGGCCCTTCCTCCCACTCGCCCTGCGGTGCCGATCACTCATAGCATGAAGTAAGGCTCTGGCCTCCGTTGTTGCCTATTGTTTCTCGAAACTGACTGAGGTGGTAGCTTCACCCGTGCCCTGCGATTCGATCGGAAGAGCCAGTTCAACCACACGGCCAGCGACGCGAAGATGGCTCTGCGTGCCGATGTCCGGGAGGCTCTAGAGAGTGGTCCATCCGACTCTTCCAGTGACGATGTCGACGCCCCCGGATCGATCGATCGAACTCAGGAGGAGCTCGAATCCAGAGAGGGCTCTCTGCACAACTATGATGTGTCGGGACAGACCATACTTTCGGACGCTGTCAGCAAGGCGGTCGAGAGATTTGAGACCAAGGAGACAGAGAAGATCATCAAGACGTATGAGATAATTTCTCGCGAGAGCGAGACTGCCATCGGCTATCTGGCCGATGACGATGACTTCGAGCTGGTGGACCACGTCCACCTTTAACGTCCGCCTGGTACTCGCAATTCTCTCTCACTGTTTATTTTAGCGTCGCGATTCTTGGGACTGGAGTTGGGTTCGACCACTTAGGTGTTTTTCTTTCTTTGCACTGAACTTTCGGTTTATTGTATCATCATTAATGCATCCTGTCTTCACGCTTGGTTTTATATCCTCTTTTGCGGTTGATAGACACGCGGGGCAAGGCTGGTCTGTTCCTGTCTTTACCATCACACTGTTGTTATCATCAGCTCTGATCTTAGGTCATTAGTATAGTCCTTTAGACAGAGAATTAGAACTCGTATATAGGTCGCCCAATCAAGGTTATTCGATTGTCTCGATCTCTCTGTAATTGACACATGGGGTGGGTTGTAAATGGGAAATGCGGGGAAGGTCCCATGGAAGAGAACAACAAAACAGACTTCGACTATGCAACATGCAACGGTCGCGATTAACCCGCCCACTGCAGGGGGCTTGTTGGATGTCTCCTCTGCTGTCCCTGCGATCGCCTGCAATCCAGCTGTCTACTAGATAGTATTATAACATCTCCGAGTACTCAGCAGATGTTCATTGCTAAGGGATAGAGATTCTAGGGAAATATGCCATGATTAGTTGGTAAATGAAGGGAAGCAAGCACAACTCTGAGCGAAGATGCGAGTCAGGGCAGCAAGATATAGTGGTTAGGCTCGGCCAGGGTCTGATTGACTGACTGAAGTGCTACCTTTAAGTTGACAGGCAAATGATTGTCTTAAAACATATTTCCTGCAATAGTAGTTCTAGGCCGCGCCCGACCGCGCTTGCTCCTACAGGCGTAGATTTGCAGCCTCCATGACCTCCAATTCCGCCCTATGATCGCAGGAGCTCTTGACTAATGGATATATACCATATCACCTCCTAACGGGTCATCATCAGAAACAATACGATATATATCGTTGTGGCGTGAGGCGGGCAGTTGCCACCAAGCGTTGCTCGGCGGAGAGTCTGGATTGTTTACCAAAACAAAAAAAAGAACCAAGAATCGGAAAAAGTCCATCTGCATCTGGCCGCCTTCCGACTCGCCCTCCCCTTTCTTCATCTTCAACAACCCCGACTTTTCCTCTCCACTATCCTTTTCCCATCCGTCTGAATACCGACTGCCTTCGCTCTTTGATACGATGGAGCCGCGAACGGCGGAAAGTCCGATGGACTTCGAGTGGCAGAGCAAGCCCCCCAGAGATGTGACGTCGCCCTTTTACCAGCTTAGCATGCAGCATGACAACCAGAGGAAACGTGCGTCTGTCAACTTTGATGATCTCATGTACATGCATGAATAAGATCTACAGGAGCTGACTTTGTTTCAAGGCCCTCACAGCATTTTCGATTCTCCAGGAAAGAAGTCGCTGCCAGCCCTTCGAGAACCGAACTCACAGCCCTACCTGTTTTCTCAACCACGAACCCAGCAGCCGTCTAGCACCCCCAAACCTACCTTCAACCACTCAGCTTTCATGACCCCTCGCAAATTCGATGTCGATTTCTCATCTGGCGCCGAAAACATGTCCTCCCCCGAGCATGCCGATAATGAAGACACCCCCGAACAACCCACGAAATCCGGACACCGAAACTCACTGTACAGCATGTACGGGCGGTTTGCACCTAGCCCCGGGCGCGGAGAGATTCCTCGGGTGAGCCATTACTCGAACGCATTGGCGCGACGTGTTCAGAAGAGACGCCGCAGAGATAAGGCGCTGGATCTACAGTTGAAGAGGGACAGTGATGACGAGAGTGACAATCCGGACGCGAGCGAGCTGAAGACTACAAAGACGCGACAAGATCAATCACAGCCTGGACAAACATCTGGATCTCGTTTGGCGTCGTTTTCTGATTTCTTTGCTCTGCTGGAAGCACACCCGAACATCCCTAGCATTCTTTCGTGGTGGGCACAGTTGGTGGTGAACCTTTCACTATTCTCGCTTGCAGTCTACGTGGTTTTCGGTTTTGTTTCGGCTATTCGTGCTGAATTCGACCAGGCGGCCGAGGAAGTGTCGGATACGATTTTGGCGGAGATGGCGGCGTGTGCGAAGAGCTATGTTGACAACCGATGCGCCGGCGGAGATCGTCTTCCAGCGCTTGAGACGGTGTGTGAGAACTGGGAGCGGTGTATGAACCGGGATCCGGCCAAGGTTGGCCGCGCCAAAGTGTCGGCGCATACCATGGCAGTTATCATCAACAGCTTCATTGACCCGATCAGTTGGAAAGCGATTGTACGAATTCCCACGCACCTTACTTGCTTACGCGGCTAATTCGGTCCAGATGTTTTTCCTGGCCACCATATCGACTGTCACCGTTGTCAGCAACTGGTCCTTTAGATCCTTCCGCAACCGCTACAGCCAACATGATTACTCTCACCCCGCCCCAGCTTTCAATCGACAAGCATCCGGTCAGCACCACCCGCCGATCGCTCAGTCGCAATACCCCTACCAGCATAATTCAGGCTACGGATACATGGGGTCTCAGGGCCAGGATTCTGCACTCGGTTTTGAAAAACAGGATGCGCCCCTGCTGCTTGAGCAAACGCAAGGAAGGGAATTTGCAACCGAACGGGGCCGTGACCGTGGTTCTCGCTTACGCACTCCAAGCCCATCCAAACGACTGCTTTAATCTCTTTGTTGCATTGCCACCGTCGACTTCACGAGTGTGTTCGTGTATAGCCATCCTTGGAATTTTGTTTGATTGCATCTGCCCCGGAGATGATGGAGTTTTAGTTGTTTCTATGACTAGGAGAACGATACGGTAAGGTGTTCAGAGCATGCGCCCTGGTCGGGCCTGGAGTTTGGATAAGAGCATACTGTACATATATGATTCGTGTTCTGATCCAAAATATAATTGTATCTTCCGATTCACAAAGTCAGAGATTGACAAGGCGTTGGTCATCTGACCGGGAGTTCCTGAACGCGGCAGATGACAGCGGTATGACGTCGATTTCAGCCACCTTTGCCGGTGAGGTGAATCGGTATAACACTTCAACCATCCAATTTCTTTTAGCTATCAGCACACGGGAGATCGCCGTGACATTTGATGCATTTTGAGCTTGTGATTGGAGGGGTTCTGTTCCCAGGAGGTGTTGCCGAGAAACAAAAACCCTCTTTCTGCGTGTAGCCTGATGCCAGCAGCCAGCGAGGTCAAGTAGAGGGTGGCTTCATGCTGACGTATTGCACCTTGACGCCAGACTATATCAACCTTATCTGCTTCTTAATCTACTTGAATTTCTTTTATACCGATCAGATCGGCTACAGTATCACATACTTCCACGAACTCTAGCCTTTTACCCATTTGCTCACAACTCACCCACTCATTCACTCGTGTCCATCATGGCGCGCAGAGAAAGTACCAAGCAAAACCTCCTCGTTGTCTCCAACCGTCTTCCCCTGTCGGTCAAGAAGGCTGACGACGGTTCCTACCATTCTTCACTGTCGGGTGGCGGCCTGGTCACCTCACTATCGGGGCTCACCAAAACCACCCAATTCAGCTGGTTCGGCTGGCCAGGTATCGATGTCCCCGATGAAAACGAACGAGAAGCGCTCCGCAAGAGTCTGGATGAGCACAACGCGGTTCCAATCTTTCTAGACGACGAGTTGGCGCATGATCACTACAACAACTTCTCCAGTAGGCGATGCCTGTTTTTTGCTCCTTCCATGTCTGGATCAATTTTAGGTTGACCTGTGACGCAGACTCCATCCTCTGGCCCAGTCTACACTACCAATCCGGTGTCTCCTTCGAAGAAGGTCCCTGGCAGTCGTATAAACGCGTGAACGAAATCTTCGCCGACACGATCGCCGAGAAAGCCCTCCCGGGTACCTTGATCTGGGTTCATGACTATCATCTCATGCTTCTGCCTCGGTTGCTGCGCGACCGACTGAAGGACAAGAATTGTGCCATCGGCTTCTCCCTCCATACTCCCTTCCCCGCGGGCGATTTCTGGAGGAACCTGCCGGTGCAGAAGGATCTGTTGGACGGCATTCTTGCAAGTGATGTTGTTGGGTTCCATACGGAGGAGTACAAGCAGAACTTGGTACATGCTGCCGCGGCACTGTATGTTTGCTCCTACTCCTTATGAACGCACTTGGGTCACTGCTAACCCTGGAATTATAGGGGCGCAAAGATTGATGACCCCGGGAAGATCGAGTACAGAGACCGGCTGGTTGTGGTGGAGAAGTTTATCGTCGGGATCGACCCGCAGAAATTTGCCGACGCACAGCAGAATGCGGACGTACAGAAGCGCATCAAGGAATTGCAGGAAAGATATAAAGGAATGAAGATCATTGTCGGTGTAGATCGCTTGGACCACATCAAGGGACTTACGCAGAAGCTCAAGGCATACGACACTTTCCTGGACCAGCATCCGGAGCTCAGCAAAAAGGTGGTTCTGATCCAGGTGGCGGTGCCGAGTCGTGAGGACGTCAAGGAGTATCAGGATTTGGAGACGGAGATTAGCACTATCGCGGGAAGGATCAACGGAAAGCACTGTGAGTTTCTCTCGCTTTGAATCGCGCCGGCGATTATCTGCTCCTCGGGTACTAACAAACCATGTTCTCCCTGCAGCAACGGCCGAAGGATGCCCCCTGATCTACATGCACAGATCGGTCAGCTTCAGCGAACTGACAGCACTATACTCCGTCGCCGATGCCTGTCTGCTCACGTCTACTCGCGATGGTATGAACCTGGTGTCGTTCGAATATGTCGCATGTCAGGCGCAACGACATGGTGTTCTGGTGCTCTCGGAGTTCGCTGGAGCGGCTTCGTTCATGAAAGAGGGCTGTTTGACCTTTCACCCCGCAAATATGTCGGAGATGGTCGATGCGGTTTACAAGGCGGTCACGATGGGCGATGAGGAGAGAGAGAAGAATTACGAGACCCTGCGGGACTTTATCGAGACGAATACCAGGTGAGTTTTTCCAGATCAATGCCGGTCGAGCATGTTACTAATCGATGACTTGATAGTGCGAAATGGGGAGAGACCTTCATTGACACGCTGTATGGCCGTTTGAGGAGCTCGTGATGCTCAATGCAGGTAGGACGAGGTTCGGAGTCCATGACATGTTCATACATAAAATAATGAAGAATTTGATGCTGTACCTACAACGACGAACATATGCTTCTGTTGGTCAGGGCATGTGATTGTTGACTTCAAGGTTTTGAATATCTCATCACATTCGTATCATGTATTGCCTCAATTGTAGGAGAGAAAATTGTTCGGGCAATAACTGGTTGCGCGTCTCTCTCAAATTTATGAGCGTTCCGTGGTTGAGGCATAAAGTGCCTATTAGTCGAGTTCGGCGAAGACGAAACCAAGCCAACAAATCTAGTCTAAGTCTTCTCCGATCAAGCTGCGGCAATCGAGAACAAGATTCTTGTGATGACATCTAGCTTTACTATGTCACACAGGCACAGGTCGTACCTTGTTGATCTATCACACATTGACGTGGTCCTTTGCTCCTTCCACTGTGTAGATGTTCCTTCTTGTATGTGTATGTAATAGCGTTAAGGAGCTGCATGGCTTAACGTATCAAGCCTCCCGATAACTTTCCCCTCGATGCTTCCCTTTTCCATGTCTCTAGCAGTCAATAGAATTATTCCATAGACTTTTCTTGAGCTACGATGCACATTGCAACCCCAGCAGTCCCTTGAAGCTCACTTCCGCCAAAAGTGCGCCTGAAGCCCATTTTCCCGAGGGTTTTTGACTCAGGAAGCAGGGAAAAAAAACAGGCCCTGCCAGGTGATAGCTCATAGCTTCCTATTAAGCCTTTCTGTCGTTCCACTTGGGCCAGCGTCGAGGAATGATTCAGCGAGGCGAGGTCAGGTGACAGAGACCACTGAACTCTACTCATGGATGCAAAACAGGTTATTACAAGCAGTTAACAGGAGATCGTGCAGTCGCAACCAACCATCCTAAGATCGAATTGACTGGGCCATGGGACTGCACAACACGCGAGACGAGCCTGATAATTGACAGTCAATCGGCTGTCTCTGCATCGGCTGGGCCCTGGATACCGCCCCACCGTTCTACGGTTCGGTGCTTGACTGAGCTCTGCGTGGAGACTATTGAGGTTGATTTTCCTGACTTGAAGCACAAGTAAACCTGTCCCGACTCTGCTCTGCACATCACCAGGCCCCCAATGTTCTGGCTCGGGCTCCACACATGATGAACGGCATTGGTACACAGTCTGAGAATGGATGCATCACTGACCATTGCGAGCCAGTCTATGACCATGGCGGAAGAGTACATATTCGCGCCGATCCTCTCTTCTCGATTACAGAAGTAGGCATACCAACCAAACTAGTCCCTCATTCGTCTTATAACTCTATTGGAAGACTATCCGAGAAAATGACTATACTCAAGTCACTGCTCGCCGGTGTTTGTGCTACACTAGCTGTAGCAAACCCTCTTCCTGCCCCCGAGGCCGACCAACTTCAGTCTCGTCAATTCATCACAGACTCCAATGAGCTCATGGCCGGGCCTTGCAAAGACGTCACCTTGATCTTCACTCGTGGATCGGCGGAAATAGGCAATATGGTGAGATAGAGCCGTATAACCTCAGTTACCATCAGGCAATATCCTCCCTCTACCTGAATTGACACCGTATCAAGGGCTTAGTTATCGGACCCCAACTCTGCCAGGCCCTCAAGGCGCAGATCAGCCCCAACAGAGTCGCTTGCCAGGGTGTCGAGGGCCAGTACGTCGGCCTGATCAAGCCCAACTTTCTCGACTACAACACAGACCCGAAGTCCATCCAGACTGCAAAGACCACCATCGAAGAGGCAGCCAGCAAGTGTCCCAATACACAAATCGTGGCGGGTGGATATAGGTATGTTTTCCACCCGCCTCGTACTTCTGCTTTCCTCTTTGGAAAGAGGAGCTCATCCTCTCCTCATTCATTTACCTTCTTCCCCTTTCTGTCATTCTTTCTTCAAACTCATACAGCTAACGCTATTCCCAATCTCTAAACAGTCAAGGTAGCGCCGTCATCGACTACGCCGTGCAAGAGCTCAACTCCGACACCCGCAACAAGCTCAAGGGAGTGGTGCTGTTTGGCTTCACGCGCAATAAACAGGACCACGGGCAGATTCCGGGCTACCCCCAGGACAAAGTCAAGGTGTACTGCGCGCCGGGCGACGTAGTATGCGATGGCATCTTGGTCATCACGCCCTCACATCAGGTATACGGGGTGAACGCGGGCGACGCGGCGGATTTTCTGGCGCGGCAGGTGAATCTTCCTCAGTAGGTGAGGAGGACAGATAAGTAGGCTTACAGATTGATGGCTCGATGGTGGGTGATTGAGTCCCGATTTTCTTTCGATTGATTGGCGTTTACATTTTCATCAGATCGACAAGAGTTTATCTTTAGTGTTTAGAACTGCTCAGTTACACAGACTGTATGAATCTAGAGTTCATTCTTCTTTTTGAATTGTCTTTCATGGAATCTTGACCGCCACAAAATAGGCTATATTATCTACCGAACTATAACAACCCTCCTCCCACTCCCACTCCCCTCAATCCACTTACGCCGGATAACACTGCACCGCCCGTGCCGGATTCCCCAACTTGATGAACGGTTCTTCCGGCGTCACGATCCCCACTACATCTCGACAAGGCAGCCTAAAACTCTTATCAGCCCCCGTTGCTTTCCCGGCATAGGATCACTGAGCGAATATGAACATACCCGAGCAGATAACACTTAACATCAACCGGGGGATCCTGCGGTAACAGTGTCGCGTTATACGCGCTTTCCGTTCCCCCATTGGAGTTAGTTGCCCATAGAACCAGGAGGACCGGGGAAGGGAAGGGAAGGGAAGGGAACACCAACGTGAGAGGCAAGTTCGTGCATGTGGCCGGGACGACGGATTTATTGCCGATGGGGACTTGGACGGTGGCGGTGGAGTCCGGGATGCCGAGCGTGGAGCCGTAGTAGCTTACTTTCTTTTTCTGGGTTAGCTTGTGGGAGAGTGTTTTGAGGGGGTAGGAATGGAGAGTACGAGTTCGATGAAGGAGGTTGCAAGGATTGTCGGAACTGAGAAGAGGAGGGGGAGAAGAGTTGTTGCTAGGGTGGTGGGTTTCATGATGATGGAGCTCTTGGGGGTGGCTGGGGATGGATGTGGTTGTTGGGGTTCGGTTTGGTCGCTTTTGGGATTGTGTATTTATAAACCTGTGCGAGGGCCTATATAGGATGGGTGATATTGGATATATTAATAACTTTGTATGCAACTAGAAGAGTATGCTGCTCATTGTGCTGAACCATAGGGCTTGACTATGCATATCTACTGAAAGGGGGAAAGGGCGGCCCCCGCTCTAGTGCTGACCACCATACCAAGAATATCAGTGACACCTATCCTATAGGATAAAGCAAATATCAAGCACTGACTCGTGGCATTCAAGCTGAACTGTCTGGCGGCACCAGCGGGTCTCATCTTCCCAATCCAGGCGGTGCGTCCTGAAGATGCAGTGCCAGTTCTGTGCAAGGACTATTATTTAACACTACTCATATTGCCTAGTTACCATATTCTGCGAATGTAGAGCCAGATCTCATGCTCGATAACAATATACATCATACAGCCCATCACAAACCCCTCGCAAGGATCCTCCTCCTCATGCGATCGTGAAGAACCGGCCCCGTTCCACCACTCACCCACTCACCCACCCATCCAACTCCGTACCACTCCCACGTCATGATCGACAAACACATTCTTCCGCCATCCGCACCGACAATCGGGGATCACGATAGCCGAGTTTCGACCTGCTTTCCCCTCCCCCGGGCAAAACCAAAGATGAGCTAGCTGCGCGTCTCTTTCTCCTTCCCTCCCTCTCTCTCTGCAGAGTACAAATTGAGAATCCTCGACCCCCCACGCGCAACTGGAACTCCGGCATGCTATACTACCCGTCCCCGAGCCAGGGAATGGAGAGGTATTGGTTAAGTTGGAGTGCACTGGGTTCTGGTGAGATTTTTTCCCCCTCTGGATTGTGGTTTGTTTCCCGAAAAACAGGCTGATTACGGGAATGGGATCTGGTTATGTATAGTCACTCGGTTCTGCGTTGCATTCATGGCGAGTTACCCCTGAGTATTAATGTCGTGGGTCATGAGGGTGTGCGGGAGGGTAAGTCGGTTGCGCTCGCCATTGTGATATTTTAGCTGATGGCGGGTTAAGAGTGTGCCAGGGACTTTTCAGCGTGAGTTGTCATGTTCTTCGGGTCTTGATTGAGGTGGAGACTGACGCAGTGTAGAGTATGTTGTCTCTCCGGCGGATTTCGTGTCCCTGATCCCCGAGAACCTGGCGCCGGAGGCCGTAGCGCTGTTGCTGTGTGGTATGTGTAGATTATTCTCGACAATAAGGATGCAAGGCTGACTATTATAGCCGGCTTGACCATGTACGGTGCCTTGAACAAGCTCGATAAGTACTGTGACAAGGGCGATTGGGTGGTGATCATGGGTGCCGGCGGTGGTTTAGGCCATCTGTAAGCCCATATCCACCTCTCATCACCTGCATCCAATTAATTAGCTGGTAGAGGAATTCAAGTAGGCAAAGAAATGGGATACAGAGTCATCGCCGTAGATAGGCACGCTCAGCTTTCCCCCTCTAGCATCCGCCAACCCCAGCTAACGATTCTCCAGCGAATCCAAACGTGACATATGCATGCGATCCGGCGCGGAGGCATTCGTCGATTTCCCGAGACAGCGTACGATACAATACTTCCATGATCCCCATTCCCGGCGATCTCACGCAATAATCACCCATTCTGCAGCCCGAAACCAAGATCCAAGCCCTCACGGACGGCATCGGCGCCCACGCCGTGATCGTTGTCGTCGGACTGAAAAAAGCCTGCGAGCAGAGCGTCAACTTCCTCCGGCCCGTGGGCACGCTCGTCTGCGTCGGCCTCCCCCGCCCGGACTACCACCTCCGCGTCTCGCCGTTGATGTGCGTGGACCGCGGGTACAGGATTGTGGGCAGCGCCGTGGGCACCGGAGAGGAGATGCAGGCTTTGCTGAAGTTGGCGGCGGACGGTAAGCTCTCGACGCACGTTCGGGTCTCTGGGTTTGAGCAGATCAATGAGGTTGCGGGGTTGTTGGAGCGGTTCGAGGTCGAGGGACGGGCGGTGTTGCGGATGCCGTAGGGAGTTCCGCTGCCAGTGCCAGGTGGGTTGTAGTTTTGCTTGTTGAGGGGTAGTGGTACGGCTTGGTTGGCGAATGGATGAATGAGGAGTGGTTTTGCTCGATACCTTGGGTAACACTGCCTTTATAACAGGAATTTGAATATCAAACACTCTTAGCTTGGAGGGTACCACAGATGATCATCCTCAGAGATATTCAATCAGTGCTTTGCTCTTCAAGACACAAGATCCTTGCGTTACGCTTATTCCTTCCCATTGGGCTCTTTGGTAGAGTAAGGCTCTGGCTAGATGCGTAGCTCGAGTTGAGATACCTAGCGGCACCAGACTCTGTTGACAGGAAATGAATCTCTTCTTGAAATAGAGATCTAGCCGATAGATGAACTAGATACAGAGATCCTCAAGCGCGAATCAAGTGTCCTTCAAACTAAGAAATGATTATCCATACAGGGGCAAAAGAAGATTTGCGTTATAATGGCTAGAGACTTTCCTTCTCCAGGGCGTAATTATATCTGAACAAATAAGAAGAAACATCAGATCAAACAACCGTCATATCATTATCATAGCTAGGAAGAGCGGTTTATGTAAGTGTTTACGGAACTGATTTCATCCCGTCCGCCTCCAGCATCAATCATCTTTATATGCATTAAGTAAAATTTGTAGCTCATGCAAGGAAGCGACCACGCTTGTCCTGGCGACGGGAGTCGTATTCGAGGCGCATGGTGAGGTATTCTAACAACCAGGAAACGTCAGCCCGTGCCGTGTTAGCCTTTTAGTCAAATCGAGGCACACTCACCCTCGAAGTTGATGCTGCCGTCGTGGTTCTCGTCGTACTTCTCGGCTTCCGCGGCGGTCATGACGAGACCGTCCTGGGAGATGTGCTTGGCGGCTTCGTCGAAGGACATGCCCACTTTATTCTTGTTTGTTAGTTATCTAGACTGTTGGGTACTGGATGGGTGGACGTGGTGTGGTACTCACGGCAGCGGTCGGGGGACTATTTGGTGATTCATTATGTTAGTGAGGTCTGGAAGGGGGGAAGGTCTGGGAGGAACGTACCGCGGCATCGTACTTGCTCTTCATCTCCTGGAACCACTCGCGGGAGTAGTAGAGGTTCTATTTCCTGTTAGTGTTGTATTAGAATGGGAGGTCATGGATGATCTCGCACCTTAGCGTCCTGGACCATTGTGATGGATTGTTGATCTGAAATTTGTCTTGGGCTTGGAGAACTGTCTTGTGCTCGTTGGCTGCTTGATGGAGATGAGAATGAGGGGATGCTTGAGGGTTTATATCTCTTTTCTCACACACTAGTAAACATCGTTTAGGTCTTCTATCCCGAGTATCAATGAGATCGCTTTTTTTGCCTGGAGGGGCTCGCTGCATGTGCAGCGCAGCTGCTGCTCTTGCGTGGCAGGATCCAGTTCGGGCACTTCAGCGTACAGCGGAGAGCATGCGTGCAGTTTGCAGACTGTTTCGCACTTGAAAAGCTCTTGCAGGTATACTTCCCCCTCTGCGATTGTGGGATGTAAGTGCTAACACGGTAGAAAGGATTGTATGCACATTGCGGGGCAGACTCGTCGAGCTGCTCTGCATGTCGAAATGCCCAAACGCTGCATGCTGTGTGCCACTTGGACACATGTCAGTATGTGCGATGCGAGAAGTAAAAGCAGGCTTGAATGTGATCATCGAGTAGGGGGGAAGGAGACGGTGTAGGCTGCGAAGTAAAGATGGAGGGGTTGTGCGGGCGAGCAGGTAGAGAAGGATTGGATGGTGGGGAGGTGAATCTTGACTCGATCTGATTCGACGCGAAGCAGCCTATCAAAGCTGTATTGACGCGATTCTATCGAGTGATATCGAGAGAGTTCGTCACAGCTCTGTCTTTCGTTGTCACTTCTTGCATCGAGTATGCCGATTCAGTCCCTGATCAGTCCCTGAGTTCCCTTTCCCTATCGTGAAGTCAACACATACCTTTCAGTATCAACAAACCACCATCCCCATCCTACAAAAACACGTACCTATCTATCTTCCAGCCAGCAATCCCACACAACACGGGTCTCCCTTATCTGCAGTATCCCCGTAGCACGTTGCGCGTATCACAGCCATAACCCGGTCGGAGGCGTCGGAAACTAGGAGCCCAGACGCAAAGCTCGAGCGATCGTCCACCTCTCTTTCTAGGTTCAAACAAGGAGGGGAAGACGGGGAACAAGGGACAGCTGCAGGTGCATGCAAGGCGCTCGGTCGAGTTTAGTTCCTTCGCCCTAGCCGCTGGGCTCCGCTCTCTCGCCTGATAAGGCTGCCACATTTTCCGGGCTGGGGCCTTTCTTGGCTGTTTTTTTGCTCGTTCCTGGGTTGTCTTCCTGTTGGGCGAGCTGATTTATTGATGAGATGCGCTTTAAGCGCTGGTGGGCCTGGGCCGGTTGCAGATAATGGAGGATTGTGCGTGATTGTAGATTAGATTTCGGGATGAGGGGGAGGAGGGGCAGTGAGAAGAAAATGCCGCATGACAGCTCAGAGGTGGGTGGTGTTTGTAGTATAGTGTAATGAGTGAAGTTGGTGGGAAGAGATATGGAAGAGAACTGCGACAAGTCTTTTTTTTTTTTTTACATTCTCTTGCTTATTTCACATGTGTGCAAATCATCCCATTTTCCAACCTCTTGTCTTCTTCCATCCATCACCCTCTCTCCTCTTGTGTACCAGTTCTTGTCGCCCAGTTTACATCTCAATAAGCTCTCCTTCTATTTCATCAGCCATCATCTCTCCCCTCAATTCCTCCATGATCAATCCCTCCCTGACATCCTGCTCTGTGAGCTCTGTTTCTCCAAATTCTCGATCCATGTCTTCCGCTGCACGAGCTCCTTGGGCGAGTTGATGATTCATCCCTCCAACCGGAGCCTCGCACTGTGGGCATCGTGCTTCCTCCATAGGCATACCGCATTCGCCGATCGTGAACTAGAGATTAATGAAGGGCGTAAGCATTTTTCCTGTGAGAATGACATGTCGAAAGGGGAAACAACACGGGTCTTGCACCATTGTGCTTGACGGTCGAGGAAAGAGGAAACTTACGGGATGATTGTTCTGACAATAGTACCAGTGTCCGGTGCCAGCGAACTGCTCTGCCATAGCTCTGTACACCTGGCGCTTCTCCTCACTCGTCACCAGAGCGTAGAACGTTCCGTCGTTTACAACTCTCTTCGCATTCTCGATATCGTCAAGGAGATAACCTAAGACTTTCGGTGACCTAGCGCACAGTCTTTCGCAAGAAAGAAGCTCTTCCTGCGCCTTTTGGCGAGACTCATTCTCAGTTGTCACTTCAACTGTCTTGCCGTGCGCTCGCATGTTGCTTAGACAGAGCATGGAGAACAGCGCGAAGTAGATTCCTGATTCAACTCTCTCTTGGAGAAGATTGGCCTTCATAGTGGACTTCTTCAGCAAGAGACACTTGGTAACCAGGTCCTTTATTTGACTCGTACCACGCTGGATTAAGTTCTCGCGAATGCGGTGATCAACTGTTTGATTACTGCAAATATGGTCAAAATCGCGAAGTATGGCCCAGCTGAGTCGAAGCCCTAAGACATGACCACGCAGCCCGAATCCGGTTTGTATCATCGAGTCATCAGCCATCGGTGTGTTGCTCGTAGAATTGTTCTCGCGTAGTGTCGCACTAGCGAGCATGTCATTCAACTTGCCTAATGGCTGTTCCGCAGAACCAACGGACTTGACGAAATCCTTCACTCTCTTATGCAGCTTGAGGCCTCCTGCTCGATAAGCATTGAGAGCGGTCTTAACCTGTTCTAGACTTTTCGAGTCTCCGACTTCATGGGTCCAGTACTTCAGAAAGTCGGTTCGTGTAGCATCGACATGCCTCTCGAATTGGACCACTTTGTCTGCGAGTTCAGCGTACTGCGCACTAGCGAATGTGACGAATTTGCGAGTAAACTCATCCAGCAGGGCCTTTTTTAAAATCCGGCTGTAACGATTGATATCCCGGAGTGGTCGACGACATTCCGGACAGCCCTTCAGCACTGACCCTGACATCAACTCCCAATGCGACGGCTTCGGACCAATGATATCGCCTGTGGAAGCATCGAACTCGAAAGATTCATCCATACCTAGGATTCCGTCTAGGGAAGCAATAGTGTAAAAATGGTTGCAGGGAAGGAAGATCAGAGGCGATTTGTCGAGGTCAATTTCTTTAAAGGTCTTGAACTCAAGAAGGTCAACCTGCTGCTGCAGTGCCTCGGGTGGAGCACAAGTCTGACAGAACCGCGAAGGAGGGCACGGCTCTCCGCACATCGCCGGACACTGATGTCCACAGAGCTTCAATTTCTTCTCACAGCGGCGGTTGCATGGGTTGTTCTCGCAAGGGACGGCGCAGGGAAGCTTGCAAGCTTCGCGGTGTTCACAGCCAGACCCACAAGGTTCTGCGCATGGAGGACACGGCTCGTTGCAGAGCTTGGGACATTTGCTGTGCTTGCAGTGAACATCGCAAGGCCGGCGACAGGGCGAACATGCGGTCTTGGAATGGCAAATTCGATCGCAACTATGCGTGCAGTTTGTGAAGCCCTTACGGCAGATACTGGTGCATTTACCGTGGTCGACATATGTCGCCCCGTCTTTGTAGACCCGACACGAGGAGCATGGGCGTTGGCACTTATGCCCGCAAGGTAAGTCCATGCCGCAAGGGAGGGGGCATTTGATGGAGTTGTGTCTTTCGTGGCATTGGGCTTTGATTTTGTGCTCACACCAGGGCAATTTGAAGATAAGATCGACAGTACATCTCACGGTCTCCAGTTTACCCATCCGATTGCATTCCACCTTTTCCAAATTGTGCCCACAGAGTAATGCAACATTCGAGACAAATGCTGTACAAGGACCACATGGCTCGTAGCACTTTCTCGCGCACGGGTGGCCGCATTTAAGCATTCTGTAGCATTTCTGAAAGCATTTGACTGCTCTGTGCTGTCTTTGCGAGTGGCATTTGAGCACGCAAGTGTGCCCACAATCTAGTCTCAAGCCACAAGTCTCTGCGCAGCCACCCTCGGGCGATTGTACAGAGAAGTCATCAGGGCAGGAGACTCGCATTTTGTTGTGAGGATGACGTTCGCAGTCGAGTTCCAGATACGGTCCAATGTTCTCATTCTGTTCCATCAGTTGTATCACAGTTGACCACATTGGCGCTGTCGATGCGGTGTTTGCATCGCCGATAAGGTACATTCCATGCTTTGCACGACTATGAGGATGAAGGTTAATGGAATCCTCCCATTTTTACCATCAGTCTCAAGGATTCTTACCTTAGCAAGACATTGATGCGGTTCGGAGATTTTAGGAAGCCGCAATTCCGGAACTTATTGCTTCGAACCAAAGAAACGATGACAACAGTTGCTTCCTCACCCTTGATCGTGCTCATGGTTAGCAATGTATAAGATAGGGGATGATCATCGAGGACCGGCTTACCTGGAAATTATCTACTGTCGCCAACCTAAGAGCATCGAGCAAGCTACCCTTGCGTACTGTGTTCTGCCCCTGGAACCATCGCTCATTTCTACCGTTGGGATCGTCACCCGTTCCTGTACGTTCCGCTTCCCCAAGATCCTCGGCATCTCGCTCACCAATGATCAACGTCATCTCCTGCTCTAGGATATCCCTAAGCATCCTCAGCTGCCCGACATAGGGAGTCAACACGGCTATCTCGCCCGGACTATATCTTCCCTGCCGGAGAAGATGTCTGACCACCGATGTAACCATCTGAACCTCCCACGAATTAGTTTTGCTATGCATTGGATCCGAGGAATCGCCATCATCCTCCACATTTCGATGGTCGAGCCAGAACAGTCGGCGCTTGAATCCCGGAATCGGCGGATAAATAGTCGTGGAAGGATGATCCTGTAGGTCTGGGTACAGCGATTCACGAACAAGATCAGCGACCGAAGGATGCATTCGCCGTTGGATGTTCAATTGCGTAACCGGAAACCGACGCCTTCCAGTCGGCGGTCCGTTATCATTGGGTATGTCAAAACGACTGTTGGCGAGTCGCTCAAACAATGACTCATCGAGCCCGTACTTTGCACCCTCGCCATCGTAACTTATCGAAAGCCTAAGGTTGCTTATGCGGGGCCGAAGTTGGAGATGGTCCCCTATCAGAATAGCATGCTGCACAGAAGGCAACAGCGCAGTAAGAACATGCGATTCAAGAACCTCGCCAGCCTCTTCACATATCAGCACTCTGGCTTGGACACTACGTATCTGGGCCGATAGATTTGCCAGCATTGTCGTTGTGACGCCTATCACGTCAAACCCCTGAAGCATACTAGCTTCAGCTATATGGTAGATAGCCGTCAAGTTCTTCTTCTGCTTGTAGTATGCTTTCACCAAGCGCGAAAGGACGTTGCGAAGTTCATCGAGTGCTAAGTCATGCCAGAAGTCGTACAGGCGTGTACGTTCTGCCGGCGAGAGAGTCCACACATCGGCCTGCATGAGCTCCTCGGGAGAACGCACGCCGTCAATCTCTACCCAAGCACTCGCATCGTCGCCCTGAGTCCACAGTCTAAAAGCCTCGACCTCACTGCACTCAGGATCCACAGCTGTGATGCGTTCCGCCTCGTAGGGGAAGCGCTTCTTGACGAACCACAATGTCATATGCATCCCACCTTGCTCAATCAGGCTGCAAACATGTTCAAGCCCGACGGTGATCTCTTTCAGTTTGTCGTGATTAGCAATTCGCATATCGTTGTAGCTTCTGATAAAAGGCCCTCGACGGGCTTGTCGGTGGTTATCGAGCGAGAGCGCTTCTAAGTGCGGGAATACGCTTCGCGGGCCGAGCCGCACAATACTGGTGATACCAGCATCGAGTAAACCCTGCAAAAATTGATCAAGTGCGTGAGGAGTGTAACATACACATAGAATCGGACCTAGTTCAAGTTGTTCCCGATTCGCTGATAGGCATTTCGCCAACTGTATCCCAACGTACGACTTTCCTGTTCCAGGCGGTCCCTGTATAAGTGCGATCTCGCGGCGGAGGGCCCAAACTAGGGCATTTGCCTGACCCTTATCGAGACTCGTTGTTCTGGACAGCTCATTGGCCACCCATGCTGGGTCATCTTGAAGTGAAAATGACGGAGTCGGATCATTGCTGCTTGTGTCGCTGCTGCCAATTGCGAGCAAGTCACCGAACAGACACGACAGGTCCAGAGATTTGTGTTCATCGAGGTAAGATGGTGGGGGCACAGTAACATATTCTTTAACAGAACTAGACAACACCTCCTGTTGCCCGGTATTCCAATCGGGACGAGGGACAATCCATGTTGCAAATGGCAAATGCTCGGGATGCACATATTGGGTCTGGAGACACTGCAGAACACCATCGAAAGAGTTGAAAAGCACTGCTGGAAATTCAACAAGCAGAAGCGGTCGTCCACTATTCTTGGAGCGCGCGTATTCAAAGATGTTAGTAAGCTCCTTGTCATGAAAATCATTTGTCAGCCTAAGACTAATCATCGCGCGGTTGCCGTCGTTGACCAAATCGCTGACATGAGTGGGCACGGTTGCCTGTGTAGCAGCAGCAGGGGTGTCGTAATTGACGTTGAGATCTCTTTTGGAAACTTGCAAAAAAGTCACAGAGACATTATTGAGGTCCTCGCCATCAATAAGAGCAAGGATTGCCGGGCCCTCCTTCAGAGCCTGTGAGTTCTGCCACCACTGCTTTCGTCTTGTGGGGCTCATGAACTTCAGTCTTGAAGGTTGGTTGAACTCAAGATCGATTTCGATGCCCTTTTTCCCGCCTGATCGGATCTGACGCATCCCAACCCCCAGATAGATACGCACAGGTGTGATGCCACCATCACGTAGGATTCGACGCTTCAGGCGCCAGTCAGATTGGTGTACGAGTGTATCCCAATTATCCAGTATAAGGCGGATTGAGTCGCGAAGTAGGCCAGAAGTATCCTCACGGAGTAAGCGAAATTGACTATCGAGTAGCCGACGGATACCTGTTTCATGCTCGTCAAGCTTGTCGAACGCAGGATTCCGCGCAGGGAGAAATTCGGCCCGTCCAAGGGAGAATATTTCGGAAATAGTAGGAAGGACACGAATATGGAATATGGAAGAATGGTCATTATCGTGTCGAGGACCGTGAACAGACAGCTCGCCTGGTAAGTCAACCTGGAACGCTTTGGTGTTTGGTAGCTTACGCTGCGTATTATGATGAGTGTTGCGGCCATGAGAGTGTTGAAGTAAGTCTCCCATGGATAGGACATCCTTAAGCTTGATCATGTTGTCGTGAGCCCCTCGTAATTTAGAAGAAGCAACTCCGTTGAAAATATGCTTGTCATCGTAGCTCTTACAAAGACTTTCAACGATGGCTCTGAACTCATTCTGGATTGCAGCCTCCTGATTCAGGGTTAGGGTGCGTAGAAAAGCTTTCGACACGAGTAGCAATGTTTCTTCGAATTGAAGCATATCGGGGTTCGTGGAGATTTTGCTGTCAGGACTCAAGTCAGACTTCATACGCAGCACATGCTCGGTCACTTGGGTGAAAAATGCGACGGCTCTGCGTCCATTTGGTCCGTATATGACATTGTAGATAGTCCCCATCGAGCGCTCGAGGGCAAGAGAAGATAGGGCGCCGTCATGAGTGATGACCTGAAGGAAAAGAATGCCATGGACATGAAACATTGCCCCAAGGACACTGTATGACCTGGCAAAGTTTGACTCAACGACTTGTCGAACGGTAGCCAGTCCCTCTTCTGTCGCCAGCCCGTTGATGAAGTCCTGACGGTCCTCTGAGCTTGCTTTGATCATCGATAAGCCCCTCTCGAGATAGTCTTTGATCTGCGGCCATGATAGCTGTTCCATGTTGTGCGAATGGAATGATTGACTGGAGCCGTGAAGTCTGGATTGTGTAGAAGATCTAAACTGTTAACAAAGAGTTCTGGACATAAGTTCTGGACAGAATTTCTGAACAGGAATTCTGAGATCTCGTACCTGGTCTCTATGGGCGCCATAGGGAGAGACCGAGCTTGGCCACGAAGTACTCTCCTCGTCAAGATTCTCGGCCTACCTTGATTACTTCCACGAGTCGGCATTGTACGATGATTATCAGCATCCTCTGCTCGATGGCCCTGGCCTAGGAAGACACCACGTCGACCGCGACGAGCTCTACCTGATTCCATGGCTCTTCGAGGACCTCTTGGCGGCTCGCCAGGCCCTGCCATGGTTCATCAATCCGTTCTTATACTTGGTAAGAAGCCTGCGAGATGCTCGAGCTGTATTTCAAGGAACAACGATATGTAAGACAATGTGGGCGTTAACACAGAACAGGCAAGTGGATCAAAATGAACAAACGGAGGTGGGAGGTAGGAGAACAAACAGAGAAGCGGGTAGTTTGCCTCAGCTTCACGGATTAGGCAGAATTCTACCTGGCCATGTGAACATCTCTTCATGTCCACCTCCCATGACCAGTTCGAGATTTCACTCCTACCATATTGACTAGGGCATCTTCACTAGGCGACTGCGCACGGACCACTTTTGATACACAAGTAAGTGGATCAAGATGACAGGCAGTGAGATCGGCGTGAATTAAATCGATCTGGTGCAAAAGAGCACCAGAGACCAGGAATAATCTTATAGTAACCGAGAGAGGCCTCTATAGTCAGAATTCCAGCCTACAAGCTGATTACGAATTCACACTGATGGACAGTAGTGTGAGGCACTCTATCAGCTGGAAGGGAGGTTTAGACTCGAAGTCAAGAGAGGATATGCCTATACGTGAGTTCTAGTATACGGTCTAACAGAAAATGATATCACCCATTAGCTTTACTGATACCTACTGTCAACAGCTTGATATTCTAATTCTTTTTAACAATTCTTTTACTGGAGTTGGGGTCTTGCAGTGGTTAAGGTGACAGTAATATGAGGGCATATAGGTTACTCATAGCCAGGGGTAGAAGTTTCATGTAACATTGTGCAATCTTCAATGACTGGTAAGTTCATCATCAAGTGAAATGGCATTGACAGTTTCCGGGTGTGAGGCACTTGGTGTGTTCTAGAATCCGCATTGAACTGTCAGCTGTGCGTTGCAACAATGACAATATAATATCATCTTTGTGCGCAGTATCATAGATCAGGCCTGGATATCTGCAAGATCTGGCAATCGTCACTTTTGGATTTGGAATTGAGTCAAGGCTTGTTAGTAGTATCCGGAGAATTGATCAGATATCCTATAAGCATACATGCGTGTAGCTTCACCTCGACTTCGACCTCGACATAATATGATTGGTATCTCAAGCCTCTTCTATTATGGATGAACCCCTTGTGAGGATACTTGGGATGGAATGCATTCTGGAAAGATGTGCACCTCAGCTCAATGGGACATGAAAGCAACACATACCTCTCCGTTTGGCCCCTATTCTTGCTGAATAGATACAATAGAGAAGAGATTTCAGCTGTAACACCGGCGGGAACCAAACGTCTCTCAAATATGGTCAAGCAGCGTCCGTTTCATCAAGTCTCAAATCTCCAAATGGACAAACAACCGTTGGAACGGGGCATATTTCCCTTCCAGTATAACGAGACTTTTGAGTGAAGTTGGAGCAGACGGAGATGGTTTGCGAGATTTACCTTGCCATGGCCGATCTTCACGGGTGAAATGCCCAAGCTTAAACCCAAAATGTGGAACCGTGGATTGTTAGAGAGTGGCCCGTCCGGACTCGACGAACCCCACAACCGCAGATTTGAACAAACACTTTTGAGACTCGAACACGGTGAAAACTTGGTTCGTCACATAGTGGCCCCTTAAATGCCTATCTGCTGGTCAAACATCTGCTCTGTGGGCGTAGATCACATTTAGAGGTTATGCGATGGGTTGTTTGGCATTTGCGTTCGTAGCATCCGCACCAAGCTTAAATTATCACTGCTTCGACTTCGCTTTCTCCACTCAAGACTCGAGATTAGAGTCCAGGCTCAAAAATCTTGCTTCGGGTTGGACAAACAAAAATCCGCGCAACTTCCCCAGTCTAGATGAAGTTTGGACGCCTGCAAGCTAGACGATAGAGTTAAAGAACTTGCCCCTAGTGAAAGAATTTGGAGAAGGAGCCCAAAAGTCGTACGTTGCCGAGAATCTTGGCAGCAGAGGAGTAGACTCGTGAGAAGTTTGTTAGTGCATCTGGTAAAGCTGGGCCTTCATGGGAATTCAAGAACTACTCCACTTCTGTGAGGGTACGCAGGGCGGACATCTACGCAACCGGTGCTGGGCAAAGAGTAAGAAGAAGCGAGGACGAGACGCAGGGAATTAGGAGTGCACACAAGGGGAAAAGCTTTTGTTAGAGCCCTACCATTGCTCAGCAAGTGGTCCCGTCTCATTTGAAAATGCCCTAAGGCTTTGCAACCACATTCATATCAAGCAGTGCATGTCCGAAATTGCAACATTATTGACTAATCTGCTCATATATCACGTCATGCTCGCCACCCGGTGCAAGGAGTGCATGGGCTGCGCCTGAATGTAGAGGGTGGTCAGCCCGTCAAGCGTGATCGAGCTCGTTGTGATGCAAAAGGGTAGTTGCATCTTTGATTGCGGATCCGAAGCGAACCAATGCAGCTCCAACATCAAGCTATGTAACATGATACAGTTGCCACATGAAAGTACGTCCTAGGAAAAGTAAGATAAGATCATATTCTCTGTACAGACACCTTTCATGGAGCGTTGCGAAACGAAAGGTCTGTCGCCTCACACTTACACATTTAGCGAGGTGGTCCGGTAGTGAGAAAAGGACGGGAAGAGTACATGGGCAAAGGGTCAAGCTACGGAGAATCTCGAGCCTTCGTGGGCCTCGTGCGGGGTTCAGGATACTTGAGCTAAGGTCAGTAGGCAAGTGTCTAGCCTACCTAAGCTACCGCTAGGCACTAAGGTACTACTCTACCTGGTCAGCGGTCAATCTTCTATTGGTGTTCGAACACTCAAGCAGGGGAGAAGTTCCGAGAGCACATCTTATTGGATGAAGGCACAAATGGTGGCTGGAGGCGAAGCGAAGACCCCAAAGAAGTGAGCAGAAGACGACAGAAAAGATATTCAGTTCTTGACTCAGGCGTCCACTGCTTTAGGACCTGCATATCTCCCCGGTCTTCTTTTTCACTCCTCTGCCAACTTTTCCGCCATCACGGCAAGATGGTCCCGTACATTTGTTAGTCACAGAAAGACCGTGCCACTCATGAAGTTGTGATCCTCTCTGTCCCATTTACGTGGGATTGTAGGGTTCATCGCCGCGGTCCAAGCCGTCTGCCTGAAATCGCCACTACCGTCTAGTATGGAAACATCGTTTCAACAATCGGTTTCATGCATCCCAATGCTTTGAAAGGTACAGGGTTGGATACAATGTGGAAATACCTCACCGAAGGGACTGACAATGAGGAGCATCTTGGACAGGCACAATAATCAGGCAAAGGATTAAAAAAAGCAAAAGATGTTAGGTGACCATCCGTGGGTCGGCCGTACTGCCGGATTGAGGGAAAGAAGCGGAAGATCCCTGGATTTGCAGGTGTGGATTCCGTCCAACGGAAACCCCCGAATTTGAGCCAGGGAAGGTGCGGGGTAACTTTAGTCCCCTAATCTATTCCCTATTTGTGAATTTTCTGGTCACGACCACCCCATGAGTCGTTCCCTCATTCCCAGTCATCATGTCTTGCTCTCAGACCCTACGAAGATTCCTCATCCTGCAGCACCGTCTCACTCGCCGGTCGTTAGTCAATGCAACCATCCCCCCCCCGGACATGAACAAATAAACAAATGAGAATCCGGGGGTGGGTCCCGACTGGGTCAATCCTGGTGGCGGCTAATTGTTGGTTTGTCCACCATTGAACTCAAATCAATTGATGCTCACAATGCTGATACTAAGCAAGCACCTAGACTAGACTGGAGAAGAGGCACTCTCTACCTCCCGGATCCAGATCGTCGCTTTCTTCCGCTCGCCGGATACCTTGGAAAGAGGCAATCAAAATTGAAGCCACCTCGGAGAGCGAGAAATGAGCCTGTCGTCAAACCGTTGGTCCAGAACGACTATCACACTGGCGATCCTTCCCAGCTTCTGACAGGCACTATCCCCTCTTCCTCCCTAATTGGCGCAGAGCCTTGGTTCTCTCAATGACACGATCCATCGGAGCAGCAAAACTCTCCCCTGGTCGAAAATTGGCCTCGGCCCCGTACCATATTGCACATGTGAGGATGCGACTCGGTCTTTTCTCTATATATAGAGGCCTGCAACCTGCAGCTTCATGACCACCAGCATCGATACATTCTTTAGATCGCCTGCCTCCTACAGCAACCGGACTCGAGCATTCGTTTGGCCTTTACAGTCTAATATCAATCACTTCAATACACCGTCGTTCTCGCCGTCAAGATGAAGTTCACCAATGTTCTGTTCACTTTGGGCCTGGCCACCAGTGTTCTGGCCAACCCTACGAAGGTCGCCCGTGAGCCCAGCCTCGTGGAGCGTGATGTTGCCGCGGTGACTAGCGTCCTTGCCGACATCGAAACCAAGGTTAAGGCCCTGGACTCTTCCATCACCAGCTACAGCGGTGGTGACCCCTCCAAGGTTGAGTCGGCCTCCAGTGACCTGGTCTCAACCATCAACTCGGGTACCAGCACTGTCAAGGGCGGCGACGAGCTCAGCTCCACCGATGCTCTTCAGATCCCGGGTCCTGTCCAGGACCTGACCAAGCTGGTCCAGACCGCGGTCAATGATCTGATCTCGAAGAAGGACAAGATCGCCTCGGCTGGTGCCGGTGCGACAATCTACCAGCAGCTCGAGAAGCAGTACACTGCTGCTAAGAGCCTGGCCGACGCTCTCAGCTCCAAGGTTCCCTCCTCCCTGTCCAGCCTTGCCGCATCTCTGTCTGCTGGTATCACCGATGCCATCCAGAAGGGTGTCGATGAGTACAAGGACGTTGCCAGCAGCTCTGCCTCCCCTTCCAGCGCTACCTCCGCCGCCGGCGAGAAGAGCACGACTAGTGCTCCCTCCGCCACTGAGAAGAGCGAGACCACTGCCGCTGCGACTACGGGCGAATCCGCTGCCACTGGTGCTCAGACCTCGTCTCCCGTGATCCCCACCTCCGCCAGCGCCTCTGCCACCCCCTTCAGCTCCGGCACTCCCTCCGCTTCCGCCAGCTCCACCCTTTTCACCGGCGCTGCCAACGTTGAGCGCTTCAGCTGCATCTTTGGTGGTGCCGCTGCTGCCGCTGCTGCCATCGCTGTCGCCCTGTAAATGGGTGCGCACAGCTTGAGATGGCCTCACCCTACAATAATTAACGATTGTGAAGACACAAGCGCAATGGTTATCGATAAGCGCGATCATGAAAAGATATGGGCTGGCCATGTATATCTATTCACCGTTGATTGTTCTCGGCCCAGTTTTGTGGCTTAATGTGTGTGGTTTTTGGTTTGATTTACACCTTGTTCAATAATTAATGGGTTGTGACAATGTAATATGCTCAGTGCAATGTAAATAAATTGTATTGCTTTGAATGCTTCCACTTTTTCCATCATCTTCCTGCTCAAGTAAAAGCCTTTCAGCGACCCGAAGATCATCCTCCGAACAGAACAGCGCTTGCCCTCGAATGCTCCGCTTGGCCCAGTTTTCCTCGCCGCGATAGTTTCTTAATAGCGGAAGATCATATCCGCAATGCACTCCTCCAGAAAAGCAACCATCAAGTTCGGAGTTTCCACAGCACACGGAGAGCTCAGCTCTCAGCTATCAAAGAGAGCAGCAAGCAAGCACCGTCACACCACGATTATGGCCCGAAGCTTTGCTGCAGCTTACCAACAACCCCCGTGCTCCCTCGGCTACTACAAAGGCGGGAAGTCTAAGCCCACTCGCCGCCAGGTGCACCGTGAACCCGACCAGGAAGCTTGCGCTTCTTTCCGGGCGGTCTGTGCACAACCACGAAAGTAAACAATGACGGCCTTGCTAACTACACAAAGCCACCAATCTACCGCGGCGGTACCTGAATCACGCCATCTCTACTTACTCTGTACGAATCGCACAGTCCTCCCCTGGATTGGGTTGACATTATGGTTTGGAGTTACGAAGAGATAAATGTAGGACACCGACTTTCATGCTACCACATTGGCAATCGGAGATTGCAGTAGCAACATGCTTGATTGATGCCCGCGTGGATCTTGGTACTTTGAAGGTATACAGCGAGGACGCTCGCCTCCGGGCTCTGTGAATGATAGATAGTCTAGAGACCTCCGAGGGAATTGTCGGCGCTGCGGGTGAATACCACTACCGAGTACCGTAGATTATTGATTCGTCGCGATTACGAGGAACTGGGGGGAATGCTTGGACGAGGACTTTCTCTGTCTACATTATGACAGAGGATGGTTCTCGTCCAGTGTGATGGGAATAAGAGAGAGAAGGGAGAGTGTAAGGTGAGTGACGGGGGATTTATTATGATGGTTGGCAGGAGAGACTAAACAGTTTTGGTTTAGTGTGAGGGGGAAGCAAGCAGAGAGACTTGGCGTGGGTTGTTGTCGTGTGACTATCGATGGTTCCAGAAGGTGATGATGCTCTGCAGGTGAAATCTAGACACTTCTTCGCTTGACCTGTGCTGTGTAGAGTGTAGACCAATGGGGGAATACTCCCCTGCTAAGCCAGCTTACTCCCCTCGACAGCCGCCGCATACCGCGGACTCGTCGCTGAAAAGAACATATTCCCAGCGACTGCGACAACCATCGCCCGCGCATACACTCGCTGCGCATGCGACAAGGCTCCCGACAGCTCCAAGCGCAGGCATTCCTCGCTCAATTTCTCTTCTACATCATTGATCACCATTCTGAGCATCCTCTTAGCGAGAACATCATCACCACCCATCAGCCCACGCACGACCCTCACAGCATTAAGCACCCTCTCACCACCGTTCCCCTCCGCCCTTACCTCCTTCGCATACGAATACAGATCATTCGTAAGCAACAAATGCCTCGCGCACAGCGCTTCCAGCGACTTTAAACGCTGAGCATCCCCTTCCGGCTCGTCGAAGCGAGCCTCACAACTGAATCGCACGGTCCGAAGAATCAACTCGGCCCCGAAATCCTTGAGTCCATGCACGATATACGCCTCCAAGGACCCAAACGTCTGCGGTCGATCACACTGCGTAGCTGATCCCCAGGATGTAATCTCTTCCAGCAGTCGCTTCCCCTCGGTAGGATCCTCCGCGAGGATTTCTTCCGCGAGGATGTCGTACGCGAGGAACCCCGTCGTAGAGCCGTGATTCTTGCTGATTGTACTGCGAGGAGGGATCCTCAGAGCGGGGTCTCGCGTGTCGACTGCATCGTCGTGGAGGAAGAGGAGGATGTAGGTTTTGGCAAGCAACTGATTTCTGGCGATGTTACTTAGAGGGAGGAGATTGATGACGTAGGATATCGCTGTGTCGATTAGTGTGTGGGTGCGAGAGATGTCCTGCGTCAGTCGGGAGGGGCGGTGGGTGTGGATGGTCTGCAGGTAGCTTGTTGCTGCTGCTTCAGCTTGGGGCCAGTGTTTGGATTGGAGGGCAATGGGGAGAGAGGTTGGCCATGGGACGCGATGAGACGGTGGGTGAATGATGTTAGCATGCTGAAACGCTTGGCTTCGTGCGATGGTTTCGGGTTGGATGATGGGGAAAGTTGTTGATGGCTGAGCTGGGGGTGTGCACCCGGCAGGATCGAAGGCGTGCGAGATTGGCCGGAGGGGCTGTTGTGTAAGAGATGTATCTGTATTCTTCTCTGCAAGTAATTGTGTGCAAAGATTTCGTCGATAAGTTTTGATTCTCCAGGCTGGTCGGGTGTCTGGTTCGCGATAGTGCGATATATGAAGCTTTTGAGCAAAGAAACGGGGCGTCGCTATCCGACGCTTGGGGATATCGGCATGTCGCGTCAAACCTCGGGAGAGACGACGCGTCAACATGGCGCGCTCTCAGGTGCACCTGCTTAAGAGGAGCTTGTTTCAGAGCTTCTGTGTCCTAGAAACAACAGGAGAGGAAGGGTGCTGGCCTCAAAAGTAACACTCATACCTGACACTTTGAAGCTGACACCAGATGCGGACGGAAGCAAATGATGTCAGCTAGCGGAGTTCCTTTCGTTTGTCCCGCACCCACTTCGGAACTCCGCGCGGTCACTCTCGCACCAACAACCACCTCCCAGGCGACATCAACATGGCAAGCCCAAATCCCCAAGCAAACAGACAGCGACAGCGGCCTCCTCCGCGAAAGAAGGCGTGCCAAAGTTGCACCAGGTCCAAAGTCCGTTGCAGTCTCGAACGACCTACCTGTTCTCGGTGCAGGTCGCTCGGGCGCGTTTGCGAATACTCCACTACTCTCGATCTTTCACACACCAATCCGCCAGCCGAAGGCTCGGAGAATACAGATCTGACGACCCTTGTTGGACCTCAGCCCCCTACAGCATATGCTATGCCTATAGCCGTACCTACCTACCTTGACAGCGGCTCTGCCCCCGTCTCGCCAACTCGCGAACGCAGGCACCGGCCGGTGGGGTCAACTAGAGATGAGCAGTCCGGTCTCGACTTCACTAAGGCCGATCTGATTCCTGCTTCAGCGGCAGAAAGTATCCGGGATCGTTGGCTTCGGCCATACATTCTGCCACCACTCGGACGAGACGAAATCCCTAAAGTGTACCATCCATTCACACTACAGTACATCTCAAGGATCCTGGCCACCTATCCCCGTTTCATGCTCAAGGACGGAAAAGCGCCTCCACTTATTCATCAGTCTCAGGTTTCTGGTGGAAGTCTACCACAGGCCTTGGCTAACTGCTACAGTCTTGTCCGAATGTGGGAAAATGCCGTTTTGGGGAGTGAAGCCATGGTCATCAACACGATAGAAACGGAGATGGAGCGATTGTCCAGAGAGGTATGCCTAGTCAGAATCTCCTATCGACGAGTCCTAAATGACTAAAAGTCCCAGCCCCCAAGTCAACATGATCACGACCTCCTTTCCTCCTTCCAGGCCTACCTAATCTACTCGATCATGCTATACTTCTCCCCTCGACCCGCTGCTCCAGCCGCAGTCACCGACAAGGTCATGATCACACTCATGGAACTAGCCTCTCGCACGGCTCGCAATGGCTTCTTCTGTGCATCCGAAATGTCCCACTCGCGTCCTAGCTGGGAATCATGGATCGTGGTGGCTTCGAAACGGCGTGCCATCTTCGTCATGTACCTCTTCTGCAGCGTGTACAACTCCGACCGGCTCTTGCCCAACTTCATCGCCGATGAAGTACGAGGTGTATTTGCTCCAGAAGGAAGATCTCTGTGGGAGGCGCCCGACCGAGAAACATGGGAACGGGAGTACGATCGCCACCTCTTGATCTGGGAGGACGGGATGCTGGAGATATCGGAGCTCTGGCGATCCGCCGATACGGGAACTGTCGAGCAAAGAGAGAGAATTGAACGGTGGCTGCAGACTGTGGATGAGTTTGGAATGCTGTTGTTCGGAGTCACTGCCCATATTCATGGGTGTTAATTCATGACCCAATCCACTCCCCACCTCCACATCGGAACTCCGATCACGCCCCACTCCCTACATACACTTGAACCCGTCAAACCAGAATATAAGCGTCCCGGGGGAGAACCCCCGGGCCCCCCTTCTCTTTCAGCTTCCCAGGTGCCTCAATCCTGTAACCAGATACAAAGAAAGATAATGACATCGACTTACTCAACAAATCACGCCGCCAGCGTCCTCCGCACGCACAACTGGCGCACTCTATCCAACTCAGCCCCCTACCTCCTCCCCCACCTCGACCACCTGCAATCCATCACCCCGAACCTCAAGATCCTGGACATCGGCTGCGGTCCAGGGAGTATAACCATCGACCTCGCGCGTCGCCACCCAGCCGCGCAGGTGATAGGAATCGACTCCTTCACGGACCCGCTCCCCACCGCACGCCGCCTCGCCGCCTCAGAGGGCCTAACGAACATCACCTTCGCCGTCGGCGACACCCACGCCCTGAATTTCCCCGATAACACATTCGACGTGGTCCACGTCCACCAAGTGCTCCAACACATCGCGGACCCCGTCCAAGCCCTCCGCGAGATGCACCGCGTCGCCAAGCCGGACGGCGGGCTCGTCGCCGCCCGCGAATCCAGCATCCATACCTGGTACCCCGCGAACCGCGGGATCGAGCTCTGGGACCGCCTGAGCCGGGAGCTGGGACAGCAGAGCGGCGGGAACCCGCACCCCGGGGCCCGGATCCATGTCTGGGCGGAGGAGGCGGGATTTGCGCGGACGCAGATCCGCAAGACGACGGGCAGTTGGTGCTTTAGTTCCGACGAGGAGAGGGAGTATTGGGGCGGCTCGATGGCGGAGAGGGCGCGCAACTCGGGGTTCGCGGACCGTGCGGTGGAGAGCGGGCTCGCCACCAAGGAGGAGCTGGACACGGTGGTTGAAGGGTGGTTGGAGTTTGTGGGCTGTGGGCAGGCGTGGTATGGGATGTTGCATGGGGAGATTGTTTGCTTTAAGTAAATATTTTTGGAAATACGGGGCTGTATCTTGCAGGTGTTGGTGATCCAGCGGAGGAGGAATCATGGTATCCTGTTGCCCTATTCCTCTTATTCATGGGTGGTGTAACTGAATTGTAAATTTGAGCAGAATGTATGCACTGTAACTCTCTTCGCACCGATCGTTCCAAGCTCGGCATGTATGCTCTATATGGAAATTTCGTCGACCAACATTCCTTTATGATCATCGCGACTGTATTCGTTTATTTTCTCCTGCTACACACGCGCTCACTGTTCCAAGGATGTCCAATATCACGTACGCAGGTGGATTGGTGGTGATTTACAGGTGTAATTATCTAGTGCGTGGCTCGACTAGGTATTACCCAGCATAAGTTTCTTCTTGGGGCTAATCTTCCATTCAAAACCCCGACTTCTGAACAGTCACTTGGCCACTTTCCATACATTGTTGTATCATGCCTTAGACTACGCGATCCCCAAATCTCTAAAAGATATATATCTTAAACCCAAAGGCATTACCCATGATTCAGAACCCTCGCAAATAGCTGTGTATACAGGCTCCTCTAAAAATTTGTCGGCCTGAAAGCTAGGAGCACGGACCATACAGAATCTCGCTTCTGAAATACCAATTGTATACCTATCCACCGATATCCCGCGTGACTGAGTCGATGTTGCTGAGCCATTATTACACCACATCGGAGGTTGTTGAAAGAAAAAAAAATGGCGGAGTGTTTAGGATTCTATTTCCAAAAAAGTATGTCGTTATCAACCACCTCCGATGTGGTGTAATGGCTAACATCGCTGTCTCTCAAAACAGTTCACAGCAGCTCGGGGTTCGATTCCCCGCATCGGAGTTTAAATTTCTTTTTTCTTTTGCCTCTTACTCTCTTCTTCATCTTTTTCTTTTCCTTTCTTGTACGCATCGTTTCAGTTTTTTCTTAATAGGGAAATCGAACGAGCAAATAGAAAAAGAAAACTCACAAAGAATAAGCTGCGAACAATTTGTTGGGCTAATCCGAGGATGGTCTTATTAATTAGCTGTCCCTGCGTAGCCTAACTATCTATCTCTAGAAGGTAGAGAGAAGCCAGTCGCACATAGACTTTGACCCCCTCTTCTCTTATCCGATAGATGCGATGCTTCCGGTCTTGACTTAAAAGAAGAATAGTAGATAGTTTATTTCCCTTGAGCATTTTCCGGCATTTGCAATTCGTATTCCTGATATCCAAATAGTGCGGCTAGCAACCGGGCAGTAGAAATGTTACACACTGAAAGTGGTATGCTATTAAATTTGATCAGTGTAGCTGCTGATTTCTTTTAGTCAACGATATTATCCTGAAATATAGTACTATTTTCGTTAGGTTGCTGATGTAGACACTTCCTTGCTTTGTTTACATTATTAGAAATGTGGCCTCGAAAGAACCGTGGTGATTGCAGCGTCTTCTCCTGGCCGCCCTCAATTACCTACCTTAGATTATTTCCCGTCGATCCGTGGTAAATAGTCCCAGACCAGGTTCGATAGAAATAACCTTATCGAGTAAAAAGCCAATGGGAGGCGTTGGGAAGATTATGACCACATTGCTGCATCACCACTGATGATTTGCCGTGACATCACCATCCAGGTTTGTCATCGACTCCGCATTTTTACCTATATTAAGCCACTGCTTCATATTTGCAGGAGAGTTAGTCTTAAGATCAGTAACAAACAGCACAATCATAATTGAAAATGCAGACTATCAAGAACACAATTGCAGAGAACTTCGGCGGGCCTGCTCACGAGCTCGCCGAACACAAGTTCGAACTGGACCAGGTTCCCGATCTTAGCGGTAAAGTAGCCGTTGTGACCGGAGGCAGTGAAGGTAGACCGCGCTCTCGTCTGCGTCCGAAGAAATACTGAACATGAGGGCTAGGTATCGGTTTTGGGTGTACACACACACTCCTGTCCAAGAACATTTCTAAGCTCTTCGTGACATCGCTCAGAAAGGAGGTGGCAGACGACGCATTAGCGGCCATCGAAGAGGAGTTTGGACCGGAGAAACGCAAACGGTTCATCTGGATCCAATGCGACCTCTCGGATTGGGAGCAGACGGCCAAGGTGGCTGCCGAGATCGCATCGCAGACGGACCGTATCGACATTCTCATCAACAATGCGGGCCGCGGCATCATGAGCCGTCAATTGGCGCCCACCAACGGTATTGATCAGCATATGGCAACCAATCATATGGGTCATGTTGTCTTGACTTCACATTTGCTGCCGACCCTGAAGAAGACAGCCGATGCGGGCAATACGGTCCGCATCGTCAATCTCTCATCAAACGTTCATAGTAGTGCACCCTCGGACACAGAATTCGCCTCCATCGAGGAGCTGAACAAGGACTATGGTCCCAATGCACTGTACGGTCGAAGCAAGCTTGCCAACCTCTTGCATGCCAAATGGTTAAATGAACATCTGAAATCCACGCACCCCAACATTCTGGTCAATGCCACACACCCGGGAGTGGTTGATACAGCGCAGACCAATGTCCACATTCATGAAGCATACCCTCTGCTGGGTTACGGCATGTCGATTGGTCTCAAGCCTTTCCGCAAAGACCAATTCCAGGGCGCAGTGTCAACTATGTACGCGGCCACAGTCGCAACGAAGGGAGGACAGTTTATCACCCCGCCATGCATTGTGGAAAAGGGCAGCGACAAGGCCAACGACATGCAGCTGGCCGACAGACTTATGAAGCTGACGGCTGAGGTTGTTGAGAAGAAAACCCGACCCGAGAGTAGTGCCAAAGGATGTCCTTTCAAGGAGGACTAAATCACAGGATTTCCGTATATCGAATGACCATGTCGTTATGAGCATCAATGTTGTCAATATGTAGCCGGATATTGACTTAGCTTCAGAAGAATGTTTGCTGTATCAAGTGTATCAACTCTATTCTCATCAATGACTTGAGTGTGCTTGGCTGAGTCAAATCAATCCTTGAAAACACTGGGCCGAAGAAGTTGCTTATGAGACAGCGTGTCCAGTAGGAGGCAGCATGGCGGTGGTGATAGTCGGGAGTGAATTGTCAAAACACGATAGAGACATTATTGATCAATGTCTGAAGGGAATGATGTAGGCACTGCCGCTGTTGCTAGTATTCATGAATTCATCCATTAGTTCTGCAACCAGGAAAGCGACTCTGAACATCTCGTTTATCAAGGTGCAGAGACCCGAATGGATAAGTTCTTGGAAACTTACAGACCTGCAGAGAATAGTGGACACAGTGCGTGCCAGAAAAGATGTCGCAACGTACTTCGGAGGCAGCTGGAGGTTCTCGTCCAAGTTGAGAGCTTGGTGTCATGGTTCGGTCACGGTAGGTTGTGTTGTAGAGCAGCGGTCAGAGATAACTCCATCACGGGGCACCAATACCCAAAACGGCAACCACGTATTTCCATGGCAGCCTCAATAAGCAAGCGCAGTGGACTTCCACCTCCAGTATCTGCCTTCCCTCCGTGTAAATTGCTCGTCAAAATTCGGAGATGCACCTCATCATACTGTCCCAAGAGCGAAAATGGGAGATCAATCCTTGCATCGTCGACAACGTTGAGAGTCATATTCTCTGGCCACCAGCCCCGAGGTGGATGATGACTGTCACAATTATCAAGCCCGTGCCATTCAATGGTCAGTGACACCTACCTCGCAAGGTCGATGAGCCATACCCTGTACATACCTGGTGTGAGTAAGTCTGTGAAGTACAGTCAGGTCACATACCCTGTGCCGCAATCAAATTCAGCAATCTTGAACCCTTTGCTGATGGAGACTTCGGGGTGCAGTTCGTAATCCTTGTGGAGTTTCCACAGAAGATTTTCAGCACCTGCCCTGCAGTATGCTAAGCACATCGAGTTGCGTGATGTTTAATTATGCGCAAATACATGAGGACAGAAAAAGCACAGATCTTACCTAGTGGAGCCCGTGACGCTTCTCCTTAGGGGGCAAATTTCAGCTTAAATCATGGTGCTACGCAGGGTTCAATCATGCAATTATGAGCTTTTCGAAGTTCTCAAAGCGCATCTTGCAAGCCAAGTCGATGAAGCCATTTATAGTGCTTCTCTGTACTCTAGGACACGCAAAACATCTGTGGGAAGCGGCTATGTTCCGATGCCCGCTGGCTGCAAGTCAATCGAGACGTTACCGAGTTGAGATCATGGGTGGTTAGACCAGGAGTTCACCTGGCGAGATCTCGTTCTATGTGGTGCTGCCAAGCCATGAAGTCAGATGCTGTACTGAGTGTATTATGCTAGACGCTTTAAAGACGGTGGCGCTGGCGTCCACGCTCTTGCGGCAGGAATGAGATCATCCCAGATCGGCTGTCGTATACAAGCAAGATCGTATAGCAGAATCGAGACAAGCGGTGCATTAGAGCAGAAGTGCAGATGAGGTGAGGTGCCTGTTCCCAATTCATGACGTCTCCGGCTTGCAATGAGGCGAACTTTACTGAGAGGGCAAATCCGATTCTAGGCTCCTCTAATGCTCCACAAAGTGCAGACAGCAATCCATAGAGTCCTGATCTCAGCATGAGCAATCCCCTACAACATCGTCTTTCGAGTATAACCGGGTAACTGGTAAGTTTGCCAAAGAACTTCGAGTGGCAAGAAATCTGCTATTTGTGACAAGGTTTAATCATTGCAATGAAATCACACTCCCTGCCGTTTGATAGTTTGTACACACCTGAACTTCGTGCTCGGCACATTGTACCTGGAGCTTTTCTAAAATGAGCTCCGATAATTCATAATCTGAGCTCGGACTGAGTGCGGGGAGACAGCGTCAGGGCTGCCATTTAGGATGCTTCATGTATGCGCTTCTTGCATCATCGCAAAATCTATGCTAAGGGAGATGTATCAAAATTTAGGTTCTGCAGCGGCTAGAGCCCCATGGGTATGGTTCTTGGTTGCATGAACAGTAGCCGCAGTCATTGTCACACATCATCTTGCATATTAACCCAAACCTGCAGACGAACATGATATCCAATCGGCGAGTTTGAGAAAACTGCAGAACAAGATGCGGCTAGCTAGAGATGATGCAATGGGAATTAGATATGAGATGCAGCAAATCATGCTAACGATCGATCGCACTTTGCTTCTTTTCAGGTCGACCGGATCAGCCATTCATCGCCACAATAAAGTCTATGCCATGTGATATCAGGCCGACCAGTCCCTCGGCCGTGTAAGCATGTCGATCGTTGCATTTGTTCAACTCAATCTAGAATATCGATTGAATTCACCGTGCCTGGTTAAGGAACCGCAAGTTTGCACGTACTGATTTTAATCTCTTGCCGCAGTGCTGAGGCGACGAAATGCCTGGCCAGACGTATAAATTCTGCCCACTCGTCGATGCCAGAATCCATGATGACTCAACTCTTCTCTGCGTAGTACCAATAAGAAAGTGTTTTCTTGCCATCTTCCAAGGTCAATATTGAACAGCTCACTAGCATAGTCCCTCTTCCAAGCGCATATCAAGCGATATAAGTTCCAGCCGCACTTCGATAACCTTGACGCCAGGAAAGCCTGCCGCTCTTGAAAGAGTGATTGAGATACTCCGAGAGCATAAGAATGGCGATTGTTATGCGTACGAGCGCGGAGGAGAATGGTACCTAGGCATCGGGACCCACTCATCGCTCGCGATCGACGCCACTGGGTGGACAGCGACTGTCTCAGCCGAATATAAGGGAGAATCGCACCCAGTCGCCGGTTCATTAGCTGGTATCACAAGATTTTTTGTGTCGATGCATACCGACGACACCCGCAAGGTCTTTGTGTATGTCGGCTTTACCTATGCTGCACATGCACGCGGCATACCATACACTGCCGGTCGATGGCCGCTCCTGAGTTTGATGATCCAGCGCGTCGAGGTTCCTTTCTCTCGAGACAAGGTAATCTTGACCGGATGCGACAACGTAGAAGTGAGAGGATTAGCCGACTTGATCAACGATACCAACAGCTGCGACCATACTCCCATTGAAAGTATTGACACACAGGATAATGCTGGAGAGTACACGGCTCGAGTCGAGAGAGCACTAGCGAAAATCGTCGACGGCAAGTATACGAAGGTCATCCTTCGAGAGCTGTGGATATCGGTAGGCGAGTGGACATGCCCGCTACCTTGCTGTGTGGTCGACGCTGCAACGGCTTTGCCCAGAGGATAGTGTTATTGTTGAAGACCTGATGTCAGTTCGGCCTCGAGGCAGTGTTCAGCACCTCGGGTCTACGGTGTCCGGCTGCCTCAAGCCGGAGAAGGATCCGTGGGACACCTTGGAAGTCTTATTTCCCTCTATCACTGCATCTGGTATCCCAAAGCAGGCGGCTCTGGAGGGCATTCAGCGCCTGGAAAAACGTCCTCGCGAGCTGTACTTCGGGGCCGTTCTGCTGATCCACGGCAACATGACCCTTGAAGCAGCACTCGTTCTGAGGACCGTGTTCCAGGATCCGGTTCGCCAGTGGGTGCAGGTCGGTGCGGGAGTGATCGCACAATCGACACCGGTGCGAGAGCTCACTGAGACTGGAGAAAAATTGGCGAGCATAGCTCCGTTCGTCGTTTCAGAGACAGCGAAATAAGAGACGACGTCCGGGATGATTGTCGAATTGTCGTATGTGCTTTCCATCAAGGATTGCCTTCTCGTAATTAGTGCTTCTATGGTATAGATGCCGTACACCGGAGAGGATGGCATGTTTTCGAGATCAGTTCCTGCGTACAAAGTCGTGGAGAAGATGATGTCGGAGAGAAACTGGCGTCGGGTGGTAACGGTAGCTTCGCCGCACGGTCCCGATGATTCCTTTCGCACACGATCGTGCCAATAACTCCTGTACATATAAACTCCTTACTCCCCATTGATTGCGAATCATCGAGAAAGCGGGATACTCGCTATAACGGAACAACACTTTATAATTTGGCAGAACATTCTATTGCAAGATGAGATGAGAGTGCTTGATCACTGCAATCTCGCCCCGGTAAACTAGGCCAATGCCAAAAAAGAAAGCCACAGTATGGTCTTTTGCGGGGAAAAAAAGGCTAATTGCATTAAATACAGATAAATCTCCCCAAAGAAGAAAAATCGCTCAGATCCAGAACTGCAAAAATCTAGGACAGGGGAGGCACAGCCTACCCTCTACCAGTCATCCGGCTCATAAGCGGGCTCCTCATCACGCTCAACATCACGCTCGATGTACACTTCACGCTCATGGTAGATTTCCCGCTGGGGCGAGCCCTCGCGCTCCTCGTCCGAGCTCGAGCCCGAGTGCTCCTCTGTTCGAAAATAGTTAGCAATACGTTCCAGGGGGAATGACGGCCGATGTGTGACAGGGTATGACTTACCAAGTTCGTGGTTCAAAAGAGCACCACCCACGGCACCGAGGGCCAGACCGGCAGCAGCACCCATCATCATCTTCTTGCGCTCTCTGCTCTTCTGCTCCTCCGGATCGACGTATTCCCCACCTTGCTGCTGAGGAGGGTAGTAGCCACCCTGCTGAGGTGGGGGATAGTATCCGCCCTCCGGCTGTGGGGGAGCAGGAGAAGGAGCACCGTAGTATCCGGCCGGAGGTCCAGCAGGAGCCAGATCACGAGAGCCGTCGGTGTCGCCTAGAGGGGGCTCCCACTGGGAGCGGCCGGTGGGGACCTCAACGTAGAAAGCACGGCGGACATTGGGCTCCCATTCCTGGGTCCAGCCCATGGGAAGAGGTGGGGGAGGAACCGGAGGGGGCCGGGAGGAGGGAGGAGGGCTGGCATATGGGGGACGAGAGTCGAAGGACCGGTCGGCGCCCTCGTAGGGAGGACGCTCTGGAGGGGGACCACCCTGATAGGGAGGTCTCTCATAGGGCGATCCCTGATAGGGAGGTCTGTCAGAAGGCGGGCGATCGTAAGGAGGTCTGTCATAAGGAGGGCGCTCGTAGGGGGGTCTGTCGGAAGGAGGGGCGTCGTAGGGGGGACGCTCATAAGGAGGGCGCTCCTGGTAGTAAGGCTGCTGCTGTCCGTAGTAAGACATTGTGGTTGAGTCTGCACTCGTGGTGGTGAGTAGAGTAACAGAGAGAGGAAAGGATGGGAAGGAGAAGATTCAGATATAAAGAGAGAGAGAGAATGACAGAAAGTTGAGAGGACTGGAAGCGCCCGAAGACCCTTAAATAGTTTGTTGATGGTCCCCGTCAGCTGGAGTGGGAGAGGGGTGGGTGGTGGGTGCATGGAGTCAGGTCACAGATGCAGCATCCACTCCCCCGTTGCTATCAGGAATACCAACGGCTCTCAGGGACGCATTGTAACCAACGGATGACCTAGACAAGCGCTAAAAGGAGAATGTATCCACCGCGTTATTTGTTGGGATGGAGAAGTGCCAATACATAGTCTGGTTTCAGTGATGATTGTTGATTGTAGATCTGGTGGTGTTCTGACAATGCAGAAGATTTTAGGCAGATACGTAACACAAGCGCCCCTGATAGTTGTGGGACTCATTAGGCAGTTGGCCTCATGATGCTGGAATGCAATAGAATTTCACCCTTGATGCCATAAGGCCAGCTCGACAGCTTCTTTCGGGTGGGAGAGAGGATCATGAGGAGAAATTGCGGGGCAAATTTCGTCTTCCCTGTAGGGAGAGATGGAGGGGCAGAGCAGCCTTAACCTTGTCAGGCACATAAACTCAGTCGATTCATAACTTGTCACTCTGCCTTTCTGACTCGCAGACAGACATGACGAAAGCCAATGGAACACTGATAGAACGACTGGTGTGAGCTACCAGTCGGGGCAAGACTCGTCAACATCCGGACTAATGAACAAGGAGCGACTGGAGAAATGAATGACTTGTCCAAGCGATGCCGCAGCGGTCCGTCTCCTTTTCTGTCTTGGCGCCACATCGAGGCTGGTGGACATGCTTGAGACCAATCAGAAGTGACTCATCCTTGCATCAGCCACAATTGTCTGTCGATACTCGGTACAGCCCAGTGCCCGGCGACAGCAGAGAGAACCCTTTCCTCAGCTTGGCGGTCGGTGACCTTCCAGAAATTACCATACTGTGGGCCGGAATTGCCGCCGTCAAGACATCGATGCTAATTCGGGATACTGAGAGACTCGAGACTGGAAATTGCACTCACTCGCTGGCTTCTTTGCCAAAAAAAAAATAATGAATGCTATCCTCTTCAATAGTTTAATTCATGACACCTGTTTTAGATGTAGGCTTTCAGAGAATTCTCAGCTAGTATTCCGTACATATCGTATTCATACCGGATAAATTCAAGGATAGCCAACTATCCTATTTGTAACAGTAGTTCCTCTGTGAGTATCGAGCAATATATTCTGCCAAGACCCTCCTCCGGAGCCCCTGAGCGACTCGCCACGTGTGCCTCAACCAGTGGCTGTGTCCCCGCGGTCAAGTAGCCGCTCAGCCACAAATCATTCCGACTTCCGAAGGGCCGCGGGACCTTTCGGAGCATCTCATGTTTGCAACCTATTCAGGTTTATAGCATTGGGTCGGAGAAGATCTACAATCTTTGGAAGTAGCACTTCGAATCCACTAAGTAAACCTGCCAAACTATCTCCAGTATTACCATATACATTCGGGTAAATCGAAATTCGATTCATCACATAAACCAGTCAGATAGCGGAGTAATGCATTCTGTGTTCCACTGTGCCAAGTATGACACCAAGGCAACAATATTTACAGTCTCGGGCATATGCTACAAATTCACAATAACCTAGCCCTGATTTTCCACCCTGTACATCTCAATTTAAATCTCGGTCTGAGTTCGAATTCATCGGAACACCTCGTTTACTGAAGAGTGAAACCCACATTCTGTACCAGACACAGTGGCCAGACGTGTCAGGCTTTATCGTAATGACGGCACCGGCCATCTGATTAGGATTAAAGACGGCTATGCACTGCCGGCAAAGTTACTGGATTCGGCGCTTCCCGGGTAGAAAAAGGCAGCAACACTGAGGGCTGGTCAGCTTTCTGTTCGATGAGAGGGCTGAACACGACAATATACATACCCGATAATCACGTAGGCTGCAATGAGCAGAGATCCTTCAAGGTAATTACTTCTGCCATCCAGGACAAGGAAGTTCACAACAAAGGCCGTCACGAAGAGAGAAATTGTCTCAAAGAGCGTGAAGTATAAGGACATATCTTTGTCCATGCACCACCCTAGGATGACGACCAGGGGAGTGACGAAGATAGCTGTTCAAGGTCAGTTTAAAGTCAGTCGAGGAACAAAGATCGAGGCGACGCATACCTATTTGAATGCTGCTACCAACAGAAACACCGATAGCGAGATCCATCTTGTTCTTGGTAGCCACACTCACGGCCGTTACATGCTCAGCGGCGTTACCAACAATAGGAAGGATAATTAAACCGATGAAAGCCTCGCTGACAGACGAACTCTGGATCATGTTGGGAATGGCATCAACCAAGAATTCGGCACAGACCGCGACGAGGGCTGTCGAGACGAGTAGCATGACAACCGCAGATGTCCGGGACATTTCTGGCTCTGGATGTTCGGAAGTGTCTTCGACAGTGGCCGTGCTGACTGTGGTGGGCATACGAGATGCACCACGAGCAAATGGAACGGCGCTTCCCACGGGCGGGGGACGATTGGGGAAGGAAGGAAGCGAGTGTGTACGCCGGAGGCCGGACGCACCGGACAAAATTGTTGGTTGGGCCATGCCCGGAGCGGTAGAGAAGACGGTGTTGGAAAGCAATGAGGGAATGGTAGGGCGAAACGGCGACCGCCTCTTTGGTATTTCGGAGGTTTCGTCGACGGGGATTTGTAGCTCACCATGATCAACGGCAGGCTCCGAAAGATATGACTTGATGGGTGGTCGCACTTCGGTAGTCATGTTGGTAGTGCCGGGTGCCTTTTCCGTACGCTTCTCTCGGGTTTTCCTCTCCTGCTTCCTGGCCCTCTTCTCCTGCTTCGGGGTCTTAACGGCAGCTCCGAAGTCCCGCGATTGCGGTTCGTAGTCTATTGAATGAGGCTCATGATCTGCGTCGTAGCGAGTATCATCTCCAAAGTCAATGACGAAAGACCCAGATCCTTCCGCGTGACTAGTAGTAGTGTTCAAGTCACCGGAACCGCTGGTCTCGTCAATGACTGCCGATGATGGCATATCCACCAGGGACTTCTTTCGGAACGACTGCGGAGATCCTGTGCCACGCGAGCTCGTACTAGACTTTCGGTGGCGTCTGTGTTTCATGGCCCGCTTGATACGCTTTGCGGTCGACCATGAGGTTGTGGTATCGACCGATTCGTCTGAAGAACTGCTCGAGTCTGAGGAGCTGTTCATGAATTCGGCCAAGACACCCGGATGAGACTCCTCGTCGATGATTTGTTGGGGGGTACTGGCGTAAAGATAGGCGTGTGACTTGAGCTGAAAGACGATGTACAGTCCGTACACGAGAAGCAAGACCTATCATGGGTCTTAGTGATCGATCTCCGCGCATCGGAGTACTATGAACTTACCACACTGGTTCCACGGCTCACTTTGAGGGTGTATTTGTCGGCATTGGAGCTGTCAGACCAAGAAGCATGGAAGGCCGTCTGCGAACCGCGTTAGTGACTTTACTGGGATCGAGCGGAATACATCACTCACGGGCAACAACAGGCTCATAACGCTCAGACTAAGAAGACAAGCACTCATTTGAGTGACCGTACTGTTATAGATCTGGATGACTTAGCACGAGTTCTTTTCAAATGGAAAGGACGCGCTTACTTGTTCCTGGAAACGCAGGCCTCCCAATAGGAAAGCCATGCCAAGAATTAACAGCAGATTTGCCAGAATGGACCCCAAGAGTGAAGCCTGCACGATTCGAATCTCATTCTTGACAAGTGCGATGATGAAGATGATCAACTCGACCGCATTTCCAAAGGTGACGTTGATAAGTGCACCGACGGTGTCACCCAGCCGACTGGCGACACACTCGGTGGCGTGACTGAGGAGACCAGCCAAGGGGATAACAGCGATCGCGTTCATGGCGAAGATCAACCCCGAGTTCAACCCGGCCGCCTCAACAGCGATACCGACGGGCACGAAGATAAGCAGCACATTGACCCAACTGTGGCAAAGAGCCGTCTTGGTGTGTCTGCTGAAGCGAACCATGCCATCCTTCATGCGGGTGAAGATTCCGGGCTTGGTGGGCTCATTTGTAGGTTTTTCTGACTCCGGGCTGGCCGGGTCACGTATAGCTTCCTTCACTTGCCCATCTTGTGCTGCTGCCTCTTCGGAGGCTTGATCGGGCTGGGTAGAAGCTAGAGTCTGGGGGCTGCGAGTAGACGCGTGAGCTTTCGCCCACGAGTGAATCCGGTCTTTTGGATTGAAGAATGTCAGTCAACACTCAGAGAAACGACGTGCATCAAGCACCACCAAGATAAAGTGCGCGTGAGCTGTTGTGACGAAATGAAGGAAGGGGTATAGAGATGACTGGAGCACTTACGCATGTATTTCAGGACCAGAGACAGGAACAATCAAGGGGAAAAGGCAGAGGAGCCTAAGGCGTATAACAGGTAGAAAAGAGGAAAGAGCGAAAAAAGTGTGTAGAACACAGAAGGAAGAAGCAAGCCAAGCTTCAAGTGGGTTGGGAAGTTGAACAGGCCGAGACAGACAGCGAAATGAGGACAATATAAGGACAGCCCTGGAGTACGAGGCCCGGACCCTTGGCAATGGGCGGCAAGGCCAATGATGCCGGCCAAGCCCAGCATGATCAGCCTGCGCCTAACCATGAGAGGGAGCGCCATGGTCTGCCCCCGTTTTCCGTCTGGTACAGTCCAATGACTCCACCCATTCTTGTTACTGAGTATCAAGTTGTCAATCATCCTCCCTCATTCCTTTCAACTTCCTTCCGACTCATACCCTATCAGATTTCATTCCCAAGCCTGCCAAGGGGAAGCCACCACCATGCTGAGGTCCTCGGCTTATCTCCGACCTGGGGCTCAGATCCCGTCTTCTGTCGGTATTTTTATCTCTAGAGGCTCGGCAATGACTCGAGTCGTGGAAGACAGCAAAAGTTGACGATGGGGAATAATCCACCAGCGGGGCGTGAGGGCTGATAGTCTGGATTCCTGTCGATCGTATTCGTACGGTTCCTTTCTGCAGCTCGCCGACCTGGTATTCATTCTAGGGCTGGGAGCCTAGCTGTCTGCAGTACACTCCCTTTCGAAATTGCTTCGATCTTCATTATCAGTAGGGAGAGATGACAATTAGTTCATACTTCACCCTGCTCAACCAGCCTGCAACCTGCAAGGGGATGGACAACCCCAGGACCATGTCAGAATGCTGGACCCAAAACATGAAGAGCTCCCAATTTTGTGACCGTGTTACAACTACGGAAAACCTGCAACGGAGGCATGCCTCACTACTTAGACTACTTAGTACTCCTTATACTATCTAGAATTGATTGTCTACCTAGCTTTCCAAGGAAATGCTATCTACAGAGCACTATTGAATCAATCAATCTGCATAGCAGGGAGAATGAGACGTATCCATCACCGTCGCCGAGGAACGGGCATGGCCCGAAACTTACCTTACTTGTATTTACAGTAATTATCAGATCGATCAAGACCGCCTTGCCTCCACGCAATAGGTATCCGTGGACGGCGATCATGGCAATTTGGTGCTTTCAATTGGTTAATCACTGGCTAGGCGTTAGCCTTGTCCCGTTCGGAGAGATTCCCCCGAAGTCCGACAACTCGGTATTGTACCAACTTAATACATCGTCATCCCGGACATGCCTGGGTCGTTGCCACGGCTCGCAACAGCTTTGGGTAACGCGTCACATGGCCGAGCTCAGAGCAGTAAGATGTGTGCAAACAGAGCGCGTCATCCATCTCACTATTAGGTTTCCGTTTACACTGCAAGTTACTCTGACATTCCTTTAGCATTTCTTTCGATCAACTTGGAAACTAAGTTAGGTTACTACTCTATGACTCAGTAATGTCCCAGAAATCAATTAGCACTATTTCCTGCCTGGTAGGGCTCTGACCCCTGCGTCACCGACTCAGCCACATACTCTGGGCCCACTGTTTCCTCCACCTACACTCCGCAACCCCCGCTACGATGTGGCTGAGGAGGATTTAGACCTAGGGACCATCATGGATGATGATATGACATGATTGCATTGAAGAACCCAATTGTGCCAAGGTATAGCTTACACAACCAGCTGCTAGAGCATTCCATGTTGCGATGTCAACTATCGGAGCCGTTTGTCGGCACATCGTGCTCGTTGGACTAGAAGACGCACGACACTTGCGCCAGCTGGCCATAATGAGGTCATTTGTCGTACTCATGTACTATACTTTCGACCTAACCCAGTCTACATTCTAACTACCACAAAGGATACGATTCGGTTTGACAGGTCTTGGCCAGTGAGCGGGGAATCCGTAGCCATACCAATGCGGGGTGTGATGTCCAAAGCGTGGCCGCGTAAGGCAGGCCGAGATACGATGGATGGTTGTCACCACTGGTCAGTTACACCAGGTCTGCGTTTGAGCAACAAAATCCCTCAAGCTTACGCAGAGGGGAGTACATCCTGCTGTACTTATGCATCATGAGCAAATTCTACTATCATGGTCGAGGAGGCCCAACTGTTGTCTTTTACCGGATAGGGGAAATGCTTTCGAGGGCGAAAATCACCTGCGTTTTGGCATTCATGACTCATCATGACTGCATGCTGCATAACCTATGCATTTCGTCAGGTGATCCCTTACCGGAATTGCGGGTAATCACTTATCCTTTGAACATGGCCTAGATGCGTTGTGCTTTCACCTTGCCGACTTTCGAAGCCATGCGATTGCCAGATCAACCTTCGAAGGCTAGATCAAATCTTATTCTGCTCCGTATCATGTTTCCGAACGATTTGGAACGAGGGACAAGAGTCGATTGGAATACAACCTCACTTAGCGATCATGTGCGGTTTTATCATCTGGAAATATACATCGCTGGGATAACTCCTCGAGCTACATTTGCATGAAAGTCTGAATAGGACCTATATGGACGCTTGACCAGGCGCCAATAACACAGTGGTTACGGAAGCACACAGTTTCCTTGATCATCCATGCTTGAATATCAAGCGAAGGAAGGAAACTCTCTATCGGCATTTGGCTCGGCACGCGCCATTGGATTTCAGGCACGGCAACCCGATCCGGATGCGGCCCCGGACGTCGGCGATTCGATCACTGATGCTAGCTGAGACCATGATGATAATTTTTCCTCCCTGGTTGCTCTCTGCTTCCTTTCAAGTCTGTCTAGATGTTCGTCTTCCTTTCGTTCAATCTCTAAACTGTTACATTTCACGAAAGCAGCAGCAGCAGCCCAAATACCATGGCTCCTCTCCGGAGCTCTGGTGGATCCAAACCCTTCAAGGTGATTAGGTATGAGCTCCCTGAACTGATTGGCGCTGGCCGCAGTGCGTAAGAGCTGATATATCGTGACAGTATATTTGATCCAATGACTTGGAGACGACGCCTGGATCTGGACACTCGAACCTTCCTCATGATGTTGAAAGGTGCTTTGCCACCGACCATTGTCATTGCGATGTGAGTGAGCCTAGGCTTGGTGTATGGGATTAGTCGACTAAAGCCGTTCCAGTTATCAGAGCAGCTCTATAGCGGACATTACCCTCACTATCGGCTACCTCTCCGCTCTGATCTCTGTCCTGTCGCAGGCTCTAATGCCCCGCGCCAAGTTCATGAAGATCATGTTCTTCGACCTACTTTCGACATGCGTGTCCGCCTCGCTTTGTTGCCTGGCCATATTCTGTGCTGTCAAAGCAAGAGAGCATAACACCCCCAAAGATGCAAGCGAGAGTGTCCGCAATGGCTTCAGCAGCGATGCCTGCGCCGTGTCTGCTATATGGCTGATATTCATGATCTGGTTGAGTGCTTCCTAAACTGTGCCATCGACCGAATACTGATAGTTATCTCCAAGGGGCGCGAACACAATCCGTGCTTGGAAACCGCTCGAACTTCAAGACCCGATGGTGGCATTCTCCATTTTTTGCTCGGTAACCATCACCCGAGGTGGCACGTTCGTGACTTTATCAGAAGGGCTGGGCTTTATCAGCCGACTATTGCAGGGGTTTATGCTGGGATTTGCGATCTCTATTGGCGTGTCTCTCTTCATTCTACCGATTACCAGCAGGGGAAACGTGTTTGAGGACATCAGGGGCTACGTTGCGCAGATCGACGCTGTACTACAAGCCCATATCGCCTTCGTCGGGAGGACTTCAGAAATGTGGGCTGGCGGGCAGGGTCTATTGAATCGAACTCACGCTGCCAGGGGCATGGAAGACACAGAGGATAACAGAAAATCAGATATGGAATTGAAAAAGAAAGCTCTCGGCACGGCGGTAACGAAATTGAATGCCCTGCACGGAAAATTGCAGTCTGATTTGTTCTATTCGAAGAATGAGATTGCCTGGGGAAAGCTTTCGGCCGGAGATCTGGGCAGTATTGGAGGCTTGCTACGAAGCCTTTTGTTACCGCTCTCCGGAATGGCAATGCTGCCAGATATCCTGGAGATGATTGTGAAGAATGAGGGCACTCGCAATAACAGCATGGGTTCATGTGAAAATGGCAATGGCGAGGAAGCTTCTACGAAACACACCGAGCTGGAGAAAGTTGCCGAGACGCTTCATGAGAGATTGGTAGAGTCTGCTCGTCTGGTCGTAGTCGGCTTGCAGTATCTTCTGCTCAGCCTGGAATTACAGAAAAGAAAACATTTTGAGAAACAACACCGAGACCAAGATGAGGAAGCAACAGGAGACATACTTCATCCGTTGCAGCAAGGCTTCACGGCACGATTTCGACAAGAGATTAGCCGGTACTATTCCCACCGCAAAGACCTTACGAGAACACTAGCCTCTCTTGAGGCATTTTCCGTTTCTGAAAAGACGGATGATGCCTCATCGTACAATGGCCGGGGACCCATCGCAGCCGGTTCCGATGTGAAGCAAGAATTTTTCATGATTCTGTACATGAGCCATCTGCAAGACAACATTTTGAAGGCGACTCTCGACCTGATTCAATTCGCAGATGAGAAAAAGGAAGACGGCACGATGAAACGCAACCGATTCATATTTCCGAAACAGAAGACTGTTCTACAATGGTTGTCTCTCGACTCCGAGGACAATGATACCAGTGCAACCGCTGAGCGACGGCAGTCTTCCCACGTTAGCCCCTCAGCCAGCTATCAAGAGCGCGAAGCAAAGACATTCCCAGATCCCGAGCACCTGCCACCTGCCAACTTCTTTGAGAAAGGAAGCACGGTGCTTCGTGTGATTTCAAAGGTGATCAAGTCTGAAGAGAGTATCTTCGGATTCCGTGTTGCGGCAGCGGCATTTTGCGTCGGTATCTTAGCCTTCCTGCGTCAGACCCAGGACTTCTTCATCCACCAAAGATGTATCTGGGCTATGATTGTTATTGTGATTGGCATGAACCCAACCAGTGGACAAACGATGTTTGGCTTTGTTGCTCGGATCGCTGCAACTGTTGTATCGGTGGTTTTGAGTTTGGTGGTATGGTATATCGTGGATGGAAAGACTCCAGGTGTTATAATCTTCCTCTACCTCGCCAATGTATTTGAGGTGAGTCTAATGCAAGTTCCCATGTCGTCCAGTGCTGACTGCTCCGCAGTACTACTTCTACATCAAGGTTCCTCAATACTTCGGCGCAACTGTCATTGCGATCGTCACTTTCAATGTCATCGTAGGATACGAGCTACAGGTTCGCAAACTCGGAGTCGAGGTCGCCACCTCGAACGGCCAACCGTACTACCCCATCTACATCTTTGGCCCCTACAAGCTCGCAGCAGTCGCGGCTGGCTGCGCCATCTCCTTCTTCTGGGTAATCTTTCCCTACCCGATTACCGCCAAAACTACTCTACGCAAAGCTCTCGGACGAGGACTCTTCGTCCTCGCGAAATTCTACAGCTGCATGCACACAACGATCGAGCTCTGGTTCAACGGGGAGCTCGGTAGCCTGCAGGACGTGCGCTCAGCATCCCAGGACCTCGACACCATCCGGCACAAGATCTTCAAAGAGGAGATACTGCTCCTCAACAGCCTCCGCATGCACAGCCACTTTAGCACCTTCGAGCCCCCGATCGGCGGCAAGTTTCCCAGGCCAACCTACGACCGCATCATCGGCCAGATCCAGCACATGCTCACCAGCATGGCGCTAATGGCACACACCACGCAGAACCTGGACGCTTTATCCAGTACTGACAGTTCCAACCCCCACGATGCGGAGAACAAATGGGTCTCGAGACTCGCCTCGATCGCGTTGCAATCGACGGGGTTCAAATCACATCAGGTCACTTCGCTGCTGTGCCATCTGTCGGCGGCGATGATGAATGCGCAGCCGCTGCCGCCGTATCTGTCGACGGGGGACTCCTTTCCTCTGGCGCGGGAGCTGCAGCGCATTGATGGCGAATTGTTGAGTATCCAACATGTGGAGGATCCGGCGTTTTCTGCATTCGTATGTCTGGAGGTATTGCGGTCGGTGTTGAGCTTCACTCTGGATGAATTGTTACGGTATGTTGCTCCAGTGGGGTACTCGCGACATTTGTGAAGCTAACTATTTCGGTGTGTGCTAGTGATGTGCGTAGCCTTGTCGGGGAACTGAGCTTCGATTTTCATGTGCGCAATGCGCGGGATCATTCGGAATCGCAACGTTTGATGTCGGAGGTTGATACAGGGGAGTGACATGTGCAGAACTCATCTTAGAAATTGGTATGTAATGTGGGTTGATGAATTTATTGCTCGGCAGTACAAATATAACACACTCTGTTTGTCCCCGCACTTAGAGCAACGTTGAGAAAGTTTCTTGCTTTAGTCTGGATTATAAAGCACCTACTACATCAGTATTACAACAGCAAGGCCTGCTGGCCCAATGGTAAGGCGCTTGACTACGAATCAAGAGATTGCAGGTTCGAGCCCTGCGTAGGTCATTTATTTTTGTTTCTTGTGTTTTTACACGACGTCAGCAAGCGTGTCCGCTCAAACAATCTTGCTTATAATAAATAGTCTTCACAGGATCGTTGAAAAGAAGGAGAAGGAGGCGCTGGCAATGCCTACTCAAGAAAGTCGCCAACTCATTCATTGCACGATCAGTGATCATAGTGGTCCCATCCGCGGCTTGCGGTCGCGCCTCCTCGCCTCCGCCCACGACCTTACTTTCCAAGCACGGCTACGATGTCTCAACTCAGGCCGCTGCAAGAGCACCTCGACCACCTCCTCATAACCGCCCAGAATCGCCACACACAGCACTGCCGGGAAGGCCAGATAGCAGCCACTTCGAATCATGCTCAGCGCGACATCAGGCCTCCCATAAAGTAACGCCTGATGACATGACGACCACGCATCGTGGCCGCCGTTTCCGAGGAGCTCGGGCGCCAGATCCACCAACACCTCGAGCATTTCCAAGTCCCAATCGCAGAAGAGCCTCCAGCGATGCGGGACGGTGACGGCGCCCAGATTGGTGCCGTTGCGGATGGCCCTTTGCAGACGCGCCCGGCCGTGCTCGAACCCGTCGCTGAACAGGACCGGGATTGTGTCCAATTCACCGAACCGCGCCCCGTGCGACAAGAGGAGGTCGATGATCCGGATGGCCGTGTTACCACGGCCCATGCCATCCTCCTTCCCCATCTCCTCACGAAAGAATCCGGCAGCCAAGTCGATGTTGGGCAGTTTCGTACGTGGACAATGCCAGCCGTTCGAGGGATCTGCTCCGTGTTCCAGGAGGAGCTGGGCCATATCATAGTGCAGCTTGCCTACAGCCAGAACCAACGGACTGTACCGGCCCGAGTGGGCGATACCGCCCATGGCATTGGGGTCGGCTCCGAACTGGAGCAGGAGCTCGGCGAGCGCGAGATCCCCGCCCTCGACCAGGTGCAGCAGCGCCTGGGAGCAGGGGTCTCTGTCTCCGCGCCCGCCATTGGGGTCGACGCCGGCTTCGAGGAAGGCGCGCACTGCGTGATAGCGACGGCCCACGATGGCGTTGTAGAAGCGGCACAGCAGGAACTCCTGCTCGTGCTCTATTCGACGCTCATGGGTAGAGACATAATACGTATAGCGCGTCGAAGCGTATTCGTACACCTTCTCTCGGAGTTCTGACCACAGGGTGTTGTTGAGCAATCGGCAGGTTCGTGTGAAGCTGCTGAGATCTCGGGGCTCCATCGCCTTGGCAAATAGCACGTGTAACTCCGTCGGCAATCGCAGGAGATGACATGATGCTGGCTGGGGCCCTGGCACCGGGATTGGATGAGGCCCGAAATGCTGCTGCTGCTCCTTCGAGAGGGATTGAGGTCGAGACATGGTTGCAATCGTCGGTTGCTGATCACAGCAGTAAGACACGTCGGGTAGGCTGATTGCTCTACATCTGAGTCGAGATGATGGCTTACATGCTGTTATATAGTGAGGAGCTCTAGAGTGTGTGTTGAGGGAGACTATATTGCCAATGATCACTCGGTTCTTTGTATCTTTCGCAGTGTGGAATGAACTGTTTGAGCTAAAAGGTACTTTACATGAAGGGACCAAAATAGTCGAAAGCTATACAAGGCAAACAGTCGTGTTTCTCCTTCTTCAAACGCTTTCCCCCTTCTCTTGCTGTCATTCCTCGTCCGGGAGCTTCTCCAGCCCCGGAATCTATCGTTCAGAGTAATTTCTTTTCAGCAGAGCGCGATTTGGAAGCGAGAATATTCGAGTCAACCTCGTTTGCCAGATCCGGAAGTATCACGTCGCCCGCGATACTCTGGCAAACATTCTCGGACACGCCGGGATGGAACGAGAGGTGACCTTGAACGCCTTTCGAATAATAAATTCCAGCTTGCTCCGGCTTCCCGCTAACGAACAGGAGTTGATCATGCCGGCCATCATTATCGAGTGGCTGGTCGAAAGCTTTGAACGCCTCGTCATGTATAGACAACTATGCCTGTCTGACGACTACTTGGTAAGTCGTCACATCGCATTGCAGAGCTAGTCCAATGATATTAATCTCGTTTTGGCCGTACACGAGGAAAGAACTCGCCCTCAACGAATATGCTTATTGTCAAAGGGAATCACGGTTTGGTGCTACCGAGTGCATCAATGCGTCGTCCCGGGCTGAGTACTGGGGACCGAAAGACCTGACCGATAGCACTTTACCCAGCATCCGTCAGAGCCTGGAGAGCCTGGAGAAGAATCTTAAAGCCGTTAAGGCACTTGCGGTGAACGAACAACTTGGGACGCCAGCAGGAGACTTACCACTGGCTCCGGCAGAAGGGTACGATGAAGATCCTGTCGCAGTTAATAAAGATGGTATTGTGCTCCAACAGATTCATATTCTAGTGGGAGTCAGGATCACTCGAGCCCAGAATAAGGATTTCAGAACCGGCCCCCAGGTAGCAACTTCTCGGGTCTCGCTCTTTATTGTTGTTCTTTTCGGGCATATTTCATGGAGGGTCGCTATCTTTTCATTAAATTTCCAGTTATTTCATCAGTCCTCTTCTTTATTGCTTGTCCATCTGTGCAACATCGAGTCAACCTTAGAGATATTTTTGTTGAATAGACGATCAAGATAGCATGTCCCAGCAGTTAGGTGTCTATCATTATCTCAGCTTGTTAGTTGTCGGCGATGTCCTGCATGTATCACAGCGAGGCCATAGACTGGGTACAATCGAGTAACTATATCAAGCGGCCGAGATCTTCATCAGAGGCAACGCATTGATCCATCGATCTTCGAAGCACGCCGGCAAATCTTGATAGAGTTCCCAGCCTTGCAACGGCTACTGTTCAAATCTCTTGCAATGCAGCCCAACAACACCACGATAGTTGATCAGGTGCAGAGATGTTTCGGTCTCTTGACCGATGTCGACACTTTAACACGAGCCATGAATATGGCCACTAAAATGGTTCCAACCTGCCTTTCTTCTCTAGGCAGAGCGTTGCAATTCGTACGAGCTGCAGACTAACCTTGGATCCGCCCACAGCAAACTGCGGACTCACCCCTACAGCCAGCGCCAGCTCCACGACACTTTTGCTGGTTTAGAGATGGCCATGCAAGACCTGAAGGCGAGTTGCGAGGACCAGGTCAAGCTCCAGGAAGAGGGATGGCTGCGCAATTGGAGGCTTGCGCTGTGGGGGGCATCGCCCGTCCCAATCAATGCATCGTGGGCGAAAAGCTACTTTCAGGCGATGAACAACCATGTCGAAATGGACAAACGTCATGTGAAAGACCCTTTGAGAAAGTCAATGCTCTGGTACAGCCTTCAAATCAGCGGAGAGTATCGAGTTCTCGATGATGATGATGGTGATGATCTCGACGGCCCGTTTCGCGAGCAGGCCCTCGCGCGCCTGCAGGAAAAGTACCCGTTGGCCAGGCCGAAGCTGCACGAGCGCATCGCGGACTGGAAGCTGGTGATCTGGCAGCTGCTCAGCTGGCGGCACCGGGGGAATTGGCTGGGCCATCAGACCCTGAAGCCCGGGGTCGCGCAGCTGGCGCCGGCGCCTACAGCCACGCTCTTGCCCCCGCCTCCGGGCGTCCCCGCCGGCGCCAAAGAAGTCCAATGCCCCTACTGCGGCGACTCGCTTCCCGTCAGTCTATACCGACCCGTGCAGTGGCAAAAGCATGTGCTGTATGACTTCCACCCCGTACATCTGCCTGTACGAGCAGTGCTTTCACCGATTTCCCATGTTCGCCTGCCCCGATGAGTGGGAGCGTCATATGCGCGATCACTCCATCTACTGGGTCTGCGACGAACCGGACTGCCGCAGCCGTTCGTTTCCGGAGCGCTGGGAGAAGCACATCCAGCAGCATTGTCGCGACGTTCATGGCTGGGATGACCCGCCTCCTCCCTCCTGCATTTTGCGGCCCGCCGCGCGACTCGACTATGCAAAGTGCCCGCTATGCCAGCTGCCCTTTTCCGATGACGCCGACGCGGCCGAAGTCAAGTGGCATGTCGCCGCGCACTTGGAGGATCAGATCCTGTCCATCCGACCCCGGGTGTCGCCAAATCAGCATGCAGAGTCTAGTGTATCTCTCTCTCTATCCGAAGGCTCAATAGGAATCCGATATTGCTATCATCTCTCCTCTGCGTTGCCTCAGGTCCGATCCTTCGTGAACCCTCCAGGCATTTTCTCTATCTTACTCGTAGCATTATTGAGTTATTCTCATCAACGTACTTCCCCCCGTAGGACATCCAGCTAACCTTGCTTTCATCTCCTCTCTTTTCCCCTCTTTCTCTTCCTGCTGTCAGCTTGCCCGCCGTTCTCTCCCCTGTTCAAATCATCCTTCGAATCTTACTTAGGTCAATCTATATGACATCCCGCAGCAGTCCGCGAAATGAGTTCCAAATCGCCCGACTGCTCACACGCCGCACGAAACAAGGCCGCATCCCCTCTGTGCAGCAGCAGCTCCGCCACGGACCCTTGCTCGACGACACGACCAGCATCCAGCATAACGACGTGGTCGTAATCCGCGATGGTGATGAGCCGGTGGGCGATAGTGATCACCGTCGTGCCCGTGGCGATGCTAGACCGCAGACTCGCCTGAATCAACGAGTCCGTGGCGTGGTCCATCGACGCAGTGGCTTCGTCAAGGACCAGGACCCGGGAGCGCCGGAGGAGGGCCCGGGCGATGCAGATCAGCTGGCGCTGGCCGAGCGATAGGACCGCGGACGGGTGATCCAGACTTGCGTTAGGGAGAGTCTGGAAGAAGTGGAGCTGGTGCAGGACTTGGTAGAGATCCGGGTCCGCATGACGGTGCAGGGGATCCAGATTGTCCCGCAGATTGCCCTGGAACAGGGTGGGATCTTGCGGGCCCATGGTCACGGCTCGGCGGAGTCGGACGAGCGGCACCGCGGCGATGTCGACCCCGTCGATGAGGATCTGTCCCGATGATGCTTCCAGGCCGCGGATCAGCGCCAGTGCCAGTGTGCTTTTGCCTGCTCCGGTTCGACCGACTACCGCTAATCGTTGACCCGCTGTGGCTTGGAAGGTAACTTCGCTTAGTACGGGGTCGAGCTCCGGTGCGTATCGAGTGGTGTAGGCGCGAAAGCTCACCGTGCCTTGCACCGGTCAGTCGGGCGACAGATCGTATGGTGGCGGTTGAAGTGGCTCTCTGGGCTCCTGTTCGATGCGAGTATACTCAACCACTCGCTCAACGGAGTTGAAGCTCTGTTGGACAATAGCGTAGAGTTGGACAAACCAGAGTACATAATCAGTGAAGGTGGCAGCGTACGTCAAGACAAGACCGGCAATTCCTGGGCTGACGGCGCCGCGGCCTAAGCTCCAGAGCAAGATGGTGCCCGTGAGCCAAGAGATGAGGGCACTTAGGCACGCGATTCGAAAAGTCAACCATTCTTTAGCTGCCCACAGAAGCATGTAGGGCTGGTTAAATGCGTCGGTGAAGTCGTGGATTTGGTTGGTGAATTGCGCGACGCGACCGTAGGCACGCACACTGACGTATCCGGCGAGGGCCTCGCCAAAGTGTTGATACATAGGAGACCTCTGAACTGCCTCAATCCTTTTCAGATCGCGTGCACTGTTGATGTAGACGACGGTTATGATATAATACGCGAAGCATATTATCGCCGCCGCAGGAAGGAAGACAGGCAGCATCGCTGAAATCAGGACTATGACCGTGGCAAGAGAGCAAAACGTATAGAATGTGCTCTTGGAATGGGGAGTAACTTCTTGGTCGATCGCCTCAATGTCCCGCGAGAAACGATTCGTGATCTGTTTGAATGGGATCTTGTCAAAGAATGTCAACCGCGCGTGGAGAATCGAGTCCAAGAGACTGTCAAACATCCGCGCTGATGCTCGCAACGCGCCAGAGAATGTGATCAAGTCACGGAAAAAAGAGGTAAGAGCATAGGCAAGACAAATGAAGCCATATATTGCCAGGTAGTAGCCCGAATTCACGGCAGCCGAGCCTTCGTTAGTTCCTGGGGAGGGCTTGGGAAGCCGATCGAATGCCTGCGCCCAGTCCTTAATCCACAAGTTGGTTGCCAACGATGTAATCTGCTGAACGGCAAACGCTACCAGAACAATAGACCAGAACCACCATGATCCCATTGATGCAAAATAAGTCTTGATGACCTGCCACGGAACTGCTCCAGCCGACTTCTCTTCTCTATATTGAGGTTTAGGTTCAGCTTTAACTTCAGTACTATCGGTTTCATCCTCACTGTCCATCTCCTCCGACGCGGACTGTGATTCGAAAGAGGTGGCAATCTTTGCTTTGGATGATTGTCCTTGTGGACAAGCTTGTTTCTCGGGGTCTATCATGCTGTCCCCTAAAAGACCGGTACGGATAAGGTCACTGGCCGTGCCCTGCGCTTGCACTTCGCCGTGGTCAATCATGACAATGTAGTCCGCATGAGACACAACGAGTTGCGTATGATGAGTTGCCAGTATGCATGTTCTACCCTGCATGAGTTGACCTTTGATCCCTTGGAAGAATAGATGCCTTCCTGTGCGCGAATCCAAGGCACTTAGGCAGTCGTCCAACACAACAACCTGAGCATTGCTGTACAACGCCCTAGCCAAGGCAACTCGCTGTTTCTGACCCCCAGACAAGCGATTTCCTCTTTCTCCCGCCATCATGGGATCTCCTTTCTTGTGCTTTGCGAGATCGGAAATTAGGGCCACCGCCTCAAGGACCATCCGGTAACGCTGTTTGTCCAGCGGAAGCCCGAACAGGATATTGGCTCGAACACTCTGGTTCAAAATCCACGGCTCTTGAGGACAGTACGCTATTGAACTATCTGGGGTAAAATTGGCTGTCAAATCGGGGATCCCATACGATGTCTGCCGTCGCAGAGGTAGGAATACGCGCCCCTGCAGGAGTTCCATCTCCCCTAGCAATGCCAACAACAGCGACGACTTGCCAGACCCACTCGCTCCAATAACTAGATTGAGCCCGTTATCAAGAAAGGTGATGTTGATGTTGGAGAGCCTGAACGGCGGTGTGGGGCTCCTCTCAGCCAGCTGAGAGTGGTCTTGAGCACCACTATTCTCAGCTCTAGCTGTGGGCCACTGAAATGTCGCATCTCGGAATCCGAACAGATGATTGTCATTCCACTCGATTTGATTATACCTTTCAGTGTCTTTCTCCTCTAGAAATGCCTCAATGCGACCAACGGAAAAATGAGCCTGGAGAAGGAACGATATCATGGAAGACATCCGATCCAACGGGATACGCAGCACTGCGAAGGTTGCCAATGCGGGAAAGGCGACCTTTGTTTCAAGCCTTTGGCCTTCGACGATAGCATACAGAAATAGGATCAGAATTGTCGTAATGAAAGGGAGTGAGTAGAAAACTGTCATCGAAACGGACCACCAGAGAAAACGAACCCGCAGCTTGGAGAGCTCGATCTTTCGCAAACCGTCCACTTGCTTCCGGAATTCGTTCTCCCAGGCGCACATTTTGATGAGGTTTTTATATTCGGTATACACTGAGCGATGTGCGATTTACTCCTATGATGATACAACCTCGCCAAAGCGTGATTTCTGCATGCGTGAAGCTTTTTCATTGGAAGCTATCATATATTCGAAGTACACAGGAATGAAAGCTGAGCTTCTGTATTAGATATTGCGCCACAGACCATCGAACACACAGGAACAACCCAGACACCTGCGACTGTCTACCTCTAGCAAGAGGCGCCCGAGGGAACGTTCTCACACTTGGAGCTGCTCTCACCACCGGTGATGTCAACACCCGACCAGGTCCAGTCGGAGCAGCTGCCGTCACCACAGAGGATGTAGACACGGGTAGCATCATCTTCGACCGAGCCGGTGATGCCGTCGACAGTCACATCGGTGATAGGGATACCGGTGGAAGGAGTGCCAGTAGGGCTGCCGTTTTCATAATCCTGCTCGATGACAATACCGTAGTCGGTGATACCAGAGAGCTTAATGTTGGAGTAGGTGATGTCGCTGACATCACCAGTCTCCTTGTAGATGGTTTTGATGCGAACACCGTTGGCCGAGTTCGAGACAGTTGAGTCCGAGATGGTCACGTTCTTGACAGTGTTGTCGTCACGTCCACCAACGGAGCCAATGGACAGACCATGACCACCGGAGCAGGTACCGCCAGTGAAGAGAATGTTCTCACCAGAGTTGATGGCAATGCAGTCGTCCTGGTTCTTGACGGTAGCACCGCTGATGTACACACCAGTACTTTCGCTGATGTCAAACCCATCAGTGTTGTGGCCGCCGTTGTCGTCACCGTCGGAGTTGTCGATGGTGATGTCGGTCAGATAGGTGTTGGTTGCCTGCACACTGATGGCCTGCACCGGAGTGTTCTTGATCTGGAGGCCCTTGATGGTGGAGTCCTCAACATCGTGGACGTACATGAACTTAGGCTTAGTCTTGCCACCGTTGGTACCCTTGCTGTCCCACCAGCGAGAGCCGTCACCGTCAATAACAGCTCCATCAGCCTGGGTGATGGTGAGCTGCTTGCCACCGAAGCGGATAAGGGGGCCCTTCCACTCCTTGTAGCCAAAGCTGGTGGTGCCCTCGAAAGTGATCTGGTTTTATTAGCGTTGTCTAATGCTAACGGGTGGAAAAGACTCACGGTAGCACCGTCAGCGGCATCAGACAAGTCAAGGGTCTCTCCAGCAGGCACCTCGATGTTGCTGAGGACAACGCTGGAGCATTTGGAGATGCTCTCGCTAGCCTCGCTAGCAGAGGTAAACGTGCAGGTAGAGGAGGACTTCTTCACAAGGTCGGAGACGCGAGAAGCAGTGGGAGCAGCGGAGACGAGAGAGCCGACAGCGGCCAGGCCAAGAAGCTGGAAGGAATGCATGATGAATTCTGGTCAACAGAACAGTGATAAAGAGACGGTAAAGGAAGGAAGGAATATCTGGTCAACAGAGTCGAAAGAGAGAGCGTGGTTGATGAGACGTTGGAAGCAAGAAAAGAAGTAAGCTTTTATACCGTGATGGAGGCGTCTCGGCCTTCCATACAGACTCGACCGTATATCAATCTCGAACGGCTATCGGGCGCTCCACGGACCTCCTCCCGGATCCACGCTGTTTCACCATGTCCGTTCGTTGGCTCAGCAGTCAGCGTTGTGCCGCTTCACGGAGTCACAATCAATAATGATCGTCGTCATCAAGTCTCAAACAGAATAGCTCGGTTCCACGGTGGGCCCTGAATGCCGATCCCAAGCCGACTCTCTTCGGCAAATTCGTGGTTCAATGCATGGAAAACATCAGGCGTCCGAACCAGTTGGCTTGGCAATTTGCTTAGCAACCTTGGTTCTGTTCTGGGTGACGAATCTTGATTTCGAGCATGGCATGATGCGAAACAGTACTGTATTGGAGATCTCCTAATCGCGACAGGACGACGCATCATCCTAATAATCGCTTGGCAGGTCAAGGACCCTGAGGCGGAACTGTCGGGGAGACCCTGCGTCTCGCCTCAAGGTTCTCGTCTCGAGTACGTGAGTACGTATGCTCGGTGATGGTGAGCTGCCCCTGCATACTGCCAAGAATCATCTCCCACTTCTTGGCTCATATCAAGCGATATTAAGGGCAATCCTTCCGCTCCGAAAGCGGCTAAACACCTCGCCGGAAAATGTATGCAAACTTTCCTCGCTACAACTGAACTCAGGTGATTATCTTCCACGAATCCGAGGCTCGCATCTATGGAGAAAAGGCTTGCGTAGAGGTCCGAGGGTAGCCCACTTCCTTTACATGCTTCGGATCAGCCGGAATTGACCCCCTGTCATGTTAGTTCCTATCGGATATGCGGCGCCCGCTCCGTCACTGCGCTTCCGTGATGAGGATGTCCACGGTGTAGACGGATTCAGCTGGGGTGGACTATTACTCCCCAATTCCTCAGACTGGCCGTGGATACTGCACAGGTTAGGATTTCAGTGCAACGAGGCTGCCTTGTTCGGTTCATCGCACCTACCAAAACAAAGCCAACCTGCTCAGCATGTAATGAGCGTGGAGGAGTCTCATTTGAGACTCGTCAATATCATTATCTGCTTGCGAAAACGACGTTCTTGCGGACCTCTGCGTTCTTTCTCTTGATCAGAGTGGCCTCTTTTCTCTAGTGGGGGGCTTACATATGTATTAAGCCCCTGCTGTAGGCATTATCACCACTCATGGTCTGGTTCGGATTCATTATCCTCCTCATTGCCATCAAGGCCATTCATTCTGCATCCCTCACAGCACTTAAATGCTCGACCCTCCAGATTCAACCACCCTCTATCTCCGGCATCGAGATTGGATCGCTCACAGCTTTTCCCGTGTATGGCTTCGAGATCGACGGCCTTCAAGTCAACCCGATCAAGTATCGCCCAGTCACCGTGAGCGTCTGTAACGTGACCATTACTTATAACCACCCCGGCTGGGACGACGTCATTCACACCCAGGTCTGGCTGCCTCTCTCTGGTTTGAATGCGCGTCTGCAGGGCATCGGCGGTTGGGGCTTTGCGGGAACCTGCGGCGACAGCGCGGCAGCTCTGGCGGTTGCAGGGGGCTTTGCGGCCGTTAGCTCCGATTTAGGCCATACGACGAACCCTTGGTCGGCACGAGACTGGGCGCTTGACGAATCTTCAGGCCATGTGAACTTTGCTCGGCTGCTGGATTTTTCAGCCGTCGGTCTGTCCGACATTTCGGGTCTCGGAAGAGACATCGCTTATAAAGTCTACCGATCCCCTCCAAGGTACACCTACTGGAATGGGTGCTCCACAGGTGGGCGACAAGGCATGATGCTGGCACAGCGATTCCCCGGTGCTTGGATCCTGGCCGGTTCTCCGGCGCTGAGTTGGGCACACATGATACCTGCAGGCTACTGGCCCACCTTTGTGATGTATCTGCTAAACTCCTATCCCTCTCCTTGTGTGATGAATGCGATTGCTGCCAAAGTTGTAGAGGCCTGCGACGATCGCGATGGAGTCGTCGATGGAATCATTACCCAGCCGGAGCTTTGTGACTCTAATCCGCTTTTCCTTGTTACCAAACACGTCGATTGCGATGACGGGATCGACGCTGAAATCACGCTTGAGGTAGTCACGGTGGCCCAGAGGATTTGGCAGGGCATGCGCTCACGGGATGGTTTTCCGTTGTGGTATGGCTTCTCGCGTGGCTCGCTATGGCACGGTACCAACTGCTCCTCGGCCGACGAGATTGAGCATCACAGATGTACTCCTACACCAAGTCCAATTGTTGTTGACTGGCTATCGCTATTTGTCGCGCAGGATCTGAAGTTAGACCTGTCAAACTTGACATATTCTGAGTTTGAAGCCCTATTTCGCCTTTCGGTAGCCGGCTACCAGTCCATAATCAGCGCTGACGCCCCCGACCTGCGAGAGTTCAGGCGGCGTGGAGGTAAAATCATTCACTAGCACGGGCTGAACGACGAAAAGGTACCTCCCAGTGGGTCCGCGGCGTATTATACAGCTGTGAAGATGCGCGATCCTGCAATTGGGTCTTAACATTGCTATTTCGAAGCCCCCGGAGTAGGCCACTGTGGCTCAGGTCCAGGTGCTGAGCCTATGGGTCTGCTGGGCTCGTTGGCAACATGGGTGGAAAAAGGAATCGCTCCGGGTATTCTCGCTGCCGTGTCAGAAGACGGGAGTCTATCGAGGATTCTGTGCCCATATCCAACAGTGGTGACTTACTTGGAGGGAGATCCGGAACAGCCTGAGTCATTTGGCTGTCAGTGAGGATGATGAGAAGGGATCAGGACGATACGTTTAGTTAGCTAGTGATTGTATCCTTAAGCTCGGGGCAGTGTTAGGACTGCCTTCCGAGCATAGATTATGAAGATGGTGGATATTCAGGCATTAGAATCGCGGTCATGTTTTATGTGTTGGATGGATCCTAAAGACCGGGAACAAAAACTAAGACCCAAGGAGCGGGAATAGAAAAACAAAAAGAAGGGCCGAACGCGGATCGAACGCGTGACCTCGGGATCTGCAATCCTGCGCTCTACCACTGAGCTACCGACCCATTTGATGGTACGTCATCAAACAGTTCAAAAGATATTCCGTTGCGGAGACACCTCATCTTCAGGGCTCATCGCTTTCCTTCATCATTCCGTTGGCATCAGCCAGCTATGGTGTAAAGACCCCCAAGAAATCGGTCATCAAGAGGGTATCTTCTTCTCAAGCCTCGCTACCTATCTGATGGCCTAAATCAGTGGATGGTCTGTCACTGCCTGTATTATTTTTGCCTACGACATGGCAGTCGTTGTCGGTGATTATATACCTGCATTTGTATATAAACGGACGCATCGGCCACGCTACCCCTCGACGTCAACCACGCCGCAATGCTTACAACCAGACGTCATTGCACTCCCTTCCTCCGAGGCGACCACAATGTCTCTCCTAGAATAGTACCAGCCCAGTGCATTCTATCGCCCGCTCCTAAACGCACATCGCTCCAACACGCTCAACGAGCAAACCGGAAATCCAATCTCTTACTCCCAGTTTCCGTTGTCGTGTTGATATAGTGTTGTCGTTGCTACTACACCAGAGTAGAAAGTCCGTCAGTATGCACAAAAATACATACCACAAGTCACGGGAGGAGAAGGGAAGTGTCGTGGAGGGGAAGCTGCTCACCTCTTTCGTCATGGCATTCCAGACCTTGTCCCTATGCTTATTCCTCAGAACATAGTATACCTTCGTGAGTAAGAAAAGTATTATCGCCAGTACATCAATCCCCAGCAGCACGGAGTTGCCCCGCCGATACTTTGGTTTATCGTCTGCGCGGTAGATGTTATTCCCGATAATGCCGCCGACTTGAACGAACACTGTAGGTGCGATGTTAGACTTTGAGGCATTGGGTGGACAAGCTTAATTTCATTCTTCATAATGTGATGAAATGAACTGGGAGGAGAGTTGACGGGGATAACTCACTATTATACAGTGCCGCGGAGATCGTCCGCATGCCTACGTTATTCGAGTCCTTCGAGATCCACCCGACCAGAATCGCGTGGCAGTACGGATAGCGCAGCAACGTCGTCACGACGCCGAAGGTGCCCCATGCGTTTGTCATGGTGCCTGGCCAGAATCGGAGGGTGATGACGCAGGGTAGGGTCCAGATGTTCTAGAGCATGGCGACGAAGGTGCGTTCGTTGAGCCATTCGCCGAGGCGGGTTAGGAGGAGGAGGGGGGTGATGATGTGGCCGAGGCTGGAGGGGATGGTGAGCAGGTTCGATGCGAACTGTTTCATTCGGGTGTTAGTTGTTGTTGTGGAAAGTGTGGAGGTATTGCGGGTTTCGGGTTCGCGATGCTCACCGTGCTGAAGCCGACGCGTTTGAGCGTGAGGGTGATATAGGCTGATACTGGTGATTGAGGGATATAGACGATGAGGCCGAGGATGTAAATGAGCCAGACGTCGTAGTCATGCAGGGAGTTCCAGAGACGGCGATGGGTAATGGGTTGGCGGTTATGCATGTCTCCTGTCGAAATGTCAGAAGCTGATCAATTTGAAGAAGATGTGGCAAGAGGAAGGCTGCTATGCTAATCTTTGGAGGGGTCGTCGCGAAGTACTCTGTTGACCACGATGCTGACCTCTCGGTCCGTAAACCAGCCCTTAGGGCGGAACCATTTCTTCGTGTTCACGGCAGAGACCGGCATGCGGAAAATGGAAGCCAGCCCAACAATCAGTGTGATCGGTCCTTCTACGAGAAAAAGCCATCTTGGACACCCTGAATCAGTAGGTGTGTGTGAAGCCCGAGATACATGCTGCTCACCTCCAGCCGGCCATACCTTGGATGCCTCGCATGTGGAGCATGCCAAACGCGAGAATCGAGGTAATAATGGTGATCAATGACAAAGCAGTCAAGCCAGCCTGGGCTACCGCAACGATGGACCACAGCGTCATCTGCATCGGGATCCACCTATCAGGGCCCATTTTCTGACAAACCAGCTGTGACGGCAATTCAGCAAGGAGAAAGGAGACGAGGAAGATAGTGTTGCCAGTGTTATAGTCTATGCATGTAAGCCGGATGTTTTATCAGCTCGTCGACAGACTTACCATTAGTTGTCAACCCGAGATCAGTCAGCAGGTTGTCCGATAAAGCTTGAACGAGATTGCCTCTGTCCACTTGGAGACCAAAGAACATAACGCACTAAAGATAAAATTAATGAGCTGCGCACCGAACACGCCCATAATGATAGTGAACATACAGCTCACAGGCACACACGCCAATCCAGTTTCCGAACCAACGCCTTCTCCTCTGGGGTCCATGTGAGGGTCGGATCAAAGACGTGTCGACATTCATACTGTGCCTTCTCATAGATCAAGGCATAACGCTCCGCGACATCTGGATTCGCGAACGGATTGTGCCCATAAAAGTGGGAAGCACTATCATTGTACTGTTGCGTCTGCACGTAGAAATCATCTTTGCTTACGACCGAGCCCGTACGACCGGTGCTCGTTAGTTGTCGACCAACAGACTGTTGGTCGATGGCTCTTCCTTCACCCATGTTGCGCAAGGCGGAGCTTGAACAAAGCACAGATCGACAATTGCACAGGTCCAATTTGATTCCCAGAGTACCCTGAGAAATCTAGTTCTTATAAGGAAGGACAATGTGCCATTTGGAGTTATCGAATTCGTAGCACGCAATTGCCAAGCCTGTCGCGTCAATTGCCAGACTGCTCAATCGAGACTTTTTGTTTTTCAGGGAGCGGCGATATAGGGGAGTGTAATAATAGTAAACATGCTATAGGGCGCATATTTACCTTAATGGGATAGTATCAAGGCGTTTAGTGTATCTCTCTCGCCGCGATCTCGCAATTCCTAGTTCGGATTGTCAAGGTGGTAGATAAGCATACCTTGACGGGATTTGTCCAAACATTGGCAATAGGAGCAAGTCTCACATCGAGGCGACAAAACCCCGCTTCTTCGCGGGTGGCCAAGGTGTTGGTGCGGAGAGAGTGAGTGAAGATAGTGTTATTCGCGGTGATGCCTTCGAGGTGAGGATGGCGTCATCTCGAGGGGCTGCCGGTACTTGCTCACCCCGAATCGTGTGCATTAAGACGATAAGAACAATTTACCAGAGCATCGCGATTGCTAAATATAAACCATTGGGATATTCTCCTTTGCAACACCCTACGTGTGGGCTGAAAAGTTAATCATTTCTTATTCAAGTTGATTCATTCGTAGGTTCCAGGATCTCAGCGTATCTATTGAGAGAGCGACCTATCAGGTTGACCAATTGCCAAATATAGTCTCCTGTGAACAGCCTTGCCCAGAGTCTTGTCACCGTGGCGCTGAGCCGAGTATTGTTAGCCAAGAGCCAATCGCGAGACACCCCGTGTTGAACCTCCATCACCATCTCTAACACAAATTCAAGAAGTTTATTCTCCTGTTCTGTCAAACTAGGTTCTATGTTGGCTACCGTCGCCACCTCTAGCCACTTGGCCAGCAGAACGGCACATTCAAGTGAGCACAGGGCGTACTGATTCGACCAAGACACAACAAGAGTGTGCGCCACATAATTTATTCCCAGCTTGATGGGCGTGCTGAGCGCATGAGCGCAGTGCAATGCGGCACGAGTGAGTCTATCGCTCCGTTGCACGCATAGATCATCCTTTAAAGAACGGGCTATCTCGTCCGGATTCCAGGTTTGTAGCCGTCGCGCGGAGCTGAAATCGGCATTGAGACGGATATAAGCGAGGCGAAGTAAAGCCGTCGAGGTGAAAGAGAGAGGACCATGAGGATTGAATGGGTCGGTAGAGGACTCCTGATTGTGTTCCCAACATTGACACCAATTTTCCAACGCTTGTTCTAGCGACGTGATCACTGCTGGTGATAGAAAGCTACCGTTGGAGACAGGAAGACGACTGGCCTTCTGGATCAGCCAGATATTCTGAATCATTGCATGAATCAGTACATAGCCGCCCATCGAGGAGAAGCTTTCTAATCGACCTTTGGCTCCAGAGGATTGTGGAAATAGCGCGTTCAAGGCGACCTGTAGCTTGGGCTCTCCACGGCTTTGACTCCGCTCCACTAGCCACTGATTTGCGCTTGTCGCGTTCCATTCCTTTTCTGTGCAAGGCAAGTCGAGGGTGAGCTCCTCCGTCAGGATCAGCGGCGGTATGTCAAACACAATGGTATGGACGCTGAAAAAGCAGAAGACGATCAACTTCGTCCTCTTGAAACATTCGCTGCGGATCCAGCTTTCCCAAGTCCCGTCCTGCGCCGGCAGCTCGTTCAGTCCTCCTTGTCGAAGAAGAGTTTCCATGACGCTTCGCATATAAAGAGCCTCATGATGTGGCGGATCGCGCTCGAACCAACATGACACCGATATCAGTATTAGTAGTGCCTGAACAGTTTCGATGATGTCCTGATCTCTTACTGCCTTGTCGACATGGGTTGTCATCTTATGAGTGGAGCAACCCCATTGAAACTCTCTTCGAATATGTTCAAGAGTGACTGCCTTGGCGACTCTAAATAATTCCATACTCGTGTCAGGCTCACGGCAATACTGAGCCCCCAACGCGGCCATAGAGAGGAGTAGATGCACGGGAGTTACGTCCGCGTCGAGTGTCGCAACGTGCAGGAACGGGTAGTGGTCATGATAACCATTCATATACCCACCAAGACAGCGGGATAACGCGTGCCGTGACGGAACAAATGGGTTGTGGACAACATTAGAATAATCAGATAGGGTTGCGAGGATGCGATCTCTGCATTGCGTCGTTATTGATATTTGGCCACTTGGCTCCCGAGCCTTGTAGGGAGCCTGAGTCCCGTCCGGTTGGAGCGATGGCAACTGCGTTCCATGTCGGGGCAAGACAGATGTTGAAGGCGAATCAATGTCATTGACGGATTTGTCTTTCTCGACGGCGTGGTCATAGTCCGACGTTGTCGGATAGAAATGAAAGGCAGGAAAGAGAGGAAGGGGTTGATAAGTGGGCGAGTAAGGATGGCTTGGAAGAGGTATGCTATCTAAGAACGTGGTGAAGTCATCTCCATCGTGGGAGATAGATTGTCCATAGCTGGCAAAAGGTTCGCTGAACCCGGGAGCTTCAGAAGGCACGGCTGCCGCTGATTGGGAATTTGAGACAGTATGCCCAAGAACCGTGTCTGGTAACACCGTCGGGAAGGACGCCGGAGAACTGGTGTTTACCGGTTGAGACCCCTGAGGCGATGGAGAAAGCGGACGGCCAGCTACTGCTGATGCTAGAACATTAAGCCCGTCAAAAACCTGAGGTGAGGCGGATTGCGGCGAGTTTGTTGGTGTAGCATCCAGCGCCGGACTGCTGTGAGCCAGTCGTTCGTGACGAGCTAATAAGTCCCTGTCCCAAGGTTTAACGAGTTTTTCAGTTCAAGGTCTGGAGAATCTCTATACTAACTTGCGAGTAAATGATTTGGGACATTTGGTGCAGATGTACGGCTTCTCTTTTGTATCTGCGCTTTGTGGTTAGTTGATTTGTAATTGTAGATCATAGGTGACAAAAGGTAAATCATACGAGACCGATCATGACGCTGAAGATGCTCCAGACGAGCGAAAGTCCTCGAGCATCGCTGGCACTGATATGGTTTGGAGGGAGAAGAGGAGCCCATCACCGGGCGAAGTAGAAAGAGGACTGCGAAATAGACTCACCAAGATCTAATCGTCACGGGTGAAAGTTGACGAGTCCAGAACAGACAGACTCGACCTCGGTCGGAACTGCCGGTGCCCCAAAACGGACTAGACCAATCTTAGTCATCCGCCTCCATTTTCCCCACGTTTTGGGCTTTGTGATTTATCGATAACAACATTCACCATCGCTATATATCATCCAACAAGCCTACTCTAGAGCCCTTGATACATGCTACACTCTCTGCTTTGAGCTATGCTCTGGACAGTGGTCCACAACAAAGAGAGCAATTCGTTTCATTTCCTCCAGAGCAGCAAGTAAAGGCGCCTAGACCTAATACTCCTCGCCAGCACACTCAAACGGCATTGATTGCTGTCTTGCCTCCATAAGATGTTCCTCGTTTGGAACATGTCATGATACAGAACAGGCCCACTCGGTCAATAGCTGAGTCTCTCAACATCGATTAAGCTTGTAGGAAACTCTCTACTGCTGTTGAGCTGCTCCACGTCTGAAGTTCCAGAAGGGTCTTAAAGTCACATTCTGCCCGAGGCAGCGATGATAACAGGTCTAGCATCCCAGGAGTCACCTTATTACATTGCTCTGAGCTCATATTGGCAAATAATTTGCGATGTTTAGATATAGAGCCCGAGACTGGCTCCACAGATGCCGCTTGATCCTGGATTTTCATGAAAACGGGATGCGTCATCGACTCCGATAAGGTTACATTTCTTTCGGTCTTCCAACCGGACAGCAGCTTGGCAGATGCCAGAAATACTCTGGTGCGCATGACGTTTGCCAGACAGGCAAAGTGTGCTGTCTCGTTCTCAAGGCGTTCATATGCATTTATCCCGCTATGGACTTTATTGCACGAATAAATGGGTTCAATGAAACAATCTCTTTATCATGTTGCTCTCTCGGCCGGAAGACGTTCTCATCGTGGTACCTGTGGAAAGCTCGGAGATTTATGTGGTCTCAATGATATGACTGCTATTATTACTGCGACGGGGACTTGTGCTTTATGCAAGGCCTTGACTCATGATTGTCCTAAGACTGTCTGGTGAGTACACGCCACGCCCACTGGGAGGCCAGACCGCAAATTATCTGACCCAAAAGCATTGGTTTTGGCAGACACCAAGATTAGCAGCTACAATGTCAGAAAAGAGATCAAGTAGCGAGTCAAGCGACTCTTCTTCCCTCATCAGCTATCATAGCGTTCAGCATCAAGATGAAAGTCATTTGGGATCGGAGAAACGGCAAAGCAACACTTCAGACAGCGGCTCTTCCCCAGGAAGCTCGCATTCCACGCAAGTTCATCGAGTTCACTTCGGGACAGATAGAACGTTCTCGTACGGGGGCTGGCAGCCTGGGGTTGGGCCTCTAGGCCAACCGTCATCTCACCTACGGCGACGCTCGTCAGCTCATCCTTCCATAGACATCACGGAAGCGCCTCAACGGCGGAATCCGCAGGCTGCAGCAAGTTACAGATGGGACCGGGATGACCATGAAGGCTTAACATCCCGTTCATATCATGGAGAAAAGAGTATAAAGAAGACTCGGTTTCGAGCTTTCCGGGATTCAGTCAAAGAAAAGACCGCCCACTGGGCAGCTCGCCTGGGCCGTCCGACAGAGGGCGAGGATGACTTGCAACCAATTGATTATCGTCGCCACAGTACGGATGCCCAGATCAATCAGGACGCTGAGGTTAAGGATCAGATTACGTGCAGCTCGGAAGCGCACCGCATCATTCGGGGCTTTACGAGCGATGATACTGGGCGTCGCCGTAGTGCTCGCAGCGACTCAGCCATGCACCATGCAATCGACATACCACCAGATGATGCTAGCGAGATCGCTGGAGCGGCAGCGGCCGAGAGCCGCTCGACAGGAGGGATATTATCTCATCTCTTGCGCCTCAGCGGGGGCTTAGATCACGTCCCCAAATCAGCACGAGGACTCAACATGACGTCTGGAATGTGGACACCCTTTGGTGGAAGCACTTCGGGAACGACTACTCCTCGCAAGGGAAAGCCACGCTGGTACAAGAAGCCGCCCAACATGTCCACATCTACATTGGTCGGAGCGGGCAGTCACAGCGGTGCCAGTACGCCCATTTCCAACCAACTACTCGGCGTGGCTTCGAGACGACGCGACAAGCATTCACGCCGTCGCAGCTTTAGACTGGAGGATGAGATCCAGGTGACTCTTCGCATCGCAGAGATTATCGCTCGACAGCGTTACATCATGCAGCTGTGCAAGGCACTCATGATGTTCGGAGCACCTACTCATCGCTTGGAGGAATACATGCTGATGACCTCGAAGGTGCTTGAGATTGACAGCCAGTACCTTTACGTCCCGGGGTGCATGATCATGTCCTTCGATGACCCGAGCACCCGGACAACCGAAGTGAAGCTTGTCCGTGTTGTTCAAGGCGTGAACTTAGGGCGTCTCTCCGACACCCACAATGTTTACAAGAACGTCATTCACGACGTGATTGGCATTGAAGAGGCCACCGGAGAACTAGAGGAGCTCATGACCAAGAAGCCACGCTTTAATAAATGGATAATAGTTTTCGTCTACGGCCTTGCCACCGCCATGGTGGGACCATTTGCATTCAACGCCCGACCCATCGACATGCCCATCATCTTCTTCAACGGCTGTCTCCTAGGCATAATGCAACACGTGATCGCTCCTCGCTCAGCCCTCTACAACAACGTTTTTGAAGTGACCGCAGCAGTGCTCACCTCATTCCTCGCCCGCGCCTTCGGCAGCATCCACCGCGTCCACGGATCGGGCCGCCTCTTCTGCTTCTCGGCGATCGCGCAATCCTCCATCGCGCTCATCCTTCCCGGCTACACGGTCCTCTGCAGCAGCCTAGAGCTCCAATCCCACCAGATCGTTGCCGGCTCGATCCGGATGGTGTACGCGATCATCTACTCTCTGTTCCTCGGCTACGGCGTGACCGTAGGCACCACCATCTACGGGTTGATCGACAACAACGCGACCTCGCACCTCAGCTGCCCCTCGACCGGCGCCATCAAGAACCCCTACCTCCAACGGTTCCCGTTCGTGGTGCTCTTCTCGCTCTGCCTCCTGGTTGTCAACCAGGGCAAATGGAAACAAGCCCCCGTGATGACCACGATCGCCATCGCCGGCTACGTCACCAACTACTTCGTCTCCGCGCGCCTAGGCAACAACTCGCAGGTCGCCAACACGGTCGGCGCATTCGTGGTCGGCGTCATCGGCAACCTCTACAGCCGCCTCTGGCACGGCCACGCCGCCGCCGCCGTCCTCCCCGCCATCTTCGTACTGGTGCCCTCCGGCCTCGCCGCCACAGGCAGCCTGATCGCCGGCGTCGACACAGCCGACCAGATCCGGTCCAACGTGACGAACAATCACAGTTCCAGTACCACCACCACCACCTCCTCGCCTCAGCAGAATTCCATGTCCAAAAACATCTTAGGCTTCGGAATGATCCAAGTCGCCATCGGGATCACGGTGGGGTTATTCGTCGCCGCGTTGGTAGTCTACCCGTTCGGAAAGCGGAGAAGTGGACTGTTCAGCTTCTAAGACCCTTGCTATTTCCTTCCTTGCTGTTCCAGCGTGCATAAAGAATGAATCCCAGCAGCGCATTACTGTTTCGATATTGTTTTGAGGGAATTGCGGCATGTAGGTAGTCTCAAAGCGAGACATAGGATGAAGAAAGCATAGCATTGGGTTAATTGCGCCGATAATCTGCATAGAATGGATTTCAAGAGCCGGCTGTCATGATTAGACAAATGCATACTACGTGCACATGTGAGTGAAACATCGCTTCTATAGGAGCGTTGGAGCCTATGACCTTCTTGCCTGAGGCAGCCAGCTTACTTGTTCGGGATCGATTAGCACATGAGTACGGAGTATTCTTCCTGGCCATAGACAAGGGCCAGGCTCTGGGTAATGCACAGCTATTTGGTCTTGGATGAGTAGAAGCATTGTTTTACATACAAACCGCGGTACAAACCAGTACAAACCAAGAGGAGCTGTGTAGCGACTAGGTCGGACAGACATATCTCCTATCTATCAAGTCCCACAAGACGAAGATGCATACCGCGATCATCCATCGACAGGGTAGACCCGAGGGAGCCAGACGATACCACCTAGATCACCAACTCAACCCTCGGCATCTGAAGACAAATTCAAACCCCCCGGCAACAGTGAACCGATCTACGACCTCAAGAATCAGAACAAGCCAAACTTAGCATCCGTCAATGAAGATACACATTATAACTCAATCTATATGGAAGAACAGAACAAGTCCCGCTCATTTCTCATGCGAAAGCACCATCATCTCATCATGCATGTGAGCCCACCACAGGAGTGTGTAGTCAAGTTAGAAGTGACCTGCACTCCTCCACTCCGGAGCTCCTATATCATTACAGAGCAGTCCCGGACTTGCAACCGAGCTGAGCCAGCCAAGCCAGCCAAGCATCCTGATCATCGCTCATGAAAACCGGGGGCGCACGCAAGCGCTCAGACACGGCATGCGCATGCATATATAAGCTATGCTCGTCAAGAACACAAACGCTTCTCGCTGATCTATACAAACACAATGCAAATGGATACCCAATCCATTGGTATCGATGTCACATACAATGTGGCCGGGCGGGTCTGCGTCTTTTGTCCAAACAGAGAAAAAAAAAAGGGTCAATCGTTTTTCCAAATCGTGTAGCCTACCATCTCTAGCAGATATCTCTCCCGTCCGATCATCACCTGTCTAGCTTCAGTCTGTAAGAAGAGCTGACACATTTCTAGCATTCGTGGTTGGTCCTCGTTTTGGTTCATATGTCGGAGATCTGTCAACGTCACCGTGATCTCCGAAGAAGAGGGGTTGGTCGCCAACCGAAAAACCCGGTGACGAAAGTCCTTGGGAACGGCGGAATTCTTGGCGAGCCAGTCGCAGAGACAGTCGAAGAGATGGTTATTGACAATGAATAGTAACAAGGAGTCGAGGGAACTCCAGTCTACGTCTTCCAGGACGAGAGTGGATGGAAGTATTGGGACTAACGCGGTTTGGAGGCTGATGACGGAAGAGAGTGCGTCGAGAAGAAGATGATCTTTTTCTTCGGGCTCAACGTTGGCCTCTTCATTTTTGATGTTTGGTATAGAGGTGGAGTTGGGATAGCCGAGTCGCGGACTGCTGCTGTTGCTGGCTGGGTTGTAAGGTGACTCTGGCACCAAGATGCCCCGATGGAGGGGGGAATCCGGGGCGACAATAGGGCGGTCATAGCCAAGTTGGACGCGCCAGAAGCGGTTACAGGCGACTTCCAGGAGCATGCACGGGATGAGGATGACGTAACCCTCCCAGAGACGCGAGGTCATCATGGAGGCGCCGCCTGCGATGAGGCCGGTCCAACCCGAAGCAACGGCATGCCACTTGAAGCATTGAAAGCGACGTTGAAGTCGGTCGCGAAAAGGGGCGAGCATAGCGCCCGCACGTGAGCACGCACGGTCATAGCTGTGGAAGCGCCAGACCAGGTAAACCGACCAGATAGCATTGATGATGCCATAGAGGGCGGCGAAGGAGTTGCCGACGAATCCCGAGAGAAGATTACTGATCAAGTAGACGTGTCGGTCGGAGCCCCAAATAGCCATGATGGTGCCGGTGCCGACCAGCAAGCCACCAATTCCCAAAAATACGTCCATGACAATGCGATCGACTAGTTCAGTGCCCAATTCGCGGTGGCTGACTCCGAGACGGCGGTCGATGAAACGGAGTGTTGTGGGATCGGGAGCGGGGCATTCGAGGTGCTGGGCTCGCAGGGATTGGAGGTACTTGCGTTCTTTTTGGAGGATGCGGACATTCTGCCAACTAAGAACACTATCCCGGACGGCAAAACCACTGATTAATAATGCTAGAGGACCCCCAATGGCCATGAAGATGATGGCGTATAACGGAACCGGCACATCGTTCCACACATTTGCGGCAAAATCACCCGCATTGGCGAATTCCAGGAACCCCACGCTCGCGAGTAGACTGTTGCGGTACCAAAGCGGATTGATAACATGAAGTTTTCTTCGCTGCCGTAGAAGGGTGACGGACGCCGGTGGAAGAGAGCCCGTCTCATGCTCCTCATGATGCAGGACCTTGTCGGAGACGATTGGGGGGAGGGTGTCCTGCGAGGGGCGCATTGAGGCAGCGAGACCGGAGGAGACGGAGCCCCTCCAGCTGTTGGTGGAGGAACAGCTTTGGAAAAAAAGACGGGGAAGAGGGAGAGAGAAAGAGGAGGGAGAGAGGAAGAAGACGCCAGGGCTGGCGATGGGGGAGGGGGTGAGATCGGGATGAGCAAAGTTGGAGAGGAGGAGAGAGAGAAGAAGAAGGAAACTTGGCAGAGAAGCTGGAAAGAGAGACGCGCAACAAACCGGCGGGCAAGAATGGAGTCCGGAATGTCGGTCGGGAGACTGATTGGCTGGTGGGTGGGAGTATCCGCACTTGGCATCCTTATAGGGCTGATGCTTATCCAGCCACTACCAGAATATTTCACCGGATTTTAGCTTTCATCGAAGTATACAATGATCAGATAAAATAGTGTTTGGATCCGAGAGAGAATTCAGGGGTCCATGGGCCGAGAGGGGGCTCGAGACCAGGTCACTATAGGAAGGAGGCTCAGGAGAGGAGTCAAAAAGAGGACCCGTGCAGAGTGCAGCCTGTGTCTGTCTGTCTGTATGCATGTGTACGATGTGTGTACAGTACACCTTCCCTGTACACTCTTTCCCCCTCGCCTACTTCTTTACTGGTAGATAATCGGACTGATGTGACCGAGAGGAAGAGAATCGTGAATTAGAACGAATGGCTGGAACTACAAGTCTACGCGCCCTTGGCCAACTTGGTCGGTCCGGTTCTCGACCCGTCCATGGTGGTATTCAGCGCCTTGATCATCCGCACACCGGCATCAGCAGCCTCTTGGGGTGCCCAGGACCAGAATTGACGTCCATGGTGCATTCCGTCTTGTCCCGGCTGCAGAAGCCCTTCCTTACTGGTACTCACATCGGTACCAGAGGTGTACACACTGACCTTGTCCTCGAACCGGACTCGCGGCTTACCCCGCGGGGAAACATTGCCCGACGTGGCCTCTAGATAACGCTTGCGCATGCCGTACCGCTTGGCCTCTTCCCGTTTGAGGGTTGCAGAGCTAATCCTGTCCATCCCAGTCTGAACCACAAACCGGACGCCGAGATACGCCCACTCAGCCAAGAGCAGAGTCAGCAGGAAAGAGGACAGCTGCACCCCCTCCATGCCATTACGATAGAGATAAACGACTGCGGCCGTGGAAAGAGTTCCCAGCCAGGCCAGTACTTCCAGTCCCTGCAGCGAGGGTCCGATCGAGTCGGCCCGGATTGGCGGAGGTCGCTGGCATTCCTGACTGAGCTTGAAGAAGTCACCCCGCAGCTCCAGCCAGTTGTTGGCCAAAAATCCTAGTGGCACCAAGGGCCAGGCCACTCCAAATAGGGCCAAATATCCAAACTGAACACACATCTCCAGGGTATCGTCATGGACGTTGTATTCGTCCGCCTCTACCTCATCGCGGACACGCGCAAGGAACGCTGCCTCCTCAGGTGCATCCACAAGTAACAGATCAGTCCGTTGAGAGTGGCGACGAGGCATGCGAGCGGCGTCGCGACCATCTCGGTAAGTACGCCATTTGTGCATGAGGGTCTGCTTGACGTAGGGGAGCACGATCTCCTCCCCAAAATTGAGTAATTGGGCGGTCGCAGACAAGTAGATGACCTCCTGCTGCAGGCGAGCCGGATCAATATGAATTTCCTTGGCAAGGTTGGCCGACATAAGGCCGTAAGTGCGGAAGACGTCCAGATAGGGGACCAGCTTCGTGCCAAAAGGCACGTAGACAAATGCAGTCAGCAAGGTGGGCAGGAAGGCGGTGATGAAGTGCATGACAAAAGTTTTCGAAGTCTGGGCGACATCGTACTGATCCTGGGTACGGTAATTTTCGTAGTCGGTCAACTGCTTGGCAAACCCGGTAAGGGTGTTGGTGATCCAGGGCAACGAGAGGGAGAACAAGACGGTCGGAAGGAACTCCAAGTAGCCCTTAAATGGACCAGTATATATCTCGGAAACCAAAACTTCCGAGGCGAAGGACAAAACAATCAAGCTGCCCAGAGCCAGAGCTGCTACGGTCGCAAAGGGGATCAAAAGCAGCTGCCGGGTGAATTGTTTCTGGGTGGAAAACACCTTCACTGTTTCGCCTGTGACGGGATTTTGGACCTCCTTATCCCACACCCACTCCGGTCGGTTGACCTTGAGGATTCCGACATCCCGGACGTTCCATCGCAAGCTCAGGTCAATCTCGCGAGTCTTCCAATACTCTACGAAAACAATGCACCAGAGGCAGTTGACGAGTGCACAGGTGATAGAGTAGGGGCCCAGGTAGAACCAGCAGAAAACACCCCAGACAGCAGGGAAGACGAGGAAAGTGGAATAGCAATGGATGAAGGCAAAATAGAACGCGACCTGAATATGTTCATACCCTGGTTAATTCTATCATGCAAGCAAGAGCGGGGGGTAAGTCAAAGCCAAAATTTACCTTTTCACCAAACAGCGCCCGGATAGCGTCCAGATCTTCGGCGGTCAAATTGAGCGTCTTACTCCATTTGCGCAAGAGTTCGGCATTAGCGGCGCGGTCTTGGAGAGGGATGGCCGCCTGAATGTTCTTCCACTGGCCTAATTTGGGAGTGATTCCAGCCCCTCCCAAGTGTTTTTGCCAAGTCACCGCATGATAGACCGACCGGAGAGCTTCCGCGGCGGTCTCCGACTCGACCACGGTATGATCGTCGCCTGCGGGGAATTCATGAATAATGCCGTGTAGCCAATCCTTGACACTGGGAACTTGTTAGATAGGTATACGCGAGGGCGGATGAGATGTCGGGTGTTAAGGTTCAGCACAATACCGAGATTTGTAGACCATGTTCCCCAGGAGATCGGGGGGAACGCGGATGAAGACCAGCAGGGAGGGGCCGTAACCATGGCGAACCTGAACCTGCAGATGCGCTTCCTCCAGGTCGTGGATCAAGGTTCGGAACTCGGAGATGGCCTGCGAGATTTCTGTGTCGAGGAGGTGGCTGTGAGCAAAACGTTGTCCATCGTACTTTCGCAAGGCGTCCGGACTCCTTACCGAGATCTTCGAATGAGTAGTGAATGACCCAATCGACGCCGAAATTGTCCAATTCGGCCTGGTCGGCAGGCTCATGACCAGCAAAGAGACCCATCTCGAGTTGATCGGAAGGGGTGGACGGTCGGAAAACACCAGAATTGAAGAATGGAAGATAAGAGATCAAAGGAGGGAAAGATATCGAAATTGGAAACGCGATCGGTGGTAGGCGGGGGAGTTAAAGTAGCGAGTGGGATAGCCTCATCTCCGCGCGGCGGGGGGGAGGGGGGAGAGGCTCACGGATGCATCCACACTCAGTGTGTCTGGAGAAAGGGGAGATGAAGAGAGGAGTAAAAATGGAAATGGGGAAGCGAAGGGTGGGAAAGTGTGCAAGGAGAAAAGAACTAGAGGAGACTAAGGAAGGACGAGCTGAAAGTGGGTGGGCTTGGGATATTTAGCATTAGCCATGAGAGTGGATTATTAAGTGGATGAACAGGACAGAGTGACCTTGTTGGTGCAAATGGAGAAAAGATGATGCCAGCCTACCTAGGTGAGATACTGACTGAACCTGAATCCGCGCCAAGTCCAGTAGCTTCAGCCCTACAGGGCAGGTCAGCCAATGGTTCCCTGGGTCTGCCCTGCCAGTTTACTCAACGCTACACAGGGCTGCACCGAGCATTGAAAGCACACAATGATTTGATTACTAGTGGGTATATGTCGAATTCTTCTGACAGAGAATATTACCTGTACCAAGCCCAACGACCCACTATAATGATTCTGCAAACAGCTCCTCCTGTTGCTCTTCATACTTGCTCAGTTGTTCTGGAAGATGGCAGCAGGCCAATGGCAAGAATTCCTGCTGCCTGACCCAACCCGAACCCGCCCTGAACTCCTTGCGTCATCCCAAAACGACATTTATAGAGCCACTAATCCCGAAAAGGTGTAGTAACTGTGGCGCACATGGGGCGTTACTAGACACAACCAATAATACCGGGTTAATCCTGCCCATGTCCACCAATAATGCAGTCACCTTGCAGGCATCCATCATTACGATACATGTAATTTCAACCACTGGCAGTCGGGCTTCAATTCCATTTACGAATGCGTAAAGAACCAATAAGTGAGAACTCCACCATTGCAAAAGCCAAAGCCTTGCACCACTGCCACTGCAGAGACCACCTTCACCCTCTCTGGAAACTTCCACTGCAAGTGACTGGATCATCCTAAGAAAGGGTCATCCGACTCTGAACCTCTGGTGGTTCGGCAACAGGCATAATCATTTCCAACCGCCCTGCCCTGCACCTCCCCGAGCAAGCTTTTATCCTTTTTGTTTTTAACATCCGGATGGGCCTGCCGGGCAACATTGACTCGAATATAAATGCTTAATCCTACCGTTGTCACCGTTGGATCGACACCAGCATCATCGCATCACTCCTGCTTCACTCCGAGTCTCCCCACCACTACCAACAACAACAAAAAAACTTCTACAACCTCACCAAAACCAAACTTAAATATCTTCCTTCGCGTCGATCTATCCTGACACATATCCTTGCTCACCACTCCCGCTAGATCCAACACAGAATCAACAATCAGCGCTAGCCAGCAACCAATCCATCCGTCCCCATGCTCGCTGCCACCCTGGACCTAATGGCTCGTCGATTCTTCCCGGGCCAGAACGCCGCCTTCGGGCTAAGCGTCTTCCTCTTCACGTTCATGTTCCTACCGACTCTGGTCGTCCTACTGGCCGTGATCGTCTTCTTCCTGTTCTATTTCCCGCGGCTGAGGAAGCCGATCCACGATTAAGGAGGGAGCGCAACCGTTGCGCTGCAGTCCCACCTTCTGCGCTCGCTGGGATTGGCTGTATATTAGCCGCTCTGTAGCACAGACATGCGATACGACGCCCGGAAATTATGATCACGACTATGCGGACCTCACCACTCGATAATGCAATCGATCACTTCTAACGAATTAAATGTTCATCGTCTGCGACTGTCATTAGGTGTCAGCCTGACGATCGATTATATCACACCACACCTCCAAGCAACGCCAACGAACCGGAGGTCTCTTCATGGCTTAAGCACGACCGGGCAGACTCAACATATACATCGTCATCTTGACATGCCAGAAACAAACCATGGCGTATGTTTATGCGCAAACTACATTGAACTGAACCGAACAAATATGCACGAGCAGCGGGGCGAAATTGCGACTACTACAGTATTCAAATTGGATTCGCTCTGGACCACGCATCCTGCTTTTGCATGAAACTATATCCTGGACGACTTGGACTGCATCACACTTAAATTGAATTCGCGCGGTCGCAACCCCATGGATGCTCTCAACGACATATGCAGGATATTTAAGCTTCAAGGTCAGCCAAGCATGAAGAGCCTGCATTGGTACCTGCAAATACTCATCTGCTGCGAAGCTTCGCTGCTCATGGGCACTGTCGCCCTCGTTTATACAAAAGATGGATTGCGAGGAAGGGCAGTCACAAATCGGAAGAGCCATCCTACATTACTATATCACCAGTGGATCATCGACTGCAATGCTAGTCACTCTGTTTGGAAAAGAGTATAGGATAATAGCTGAATGTATCTAATAGCAAAGTTCATATCCGAATGGATTAAAAATAGTGTTATCATTCTCAGGATGTATATATACCACAGGAAACCACAAGCTCATTAGCCAAGTCTGCAGAGGAAGGCAAGGTGAAATGCTACTGATATTGTACGATTCCCAAGCGATGCATCAAGTGATAGCTACTAGTATCTGAAAGTAACTGGGAAGTAAGCGTCTGAGTCATTATTTGACAGTCTTGATCAGCGTGGCTAGTGAACTGGCGTCATCCGTGAGAAAAAAATGACAGCAACACGTATGTCTGCCTGGAAAGAGACACGATAGAGTAGCAAACTATGTAGTCTTGAGCTCCCTGGCTATTAAAAACAAAGGAAGAGACAGATAGAGCACAAAAAAATGGAGCACAGAAATCAGAAAACATAGTGTAGGTAGCGTGATAGGTTGAGAAACAAACGCTTTGGCTGGTGAAAAAGAGAATAAATTCACAATTGCCCCACTGCGTAGATAAGCGAACATGATGTGATGTATGTGATATCCACGAGGAAACTGGCGCGGTGTGGAGAAGCTACATTATGAGCCCCAAAGCCCTCCGTTGTCATTCAACCTCAGGTGCTTTCCATTCCCTCAATCTGTCATCGTCCCAAAGAGCGGATCCCCATTCCCAGTCAGGGTAGTACCCAGAATTATAAGCATCGGCGTAGGTCCCCGGAAAGTCTAAGTCATTTCGATCGAGCCACATGCGTTACCAGAAAAGGTTTGGCCGCTCACTGGGATCCATCGTAGACAGTGACTTCCGTAAAGCATCCCAGTGTCCGTCGACCTGGAATTGGTCCGCGGGGTAACAAAGGTGAAAATCACTGACGTCTTCTACATACACCGGCCAATTCTGCGGAAAGTATTCTTCGCCACAATCCTGGGAATTGGCCCATACTAGGTCTTTTCGATACTCGGAGTCTTCATCACGAAGAGTTTGCACCAGAAACATCGGTCCAATTGAGGTGAGATAATCTCCACACGTTGATCTTAAGCTGCTCGTGTCGCTGCCGGGTGGGTAAAGGGGTGGCTCGACCTTTTCCTTCAGGTCCATCTCCTCTACAGAGCAGGGACCAAACGGCCGCAAGCGGTCTATAATTTCAGACCAAGGCTCTTCCCATCGATTATAGACCATGTACCAGAAACATCCAAGCTCGTGAAGCTCCCAAGGAGCAATCGTAGCGAAGAGGACGTCCCATGCTTCCTCATCGGAGAAGGCGTCCGCCTCTGATAGATCTGGGTGGCAAATTCGCCAGAATTGCCACGGGTTGCCAAATGCAGAGTATTTGTCTTGTACGGAGCGCTCAAGGGCGCCGAAGAGATTACAATAGAGCTGCAGTCGATAAAACGCGCGAAGAATACGCTTTGTCTCTGTTTCAGATAGCTTCAAAGGAAGAATCCCATCTTTCCACTGAGAAGGGTTCATCCAAGGCGGGCACTTAGCAGTCTTGCACAGGTCATCTAGAAAGAAGATCGAAGCTCGATGTAGCTTGTATAATTCAACAATTTCGTTGACGTCGGCCGGCTCATCAGGCGGGATATCCGACGAGGATGTCTTCAAACGGCGGATTTCGTCGCTGCGGCGTCGACGGTCGAGCAGAGCAATAATCTTCGCTTTGTTGAATGGCTCGCAGGCGAGGAGGCCTTTAGAGCGGACCGCTGCGATTGCATCTGCGTGGTTCACAAGCCCATTGTATTGCAGCTTCACTAGATTCCAAAGGAGCTTATGGCGATCCGCAATAAAAGCATCGTAGAACGCGTGTGACGTGAGGATCAGCGAATCTAGTGTGTTGAAGTCGTCGATGAAGTGTAGAATGCTAAATCGTAGCTCTATTGGCAGGGCCTCGATCGGTGACTCAGCCTGGGTGAAGGTCAGTAGTCGAAATAAGAACGGTGTATTCGTAGCTCATACCATAACTAGGACGAAGGTCTATATTGTCAGTATAGAGCGCATGAGAAGAAGGCTGTAGATGATGTAGATGATGGAAGAGGATGAGAGAAAATGGGAATTAAAAGTAAGATGATGAGGCGAGGGTGAGGAGGAAAGAGGAAGGGATATGTGAAAGGTACCCTCAAGTCTGTTGTCTGGGTTATGTAATCCTTCAACTATAGCCCACAGAATTGATGAGCGATGAACCTCGAAACTGCAGACTCAGTTAATAGAAGCATAGTGCTGTAACAACTGCAATAGTTTGAACATTTGACGAGGAGAGGCGCCTTGGCTATAAGCTCGCTGGCTCTCTATCACGGGTTCCAGCAGGCTGACCTTTGACATGAAGTGAATAGTTGTCAAGTAGAGTAACACACACATATTTTGAGAGGAAGCAGAATTCATTGAACATATGATACTAGGCACGATGAATGCCATAGACAATGTTACTGTTGACACTTCTCTGACCTATACACGCTCTGTCTACTAAACTCCTTGGCGCAAGCACATAGCTCTTCCACGCATTGTTCTCTTTTAGTTAGCTTCAATTCGAGTGATTAAGTCCTACCATACGTCGACAAGATGAGCCGTGAACGGGGCTCCTCAGATCCGACCCACCGCGCGCAGGCGCCGCAGACATATTATGGACATAACTTCACATTGGCCAAGGAGGGCCGCCTCAACAACGTTTGCATATGGGGACAGGAGAGAGCCCATTCTGCCTAAGCCCTACATTAAGAATCCAAACCAATATCCTCCTACAGTCAATGCCGAATACCATGAACACAAAGATGAAGTCCTAAAGATCAAGGGCAAAAAGGAAGCGGTCATTCCCACCAAAGAGGCGAGCTATATCAAATGTAGAAATGAAGAGAAATTGGAGGCGGGGATCGAACTAAATCAGGCCCTTCGACACCAAGCGAATCTGTGAGACAAATCCCCCTTCCCCTCAGACTATCTGGCTACTGTGTGTGAGCGGAGAAGATTGCCAAACACTGACCATATAAGTGCCGGTGCTATGCGCGCGGGCTTCGCCCATAAATACCCTACTGCATACGAGAACGAGGAGGCCATAAAGGGCCATGAGATGGCGGTAACACACACAAAGAACACCGCAAAGGCCGCGCGCAAAAACGAAGGTAATCTACGGAATAGCATCAGTCGATTACGCCCATGAAGTTGGTTAGTAGATTCCAGTCATACTGAAAGGTTAAAATAGCCTGAATTCTTGACGAGGTCCGGGGCGAAGACGTGCTTGAACTAACTAACAAATGTAGTGTCTTGGCCGAATGACCATTTCTTTCGACTTTATCTTGATACCCATGAGTTTTTGGATTCTTCTCCGTTGAAAGTGATTAGCAAATGGGATTGTTCTTCTTTTCTCTTGGTTCTGCGCATTGGTTGGTTGCATAGCATATGCATGTTTTATGTCCTCGGTCCGTTGCGCTTGGCATAGTATTGATCTTGGAAATAGCCTCTCGAAGCCATTCCTATTTGGTCTCATTTCGCACGATCTACTTGTTACCACAGCGAAGAAAATGAAAAGGTGGAGAGTCCATATTTGCAGTTCGAAGTGGGGGCTATGCTATATACTTATCGCGTAAATAAAGAGTACGAGTAGATCGATCGAGATCGGATCGCGGAAAGCTTATCTGGAGACGCGATCGAACAAATCATCGATGGTCTCAGCATGACTTAAATGCAAGCCCAGCGCATCGATTCTCCGCCGCCAACACTACGTCATTGACTTCTCAGCCATAAAAACATCCCTTGCCAGCATTTATTGCAGATTTGAATGAATTATGAGCCATCTTCCATCTTTCACACCTCCATATTCCCAATAGTTTCAGTATGTCCCAGGAGGACACCCGGAAAAGAGTCGCCGTCATCGGCGCGGGGGCCGCAGGCATGGTAAGTAACTCTCTCTCCTGCATCTTCATCTCGCGCTTTCCAGCACCGGTACAACCTCATCTCACTCATAACTAACACACCCACCCCATCAAAGTCCTGCGCCTCAACCCTAGCGAACCACCCCACCCAATTCGCCGTAACGCTCATCGACAGCGCCCCGCAAACGGGGGGCCAAGCGACAACGATCCCGCTCGACGGCAGCAAACACGGGGGCGCGACGTGGCTGAACGACGGGGTGCAGGGAGGGTCGCCGATCTTCCGACACACGTTCCACTTCTTCAAGCAGTACGGGTACGAGGCGCAGCCGGTGCAGCTGCAGGTGTCGTTCGGCAAGGGCGCCGACAGCTTCTTCACCAACGTGTTCCCGAGCCCGCTGGTCGACACCTATCCGGCGGAGATCTCCAAGCTGGGCCGCGTGCTGCGCTGGATCAAGCGTCTAATGCCTATCTTGGGGCTGATGCCCATCCGCGCCATGCTGAAGCTGTTCCGCTTCAGCGCCGACTTCGGCCATAAGATGGTGTTGCCGCTGATCGCGCTGTTCCTCGGAACCGGCAATCAGACCCCCAATGTCGCCTGTGTGTTGCTTGAGCGCTTGTTCGATGACCCGCAGATGCGCCTGTGGGAATATGATCCTGATATGCTGATGCAGAATCGGCCGTTGATGTATACGTTTCCGAACCTGGGGGAGTTCTATAAGGACTGGAAGGCGGATTTGGAGGCTAAGGGCGTTAGAGTGCTGCTGGAGACGGAGGTGGATATTCTCGAGCGGCGGAGGGGAGCGGGCGGCGTGAAGTTGAGGGTGAGGTCTGTGAAGGAGGGGCAGCGCGAGCCGGAGGATGGCGCGCTGCATGAGTTCGATGAGCTGGTGCTGGCTTGTCCGGCGGACGAGGCGCTCGCCATGCTCGGCAAGCATGCCACCTGGCGCGAGAAGTACGTGCTGAACGGGGTCAAGTTCTTCAATGATCTGACCATCACGCACACCGATTCCGATTACTTCAATAGTTTGTTCGAGACGCGGTACAAGGACGAGTTGTGTGGGAAAGGCAGCAACGAGTCGCGCGAGGAGCAGATCGCCTTCGCGCAGCAGATGCCGCCGCGCTGTCGCAAGGATGGTTGGGAGGGCTTCGCGCCCATGTATTTCACCCACTCGTTCGACTCCGACCCCGATAAGATCGAGATGGGCTTCGATTGCACCAACTACCAGCATCAGTTCCGCGAGGCGCTCGGCGAGAATGCCCTGCCGCTGGAGCCCGAGCGCCATATCTATCAGACGATTTTCTTGAATGAGGACCACAAGCATCTCTGGACCTGGGAGGGCATCGACGAGGATAAGATCATTGGCAAGAAGTGGTGGCACCAATTTGGACATCGCTGGCAGCATTACCTGAGGGTCGTACCGGGTATGATGTTCATCAATGGGAAGAATAATACCCTGTATGCTGGGGCCTGGACTATGGTGGTATGTTCTCCTGCAATCCGAACGTAGGTGATTGTGCAAAACTGACAAGCATAGAATATGCATGAAATCGCGTGTATCTCCGGTATGGCGGCTGCTTACCGCTTGGGTGCCGTCTACGATCCCTTCGACGACTTCGCGGAGGATGTGTTCTCCAAGTATCTCCTGGTCAGCCACGGCGTGAGATACAAGCGGAGGACATGAGTTGTTCCGGTCTGGCAAGATATAAGGATCATACATTAATTATAGTGAGTTGTAATCAATTACAGAACGTATCGGAAATCATCAATCTCCAGATCCGTCTGGTTGGACAATCCCAGCGCTAACTCCTCCGTCTCGGTCATTTGTGAGGGAGGGCCATACACCCGATCTCGTCGCCGGTTCTCAAACGCGTAGTATGCCATCAGACACATCAGGAAGAAGGCACCGAAGGCCAGACCTGATATCGCGGCTTTCATACCGGTCTATGTGGCAATTAGTAAAATCCATCCCCGTAGTCATTCGGAGATCAGAAAAGGGCTCACGCAACGCACCGGATAATGAGGCTCCTCCGAAGAGAGGAAGAACTGAGGGCCTACGATGTTGCCGACGCAGTAAGCAATAAACAGCAACGCGCTTGTAGTGCTTCTTTTCGTGAATCCCGCCACATTCGAGCTGATAATACTCAGCGAGAGAGGGATGTTGACGGCAAAGACGGCGCCAAGGGACAATCCAACGAGTCGACCCACTTGGTTCGTGTCATCGAGGCGCCAGACAAGGATCATGCCAATCAACGAGGTGACAGTATTGAGAATCATCATAAGGATACGGGTATTAGGCACGAAGGTCGCGAACGTGGCAGTCATGCACAGGAAGACGATCTGCGCTGCGCCAAGGGGCATCTGCATAAGGAGGGAGCGGATTTGAGAGAAGCCGAACCCGTTGATTATGATAGAGGAGAACTGGTGTTATTAGCTTGGGGCACGTCGCGGGAAAGAGGCAGAGACATACGCTGGTGACGCCACCGTTGCAGAGGTTCACGCAGAATGTGTACAACACGAGAAGCCAGGTTTGCGGATCACGGATCGCAAGCCATGCTTGATTCCATTGGAAAGTTCCTGCATCAGCAACACCGGTTTTATTTTTGAGGGTCCGTTGAACCGCGATAGCGCGCTGAGGTTTGGTGAGGAAGATGGCTTTCTTAGGAGAGTCGGGTAGCAGAACAAAGAGGAAAAAGGAGATGAATGCGGTGATGGCGCCGAGGAAGAGGAAGAGGAGCTGCCAGCTGGTGATAGAGTGGACTTCAATGTTCCCGATCCCGTACGCGACAACACCGCCAATGACAGTAGCGATACAGTTGCCCAGGAACCAGGCGGATTGGCTAGGATTAATTAGTTCGACAACTGTGACCTAAAGATCCAAGTGACCGTACCGAGCTGGCTGTTCTTCTCGTCGATAGAACATGCCGGTGATGAGCGAAAAGCCTGGGGCAATGGCTGCTTCACCCACACCTAAGAAAAATCGAGCGGCCATCAATCCTCCAAAGTTTTTGACGGCCGCATGACACATCAGAACACCACCCCAGAGTAGTCTGTCGCATGTCAGAAGGGTCGATGGTAGAGAGGAGGAAAGAGAACGGACACTGAGACACTGATATACTTGGCGATCGGTAACCGAACGATTAGATATGAACTGGGCCAACTCCAGGCGAAGTACCCGAAATAGAAGACAGCAGAGGTCCACGTATATTCTGTACCTTTAAGTTGCTGAGGGAGTCAGTATGGATCAAAAGCACCGAGGGAATAGGCGTACCAGGTCTTGTCGAAGATTGAAGAGCGTAGCTTGACTCAGTGCCAGCTTGTCCATATATTGCATCATGTAACATACACCCATCAACGGTATGAGTCTAGTTCATGTCAGTAGTCGTGCTTTGACTCATGGATGCTCCAGCGACATACACCAAATCTAGCCTGCGCAAAACCTGTCGCTCCTGTTGCGGAGTAGCCTCGACCGCCAGCACCTGTCCCAGGTCAACATCTCGAGGCAGTATTTTCTCTTCCCTCAGCTTCACCCCATCAATCTCCAAAGCCTCCTCTTGGGATTGACTTGCAGGTTTCTCCTCCATGGCGTACAGTCCGTCGGTAGACAAGATGGAGACGACGAAGAGAACCAAGGCATGCCGACACGGGCGACGCTCGCCCAGACTTATATACTCTGCATACGAACGTAATGTTGACGCCGCCGCCACAGGGGGTAATTTGCACCAGATAGAGGAATCTCTTCCGCAGTAGATGTCATCGACGTCCGCGTAAACTTCTCCCCCTGGCACGGGATCAACATTGCTGGCCCCAAGATAGTATAATCTCTAGCTAAGACCTCTCTTCAGCTGACTTCTGGTGGACTTGATCGTCAGTATCTATCTGATCGAGTTTGGGAATGACGGGGGCCGCTCGTGGGTCAGACAGGGACTTCAGGGTTCCCAAGTATCGGCGCCGTATTCGACTTCAACCTGGAACAGGCCTTGGGTCTCGGTCGGCAGTTGGACCAATTGCCGGGAATAGCTCGGCAAATCCACCAATCCACGGGTGGCTGCCATGCAGACATTCTCCACTCAATACATTGCTCGGTTCCAATTAGCGCGAAAGGAATTCTAAATCCATTGAATCCATCGCCCCTCCAGTCCTCCACAGCCCACAATTTTCGATCATTTGCGGAGAAATCAAGTGAACGGCGCATGGCAGTCATGGCACTGCAAAAACTCTGAATCGCAAACCGGTCTATCCCTCCCCGCCTGAGACCCACTCGGCTACTGCTCTCTACCGAGACCACCTGACAGACTCGATTGGGTATAATTCCGCCATGCTGCTTATCCTGCATATCTAGACCCTGATAATGGTGTTGATAGCGCTCTCATCATTTGATAATGGGTACAGGCTATCGCTGAAATCCTGGAGAAAACCTGATAGCGGAAAACTCAAAAGTTTCCCGAAAATGCGGGGTAAAGCGAGACAGCCGATGTCAAACTTCCCAATTATGACACCCAGCCAATCTTATCAAGATGCACTATCTCAAACATCATCGTACGGCGCGGGGTAGTGATAGCATCACCCCAGGATGCGGTCGGGTTGGTCAATTGCAGATGCGCGACTGAGGGGTTCAAGCGGGAGTGGTGGCTTAGAATGCGAAGGTCATATATGAACTGCCGTCTTTGGCATCCGGGATGCAGGGTAGAATCTATCATTGAGAAATCCGGAATGGCCACCCTGCAATCGAAACCCACAGAAGAGGGAGTGAAGGCGGCTGTTGATGAAACACTAGCATCGCTGCAAGCACCCCTGCGTGAACTCAATCATACGGTACGGCGGTAACTCAATGCCGTCAGTCTTGTGTCCCACAGAATCCTGCGCAGATTTGATCCCATCCAGAGACAGCGTATGAAGAACATCATGCGCATAATGCCATCTGCGACTTCCTTGGAAAGCAAGGCTTCATCGTCACTCGCCACGCCTACGGACTAGATACCTCCTTTCAGACCACCAGCGGATCTGGAGGGCGACTAATCAACTCCAATGCTGAATACGATGCCTTGCCCGAGATTGCACATGCATGTGGCCACAACCTTATCACTACTAGCATTGTCGCAGCCTTTCTTGCCCTTTCCGCTGTGCTGAAACAGTATGGCCTTCCGGGGCGGACTCAGCTGCTGGGTAACCCAGCAGAGGAAAACGGCGGGGGCAAGGCCAAACTGATTGACGCAGGAGCTTATCAAGATGTGGATGTGTCTTTGATGGCGCACGAATTTATCTTGTGTCCCTTGGCGACATTACTTGACTGACCTGTCCCAGTCACGCAGGTCCCCGAGAGCTCTTCCCAGGTGTCTTATCGGATGGCGTTGGAGGTGTCCGGATGAATGCGCGCAAGGAGATCCATTGCACTTTCCGGGGTAAGAGCGCCCATGCGGGAGGTAATCCCTGGGAGGGCATCAACGCACTAGATGCTTTGGTGGCCTCGTATAACAATGTGGCTGTTCTACGCCAACAGATGTTTCCAGATGAGCGGGTACATGTTGCCTTCTTGGATACACCAAAGGTGGCGATGTAAATCCAGCGTTGACCAGAGCATAGTGGCAAGTCCGAAGTCCGACCCTAAGAGGACCGAATGTCTTGATGAGCAAAGTGCGGAACTGCATTGAGGCCGGCGCAATGGCTAATGGATGTGAAGTTGAGGTTCTATAGTAGGTATACATCGTTTCCAGTGGTAGAGAGAAGGCTGACACTGGTAGAAATGAACTTTACACGGACATTAAGATCAACGACACTCTGTGCGAGCGGTATCAGGCACACATGGGCCGCTATGGACGAAATGTGTTGACACAGCACGAAAAGGTCTTGACAGGATCATCGGATATCGGTCAGTGGTTGATGGCTGAATACAAGTTCAATGCTAATCAGGCTCAGGAAATGTCAGTTATCTTGTACCAACGCTTCACACGATGCTCGGAATTACAAACGAAAAGGGCTCGTTCCCCTATCACCCCAGCTTTGCCGCTGCGGCAGGGACTGACAGCGCTCATGAAGAGGCTGTGATTGTGGGCAAATCGCTGGCATTGATCGGATGGGATATGCTGACAGACGATGGACTATTTGAGGCGGCGCGGCGACAGTGGCAGCAGGCTGTGGAGTAGAGATGTTACTCAAGTGTAGTGGCTGTCAGTACAGTCATGAAAGATCACCACCTTTTTAGTGAACCATATCGATGGTAGGCTAGAAGAAGCATTGTCCCTGAGAGACAGCGATGATGCAATTAGGGCATGACAGGTGAAACACCCGAAAGGTTATAAGTGATCGGTAGAGACAGGCGGGATTCGGCCTTTTTCCGGGCTGGGTTGCGGGGAGGAATGAAGGGGTGAAGATGTTTTCTTCCATGGAACCTTTTCTTCAACCCCCCGACCAGATTTTCCACTGTTACCTCATACTTTCAGTCTTCTTCTTGGTCGGGTTCGAGGAGGGAGCTCCCGCTGACTAAGCCTTCTTCCCCGGTTTCGCTTCTTCAATTTTTTCCTGGTCATTCCGGCTTGACTTTCTTTTCTGCGCCAACCGATCGGAAAATAACAGGAACAAGTTATCGTTTTCCGATCTCCTTTGCTGGGCTTCTTTTCATATCCCCAGATCTCACTGATGCCTACCGGTTGATCGGTTCATCTCTTCCCTGAGTGGACCTTTTGCCATTCCATGTCGGGTCGGAACGCGCCTCGCTCGAAGAATGGTATGCGGCATCGCTCGGCTCCTGCTAACCGAACGAACTAACTCGCTTCGCAGGCTGCAGCACCTGCCGCCGTCGCAAAGTGAAATGTGGTGAGGAGCGTCCGGTGTGTAAGCGATGCTTTAATTTGCGCCTCACATGCGAGTGGGGGATACCTGTCAAACGAGGCAAGACCGGCGAGAATGCGCCCGTTCGTCATCTGCAGCCCCGGTGGCCGCCGCCGCCCACCCGCAGCGATCCGATCACCACCACTACCGCGCTCGATATCGCACCTACAACCACCGCGGTTACCCCTAGGTCCCCTCAGCCAGTCACCACCACTCCTACGCCTGTCACTTCCATTGGGGCTACAGTTGGGATCCTCAATGCTCACTATGCCAATACGCTGGCCTCTCTTTGGCCCCCGGCCCCCGGAACTGCCCCGGATTTCTCCCCGGTTTCCCCGGACGGCTTCCTCCCCGCGAGTTGGCCGGTATTTCATCCGGCCTACACCCAGACCACTCCCCTCTATCCTTCCTTATCTGGCACTGAGTTTCCTTGTTCAAATGCGCTGGTCTTGTCCGAACATGACCAGAAATACTTTCAATACTTTCCCTCCTCCTCTATTGTCTTTTATTACATGAAGAATTGGCAGTGGAGCAGCTTCTGCTATCTCTATCAGGGGCCTGCGCGCGTTAGCAGAGTAATCATGCGCATGATCTTAGCACTATCAGCAAGTGACATGTACCGCAGTGGTCTTGTCGTACGTTCACCCGGACGCCCCACGGCTGAAGACCATGGCCGCTTTCACTATGGTATGGCCGTAAAGGAGTTTCGGCAGATGCTGGAAACTCCTAAACCCCAAGTTTCACTCGCTGAAATGGAAATGATCTTCGCGACGATGTTCCTCATGGTTGCCTACGAATGGCAATTTGGTCATTGTCTGCGTCATTTGCAGCTGCATCTCCAAGGGGTGCGCTCCCTGCTCGAGACGCACCCAGAGCTGTTCCAGTCCAAGGACTTCGACGAAGTGATGCTGTCAATGGATACGAATCATTCAACTAGTGACATAGCTTCTCGAGTGTCATTTATCCCGGAACAATTCCTTCTCTGGATTATGTACGTTCCCTGATCTCGTGCTTCCATCTATCTACTAACTCCGCATGTCGTGCCAGATATGTCGACATTAACCGGCGCGTTCTTGAGACGACCAATGATTCCCTCACTGACTATGTACTCAACTCCGATAACCCAGCTCTGCATCCTGACCAACTCCACCGAAGCGCACGCCTTTGGAGCCGCTGCTTTTGGGGCAAGCAGTATCCCGACCAGGAGATAGCCGATGACATGGAAAATTACCGAGCCTTAGAATTAATCCATGTTGGCTTCATCTTATGGCACAAGGCCTGGAAATGTCTAGGCGATCTTGTGGAAACAGCCTACACCCCCAATACGTTATACACTGAGATTCTCTCTGTGCGCGATGTAAGTATCCTCTTGTCTGTGAATTGCTTCTGTACTAAAGCCAGGCAGCGTTTCTCCGACCTTATCCTTACTGCAAAGATTTCGGGGGCAGGCTCAACCCGTCGCACTCTAAACACGATCTATATGGCTGTCAGCAACTTTTACGCGCTCATTCTTTTCCATCGCCGTCTGCTTAGCCCCAATCAGGCTCCGGCTGCGATACATCGTCAGGCCCTAAACGGTATCCTCGAAAACACACACAAGCAATTCGCCGTTGACCAACGCCTACTACGTCGATTACACTGGCCCCTGCTGATGGCGATAATAGAGACAGACGACCCGGTTCAGCGTGAGTGGCTGCGCCAACGCTTACTGGAGCTGCGTGGGGTTCATTCAGAGTACTTGTGGGTGAACGACATCGCTGATGAGGTGCTGGCTCGCCAGGAAGCGAGCCCGGCGGAGATGGTTGATCTTGGGGAATTGCTGCGCAATTTCCACGCTTAGTCTATTTTCCTCTTGACTCTTCATATGCTACCCAATGTAATATCGAATATAAATCTTATTCTTTCCTGTCACTCATTTCACATAATCATGTCAGTTATACCGGTGGATCTTCGAATCCGCTCCTGCACACAACCATCCGACTAAGGATTCTCCAAGAAATATGCATCATACGCAACCTCCCCCTTTGCGCGCGTCGCCCTCCCGACAATCACACGGTTATTCATCCAACGGTACCGCTCATGGCCCGTCTCCAGCTTGATATGCAGATGGAACCAGTACTGCCCTGGATCCACCTGATCATCCCCTTCCATCAAAGCCTTAAGAACCTCCGGTGGTCCAGAACGAGTGCCCTCCGTCCTATCCACATTGCAATCATCAGCCGTCCATTCAACCATCTCAGCCAGACAGATAGGCCCCATCCCATAATCTACCCTGTACCCCTCCGCCGGGACAGAAACAAGAACATACCGAATATAGATAAACGCCCCATCATCACTCTTGATCACATAGTTGGTATTAACATGCGTGGTCTGATTCTCCTCCACGAGCCTATTCACGCTAGTTAGTGTATCAATACAGTCTAGAATATGCAGAGGACTTGAGTTACATGAAGTCCGCACCACCAGGGACAACCTCCCCGATCAGGAACTTCCCGTGCACGGTGCCAGATTTAATGGGCACGCAGCGGCGGCGACCGTAGGGTCCGTTGCCGATTTCCATTGGGGGATCGACGACGCAGCGGAGGGTGAAGAGGTGGGTGAGTTCCGGGGGAGGGGAGAGGGGTTCCATTTCGGGGTTGGGGACTGTTGGTGTGGTTCGTGGTGAGGGGAGGTGGGTATGTATTGGGACCGGGGAGGAGAGAAAGGGGCACGGGCTGGTTTATGAGGTTGCGTGAGGTAAGTAGCTGGGGTGGAGTCGTGATGATGAATGCGATGTCATCCAGGCATGGATGGGTTCGGATGTCGGCAGTTGGGAGCGGGGATTGATCCACTGCGTTCATTGGGAACTAGGCTTGAATTGAGGGGCGTGGTGACTATGATCTGTTCGGTTTGTTTCTGGGTTGTGCTGGTATAGATAGATGTAGATTTTAGTGTTCTTGGTATTGTTTTATTAAGCGGTTTGGTGCTTTGGATTTGGATCGCTGAAGTGGTGACATCATGGATACTTTTGCAATGGTTTTGTTGTTGTTGTTGTTGTTGTTATTGTGATGAATGGTATGGTTCAGGTCGAGAGAAGCTATAATTGTGATCTATATTGCAATGCAATTGACCGCACCCACTCCTCTCATGTTCGATGTTCGACCGCAGGTCTGCAGCAGACCCTCCGCAAGGAAATCACATTAAAATACCAAGTTCTCATTAGAGCACACCATAACGCCTACCCAGATTGATTATGCACATATGCCGACCAGCCGATCCCTCGACCGACCGGCTTCCTTTTTCCGCCGCGGAGAAGCTGCACACGACCTTCAGGCCCGGACCAGCCTCCCCCGTCCGGCAGTAGAAAAGACATCAAGACGCTCGTAAAGTCCAAGACTCGCGCAATGAGGTATAAAACGATAAGATGACCCCTTCCAATCCTCCCCCTTCAGTTTCCCGACCGCCGTTTCGAGTCCCCCTTCGAGCCGTAAGCTCAAGACAATAGGCCCAAGGGGCTCCGTCCCCCGGTCGGCCCCATGCCCTAGGGAATCTTGACAACCACCCAGCAACCTATCCACGGAGAACGAATCGCTTAGGCGCCACCGACGAGGACGTTGTTAACGGGAATGTGGACTGCATTGGTTCATTAGCAATGCTGCTTTCGTGCGAATGAACTCCGGCAGTGGCCGCAGCACTTGGAGGCGGAACGCACTCAGCTTGACGATGTATCCGATGAAACCCATAATCAGGAAACCAGTGCCGACAGCCTGGCTGATCTTGATGAACTCGCGCTTGTCGGCTACGTTGCGCATTAGCCAGATGTCATGCAAGAGTGACGACGGCGATTCGATGGGAAGGTCACGGGAGGATTGGACTCACGCTTCTGGCTGCGGTTGACGAAAGCCATACCATCGCGAAGGAATTCGCGGGGCACGTTGAGGAGTTCTTGAACTTGGTCGGACATGGTGATTGTGCAAGGAGGGTGAAGTGGTGTGTGGTGGTGTTGCAATGGGTGGAAGGTGGATGAGGACAGAATGTTGGACGGGGTGGAACGCGAATGGGCCAGCTGTGCTCTTCGGGGATGCGCACTAGCCGGAGGAATTGCCCCTTTGAAGTGCCGGACTATTGTTGTGCCGAGATGATGGCCACGTATCACCTGATGAGCATGATTAGCTCAGCATATGTGGCTGATAGTGCTAGATGTGGCTGGTGCACTTGTGGCGCTAGTTGTTGATGTATTCATAAGGCATTCGTCTGTGGAACTGTGTGTAAAGGACTGTGTAAAGGACTACAGAGCCTGGTCGCTGTTGTGAACCTTTAGAGTGCAGTATTTTAACTATTGAATGGGACCAACTCTGGCTTGCGGTTCGAGAGACTTCCTACCCTTACATACGCCTGCCTCTCCAGCCCGGCGTCGCAGTATTATTTCCTATTTCGGGCATAGTTCCTTTTCAATATTCACCCAAGATCTCCAAGATATGAGCCGGATGAGCGCTAGGCGGCTTGAATTTTATCATGGAGAGTGTGATTAACCGAAGCCTTATAAGCTGAACATTCCCTCGTGCATTATGACTACTACTCAACTTCTTCGTCTCACGCACTGGCAGCCAGCCCGTTGAGTAAGACCATTTTCGCATCATGTCCAGGATGGGATCACTTGTAACGCGAGACACGGGCTCTGCTTGTATATCTTACTCCAGTGCAGTGGAAAATGCTTATCACTATCAGCCATCCCTAGCAGCCGGACTTCTCTTTACTGCCCTGTTTGCGCTCTCAGGGATTGCGCATATCTTCCAAACCTGCTGGAAGCGAATGTGGTGGTGCCATGTCTTCTCTATAGGCTGTTTAGGTGCGTGCTTTGATACTGCTGTCTTGCTTCTTTCTGGCTAATTTAAAAACCCAGTGGAGGTCCTGGGATGGGCAGCGCGCACATGGTCAGCCGCTTGTCCGTACGAACTCAACGCGTTCCTGATGCAGATAGCGACCCTAATTATTGGTATGAAATCCTCCCACAGGCATGCATGTTTTATTGACGGTCGACAACTGACGGGTAGTGACTTCTGGCAGGCCCCACGTTCTTTACTGCCGGCATCTACATCATTCTCGGCCGTCTGATCCTTTATGCCGGACGCGACTCATCCTTCCTGAGCCCAAGGATGTATCTTTGGATATTCTGTACATGCGACCTTATCTCGTTGGTCGTTCAAGCGGTTGGCGGGGGCCTTGCTGCCACAGCAGTGGCCGATAACAGGGAGACCGAAACTGGAACCAACATCATGGTGGTAGGGATTGTATTCCAAATGGCTTCCATCACTGTCTTCGTGGTCTGCGCCGGCGATTTTCTCTACCGGGTTGCGCGTCGACAATTACTTTATTTGATGACCAACAGGAATCGCCTCCTCTTGTTAACGACACTCCTCTCAATTGTGTTCATATATATTCGAAGTATCTATCGAACCATCGAGCTTCTACAGGGTTGGACAGGATACCTGATCGTTCATGAAGTTTACTTCATTGCGCTCGATGGAGCGATGATGGTCCCTGCAGTGACGGTGTTCAACTTGTTCCATCCGGCCTGGTTGCTTCCTTCTGATGAGGCCCACAAGAGAGTGCAATCCTTGGGAAATGACACGATAGTGGGGAGTGAACATGAAATGCTCGCACAAGGCTGATTGATGAAGCAGCGGCGTGCTATTAGGCAAAACTTGGAATTGCTGCCTGGTGAAATGAATATTTGTGACGGCGCGCAACTTGCTAAGAATATATGTTTAGGATGCATCGCCTTTATCAATCTTGCAAGCTTTGTAGCATTAATTGCACAGTACACTGCAATCTATGCTAAGAGACGCACTGACTACATTTAACCTTTGTATCCATCGAATCGAATTCTCAATTTAGTACAAGCACTAACCGCAAGATAAATGCCTGTTCTGGTATAGTCGATTCAGAATAGTGGTAGAAGTGGGTACCTAAGGCTGCAAGGCCCACTCATTCTAGATTAGTCCGAAGTTCAGAGCGCGGTTCCTTCTTAACTCACATAAGCCCAGATCGAACAGGCTAATTTCTCAGTTATGTTCTGTCCCTACAGGCAATGAAATGTTTTCTTACCGAGTTGATATCCTCTAACATCTGCATTCAGTATGCCATGTGGACAAAAAGACCAACGCCTAACGCGACGCCGTTGTGTACATTGTAGACGCGACCATGCTAAGGTGGGCACCCACTTCAACACTCTCGAAGACATGCGAGCAGCTCATATCCTATTAGTGTGACGGTGGTAGACCCTGCTCACCCTGTGTGAAGCGCGGACTCAATTGTACTTCTTCCATGATGCCCTCAAATCTCACCATCGTCGCTTATCGGCATCGCCTACAATCAAGTGCTCTGCGTGCATACCAGCCTGAAGACGAGTCGTCATACACAAGTTTCTTTTTTGACATCTTCAACTCTGCCACTTCACCCTTCTTTCGATTTCTGTCCTTAGAATCGATTGGAGACATTTTCCGCGACGATGACGTGGTCCGCAGTGCTGTAAACCTCGTGGGCAAGGCCTACGCGGCCCAAGGCACTCATCTGGTTAAAACACACTCGCACCTCAAACACGACGCCCGTCTCTTACTTTCCGATCTACGACCGAAAGTCTTAACGTCTCTTAGGTCCTCGTTGGAATAACGGTGCAGGACTGGGGCGCTCGTCTCTGCGTCATTACTAGGACTTGCCGAGGTACGTGGTCCTCATACTCTATTACCTGTCGATTGTTGACTAAGTGATGGCAATAGTTCCTGTTATATTCTAGTGGGAGTAGCTGGTGCTCGCTGATAACTCAAATTTTGTCCATGTTGTCTCAAGAATGCGGACCTGATCGTCTCTCGTCTTTGGAATCAAATGTCCGGCGGTTCTTGCGGACCTGTGGTGCGTTCAAGGCCTTATTATGGGAGGATAACATCTTTTGGAACATCAGGACGACAGGATCGATGGGTAGCTCCTTATACCCGCTACAAAGCATTGACTTACAATGGGAAGTCTTGACGGGGTATCTCGAGGAATGGGGGCGGTTGCAGTATCAGTGAGCCATATCCCGACCATGACGCTCTTCGGCCACAAATCTGATTTGTTGAACAGGTTGCTTATGTGGACTCAAGCATCAGCCAGAACTTCTATTAACCTTACTCAATCAAGCTTTGAGCATGTTCTGTCTGGGATCGAGTTGGTCAACCAGGCTGCAAAGCTGCAGCAGAGAATCATCTCAGTGATCACCTTGTATTCAGCCATGGATGCCAATTCACATTGTCACTTATTACTGCCGTTTTATTCATGGGCTCTCACTGGTTTATCACAGACCTTCTGTCATTCGACATGGCGCAAGCTTTCAGTTCCGCTTCCTATCATGGATGCTTCTTTGGCCGATCAGCAAGCCGCTCAGGCTCTTGAATACATGGAGAGATATCTGCCCTCGCTCAAACTGGAAGCGATTATGTATGCACCACTGATCAATGCCATCGGTTGGCAGCTGTCTGCTGCGCCGGAACGCGACCGAATCCTTGCAGTCATCAAATCGCTTCGATATGTCGGATTCTCCGTCGCAGATCTAGTCGAGCAGGAAATGCAGGTTGACTGGGCCAGAATCGCAGCTTTCGAAGGCACTGTTCAAGGTGCCTGATTGTACAAGTATTTTGTTTTTCCTGTCTTACCTCGGCTTCAATTTTAACTGCATGATGACGGCCGCGCTAATCGCCGAGCACTTCATCTGCAAGGTATTCGCCATCGAAAGTCCCACGGTGTCTTGGCAACCCTCTCTCTTATGCATTTATCAGTATTCACAGCTCATAGCTGCTCTCGATCTTTATGATCCCCTGCGCTCAATCCGTGCCAGCTGATAAGCAATGCAGGTATGATCCGCTCAGCTTGGGCCAGTGCATTGCTAACAACGCATCGAACAGACCTTTAACTTCCCAGGTCGCGGCCTGACTTGTGCTAGCATGCCGCTTTACCCATCGCTATACAATCAAGCACGATGTCGGTTCAGGCAGCCTGGGAGTCCTGCTCCAAAATTGACACCCTTTTCATCCTTGTTTGCTCCGTCTTTTGCTGGCTGATCCTTCCTGCTATTGGACTTGCCTACTCTAGTTACTCGAAACGGCACAACAGTTTGGCATCTTTTTATCCTGGCTTGCTGGCGGTTGCCGTCTGCTCCATCCAATGATGGATGATCGGGTATTCTCTCGCCTACAGCGAGGGTAACAGCGTCATTGGCGATCTCAGCAAGGCGTGCCACATTGGTGTCCTCGCCGAGCCTGTCGGTTCTATTCCCGAGATTTTATTCTCCAAATTTCAGCTTATATTCTGCGCCACTGTGTGTGCGATGTCGATCGGCGGTACCTGCGAATGCGGCCATTTACTCCCTTTGATCCCATTTATCTTCGTTAGTTGAACATTCGCTCGCTATTTCCAAATAGTTCGCTAACATCATATAGCTTTGGTGCACCTTTATTACGCGCCTATCGCCCATATGGTCTGGTCCGAGACAGGCTTCCTCGCCAATCTTGGCGCCCTCGACTTTGCTGGTGGCACACCAGTTCACATCTGCAGCGGAGCCACAGCCACCGCACTGAGTGTGTACCTATCCTACCCTCTGTTTCGCTCGCGACGCTCTTCCTTGCGCACTCCGAATCATCTCGCTCTGCCCCGCCCGCACAATACTCTTTGCCAGCTTCTTGCCATGATTATAATCTGGAACGCCTGGCTTGCCTTCGACGCGGGCACGATCCTCGCCCTTAACTTGAAGAGTGTCATGACCGCCTGTGTTACCAACCTATGTGCTGCATCCGGGGCCCTGACATGGGCCAGTCTGACGTACTACCACACTGGCAAATGGAGTCTGGACAGTACCTTCCTCGGGGCCATCTCAGGGCTGGTTCTCATCACCCCAAGCGCTGGGATCATTGACACCCACGGCAATGGGATTCGGTGTCCTTGGAGCCGTCTGTGGCTACCAAGCCCTACGCATCAAGTTCACCAAGCGCGCGAAACACTACCGTTGGGTAGATAACGGCGATACATTTGCCACGCACTGCCTGGGTGGGTTCCTGGGTACGATAGTCACGGGTATTTTCGCGCAGAAGGAGGTTGCCGCGTATGACGGCGTTACGGAGATCACGGGTGGATGCTTGTTCGATGGAAACTGGCGACAACTGGGCATCCAGATTGTAGAGGCGCTGATTGGGTTTGTGTGGAGCTTGGGTGGGAGTTATCTGCTGTATGCGTTGATCGATTGTGTGCCTGGGCTGGAGGTTCTAGCGACAGATGAGTAAGTTGTTCCAAGAAATTTGAGCAGGTTTCATGTGCTAATTGGGAAACTAGGGAGGTCATTGCCGGGCTGGACAAGTCGCAGATGGATGAGTCGCTGCATGAGGCGCAATGGGCTGGGGAGGAGGAGTACCACCCGTTCCAGAGTCCAATTCAACTGTAGAAGTGATTGACGAAAACAGCGTTCTAGACGACTCAAACTCCAGTATAGACAACGACCAGCCTCGTGCATTTCCGCTTTAACATAGCAAAACACTATGGCCATACACAGGGAACCTCGTACAACCCATAGCCACATCGACTTACTTAGGGACCCCCCCACTCGCAATTTCCTCCGCCTCGACCAGTCCTTCATCCCACTCTAGCCAGCCTTATCGTAACATCCCACCAAAGCATAATCATCCCCGACCGCAACCTGAAACTGATTTCTAATCACCACCAACCCTAACCTGACTCGCCACAAGTTGTGCTGCACATAAAGCTTAAGATCCACCGCCCCAGATACAAACTTCAAACCACAAAACCCGGGAAAACTCCCAGACCCAGACCCACGGTTCGTACGAAGGTCTACCTCCAGAGCTGTCCGGCCGAGTCGCACAGCCCAGCATCTAGACTATTCTCCCTTATACTTTGTAAATCTTCTCATTCGCCCTCGAATAGAGTTCCAGTGATCGGAAAGGGGCTACGGTCAGGTCCGAGCGGGGAGGCATATTGCCAAGGGGATACGAGGTGCAGAGTGTAACTATCAATCACTATTATAATTTACGTTATTAGGTAGACTCTATACATTGGTCCAACAAATCAGATATATCATTTGGCGTCGAGATAGATACTTTATTCTTGCGGCAGTATATTATCCTCCAATGAACCAGGCTAAGCCCCTTTCGCCTAGCCTGCAGCACGACTGACTCGTTGTGCAGGAGCATTATAGTTTAGTTAGTTGTTGGCTAGATTTGCAGCTAAAATCTCACGCTGAAGAAAGACAGATAAACTAGATATGGAGTAGACTAGACTAACTACAGTGCAATGGAGTAGCGCTAGCGAAGAACTAACTACCTAGTCATGTTAAGCTTCAAAACCGAAATCAAGGTATCTAGACAGCCAATTTCACCAGCACAGGCTAGATAAATTGTCATATAACACAGCCTAGATCCTTCACTCTCAAGCTTATAAAGCCTGAACATAGACTCTCGACTAAAATAGCGGTAAATACCACTATACTACCCACCACCACAGGACACAGTACTTACACAGATACCATACAGAGTAGAGCAGGGTAGAGTATACAACGCACTAATCTCAAAACCCACCAACGAATCCCCACCACAGCGATAAGGATAAGTAAACCAACAACAGCACTACAACCCAGCCCATCCTCACCACCACACCCATACCCTCTCTGAATGTAAACCACAACCTCCCCCCTCTCAAAGACCACAACCAAACCAAAACCAACGTCATACCCCAAAAACGCATCACGATGATCACAGATGATCACGATCGATCTCGATCCCGATCGATCCCACCACCCCCAATCAACCAACCAAATCCACCTCCCAGGTTCATCCCCGATTATGCTATGCTATGCACTACTGACTGTCCACTCAGAAGGCAAATCGACACAAAGCGATCGATCGGATCCGTAATTGAACTGGTTCTCATCGAGATGATCGAGATGGGGTTGAACCCCCCCCCCTTCCCCCCCCGGTTTCGCATCTGGGTGCTTATTGTATGTACTGTACTTCTGGGCTGGGGCGGAATAGATTAATTCCGGTAGACACTGTAGTGAAACATTGGGTACGCGGAGATCGGGGCACTGATCGTAAGGTGTACCCGATCCATTAGTACATCGGATGCATCATATCATGTATCGTATGTATCTGGCTGGGTCCTGTGGGGAAAGCTTATTTTGATGCTGGACACTGGAGTCTGCAGCCTGGAAGTAATTACCGTGCAGATGACTTTACTATTATGTTTTGGGGGACTAGCTAGCTAGACAGACTACTTCACTTGTTTTGCTTACGCTGGGAGGTATAGAGTTTGAGGGATTGGGCGGTGTGTTTGCGCTAGTTTGTTGGGCTCATCTTGAGTCTCGAGACTCTAATTATGATTGTGGGGGATGGATCATGCATGCAAGTAAGGTGAAACTAGTTTGGAGTTTGCTTGGAGTTCAAGCTAAGCTGGAGCGGAGCTTGAATCGTAGGGCGCTTGGGCTGATTAGGCAGGTGAGAGGATGAACTTAGGATCAATTCTTATGTCACTCCTTGTTTTCTCTTTCTAGCTGCATGATGTGAAGCCTTGTGGTGATCAATGGGAACATCTATGGGAAGAGGTAGACAAGGAAAGAATCATAAAATTGTTTATACATAAATCCCACATACTCATATATCAGACCAAGAGGGCCGATCTACGCACACTCACCTCCCACGGGTATAAAACAGTAACCAAACCAAACAGAAACAAGAATCTAGACCATACTATGCTCATGAAACGAACTATCCCCCGCCGACGACGTCTGCGTCACCTCGAAGGTCCGCTGGATGCCCCCGAAGCCGCCGCGGGAACCCGACTCGGTGTTCCCGCGCCGCCGGCTATCCTTGCTGGGCGATCGTTCACCCGACAGCCCCGCCGTCAGCTGCTCCTCGCTGCTGTTGGACGAGGTGGACGGGCCCCGCTGGCTGTGAATCGTCGTCACCGTCACCGCCAGCTTGTCCGGTCGGAGACGGCCCTGCACCGCGGCTTCGTCCAGAGAGCCCAGCGGCAGGGGTCGCTCGTGGGAGCGGAGGTTGTGGCTAACGGCGCCGACGCGGCGGGATCCGGACGGGGCGCCGAAGGGCGAGCGCGTGTAGTTGGGGTCGGAGTGTGAGCCGAGCCAGTGGCGGATGAGGGGGCGCAGGGTGGCGAGACTACCGGCTGTGATGCCTAGCCCGGTTTCAATGTTGGACCAGAGGGCGATTTCGACCGTGGAGTCTAGAGATACGCCAACAGAGATTAGTCTTCAATGTATATAGATGGGAGGAAGAGGGAGTGCGTACAGAGGAAGTCTGGGTCGTAAAAGGTGTGTACCCAGGGGATACGGATGATGGTCGCGGATGAGGCACTAAATATGGTCAGTCAGTTGGTACGTGATTAACCTGACTAGTAGAAGAACATACATGCAGGCCATTCCCAGAATGCCCACCACAGCCATCTTGGTCTTCTTCCGCATATGCAGGTTCTTAACAATGAACATGGGCAGAATGCCCACGGTAAAGTCGCACAGTGCCGCGAACGCACTGTACACGTAGGTCATGGCGACAATAATCTCCATGTTGATGCAGACGCCATGGATGCTGTCATCGAACGCCTTGCGCGTCCAGAAATATGATACCGGCTTGCATTGCAACAGCATCAGGAACATGAAAACGAGCGCCGCAACGACGGTCAACACCATCACGATGCGGAGGAGCCAGATATGCACTCGGCGCACGGTGATGCGCAGCAAGAAGATACAGACCGAGATCTTGCAGCCCATGGCGGAGAAACAATATGCGATCTCGCAAAACCACCAGTACTGCTTCGGGGTCAGTCCACTGCTCATCAGTGTTTGTATGGACAGATATCCTACCTTCATGGCTGTCACACGTTCATTCGCCGTCAAGACGCTGAAATGCTTGCCAGTGCCATAAATAGCTCCAAGTATCATGCAAAGACTGAACATTATGTAAAAGAGCTTTGGACATCATATCAGCTTCCTATTCTCCACCATTACCCGGTCAAAAAAACTCACCATGGCAACAACCATAGCCCAGTCATCAATCCCGAACGCTCGAACAATCCATCCGCGCACATAGCATCGCAGTATCACCGCAACGCAGGCCACGGACATGAAGGCGGCTGCAACCGCCTTAACCTCCGGGCTGCGGTCATCTGCAGCCATGCTATCTCTGCTGGGCCCAAGGCATAATCCAAGAGAGAAGCAGAAAAACAGAAAAAAAAAAAAAAGCCAAACGTGAGGGGCAAGGGGGCAACGGGAACCACCAGCGGTATTTGAATGAACGATGGGGAAAGGGAGAAGGACGTAGGGGCAAAATGTCAAGCGTCACACGTCCCATGGTTTAGAGGGCCCCAGGAGTTACTCCAGACACGCTAATCTAGTCAGTCGACCGTCTGGCCCTGGTCGGAGGTGATCATGGCAGGCTAACTGCTCTGGGTTCTGCACCTGCACATCGCGGTCCCCCAATGCAGACCAAGATCGACGCTGCGCCTGTCGAAAGTCTAATCATTTGGCCCAGTGTCCGGGAGCTGAAGGCTAATCTAACATGGAGCCTTCGCTTAGAGAAAGGACGAAGAAGCCATTCTGGGAATGAGATCATCACTCGTAGGTTCGAGTTTCTCGGCATCGAATCTGTTTCGGTGCGGATGATTCGTGGGGAATCTGTTTCGGTGCGGATGATTCGTGGGAAGCGTATTCCCCCACTGAGCCGTTGTGGTCAGAGCGACGACACGATTAGTGTCTGATAGTGTAAAAGGTTATCCTGCTGCGCTGGAAATAATTTCACGTCAATGGCCGGAAATGGGGATGGATCCACCGAGGCTCGGTTTCGCCTCCCGATACGGTAGGCTCCCCGACGGTCGAGTCAGGAGAAAGAGGAATAATGGGAAGAAGAGGAGGATGGCAAAAAGAGCAAGCCGGTTGAGAAGAATGAAGTCATGAGGGCCGCCAGATAGACATCCATGGCTCTGGGATGCAGCTTATGGCTATTGTTGTGCAGAACCGTGGACCGGAGCTCGCATTGCCGCCAGCCGCCCAGGTGATCTGGAGAACCCTAGAGCAGATCAATCAGCTCCCATGGCCATCACCACCGTTAGTCCGAGCATTTCCACGTGTGATTCTCGCCTCTTGTTCGGGCAAATGGCCAGTCATGACGATGACTACTCGCGAATGGCACTTTAGACGAAACGCTTCCCCTCATTCCCGCGGCTTTTGGCTGCCACGCATGGGTGGATCACTGGGTCCGAGGCCAGGGAAACCAGTATCAAAGAAGCAATTGCATTCAAACCTGCAGACTTCTAGAAAGCTAGTCCAGAGCGACTTGTCAATTGTCATACGCTAGAAGGGACCCATCACAATCCCGATTGTCGAGATGCAAAGAGGTCCTTCAGGGGAGCAACCCGGGCGAATGGGCGAATGGTAATCTTAATGTTCCTCCTGCCAGGCGGGCACGTCCCAACTGGGCGGTACGCCTATTCCCAATTCGAGCAATGTACAAACCGCCGGTGTCCACACTAAAAAAATTAAATGGGGGCCTGCGGGCAGATCCAAATTGCTCCAATGCTCCCCCCTCCCGATAAATTTAGCACAGAAGCAGATGGATCATGCATCATGGATGCCCTTCCGAGTGCCGCGGGTGACTACTGAAGAATTAGAACGACACTTGCCAGCCATATCTGTCAAAGTGTCAAACCAGCCCCATCCATGGGACTTTTGGCGTATTCGTAGTTATTGCCGATGTCGATCCTGCCCACGCAACCCACGCGGTTCGGAAAACCAGACAATGCAATGGTGCGGTGCGGATGTCCATCCACTGGGGTTCTTTTGCCGAATATGACAGAAGCCTGACTTTCTGACTCGCAGGCGGGAGAAAACTCTCCGAGTCGGGCGAATTGCTGCATATGATGAGCTTGATTTGCCAGTATCGGCTGCTGCGATGTGCCGCAGTTGCAGGAGGAAAAGGGCTGGGCTAGCATGTGGATCGGAGGAGGAGATGGGGGGTGCATTCCCATTCCCTGCAGCACTTGGAGCCCGGTTGTTTCGGCAGGATCCGCTCCACGTGAGCGGTCCTCGTCAGATTTCAATAAAAGGAACACCGCGAGACGAGTCCAGATTTGAAACGCAATGTATGAAAGACCAATGTGGAACACAAATCCTGCTGTCGGATAGTATCAAGGTTGAAGCATGGCGACAAGTCGACAACAGCAAAGGTATGTACATGATTCATGTGTGGCTTACGCGCCAAGTCGCACCTCCGGGTTGCCCCGTTGTGACGGTGGACCATACAAGCCCGGGATTCAGTTGCCCGAGTGAGAACTCCCAGCCTGCGATTGAGATTCGAGACTCGAGGCTCGATCACCAGCCTCGTACAGCTGGTTTTTGTGCAAAGAGCAGGTGGGAGCACGTTTGCTTTCTAGGCCATAATCGAACCTGTTTGCTGGTCCGACCGTCGGGCAGGTTTGCAAGCTCTCGAACCTAAGAACTGCAACATTAAAATGGCTGCGCAACCGCCCGCAAGCGCCTGCGACTGGCCACACAACCCTGCTGTGGCTTGGGAGGACAACGGTGCACTGCATTGTGCAACGTCTTGGAAACTCTGCTCTCTTTGTTCGTGTGAACTCTCCAACATTCTCCAGGTTTGCGGAGTTAAGTCATGCCGTGGGGCCTGGAGTACATAATGGGCGACCTACGAAGGCATAAGTTGGCAATGAGTCTCAGAGAGCAAAATCTGCGATACGATGGAATCGAAAACTGCTCAGGTCGAATCAGCAGACACGAATGCGTCGAAAAGCGACCATGTCAACTCGTCGACCGAGGACATTCGGTCCACTTCTCAGCCAACTCTGGCGGGGACCATTCAACAGTCTTATAAGATCCTAGGCTACTGCCTTGCGTTGACAGCCGGCATTCTGCTGTACGGATACGACTTGGTCATTGTGAACAATGTGTCTTCCATGCCACAGTTTCAGTAAGAGGCTTCCTGAATCTGTGGTCTGCCTCGTCAATGCTCACACTCGCAAGGCGCGATTATGGTCGGGAGCTCAAAGGACAACTGATCACCCCCTCTGTCTGGCTAAGCCTATGGAGCGTGGCTGGTCCCATCGGAGGCCTGTTCGGCGCAATTGCAGGCGGCGTTGTCCAAGATCGGGTCGGGCGGCGCCTCTCTTTAGCCATTGCAAGCTTCATCTCAGCTGTCGCGGTCGCCGTCTTGTATGTCTCCAACCTTCCGACCGAGATCAATGACCGCAGGGCCATTTTCCTGGTGGCAAAACTGGTTCAGGGCTTCGCCGTGTACATGGTCGTGTGCACAGCCGAGACCTATATGTCGGAAGTTCTACCTACCATGTTACGAGGTCCGACCCTTGCCCTCTTCCCGATCTTCACGCTGGTGGGTCAATTCGTGGGCAGCGTGGTGGTCCGCAATGCTCTGCACACTCCCGGGGCCAGAGGCTACCTCAACTGCTTCCTCTCGCAATGGCCATTCTCGGCTCTGTCCCTTCTAGTGTCTGTGCTCGTCCCGGAGAGCCCAACATACCTCATCCGGAAGAGTCGCCTAGACGAAGCACTTAAAGCCCAGCGCCGACTGGACACCGCCAAGGTGGATTCCCTGGCCAAGATCCAGCAGCTGCGCGCGTCCGCGCAACTGGCAGAGCAGGAGTCCGCGGGATACCGCGAATGTTTCGTGGGTGTCAACCGGCGTCGCACGATCATCGTCTTATTTGTGAACATGATCCCGAATCTGCTCGGAATCACATTGTTGGCCAAAGCCAGCTATTTCTTGCAGATCATCGGCATGAGCGCGAACAAGAGCATTATGATGCTGCAGGTCATCATTGGGTTGGGCTTAGCAGCCAATATTTTTAGCTTCTGGACTTTATCTCGATTCGGCCGCGTACCGCTTATCATTATCAGCTTGAGCATCATTGCATTTCTGTGGTTGGGAATGGGCATTTCAGGCTGCTTTGATGGAACAGTCAATGTTTGGTTCGTTTGACGCGTTTCCCTGGGTGTCAAGCGCAGGAGCAAGTCTGATAATCTCTGCCAGGTACTCGGCTGTTACCTTCTGCCTCGTCGTCGTCGCTTCCGGGACCGGTGCATGGCCAGCAACCTACGCCGTCGGCGCAGAGACATCCTCTCTCCGGCTCCGGGCCAAGACGCAAGGTCTAGGATGGTTTGTAAACTGTCTGTCGACCGGGGTCGCTGGCCTGGTGCTCCCTTATATCTTTAACCCGGACCAGGGCGCATTAATTTCGAAAACGGGGTTCTTATTCTTCGCCAGCTGTGTTGTAGCAGCTGTGGTGACATGGTTCATCGTGCCGGAGATGAAAGCTCGAACCCCTGCGGAAATTGATCGCATGTTCGAGAACCGACTGCCTACGAAAGAATTCAGGAGATGGTCGCCGGAAATGGACGAGGTGACGGTCACTTTAGGTGCCTGACCGACATTGAGAAGCTCCTTGGCTTGTCCTTCATTTTGAATTGCACGGAAAGAGCTTGGATCCTCTAAGTTGTTTTGGCGCTCTTTTGCTCTGCAATGAACGGGAAACGTCCTGCGAAAAGCGAATTCAATCCCTGAAACCGTTATATATTGAGTCACCATCATTTTACTCGTCGAAGGCCGACCTAGTATCGACCTAACCTGGTAAAACCTCAAGTCAAGAATGTCCGGCCGTTCGGGATAAACTGGAAGCATTCAATGACTAATGTTTCATGAGTCGCAAATAGAACCGCCGCACGTTTGGCCATTATGACTAATGCTTGTTAGTATGGGAATATAGATAAGCCTTAAGCATGAATGATTGTCAAATTTTGACTGAATTTTGTCGTGGTTCTCCAACTAGATACATGAATCATAGAAAAGAAATCAACTAGCCTTGTGACTTGCACATCAGCTGACTTTTGCTGGAGTATTTTGTGTTGTCCGAGAATGACGGTCAGGTTGAGACTGTCATATCGGCTTGTGTAAGGCCCTAAGGGAAAGAGAGGCCCCTATCTGTGAATGTCGCCTGAAGTGGTAGCTGGCCTTGGCAAGCTGAGCTTTCACCAGCTATGGCCGAATAGATCCACTGAGATTTGAACAAAACGGCATGACATCGTATCCCTTGTTCGTCCGCAAGATCGAATATCGAAGTGTATGTCATCAGCCTGCTGTACCGGGTCGGCCATCAGGGAGCTTCTAACGCGCCCATCGAGGCGGTGAAGACTTGGTTATGGGAGGACACGAATACATTCAGTCCTGGGCTGACGCTGCAGCTTGAAGACCCTTCTTCTTGCCTTTTTTGTAGACACGTTCATCGTTGGGGTCAAAGCCACCATTGCCCCACAATGCCCAATCCAACGTTTCCTTCATATAGTCTTCGGGTTTAAAGGGGGTGCCGTCAGCCTTTTCCTTTTCCAGAAGCTCGAAGAATCGATCGTAGTCAATCCGGGAGTGCCACTTTCCGTTCACGTAGAATCGCTCGGATGCGATGAGTGCACAGCAGCTATGGGCGTGCTCTGCAGCAATGCCGTACTTCAGTCCACGACGCTCAAGCTCCGCGTTGAGAGAGGTGACGAATTCCTGGATTTCTTCGTAGAATGGCACGTTCTGCATGGTCAATCCAGCCCCCGCACTAGTGCTCGTACCACAGTAAGTGACACCCTTGATTTCGATGAAACAAGGTAGTGCTTTCTCGACCAGGTTCGCATACCCAATGACCTCGTCGTCCACGTTAAAGCCCTTGACCAGCGTAAGACGGAAGACAGTGCGCTGCATGTGGCGTTTCTCTCGAAGAATGTCTAGGCAACGCTGGAAACGCTCCCAGAAATCGCGATGAAGAGGACGATCAATTTTCCTTAGACTCTCCCGGTTGCTCGCATCGATGGAGACGTACAATTGCGTCACACGCGAAAGAGTCTCGAGTTGATCCGGGTGTTGAGCATTGCAGACAAGGAAGCTGGAGATATGTTCGCTATGAAGCATCGAAAGGAAAGAATTAATATGCGGGTAGAAAATGGGTTCGCCCACCAAGCTGAGAGCGCAGTGGCGGATGCGCATTGCTTCCGCAAATCGCTCAGCACGCACACCAGGGACACCACGCATCATCTTGATCTTCTTGTAATGACCTTCCTTGATACCATTGAAGATCAATTCAGGGGAATCAACCTTCCACCGCCAAGTAGTACCAACCGGGTTAGTGCCATGTCTCCAGCAGAAAATACACTTGTTGCTGCAAGAGAGGGACGGGGTTGCCTCCATGCAAAGATGCGAACGGATTCCATAGAACGAGAATTTGTAACACGAGCCACGGCCACGCAGGGCTGACTTGGTCCAGCGACAGATCTTGACGCCCGAGTGAGAACCAACAATGGTATAACCTTGTTTCGTAAGAGCTGCGTAAGTGGGCGATGTCTTCGGAACCATTTCCTTCTCACTGGCTTGGGGAGCGAGGGCGGACGAAGTGCCGGCAGTGGTGAAGTCAACGGGAACAGGGGCTCCCGAACCGCTCTGGCTATCAGCGCTGAACTTGATATCCTCCAGATCAACCACATCTTGGGCCTTGTTACGTTTGCGGTTAGTTTTCCGGTTGTTGCCATCCGAGCCTTCTTCGTCCAGTTCCTCCTCGTCGCTTTCAAGCGGGTCACCGCTGCCAGGAACACCTTCGCCCAATCCACCATTCGCTAAAATGTCACCCAAGATATCCTGAAGACCATGCGACCACTCTTTCAGGGCCGCCTCCGCGTCACTCTTAACATCGCCAAATCCGAGAGGGTACGCCCGCTTTCTTCCTGTAAGCTTTGCCATCCACCGATCGAGTTCCTTGGCTTGGGAGCAGTACCCTTCCTCCTCAGTCGGCCACCCTTCCTTGTCGCCGAATCCAAAAACGCAGTAACCAGCCAGACTCGAGAGAGGCGCAGTATCAATGCGGAAGTCATTGTGGGTTTCATCAAGGTGGCCGAGGAAAGTGTTCAGAACAGTGTCGATGTTGTACGACGGGATGAGCAAGCAGTAAACGTAGCGTGTTCCAGGTGAAGTGGACGGAGGCTTGGGTGCAGTGGCGAAGTAATCATCGAAGTCGACATATGAGAGATCATGGATCTGAGGGGGAAGAATGCCCCGCTCGCGGTTATCAGGATCGGCTCGTTCTTGGGCGGCGGCACGCAAGTCCTCTAGCAAGACCTGCGCATACCTTTCGGTTGTACCGGTCAAAGAGGCATAGAAAATAATGGGCTGAATGAATGACAAAGGCGTTTCCTGGTCGGAACCTGCACGTCGGCCAGCGACCTTCAAAGGTTTCTTGCCCGAAACTCTCTTAGGACCCGCTGTAGCCTTTGGCGACGTTTCTTCCTCGACGATAAGTTTGGCGTTCGTTTCTCCATTTTTAGTGGCTTCCTCGTCATATGCGACCGCGATCTTTTCATTCTTCTCGGGAGACTGGCTTCGAGGGGACGATGGGATGGACGAAGCCGTGGCAGTTTTGTGCCTGGGTTGCAGCGTACGATAAGCGCGAAGGAAAGTAAATGCGGCGACGAGAGCGAGAAGAAGAGGAAGACGGTAAAGATGCCAGAAGGCTAGCAAACCTGATAAAGTACGAACAATCAGCACGAGAGCATGGCACAAGCACAAGAATGGTAATGCTTACCGTCGGCTACAGAGGATTCCGCCATGATCGGAGGAGCAAAAGAGCCAAGCCCTTGGGTCCTGCTTCTTTCCTTTATTCACTTGCCTTCGAGTGAGGGTAGATGTAAGAATGTGGGTGACCAACGATGAAAAGAAAGAGTCGAGAAAAGGCGGGTCGGATTAAGTGGGCGGAAACACTTTATTTTAGGAGGGGTTGATTGGACCCAGAGATAGATAGCATGGAAGAGACTCTATCTGCAGGTGATCACCACGATGCAGAATTAGGGAGAAGTAAGCAAATCGCAGCCTTCGGTCTCACTCGAGAAACCAAATAACATGCGAGAATAATGCACTGGACGAATATAAAACATACGAGCAAGCAAAGATCTTTGGCTCGATCCCGGAATCTCTTGAGGATTTTTTTCGGTTAGCGATGATTGGCTCCCGCATTTTCTCCTTATTACTCAGCGCATGGTGATACAGACCAATAACTTGCACTCTCTTGTAGAGAAGCAACATGGATATGATAAAGAAATACTAGCTATGGTCTGATACTTACTGATAGCTGAGAAGATGCTCTACTCTTATGGCTGTTACACGTTTTTACGCTGCAAAGGCACTCAAATTCTTGCCTGTGAGTCGTGATCCTGACCCCACCCCCTAGCATGCAGCCACTTGGGAAGTTGTTTTGTCCTTAATCACCTCGTCAAGTTGCTTGAGCAAGGCTGGAAATTCGGGTTGCGGTCACATATAGTAGCATATAGACCGAGCTCACTATAAGCTAAGAGGGGGAGTGGATTAGTCGGAGACTAACAAGCAGTGAAAGATGCAAGGTAATGCGTAAGAATACAGAGAACTATCGCAACAAGGGCCAGGAGAATTAGCTCAAGATTATTACCGCTTAAAAGGAAATGATACTATTGAAATTACTTGGGGCAGCCTTTATACTATCAGCAACCCACAGGTAGGCGAATATCTGAGATTTGAGACTGAGAATTATTGCAGCGCACAGCAGCCAAGTCCAGACAGTATCTTATCTCTCGTCCCGCTGAAATGACTTGCCTAGGTTATAGTTCTCGCCGAAAAACCGTAGGAAAGCCGATAATAGAGCCCAGATACCAGTCCCATTAAGCTTGATCAGCGCAGTATTGTATAGGAGATACTGAATACGATGTGCCGAATATCCTTGCTTTTGGTCAGGTCTGTATTTATTTATCATCACGTAGAGAGCTCCGTAAGCGACAGTAGGGCATTTTTTGCTTTGTCGACAAAGGCTGTTGAGCCGCGGGTTGATGAATGAACGGAGGAGGGACAATAGGAGGCAAGGAATAGCTGAATTGGCTCATGCCAAAACTTCTTATCCTATGAAAAGTGGATTTTCAATGTCCAAGCTATTTAGTGGTGAGTATATGCCGGCTATATCTATCAGTACTGCTTGCGTGTATCCTTACTGCTGTATCGTGACATCTCTGTTCACTTAATCCGTGGGTTATAGTTCACCAACAGCGCGTTTGGATAGTCTATAACTATACTTGAAGATCATAAGAACTAAAAAAGTTACCGAATCGATAATAAGTGGAGGAACAAATGTGTAAGTCATAAGATAGGCTTAGAAGAAGCCAGCCTTCGCGAGCCCATTCTTTCCCCGAAAGTCGACAGACAATCCAATAACCTGCAACAACTACAACATCCTCGCCTCATCTTAAATCTGTTCTTATACCCATTCGAAGAACTGCTCGATGTCTGCTCTCCGAAATGGGGGCTGCCTTGTTCGTGGTAACGGTGGTGGTTGGGCATATTGATGTATTCACGGCGCTGACTTTACTTCATGCGAGATTCAGATCGAGTATGCCATGTGGATGTTGATAATGAGGTAGGCAGGTCTTGCCTTGGTGTATGGAGTTCTGATATTTGTAGTAGAGTAAAGAGGAATACTGTAACTGTGAGGTCTGATTCTCGTAACTGGATCGGGTGCATAGGGTGGGCTGTTTGTTGTTTGTATACTCATTCGCGGGTGAACTGAAGGTTGAGCCGAAGGTCTCACATACGCTTCCCGTATCTTAAGGCTCTTAATACTCTCGGAAGATAGAGAATAGGCTGTTGGTCTGATGATAGGAGGAAGAGACCTCAGTCTTGGGATTTGGGGGAGAGTGGGTGTTGCGGTGGGATACAATGGATCAGGCGAGACAAGATGAGATGCAAGGATTTAGGCTCTGTGATTGTACTTAAGGTTTGATTCTTGCAAGCTATTCTTAGTAAGCTATTGGTAGTGATAATACATACATCTAGTCTATCATGAGGTGGAATCGTCCATTGCCATCGATACACGAAACGGGGTTTCGAGATTGGGAGTCTAGTTCCACTGGAGCCTGGGGGATACTGTGAGCATTGAGGTAAGTTGTATCCCAGTGACAACTTACATGTCATTTATCTGCACAGATCGGAGTCAGTTGTCATTTGTCGCAAGTTTTCGAGCAATGAGCAATCTATCCAAGGAAGACGTTTGGTGTAATTTAAGCGACCATAGCAAAATTCATCTCTCCAAGCAAACCTTTTCCCAGCAACAGCCAACAGGGTATCTTTTTTCTAGATCATGTCAATCAAGAGTCTCATATGCCTAGATCTTCCAAAAGAGCAACCATTCCAGAAGAGAGGCATATTTTCATCATTCTTCTCCGGCTCTCCGACGGCACATCTAGCGACCTTGCCCACGCTCCGTCCTTGGCCAACTTTTACATGAACATGTCGGCCAAGGTGCACCACATATATAACAGAACTGAGCGCCACAGAGACAGCTGAGACCACAAATTTATCAGTATTCAGGTGGAAACAAGAGAACGAAGGGGAGAAAGGATATAAACGAACACCATATGACTGCACCCGCCCTTAATCTCCACAAGGCGCTTGCAGCGATAGCAGAGCTGCCATTCATGTTGTAGCGCAGTCCTGAAGAGTTGCTCTAGAGGAAGATTAGGTGGACACTCGCCGTTGTGTGACGGTCTCCTGCAGCTAGTACAGGTTGTGTCTCCACATTTCAAACACTGGGCCACTTCATTAGTGATCGAAGATGGAGGGATGAAGGCCGAACATGGCCCACGAGAACAGTATAAGGGATGTGGAGTCTCAAGCTCGAGCTTTTTCGTCTCGTATTGCTGGATTAAGTCTGCTGGGAGGTATTGACGGGCAATGCTCACGTCGAAGGGCTTGTTGCAGCAGTTCGGAGGGAACCGACTCCCCTCTTGCAGGGAAACCTTGAAGAGAGCTTCCAAGCAAGATGTGCAGAAGCCATGTTCACAGGGGGCATTTGTTAGACTGAGCCAGTTTTCTGCGCAGACTGTACAATGACTTGTAAAGGAGGGCTGGCTTCTTAGGCTCGCTGGAACGAAGGGCGCGCTGGCTGGATTCATGTCGGGTCTGGCGATGCTAATTAATTTTCTAGGTGGAAGCTTTGAAAAGTTAGTCAATCCTCAATGCACAAGTCTTGTCTTGTTGAGATGGAAGGCGGGCAGAGACGGAGTAAGAGGTCGTGGTAGCTCAGAGCTTGAATAGGGAGGGATTGCTTTAGGATGTAGACTTACTTTAGAGACATAAGTCCTCTCGTGATTCAGCTCGCCGCTGCAGTTTCAATCTTACCAGTTTCGCTATAAATATAGCACATAAGGATATCTGAGGTGGTTGTTGGACGTGATGAGAGTCGGCAATGACTATTCCGCTTGCACAGTCATGATGAGCACATCCGACAGCACAATCTTCCTGCCAGATCAAGAAGGCCCCGCCAACATCCATTCATCAGTTTCTTCACCTCGTGTCACTTTCTCGCTTCTGTGAAGCTCAAACCCTGAGAACTGTTCCTGTATTCCTTCTGATATTTCCGGCCCAGAATCCAATCCAAAGCTATGGATAACATCCCTTCATCGAGCGAGTCCGGTGCTGCTACTCCGACATCCTCTACAGCAACCATACCACCATGTTCAAAGAAAGTGAAGTCTCTCTTTGGGCGATGCACAGTCGATGGCTCCGTCAAAGGAAACATGTGTTCCTGTAAGATGGGCATGCATGAGTCTGCCATATCTGCTCTGGACCAAGACATACTATGCACTGAGTGTCATCACTCGCTGAGCAATCACATGGGCTATACTGAAAGTAAGTTATGTCGAAGTACTCATAGAAATCCATTTTCTGATTATTCTCCCCAGGTCATATTCAGCAACGGAAGCCTACACCTCCTCAAGAAACCAACCCGAATGTACATAAAGGGCCCGAAATCTGTCCACGATTCAAGACCTTACTTGCACTGGCGCAGAAGCTCGATACCACTCATGTAGTCCACATCCAAGGCACGCCTGTGTCGGGCAAGACGACTCTTGCGCTTTTGCTTCGAGACTATCTTCGTCCAACACGCAAGGTAATCTTCCTATCGGGTTGGAAAAGGCGCAGTATCTCGATGACTGCTAAGGAATACCTGGCCAATGTATGCTATAGGAGCGACTCTGACGGTATACATACTCATGATGATCTTTTATGTGATGAAAACAGCGACCTTGTCTTTATCGTGGACGATGCACACGAGACATATGCTGACACGGACTTTTGGCCGAATGTGATTGAAGCCCGACTGAACAGACAACTTGGTCCTAGGTTTTGCTTGTTCACCTCCTACGGGCTCCCCACAACAGAACCCCTCAGAAAATTGCCAGATGGGATCATGCAGAAATGGCAAAAATGGACAAGAGTTGCACTTCTGCGGCAAAGATTGGCATCCCCGGAAATCTCTCTCTTCTACAGCCTGCAGGAGATGCACGATGTTATTGCGAGGTACAACAAGGCTACAACCGGTCACAAGATCTCTGAAAATGAAAAAGCTTGCATCATGAGGCTTACAAACGGACACCCTGGGATGATCAGTGCGATTCTTGATTATGTCCACCAGGTAATCATACTAAGTCCAATACCTTGCGAGGTTCGTCATCTAACAAGGAATAGCACGTTTATGAGAAGAAATGCTTAACACCGGACGATGAGATCTCCACAGAAGATATTTTGGACAACTTTGGCGAAATCCTGACCAGCAACGATGCCCTCGAATTCATCAGATATCAACCCGTCGGGCGGAGCTTACCGTCTAAGCACATGAACAATGGAGTATTGACAAAGCCTATGATTAATACACTTCTTCGGGTTTTGCGTCACGGAAGCTCACACTATGAGAGCCAGAGCGAGGTGATTAATGCTTGTATTATATCGGGGTTCTTGTATGTTGAGATCGATCAAGCACAACAGCCGGTTTGTGTTCTGCCATCAAAATTGCATGCACGGTGTGTACCATCCATCTTCATTTTCACCATCAAAAGGTCTCAAATCTTCAAACTCACTGCCCATGCAGGTTTCTGGAGTATGAACATGGCGGAAAGTATCAAGCCAAAGTCCCTAAAATGGGTTCTCCTGATATTGAAGAATTTTGCATTCGGGTAGTGCAGGCCTTGCCACGGATGACATTGCAGAATCTCTATACTCCGCAATGTGGACCTGCGGGAGGAATACGTACTGCGGCGGACATCTTCCAAGATAAGTTCTATCAATGCTGCTGGAGCGAAGCCGGCTTCGGTGGAGGAGTCAGACGTGACTGGACCAGAACCTCTGGTGTTCACACCTCTCTGGGGCTTCCAGAGATGCGCTGGAGAATCGAACTGATCTATGGTTGTGACGACTTCGATCCTTCCGCTATCTCTGACCGTTGCTCGGATCTGATGCGCCGTGGGTATATAGACGATTGGGTAGTTCTCAGCTGTGGCAAAGAGACCGCCAAATTTCAAGGTACAGTACAAATGCTCTGTTGTTATTCAGAATAAGAGTTAATAGCTAACGCGAGAAGGATCCTGTGAAAATGTGCTACACGTCGTTTTTAATGACGACTTCTCCAAGTTCGCTGTCAAATCATCGGGCAATACACTGAGTTTCAGCCTGCGTCCGCACTGATGATAATGCTGAAGGCCTTCTATCTGTTCTACTCTTCATCTCTTTATCGCCAACGGAATCATACAGGCAGGCTTTGTTGAATTGAGAAACAGGCTGGAGGAATTGGACACAAAGCATGGAGACGACAGTGCTTATGATCGTTTCAGGAAGCTATTAGCTGTCTTAGCAATCAGCAATGCGACTCTGACAACTATTGCTTATCTCCAGACTTTAGTGTATCTAGGAGCTAAATTGTAGTGGAAGATAAAATGATGCGAGCCATGTCTACGGTGATATGATACGATATGGAACAGCGGTCCTAGGGGTCTTACAAAGTCATAGATTCCTCCGGATTCTTTGAAGATCAACCAGAGACTTTCCATGGAGACTCCAATGGCCCAACATACAATATATTCATGATTATGGCTTTAACGCGACAAATCGGACAAAATTATAGAGCCAAGCATATCGCCGAACGAGTTGCATGAAATCCAGAGTCTCTCGACTCCAACCGGGACACACCAGGACCCCTTGTGGAAAGTATGCTCCACGACAAACCTTCACCCAGAAGAGCGATGCATTGGTGGGTACTATGATCGCGGGTAGTGATTCCTTGGGAGGGATCCGGCCTGTCAAGCAAAATCGATTTCTAAGCCGAAGTGAAGCTATCTGCCCTGACGTGTAGCAGTGACCGCGCCTATTCCTTCTCCGCTGGCTACTGTCGAGACTAGCGCAGATCGGCGTACAGCTGCTACGAGGTGGGCTGTCTCTCCAGTAGAGTTAGTGGACAGTATCGCGGCAGGGATCACAATAGGATCAGCGATGGCAAGCCTAAGAGTAAAGGCCGTCTTGTTCATGCGAATGATAGTAGGCGGCAGGGCAGGATATTGAGGTGGACGATGAGATGACTCCTGGTTCGCTTGTTATGAAAGGTTATTTCAAAGATATAAGATCACGTAGCTGCTAGTAACTATTTACTAACCGGTCGGGTGATGTTATGGAGTTGTCAACGACTTCTCTACATTCAGGCTTGGGGTTGGTCCCGTCATACACCTGGGTACATGCGATCATACAACATAGAACGGTGTTCTTCACAGAGAGGTGTTTTGCATAGATGGTTAATGAAACTCTATTTTTCCCGACTATTCCCACATGCGTAGGAGGTACATTCTTACCACAAGCAGGTAGATCAGGGAAATGATAGATAGCAATAAGAAAAGGACGGAGAAGTCTCCATCTTCTGAGTCTTCCCTGCACAGTTGTCTGCCGATACATCCTCTTGAATATCTGTCTCATGAGACTTGGTGGAGAAATTCGCATCCCGCTGAGCACATCACTGAGACCAAGCACGTCGGCTCTCGTGTATCTAGCGGCGACGTCGAGTCTGATTCTTCCTGCGCCGGTTCTTGTATCGACCTTCATGATCACCGCGGTGATGACGAGTCGCAGCCGCCTTGCTACGGCATAAGTTCCCGCAAGGACGCCCATCAACGATCAAGGTACATCTGTAGGTGTCCTTGTCGATTTGTACGAAACTGGGGGTGATGGAACTTGGGGGGCTTGTGGGGGGTGTTGGTGATCGTTCCTCCTGTTCCTGCTCGGTCGGGGCCCGATCGTCGTGGAATAGATTGAGAAGCTGTTCCTGCTTTTTATATGTTGCCTGGTAGAGGGAAAAGTCATAAAGACGCTGCTGCTGCTCCTCCTTATATGTCGCCTCGTAGAGGGATCGGTCATTGAGATGCTGCTCCTGCTCGTTCTGCGTCACCTTGTCGGAGGACAGATCAAGAAGCTGCTCCTGCTGCTCGTCTGAGAAGTACTCGTCGAAATTCTGCTCCGGGTCGCCTACATCCCACGAGCCGCCGCAGGCAAAACAGACAAACGGACCGGTGCAATTACCCTCGACCTCCGAAATATCCATCATCTCCGCGAAGCAGTCGCGATTGTAGACGGCCGAGCATCCTGGTCGGTGACACCGATGGAAGAAGGCATTTTGGTCCCAGGGGGAGGGGCGAGCACGGGATGGCGAGCCTGCTGGGTAGTCAGAAGTTGCTGGGGCAATAGTTTCTTGCGACGCTGGCTCTGCAAGTATATCTGCTTGAAGAAGGTCCTCTGTTAATTCAAGCCGTATGTTAGGATCTCAGTATGAGGAGAAGTCTAGGTGGATATAGGGGTTAGTGCCAGCCATGATGAAGTGATGTGCTGGGAGTTGTTGGGTGAAAGTTCTCTGTAGGCTGAGGTCAAATCGACCTTTTATGCTTGTGGCTTCACTCGAGAGGGAGGTTGTGAGTGGTTGTTATCATCGCTCTTTCATCTGCGTGTCTGTCACTTGGCATGGTAGGGAGTGTTCAGGACACCGGTCAACGAAGATGATACTTAAGCATTGCAAGGCAGATCTCTCAAGACTCTTTCTCAAGCTCTATCCTTAAGCCAGTTATCCTGTATAGTAACGTCATACTCGACGGAACGAGAGTATATGGCTTGCAGGCTGGGCATCCTGGTGATTGGCCTGGTGTCTCCCTACACACTTTGTCTCACAACAGCAACAACCCATTTTTCATCTTTATTCGGTTTTCTCTTTCTTTTCTCCACGAGTGTGGAACCCATGGTAGGGGTCTGAGTTACCCAAACCAGTAATGATGCCTCTATCACCAGTGCAAGTAAAGTAGATCACGTGCCACGGTACCGCGGAGGCAGAGTGGAGAGCGAGCAGCGGGTAAACAGTAACAACAGGAGGAGTAAACAGGAACCTTAGTAACCGCGCCGATCGATAGCCTGTCATCCCAGCCACCGATTTATCGCATCCATGCCAGCCAGCCAGCCAGCCAGCCAGCCAGCCGCCTTGCTTTCGTCATCTCCGCTTTCCACTTCGAACCCTCTTCTTTTCACTGTCGTCCATGTGGTACGACAAACCTCAAACTTCATGTCTTTTCCCAAAAAACAATAACAAACCACCACCGAGCTCCTCTGCACAAGCCAACAACCAAATTGAAATCGCATACTCCACATCTCGATACTCCACCCGCAACAGTCTATCACCACCACAACCACCAACCAACAAAAGAACAATGCCCCCCAACCGAATACCTCTACCACCCCAAACCCTCAGAATCAGAACCACCCCCCGCGACTTCACCAGCCTCCCCTCAACCTACAACTACACGCCAAATCTCGCTCCAGGCACAATAGTCGGCATAGTCCTCGGCAGCGTCCTCGGCTTCTTACTAGTGATTTACCTCCTCTACCTATCCCTCAATTCGGGCCGGAAATTCTCCCCCTCAACTACAGTCGGAGGAGGCAGCACGATCCTATCCCCCAGCTCCGAAGAATCCCGATCGGAGATCATCGTGGAAGAGAACCTGAGTTCGCGGTCGCCTGGGACGCGCTCGCACCGGCATTCGCGCCGTGGTGGCGGGCGGCGACGGAGGAGAGAGGAGATTGAGGAGGAGGAGTACATCCCGCCTTCGGCGCACAGACATCATCCGGAAATGGTGGAGGGGAGTGCGTTGTCGAGTGAACGGTCGGATATGGTGACTGTTTTGGAGGAGCATTCTAGTGTTGAGGGAAGAAAACCGCCGCGGCGGGCGAGGGGCGCCGGGGGTCATGGGAAGGGGTATCGGGCTGTGGATTTGGATGCCCCTGAGGGGTTGTCTGTTGATGGGAGTTTGAGGTCTTAGCGTTGGGGTTCTGTGGGTGGGTTGGGGAGATGAAGGGGGATGTGCTTTGCGTTTGCTTTTTGATACCCTGCGGTTTTACTGTGTTTATGTTTTTTTGGGAGGGATATACTGGATGACTTATGATGATACGCTTTGCATGAGATGGTTCGATAGGTTACGTTGATGATAATATGGATATACGATACGGCTTCGCCTGCTGTTCTCCGAACCAATAATAAAAGCAAGAGAGGACTGCGATGAATTACATCAACCAAATCAATAATCATTACCACCATAAAGAACAACTCCATAACTCAGAACCCAGCCCAAACCAAACCAAACCAAAACAACCTCAAACCAAAGCAGCGCCCAACACCCTTCAAATAATAGAGCTGATACACCCCCCCAACCTAAAACAAAATATCCAAGCAGCAACAACAAGCCAACGCCGCCATGATACCGGCGCACATCCCCCCACCAGACGAGCCGCCGCCGCCGCGATCCCCCGCGTAATATCCCTGCGGCGGCGGTTGTTGTTGCGGATAGTACATCGGTTGCTGTGGCGGCGGCGAGCCCGGATAGCCCTGGGGTGGAGGGTAATAGCCGCCTTGCGGGGGCCCGTAGCCTCCCTGCTGGGGTGGGTAGCCGCCGCCCTGGTTGTAGTAGTCTTGCGAGGCGCCTTGCGGAGGAGGGTATTGTTGTTGCTGCTGTTGGTAGTGGTAGGGGCCGGCGTCGTGGACGGGCGAGGGATATGAGGGGGGAGGGTTATCCTGGTTTTTGGTTGTCAGTCAGCTTTGGTTGTTGCGTCCGGGTTCGGTGTCGGGGCGATGTTCCGGGTTGGCGGGATACGTACGGGTTTGTTGTAGGACATTCTTCCGGGGATGGGTGGTGGATGAGCGGGTGGGAGGGTTATATATATTCTCGGTCAGAGATAGGATAGAAGGACTCGTAAATAGGTAACAGAGGAAGGATGCGTGCGTAGAGTCAAGGTGAGAAGGAGGAGGAAAGGCAGAAGAGAGAGAGAGTCAGAGAGAAAGAGGAGAAAGGTTCGGAAAAGGCCATGGACGGAACCCTTGGCGGGAACCCGGATTAGGCAACCGAAATGTCGGTCTTTCCACGTAATTCCTGGGCGCTTTTCGAGGTTGGCGCAGCAGCAACTGATTGTGGCGGTGTTATTTATAGATTAGGGGGCTGTTCACTCAAGGGTGATTGATTGTCGCCAACAGCACTGTCAGTCAATCATGCATGCTTCAACCCTCTCTCCTCCACGCATTGCTGATGCTCGACGGGTCTGCAGGTCTCCCGAGAAATGACGCGGCTGATGGCTCATGACACCCCCGGTTATCTTATCGCAAATCTGGGGCATCTGGATCGATCAGGCTAGCCCGGGCAAACTCGTGGAACATCCTCGCCGGGATCGAGACACAATTGTACACCGTCACCGATTGTCTACAGACTACAGCAAATTTCCAATAACCACACTTACTTACACGCTGCAATTGGATTCGCTAAACGCTATCGTTCTCGCCAGGTTCGTCAACGGATTCAGCAGAGGAGAAAGGTGAGACAAAGAATAGGGAAATCGATATAATTGATTACACAAGAAGGCAAGAGACCAGTCCAAAAGCCAATCCCAAAATACAAACACACGGTAATCACGACGGGTCACCAATACCCGTGCATGTTGGCTTCTTGCTCATTCATAGAAAAAGGCCGGAGTATGGGAGGAAGGATGTGGGGAGGTAGGCGGAAAGATGACAGGGAAGTGGTGAAGGGTAGATGCAAAAGAGAAGAACCAAAGAGTCACACGGATATATAGTCAGCTTTTGGGTTCTAACCATGCGCATGGGCTGGCGCGGTCAAAATGCAAATGCAAATGCAATGCAATCGTCTATGGGTGGCGCGGAATTTAGGCCTGCTCCTCGACCGTGGCCTTCTCGAGCTCTTCCGTGACGTCGGCAACAGCGTCCTTCTCCTGCTTCAGCTCGGCATCCGCGGAGACCTTGCCGTTGACACCGCTGTTCTTGATAGCCACCTTTTTGGCGGCGTCGGTAGCCCGGTCGTCGTTGGTGGCGGCGGTCTCCTCAGCCTCCAGGCGAGCGATCTCCTCCTGGGCCTTCTTGATGTTCTAGGCAAAGAAGTTAGCAGTGGCTCTTTGCAAGCACGATCCAAATGACTCACCTCCTCAGTCTTGGAGGCCTGGTTCTTCTTCCACTCGGTGATCTTAGCCGCAAGCTTCTCAACAACGGCAGGGACATCGGCCTGGTTCATGGGAGGGTCGATCTTGACCTTGGCGAAGTCCTCAATGACACCAACGTTCAGGTTGAACTTGGTCTCGGCGGGAGCGGCAGCGGCAGGGCTACCGTTGGCACCCTTCTTGCCCTTCTTACCCTTCTTGCCACCAGTACCGACGAAGTAGTCCTCCTCCCGGTCATCCTTCTTGAGGACCTTCATGCCCTTCAGGTTCGAGTCATCGACAGTACGGCCAATCTCGGCGCGGAAGTTGGAGCCCTCGTCCTTCTTGTCGTCCAGACCCAGAGCAGCAAAGTCGTAGGCGGGGTTGAAGTGGCGGATCAGACCCTGACCGATCAGGATCTCGTCGGTGTAGGCGGGGCGGGAGGCCTCCTCCAGCTTCTTGTCGGCGACCTTCTTGCGCTTCTCGCGCTCGAAAGCATCGCGCTGGGCCTTCTGCTTCTCACGGCGGATTCTCCAGGCCTCATCCTCGTACTCCTTGTAGGCCTTGCGAGCCTTGTAGTAGTTGTCCTTGATCTCGCGGATGGCGGTCCACTTCTTCTGCTGCTCGGCGTGCAGCTTGGTACGCTCGTCGCGCAGGGCGTTCAGGTTCTTGAATGCACTGTCCTGCTCGGCCTTGATGGCATCGAGCTCCTTCTGGATCTCGGCGTACTTGTCGCTGAGAGCCTTGGCCTCGGGGTTGTCGAGGGTCTTCTTGAGCGTGGCGATCTGGTTCTTCAGGTCGGTGATGGCCTTCTGGGCCTCTTCCAGGCCGGCGAAGTTCTTGCGCTGCTTGCGGAGGTTGGAGACGTCGGAAAGGATCTTGCGCTCGTCCACCAGGCGCAACGTACCGGAGTCGACCTGCTTCTCGAGACGATCGATCTCCTTGTCCAATTCCTCGATGTTCTTGAACGACATGCGACCGCGCGAGTTGTTCTGTTCGGAGATGCGGGCCTTCAGCGTGGCGTCCAAAGCGTTGATCTTCTCCTGGGTGCTGGAGCGACCAGCCTTGAAGCCCTGCTGCTTCTGACGGATCGAAGACAGCTCGGCGCGGAGTTCCTGCTGTCTCTTCGCGACGGGCGAGTCCTGGTTGTTGGGCTTGGCGGTCTCGATCTTGGCCTTGATCTCATTCTTGGGAGGAGTTAGCTCAATGTCATCCACCACGGGTTGCCAGAGATGATGCCATTGCGATTGGACGGCTATAGGTTTGGGAGAGGCGTGACAGTGAAGAAGGCCATAGAAATTGGAGGAAGGAAAAAGAGGCCACGGTGCGGAAACCGATGACCAGTGTAAACAAGACAATACCACGCATACTGAAAGTCAATTGAACCCATATTGAGTCATTCACGTACCAGTTTCTCCTGAACAGCGGCGTGCTCCTTCTCCGCCTGGGCGAGATCGGCCTTGAAGGTCTCCTCATTGGGCTTGGTGGGCTTCACCTTCTGCTCCGTGGCAGGAGCGGACTTGGCGTCAGCGGACATGGTTGGAGATAAGGTGAGAGAGAAGAACAATTGAGGGATAAAGAGAGATTGATTAAATCGAACTAATCAATTAGTCGGGGAGAGATCAACCCGAAGAAGGAGAAGAAGAAAAGAAAGGGAGGGAGGGGTGGATAGAGAAAGCAGGAAGAGGGGGAGAAAGGAAAGGGAGTCAGTCCGTCAACACAGAACTCGTGCTCTTTTTCTCGGCCTGGCCTCTTCTCTTCCTTTTCTTGCCCGGCCGGAGTCCGACTGACTGAATGAAGAATGTTTGGGCGGCGGCGCTTACCGGTTGGCGCTTTTAGCGCTGGCCCGCCGATTTTTCGAGAACCGCATTTTACTTTCCATCAATTCATCCGCCTTTGACCTTCACTTGCCCGCCAGCTTTCTTTCACCCCCACTACTATTTCTCCAGCGTGTTCTTGACCGCTGCGTCCTCGCCTTCCTGCACTTGAAATTATAATACAGCTTGCACGCGCGACGTGTTTCCCGTTTTCGCCATGGATGAGGACTACTCTTCTGGGTCCGTGGACGCCGACCGCGAGATGACCAGACTTTGGCGCACATGGAGGACAGTCTTTGAGATGCTTCTGGACCGGGTACGAAGCTTTCCGATCGACTTGCTATGGCTTCGCGCGACATTCAGTACTAACCGGCCGGGCTGTAGGGCTACGAAGTGACCGAAGAAGAAGTGCAAATCCCACTGGCAGTCTTCAAGACCAAATATTCCGACCCTCTCGGATACCCTGAGTACGCGACGACCCTTCATTGATTTCTTTCTTCCAACCTCATCCCCATTCCATCCTTTAATCCGCCCAAGAGGGAACACCCCACAGAACCCCAAACTAACACTCGAAACCTCCCCCCATCACAGCCGCAACAAGATGAAAGTCAGCGCGCGCCCCACGGAGGCCATGCAGATGAAATACACGCCGCTGCCCAGCAAATCCAACCCGACGCCGCAGCCCGACTGCGGTACGATCTACGTGGAGTTCTGCCCGGACTCGACGGGCGTCGGCACGAAGCAAGTCCGCGCCTTCAACCACTTTGTCGACGAGAACAACTTCCACACCGGCGTCTTCATCACCCAGACGCCCATCTCCCCCTCGGCCGTGCGCCTGCTCAGCGGTGTCCCCGGCCGCATCTGCGAGCACTTCCAAGAGCAGGACCTGCTCGTCAACATCACCCGCCACGAGCTCGTCCCCAAGCACGTCCTCCTCAGCCCCGACGAGAAGGGCCGTCTGCTCGAGCGCTACCGCCTCAAGGAGTCCCAGCTGCCCCGCATCCAGGTCTCCGATCCCGTCGCCCGTTACCTCGGTCTCAGGCGGGGCCAGGTCGTCAAGATCATCCGCAAGAGTGAGACCGCCGGTCGGTATGCCAGTTATCGCTGGGTGATCTGATCGGATTCGTTGTGCTGGTGGAAGTCAGACTGTGAGGAACTGAGGGTTGTTGGGAGGTTGCTGGGTGGTGACTACGGGCGGAATGATCTGAGAGAAGTTGAGGTTCTCATTCTTTCTCCTCCGGGTGTTGTGATACATCATGGAAGACCAAACTTCGGATCCGGAGGGTGCGAATGCGAATCAAAAGGAACAAACAAACAAGAGAAAAAATTTGTCTAATTACAGGCATCGGGCAGCATGGCGTAAGGGCGAAAAAGTTTCTAACCAAACTATTTGATGTGTTTTTCTTTTCTACTTTCTATTTTCCTACTTTCATGGCTTGCCGGTATATGTATTCTGAATTGGTGCCTTTGTCCTGGCTTTTGGGTGGCTACACCTGAGATTTCTATTTTTCTACACAACAACTTATAACTCTAACGTACACAGAAATACAGAATTCAAATGAAGGTTATTGTACATTATACATGGCTCTCAAGTGGGTGGGACGTAGTGGTTGAAAGCGAATTGGTGATATTTCGCTCCGCTGGATTATAATTGATTGTCAAGGTGGTCATTCAATAACCAGGGTTATATATTGCCATTGAATCGTACCCAACTCCGTTATCCTACCTGAGATCAATCCCAAATCCAGTCCCAAGAACAAGAATATCACCACGCTAAGCTCAAGTCTTAAGAAATTCAATAGTAATACAGACACGACACAGCCTCGGGGAGCATCCATGCTCACACTGACGGCGATCATCAACGACGCGAAAGCAACCCTCCCACATCCTGGAGCTCGACATCCTCACTCTCCGGGATCGGCCCTGTCCAATCGGGTTGAGAGCGATAGGACGGAACGGGCGAGTTAGATGGATCGGAGAAGTGAACGCTAGACATACGACGATTTGGCGGGAGCGAATTCCAGCGGTATCCTCCTGAGCGAGAGGAGCACGAGATGGATGAAGACGAACGCGGGGGATGGTAGGTGGCATTAGCCTCATCTGGAGTCAGGTCCAAGCTGGATGCCGGGGCGGCAGCTCCGAAGTCATAGACTGCAGATGTACCACTGCCACTAGAATGGCGCGGTTGAATGAGGTGTTGGGATGGATGTGTGGTAGTGGGAGTGGGAGCGTTGAGCAAGCCGCCGGCGTCGAAGATGGAGAGCTGAGTGGGAGAGGAGGCTTCCGGGATCCTGCGCGGAGAGATATTGGTCTCAATGTATTCAAGGGGGCTGACTTTGATCTCCAGACTGCCTGTGGTAGACGTCCGGTCATCTTCCATGCCTCCTGGTCGTGGCGCGAAAGACCAGTTTGGGTTCAATAGGCCGGGGCGGCCTGCGAGGGAGTGGTAAGGAGCTGCAACCGGCGCCGGACGGGGCAGGTCCCGGTCTGAAGAACACATTTCTGGCTTCAGACGCATGCCCAAGCCGGCGGCCAAGTCTGAATCGCTGCCCCATTGGTGATGCGTTATGGTTTGGCGGCGGAAGGAGCTATAGTCCAAGTTCTCACTGACCGAAGCAGATGCCAGGGCTTTCTTGAACTTATTCTTCTTGACGCCCTTGTCTCGTACAAAGGAGCCAATCACCACGGCATTTGATACCGCGGTCGCAACTAGAATCTCCAGCGACGCCAGAAGCGATCGGTACTGTTGCTCTCCATCGTGCCAGATGACGGATGGTACCCGGTATAGAGTGATTGCCACCAGAATCAATGACAAGGCGAACAAGACAACAAGAGCGGCTTTGCGCTTCAAGGCCATATGGGTCATCATGATGAATGGGATCGGAAATGCGACCAGAAGCAAGTCGGTGATCACGTCGCAAGTTCCCATCACGACCAAGTTCGCATAGCCCAGGCGGCACTTTGGGCCTGGATCCGGCACGACTTGCCAATATCGGTAGAACGGAGAGCACTCCGCAAGAGTAGCAATGACCACTGCGAGGAGAGTGGAGGCCAGGAAATAGTAGAGCAATTTGCGGAAGATATTGAGGGATCGTCGCCAGATCATGCCCGAAACACGCTTTAAGAACTCACATACGGTGATTTTCGCCGTCCAGATACTGCTCCAGTATAGACGTGTTAGAAATTTGCCAAGGAATGGATCAGTAGAGAGATTTGGATACTCACAAGACAGCATAGGATATTCGGGCGATCAATACCAATTTACTACCAACGACTCTATGATCGATATTCTCGGCAGAAAGTCCCGCCGTCTTCGTATTATTCGTTCCCCATATTAGAATGAGGTGCACACAAGCCATGCGAATGAGTAGCGGGATCACACCAGCCAGCATGACCTTGTCTTCCATGAAAAAACGTTCAGTCCGGACGTAGCGGCCACATACTCGAGTGACGATAATGGCTAGGGAGAATCCAGTTGCCCACCAACTAACAAGAAGGGTGGCATTGTTGTCGAGTCTGGTTCGGGGATCGGGGGGCGTGGTGGTAAGAAGCCCACGAGTATCCAGCATCCATTGTATACTCATGGCCTCCGAGCCACCTCCGAGGAGGGGCCAGGGGAAGGCGATCTCGATTTCTAGGTAATAGCGTACTTCGCACGCTTCGCGGTGGAATATGATATATTATAAGAGAGCTTTGTTTCGCTATCGCATCGCCTATATCGGGGGAAATGTCATGGACGAGCACGTGCCCTCGAACGGGGGTTGATGTGGGGGAACCGGGGCCAAGACGAGGAGCCCCGGAGAATAAACACGATCGGGATTCGACACAGACGTGCTCGGTGGGTGGAGAAGGCGATCCTGATAATATCTGCGTAACTGCCGAGAAAGCAAAATGACGGGAGATGCCCCTTTGAGTAAGATCCCGAAGAAGAATGAACATGGCACTATTACCACAGGAGAGTGAAGTGAGGAGTAAAGAGGGTGACGGTGGAGGGAAGCGCAAACTCCTCCAGATACACCGCCGTTGTGACGTCGAAGTTATTATATCAACGTCCGCGGTCAACCGAGTGTGCTGGGGATCCTTCTGGGCGAGATTCCGGTTGCGACCGAGTCGCGCGATGAGCGCCGCGACAAACCAGGGCAAGCAGGGGGTGAAGATGAGAGTAGCCCGAGGTAGCTGTCACCGGTCGTGGCCACTCCGGCTGGCAAACCATGTTATATTCTCAGGGGGACTCATGGCTATGATAGACCAGGATCAGACTGATGGGGTCAAGGCGTCCGATAAACTTCGCTGGCAGGTGGGAAGATAATGCTGGCAGGGGAGTATTGGGGGAGGGGTGGGAAACTTGGAAGAAGGCGCCTGGGCCTTATCTTGGTCAAGGCTGAATGAACGGAAGTCGGGGAATTCTGGACGAGAAGAGGTCGAGGCAATGAACCAGCCAGCGAGAAGCGATAGAAGGAGGATTGCACCATGGCGTTAAAGGCAACCAATGGGTTGGAGATGACTGGCTGGTCAGATACGAAGCCAGCAGCAGGTGCTTGCTTGTGATATGCCCGTTTGCCACCGGAGTTTTGTTTTTCTGCTCTTGATTTCGTGCATGTGAGCTGGAGGGAGCTTATGGAGAGAAAAAGAAGGAAAGGGAGAATTGCGAGAGACCCACGAGCTGTTGGTCGAAGCTCCCACTGTTTCAGAGCACAGAATAAGTAGTCTAGGTAGTTGTTGACAAGGACTGGCTGGAAGTGGCAGCTTCCGGCCATGATGGACGCTGTATCGCTCCCTCCATCGACCTGCATTAGACTAGATCACTGCTGCTCATCAACATCTCAGACAGATCATCACTTCACGAACATCCATCTGTCAGCTAACTCCAGACACGAGAGACCCGAGATTAGGTTCCATATGCAAGCAATTATTCACTATTACCAATACGATAAAGCCATTGTATCAACACTTCTCCAAACACAAACTGCAATGCAACTCGCCACGGCTGAGAACAACACGAATTCTCTGATAGCTCTACCTGGTGTTTTAATCTCCGGCGTACAAAGTCCCTTCCGGAGCCCTGTCCGAGGTAAACATTTAGTCAGAGCTACTTACAGTTCGTGAAGTGACCAGAGCTAAGCAACTCTCACAATGCAAGCCAGGTCGTGCATCAAGCATAATATCATAACAGACTTGCGGACATCACTTCAACAACGCAATACCTTCTCTCATATACCAACCAAGCTCAAAGTGATATCACCCTTAACCCCATAACTACCGGTACGGACTCCCCCTCAACCAAATCCGAAGCGCACGCGACAGGCCAAGCCTCCATCCATCCCGATAGGATCAACGTCCGAGTCAGGCGTCCTTTGTCCTTTGTCCTTAATCCCTGTCAATACCCACCGTGGACACCCGCGGCGCCTCACGGCAATCACACAAATGAATCCTGGGACGATAACGTCCTGGATTCAGAAGGAGTGCAAAAGTCTAGATACGACACCCACGTGTGATTCGTTCTCCTCCTCCGGAGTAATATACGGAAGGGATTGTCGAATCCATGGTTTCGCGTCTGAGGGTTATTGCTATTGCCTTCGCGGTTCCAGGTACAGATCAGCCAAGCATGCCCTTCTCTACCGTACCTTGATTCCCTGTCTGTCTACGTATACGTGGGCTGTAAGCTGGTCAGGGGTAGGTGGTGGACCCTATCGGTGAGTTAAAGGAACTACCGACAGGATACGTTACGCCAGGAGAGTACCTAGATTAGGCGCCTGAGGTGCCGGCGCCGGTAATGTGCGTTGGGATTGATTGTGATTCTATGCATGGTCTCTTTAACTAGCGTAGGCTCCAGGAAATTGCCCGACATTACTGTATCTACACCTGCAGCGACACAAACACACTAAGGCAAAAAACCAAAAAGTCTAGACCCAGTACAAGCAAGTCTAGTCTATGCTACTTCAGTTCTGGCTCACCTGCTCTCTCACGGATTGAATGTTCTCCCCCTTGTGAAGACCACTGAGGACGGCTCTAATCTCCCGCAGGAATCGAGTGACTTCCTCCTCTGTGCCCACGGTGATCCGGAGACAGCCCTCGCATCCGAGTTCCTTACCCCGGAAGCGCACGACAACACCACGCTTTTCCGCCATGGCTTCATAAGCCGCCTGGGCGATCACATTGCTGGGCTTGCCGCCCTCGCTGGCCGGCTTATCTAGGACCTCCACTAGGAGAAAGTTAGACTCCTTTCCGCCACGGAAGCGTCCGATGCCGGGGATCTGGGGCAACTCCTGCACTAGGCGGTCGCGCTGGGCAACGATCAGCCCGCGGTATTTCTGCATCACGGCCTGGTGGGTGGGGGAGAGGGCCGCGGTCGCGAGCGCACTGGTCAGGCTGGAGATGTTGTAGGGCGCCTTGAGGCTGTTCAGCAGCGTCGCGATCGGGGGGCTTGTGAAGCACACGCCCAGCCGGATGCCTGCCAACCCGAACGCCTTGCTCAGCGTCTGCATGACCGCCAGGTTGGGCCACTCGTTGACCCATTCGGCCAGACTCGAGCCCTCCGGCGCGAAATCAATGTATGCCTCGTCCACCACCACCACGCCGTTCCACGTCGGGTGCTCCAGCACCTTCTGGATATCGGCTTTCTTGATCAGGTTGGCGGTCGGGTTGCCGGGCGAGCAGATATACACCAGCTTGATCGAGGGATCCGCCGACAGTGCCTCGTTGATCTTGTCCGGCTGCAGCTGGAACTCGTTGTCCGCGTCCAGTGGTACCGTCACGATCTCGACGTCGTTGGTCTGTGCGCTGACGCTGTACATGCCATACGTTGGGGGACATGTCAGGATCTTGTCCTTGCCCGGTACGCAGAAGCAGCGCAGGAGCGCATCGATTACCTCGTCGGATCCGACGCCAACGAAGAGGCTTTCCGGCCGGAGGGTCTTCGGGGTGTGGTGGTGAGTGTTGCGGAGGTTGCAGAATAGCTGCTTCAGTTCGATCTGGTGGCTGTCACACATCTACCCTCAGTAACCGGACAATCCACAAGCGATGTATGGGTGGGTTGATAAGAAAGGTGCTTCGGCGGAGACATCTCCGGCGGAAAGACTTACGGGTCCGGATAGCGGTTCAATCCCAAGAGATCGATTTCGGGCTTGGACGAGCCAATCGAGTCTCCAGTCACAGTCGAGAGCTTAAGCGCTCCTTCAGAGTTCAAGGCGAGACCCGGACCGTAGGCATTTTCGTTGGCGTCGAGCAAGATGTTCGTTCCGTCGTCCTTGTAGTCACTGACTCATTAGTCCGGCTCGGTCGAAGATGGCTTGGAAGGGGTGGAGCTGAACACACTCTCGGGCGCAACGATAAGGCTGCAATTTAAGGATATTGGGGCGCGCGCATTTGGAGAGGTCGAAGGGGGAATTTCGTGCAGCCATCTTGGTGAGTTGGTGGTTGCGACAAAGCAGAAATTCTTTTTGGGGGGGGGGGGAGGTGGAAGAGAGAAGGGGAGGGGGAGTGGCGGCGGGGAAGTCATTTGGCGGGACCGGTGTCGGATGTGGTTCGAGGTACTGCGCTGACTTGGAGACTTAAGTATGACTCCTCCTCCCTTCTACTCTGCACCAGCACAAATTGACTATACTAGTACTCTAATTGTATGTTTCATTGCACATTGTTTCTCTATACATCGTCTGTAGGTAGTCCTCTCTTTCGGGGGCAAGGACCTTGAAGGATATACTAAATACACGTCCCACCAAATACCTATCAAAATCAACGCCTCACTATGCCCTCAACCATATCCCAGATGTGTCTATAAAACGTTACCTGCGCTTTGGACAATATTGTCGGGAAGGATCATGTCACGATATGGTCCCTAACATCCAACCCCTTTTCTAGTCTTGCTTGGAAGACTTGGCTGAAGGCGCATCAGACGAGGCACTCTTCTTGCCCGACTTCCGGTACTTTTCAACCTTTTCCCAAAGATAATGCATGGTCCTGCCAAATCCAGAGGTAAATAAGCCCTTTATCGACTGTACGGTACTTGGCCAACGAATGGTCTTGCTGATGGCAGCTTCCACTTCTTTCGGAAGCTCCTTGTCCGCGGCGATACGCTGCTCAAAGGGACCACCCTGTCTCCGCCGCACGATCTCGTCAGTGTCATTGTTCTCCCTCATCATTGTATTGAATTCCGCTCGCGGAATCTGATAGAGTGACTGAAACTGAAAGTACAGCTTCTCTCGGAATGCATCCGGTAGACGGCGAACCATGTTGCCTCGCTTCACGGGATCCATATCTTGGGTGAGTCGCACATTCGTGTCTGGGTCATCAATCCAATCATCCTGGGTGCACCGTGGGTCATTGAACGTCACATTGGGAAGATTGTCAATGAGCGGGGCATAGAGCCGCCTGAAATTCGCCATCTGCGAAGACACAATGTTGTTGACCTTGCGAGGATCCTCTGCCGGCAGTGACATGCGAAGGTCGCCCATATAACTGATGCCTGCAATGGTGCTGTACAATTGAAACTCGGTGAACTCGGCAGGCAGTAACAGAAGAGCCACCCGAACAGCAGACAGCAAGTTCATTTGGTTTGCGAGTCGCACCTTCGGGTGGTCGCGCAAGATCTTGACGGGCTTCTGTAAGCGTCCAGCGATGTATAGCGTGTCCCACTGGCTGAGGTCCCGGCACAGTGTGTCGATATTGACCACACCATACTTGATCAGAGTACCATTGACTGTGACGAAGGGGTTGAAGTATACACCCGCTCCAAAGCGGTCCTGCACCTGGGACACCGCGTACGAGCCCAAAGATCCCAACCCGGAATAATGATCCCGATGCTGAGCCAAGTTCAACGAGTGCCAATGCTGTGAATACGAGACGCCAAAGATGAAATCGATCATTTTGCCATTGCCCTGTTGCATATTCTTTATAGCGGCCGGTGCTGATGGATGACACTTTCCGGTGCCGGGTGCACTTCCTGTCTGCTGGAAGACACCTGATCCATAGGCGAAAGCGTACCGAATAGGGGCACGGAATTGCCATAGGATTTGCCGAAGAGCTTCTTTGAATTCCTGGTTAATGATCATATGTTGATTGACGCCGAAATCTTTCGAGGGCAGCTCTGCGAAGTCTGAAATAGCTAGGTTCGGGTTCGCATCCCAGTCGCCCGGATCAGATCGTTGTGACGAGGTAGAGAATGAGGCAGCCGAGGAGGGCAGCAAAAGCCCATGGTCGGTCGGATTTGGGTTTCTGCCATTACTCCTCTGAAGAGAGGATCGGCCATGGGGCGATGAAGCGCCATTGGAAGATAGGGTCGAGTAGGAGTCATTGGAGAAGAAACGGAGGGAGCCTGGAATTTGCGACTGCCGCAGGCGGAACGGGTTGATCGGGCGCAGGCGCACGTAAGAGCCCGCACTGTTATTCAGAAAGAGAGTCTAGGACCGAATGATGTTAGATTTCTAGATCGTATATCTCAAATGCCAAGCCAGCTTAGACATTACTTACAGTAGTTTGGCGCATTGTCGCGATTCCCGACAGGGAGTGGTAAGAGCACAGCAAGGGCTGCAAATATCACACAATTCAAGGAGCATCTGAGTCACAATCTCAAATCATGATAGAAGACAGAAGAAGAAATAAAGTATAAGGCGGAAAAGAAAGGTGCAAGCAGAAGTAGTGTGTGGGAGTCAGGGAAAAGAGAAAATATACACCACGAGCAACAACAATAATACTTTCAACAATTCGAGCGGACGATGGGGGGAGAGACGGAGGAGAGGGTCCGTCTGACGTACTCCGGTTCCGGTTCTTCCTTCGGCTGATGTTCTCGGCCCTTTCCACTCACGGGCAATGTACTTACTGCTGTTTGGGCTCCGGATGAGGAAAGTGCCCGACCACCGCCACAGTTAGCACCAGCCACATCTCCCGCATATCATCACGTGATTGTGCTCCTCCGCGGGCGCGTTTCCCGCCGACCCAAACAAGGCTGTAAACAAGACGGCGCTGGTTGAGCATTGCAACTTTTCGTTGCAACTTTTACATCTTAGAAGACAGTCGCTCTCAATGTCATAACTATATTCCGCCATGGCTCAGGAAATGGAGACATTCGCCGCTCGTCTCGCCAGTTTTGATCGGGTCCTGTACCCTGAGAAACGGAGATCATCGATTACGCCCGCAGAGCCTATCGCTTGGCCTCACAGTAGGCCTTCACCAGCTGAGGTATTCTCCAACGTGTTCGTGCAGGAGCTCTGTCGCTAACTCTCAAACTTGATAGCTTGCCCACGCAGGTTTCTTCTATCATCCTTACGAGACGAACCCCGATAATACGATATGTTTTCTGTGCCGGAGAGCGTTAGATGGATGGGAGGAGGAGGACAATCCTATCACAGAACATTTGAAGCATGCGCCAGACTGTGGATGGGCTGTCATGATGGACATTCAGCAGCGCAGCTCTAATCCAGCCGAAATTGAGGATCCGACCGGCGAGCGCATCGTTCAAGCCAGACAGGCTACTTTTGGCGAAACATGGCCTCACGATGGCAAGCGCGGCTGGACTTGTCAATCAGATAAGGTGAGCTTGGTTGCCTCAGCAAAGCGATCGCAATTTCCTCTCTCATACCCGCAGTACTGACACTGCTGTTGATCAGATGGTTGAAGGTGGTTGGTACTTCTGCCCCAATGAAGAGAGCAACGACCTGGCCACCTGTGCGTATTGTAAACTGTCGCTCGATGGCTGGGAGCCGAAAGATGACCCATTGTAAGTCCACGTCGCTCTTTCTTCTTTCGATAGCGACTGACATCGATGCTCCAAAGCGATGAACACTACCGTCGATCTTCAGACTGCTCTTTCTTTGTGTTTGCTCTGCCTCCGACTAGCAAGAAAGCGAAGAACTCCCGTTCAAAAAAGGCTCGTGTCTCGAAAGCGTCCCGCCTTTCAACACAATCCACTGTTTCAGAGGCACCTATGCCTGAAGTTGACGATCTGATGGACCAAAGCACTAAGTCTCAATCAACCACGAAATCGAAATCGTCGAAGAAGTCATCCAAGTCCAAGAGCAAGAGCAAGAAAAAAGATGAGCAAGTTGAAGCCGGCAGTCAGATGGACGTGGACAGCGCAGATCAGCCCCCGCCAGAACCGACGAAGGCCAAACGGACAAGAAGCAAGAAGAGGACAAGTGAGGATCTAGCCAAGGATGACACACATATTGACGCAGAGGACGAGGAGAAGCCCGAGCCACCGGCGAAGAAAAGAGCGACCAAGTCACGCGTTAGTGCTCAACAACAGGAACATGACGAGCAGTCCGAGACAATCGCAGAGGATGTAGCCGTGGAGGAAATCCATGAAGAGGAGAGACCGAAGAAGAGCCGCAGCACGAGTAAGAAAAAGACTGCTGCCAAAGGTCGAAACGTATCCGTTGAGTCATCAACATCAAAGGTCAGAGATGTCTCCGAGGCGCCTCAGGAACCTGCGCCCGATGCAGTGAGTGAGGTCGATAAAGAGCTAGAGAAGGCTAGCATCAAGGAGCCCAGCGAAGAACCTGCACCCAAGCCGTCGAAGAAGTCAAAGTCGAAGAAGAAAACGAAGCCAGCCCCCGAGCCGTCCTATGATACAGAAGAGCACAGCGTAGAGGTCGAGCCTCAACCGGAGGAACCGGAGCCGCACCTGTCACCAGAGCCTCAGCCACCAGCTGAAGAGCCACCAGTCCAAGAGTCGCCTGTTCAAGAGATAGGACAAACGAGGCGCTCAAGCAGGCGACAAAGTGCGAGGAGATCGGATCCTGTCAAGGCTGAACCTCAAGAAGATGTTGTTCAGGATATTCAGGATGAACCAGAAGAAGCCCACATTCCTGAAACCGCGGCTCCTAGTCAGAAGGAAATTGACACAAAGAGACACGAGTCATTCGTTTCTGTGGAAATCATGGCGAGAGCTCCAAGCATGGAGCCCGAGGCAGAGGTCGAAGAGAAGAATGGGAAGAGAAAGCTTAAGAGAAAGGGCTCCACCGAAAAACAAAAGAAGCCCAAGAAATCGGTAGAGAGGTCAGCCGAACATGTTCAAGAAGATCGTACTTCCCCGGAGATTGAAGAGACGGTTCTTGACATGGATGGTCAGACGCTTTTGGGACAGCCCGAGCAGGAGGAACCACAAGTGCAGACACCTGTGCAGCAAACCGCCAGGCGCAGATCGTCTAAAGTTCCTCCTAAGACTGTTGAGCGATACAGTGACATTCCGAAGGAAAAGCAATACGCGACGTCACTTGTCGAGGCGCGGAACTCTAATGCTCATCAAATGTCCGGAGATGTCAATACGGCCGACGACGACGAACAAGAGCCAGAAACCGTCTCGCCCTTACCTTCGCCATCCAAGACTACGCCTTCTCTGTCGCCACAATCGTCCGACGCTGAAAACCACCCTCCCTCTCTGAAGCCATCGCTAAGACCCCCAAGCTCTCGGCTACATGTACCTTCTCCTTCTAAACAACAGTCAGTTCGGGTTCCATTTGCAGCCTGTACGCCATCGCCATCTAAGCGGGCTGCAAACACCGGACTCCTCAGTACTGCGCACCCGTGGACCCCTATCGATATAGATTCCATCATTCTGGCTGGCACGAGTGACAAGGAAAACATCGATTTCTCTGGGATCCTGAACAGCACGAAGGGCGAGTTGAGCAGCCCCGAAAAGAAGATGACCGTTGAGGAATGGATTAAGTGGAACGCAAAGAATGGCGAAGAGAGGCTCAAGCGTGAATGTGAAAGGTTGGTTAGCCAATTCGAGCAGGAGGGTGCTCGAGCGATGCGCGTTTTGGAAGGCATCGAATGCATGGATTGAGGTCTTAAGGGTATAATCGGTCAGGCGTCTTAGGGTACGGCGGAACGGCACTTGGATACTTTGGTTTTTGCGAAAATTCCTCTTTCTGCTTCTGGGATACGTCTTCCAGCAATCTTGCCAAATAGCAATGCGGTCAATACACATGTTTATGTTTGTGTTGTGAATGACATGGATATCATCAATGATTTATACAAGGCGTCCCAGTAAGCAAACCAATCCATTGAACCCGTAAACACTAAACAAACGCCATGGGTATACTTTGAGCTTTTAACCAACAAGGTCCATCCGCCCTGACCTTAACTACCACCGGTGATGAGCAATGAAATCGTACCATGTGCTCCGCGTTGGACTTCGACCATCTATGCAATAATCCCCAACCGACCCTCCCAGCTATCCTCCTCCTGCTTAAAACCATTCTCGCCCCCCTTCCGCCTCTTCTCATTCCGCTTCCGCCGCTTCTCCTCCCGCTCCTTAGCATCCAGCTCCTCGCGCTCCTTCAACCGCTGCCCAAGATCCAGCTGCCAGGCGCGGCGCTCCTCCTCATCACGCTCCCGCTTCCGGTGCGCCAGCATGCGCAGACGCAGACGCACGTCCTCAACGGTCGCGACCGCGACCTCCCCGCTCTGGCCCGTGGCGATCAGATGCTGCTTGCTGTTCAGGTGCTCGACCAGCTGCAGGTTGTCCTTGAAGGTGAGGTCGCAGTCGGCGCAGTAGAAGCCGGCGCCGCGGCCGCGCTTGCCGACCGCCGACCCCGCCGCCACCATCGTCGTCTTGCCCACCATCGACGCCACGTCCAGCCGCTGCGTCCGCGACGTCGTCGCCTCCAACGTGCTGTAGTCCACCGGCGCGTGCCACTTCTTGCCTAGCAGCTTCGCCTCGTATCGTGCCTTGGCTTCCTCTTTGCGGCGCGTCTCCTCCGCTGCGGCTTTCTTGGCGTATTCGTCCCGGTCCCATGTCTTGCGGAAGGAGGTGTCGGAGGCCGGGGCGCCGCCGTAGGCGGAGTCTTTGTTGCTCATTTTGGGGGTTTGGTGGCTTTGTTGTATTGGAAAGTGTTGGATAATCGGGTGGGTGGGTGGTTGGCTGGCTTTGCAAGGGTGCAGTTTGAGAATTGATTGGGTGGTGGTGATTCCCTAGGTTGAAAGTTGGAGTCCAGTTTCAGAGATAATCGATAGCGAAGGAGGGAGATAGTTGCTGAGGCAAATGGATGCTAGCATTAAAAGCGGTAGGCGGTGAGTGAGCTGGGCGGCGTGGGGCGGGGAGCTTGTCTGTTTGACTTGTTTGCTCGACGTCTCCACTCCCCTATCGGTGGATTGTCGCGGGGAAGTAATAAGCTCAGCAATTGCATAAATCAGCTCATGAATCTACAGCTAAGCAGCTAACTAATGCTTGAAGCTGTCTGGTCACGCATTGATTTACCTGTCTATTCTCTGCCTCTGCGCAATGAAACCCAAGGCTTGACAAGCCTCCTCATAACCTTCAATCCGTCACTTAAAATAGTTACATCTCCACCTCCGCCTCCCTACCAGTCACTCGTATCAGCCGCTGCGCCATCAGGTCGCCACTCCAGGCAGCAACAACCATGAGCAGACGCAAGCTACAAGACCTCACTACACTTTTACACCTCTGAACCCACAAGCAGCAACACACAGCCCTCTCTCTCATCCAGACCGAATATACAACAACCTCCATACAAACACAACCTCGACCTCCAACCGTCATTTAACCCCAAAGTCCACCCAAACCTAACAAAAATGGCCACACAACCGTCAAACATAGTCTCAGCTCCGCCAGATACAGAACCCCTCAATCTCAAGAACCTCCCCACCGAACTCCACCTCCAAATCGCAAGCTACCTCCCGTACCCAGACGCACTGGCCCTCAAACACACAAACCGACACTTCTACTCACTCGTCTACACAGGCGTCCACCTGAAGGTCGACTGGCTGGTCGAGCGCTTCGAACGGAAGCTAGAATGCCCGATGGAGAAGTGCTCGTTCCGCACAGACGAGGCCTTCTGCAATGTGCGAGTGCGCCGGATCATGGAGCGCCGGCGCTGGCACCTCGAGTGTTTGCCTTCTCCGGGGGGTTGTTTCGTGATCGTGGGGCGTACCTGTCAGAAGAAGAAGAAGAAGGATCTTGTGTCGGGTTGGTTGATGAAGGAGAGGGGGAGAGTGCTGGGGCGTGAAGGTTTGTTATTATCGTTACCTTATCCTTAGAGAGAGAGAGAAAGAGATTTGGAGGATGAATGGTTGGGGATAGGCTCACGGTTGGTTGCTTACTTGCTTGCTTATATCTTAGTGCTCGTGACTGGGTTGATCTTTCTGGTTTTGAACTTGATGTGGTATCTTTGTTCAAGGTATGTGTTGGTTACCTTATCGGTCCCTGCTGGGGGAGCTGGGACTGACTGACTGGTTTGGTCTAGGCTTCTTGCACTTCACCAAAGGAGGCTCGATGCCCTGCTTTCGACGGTCTTGGCTGACTCGCTCTCCACGCTATGATCTTTATATCGCCATATCGTGCACGAAGGTCTCACTGCTTTGACGCTCAAGCGCTCGGACTCATCTGCAGCTGGCTGCAATCCTCACACCACGAAGGCAATTAATACCTAATACCTATCTCACCTCGTCGTGTGCTAGTCTACTCCTACTCTCGGGTTACTCCTCGCTGGACGACGGAACATAATCTTGATTATACTCAACGGGACACAGCACCATGTACATAGCGCCGACCAGTCCATATTCTACGACTAATACAGGTAAAGATGATCTAAGCTATTACACCTCACTTCTAGCACCTCAAGCACCTTCCCTGAACTCCTCAACCCATAATCCCACAGCTCTAGAATAAGTCTCAATAATACCTCGGGAGGAAATTTCATCAAACCCCAAAAAACCTCTCTAACAACTCCAGTACACCGAACCCAAGCTCATCATCCACCTTTCTTCCCATTCGCAGCTAAATTAAATCTCCGTAGAAACAACCTCTATCTCAGCCCCATTGAAGCCTTCTCCGGAACCTCCGGCTCTGCACTTGTCCCAAGCTTTGGCAGACCGGCCTCGAGACTGTACCCGTACCCATACCTAAGCGGCGTTGGCGTATGCTTGGGGTAAGGCTGCTGCGGCTGCTGCGGCTGCTGCAGTGGCTGTTGTTGCAGAGGCTCTTGTTGCTGAGGCTCTGGCAGCCGTGGCTCTCGCACCATAAGCTCTCGTAGCCGCAATTCCTGCAGCAGTGTTACTGATGGCGGTAGCTTTTGCAGCACTGGCCCTGACAGCACTGGCTTGGGTAGTACTGGCTCTGGCAGCCGCATTTCTGGTACTTGTGGCCCTTGCCGCTGTGTCTCTCGCATCTGTGGCTCGTACTGCTGGGGCTCTTGCCGCTGAGTTTGCACCCATGGCCGGTGTAGCGGTGTTTCTAGCATTTGGGACTGTTGTAGCTGGGGTTGTAGCTGGGGCTCTTGTAGCCGAGGCACCTGTTGCCGTGACTGTTGCTGCAGTTGTTGCTCAAGCCGATATTGCTGGTGTCGTTGGTCCCGGTACAGTTCTTTGTGGTTATATTGTTGTCGGGACATTTCGGTTTGTTTCAGCAACTGTAGTTTCTCACCTGATTTGTCCAGCTCGGTTTCGTGCTCCTGCAGCTTTTGCAGGTAATATGCTTCTTGCGGAGGCAGCTGTGGGTGAAGAGGCTGTTGTTGGTGAAGCGACGGCTGTTGCTGACGAGGTGGCTGTCGTTTAAGAGGCTGCTGATGCTGGTAATGCTTGGTTTGGGGTTCATGCCGTGATTGAGGCTTGTCGACATATAACGGATGCTGGGGTTGCGGTTCGTACCATTGCGGTGGTTGAAACTGCGACTGCGACTGCGCTTGCGATTGCAATCGCGGTTCCAATAGCCGGTCATATTGTGGCTGCGGCTGTTGTTGAGATGGATAAGTTAGGTTTCCAGGCTGCTGATACTGCTGTGCACGCCGCTGCAATTGCGTCTGTAATGGTGGCTGCTGCTGCTGTGGAAGCATGTTCCTCGGCGGCTGATCCTGTTCCGCATACTGCTCCAATTGCGGCTGCACCTGCTGTGTGGGCAGATTCCCAGGCTGTCGATACTGTTCTGGATACTGCTGGTGGGGAAGCGGATTCCCAAATCGCTGATATTCCTCTGTATACCGCTGTAGTGGTGCCTGCAGCTGCTGTGGAGGCAAATATCGAGGCTGCTGATACTCTCGTCCCGTCTCCAGATATTTTCGCATTCTATCCCTACTGTCGTTTCGGGGCCCCACTAAGGACAAGGGAGGATTGCTCCCAGGATTGGGACGGGGGTGTGAGGGCACGACAGAGACGAGTTCGGGACATTTTTCGTCGTCCGGTTCTATGGTGAACTGGGTCGCGGGGGTAGCTGGGATGGTCGTTGTCTGGAGGAGATCGGATATCGAGAGTGCTTTGGAGGGGATGGGAGCCTGAGTTGGAGGCTGGGTGGACATTTCTAGTTGAATGATTTGCTCTGGTAAAGTAAATAAGAATAAATGTGATGGATAAAGATGGGCTGTAGCCATGGTTTCGATTTTGGCAGGTTGGAAAGATTCCAACCTTGAGGGATGAGCCATTTGAGGCAGGAACCCTCAGATAGTACCTGTACCCTCTTTTCCTCCAGACAGACAAAGAAGTATATTGGAGAGAAATTAGTTGTGAAAAAAAAAACTATGTTTTGTTCAATCTGAATACCAGGACTCTTAGACTTTAGCCAAAGTAACGCTGCTGGCTACGTCGTATGGGGATAGTGACGCGAATTGCTTTACATGGCCATTCATCCTCTCATCCATGCTAATAAGCTATTGATCCAGCTCCTTGGCATGGCTTTCCTCCCACGGAAAATTCTCCTCCACTGCCCGGACAAGCGCCTCATGCTGCTCGCTTCGAGGCTTGATGCTGATCTCGTACGGTGCCGGGTGGCTGATCATCCCAGGCAGGAAGTCCGGCTTCAAGTCAACTTCCTTACCGTCTTTTATGGGCTTTCCGAAGTTGAACACGGCAAGGGATTGTGCTATAGTCAGGTAAGCAGTTGCATCTGCTACGGTCCGTCCAGGACACACGCGTCGGCCGAATCCGAAGGCTAGAAGATGCGGATCGCGCTCAGGGGTGTGATTCTCGCTCGCGAGAAATCGCTCAGGCTTGAAGCTGCTTGGGTCGGGGTAGGTCTTTGGGTCATGCAGGAATGCCCTGCGAAAGGACATTAGTATTTCGAGTAAGCCCCAGAAACTGAACCTCAACTCACCAGATATTCGGCAAGATTTGAGACCCTTTAGGGATGTAATAGCCACCCCACGTGTCCTCCTCTGTTGACTTATGCACAACGCCCATGGGCACGACTGGATGCCATCGGAAGGCTTCCTTGACCACGGCTTCAACGTATGGCAGATTTTCACGATCAGCAAACCCCGGGAGACGAGATGTGCCCACCACTCGATCTATCTCTTCTTGTGCCTTCTTTTGTACTTCTGGAAACAGGACTAATGCGAGATAGAAGCTTCCCAGTGTCGAGACAGTCTGTTGATGTTCAGTTTTCACCCACTTCCAGAAAGGATCAACGGGTACTCACTGTATCAGATCCACCACCATATAGTGTAGCTGCAGCCCATTTGAGTGTCGCCTCCTGCTCGCTTCCAGGTTTGGGAATACCCTCCTTCTCGAATAGTCCTGATAGGAAAGAAGGCGCGTGGGCATTACGCGACATCTGGCTAAGAACAAATGCATAGGGCTTGGCACTGAGTTTGTCCGCAGCCACGCGGAACTCCTCTACGTCTTTTTGAAACCCACCGCCAGGGAACCAGGCCGGAATGTATTTGACTAGGAATTTCAAGTCAGTAACCGCGCCGCCCAATGATACAAAAGCACATACGAGCCGGGATGAAGTCAACTAGCCACGCGCCCGGAGTGATGGACTGGGCAAACTTTTCTACACCATCGTTCGCGATTTCGACAAGCGGATCTTCTCCATCGCGTTCAATGTTGTATCCATATGCGACTTTCAAGATAACACCCCCAGCCAGTCTAAAATTGTTAAGATCGTTTCCTAGATGTATATGGGTCGAACGAAAGTGCGGGGGTGGACCTACTTCCGTAAGTGGGCGAGCAAGTCCTGCGGTGCCTCGAGCGACCGCAGCATGAATCGCCCTACCTCAGCCTCCTGGGACTTATCGAAGCGAGAGACGGAGTTCACCGATCCAATTTGCTTGTACATCAGCTTCCGATGAACACGAAGCGTGTCGGTATAGGCCATGGCGCTGGTAACTTCACCGTACCCAGTCCTTCGGCCCTTGTTAGCCCTGACTCGTGTGGCATGCTAGAAGTGGCGAGCCTACATCTGATTGAACTGTCCCTGTGGCCGACTGGAATGTATGGCTGAGCGCTTCTCCAGCAGATCCACTGCGATCTGTGCTTCATTGATGATGATGAATGTCTCTCCAAGAACTCTGATCGAGCTGATGGGGCCTAAGCTTGTCGTTAGCTATGTCTCAGCTTGTCAATCTCCGGACGGCGCACCATATAGCTCCTTAAACTTGTACCAATGCACCCAATCCTGTCCGCCAGAAGGTGGAAGATCTAGGAGATTCCCGATGAGCGGTTTCTGCTTGGGACCCGGAGGAAGCGGCGCAGGCAGTTTTTTGCGCGTCAGGAAGACTTTGACAAGGTACGCGGCGACAAGCGTTGCGACAATTTCTAGTGGGTGAAGCATGGTGCCGTACTGGTTTAGAATCCAATCAGGTCTTTGATGAATCGAATCGTGCCAGCTGTCTCAGAAGGGGTTCGCAGCTAGCTCTTATAGTCGGAGCAGCGACGGCCCTCGACAGCAAGCACCATGCGGGTCGTCGGTCGTCATTATGAATAATTTGCAGTGGGGTTCTCATTCGTGAGGTTTGGGCGCATTTGGTAGCGCTCGATCTCAGCTGTGGTCTCGGCGGAGTGTTTCGACTTGTGGAGTGTGGTGTGGCACCAACTAGGTAATAGTCGCACGGCGGCGCATATGACAGACGCACCGGCTGCACGGGAACCATGAGCGACAGGGGTGGCATTGGTTGAGGGTCTGTCAGCTAGCGAGATGGAAGGGCGCCGGTCCTCGGAGTGACTCAAATGTTCGAGCTATTGACTGGAACCTCTCCCGCTATCCCACGGTTTAGGAGATGGCCCATTGCTTAGTGGCTATGCAGTATCCTAGGCTAGAGGGTATTGTTCGGTGTTAGGCCAGCATGTGAGACGGTGGTGGTCCTCTCGCTTCGTCTTGCCTCTCGTGCTGAGCAAGAAGCGGGATTGAGGGGCGAGCGGTCCTGCGATGTGTCTGGTGGATGAGAGAAAAATCATGCAGAATTAATCTAGCCATAGATTGCTCAGCAGATGAATATGTCAAATTCAGCCCGCGGCGGGGTTTGTGGCAAGGATCAAAGCTAAAGAGCTGCAGGCTGACCGGTGGACAATGGCACTAGCAGACCGTGGGGGCTGCCGTAGGCCACCACTGAGACGGGGACGGTTTGAAATGTGCATCTGACACACGACAGTCCAATTACCTAATGTGGATTGAATACTGGGGAAGGTTTGGGGGAAAGGGTTTTGTGATGTGGGAAATGCTTAAGTGTGATTGATGATGGAAGGATGAGAGAAGTGTGAGAGGGGGTGGAGGTTTGGAGGGGTTGGAGGGGATACAGCGATCCGATATGGAAAGAGAAAAGTGAGGGGAAAGAAAGCAAAAAAGAATGACCTACGCAGGGCTCGAACCTGCAATCTCTTGATTCGTAGTCAAGCGCCTTACCATTGGGCCAGCAGGCCTTGCTGTGATAACTCTGAAGTAACTTTTGCTCAATCATCTTTACACAAAATCTTATATCCTGAGTCACATTGTCATACTGCTCACAGTTATTCTCAAGAACAAACACAAAAGGTATGATTCTAGATCAATGAGACTTTTCGGACGATGTTTACCATATCTAAACAAGACCTAGAGTAAGAATAAATGTGTCCTACCAGCTTTAGGGAGCGTATTTGATACTATATATTAAAGGTACTAGTCATAGAAATATTAAACTATCTATGTAATAAATATAGATCTAGTCCGGTCTGAAATACTGAGCACCGGTTGACTTTTTTTTTTTTTCAATATTTATCCTCTTTGTCCGTATTAAGAGTATCAATTATAGATAATTCAATATATAATAGTAGATCTACTCTTAAATAGTACTGTAGGCTATCTATGGCTAAAGTTGCAACGGATAGTACTTTCCTACGGGCGGCGGCATTTCTCCTTTGGTCGATCAAGATAATGCTTCGGATCTCAACTACTGTAAGAAGAAAAAGTTATAGCAGAATTCTTTGTCAATTTTGTCGGTCAAATAACCTAGTGGCTGGTGGCAGAGACGGCCGGTCGGGCTAATTATGTTATGCCAATTGTTAAAGCGCATATGATTTGCCCTTAGTGCTTATGTTGATATCGATACCAAATAGTTGGTCACGAAAGATGACCACAAAACAAGCTAGAAACATACCAACGATCAGGACCGCCGACGGATTAAAGACTCGACAATGTCCGGGGCGCTCAGGTCCAGAAGAGGACAATCTCCGAGGTACAGAACGTGACGACAGCAGATTCAAGAGTTTGCCTAGTGATTTAAATCTACCTAGAGTTCAGTCAATACGAGTTTCAAGATGAACTACTGCCCCGAAAGACCAGCCAAAGTCAACCTTAGCACTTTCAAAGTTACCATCACGCCTCACTTCACGGCACACGAGGCCAGTCATCTCTCCATCCACCTCAGTCTCCAGAGCCCCAGTTGCGCCGCTCACCACCCGCTCTTTCTCTTCGAAACCTACTACGGCAACGTCCCCGCCAACCCATTCACCGAAAGCGATATAACCGCCTCCGATGCCGCTGGCCGCTTGCCTCTCTACTTCACCAACCCGACCGAGAATCCAGAGGGGCCGGACCAGGAATGGCGTGTGAACCGGGACACTGTAGGAGATATCCAATTGCGATTCAGCGTTTTCCCCCGACATGTGGACATCACGACTCCGATCGGCCCCCGTGTTGATCTCCGAAGGGATCAAGGTGGTCTGATCGGCAATGGCCGGTATTTCCTACCTCGTCCGGCACAGGACCAGATGTACCACTATATCGTGACGTGGGATGTCACCCGTGCGCCAGCCGGGACACGCGCCGTGTGGTCGTTCGGCGAGGGGCCGGGGTCGGTGACGAAGACCGGGGATCCAATGGTCATCGTCAACTCAGTCTTCATGGTGGGGCCAATTCACAGTTATCCCAACGGCACTCAGAGTATTGCTTCCGGTACTATGGACGATGACGATATGGGGTTAGCTCTCGCAAGGAACTCTGTCTCTGTGGCTGGTGATGAAGGAAATACCACTGCCCCGAGCACTCAAGTGTTCTGGTTCGGCACGCTGCCGGACAATCTTGGGCGACTGAATCAGTACAACATCCAACTGTTCCCAAAACTAGCAGCGTTCTTTCGCAGTGACGATGCCTCATATCACATTTTCATCCGACGGGTGGTTCGCGGATTTGGCGGGCACTCATGCCTCGACAGTTACGTCCTTGAGTACGACCAAGACAGCTGGAAGGAGGCGGACGAGGAGCTTGTGGCTCTGTTCTCACACGAGATGATTCACAGCTTTGTGATGATGGGACCTGAGCCAGATGGGTATGATAACGGATGGTTCACTGAAGGTGAGCAGACGACCAGCAGCACCGAATTCGCGGAATGATTAGCCCAATACTAAGTTCCCGGTATAGGCCTTGCGCAATTTTACTCTGCTTATCTTCCATATCGGTTTGGACTGCGCGGGGAAGACTATCTGCGCAACAGACTGAATGCGTCGCTGAGTGCTTATGGAACCAGTCCGCGGATTGGAATGGATGCGCTTGATTCGCAGAAGGAGTTCTATGATGACTGGTATGCGGAGTTGGTTCCATATATGCGTGGATGTGCCTATCTTCTGCAGATTGACAGCCGGCTACGAAAGAAGACAGGAAGCTTTTCGTTAAATCAGAACAGTCCAATGGACGAGATCGTCATCGACATGGCCAAACACTGGCGGAACGGGGTTCAGCTTCAGGCTAGGGACTGGCTGGGTTATCTATGCCCATACCTGGGAGAGCATGTCGCACAGGAATTGCAGGATATGCTCAGGGGTAAAGTCCTCAATATGCGCGAGACTATTGTCATTCATGAAAGCTGGGCCCTCAGTCCTACGGAGCAAGAGATCTTGGAATTCGGATTTGCCTTATCGAGTATTAACAAGCGAATAATTTGCGGGCTGATTCCGGGATCACGAGCTGCATACGCCGGGTTGAAGGACGGACTTCCACTTCTCTCAATATCTCGCGCGGGTCGGTGCTCTGGTTCTCTCTCGGCGAATATGGACTTGATAATTAGAAAGGAGGGGGGAGCAAGAGTACATATCTCTTATTGGCCGCGATCTTTTGACAAGGCAAGGGTCTGGCAATTGCTGTAGCTATAAGACGACCGGAGCTTGATCGTCATGAGAATGTCAGTCCTAACATTGCTCCTTACTACAGCACCCATTCAGGTTTCATGGACTAGAATACTTTCACATGCATCCAGAACTATTGCTACCTAGGGGCTCGCATAGCTTTCGGAGATTGAGGAGACTCAAAATTTGAGGCGTGTCGAGAAGGCAGCGTGAGTCGAGGTTGTGACACGTCATAAACGAAGCTAGCAGCAATCTAGGGCCCAAATACTACCAAGACTACGGACAGAACACGGAGGTAGTTTCAAAAAGACTAGTCTTGGATCTCTAAAGCATTTGGTCCGTGGGTGTTGAACGCACGGCCAGACTCTCAATACTTCGAAACACTCCACACAACCTTCCATAGCATACTACAAACATAAAAATGACCTAATCCAAGCCTAACTTCAACTTTTAGCCCTGCGCACACCGCACCTGTGAAGGTGTGACTGCAATCGTGTTCAAGTGACCGTAGCTTACTGCTCACTCTCGTCATCCTCCGCGTAGCTGCCCTGCTGGCGCTTGAGGTTATGCAATGTTCGGGTGGCGACCCAAGTACCCACAGGTAGCAGAGCACAGCCCGACACAGTCGCGTTTCTAGGGGAAATCCGATGTATTTAGACAGAACAACCTCGAAGAAGCCCCCAGGGCTAATAATATCCTCACAGCTTTATCCACATCTCCAAAATGAGTCTCACGTCTCAATCTTTCGTGCAAGACGACCTACCCGAAGCGTTAGCCCCCGACCCTCAAAACAAAAAAGATTTCAAGGTAGCAGACAACTGTTTTGCCTTCTCACCAGGCCAATTAAACAAACTTTATAACTCTAAATCTCTCCCTGCACTTTATACTATTGGTGAACTCCACGGTCTCGAGTATAGCCTGCGCACCAATCTCGACGCTGGGCTGTCAGCTGGCGAGTCAATCCTTCCCGGGGCTGTTATACTAGAAAAGACAAGACAGGCTGCATTGTTCAAGGTAGAGAGTAAATAGTTACTGCTGGCGAGTTCAGCCCCGAATTATTCTGAACAGGAAACCTCGCTATTATTCTCCGATCAAACAAAGCTGTTTAGAAAAAAATATAGTGCCTGAGGTAAAAAAAAAAAGAGATTCGGCAGGCTGCTCTGGAATAGATATAATAATAAGATTAGTATTCTGTTGACCATTGCAGCTGTTATCTTGTTATTACTGGCAAAATATAAAGCTGCCAGTAAGCAGTTATAGATATGTCAGATTAAGAATATAGTAGTCTGCGTAGCTATTCTGATAATTATTATTATTACTGCAGAGAATAACTGGTAGAAAGAGAAGTAGTTCGCGAGACTCAATAGACTAGTTAGTTGAGTTTTTCGGCCCCTCTGAGGCTTTATCCTGAGCAAACGCGACTGACCTTATACAGAAAGTCGATTGTCAAGTAAGAGTAGTCCACTCCGGAAGGTTGAGGATGGTCCATATCAACGACATGGTCGTTGGCGATGTTGTCTATATTGGGCCAGGCGATTGTGCCCCCGCCGATGGGGTGGTAATAGTGAACCATGGGCTGGAATATGACGAGTCCATAGCGACCAGTGAATTAGATCAGATCGAAAAAGTCACTGGTGAGAAGGCTACTGCTAATAAGAATCCTTTCACTATATCGGGAAGCAAAGTCCTCGAAGGCTTGGGCACATATCTGGTGACCAATGTGGGCCTGTACTCGATGTACGGCCGGATAATAGTGTCTCTGGGAACCGAGAGTGCGCCAACCCCACTATGAGTGAAATTGGGAAAGCTGCTAGCTGAATAGGCTGGTTCAGCCTGGGGCAGATACTCAAGACGAGATATATATTCTATGCAGGATATGTGCCTGACAAATAAGTCCAGGGTAGCTCTTATTCTGTTTTTTGCACTTCTTTTCCACTTCTTAACTTAACTCCCAAAAAACAATATATTCTCAACCGAAAAAGAGTAAGAGTTTATGGATATTCTTATAGTAACAGTAATAGTGATTAGAATTATGATACTTGGTATATTTTACTAGCTTTCGATGTCTCGCGAGAAAGACAGTTAGGGACCTCGTAGACAAGCCCGAATCCAGTATCCCCGTCGACATGGAGAATAAGGGCGCGATTGACCTAACCACTACGATTTCTGGCACCAAACACTCTAAGCATGTTGACATTCGCTTTCATTATACACCGGACATAGCGGAACAAGGCGTTACCCTAATACACCAAATTCCGACGCGAGACATAGTTGCAGATGGTCTCAGTAAATCACTCGGACCCGACGCGCATCACGTTTCTTGCGCCGGTTGGGCCTGTCCCGGTAAACCATGCTCATTCGTTTCTTTACTTCCGTTTCTATACCGCCATTTTATATTACTAGTTCTCCGATGACGTTCAGTCGAAGCTGGATGCTAGGACGTGACTCCGTCCCATGTGGCTTAGCTCCCTTGCCTAGCCATCATCTAGATAACTCATCTAGATTACTGGCCTGTCCCTCGTGCCATCCAATAGATAAGCATCCATCGCTTCACACTAACACAGTACCACTATATCACATGATCGCCTTCTGGCTCGTTTTGGTATTACAATGTCATCCAGTCAGGGAGTTCTGGGAGCGAACAGGCGCGGGCCGCTGCATAGACACCAATTATGTACTGGATATTGCGTACCTATATAGTGGGACCGCGTGCCTTTGTGACTTCACCCTTGGAATTCTCCCCGTATACCTTTCAAAGAACTTGCACATGAGCCGGAGAACCAAATGGGCGATAGCAGTTATCCTCAGCATGGGGTGCATATATGTCCTGAACGCTGGCAGCCCGAAGAAGAACCTCACATACGGATTGCCTCTCTAGTGCAGGTGCCGCTGTCGCAGTGCGCATTCCCTAGCTTCCGGACTATAAAGATCCGGACTTCCTGGGTCAGTTTGCGTGATGATGTTCTGACAGTCACAAACATCTAATAAGAGCATCCTTGCCAGATGCTACCACGGGTATCGCTATCTCATCAAATATTGAGGCCGGCCTCGGTATCACTGCTGGAAGCCTAATCATGCTTCGCCCACTTATTCGCTGGCTTGGATGCATAAGCCACAGTGTGTCTGACAAAGTGAGGGGAGTAATATGTGGTTTCCGCTTGTCTAGCAGTAGCAGAACCCAAAGTCTTCCGTTTAAGCAGAAGCACAGCTCACCAGGGCACGGGCGGTCAGGTATCGAGTCAGGCAATGCTCATGTGGTCTTCTCATCCATCGCAGTTCATGAGGCCCGATTTGAAGCCGGGGTAATATGACTGCTGCAGAAATGCAGATGTACCACAGTGCGACCAATTTGAAAAGTGGGAACCTTTCTGACTATACAGACAAGAGGGAGTGGTAGAGACGCAACCGATGCCCCAGATTCAGATCCCTTACATCATGGCTACTCAGGAGCTAAGTGCCAAGAATACAGACGGAGAATAGGCTGTGCAAATCAGCAGTTGAGGAATTTTCAGCGGAGCCTCTCCTTCATCGACCTCCTGAGGATGCGTTCTCAACCCTTTCGCTCTGGTAAGAGCTATCAGAATTGCGGTGATCTCCCATTGACCCAGGTCGTGTTTGGCAAGTTGATAAAGAGTTCGATAGCTTTGCTACTTGGTGCAAATACTCCAGACGGCTTTGCTCGGCATGAAAGATTGTAGTATTCGAAGATAGACCAGCAGGTTCGTGGTACGGACGTCTACTAATGAATTGTAGGATGTACTTTATATCGGGTGAAGTTGAGCTGGTCTGACTAGGCAGGCCTGATACGGCACCACACTGATATCGTATCAAAAAGAAACCCGCTTAAGTGTATCCGGAGAACAGCCTGGCGGTGTGAGCACGCATACCTACCGTGAACCTTTCTTCCACGGGAAGGCTCATACTGGTCATGCATGATTGTTACTGGCGGCATCCGCGATCATGGGCATGGGAATCGATGTTACTGGGGCTGGAGTTATTGGCCTAACTCCCGCATTGGTTCGTATGGAGCAGTCTATAGTGTAACAGCCAAGCATTCGTGAACACGCCGAAGCTTGCCAGTCGAAGCAGCCAAATTTATGTTACGAACGGGGCTCCTTGGGCAATTCGAAGCCCTACATTCAGGGGAAATAGACGAAGCGGAGCACCGAAGTCATTGGGTACATGGAAGCGAACAAAGAACATGGGGAGCCCCAGACTTCACGTCTTGAGTGGAGCCATGCCCTCTTATCAGCGGACACTGTGGATGTAACCTTGAAATAGGTTTTAATTACTGTGAGCGTTCGCAGTAGTACCGGTATAGCCACCGGTTATGATTGACTGAGTTAAATGAATCGACCATCAGTGTATTGGCCCCACATGTGGCTCTCCCAGATCGATGGCCGGGAGCAAGAAATCCATTAGATACTACAAAGCGAACTTGGCGATGTTCTTGTGGGAGCACAGTATTCTTTCGTGTCGAGCATAAATCCACTGATTTCCCACTATAGATACCACAACACTGGCTTTTGACCAAAACCAATGGGAATGATCGTTAAGGGTCTGGCATAGTAGCACACCCGGGTTGGGCCCCCCAAAGCTTGCTAAGCTGAAGACTCAACTAAGCAGACAGCGACTAGCTGCCACTCGTCAGCACTCATTAATGGGACTGACAGTACTTGAAATGGACCATCTCTAACTGATCAAACTCAATCACTGGCGCTATCTCCGATGGTGTCCTGTTCCATTATTTCCCCGTTGATATAGAACACCCGAACTTACCAATGTAATCTATGCCTGTTCCCATGCAAGCCATCGTCTCATCGACCACAGCCTATACATGTGAGTGGCTGACCCAATGAGGTTCTTCAGTGGAGTTCATATAGTGTGGAGATATGGCCGTTACTAACGTTAATAGCATCCCCTTTGGTATATGCGTCGATATAGCTAGCAGTGCAATATTGCTACAGTCAAATGTTCCGGTCGCAGGTGTTACATACACCATTATTTACCATGTGATATTCCAGTTGGAAAGTTCTTCATTGCAATTTGGTATGTAACACATAATAAAGGCCAACTAAGGTAGAAACTGCTTTTCAGTCCACATCAATATTACCTTGAAAGGTTAGGGTGTGCAATTTGGATAGTTTATAATTCTTGCACCTCCTTACTCATGGCTGTAGGCGATGCGACCACGACCGGTGATTTAATGGGAACGAGCCTCCAGACGTAAGCAAATGGCTGCTCAGAAGTTGTAAGGCGATTGCGTCTAATGCAGATTGTGATGTTGTCGGTGACATTTTCCCAAACTATCTGCTCGACATTGTTGGTCGGGTCGAAACCATTATGCGAATCCTTCCCGTAGTCTTTGGGTCCCTGGTTTCCGTGACGCTCGGAATTACCTATACTTGCCACGAGATTGAGGTTATTCTGAAGTTTAGCACCCGCAAAATCCGAATAGGCTAGCGTTACTTTCAGGGTAAATGAGGGTGTATCTGGCCCAGGCTCAAACGGCGGGCAGATATCTTTCAAATGCATTGGACTTGAATCCTCATCCCTCATGACACCGACACCGAAATTCCCCAACTCAGGTTTGTCTAGTGGTGTAATGGAGCGAGCTAGATCAACACGGCCAAAGCCCGAATGATTATTTGGCGACCCGTTTGTCCTGGGCGGTAAGTGTTCCCCATCAATTGAAACCGCCCCATTAACCAAGAGAGCTTTCAAAAGTGCCCCCGTCGGCTGAACCACCCCGTTCTGCTTGTCGTGATAACCGCTCTCCGTCAAAGATTCCCGGAGAACGGCGCAGCTTCCGGCTACTAGCGGACATGCCATGCTAGTACCTGCAGAGTACATGAACCGCGTATCACCCGACAATCCAAACTCAGCGCGAATGCCAGTGTCGGACAGTTTTCTAGACCTTGTCGACAAGATTGCTGTACCCGGCGCTACCACATCAGGTTTCCGCCTGCCTTCTACTGTTGGCCCACGACTGCTAAAAGCGGCCAGGTTGTTGGGATCATTAGCCATGTGGTCATCGGCGATGGCACCCACCGGGAAATCGTTCGGCCAGAAATCGCCGTACGTATAACTGAATCGAGAGCTTTGTCCACGGTATTTAATGTTCGGCCGCCTATTCTCGGAGGCACCCACTGTGATGCAATTCTTTGCTGCAGCTTCTGCTCCAATGGACCCGCAATCCACCTCTCCACTCCGGTCGCTATCAGTGCCGGTATTTCCTGCCGCGAACAAGATGGCCATATCTTGGTGGTTCCAGACAAAGGAGTCTATTTCCTCTGAGTCTTGTGTATAAGGTAACTGGGTTTCTGAAGAACCTGGACGCGGCCCAGATACCCACGAATTTGTATGGACTCTAGCACCATCCTTATACGGCGTATCAAATAGAGAATTGAGATCGGCCGGTATTCCTCTAAGTGATTTGTCGTCAGCCAACACAGATTGAACGATCAAGTCGGCCCCTGGGGCGACTCCTTCAACCTTTCCCTCAATATTCGAATGCCCAGACCCTAAGACTGAGCCGCACACATGAGTTCCATGTCCGTCAGGATCATCTGGCACATTTTCCCGCCCAAGGGCATATAGCTTAATGAATCGACCTTCGAAAGCGTGATGGACATCGGTAATGCTACCGTTGTCAAAACCAGTGTCTGCGACTGCTACTATTTGCCCTTCTCCCTTGCATATGGTGCCATTGACAGTCACGTTATTTGCATTCATGATTCCGCGAGCGATGTTGTTCATCAGTTGCGCCGAGTAGATTTGCTTGATGGACCTCACGGCATCAATCGCAGCCAATTTGGAGAGTCCCCCCTGGGTGACATCAAGCCTTACTTTGCCTTGATGGCGTTCGATTGCGGACATGTCAATATTCGCTGCGTCGGCTATTTGCTGAATGAGCGAGTCCGAGAGCACTACATCATGATGTAGCATGACATCCACAGGTCTTTTGGCCTTTCTCTTTGGAGGATATTGGCTCTGCGCTTCTGGTTGGATCACGAGCTCTTGGCCATAAATGCTGGTGTACTTGACGAAACCGAGTTCACGAATGCGTGCTAGGTCTTCTGGCTCGTAGCCACAAAGGTAAATGTTTCGAGTTTCATCTCCAACGAACTCATGGATATGGGCCCCCATTTTCTGGAGTTCCTTTTTCTCAACCCCCTCGAGAGGTCTTTCTTTAGTTTCAATAAGGATGTAATTTGACTCTGACGCATCACATTGGGATTGCAGAGCCGTTGGCTCTAGAGGTTTACCGTTGATATACGTAGTTGCCATTATGATGCCCTACCGATTATTGTAACTATATGAATTATGGAAAATCAGCTTGAGACTTATTCAAGATCTTCGTGGCGTCCAGAGCAAGCACAATGGTTTATATAATGCTAGACTTGGCGTTACATGCCACAAGCTCCAGACTCGAACATACCATGTTGTCACCAGGACGCGACTTGGATGCAAAGAATGACCAGGACTTGAACAAAGATGAAAGAGATTGGTAAGAATATCAGGCGGGGGTAGTTCCAGGCCCTGTAGCCATGGTACAAGTAGGTGTGCTCCGAATGTTGTTCTCTGCAGAGAACCTAGTTCTTCAACCTTTGTGCCTAGGCAGGATAACTTTTCCCATTGTCATGATGAAGTTCACTGAAGACAGGAGGATGATAAGACAAACTTTTCCCTATACCAATGGAAACACTTGCTGGTAACCCTTAGAAACTGCTGAATTAGGATTTGGTCATACGATCGCGGTCTAGAATGAAGCAAGTGGTAATGAAGAAAATCAAACCAAACATACTAACTTATGTGACCAGACAATTGCCAAGGCTCGGATTCTTGGCCACCAATAATGTGGTTGAAAGATTTGGTGCTGCTATGACAGCTTCCGCAAACGGAATGGAGGGACAGATTATCACAAACGCAGTATTTAGACTTTGTTTGTCTCCATTAGAACTGAATTCCTCGTCAGGGTGACAGCATGGCTATGGAAGTCTTATGGCACAGTTTAGCCACGATTGCATTCGCCGAACGTGTCCAAGACTCACAGCAAACATGGGGATATGCGCCACAAGTGACCTCGAATCCGACAATAATACAGCCCAAGTTGGACAAGAATCAATCACAATGCTATCCATCGCGCAACCGCCCCAATTCGATGGCAATAACTACATCTTGGCGGTGCACGCTTCTTAGAAACTGGTTCCATCATCTGTATAGCTTCTTGGTCAAGTTACTGGCCTTCAGCACCTGTTAGAACACCTTCAGTAGCAATGAAAGATCTAGCGGCCACCGCGCTTTCTCTTCTGTTTGTCATTTGCTGCGTGTAGCCCCTTCATCTCCTGGTCTAGGAGGAGGAATTTATGCATGGTAGATTCAGCCGCCTTTGCAAGCTGACGGATAGCCTCATTTGGAGGACTCTCAGAGTTGCGCTTAATAAGCTGCTTGATAAGCTCCATCTGCTTTTGCACGTCAGTAGTAGTATAAGGAGTCTTTGCAGTCCATTCCATATCTGCAGGTCCATGAGCAGTGGTAGCGGTGTAATAATATTGATAGTAAGCTTATCTAGTACCCTTTCATTTCAGATATTCTTAGATGATATGACCTTTCTTGATACTTTATAAAGATCAAGATAGTTCTCATTATCAATACAGTGTGTTGAATGCCAGCTTGAATATTTCTCATCACCTCTCTCCCATATGCCTCCTTTAGGGGTGCAAAGCAGCCAACATCAAGAGGTTGTAGTTTATCAAATGAATGAAGAGGCATGAAATTCGAACACCCATGAATGGTATAATCGGCATATCTCAACTCGCTCGTAATTCTCAGCAGGCTTCTCGGTCTACCGCTGATGCAATTTTCTTCACAGTGGACCGAACTAGAGCCTTTCTTCGACTTATATGCCGTCTTAAGAAATCTCCTTTGAAGAACAGTGTCCGAGCATATTGCCCTTAATTATGGGTAGCCGGATATTCTCCTTCCAGCCAACACTACTGGAGCCTTTCCTGATAAAGGTTCATTGCCTGATACATGACTATTTATACCAGACCTTTCTCAGGGCTTTGACGGAGATAGAGCTATTACTTCTTATAATATATTATTATTTATCTATTACAGGTTTATAGTTCAACTATAACCTTTAAAAGAACTAGATTAAGGTGTATGAATACTAATAATTTTGCCGATGTTTTATAGTACAGATATCACTAATAAACTTAAATTTAATCTATAACCTTCTCTTAACTTAGATTCTATACCCTAGTTAAGAAAATATAAGCATAACATAATTACAAGCATAGCACCCTTTGATACAGATAAGATGGTATACACTGACTCCGATATCCGGGTCAAGATATAAGTATTGATGCTCAAGTACTATCTTGTTTATAATCTAAATAATGATTTTACTTTTTATAGTCTAAAATGTATTGTGACTGGATGTTTTATCTACTATCCTGAATACTCCTTTGTTCTCGAAGTTACTTTTAGTCTATTTCTTCTGTTACAAACTGCCCATGCTGAGAACTGGTACTACTATCAGGATAATATAGTTGTTGATAAAGCTAAGTTTAACCTACCTAGCTTTTCAATATATATATCTTTGCTATTTATCTATTTTATACACCGGCTTCCTATAAACTTGAACACAAATATTTGACGCTGGTGGCACATACATCTCTCTTTGCTGGTGGATTTCTTTTAGGCAGGCCATCTCATGTATAATAGGTCTTATTATTGGATGATGGCTGGGCGGCTTACTGGGTCATCAGCATTTCTACCGGGAGTGGGCGTCTGATTGGCCTTTGGCCTGCGAGAAGATGGAATCCTCAATCTTCCAGCGGCGATTTATCGATCGCTCGAAAAAGATGGATTGATTTAGCAACTGATTCATGTAATTACCCGTTCTGTGAGATAGCCGTTCTCAAACTAGATGCATATCTTCAATCACACCAATGAACTTCAAATGTTAAAAAGCCAATCCTTCAAGCTGAAATCTACTCCGAAACGCCCTTGAGAATCTCCTCCACCTTCGCAAAGGCTAGTTCTTCGCTAGTCTCTTTCCAGAGCTGTTCGGAGATCTTCTTTCCCTCTGCGCTGTAGATAATCGGTGCCAACCTGTGAACTGTTTTAGCGATAGCTTTAATCATGGTCAATATCGGAATAACTCACGGCACCAGTTTCTGGAAGGAAAGGAACTCGCCATGCGTCTCCTGTCCATGGTTGACAGCTGCGTCTGTGACCATCCGGGCTCCAACAGCAGCAGTGTTCGCCATTCGGCGCATCGCGACCTTCGCGATGGCTCCGGAGAAAGTCTTATCGTGCTCACGGTTGAAGTCTGAGTCGTGAACAGAGCCCGGCGAAACGGCATTGATGACCGCCACAGAAGGCGGGACAATCGAGGCCAGACGTGACAGGAAGAACTGTCCCAGCAGCTTGGAGACCATCATCCGATCCAGAGGGTCTACCTTAGTGTTCTTCTTGTCGAGCGACGCCAGCAGTGGGAAGCTTTGCTTCTCCTTGAAGGCTGTCCACGCAGCGACCTCCGAGGAAACAATGGTAATCCGGCTAGGACCACCCTGTGCGGCGGACTTCTCCTTAACCACCGGAAGCAGCAGGATTGCCAGCAGAGCTGTGGAGAGATAGTTGACCTGAATCATTTCATCGTGACCTGTTTTGGCGTTGAATACGCGCGTCGCGTTGGCGATGCCGATGTTCAGCACGGCGATGTCCAAGCGGGGGAGACTCTTGGTGCGCTCCGCAAAAGTGACGACAGAGTCATAGTCAGACTGATCCAGGTTCCAGACCTCGATGCTATCGTCGGAGAGATCGCGGCCAGCGGATAAATTCTTCTTTGCTGTCTGGCCTTTCTCCTCACTGCGCACGGCCAAGATGAGCTTGCTCAGTCCCAGGTCGAGGAGTTGGCGACTGGTCTCCAAGCCGACACCTGTGTTTGATCCGGTCACCAAGGCGGTCTTGCCCGCCAAGCTGACGCCCTTGACTGGGGCGGCTTTCACGGTAATCTGGTTGTAGAAAAAGCGAGGCACGCTGGCCTGCTTTTCCGGAGTCACGTCGAATTTGGCACCCATTTTCTTTTCGGCGACGAATGAGCAGGCGGGGTATCAGCCTTGGAAAGTCTGGATACGAGGAATGGGGAAAAAGACAAAAGGTGATACGATTAACAAATGAACAATGAAACTAGAAGTGCCCGGGTAAGAAGTCTCAAACTAGTCTCTAATCATCGATTATGCAGGGATTAATCTACTCTAATCCGAAAATGGAAATTACCAAGCATCTCAGATTATCTCATACATTGGTACAGACTACATATTTCTTCGTATTCTTCGTAAAGCCAAGCTATATTAAGTTACAGACAGGCTGTTTTAAGTTCTGCAAGATTCCTTTACATCCGTAAATATGCTCAAATGTTTGGGTTGAGGGGGGGGCAATGTTCTGGTCACAATCCACAGGTGCAGCCTTGGAGGCACCCAGCTCCGGGGGCAAACCATTACTCAGAGAGCCTCCGGGGCGGTGCTTACAGCCACGGATAACACTAGCTTCAGTAAACTTGGCCCCAAGTGGCTTATCCTCTCACAGGGGTGTCGAATGCGTGATTCAGTACACAAAAGCTATGGACAGAGCTACTATACAATCCGGATCGTAAAATCCTATCGCGCTAAGTATGAAACAGATTGGCCTCCCAATCCCGTCTCACCACGGCGGGCAATCCGCGAGGAGATCAATCACAATTGATTAGATACCTACAGAGATCATACAGCTACTGGGTATCCTTATTATGGCGCTTGCAGCAGGGGCTCAAGCAGCCTCCACGGGCGATGTAGCCAGATTCACTACCTTTACACGGAATCTCGGGCTATCCAAAGTCAATACGAATGCTTTAGCGGCACGCTATACAAAGCAGAACAACGATCTATTCCGGGCCCTTAAGGGAGGTGGCCCCAACTTTGGCATCGTCTCTCGTTATGATCTGAACACTGTGCCGGTCTATGAAGTCTGGGCGGAAATGAGGTATTACTCCGTCGAGCAAGCTTCCGCAGTGATCGATGCCTTCATGGAGTGGCAGCTCAACGGAGCCTTGGACGTCAAATCGAACGTGGCCATTGATATCTCCTTGACCGCTATCGTCATTGGGCTTGTTTACTCCGAACCTGCCAACAACTCCAGCGCGTTTGCACCATTCTATGATCTGGAGCCGGAGTCTATTCCTGTTCCAGGAATCAACACCACGTTTGTCGTTATCGATGAACTCCTGGGATCTGCATTTCCCGATGCCAACGCTCGGTAAGTGATGATTTGAACTATCCTCCTTCTCTAGACAGAGACTAAAACCTTTCCAGACACGACTATCGCGGCTGCAGCACCCGCACCAACGCCAACTTGACCCGTGATGTCTACGACTACTGGCTAGAGAAAGCCCAGGCAGCTTACCAGGCCACTGGTGTCAATTAAACCATTTCTCTGCAATACGTGGGAGAGAATCTCATCCAGCAAGGGTATAAGAATGGCGGAAACTAGCTGGATATCCGACCTGGCCCTCAGCAATGTAAGACTCGCACTTCTCACCTGATACGGAATCTTTCTAATCTCAGCTACAGGGTGGACCACTCTTGTGGACTGGGAGAATGCGGCCGATGACGAGGCCGCGCGATCTGTCTGCATCGAGACGACAAAAGTACTGGAAGTAACTGGCTAAGAAGCGTGGGCTGGACGTGCCCTTTATGTACATGAACGACGCCTCCCGTGACCAGAATCCCCTGGAATCCTGTGGGCTGAAAAGTGTGAAGCATCTGAAGGCAACTGCCAAGAAATTCGACCCTACGCAGATGTTCCAGAGGTTGCAGAAAAATGGGTTCCTGCTCTCGAAGGTGTAGGGAGAAGTTCGAGCCGGGCAGCACCGAGATGCGTATCTTAGGGATGTCTACGCTATTTTTTAGGCCTTATTTAAGCGATACTATTGGGGATGTATATAAAATTATAACTATATTTACTCAGATCAAGGTCTCTTACGCTGGCCTTCACGGACATCAACATTAAAGGTTGCTGTGACCAACAGCATGGTAAAAGGCAAGGCTCTAACATTCATGCATCGATTTGCAGGCTCTGCGCCTCTTATCGTTCCTCCTTGGCTCTTTAAGCTCAATCTCTGTGAAAGCCTTACTTCGCCCACGGTGGCAGCGGCCGTGGATCGATCATTCGGTTCACGTTCATGGCCTAAGTGCTTCAACTAATGGGAAGCGCGCGCGTTCCATCTTTGTTTCTGTAATTCTGGGCTTGTAACAAGCTGTCCCAATAGGGTTCGTTGCGAGTAGCGTGTATAGCCTGGGAATGGTACATTGGGCGCGGTGGCGGAGACGACGATGTGTGGAAAGGACACAGGCCTCTACTTTCGATGTTGCCGTTGCTAACGTCTTTGATGTCGAGAGTATGCGGATCAGCGGGATTCTCCGCGTAATGTTCGGATGCCGCAAATGTGCCTTGTCCCGTACCGGGTTGTGGTAGACTGTCTATGGCGGATATAACGCAGGCTTGGTGGAGTACAATGTGACAGGTGGAGAAGGGCCGAGCGCAGAGGATGGCAGATTGGTGACAAGTTATCCGTACAAGGATCGCAATTGTGAGATTACCCCACTTCCCCTCTTCCGGATAGGCAGTACTAACCAATCCTTGACTAGCGTGGTAGGAGGCAAGCTGCATCCAAAAAGCGCCTAGCCATGCTGCTGAGCCAGCGGATAGAACAGGCGGTTAACTTCAGACGGAAAATGGCCGACCCTGCCTAATTAGTCACGAAAGATGGAAGAGATACATTCATCACCCTATAATGGCACAGCCCTCAGTTTCCTGCTCCACTGCTGCGGTAAAGAGCTTTGGTCCCGTTGTACTACATGCCTTTCTGACTTGGGCTTGACACTTCCATCTGAGGACGCAATATAGAGCACATCACCTCATACTTTCTGCTTGCTAATAGTGCTTCCCGTGTTCACACACTATGGCACAGAATGCCGGGAGGTAATCCTACAATGGTTGAAGGCAATTTACTCTTCATCATGGAAATCTCATGTGATTCAGTGTCTTACCAATAGGTGTTACCAGAGTAAATTTTTACTGGTCATCCTAACTAGTCCTTTCCTCAGAATTCTCTGCTCAGCTATAGTTTCCTAAGAGTAGTATTGCTTCTGCTCTGGATTTCACCCTCTACCCACAAGAGACGGGTCGCGGTAGGCTCAGCAGGATTAAAATCGGCCATCTCTGTGACTTCGATTTGATTTTGCTATCTGGATGTGAGCATCGATACACATTGCGGCCATCTTCGACTTCGATACTTTACAATGGAGTAACTTTGTTTTTCGACATAGTGCACACCCGATGGTCTGGCATATATCACGAGACCATATTATTAAAATTGCCTCTACTGTCACAACCGTTTACAAAGCTTAATACTAGTCGTGGAGATACAGAAAAAACGTAGCGGTTTCAGAGCACAATTCGCCCGATGCTCTCCAGAAGATGCAGGCGGCATACTAGCTGCCCTAAGATGTGCATGTTGACGGAACAGGTTATTATTACCTGGTAGGCTCTGGTAAATATGGACGTCTGATCAAAGTCAAAGCAGAAAAGAGCTCTTAGTTTGAAATCGCGTCTGTTTCAACCATATCCGATGTGTCTTTTTCCTGTTGAGATGGAATGATGTTCCGTCACCCAGTTTTCTAGAAGCTTTCACTATACAGCTTTGCCGGCCACTTGCAGGTGTACCCATCGCTACTCGGATATCCCGACCAAGCCTTCAATCGAATTGTTTAGATCATCTGGGATGGGGTGGAAGTCGAATCTAAGCTCAGCGGAAAGTACTGACCGTAAGAGCAACAACCGGTCTGGTGAAGAAAGTCGATTGGAAGATGAGGCCAAGAAATGGTTCGCCTCCCTGATAGAGTGACACTGTGATTTTATTGTATGGGAAATGGGCGGACAGCATCAATGTAAATTCAAAGACGGCACACACTGGACCAGGTAATGTATTGGAGTCGAGGGCCACGAGGGAAAAGAAAAAGGTCCACTCAATGCATTGGGTACATTCTTCACATTCTTGCCTCCTAGCTTTAAGTAACATTACTTTAACTCAATAGTAGGACAAATCAGCGTCTAAAATAGTTGCAGTAATGAAGCATTGAAGAACCTCTTTCTTGTGCTCGACTTCGGCGAACGCTGGCGTTTTCATCACTTGTGCGATTCGATCGACCTCTCAAGTACTTCTTTAGCTTTTAGTCATGATCAGTCCACCATGTCATTAAGACATTAACCACGCAGTTTCCGCGCTCTCAACTCAGTCGAGCCTCAAGGCCCAGCCCTTGGGCGTTGCTCTGGGCCATGCTGGCTGTAGTCGGCGGTGGTTTCAGAAACGCCCTCCTTTCCATCTCCTGTTTCGCTGGAGGGATTTCTGTTGAGTGCAACGACCTGGCGTTTTAAAACTTCCATAGCACTTAAACTCATACCCCCCGTCAAATCGTCAGAGATATCGAAATAAACTTCACCCTTTACCCGCATTCTTGTTGTCAGAGCAAGAGTGTTGACTATATCAAGAATTTCCTTGGTTTGGATCACCATACTGGTTTCTCAGGAACAGATATATCCCAATAGAAATCGACTGGTTCTCCCATTGACACCAAGGCAGCTTGGTGGTAACGTAAGATCAAAAATTAATCGAGAAAAAGGTGGGATCTTGATTAACTCCTGTCTCCAAATCTTGCCAAGTGGTTGTAAATCAAGGTACTCATGTTTGTATCTGTCACAATTCCTGCGAGGTGATTCAGAGATTGTAGACAGATCCATTTTAGGACGGCATAATTCTAGTTTATTAGCTTTCTCCAGAGGGTGCAGTAAAGATATTGTTGCTTGGCGTAGATGAGAAACAGGTTTCGGTTCAATACTAAGTCGAGACAAATCTTCTCGTACACAAAATTCCTGCAAAAGACTGGGCTGAGAAACATTTTCAACTGAAGACATTCCGATAAAGAGGGAAAACTGAAGGAGGGAAATGTGTAGTTGGATGAGGGGCGAAAGTGGAATCAAATACTTTGTCACAGTTCAAACAGCTTTCATAAATATTCGCCAAAATGACTGACGTCAGAGGTCATCTAAAAGATAGAGTAGGGGTTTTAGGCTGCAGTCGTCGGCGGAACTGGGGCCCAGGCAATAGCGTTTCAAAATATATACTTCAATATTTATTCTATATTTCAAGCTGCTCTGGGAGTAAAAAGCAGTACTAGATTAGAGCCTAAAGCAGAAAAGGAAAGTCAATAAATCTCCGCAGGAATCCAGTTCAATAGGTAAATATTAGCTGTATTGTGAGGATTGAGAAAGACAAATAATCTGTTATGTGTAGGGACCAGTATCACTTCTTACTGTCGGTTCTCAGGCTGACTCACTCACGCCTTCTCTGCATACAATGCACAAACTGCAAGTCAAAATCTCTCATCGTTTGTACTACTCCAATAAGTGTATATTGGGTGGCTACTTTCTTCGCTCGCTCCGTTCCATAACCTGAGTCTAGCTTGTCCCACAGTCACAGAACTTCCCACTTTCATTCTGAGAAACTTGCATTTCCTGCTAGCTACAATAATATCCGTATGTAGGCTCGCTACATACAGTCAATAAAGCTTCAGTAAACATGTTGTACCGTGACAGGCTGGGTACTTCCTAATAAAGCAGGAATAAATCAAAATTGCTTTCTTAGTCGCTAGATTCCGAGCATAAAAGCATCTGCAGGCTAAGTAATCAACAGATACCGACCGGAAAAAGTCAATAATTTATGTCAGCTTCTCCATAATGACTTATCCTTTTTGGTAAGATTCTTTTCCTAGGTCGGATTCGCTCGACTTTTGAGATTTTCGCTTTAAGCTAGCACATTGTACAATACAGAAACAAATGAGAACGAAGAGATTTGGACAGATACTTAGACAAACTAGCGCTGTCGTCGAATCCCTTAGAGAGCTTGTCTAATAAATTATTGGTTGCCTGTCAAGCGCTCTGGTCGTATTATTAAGGTATCATATTCGTGATATACGCTCATTAAAGACTTGATCCACTGGTAGTATTTCTAATTTTTATCACGTTACTTTGTATCAATCAAAAGTGTTTCAAGATATGTCTGCTGACTATCAGTATATTAACTTCTAGATTCAATCGCAGCAATTTCGTTAATACCGCGGAGAATTATTTTGTTAATAACCTTAAGATAACTGGGGTACTTGCAGAAGCTCAAGCAGCGAGCAGAGCTAATTAAGATACTACCCTAAGATAGCCAGCTGCAGATATTTTCCCAGTAGCTGTAAGTACTAGTAACTTAAATCAATATTCTAGACAGTAAATCTCCTAATCAAACGCTTGTATATACAGTACTCACATACTCATCCAAGTAGTCACTTTTCAGAATCAGGAGGTTTTGTGACCACTGACTGATTTATCCGATCCAAGTACTTTTTTATACAGTAAAATTATTTAAGAATTTATCTGCAGTAAATAATAATAAAAAAATAGTCTATATCTAGAGGTTTTTTAAAGTAGCTATATTAATTGGTATTAGTCCTGCTATATCTTTTACTTTGATAGAAATCATTCCCCATACTGATATGAATTCCAATAGAAAATAAATATATAAGGCTCCTGTGCTAAGGTTACCTCAGATTTTTTAAACTGTAGTATTAACCAGGAAGGCTTAAATTATTACTATAATATAATTACTAGACTAATTATTCTTACTTTCCAGTATCTATGTCTACTCTTTAAAACTATTAGTGACCAGTCTTGTTACTTATCAGATAAAACTGTAGATAATTACTGATTTATTTTATTCTTTGAGTTATTAGTAACTTAATAAGGTCTTCGGCTATTTTATATCTATATTTTCCTCAATTATAGCAACACACTAGGTTAACAGTATATAAAGCTTTAGACTTTTTTTTACTAAAGGCTCTGACTACATCCTCTTTACTAAACTTATAATCCAAAATTAAGTATGTACAGTACATCACTTCCTTACTACAGACACCTGCAAATAGACGATTATGTCTGATGCCCTCACTCTCGAATACACCCAAACTATCCCCAACCCCCCCAAATCCTCAACCCTAAGAAGAGTGGAAGAAGGCTAAGCATAATTCTGATGCCACGTATACCCCCCCTCCGCCCTCGCCGCGACCAACAACTCCTTAATCCTCACAGAGGTCGGCGTCGGCTCCCTGCCCAACACCTCGGCCATCAACCCATCCCCATCGACCACTGCCTCCCCCTTAGCGATCCCCTCATGCCACGAGACCATCGCCTCAAAGAACCCCGCCGCCTTGCCGCCCTCATCCGCCGCCGCATTCCGGGCCACATACTCTTCCTTTGACACGAACTCTAACCTTACCCCCTCCTCCCCCTTTTTACTGTCATGATGGTATTCATTGATAAGGTCCACAATCTCCCGGAACGACAATGTCTCCCGGGCGCTGAGCACGACGATCTGGTCGCGATAGCGGGCCCCGCCCTGCAGGAGAAGGCGCGCGGTGGCGTGGCCGAGTTCCTGGCGCGAGGTGAAGGTAATTCTTTGGGTGTTTGCGGGGCTTTCGGATGGTGTGGTGGGCTGCGGCAGGATGATGGTTTGCGTGGTGGGGTACCAGTTGAAGTAGAGGGGGAAGGCTTCAGTATATAGACCTTCGCGGATGGAGGTGTAGGGAATTTTGGATCTAGATTTATTAGAATTGGGTTGGGTAGGCTGGGTTTATGATGGTAGGAGTGAGGAGGGGAAGGAAGAAGGGGGTCAGGGTGGGCGTACACGCGAAGCATCTCCTCGGTCATGTAATGCGCTTGCTGGACGGCGACCTGCGAGGTCGAGGTGTGGCCTCCGAAGGCGAGGGAGGTGTACCATACCTATTTCTGTTAGTATGCCTTGTGAAATTAGGTTGTTGGTGTTGTTTGGGGGGCAAGGGCGCGTACATGCTTCACGCCCGCCCGCTGCGCGGCGTCCACCACATCCTGATGCTGTCTCCGGCGCCGCTCGTTGTCGAAGGTGTTGGAGCTGACGAAGAACAGATTCTCGACCCCCTCGAAAGCGGCGGCCAGCGTGCTCGGGTCGTTGTAGTTGACGACCCGGAAGGCGAGGCCCTTGGCTGTGAATTCATCCGCTTTGGCCGGGTTGGAGGAGGCGACGGCGTAGGTCGAGGGGTCGACGTGCGCGAGGAAGTACTCGAGCACGTGGGCGCCCAGGCCGCCGGTTACGCCGGTGAGGAGGTATTGGACCATTTTTTGGAGGGGGCTTGGTGCTGACGATTAGGAGGTGAGGATGAGGGTGAAGGGTTGATTCACTCAGGTTGGTCAAGGTGTTGTTAGCGTTATATAGTTGATCAGATCAGATTAGATTGGCTGATGGCTGATAAATCAGATGGATTGGTCAGCCGTGCTGACGCGGGGTAGCTTGCGGTCGCATGATGGTGAGATAGACGAATAATTCTGGGAGATTCTAGAAGATTGGGGGGCTTGGTTGGTGAGGAGATTCGGGAGGTTGGAGGGTAGAGATGGTGTTGGTGGTGAGGAGTTGATTTACTGGGGTTGTAGAGCTACCGCATGAGCTTGGTGGTGGTGCGCGATGGTTGGTGACACCTGGTGTTGGGAGTGCACGGATATTTTGAATTTAAGGCGTTTGGGGCAATTCTCGCGACAGGATGTCAGCATGCTTAATTAGAGCAGAAGATGTGCCAATCTTGCATAGTGACTATCATTTCAGATGTCATCATGCTTGAGTGAGAGGATGTGCCAATGTTCCATACTACAGTACACAGTAACTATCATCGGCTGTGCCCGCATAGCTACAATACAGTAGAAGGTCATCGGTTAACATTCTGATAACATTCCATTCATCAAACTAAGTAAACAAGGCTATTCACTTTCTCATCATCCTCAGGTATCATGCATCGATCCATTACTCTGGCATGTGCTTGAACGGCTTGGCCAAGTGCTCCTGGCAGAAGGGCAGCTTGCTGACCGTCCAGATCTCGGTGTCCTGCTTACGTCAGACCATTCGTCCCACTGAATCTTTGTCACTTGTTACTGGTGAACGTGACATACCGGCTTCAGCTTCTTCTTGATCTCCGTGTCCAGCGTGCCTGCCTTGATGGCGATGATCTTCGGGGCGGCATCCGGGTCATGGGCGATGGGCGAGCCGCATTCCGAGCAGAAGATGCGGTGCACGGCTTTGCCCGACGACCCCAGCCCCGCCCAGCTCTTGGTCGGCCCGTTGATCGTGAGCTTGTCCTTGGGCACCACGGCGACCAGCGCTGTCGAAATTAGCATGCACTCGATTCCTGAAGGGCGGACACGTACAGTAGGTGGAACCGCTCAACTACGAGATGGCGCATGTGCTTCAAGCTGATGAGGCATTATAGACACTAATCGCACTGGTGGGACATTTACATGACCTACTATGGCTTACGACGATACCTGGCATATGTTGAACGAGCCATTAAGTTCAGGATTTCTTTCGATCAAATGTTAGAATAACAGCGCAGCGGACAAGATGACATGTACTGTACAGTACCCGATGATCAACACTGTTATACAAGATAGTTCTAATGAGGTGCGACTCGAGCAGCTGCGATATTTGAAGTTTGTATTATGACTAACTGCTCGGTTCTTAAGCCAGTTCGTTAGTGTTACAATACCGTGTCATGTTCCGCTCGGCCGGATGTATATTTTAACTCTATTTAATTCGCTGTGTCATCGATCTTCGGTGTACAGCACTGCGGACATGGCCAGCAGAGGAATATTCGTGTGCACCCTGCTATCCTGACCAATTGTTAAGAAGACCCTCCTCCCAATAGTATCAAATTCCGGGTATGCATACGTCAGTCGTGCTTTCTCAGGCACCTCCGAGCACCGAGAGATCCTTCCGTGCTGGCCGGCTCCAGCATCCGAGATAAGCTGCGCAACAGCGGCAGAATCAGGACCATATTCTAGACCTTCCTCAAGTGCGACCTTTTCTTCCAAGGAGATGACTTTATCCGCAACAACTGCGCAAACATAGCTATTGAACACACCTTCCTGACGAGATGCCGACCGCAGAACATTCACGGCCTCACGGCGGATCACCGGGTCACGACAGAGGGTGGCAACATCGTACAGGGGGCCAATAATCCCCAAGTCGAGCGAGAAACTAGGACTCAGAGTCGGTCGTTGCTGCAGAGAGCTGAGTAACGGGTTCGGTGACACAGACGGAGAGCCAAGACTGCGCGAAAGTTCCACCACGGAGGCAGCCAAAGAGGTAATTTTCTTAAAGATGGGATTATATCTATCCCACACGGTTGACTCCGCTGAGCCAGACCGGTATTGCTCCAGGAGTAGACTGTGCTCGAGTCGGTGGATTTGTAAGATCTTCAACCCCGTCTGTTCCTTCGTGGTCAAGGAAGGGCCGCGGGCTTGCTCGAAGCAGTCTAAGGCCATAGACCATCTTCCCAGCAATCCTGCATAACGCTGTACCAGCAACCCAGGATCTTCTGCAATCCCATGCCTCGCTATAGCATCTGATATAGAATGAAATTCGTGTCTGAACAAGCCATTGTAATGCTCATATATGTCGCGCGCTTCTGCAAGGGAAGAAAAACACGGTGGAATGTCGACGGATGCAGAACAGGTCAAGTGCGGCGCAGTGGACGATGGGCCGTCTTCCTCGGCCCGTGTCTTCCCATGGCATCAGCGTCAATTGCGCCATTAAAGCAACAACATGATGGATTCGAATTATAACCTACCAAGGTAAAGGCCTGCCCGTGCAATCTGACGAGCAGCATCCGAAGATTCTCGATCTCAAGGCTCGGCACAGTGGACGGCCTCAGAAAGGGATGGCGATATGTCCCAGTGCCTGGATCATAGGTGACCTCGCTGAGTATCTTCACCCCATGGCGAATATGATTGACCGCTGCGATGTAATGGCTGGACATGATCTTCGCTGCTGGTCAGTATTCTATCCCAAGCAACGACCACATCCAGGAACAAACCTCAAAGCAAACGAACAGGACGCAGGAGATGAGACACACATCCACCGTGAGCCTGCCATCCTGGCTACCGACCACCTGCAGCGATGAGCTGCTACTTGGATTAGAGGGGCCCAAAAGCGCTCTGATTGCCGCGAGGTATGCCTTCAAGGCGAACGTATCGTGTCCTGCCCGGCTGAACCAGAAGCCGGGAATCTGCCGGTCATTCTCGAAGTTCTCATGCAACGCACCCAAGGCGACGAGCGCATGCCAAACGGGCTTCGCGTGTTGGCTGACCTGTAATACAGATCGGCTCCAGAGTTCCGAGCCACAGTAGCCCGCTAGGGAGAACACGGTCTTCTCGTAGAAGAACTGGAACGATCGGATCTCGCGCTCGCTTGTCGCATAAGTGAAAGTTGCGAGAGACAGAGAAGGGCGCGGGAGGTAGATGCTCGCCAAGGGAAGGGCGTTTGTATCGTAGCCGTCGCACTTGCGACCTGTTGAAGTGCACCTCGAGCAGCTCGGCCTAGTTTCATCGCATTTGATTCGTCGCTCTGTGGGTTGGAGGAAAGAATTAGCTGCGTGATTCAAGCTCATCTCATAGTTACAAGAACGCGATGAGTAAACTCACTCCTGTAAGCATATGTTAGCTGGATTGAAGGATGTTGAGAGATGATATCGATGAACTCACTTGCATGTCAAACATCCCGACTTGGTCCGTGTCCTATATACTCTCTGTCGCACTTGCGAAGCCATCATCGCGAGAGGCCATCTGACTGCGACTCTTTCTTGAGCAGAGAAAGTGATTCCTACTCAAAAGATAGGGGTAAAGCTAACCTGAAGTCCAAAGAAGTACGACTAGGTAGTTAGACTGTGCTGCTGATGAAGTTGGGTGAAGTAAGACCAAAAATAGGATCCGTCAACAGCGACCGGAAGTTTATCGCCAGACCCATAAGCACTAACCTTCTTTGAGCCGTATGCCGTACCTACTGCTAGGTACTCTAGCAGCTCATCTATGAACAATTTTCCGGAGTTTATCTGCTTAATACAGTAGATTCTGCAGTAATATGATACAGTCATGAGTTTCGTCAAATTGCACAAAGACAAATTTCCTTGAACAGCCGTCCGTCGTATGCTAGTTTCTGACTCCTTCTTGCCATCACATCGTTGGGCCACTAAAAGGGAAACTATCCCACAGTGGCAAATGCATACCATCCCAGCCCGTAAGCGTAGCGCCATATTCTTCAGGGTCCATGACAGATGGTTCCTCAGCACTTGACCACGGCTCAAACAAGTCAAACTGCGAAGGTTCCGGGATTTGTTCACTGGCAGAAGCGACTGTTCCTTCATGGGTCTGTGTCGAAAGACGGCGATCATTCAAGCTGAAAAGCTTGCTGACGTATCGACTCCTACTTTGTTGCGTGTGCTGTGCGAGTCGTTGGCGCTGCTCGTAGATGGCATTCCTGAGAAGGCTAAGAATCTCAAGGTAGTGTGCAGCTTGAGCGGATCGTGCGGAAAGCATGCGGAGGATATCGAGGGCCTCATCATAGGTTTCCTCCAGCGACGGGTCCGCTTCCTTCTGGGAGAACATGGAGAATCCTAGCACTAAACCAGCGGCAAAAACAAATGCTTTGAGAATACACATGTTTCCCAACAATAGCCGAGACTGGTAGACCTCCGAGCATGTCTGAATCATGAACAAGGCCGAGTCAACGCATGCCACCGCCAGCTTCGAATACGCCGGTTCCTCACTGGGTTGACCTGTATCGCCACCCATGGGAGTGCGATTTGACTGTGCCAGACGGAAGTTCAAGACTGATATCAAGAAGGGACGTGTCACTATAATGACAGCAAAGTGGTATGTGCACGCGATGTGAAGGTTTCCGATAATATGCTGGTGGACTGTAGGCTGTTCATAGTCGGTGCCAGGGGGCGCCAGTAGTGAAGGGTGTAAATTGTCACTCCAGTCTTTCAGCTTCCTCAAAAGACCATCGGCTACCTCGGCTGAGGCTGCCTGCTTGCCGTAAAGACCAGCGATGATCTCGTCCAGGATCTGCGATAAGTCGTAAGAAGCGACCAGGCTCCGTTGTGCTTGGCTATCGGTTTGCGGGCAAAAGAGCGACGTGCTTTCCGAGTCCGAACGTATCGAAGTTGTCGCAGCGGGTCTCCCGAGGATGGAGCTCACGAGCAAGTCCAAAACGCAAAGACTCATCCATACCCTTGCTCTAATGTCTTGTTCCTTCGTTGGGACGGTGCTGTCGGTAAGCTGTAGCCCCAGCGCCACTGCCGCGCGAACGGCCACGCCCAAATACATGAACGCGGCGTTCCTACGACACGCCCCTAACATGTAGTATGACATGAGAAGAAAGAGGCGCACCAAATCCAAACTCGGATTCTCCAGCATCCCTGCAAATGCGCTGCGCTGAGCACAGGCGAAGAAGAACCTTTCGGCGCGATCCGCTGACGGATGATGCTTCGAAGCCTGCGCTCCGATAGCGAGCACGATATGCATTAGTGCAAGCTTTGTTCGTTCCCGCCTATCACTTGCTCCAGTGCTTAATGCACCTGGCGCATCCAGGAACTGCATGGTCTCTGTTTCTGACAGGACGTGCACGAAGCCGCTTGTTGCTGTACAGTAAGCTTGAACATAGTATTGCTGTTGACGCACATCAATCTCATCATCGACCTCAAGCGGAATGTCATCGGGCGGTTCAGTTTCTAGCATATCATCACTTTTCATGTTGTGGGAGAATTGCGACGGTCCGATGCATTGCGTGACAGTATCCCGGACTAGTTGCAGGAATGACAAGGAGGCTGCCTTTCCAATATAGACTAGAGGAGTCTTGTGAGTAGTTCATGGCAGTAGCATGCACGCAAGAAGACATACCTCGCTCTCCCCGCAGGTTACGCAGCATCCGCGGATGGGTCCTGTGCGGCGTTTCCGGGGAAAGAGGCCCTGTCTCGTGTGTGGAGCTAGTTGGCCCAGACGACGGAGACTGCGGGGTATCGTTGATTTGATAATCAGAAGATGTCAGGCTTAACGTAGTAGAGTCTCGATGGCCAGTGTTCGAGACTGATGGATATGTGCTGTTGCTCTCAGTCGGCCGTCGAGCACTAGAACGAGGAGCCGGAACACAAGTAGCGGAACGACCAAGCCGGATGCATTTCGCACATGGGAATGTGCCACTGCATCGCTTTTTAGTGGCCCGACAAGCTAGACAAGCCTCGTAGGCCCGCAGCCGATTGTCAGGGTGTACCTTCGGTCGCGGCATTGTATATGGTCAGGAGCTCATTCGGGGATCAAACTGCGCGTCAGCGTTTCGTTCCGAAATGCTGTATTGTTCGAGCAGGCTCAGTTGAGTGTCATGAAAGGAAGACACAGTCTAGAACTCGCGGGGAACTTATACCGTGCATATCACTGTGGTAGCTCGACACGAGATTCCAAGAGAGGATGTACGAACAGTTGACACTTCCCCAGGAAGTTGTTGTTCGCTGCAGGTGGTTATATCTAGACCGAGGCGGGCCTCTCCACTGACCCCAGTTGTAAATGGACAGGAGTTCGGGTAACGGCAATGACTGACCCCAGTGACAGCTACGATAAGCCTGATAAGGAAGCGTTATCGCTGAGAGCCCGAGACACTCAGTATGAATAACTTATACTCTCCACAATTCATTTATGACGGGTCAACAGACACATACATAACTGCATAACTAAATCTCAGAAACTAAATACAACTTTAAAGGAGTGACAGATTGCGAGTTTTCAAATCAAAACTTCCAGAGTCGAACAAACAAGACACTGCAACGGTCCTCCATCGGCCAGCGACGCAGCAATGCTGCTTCAATCCTCGAGAGTGGTGCTTCGAGCAACGGCTCGAGCCATCTAGGCTATCTTACCCACTCAAGCGTCCGCTTGCAGATTCTCTATTTCTCGCTCGCGCACAGCTTGGCGAACTTGTCGATGTAGCTGGGCAGAGTCTTCTGCCAGACGGTCGCATCCGAGTCGAGCTCCTTGATCTTGTCGCATTTCGCCTCAGTGATGTTGACGGAGCCTTGCTGCAGCTGGCTGAGGTGGTTCTTGAAGATAGGTTCGGTGGCCTTGAAGGCACAGAGCCCATAGTCGACCAGTCCCTTGACGTCGTTGCAGAGGGGCTTGTTGCCCTCGGCAGAGCAGCTCTTCTGGACAGCCGCCACGGCCTCGGTGTGGAGCTGCTTGAACTGCGCCTGCTCAGCGGCAGAGATCCCCAGTCTCTGGTCCACGGACTGGATGAGCTGGGGAAGGACCTGGTTATGGATGTAGGCGTTGTGCTGGTTGATGGTGGCGGTGCAGTTCTGCTCGCAGACTTCCTTGTGGAAGTACTCCAAGAGCTGCAGAGGCTTGTTGCCTAGGACCTTGGGGATTTCCAGGCAACTTTCCGGGATGTTGGGAAGGGAGGGGAACGCGGCGTTGGCGGCGGAGAGAAGGGTGGTAGCCACCATGACGGAGGAGACACTGAGCTTCATTGTGAACGGTGGAAGAGAGACTTGGAAAAGAGCTGGTTTGTTCTGAACAGGTGAGTTGGGCTGGATGCTTGCTGATGATGTTTTCCAAGGGTGATATTAAGAGGACCTTTATATGCTCGAGAGACCCATACACCTTCTCCGGGGCCATAGAAAGACCTCCATCCTGCTACACGCATGTGCATTGGATACGAAGTCCGATTGAATTTTCCTCTTGTTTGAAGGGTTGTTTCAACCTGAATGCCTTCAGCATCACCATGCATGATTGCTGTAAGCCCAGGCATCGCGGATCATCCCGAAGTCTGCTCCACAAAATCCCAAAAATGAGTCGACCCTGATCGGAACAAACAGCCACCAAGGGTAACTCATATCCGCCAGCCCACGCTGTGCATTGAAGCCGATGATGTCGAAACGGCTGATCGACGTTTCGACCGAGAATGAAGAGGATCGGAATATTCCAGGGAATACCTATCCAGTGGGTAGTGAATTGACTGCTAGGCAAGTCGTTTCAGACGACATCATACTTTGCATGAACCGAGGCACATTTAGTTCCTTTTTCCATTCAGCGTTCCGGAACTGTTCCACGGCCGATTGCTGAAAGTTGGGCATTTCTCTAACAAGGGCCGAGATTTAGCCTGATCGGCCTTCAGCCTGGATGCGATCTGTGGTCCTCCGATTGATAGTTCGAAACGAAGGATGTCCAGCTTATGTCTGATATTGATTAAATTATTCGGGATCTATAGTATAGAGTCGATAGATCAGATGCCGAAAAGACCGAGCGTCCCTTCCGTGCGGCAGGGTTCAGTAGTTGACTGGTTGTGTCATGATTAGGTGCCTGAAACGTACTTTCAGTTATGACAATAGCTGACTCAGGAAGCCGACCTCTCTTGCGCTCGACTGGCCAAGTACTAGGAGGGATAGGAGGAACATGCTCGTCTCAGCGAAGGGAATTCCACTGGCGACCTTCTTCGAGGTGGGCGACAGAGACCGAAGCAGCCAAGCTGGAAGTTCAACCATAACCGAGGTTAAGAACACTCAGCCCAACGAAGAAAGTCTCGCAGATGTGAGATGTATAGGAGTTCGCGCGTAGACTCCAACTCAACGGAAATTATTGTTGTCGCAGGGCTGAGGTTTGAGGCCGAGACTGACTTGATTGGTGGATCATCAGCATACTAGGGAGTAGCGATTCATTTCACTGATGAAAGTTCGGCCTCAGGCAACGCAGCGTGCCATACAGAGCGGGACAACGACCACAACCGCAATGCGATACTGATCATTCTCATTACCTAATGATCAAGGGAAAATAGATCTCTCCGGTGAGCAAGAACAGGTTACAAGCGAGCTGGAGCGACAGGCCCGCAGAGGCAAGCAAATTTTCCCGCATTACCATTGGCCCAACCAGAAATATGCAATGCAAACATAGCAAACCCACCTGACCTCGCTTGTGGCTAGCGCGGCCGCACCCCCAGTCTCTTATTATAAAAGGCCTCGAAATCTCAACTCTTTTGAAAATCAAGCGACTCTACGTGAGTGATCCCTCCCCCTACCTTTGGGAAAACCTTACCTTCCAAAGGCAATCCAAACGATCTTGATGAGAATCAGTCGTGCTAACCATTCTTTCTGCAATAGTTCAAAGAATCACTTTAGAGTAGACGTCCCACCTCTGAGCTCTTCTAAAGAGCCACAGAATCCTCACCCTTGCTGATGACTTCTATGTCCTCGATGCCCTAAAGTGAAGCCATTTTTGATACTTCCGACTCGACCTTGCTTGCGCCGCGCTCTGTTACGATCTGTCTTCGGACGGACTTGTTTCGGGCGATTGGACTTGCAACCGGTCCAGGGAGTGGTGATGATCTTTACCTTGTCGTGACGTCTTGACTTCGGTCGGTCTGACTTGGTGGGTGTCGAGGAGGTCTGAAAGGTGTTTTCCCCTCTTTTTTACACTTTTATGTTGGTGTATCTCGAGGTCTTGAGGTCGTTTTGCTCAATCTTGTTATGGAATTCAATGAATCAATTTTTTGATCTGAAAGAACTGTTCCCACTCGTAGCCATCTATAAATTCCTAAATCAAGGGTCATAAATGACCTGTCACAATAACACTCGGTTGTGAGTAAGGTTAAGATAAGAAGCTTGGATTCTTTATCCCTACTCCAGCACATGGAAGAGCTCCTAGCTGCAAGTAGATGCGTGAAGTCTTGCTGTAACGGTCGGCATAGTTGCATTACTATCGCGGATTGACTAGTTCAACGTGAAGTTGCACCCCACGTCAGCTTGCATAATTGAGATCTTTCATTGTTCATAGATATGTAGTAGCATTTTAGAGCACCACAGTGTGTTTATGTCACATCAGGCCATTTCTTCCTGCCAAAGCAGATTGTTCCTATGGACAATCTTCATGAGGAGAAAAAGGCAGCGTCCTGAATGATCACCGCAGCTGACCGAGTATTTAGCCAGTGCTCGGTAGGTAGGCAGATCTCACAGACGTGGAAAGCCACTTCTCACATTCCAAGGTCCTCAAGGACTTGGGGTCTTTTGTGCAAAGGGGGCTTTAGGAGTCTACCTAATAAAGAATAGATACCTGGCGCCAGATGCTCAGTGCGTTTGGACATGACGAGGAGTCACGCATACAAAGCGAGCCCTCCATGCGGGATTTCGCTGCAGGCGTACTTATAGACAGCACACGCGCAATCGTCCTTGCTGTGGATGATCGTTGCAATCGTGTTCAACCACCCTCCAACGCCTTACTTGCCATCCGCGCTTCCCTTGTTCTCAGAGTTGTTTCCGGCGTTGGCATTTGCATTCCCGCCGCTGTTGCTCTTCGAGCCGCCTTTGCCTTTAGAACCCCGTCCACCACGTGGTCCCCGAGATGAGTTGCCTCCGGATCTACCTCCCTCAGTGGCCTTCTCGCCCCTGTTGTTGTTGTTGGCGTTGCCTCCCGCGGGGGATTGCTGCGATTCGCCACGACCTTTACCGCGGCCCTTCTCACCTCCGGGATTTGCCTTTCTTTCCAGCACAACCACTTGGCTCTGGGCGACCGTGACAGGGCTGGCAGCGATGGCTTTCTGCAGTCCGTCCGGTTCTGCGAAGTCAACGTACCCAAATCCCTTCTTCTTATCGATCTCAACCTTCAGGACTTTGCCGAATGGCGCGAATGCAGTTTCCAGCAGTGGCTCGGTGACACCCTGGGACGGGTTGGCGTGCTTCAGGAAGGCTTGAGTGGGAGCGGCTGCTGGACTGGCCGAGGCCTGTTTTCCTTTGGCGGACTTGGAGGGCTTAGGCGTGGTACTGACAGGAGGGGTGCCCGCCTCGGACGGCTCGTTGGGCTGTGGCTGAGCACTGCCACGCTCCCTACCCTTGGAGGTTTGTGAAGAGTTCGCATTCTTCGACGATCTGTTGGAGGTTTCCTTCTTGGGGGGCTCTGAGGGAGCGGCGTTGGTCTGTTCGTTCTTCGAGGCATCCGAATCCGCAGCAGTACCTTTGCCGCCTCGTCGACGACCGCCAGATGGAGCAAGTCCAAGATCGCGCTGGAGAATTTTGGCGGCAGCAGAGATATTTCCACGCTCGCGCTTCCGCTCCGTCGATGGCTGGGGCGCATCCTTGGGAGAGTCCTTCGAGGTGGCGGACTTCGCCGCTTGCTTGGACGCGACACTAGCGGCCTGCTTGTTTGCCGCCTTGACAGCTTCCTTGGCAGCTCTGTCGGACCTGCTTTTCCTCTCTGGCTTCTCCGCAGCGGCCGACTGGGTCGCCTCTTTGTCGGGCCGTTGCAGCAACTTCTTCGCCTGCACCTTCTCCGACCTGGGCTCCTTGTCTGACTTGTGGCGGGAGGACTTGCTAGATTCCTTCGCTTTGTTGGCCTTCTTCTCCTTGATGTACTGCACCAGTGGCGTGATCATCACCGAGCCCTTCTTGTCCTCCGCATCGGCGGCCGACTCGATCGCGGCTGGTTTGGTGATGGGTTGAGTTAGGCTCTCAAGGAAGGCAATGAAATCGGGGTCCTGATCAATGGTTCCCTGACGAGCATCCTTGCGGGAACGACTTCCGGGGATCTTGGCGAAAGGCGCAAACTCCACCGAGGGCGGTCCTAGAAGGACAGGGTCGTTGGAAGTATTGCGGGCATCCTGGAAGGAGGTCTGGCGAACCTGAGTGGAAAGCGGGATGGTGTGATCATTAGAAACAACGTGGACGTAAGCTCGCGAGGGTCGAGAAGGTTTGGCGGGACTATTCACAAGTGTCAAGTTAGCGGACAAGCAAGCTTACAAGAAAGTTGATCATACTCCTTAGACACCTTGCCCGGCTTGTAGAGAAACCAATCGACCTTCCCAGCGCCAGTCTTCCATTCGGGGCCCAGAGCTGTCTCGAATTCGGCTTGGGTCAAGCCAGGCGGAAGCCGCCTGATGATGAGCTTCAGTCGCGGCGCGGGGGGCTTTGGGGCCTTTTTGGGGGTCGCAGAAGGGTTCTTTTGCGTCGCAGCCACCGGGATTTGCAGCACACCTCCTGTGGACTTGTTGGCTAGAGTCTGTGTCATGGCGGACACACAGGCTCTTTCGGTCTGAGAGCCCCCGCCCTGACAAACAGCGCGACCGGAGAGTTGCAGTGGGATGCCGAGAATGGAACGAGGTGAGAGTGAACTGAGGTGGAGGATATGTACTTCGGTGGTATCAAAATGATGAAGCTTTTCACAATTACAACATCATTTGGTGCTAACACCAGACCATGAGCAGCTCTGTTACTTAGAAGTGGAATGCTGAGTTGATTCCGTCCCCATCGGACGGCGACCGGCCGCCGATAGCGAGTGCACGTGACTGGCGGGCATGCCCAACATCAATTCACATCTTATTCACCCTGCGGGGAAGAACCCGCTGATGCGCTTCCAGCTCAGCATACTTGGTGTGTCCCGGTGTATGCGAGCCACTCTCCTTTAAAGATCTTCCTAGTTTGCCGCTCATTACACTTCTCCCTAAGTTTCCTCTCGTTAGTTATCTCTCCATCCTTCCACCTTAGCATCTGTCTTGATCCCCGACCATCCATCCATCCATCCATCCATCCGCAGTGTGGCGTCAGCAGCAGCATTATGGTAGACAGTAAGGTCCCTCAGCCGGGACCGGCCAAGTTGAAGCGCAATGCAGGCCCCGACGAGTGGCTCGAAGCAGCGAAAGACTGCAAGTATCTGTCCGAGTCTCACATGAAACAACTCTGTGAGATTGTGAAGGAGTTCATGATGGAAGGTAGGCTCTTATCCGAGATCGGCCGCCTCCCTTCAGACAGAGATTGACGCAACCGCCTGCACGCAGAGTCGAACATCCAGCCCGTCTCAACCCCGGTTACGATTTGTGGAGATATTCACGGTCAATTCTACGATCTGCTGGAATTGTTCAGGGTTTCTGGCGGAATGCCCAATGAATCGGAAGTCGAGCCTCCCAAGACCTCGCCCTCAGTCATAACGTCCGACGATATCGAGCCTCCAACCACCATCAGCGATCCCAAATTACGGAAGAAGCTTAGAAACTCTGGAGAGAGCGCAGAAGGCGGCGACGACGCAGCCTCCGCCTCCAGTCAACGGGGCCGCTCCTCGAGCGCAGGCTCGAATGAAGTGACACTGAACCGCAATTTCGTCTTCCTCGGTGATTACGTCGACCGAGGATATTTCAGCTTGGAGACTTTGACGCTTCTGCTCTGCCTCAAGGCGAAGTAAGTACCATGTGTCCGTCTGTGTTATCATCGAGAGTCTAAACTTCTTTCCCTGCCAGATACCCTGATCGAGTCACGTTGGTGCGTGGCAATCACGAATCTCGCCAGATCACTCAAGTATACGGCTTCTACGAGGAGTGCTTCCAGAAGTACGGCAATGCATCTGTGTGGAAGGCCTGTTGTCAAGTGTTCGACTTCATGACGTTGGGGGCTATTATCGACGGCAGGGTGCTGTGTGTACACGGAGGGCTGAGTCCGGAAATCCGGACACTTGATCAAGTCCGCGTTGTCGCTCGAGCGCAGGAGATTCCCCACGAGGGCGCCTTCTGTGACCTGGTCTGGTCGGACCCTGATGACGTTGAAACCTGGGCTGTCAGTCCCCGAGGAGCCGGTAAGCACGCACCACAGTCTCACCGAAGATCCAAACCATGACCCTAACACTTCATTCTAGGCTGGCTTTTCGGCGACAAAGTTGCCGATGAGTTCTGCCACGTCAACGACCTGACCCTGATCGCGCGAGCGCATCAGTTGGTGAACGAGGGGTACAAGTACCACTTCAGCAACCAGAACGTGGTGACTGTATGGAGCGCGCCCAACTACTGCTACCGATGCGGCAACCTCGCCTCGGTGTGCGAGATCAACGACGACCTCAAGCCGACGTTCAAGCTGTTCAGTGCAGTGAGTGACGATCAACGACATGTTCCGACATCGCGGCCGGGCCGCAGCGAATACTTTTTGTAAATTACCCACCTCGCGATTTGATTTGTGGCCTTGGAATCTCCGTGGATATCTCAGGGCGTTTTACACCGCACCGGCGCTGGCGTTGGGAGTGAATTACAGGATGGTGCTCAGGCTCCAGTTGGGTATGGGCAAGTGATGGACAATGGACAGCATACATAACGACCGAGGGCATTAATGAAGTTATTGTTATCAACTCTATAGAGCTTTGATTCTAGGATACTTGATACGTTACCGCAGAGTTTGATGAATTGGATGATTGATTGCGTGACTGGCCATGCTACCGGACGTTAAGATGGATGGTATACTAGTAGGTATACTAGACAGTGGGTATCCGACTAAGACCAATTCTCACTGAGCACAATCGGCGACAGCCTGACAACTTTCCCCTCCGCCACCCACAATTGAAGTCAATCTAGCGCATCGACCACTTTACAACTTTACTTTCCACCCCAAAAATGCGGAGGCAACAACCACACCACCGAACCAAGCGTAGCGCGCGGTTCCGGCTCCAGCTCCGACCCCAACTCCCCCCCGGAATCCCATCCGTCCCACCCCGGAACCCATCCCGGCCAAGGGTATATCTACAACAACCCCACCAACAATGGCCCAAGCACCAGCACCCCAAACCCAACCCCCAACATCCATCTCTAAACAATGACCCCAACCAAAGCACCCACAAAAGTCGACGTCCTCATCAGCGGCAGCGGCTCAGCCGGCCTCTGCGCCGCGACCTGGCTGGCACGGTACGGGCTCCGGTGCAAGGTGCTGGAGCGGCGCGAGGGCCCGATGACGATGGGCCAAGCGGACGGGGTGCAGTGCCGGACGGTGGAGATCTTCGAGAGCTTCGGGATCGGCGACGCGCTGCTGCGTGAAGCGTACCACGTGCTGGAGGTGGTGTTCTGGGCGGAGGAGGACGAGGGCGTGATCCGTCGCACGGGCAGGACGGCGGATACGTTGCCGGGATTGTCGCATCAGCCGCATATTATCCTCAATCAGGCGCGGATTAACATGTTGATGATTGAGGCCATGCGGGAGTTTAATGCGCAGGAGATTGATTATGGATATACCGTTCTGGGGGTTGATGTGGAAGGGGATGCGGATGCGGATGCGTATCCTATTAAGGTTATGGCGGAGAAGGAGGGGAAGGTGGAGAGGTTTGAGGCCAAGTATTTGTTGGTAGGTGTTCAGTCTTTGCTTGGGGTCTTGAAGGTTGGTTAGTTGTGTGGCTGATTTGTGGGCTTTAGGCATGCGATGGTGCGCATAGTACGGTGCGCAAGGCCCTCGGGTATAAGATGGTGGGTGATAGCTCGGACGCGGTCTGGGGCGTCATGGATATGGTCCCGCGTACGGATTATCCGGATGTTCGGAAGAAGTCGACGATTCGCTCGAAGGCGGGCAACCTGCTGATCATCCCGCGCGAAGGCGATCACTACAATCTGACGCGGTTCTATATTGAGCTCCCTGCCGGCACGAAGGCCAAGGACGTCAGGCTGGAGGATCTCCAACAAACGGCAAGGAAGATCCTGAGCCAGTATCGGATTGAGTTCGTGGAGACCGTCTGGTGGTCCGCGTATGCCATCGGCCAGCGCCATGCGGACTGCTTCCACAAGGACTACCGCGTCTTCCTGGCGGGAGACGCCTGTCATACGCATTCTCCCAAGGCTGGGCAGGGAATGAATGTCAGTCTGCAGGACGGTTACAATATTGGATGGAAGCTGGCTTTGGTGCTGAAGGGCCTGGCCCCGCCTTCTCTGCTGGAGACCTACGTGCTGGAGCGCCAGAAGGTGGCTATCGACTTGATCAACTTCGATCGCTACTTCGCCAAGCTCTTCTCTTCCAAGGGTGAGGCGTCCCCCCAGGAGTTCCAGGAGGGGTTCATCCAGTCGGGGAAGTATACTGCTGGTCTGACGGCCAAGTATGATGAGTCGCTGATCACTTCGGATACGGACGTGTCGAAAGAGCTCTCTACCAATGTCGTGGTGGGGATGAGACTGCCTAGCGCACAGGTGGTGCGCTTCTGCGACTCGAAGCCGCTACAACTGGCCACGACTCTGAAGTCAGATGGCAGGTGGCGGGTCATCGCCTTCGTGGGTGATCTCAGCATTGCGCATAACAAGGCTCGGTTGGATGCTGTAAGTGGTGCCCTGCTTCTCTTGATAACAAACTGACACTACACAGCTCGGAAGCTATCTCAGTTCCAGCGATAGTCCGCTGCAGACTTTCCGCCTGGACGGGGGCGATGCAGACAGCTTGATCGAGCCGATACTAGTTGGGTATGGCCAGCGACATAGTGTCGAGCTCGAGGACATCCCTCCATGCTTCTACCCTGTTACCGGCAAGAACCAGACAAGAGGTGCGTCCACTGGCTTCTTGATGGATGCGTCTTAACGAGAGACAGACCTTCATAAGATCTTCTTCGACGATGAGAGCTATAACAAGGGCCACGGCCATCTGTACGAGCACCTGGGCATCAGCCCTGAGAAGGGGGCCATCATCATCGTACGCCCAGATCAATGTAAGCATTCTTTTCTACTGGATGTTTTCCCTGCTAACAAATACAGACGTCTCGACTGTCCTGAGTCTCGACGACTACCGCCAGGTGGGCCACTTCTTCTCGGGCTGCCTGATACCCCAGATAGAGACGCAGTCCCGCCCAGAGGGCAAGCTATAGAGCAACAGCACATACAATCACCTCAATATAATACCACAATAAGCGTCCCGGGGGAGAACCCCCGGACCCCCCTTCCCTTCAGCCTCCTGGGCAACCTCAATCTAATACCAGAATAAAGCATCCGGGGGAGAACCCCCGGACTCCCCCCTTCTTTTCAGCCCCCTGGAACCTATAACCCATCGACCCTCAAAAACAACCCCCACTCCCGGGACAATGAATACCATTAAAAACCTCAAACCCCTTGAGTAACTCCCCTCTAAGCCCTCCCTTCCCCCTCTTGACACCCCGAACCAACGAAAGAACCTCCCCCTCCGAAACCCAGCTAAACCCCCTATACCCAGGCCCCAACTTCACCCCGCCCTCCCACCCAGAAAAGCACACCTCCCTCACCTCCACCAAAAACGTCAACTTAGTCTCCTGAAGCAGCACGCCGCGCTTCATCTTCGTCCACTCGTCAACACAGACTAGATCCACGAACCGCGACACATGGAACCCCGTTTCCTCGCGCACCTGGCGCGCCACGCCGGCCAGCACGGTGGCGTCGCGGGTCGCGTCGAGGACGCCGCTTGGGTTTTCCCAGCTTAGCGGGTGGGGGTCAGTGTGGCTGCGTTGGAGGAGGAGGGTTTTTGGTTCCTTTGGATATTTGCTGTTGTGGTTGGGGGTGAGCGCGGTGGTTGTTTCTGGGGTAGGGGGTGTTGACGGGGAGTGGGATGGCGATTGGGATGGGGTTGTTGCTGGGGTTGAGGTTTGCGATGTGGGTGTAGATGTAGACGTAGTAGACGTAGAGGAGGGTGAAGACGGCGCTGAGTCTGTTGCTGGTGAAGAGGAGGCGCTGAGCAGTGTGGCAGTAGTGGAACAACTTGATGCAGTGATGGACGATGACGACGGCGACGCCTCCTCAGGTACAGTGGTCGAGAAGATCAAAGCACTGGCGACGATGTTGTGGAACTGAGGCCGGGCCGCGGCGAAGGCGGACAGCGGGATGTTGTATTCCTCCAGATGGGGAGCAACCACGTACAATGTTGGTCGTTGTGGTATCATCGTGGTAGGGAGTATAAGCAGTAAGTAAGCATGTATGTAAATCAGTAGAAGTATGTGTATGTGTATGGGCAGAAACTGCCGTGGCAAGCACAATAATTAGTTAAAAGAGTTTAAAGAATCTAAAATCTATAGGAAGAAAGAAAGAAAGAAAGAAAAAACTCAAACTGGAACTGTCACCTTCATAAATCCCCCCCCTCTGGCTCCCTCTCACCTTCTCACGTTCTTTCGGTGTGCAGTACAAAAAGGTAAGAATCCCCCAGTTGTTGCTTTTCACAATCTGGCGGTCAAGAATTGTCCAGCCAGCTTTTGGCTAATTTTAGGCCGATCTGATCGATCTCATCCTTCCTCTCCATCAATGAAATTTCATTCTTTCAATTAAAATAAAAGAAAAAAACTTTAAAGGTGTGACAAGTGACAAAGTGACAGAAAAGCAATGTTATTTGACCTATAGGTATTATACCCCGTATATTTATTCTCTTTGCCCCCCTCTTCCTCCACTGGAATGGATCTATCGAAATGTCGGTGGTGGATGTGGTTCCAATCTGCGTATGCCCAATCTTTGGGTCCAACAGAAAACAAAGCTTCGTACCCTAATTTGTCTCTCTCTCTCCTTTCTTTCTCTCTCCTATTCTCCTTTCACTTTGTCTCCCCCTTTCCCTGACTTCGATTTTGTCTCACACTCGATACCAACGCACCATTTCCCTTCCAAGCCCAACGGGATCTCTCCAGACCGACTTCCTCCCGGCTTCTTCCTCTTTGGCGCACACCACCACGTCGGTGAGATTCTTGTGCTGACTCGCTTGCTCGCATTCCGCCCGCTGGTTCTGTTGGACTTTCCACCCTCGCACGAACCACAGGCACAGCGCCGCCGCGATGTAGACCATCCCCGAAAAGACCTGCACCTGCTGGTATGCCGCCGTGCCCCATGCCGGCCGCCGTAGGGCCTGCGCAATCGCCTCGCCAAACGCCCCGGGCGTGATCAGAACGAGCCACAGGATGCTCAGCGCCCCAGGCAGGTCTTGCAGCCCAATCACCTCGACAATCACCGGGGCCACCGTGGCAAAGAAGGTACCCGATACCATGCCCCCGATCGTAGCAAATACCGACACCACCGCCATATCTTGGGCCGGGATCCAGATCGCGAAGCAGAAACCCGCGCAGACCAATGACAGCACCGTCGCGACGTTCAGCCGGCCCAGCCGGTCGCTCAGCAGCCCAATAAGCGGCCGCCCGACCCCCTGGCCCAGGTTATGCAGCGCGCCGACCACACTGCCCTGGTGGGACGACAGGCCGATCGAGGCGGCGAAGTTCGGCAGGCTGAAGTTGATCGCCACAAACCCGATCGTGCTGAAGATCGCCCATCCTAGCAGCATCACGAATTCCATCCGCTTGAGCAAGGGGAACTTGAACGCCGTATGGCGGCTCGCGGTTGCCTTGTTGCGGTCGCGCAGGAACGCCGTGCTCACCAGATTCGCCGTGAGCGAGACCAGCGCGAGCGTGCGGTACGTCCACGCGAGCCCAATGTTCTCGATCATGGACTGGATGGCCAGCGAGTAGATGATCCCGCCCGTCCCGGCTCCGGCCGCGGGGATGGCGTTTGCTATACTGCGTTTGCGCTCAAACCATTGCGCTGGAATGCCTAGGTACGTCATATAGATGACGCCCATGCCGGTCCCAAAGCAAACTCCCTGGGCTAGAAAGAGCTGCCAGGTCTTGGTCGCAAAGGAGGCTGCAATCAACCCTCCGCTTTGCACGATGATGCCTCCAACAAGTGTGGCATGAGTGCCATGCGTTCGGATCAAGTAGACCGTGAAGGGGGCCATCAGGTAAGCGCAGCCAATCGACAACCCGCCGATCATGGAGAAGGCGAAAGAGCTGGTGTTGGGAAACACATCGTTGGTCATGTAGTAGGAAAGAAACACTCCATAGCTCTGGAGGCGTGTTAGCTCTGGACTGCACCAGGAAAGGCTCATGACCTCATGGACTCACTCCATTTATACCCCAGGTGTTCACCTGGAGCCAGAAGACACAAGCCACGACCACCCAGCCATACCCGCCATCGGGGGCTGGTTGTCCATGCTCAACGGTGATGTCCTGCTTCATCGTCGATTCTTGGCTATAGCAATCATCACTTTCAGTATGGGTATCGTTCGACCCACCCTCGACATGTCTGGCCTCCTTGTCCCGCATTGAATCCATTTGGCAAATATGAAAATCCTGTCAAAATCCCTGTTCGATGTACATTACATCCCAGACCCTCCGAAACGAACAGCGGCCCGGAGAATCAAATAGCACGAGCATTGAAGCTCTGTCAGAGCTTGATTGCCAGTGGAAAAAACACCGCCGACGACATTCTGCATCCAGAATTCTCCGCACCGAACACGCAGAACAATCGACTCCACAGGGCTGGAATGTGCTTCTTACCCAGCTGGGAAGAAGCTACTCCCGGGGAAAGCTTCATGGCCAAACGTTCGAACCTCAAACGACATGATTCCTGATTTGGGGCCCCCCACCGAATCGCAAGGGAGGTCGAGTGCTTGCGCAATGCGATGAATGGGCCGAGATTTTCAGGTGTCTATCTTGCCTATTGGGGTTGCTTCTGGTATGGACGGTGAAGAATGCTACTATTGCGAGGGTAAGTTGCACATCCTGAGCCGAAAGAGCGGTATCCCTTGCTTGACCGAAGAGCTGATCAACAGAAATAGAATAGGCTGGTCGGCTCATGAAACGGTCTGTGCCATTGTGAATCGGATGAGCAGAAAGACACTTCGCACGTTGAGTGATGGAAGCTGGGCCGGCACCTGATCTTTTCTCTTACTGCTCCCTGGATCATCCCCTGATTGGACGTAGAGAATGGATGAGGGTCTGTTTCAGAGGAACCGTTTCTTTGCGCACGTCGCATGACATCATCGTGCCTGATTCCTAGCATGCAGATCTGTGCTGCCCTTCAGGAACACCTTTGCTCAAACTCAAGGCACGGCAGCTTGGATCAATCCAGCTTGAGCTACAGACGGTGGAATCGAGTGGTCAAGCCAAACAACAGACCCATAGACAAGTTGGCGCTTCTGAGATGGCCGTTGATACTCGTGCCTGTACCTCTAAGGTGATGATGTCGATGGCGTTGGGCAAGCTCGAGGATGACTGATAAAGCCGGCTCAAAATAGAAGTACATGGAAATTGCTCGGGAGAAGCATGTGCATGCCACCTGGAAAAGGCGTGTGTCAATGGGTGGCAATATCCGATCAGACTCTTCTGACATGCACGAGAAAAGCGCGTCATTAACAAGGTAAGATCTACAGCCAGAGTGGATGTGGCTGGTCGATTTGTTCTGCCGCTGGCTGGATCGCCAGCACGGAGGGTTCATGCCTTCAAATGCAGTTCCATGGAGGCGTGACAAATCTATACCCAGGGCTCTATTGATCGTCAGATTTTCCCACGGGACTTGCCGTCTGCCCTGGAACTGCACTCGTAGAGCCCCGTTAGTGACTACCTCCAACGCCGCGATGCTGGAAGACGCGCGTTCTTCCAACGTCAACATTGTACAGTGTGAGCGAAAATATATGCCGCGAAGCTGGATCCGCTGAGCGTAGCATCTATTTTTTCCCACCAGCCTGCCTACAACCCGGTGATTAGTCAGTCCCTGATCGGTTTACGCGTACAAGCAACCCAAGATCCGCTTAACAGGAGTGCATGGTCTTCGGCTGTCGATCAGCAAACGAAATACTGGAACTAGAAACTAGAGCGAGAGTAGTATCCACGATTCAGGGTGCATGAACTAGGGTGCGTAGGGAGCTGTGCTTGGGGCATCAGGCAAGAAGGTAAATTTGTCATAGATCCAACTGAGCGTTTTAGTGTAGTAAAAGCCTTGATGATACGTCATGGAAGTATCTATAGATAAGATATGGTCGCGGAGGTGGGATCAGATGTCACCAGGTTTGTCCAGTATGGCATAGCTCCGGGTCCACTCGGAGGCGTCATATACGCGTCGAAATATTTGACAGGTTGGGCTCAGGCATGAGGCAGGTCATCTTCAGCAGGAAGGGCTCCGCCGGCCTGCATTTGAAGCGCAACGTCATCAACTTCCTTCCATACTCGCAGCAAATTGCCCCCAGCTACTTTTCCTGCATCCTCATCGCTCACACCTCGCCTCAACAACTCCCGGATTAAAGCCGGATATTTGGACACATCCTCAAGGCCTCTGGGTACCGTGGGGATGCCGTCGAAGTCGCTGCCCAATCCAACATGGTCAAAGCCGATAAGCTCAGCAATGTGCATGATATGGTCCACAACGTGTTCCAGGGTGGCATCCTCAGGCTCGAAATGCGGGAGTCCGTTGGGATCCTCCGACGCCCTACATGAAATGAAGTCTGGTGAAAAATTGACCATGACAAGCGACCGGCTTGTTTTGACCAGCCCCAAGATATCGTCGGGGACATTTCGTGGATGGGGACAGACAGCATATGCAGAGCTGTGGCTGAAAATAACTGGCGCGCGGCTGCCGGCCCACTCATCTTTACCAGCACCTAGAACGTCACGCATCGTGTCCGTGCTCACATGGGACAAGTCGACAATCATCCCAAGCCGATTCATCTCTTGAACGAGGGTCTTACCCGCTTCGCTTACTCCGTGCCAAAGAGGATCCGCTTTCTTGATACCCCCCGGAATCTCAACAAGGGCGGCATCGGCATACCGATTGTGACAGTTGTGGGTCAGAGTGGCATACGCAACACCACGCGCGTGGAATTCTCGCAATTGGGCTAACGAGTTACCGATTGAATGGAGCCCTTCCATTCCAAGCGGGGAGATGATCTTCCCCTCATGGAAGGCTTGAAGAGCGGTCGTGCCATTCGGAGGCGTGGAGAAAGTGTTGGGGTAAGCTTGTTGTAGACGCAACATCACGTCCACCTGCTCGGTGGTCTGGCGTACACCTTGTGTGCGCGATCAGCGGAATTTATCTGTAAATCGCTACATGAAACTCACTAGTGGCATAATTCGCGTCGGAGAGATCGGTTCCGTCGGCGGGACATTGCACAAAGACGCTCCAGAAAGTGCCGCCCACCTTCCCCTTTGCCAGTCGGGGTAGATCAACATGGCCGGCCAAGTCGCCTTTAGTAAATGGCACCTTGAATGCATCATCGTAGATGTGATTTTGGAAACGTTCCCGGATGAAGATTGGAAGATCATCGTGGCCATCTACACACTCCGAGGTTAGCTTTCTGAGCAGGAGCGAAGCAATTGCAGAGCCATGTCCCACCTATCAGAGGTGTTTCCGTTAAGATCTTGTCCACCCTTTGCTCAAGGCTAGGTGATGAGCTGCATTTCCTAGCCGTAATCACGCGAGTATTACCAAAAGCAATCAGGAAACATGCGAGTACAAGCGTCAGGAGCAGGTGGCTCTTCTTGCGAGCCCAGGAAGATCGGGTGTGTGCATCTTCTCTGGTAGCGTCCGACAAATGCTCACCCAATTCCGGATCGCGCTTGGAATCCATTTTTCCAGGCCGATAATGTAAGATAGCAAGGAAGTTTGCAGATACGCAGCGAATTCTCTGTTGTCAATCGATGGGTTTGCAAAGGTATGGGGAAAGAGCCCACTGACAGAGCGATGGGCCGGTGCTTGTAGTTGTTACTCAATAGTCAATGCGCGCCTGCATGCTTTATCAGCAGGTGCGGCAATTCTGAAGTTTGAAAAGCAACTGATTCCTACCGCTGTGTATAAGCTGAACTTGACAGGAGGATCATGCAGGGCTCTAGAGTGTAGAGACGCAATATTATCTCACCATTTCGGTGGTTCTCACAAGAGTCGTTATCAACACCGACAATTGGCGATGGATGACAAATTGCCCCAGTCGCCCGATAAGGAAGGAGAAATGCCGCATTGCACGACAGCCAATCACCGGTGTCCGGCAAACCCCCCAGGAGAGGCAGAGACCAAGCCTTCAAGGTTGAGGCCGCGGGCCCCGGGGCTCGCCCGCAGCGGCTCTCATGTTCCTCCGAATCTGATCTGTAGAGGGCTTATGGTAAGCATCACCGCTCTCATGCTGTGCCACTGCGGGGGTATTACCTAGATCAGAGCAGGTGATCTGTAATTGCACTTCATTTTTGGCTCTTACGTCTCCAACAGTAGGTTTTCTCTTTCTCCTCGGTGGTACTCGGAGTTTCAACACTTGCTTTGGACGGGTAAATTCGAGCATCTCCGTGGTAAATATATATTCGGCCAATGACCCTAGGATTTATTTCCACATAATAGCTTTCTATAGCGTAATGAGCTGTGTTCAGGAAACATCGAGCAGCGGCATCATATAAGGAGCAATGCGCTCGCTCAATTGAATGGGTTGGGTTCCTGTGTCTGGAGCTTAAAGGTAATTGATAAGTGATTGTGATGGTCATGATGATGCTCGTTTTACTAGTCGCTACGTTGAGATATAATGGCAGATACGTGAAATTTTACCATCAAGTAGCATCATTGGTCTAGTGGTAGAATTCATCGTTGCCATCGATGAGGCCCGTGTTCGATTCACGGATGATGCAATGTGATTTCATTTTTGGAAACCTCTTTTTGTTTCTCCTTTTCCAAGGTTCGAAGCCGCTTTCTCGTCTTCTGAAGTGCACACTTTTACGCGCAGCTACTCGGAAGCATGAATCACTCGTACAGTATATATTCAAGCATATCCATAGATTCAGTCAAAGCGAATACGCTGCTAAACAGGAAACCCCCCCACGTCTCAATCGCAACTAGTACGCTCCCTTCCGAGCCTTGTACTTAGGTTGATCCACCGACTTCACACTCTTTAATGCCGTCAGGACCGGCGTCTCATAGCTCAGCTCCAGGCTCTCCACCTTAGCGCCTCCCTCATTCTGCGCCCACACACTCAGGGCGACCCAGTTCGTTCCTTGGTAGTTGAGGATACCCTGGGGCACCGGGAAGCTCGTCTGGGGCCCGATGTTGCTCACATACTTACCATACTGGTACCCGTTCACATACAACTGCGCACGGTACGCATCGGGGGTGGTGCTGTTGCCGAAGTTGAAGAATAGGGGCACGTCCCATCCAGTCGGCAGATCAAGCTTGAACTCAGCACTGTAGAATCCAATGCCGGGCTTGGAAAGACCGTCAAGGGGACTGGCAGACTTCCATTTCTGGGTGGGAGGCTGAGGCTGATGGTAGCCCTGGCGTTCAGCGTACAGGCCACCCTCGTTGAGAGGACCGCGGGCCTTGTCCTGGTAGTCTTCGCCGCCGAGGTTGCCCGTCAGCTTCCAGGAAATGACGTTGGCGTCACGGCCGGCCAGGTTGTAGTTAAGGATACCACGGGGCGCCTTCGACAGTTCCGAACCAACGGTCCAGTCCTCGTCCAGACCCATGTTGTCGACGACCACGGTGAAGACGTATGTTTGGCCGGGCTTGAGCTGGGGAAGCGTGACGGTTTGGTTGTAGTCCGCGTACTTGAAAAGTCCAGTGAAGGAGCCGAGGAAGGTTTCGTTGAGCCAGATGGAGCTGCCAAATGCAGTTCCACCTTGGGTGTTAACCGTAAATTCCGTTTCGTTGCCGCTGGCGACGAAGTGACCACGGTAAATCAAGTAGCCGGTGTGGAAGCCATAGTCGGAAGAGTACAGTGAAGTAGGGGTGGTTAGGGGACGGAATGTGTTCTTGGTCTCGGCGAGATCGGCAGCCTTCCACTGAGAGTCGTCATACGAGGACTGGATCTCGGGGAGCGTGTCCAAGTACTTCCAGCTCAAGCTCTTCAAGCTAGGGAGCGAGATCTTGGGGGCACTGTACTTGACTTCCGTGGTCCAGGCACCGTTCTTAGCGACCGTGTGGCTGGTCTTCTCCCCATTGATATATAGGTTCCTGGTGCTAGCCGGCGCTCCAAAGACCTCGACGGGGGTGGTGGCGTTGAAGTCGGCCGTTATGTAAAGACCGTTGCCCTTCACGTGCGCAGTCCGCACAAGGTAGCCTGCCTTGACAATGACGGATGATGCAACCGCAGCCTGAGTGCTGTACTCTGTTGAGCTGCTATCCTTACCGACCTGGGGCACCCAGTAGTTGTATGCAGTGTTTCGGTCTATTATTCGTCAGCCTAAGCGGCCCAAACATGGTGAAAGATAGCTTACCCAAGAGATGAATCTTCAAGTCCCCAACCTCGATGATCTGGCGAGTAGAGGACACATCCCATCCAATCAGAAGCGACTTTCCGTTTTGCTTAGACAAGATAGCGGATGCCTTGCCTTCAATCACAGTCACATTTGACTTAGTGGTAATTGCAAGTTCATGGTGCTCGCCGGCTCCCCCGTACAGAACAAGAACCTTGCCATCGGAGAATTTCTTCCAGGTAAAGACCTCAGCAGTTGAGTAAAGGATGTTCATTCCAGACACATCATAATCAACGACGTGAATTTTGGAGTCGCGTCCGTTGAGGGTCAAACTTCCTCCCAGCTGAGGGATGGTCAGACTACCAGCACTGGAGGGGACTTTGAGTTTGTAGGAGGTAGAAGCCTGGCTGGTGTACTCGGAATGCCTGACAACGAAGAAAGAGCCAGTGTTGTTGCTGCCAAGCAAAGGAGTTACGGTGAGGTCAGAGGTATCGGCATAGCCGGAAGTCGTCAAGTTTCCAGGGGTGGCGAGGAGGTAACCGGGCGAGACCTTGGCAAAGTTGCCCAGAAGTTTGAGCTCACTGTACTTCTCCCGAGTGAGATTGCGGGATTCGGTCAAGGGTGAGCCGTAGTCATAGGACGTGTAACCGTTGGCATAACCGAGGTTGCCCCAGTTGGTTCCTCCGAAGGTCTTCAGGGATTAGTTGACATACCAGAGTAAGACAGGTAGCTATGAAACTCACCATGTACAGATTCAGGATAGCAATACCGAAGCTGAAGTTGTTCTTGTAGAAGACTCTTTCAAACTCGTAATTGACGAGAGCAGAGCATTTCTCAAACCCAGGACCACCCCATGGGTCGAAAGCGCCTGCTTGGAACTACTGATAATGAGTAATGGCGCATTTCAATTGAAGTGCAAGACATACCTCAACGATCGAGTAAGGGGTCGTGGGACTCTGTTCAAGGTGAAGGGTACGGAAGTTGGTAGGCAGGTTGCCTTTGGGCCAAGTGGCAGGGTTTGCCTAAACGAGATTAGAAAAAAACAGAACACCACAGTGTAAGTACATACACAATCGAACCCAAGTCTAAGAAAGTTAGTCACTGTCTGGCACGAAAGAGGATGGTAACTTACGGGTAGCTATCGTGACCATAAATATTCACCGAACCCTTGCCGGTGCCCGGAGCGTTGTGTCCGCTGGCCGAGGCATCGTTGCTGATGAAAGGAACCACGATCCCGGCGTTGCGAGCCTGGTCAAGGACGTATTGCATGTAGTCTGGATCAGGGAACTTAACACCATTAGTAGCACCGGTGTATTCGTTCTCGGGCTGGTAGAGAATCACAGGACCACCGTTGGTAATCTGGTACTTGGCAATGGTCGAGGCGACGTGCGAGATATAGCTAATACCCGTTAGCTATATCCTTGCGCAGGAGTGATGAGAAGGAGGCCATACTTGTCAGTAGCCTCCAGGAAGGGCTTGTCACTAGACCGAAGAATACCATCGATCCTTTGCGTCCAACCGGGGAAACCTCCACCGGAAACCTCCGCATTGATGTACGGTCCGGGACGGGCGAGGAGGTAGATGCCGGCTTGAGAAGCGGCCTCGAAAAAGGGTTCGAGCGCAAAAACCCCGTCCGCTCTGTACTCACCTGGCTTTCCTTCTAGAAGGGCCCAGTCGACATAGAAGGAGACCGTGTTGAACCCAAAAGCCTTGATCTTCTGGAAGATGTCGATGTACAGCGATGGAACCGGAATCCTATCACCATGGTCAGAAATAGCACGATTATAACCCGAAAGGCTGAGAATCAACTAACCGGAATGGGTGGACTTCTCCGCTGAAGATCATAATTCTCTCTCCATTGATGAAGAGAGACTTGTCATCCCAAGTGACCTATTGTTCTCAGTCAGTCAGGCTCAAGCGTCTGATCAGGCAACGTACATGTTTCTGCGACAATTCTCGCTTCACCGCATCTGGATGCTCGGTGAGAGTGAAGCCATTGAGGCGATGCTTGATTGATGCCCCAGCTGCGTGTGCTGCCAGAAAGACAGCACCACAGATAGGAAGAAACCTCATGTTGGGTGGATTTCTTGCCGCAGATTGTACCGACCAGCAATTGGTACTGAGCTGCCGCACTCAACGTGATGCAGAGCAAGATTAATCTTGAGATAAAGGGGCAAGTGACGCATTTTATCCCCGTTTCCACCCCTCTCTGCAACCCCTCCTGTGTAGGCTGAATAATGACCGGAATTGTTAGCATCTTAGCCGGGCCACGACCTTTGTTTGCGGCCGCATTGACATCATACTATATGGCGCGAGAGAGCAAGAGAGGGGAAGTGGGACTCGCAGATTAAACGAATGGTGCTAAAGATGCGCAGATAGGCAATCAATGGTGGCAGAAGAGAAAAGGGGATGACGATGAAGACGAGCAATAAAACCAATGGGGAAAGCGGCCTGACGATCCTCCACAGCGGCAGCGCCCAGTCCGGCTAGTCTACGGTTGGTGGTCCGTCCGCCGCGGGGGTTTTCCTTCTCCGCATCTTCTCTCTTCCGCAGCTCATCAATCTTCATCATCTTCCTTTCTGCACTGGTCTACTTTGGGAGGTGATGATCAGGTCGTCGCATGCAATCATGAAGCCTCTTATGCAGGAACAATACCTTCGTTACGTGGTGCCTTGACAACTCCATCATTTGAAAGCATTACCACAAGAAAGCAAGCCGATGTGGTACCTCGCCATGGCGGAAGGACCCTGGACCCAGAACCCAATCAGTCCAAGCTTCACGGCTGGCTGGACTGTGGGGTGCCACCGGAGAATTGTTGTCAATTTGTGGATAAATTCACTCTCCCTGACTGTCATCATTTAAGATTGATCCGCATTTCCCATCTCGAATCATGCCACCCCACATCTGGTCCCCACCGAAGAGTTGCCTTCAAAACAAGAACCGAGAACAACACGAAAGTCAGAAGCAATAATTCCACTCACGGGTCTAAGTTTGTGTGCGCACAATGATCACTTATTCACTTATCATGTGCTCGATAGTCGATCAACAAAACCATGCGAAAGCCGTCCCAAGCTCAAATGCATCTCAACCAAGCCAAGAATGCATCTTCTGCGCCCGATGATGGCATCAGTTTCTCCGATGTTCACCCGAGGTGCAGCAAACTCACAACCCCTCAAGCTGACATTAACCGAGAGATTGCAGTAATTAATTTAAAGAGGAATGCAGAAGATTTTCCATCCTTCCAAGTATCGGCTCATCCTGACACGGCTGGTCCAAGCGTGTGCTCCAAGTTTTTTTCCGGAGTCAGGCCCACTCAATGAACCCTGAAGGATCTTGAATGCTGCCTGCCTTTCTTCATGCGTTTCCGACATCAACACCCCCACCCTCGAGCTTTCCACAGTACCTAGCTATGGCTGCGAGTCTGCAGTGCGACTAGCTCTCGTCCCTATCGCTCCATGTTCTTCAGTCGCAGACTTGACTGTTGGAATGCGACCTGAACCTCCTCTAGAGAGCGTCCGCGCGTTCCAGGCATATAGTCCACTAGGAATGAAACGGAGCCCAGCTCCAAGCCGCCGAGGAGAGAGTACACACCGAAGGTCAATTTATCCAGAATATTTGGGGTGAGTATGGTAACCAGCCAATTTGTGAACTATGATGCACACGTGTTATGAGCTATACATAGCCAAATCATGGCAAGAAAGACAAGAAGGAAGCCTCACGAAAGCCAACGCTTGCGCCACGCCACTGGCCGACGCTCGCACATGGGCTGGCTGGATTTCGCTGGCATGAATCTTGCTCATATTCCCCAACTTACTGAGTATGCCAGTTCAAACACGAAGACCGCTGTGATAACCACCCAACGCGCCACGCCGGACTGATGTACCACTCCAGCAGCCTACAGGCCTCCAATGGGGAGCATACACGCCGCGAGAATGAGCCCTCTTGTGATGGCCGAGATACGACGGCCCCAGCGGTCTGCCAGCAAGAAGGTGGGAATAGTGTCAGCCAGCGTTTGGATAGCAAAGACGCCAGAGACCAGAGAAAAGGCGGTCGCAGAAGGTAGGCCAGCTTGGGCGGACAATGTGGGCGCATACTAGGCTTCTGTCAGTCTCCCAGTGAGCCCGTGTCCGAAGCCTCTTCTTTTGGACTTAACTCCTTGAAGGCGTGTTCGTGAGAAAGTATGGCATGCGCGAAGCCTGGTGTGCCCATAGCGTGTATGCCTAGAGAATGATAATGGAGAATTCTAAGCAACGCAGCATCCTCAAGAAGTCCACAAGATACCAGGCCACAGATTGATATTATCTGTACCTTCTACCAATAGATCGCTCGGGTTGATCAAATCCATGTTGTAGTCCGACGTGCCAAGGAAGTCCTGCATCGTCGGTTCCAGGAACGCCATCTCCGTCGCAGAATTCGAAGCGGACAATATGCCGGCGTTGTGCGTCTCCAACTCCGTATCCGCTGCCGTGGTTAGGGCTGACGGGATGGATAGCCACGGAGTATGACTACGGGGCTCTTGACCCTCGTGCATGTCAGTTAGATCAGCTGGTAATGCCTGCTTGACGCGTTTGATATTCTCATAGAATTCTGCAGCGGCAAGATTGCCGTGGTCGCCCATCCGGTGCAGAATCTCAGTGGCTGTTTCCAAAGCCTCCAGGTCCGCCGGATTTCCAAGTGAGGGAAGAAGCCCTGAGATCACCAGCGCGATGCAGGATGAAAATAGATACTGAGTATAGAAGTAGCCATGCATAGGCAGAGAGCCATTGACCCATTCCTCAATGATCAGGGAATGTGAGTGCCGTGCAGCGTGGGTGCATGCGTCGCTAATTGTAATCACGGGCTGCGGGAGGTCTTCGGCGTCTTCTCGGTGACCGCTCTGGAATAGAGCGTGAAGTAAGATGGGACGGGTGGCTAGAATGACACACTGAAGTTCGTGGTGAGCAGGTGTATCGATTCCGAAGAAATTTGGGATGCTTACCTGATTGAACTGTAGATGCAGGGAGAAGATGTGCTTGGGAGGTGCGCTGTCATCCGGACGTAAGCGCACATGTACTGGAAGCGACTGCAGCCAATCTTGTAGGGCAAGTAACAGCCGCTGTTCTCGTTGCAGGAATGGTTCTGCATGGTGCTTTCGGCCGTAGATCTTGTCGACTGTCTGTCCAATAATGCGTGAAGATCGGATGGTACCCACTAGGTTTGCACTGTCCGAGAACTGCTCCTGGGCAGTGGGGTCGGCGATCTCTGTTGGCAGGTCGACATGGATATCTTCATTGCGGATCTGCAATGGGAACCCAATTTTGGACGTGAACATTCGGTCGAATACATAGATAGCCCACCAAAGTCGCACCCTGTTTTCACGTTTTATAGGATTCACACACTGTTGCGCGGGAATGTTATGGTTCAGTCCAAGAATCAAACCTAAGCGCATCGCACTACCGATTAACACGTATCCCAAGTATCTTCTGTTGAGGAAATAGGAGAATAAAGACTACCGCTGAGTTAGACAATACTTCGGTGTAGGTGAAGATCACTTACCAATAGCAGCAAGCTTGTACGTGTACCAAACCCGGTCGCTCTGGCATGATAGGTATAGGACTCATTGCCCGGGCGTGATAACTCGTCCCTGGCACTCGACTAGTGGGTGACGCATTTGGTCGAGAGGAGTAGATCCCCCCCAGGGCAAAGAGACCAAAGAATTTGCATATTATGGCGGGATCATCTCGCAGCGTAGGGATTCGATAGACAGACTCCGGCTGCTCGAGAGTGAACTTGCGAAGGACCAGATGGTAAACACGACTCAGCTGATTGAAAGCGGTGCCGATCAGTAGGCGAGCTTGGGCGAGCCCAGGCCACTGCGTTGCGCCTTCGAGCAGGGAAGACTCGGGGGTGTACTACGTCCTTGCGACATGAGCTGTTTTGGGATCTCCTGTCAGAAATTGCTGCAACCGCGTCGAGATTGCTGTGCACGCTGCTTCCCCCATATATATGGATGGGGCGGAAGAGTCGTATGGTTAAAACCAGGCGCGGTCTCCGATGAGTGGGTTCTGCACTGAGGGGTAGGCGTCTGATGACGGCACAGAGGCTTGTACCGACGCGGAGGGAGAGACTTGAGGGGTGCTGAGAGCGCGTAGTATTTCATTTAGCTGTGAGTTTTCGGAGAGAATCTCGTCGATGTAGCTGACGAAACTTGGGAATTAGCCGGGATAGAAGACGGTTTGAGCCAGGACACGGTCAGATACCTTTCCTGAACTTTGAGCTTCTTATCGCGCACAGCATATTGACAGGATTCCCCGCATTCAGTCTGCCGACATCTGGAGCAGGACTGTCTGCCTGAGCATTTGATCTTGAGTGCGTGGCAGCGATTGGAGCTGTGCCAAAGGAGTTAGAGTGGACACTGTGCATGGCCTCAAGGAATCACGACATATGCTACAGGTTTCTTTTTGAGTCTTTTAGGCTGGTGCTAAACGACTGGCATGAACACTAGAGTTGCTGACTACTGCAGGCACAAGAAGGATATTGGTTCAAAGTAAGCAGGTGAATTGGAATGCAGGTGCGTGCTCTCAGGGCAAAATCGCCAGCAGAATCTCCATTCAAGAGGCTGCCCATCGACCTGCATTATCAAGGACTATCCTGGTCTCATTCACCGCAACTCTCTGCCATCAAAGTCCAACTCCACGCGTTAACCTTCTTCGGCGTGAAGCCCTGGTCAGACTTTCCTAAGTTGACGGATCGGACAGAATGGGATCGACATCAAAATCATTACGTGCACACGGTGTCTTTGAGGGACATGCAGCCCAGCCCTCTGAAGTGGCAGCAGAAGAGTATAGATGGTGAACACCCAGCCATCTATAAATCCGTGATTGATGTGCTCATGGAATTTTCGAGTGAATTCAGCTACCCTTCGACATTTAGCCATTGCTTCATCTCCCGGGTATATTCCCTGAGCGTGAATCTTCACTAACTATCGAACCTCGGGTGCGTGGGTAAAAAGTAAGATATCGTTAACCGTTACGCTCCAGATACTGTAAATAGGTCCAAGAACTTCGAGATACCCATTTCATGGACATATTAAGGATTGGCGCTAGATATTATTCAGTTCATGCACCTCCAGCTCAAAGTCGTCTCTCCGCTTGGGAATCTAGGCGCTTTGATTGTGAGAAACCCCGAAGTACCGCACAGCGTGGAAGTCTTGCCGTCTTTCCATTAGTCTAGTTATTATTTCAGCTGCTTAAACGTTCGATGTTGACTGTGGCTGAGCAAAGATGGCACTGACGCTATTGCGGAAATCATAATTAGGAGGGCGCCGATAGCACTTTGAGAGTATTCTTGGGAGTTGACTGAAAAGAAGATACCAGTTGTCCTTCCACTTCTTTCCCTGCTTGCCGCTTTCCTCAAAGAGAGTCACCGGCTACACAATCCCTTCCATCCTTGCAAACTAGTACTAGTTCTCGTTAGATGTGATAATAGAACGCGAATTTCTGGTTCAGACATTCATGGAACGGGGTATCGCAATCTCCAAGAGTATTGTCGCAAAATCTTCAACGCCTTATCATTCATGATAATCTCCGCTTGATTCTCCGCCTCGATGAACCGAGGCGCAACTGCCGCCCACGGCATGCGTCTAGCCTCCATCTCCTGGAGAAGCATTTCGAGTACCTCGTGTTTCTCCCGAGAGGCAGCGGATCTCAAAGGTGAGAACGAACCGCAACCATGCGAAGGGTCGGCTCCCCGATCGAGCAGCATGCGGATGCGGGCGCTGCTGCTTGAATCAACTGCGCAATCCAGCGCCGGCGCGCCGGTCCGCTCATTGATGTCGACACCGTGCTGAATGAGGAGGTCTACGGTGGCGATGGCATCGGCATCCGATGTTTTAGCGCTCGCTGCATGGGCAATCATCCTCACCTTCGGCTGCATCCCGGGCTCGCGAATGAGAAATCCTCGATCCAGAAGCCACTGAAAGGTCTCCACCGAGCCAGTTGAGGCTGCAACCGCGAGAGCCTCTTCGTGTTCGGGCCGAGGCAAGCGGTCTGGTAGGAGGAGCGCATCCCATTTCCCTTTGCTGAGAAGGAACTCGAGGATCGTCCGGCCGCCGCGAATTGCTTGATGAAGGAGATTGGATTCGCCCATGTGCTTTTCCAGTTCGAGTCCCTGGTCCAATAGCATCTGTATCTCCGCCTTTCGACCAGAAGCTACCACGGCGGCAGCCACCGAGGTTCCATTCGACTCAACCTCAGTTGGGTCGGCCCCCGCGGCGAGCAGGCTGCTAAAGATGCCCTCATGAGGAATGGCTGCCTTCAATGTCGACTTACGCCAATTGTAATATCGATTATTTGGATCAGCACCTGGATCAGCACCTGCATCAAGGAGCATTGAGACGATGGAATCGAAGCCTTTATCAATTGCTTCAAGCAACGGCTTCCGCATTTCCTGTGACCAAGGATAGGGAGAAGGTTCTCGTGAGATGTATCCGACGTACCAAGGGAATTCAGGCTTCCTAGTGTGCCCACTGCACCCTCGCCAAGGGTCCATGAAGATATAGCGGTGCTGGGCTGGAGAAACCTCCGCACCATGAGCGATCAGCAATTCCACAACATCGACATGACCTCGCGTTACGGCCCAGCAGAGGGCAGTAGGGAAATCAAGTCTCGCAAAAGACTCGCTCAGGCTTACAACGAATCGAGCGTTGGGATCATAGCCATGGCACTCGAGAAGATCACGGACCATGGCAGTATTTCCACGTGCCGCAGCAACACACAATAGCGCGGCTTTATCAGTGGGCTTGGTGATAGTATTAACATAGTCCCATCGATCCAATAGAAGATCAACCACCTCATCATGACCCCACTCTGTGCTCCATGCGAGGGCGTGTATCATTGCTCTGTCGGCGCTGATCGGCCCTTGGCGATGTCTTGCATCCTTGGTTGCGATCGCATCGAGGAGACACCGGACATTCTCAAGGTGGCCTGAACACACGGCACTCCAGACTGGGTCGAAGTCGTTACGAACCATGGCGTTGGGTAGTTGGAGCAGGAACTGGACGACTTCATGATGGCCGCGTCGCGCAGCCATTGCTAGAGGAGTTTGACCATTATTGTTCTGGGCGTTGACGTCCGCTCCTGCGTCGACAAGGAGTCGAACAATCTCTAAATGCCCACCTGCGGCCGCCATAGCCAGGGGCGTGTTCCTTTTCGACGAAGCCGGATAGTCAACATGATAAGGATGCGGCAAGTGGTTCATGAAGAAGCGGACCAGAGGCTCATGACCGTGTTGGGCCGCCAGCAAGAGCAGGCTTCCTGGACCTCTACTCTTGAACCTATAACGAGGATTTTGCCAGACCCAAGTTCGACGCAGATTAACACCTTGCCCGCGGAGATAATGCACCATGGCTTCATTACCTTGCACCACCGCCAGCGCCATGGGGCGCCATTCAACGTCGGGATCACACTTTTCAGCGGAAGCACCGGCCGCAAGGATTCGCTGCACGGTGGCGATGGAGTCATGAGTGATACCCCAGGCTAAAGCTGAGCTTTTCCCATAGCGTACGTTGTGCTGGTACAATATAGGATTCACTATCTGGTAGAGGGTCTTGTGCGTGCGAGCAACTGCATTGATCTCGCTCTCATACTCCAGCAAGTCCACGATCCACTTCTTGAGCTCGATGGGAAGTCTTAAGAGGCCCATGACTTGCTGAATTCTTCATCAAGATCAGGTCAACCTGTGATGTGAACGAACAGGAACTAACGTAGGTCCCGAGATTTAGGGGGTTTTAAACCCCTGCTTATCTAATAGTAGCCCTTGAAGAGGCATCCCAAAGAGGCATAGATAGGGTTAAGGTAGGTAAACTATAATCGCGATTTAGCCTGAGCTAGAAGCTTTAGAGCTCAATCTTACCGCTCATGCTCAATCACAACTGTCGCTGTCATCCGTGCCAGAACAAGAACAGAGGAGATCAACTTATGATAATGGATAGCACTACGTAATCCCCCAAACAAAAGACCTCTACCCAAACAATCAGCACCCCTACCTCCCCGAGCCCAAACATCACCTCTGCATCCCTTCTCTACTATCCTCCTCCAGCTCACTCTGTATAGCACGGCGTCCGATCCAGCGCCGTAAAGGCACTGATACACTCATATTTGCCCCCGGCATTACACGCCGTACCCGCCGTGCCGTCGGCGTTGCTGGCGCCATCAGCGCGGTGAGCTTTCGCGCAGACGGACGCGCAGTCCAGCTCGCCGATGCTTGCGTCCTGTCATCCCGGAGACATCAGCAACCAGCCCGCATGTTTAACTAGATAATGGACAAAGGGCTGTGGCTTACGGAGTAGACGCAGCAGTGGCCGCTGTTCGAGAACTCGCATTGGCAGTAGGTGCATGCCTGGGTTGTGGTGAGGGCGCTGAGGAGGAGAAGCGCGAGGGTGGTGAGGCGGACCATTTTGTGGGTGTTATGTTTGCAATTGAATGATTGAGGCAGAGAATCTGGAGTAGAGGCTGGCGGATGATTGTGAGGATGTTGGAGGAAGAAAAGGGGGATGTTTGGGTCTTCTTATACTCCTGTTGTCGATAGCGAGTCTCGCGCGATGAGTGCTATAGTTAGTATGATCATGAGGGATCATGGAGCACTCTGAACCGCTGATCCACCATCATGTTCTTGGATCTATCCTCTTACCCAATAATCCACCCTCGAGGATCAATCGGGCCGAGAAGCTTGTCTTTCCCATTCTCAACATGGATACCTACGCGACCAGCGAAACCCGCTGAATAATGGTTCAGGCTCTTAGCAAAGCAGTTAGAGGGATGTATACCAAGCACCTCATTCGAGGTTCGCAAGAACCCGGAAGCTTATGAGCACGATCGACAACAACCTACCTGAAACGGCTTCGGCACACTCTAAATAACTTTGGCTGTCGGGGCTAAGCTGAAACTAGCGCGGGCATGGATATCAGATTATCCCGCACGCTGTTTGGTGTTTCAGTGATGTTATTCCGCCGGGTGAGACAGTTAATATATCCTCAGATCCTTCGGGGTGTGGGTATCGTCTGCCTACTTGGGTGGTGGTAGGCTTGAATGTTGTGGCCTGTTGTGGAAGGTTCTTGGGTAAGGCTTGTTTGGGACTTGGCTTTGGTTATTCGGTGGGGTTGAGTCTATGCTTGCTCGGATTTTCGTCTCGCTTTGTTGCGCGGTTGGGGGGATATCTGTAGAGCTTGTGTCTACTCCGAGATAGATAGACATGGTATATATGAAATGCAATAATTGATTATAGAGATATCCAGATAGATACCTAGAAGTTTATAGACACTTATAATAGTAGATAACTATCCCTGTCTGTCAGTGGCACGAAACGAAAGCGAGCGCTAGGAACAAGGGGTGTGTAGCCGGGTGAAACACCAAAACTGCATCCCCACGCTCTACCAATTTAGCAAGAAGCGACAGACGGGTAGTTCTTGCAAGCGCTGGACTTCTTGCCACCGGTAACCTTGACATTCTCCCAGGCCCAATTCTTGCAGCTGCCGCTACCGCAAAGAAGATAGACCTCTGTGGCCTTGCTGGCCACGCTACCAGTCACACCGTCCAGCGTAATATCCGTGATCGACACGCCATTAGTAGGGGTACCGGTGGGTCTGCCGTCCCTGTAGTCCTGCTGGATGACGACCCCGTAGTCCGTAATACCCGACATCACGATGTTCGAGTATTTGACATCGGAAACAGAGCCCGTGGCGCCAGAGATGGTCTTGATGCGGACAGCATTCTCGGAGTTGGACACGGTGGAGTGTTCGATCGTGACATTCTTGACGACGTTGTTGGAACGGCCTCCCACGGAGCCGATGGACAGGCCGTGGCCGCCGATGCAAGTTCCGCCGGTGAAGTAGATGTTCTAATGGAGAGAATTCGGTTAGTGCCTAAGTTAACGGATGGGAGGTGGAGAAGGGGGTCAATATACCTCGCCGGAGTTGATCGCAAGACAATCGTCCTGATTGTGGACCCACGGCTTGATGATGCTCACTCCCACCGAGTTGCCCACGTCGAATGCGTCGGTGTTATGGCCACCGAGGCTGTCACCATCGGCGTTGTTGATGGTGATGTCCGTGAGGGTCAGATCGTTTGCCTGGATGCTGAAGGCCATGAGAGGGGTGTTCTTGACCTCGAGTCCGGTGACGGAGGAGGAGTCCAGGCCGTGGGCGTAGAAGAACTTGGGCTTGGTCTTGCCGCTGGTTCCCTTGCCATCCCACCAGCGGGCGCCATCACAGTTGATGAGATGACCGGGGGCTCCGGTGACGGTGATATCATTGCCACTCATCGAGATCAGGGGACCAACCCACTCCTTGTAGCCAAAGGTGGTGGTGCCCTCGAAGGTGACATGGGTGCCGCTCTTGAGGCCGGTCAAGTCCAGCGTGGTTCCGGCAGGAACAGCAATGTTGTCAAGGACAATCGTCGTGCAGCTGGCCTTTCCCGCCTTAGCAGCAGCAGCGGTGGTGAAGGTGCAACTGCCGCGGGTCTCAATGGGGGAAGCAGACACAAGGGAAGCCCCGGCAGCCAGGCCGTAGGCGAGAAGAGAAGAGAACGAAGGCATGGTCTTAAAGAGAGTGAGGGTTTGCCGAACGGAAACAATAGAAAGAGTGGATGGTTATGGATATTTCTCACCAGAATCGCATTCCATGTCGGTGGCTTATATAGTCTTGCGATGAGTACCACTGCTGCCTTCTATCTTTCAACAGTACACAGTACTGCCCCTTTTCATCGACAGCAAATGTCTCTTCCTCCCGATACTCACTCTACATGAAGTCGCGACTAAGCTTTAACGGCATAGCCTGAACTTTCCGTGATCACCAGACCAATATCGCTTAGAGTGCAGCCTGTTCTGGGTGTTCCTCGGCCATCCCAGTGCCGAAGCCATAGGCTGACAATATTCCAGTGGCTTGTGTTTCAGGGTTCTCGATGGTGCCTTCACGGCTCGCTTCAAGCTTCCCGTGTTCTGGGTTGGGTCTAGTCAGGGTTCCAGTCCAAGTGCACTAACCACGATTAAGCAATTCTACAAGCTTCGGTCTAGTGGTCCTGGATAAAGCTCGGCTTCTTCTACTAGGAAGAAAAGTGGCTCTGCCATCTTCGGCATATTGAAAGGCAGTCCCCTTTTTTGAAATTGCAATAGTAGAAAGGTTTCAGTGGAATGGATCTAGAACCACGGGCAGGGTCGGTCGACCTCTAACCGCATTGGGTTAGTAGGGAAGCACGCGGAAGCCCCTCGTCACGCTTTCCCGCTTAGCTAATCATTCCTTCAGTTCTGACGCTCTCGAGGTAGAATTTAGAAGATGGTGACAAGATGACAATACAAGACTCGAATCAACCTGGTTTTCCATCATCAAAATCATGGGAGAATCCCCTCGGGTGAAGAAATCCTTTGTTGCGGCCACCAGGTTTCTGGATCCTGTCCTTCAGAGAGGCATGCAGATCTCATCGTTCTTCCGTGCCATCGATGTCAAGGCTAACCGAGTGTGAAGAGGAAATCCAAAAACATCGTGGAAAGTCCCTCTTGGACATTCTGCTCGGCGCTACCATCCCAGAGACAGGTGGAGATGATGTCTCGAAACGGAGGACTGTCATTGGCAAGGCCTTAGAAATTCTGGACTCCGTTCATACCGCTTTTGTGACGCCACTGACTGATGCCGATAAAGAGGCCATCAGTCAAAGTGCTGGAGACACAGAGGATGCTGCGCTCGAAGATGCTAAGCGACGGCGGCTCCTTCATGCCCTCCTGGACTTAATCTCTCTTGAGGGTATCTACCCGTCGCTCTCCGGGGGTGTTGCGATCCCGCTTCAGAAAAGAGTCATATCGGTCCTGCCCGCAGGCGTTATCGCCCAGCAGGATCAAGCCCCGGTGCATGAAAAGCCGCAGGACGAAACCCTTCTCGAGCAGATTATGCTAGTACTCACAACTATAGTCTTTGACTCACGACCGAGCATACAGCCTGTGGTCCGTGGTCGGATCCTGAGTGATATGGTCAGCGGCCTTGCGGACCTAGGTCACAACTCGATTGGATTATCCGTTGATAATCAGACACATTACCGACATGGGCTCACAAAGCTGATTGAAGAGTAAGATTCTGTCATGAGCGCGTGTTTCTTCTACTAAGCCATTACAGAACCTCGAGCACGGTAGTTCTTTCGACCCTATCCCCCTTTCTTCAGTCGGATCCGGCCCCGTGGTTCAAATCGGTCGTTTCGGGGTTTTTGTCTCGGGTCCCCCTGCGACCAGACGGGGTCTTGCAAACCATGATCTTTCTGGCTTCTCAACTTGCACCCTCCCTGGGAGTTGAGTCGCAGACTCAAGCGTCTAATGGTCCCCATTTCACCGTGCAGGCAATCATGCAAACGTCTCGCCTTCTATCATCCGTACCACAAGGAATGGACCCGGATGAGTACTTCACTACCGTAGCCCCACAGCTTCTCGACTTGATAGATGGCGAAGACCCGGATCTGCGGAGGACCGCAGCATACGTCGTTGGAAACGGCATATTATCGAAGCGACCCTATGGCTCTCGCGGCACCATAGGCCACTCGATCTTTCTAGTACCTATATTTGAGACGCTGACTGCCAGCCTCAGCCCGTCCTCAAGACTATGGCTTACTAGTAAAGACGAATCCAATCAACCAGAGCAGGTGTTGGTAGATGATGCAGTACTGACGCTTGCAATTGACAGACTAACTGCTCTGGTCCTCCAGCCTCCAAATCCAGGCCTCGTCAAGCGGATTGTCCACCCGGTGCTTCTTCCTCTCTGGGGGCTAGCTTGCTATACGTTGGAACATCAGCAAAAAGTTCTCCACGAAAAGGTACTGACCATCTTGCAAGCATATTTCGGTTTATCGGGCGGGCTGGAGCCACTGAAGAAGCTAGTGGATAATTTGCTCTGGGATGGTGGACCGGCCTGGACTTACGGCATGCAATCTCAACACTCAATTTCGCTGGTCAAACGTGATTCGGCAGATCTCAGCCGTAACATCGTTCGGCTCGTGGACGACCTTCAGTCCCGTGCTAAGTTGTTCCTGAGTGTACTGGGTGCTGATCCTAGTAGCGAGGAGAGGACGGGCGATATCTTCCTCTATGTCAGCGAGCGTTGGCTCGTGAAACCCTCCAACGAACCAAAGGCACTCAACAGCCTGAAATTGACACAGGAGGAGGATGACTCCAGCAATATAATCCAAAAATTGATCAGTGCCAAGCTGGCCGAGACACTCCTGGATAACTTCAAGGATACACTTTCTCGTCGCCCCCACAGGGTACTTGAGCTCATTCAACAGATCATCGACGGCGAACTACACGGGGCCTACACTCACAAGAAGAAAGCCACCAATACAACATCCGGGAAAGTATCTCTCTCATCTCTATCCAGCATCGTCAACACCGAAGAAACCCAACATGAAGCAAGCACGGAATCAGATTCTGCGGAATCTTTGCCCGCCGTGTTCAGCTTGCTATCGACAGTCCTCGCGTCTCCCGAATTCACTACCTCTCCCGAAACAGTGCCAGTCCTTGAAAGCATCAAATCCAAACTAGACGAACTCATTCCTTATCTCCCTCCATCGCTCTCCAAACCCGGCACAACCGCCTCCATGCTCGCAGAGATCCAACTCATGTCCTCTAACGAGCAGAGCAGCAGCAGCAGCAGTAGTGCCGCCAAAACCAGCTCCGAGGTCTCCGACTTCGAAACCCATCGTCGAGCACTAACCAACCTGAACTCCGACCTTCCTCCCATCCAAGCCGAAGGCTTCTCCCTCCTCTCCACCCTCATCAAGAAATCTTCCCCAGTCCTCGACATCCCGGCCACCCTAACCCTCCTCCTCTCCATCCTGACCGACCCCTCCGACCAGCCCCTCACCAACGACGAATTCGTCTACCTCAACGCCATCAACCTCATCGGCACCCTGGCATCCCGCCACCCGCGCACCGTGCTCAAAACCCTCGTCGACCGCTACATCGACCGCAACGAAGCCAGCGGCACGCAGGTCGACCAACGCCTGAAAATCGGCGAGTCCCTGCTACGCACGGTCCAGGACCTCGGCGAAGCCCTCACCGGCGAAGCGGCCCGCCTCCTCGGCGAAGGGATGATCACCGTCGCAGGCCGGCGAGCGCACAAGCCCGAAGCGCAAAAAGCGCGTCGCGACCGCCTAGCTGCCGAACAACGCAAACAGGAGCGCGAAGCCCGCAAAAAGGCGCGAGAAGCGCAAGAAATCGTCCTACCATCCGGCTGGTCCCTGGGGCCATCGTCCCCGGCACCACAAGCCACCGCTGACCCCAACAACACTCTTATCGACGACAACGACACCGACGACGAGACCTCCCCCGAACAACTCGCGCAGTACGAGAACATCATCGCCGCGTGGGCCGCAGGCTCGAAATCCGACGCAGAGCCAGACGATCTCCGCGTGCGCGCCTCCGCGCTCTCCATCCTCGCCACGGCGATGCAAACGAACATCCTGGGCCTGGGCCCCGCCATCGTCGGCGCAGCGGTGGACCTCGCGCTCGCCACGCTGACGATGGAGCCCGAGCCCGAGAGCGCGATTCTGCGCCGCGCGAGCGCCGTCCTCCTGCTGGACGTGCTGAAGGCCATGGATGCCGTCCGCGAGGAGAAAGGTACCGAGGCGCTCGGGTTCGGGTTCTCGTTGGCTGAGCAGGGCGCCGAGAACCAGGCCAGGGAGTCCGTTGTCGGCAATATCCCGCGCATGCTGCGCACGTTGCGGTTTGTGGAGAGCTGGGAAACGGATGCGATCGTCCGTGGTCATGTGCGCGTTGTCGTTGAGAGTCTGGAGGCGTGGTTGGAGAAGGCGTTGATGTGGGGTATTGGGGCCGCTTCGAGGAGTGCTGGCGAGGACGATGAGCCGCGGATGGAGTTGGGAGATCGTATCGCTGGGCTTAGGATTGATCCGTTAGCTGGAAGGAGAGAAGCGAGTCTACGGCCGAGGATCGAGGAGATCGAGTAGTCTGGATAGTCTGTAGGATAGATCCTACATGTTCAGTATCTATTGGTTATCTATCAAACGGTTTTTTTTGTTGAGCTTCAACGTCCTCAGATTGTCTACATGTAGTCATCTGACCATCTGGATCCGGATCGTTCAATTGGAGATAGCATTAATACAGCGCAGTAGAATCAGAATGAAGCAGGTTCTTCACAGAAGCAGCAAGACGCAAAGTCGTAAGTACTGTACCACCATTTTCCATCGTAAGTTTTCAAAGATATCTGTCGGCTCCACTTGACAGGTGAAGTTCGAGGAATCCACGCGATAAACAGGCAAATGACGAAACAGACACAAGAAGATTGAAGGGAAACACATTCTGCCCACCCCTAGCTATCATGTCAAATGTACTGGAACCATAAAATCCATTAGAAATAAATAAACGCGAGCGAAAGTCCCTCCCGAACGCCATTGTCTTACCAACATCATCGAAAACAGAACGGCATTGCTCAAGTCAGCCGAATGTATTGACATCTTTTTTGCATTGTTCAATCAAGGTCGGGAGACAAAGAAGCCATGTTTCAGTGTTGAAATTGCTGATAACCGCGGCCACGACCGCGGCCACCTCCACGGCCGCTCCCACCACGACCTCTGCCGCCCCCTCCACGTCCGCCTCGGCCAAATCCACCGCGACGGGGGCCCCGATCCCTAGGTCTGAAATCACTGGGTCGAGGACCGGCAGCCATGCGAGCTTGGCGCTCTTCGTCGCTCATATGGAACTTGTTTTCAATTCCGACCAGCTCGCAGAACTGCGCAGTCTGGGGATTGGTGTATTCGATGGGCTGTTCATCTGTGTTGAGTGGGACAGCCGGATCGTAGACCGGGGCGGTTATGGTGAAGTTCTCGGGGACATCCAGCTTTCCAGGCTTGACGACATGCTCGTCAATCCATTTCTCCTCTTCCTCAATTAGCGGCTTGTAGATCTGGTCTCCCTTGTCAGCGGGGGGTTTAGCAGCGGACTCTCCCAGTTGCAGGTCATCAGCAAAGACACGGGTAATTGCTAGCCATTCTTTATCGTATTGTAGGCGATAGGGCCGTTCGTGCTGAACGCCTTCCTGATCAGAGATCGCCTCGATTTCGAGAAGTTGTAAGAAGTGGCGTTGGGGAAGACATTTGTCGAGTGCCAGGAAATTGGTGGTCTTGTTGGCGATCGCCTCTGGCAAAGGCCCGTTCGCCGGGAAAGTCTCGGGCTGAGGGGGGGCGAAACTGGCAGGAAGTTGGTTGCGAACATCTTCAGGAATGGCAGTTCCACTGGCCGGCAAAGCCGGGTCAGCCGTAGTATTCTTTGAGCCATCGCTAGAGGCTGATTTGTTAGAAGGGGGCCCATCATTCTGTCTAGCCACGGGAGTAGACGTCTTTTGAGTAGTCGCTTCGGCATCGGAATCACTGTCCAAGTCGAGGTCGATCTCGTCGGAGTTCTTCACGGGTTCGTGATTGTGTTCGGTCTTCAGCTTCTTATTGCTACCGTCTCGCTCGGTGCCGGTATAGATACGACCGGATCCGTCCTCGTCGGTCTCGATTCTTTTCCAGGTCAGATCGTGCACAACGTCGGGTGTCAATGCTGCATACTGAAGGGATTGATCTGCCAGAAATCGAGAATTTTCAGCTGCCTCAGCTTCAGCCGCCACGGTGTGGAAGTTATTCCATGCTGATATCTTACTCTGGGCATCATTGGAGGTGCTGGGATTTTCCTTCTCAGACGGGGCTTCTCCATCTTTCTTGGTATCCGAGCCTTGGCTTGCTGCGTCCGCGGTTTCGTGGTTGTCCGAGGGCTCCTGCTCCACAGCAGAACGGGTTGGAAGTGGACGCTCGGCCTCTTGTTCATCGTCGGGAAGCGCCAGAGCTGTAAGGACCGCGCCATCAAGGCCGAACTGGTTCTGGGGACCCGGGGCGGGAAGAGGGTCGGGTTGGGGAGCTTCGGCCTTTCTTTTAGCAGCGGGGTGTACGGGGATAAAATACTCTCCATGAGCGACTATGGCAGCGAACTTCACATGCAGGTGGGCGGAAAACCAATGGGCCGGACGCAGACGGTCAAGGACGTACTTGGCTGCGGCATTGCCCAGTTTGCCACTTTCGGAGTCTTCACGGAAGCCTCTCTTCGTGTTGAAGAGATACTCGGAATCTCCGCACAGTTCAACCTGCTTAGGCCAGTCATGAGACAAACCCAGGTCAACCTGGGTCCGGATTTGGAGTAGCTTCCGAACATCTAGCTCTCTCACGTGGTAGATGCTTGAAATGTCGTCGCGATTATAAGGCAATCTCTCCAGATGCGGCTTTCTGTAGTCGTAGCCTTTCCAGATACCCGACATACCGGCAATCCGAAGAGGCCCAAACCGAAGAACGTTCGCTGCACCCAGGTAGTAGATATTGGGGGCAACCCACCCTCCGTAATAGAGTTCGAACAGATGATTGCCGGCTTCATGGTTACCCCCGATAAAGACAGTCAGGTACGGCGCGGTACGTTTTCCACTGTAGTATTCGTGGAAATCGCCCAGCTCTCTGTACTTTTGGGGTACAGACATGCAGGTAAGATCATTGGCATTGCGGACAGCCTAAAATGCCGTTCAGGAGATGTTGATTGAAGAGGACAAGCGAGGTGCGCGAAGAGAACTCACCTGAAAATCGCCACCAATGATGACCAAGTCAACACTATCCCATCCTTTTAAAGTGGCAGCGTTCTCGACTGAAGCGTATATATCATTGAGACAGCCATGTCCCTACGACAAGTACGTTCGTTCATTAGTGCCACAGCCTCAAGAATAGTACACGATCCAAGCAGCAAGAAGCAGACAACTCACGCAGCCTTCGAAAGCAACCCTGACGGAAGCAGAACTGGAGATTGGGGTCTCCATCGAGCTGGAATGGCCTACTTTGGGCAAAGTAGCCGAGTAGATCTGGGCAAGCGGAAGAGAAATGAAGATTCAGACGAGTGAAGATGCGCAAACTGTGGTCAGAAAGAATATTTGAAAGCGTCTCGTTTGCACGTCCGAGCAAGCGAAATAAGTAGCTTGAGAATGAATGCAGTCGGAGTTGGAACGGTGAAAGAAAAGGTGAAACAAAGAAAATGAGAGGGCGAGAACGAGAACGAACGAACAAACGTGAGCGAGAGATCAGACGTGGAAGTAACACAACAACAACTGGAAAGCGGGTGTTTGATTTGGTTGCTTTGCACCCGCCAACTTCTTATTTTTCTCTTACCCTTCACAATCCTCTACTGGTTTTTGCCCCCCATTCACCTGGGTTCATATTCAATTATTCACCCGGTTGACCCAATTCGTGCCCAAGAAAGATGCCACTCAGTGATCACGCACCTAGGCTAGAATTTTTGAGGAGCTCAGCCAGCTCTTTAGAGGCCGCGAGCCCGTCGACCGCGGCCTACCTGATGTCCGTTCACAATAGCATCATTCGCGATGAATTCAAGCCTTTAAATCAGCGTCAACAAGAAGCTGCTTGTGGAGCCTGTGGAAGTCTTCGAAATGCTAAGTCGACCAGGACTATTCAGGTCGCAAAGAGGAAAAAGAAGCCTGCAGGCTTGAGTGGCGAGGGGGCTACGGTGATGATATGTCTTCGCTGCCATCGACGCACCATTAAGCCCTCCAAGAAAGAGACTTTACGTTCCGTTGCTCCTCCTGCAGCAGCCCCAGTCACTGCGACGTTAAATTCAGCTGAGGCTCAATCATCAACTTCTACAACGCCTCTCTCTCAACAGTCAACCCCCGCCCCCAAGGATCAGGGTAAGGGCGTCAAATCAGCCGAAAATGCCAGTAGCAAGAAGAGAGCAAAGTCTCGGAAGCAGGGTGGCCTGCAGGCATTGATGGCATCCAAGCAACAGTCTCGCTCAACCTCGTCATCTCTCGATCTGTTCGATTTCTTGCAGCAGTAGAAGTCACATGACTCATGTCGCGTGTGGCGGATGGGCGGGAAATCGGCGCTTTGCTACGGAGCACTTTGGGACTAGCGCGGGGCTGGTTGGCTCTGGCGTTGCTTTCACTTATCGGCTGGAGCTCCAAAACAACTCCCGGTTGCTGTCGTCACGGAAGCCGCTGCCTTTTGCTTACCTCCCCCACCCGCTGCTCTTCAAGTTTGTTGCAGCTTCTGTCCGCAGGTAGCTCGGCTACACTATCTTCTCGATCGTCGATTGCTCTTATCTTGTGCTGACACAATGTCAACGTACTCTCACGATGACGAGCACGATCCTCAGGCGGACGAGCTCCGGGAGACCGCGCTGGTCACGCTGGAAACCCTTATCAGCGCTTGCGGTCCCCAAATGCAGCCCTACATGCCTTACGCCATTAACGCCGCCCTACGTTACCTCAAGTACGATCCCAATGTCGCCGAGATTGAAGACGAAGAAATGAGTGGTACTCAAGACGACGGCTCCGAGGATGACGTAACGGAGGATCCGGATCTGGATGATGATGAATTCGAAGACTTCGAGGAAGAAGGAGGATACAGTGATATCGACGATATGAGTTGGAAAGTTCGCCGATGTGCAGCCAAGTTGCTGTACAGTGTGATCTCCACCTATGGACATAGCCGTGCGCTAGACGAGGCTTCCTTGTATCAACAAATCTCGCCCGCCCTCATCGCCCGATTCAATAAAGAGAGAGAGGAAAGTGTGAAGCTCGAAGTGGTTTCAACCATGACTGCTCTCATCCGTAAGACTGGGGAAGGCTCCATGATCATCACATCCAATGGCTTCCTTGAGGCTGTGGGTGGCTCAAAGAATTCCAGGAAGCGTAGACGGCAGGATAGCGATGCAAGCATGATTGACTTCGAGCCAGGTATTGGCACATCCTCTGCTGCCAGCACGCCCATTGTCACCCCTACTCCGCCCAAGTCCGGTGCGCAGGCAGAATTAGCCCGCTCTGTACCAACAATCGTACAGAGCACCGTTAAGATGTGGAAACAAGCTTCGGTGCCTCTGAAGCAAGCAATCATTGTCCTACTCAAGAGCCTGGCTCTCGTTCGCTACGGTGGCCTGGCTGATCATCTCCAGCAGATCGAAGATCCTATAGCTGATGTTCTCAAGTCCTCCGTCTCAAGCAGCTCCTCCGCCTCGGTCGGGGCTTCTGCTAGCACTGGAACTCTTCAGACTGAAACACTGGGTCTCATCTCTGCCATTGCCGAAACCCACATGTCGGATGCTCTTCTGCCTTTCTTGATTGCTCTGATTCCTGGTGTGATTGGTGCTGTCAACGACCGGAATTACAAGGTCAGCAGTGAAGCACTGGGCGCCGTTGAGCAGATTGTGAAAGCCCTTACGCCCCCTCGAGTGGCTAGTACCTCCCAGGACCTTGCAGCTCAGCTGGAAAGGCTTTACGACGTGGTCCTCGCACGCATCACTGACACAAGTGCCGACCTGGAGGTCCGTCAACGGGCTATTCATGTCTTCGGCGTTCTCCTAGCGCGTACCTCTGGAGAGACTGGCTCGACATTTGTGTCACTCGACCGTCGTGCGAAAGGTCTCTCGGTCTTGGTCGATCGCCTGCGAAATGAAACAACACGCCTTGCAGCAGTTCGTGCAGTCGACGATGTTGCTGTTCTCTGCCTCCGTAACGCAGACGTCAGTGCATCATGGGTCAGCGAAGTCACGGCAGAGCTTGGCGGACAGCTTCGAAAATCAGATCGCGTTCTCCGGGGAGCTAGCTTGGAAGCTCTGCGTAGCCTTGCCATGAATCCTAACACAAAGAACCACTATGAGGCCAACACAATGAAGGAGCTGCAGGACTGCCTTCTGCCACTGATCAGTGCGGAGGACTTCCATTTCCTTGCTCCTTCGCTTATTATTCTTGCAAAACTTATCCCTGGTCACGCTCAGCTGTTGGTCAACGACAGTCTGGTTTCTGCGCTTTGCTCAGTTGTCCTTTCCCCTCTTGTCGGAACAGTCCTCAAAGCCATGCTTCTGGTCGTCAAGGTCATCGGAGAGGAGGGTGCAGGAGCGGGGTTGATGAAGAAACTTTTGCGGGACGTTGGCATTAACGGTGACACATCCGTGGTCGGGCGAGCAATCGGGACGCTCCTCGTTCATGGTGGGCCCAATTTGGGTGTCAAGATGGAGGATTTCATGACAGAATTGCAGACCGCCCAGGATGCTCAGCGGAAATGCCTTGCGCTCGCTATTTTGGGTGAAATCGGCCTTCGAATGGGCGCCAGCTGTTCGCTGACCCCACAACTCTTCATCACTCATTTTAATTCCAAGTCAGACAAGGTTCGCCTGGCTGCAGCTGCAGCACTCGGAAATGCCGCGGCGGGCAATGTGAAAGCATACCTGCCTACCATCCTTGGTGGATTGAAAAAGAGCGACCCGCAGAGCTACTTGTTGCTTCACTCAGTGAAGGAATTGCTACAACACCCTGAAATCGTCAGACCTGATCTAGCTCCATCCGCAGTCAAACTCTGGCAGGCGCTTCTTCTGGTCTCTGAGCTGGAAGACAATCGTGCTGTTGGCGCGGAGTGTGTCGGTCGATTGGCCTTGATTGATCCTGTCGCCTATATCCCGCATTTCCAGGTAACTCCTCCCCTTTTCCTTGCCTCAACCAGCCCCGATGTGACTTTAGTTAACAACAATCGATATACAGGATCATCTCTCCAGTTCAGACGCCAGCATCCGCGGTGTTGTCATCTCTGCCTTCCGTTACACACTCTCCGATTCCAGAGATACCTACAACGATGTCCTCAGACCCATCATCGTCCCTCTCCTCGTCAATATGCTCAGCGACCCAGACCTGGGCAACCACCGTCTCGCCCTCACAACCTTGAACTCCGCCATCCACAATAAGATGGGCATCCTCCTTCCCCACCTGAACGAGCTTCTCCCCGCTGTCTTCGGCGACGCCAAGCTCAAGCCCGAGCTCATCCGTGAAGTCCAAATGGGCCCGTTCAAGCACCGCGTCGACGACGGCCTGGAACTCCGCAAGGTAAGCCACATAAGACAACACACTGCCGTCCTAGCCCCCAATATGCAGCCAGATCCACTAACAGCTTTTTTACTTTCTAATAAAAGTCCGCCTACGAGACCCTCTACGCCTCCCTCGACACAACCTTCACCGTCCACCACATCAGCGAGTTCTTCGACCGCATCATCGCCGGTATTGATGACGAGCAGGATATCCGCACCATCTCCAACCTGATGACCTCCAAGCTCATCCACCTCGCCCCCGAGGAGACCCAGCGCCGCCTCGACACGCTCTCGGAGCACTACAGCGCCATCTTGTCCTTCAAGCCCAAGGAGAACGCCGTCAAGCAGGAGCTCGAGAAGGCGCACGAGGCTTCGCTGGGTGTGCTCAAGATCAGCCGTGAGCTGAGCAAGGCTTTCCCCAGTGCTGAGGCCTCCGGCGACCACCACAAGTGGAAGGCTTATGTGGAGTGGATTCGGAAGACCTTCCCCGCTCAGATGAAGAGCCTGGATGTCGAGGCTTGATCTTCCTGACATCAACTTCCCTGACTTCGTCTGGCTGGGAAAGGTTCTATGGCGGTTAAGAGGGTATTTTACCGCCTTATCAGCTTTAGATCTCGAAAGCAGAATCATAACCACAAGTCAGCCGGCTGCATATTATCTAGATTAGGCGATTTACGTGGACACCAGTTGCCGAATGGTCCTCAACCTGCGAGTTTTTCACTTCGTTGTAGTCAAAACTAGTCAACCCGAACAATAATACACCCGACAATGCTCACTGTGAACCAACTGGATTAAAGAGATTAAAGATTGTATTAGAAAAAGTAACAACGCAATGCACAACGAAAGCCCTGGGGTAGTCCGCTCGAAAGTCAAATGCACAAGTCACAACTCCTGGTATGCAAGCCTGCTGGGCAAAAGAGAAGCGTGACGCCGTCCGAAGAACATGTGAGGCCCACACTGGGTAAGAAAATACACCGATAAAATCAAATAGAAAGAAGAAGCGAACCGGCTTCGATGCTACTAAACTCCGCCTTTTGCATCCAAAAAAAGTGTGAGATGTGATACAATTCTTTTTACCGCCCATCTCATGCGGTAATAGCTTTTCTCTTGAGGACACCAAGCTTCTCAAGTCTCGCCCAGGCCCGGTTCATGTCGGAGCCCTCTTCAAGAGACGGCCGTAGCTCCAAACCGTCGAGAATTTTGATGGATCCTCCACTCCCTGCGTAAAGCATAAGCTCGAAAACACTGCGTCGCAGTCGTGTGGACTCGTCCAAATGGGATAGGTGTTTCTGATCGGCCAGAGGATCCGCAAGTGGAAGGGTATAAGGGTCATGTACTTCGACTTCTTTGGAGTCGTCTGATTTATCATCCTCTCTCGCGACAGTCAAGTGATCCGTGTCGAAGTCGTCTCGAAATTCGGCCAGAGCCGAAGGGATGTCCAAGCCAGCTTGTGTGCGTTGGGGACGGTCCTCCTTGGCTTTTAGTTTCTTTGTGGTGGCCTTCCCACTATCGATGACTGCGGTCGGATAGAACCGGAGTGTAAGTGGGTTGCCTCGGGTGTCGATCTTTTGGAGGGAACAGAGTTTCCCTCTGTTAGTTCTTCCGATACGACCCAGGACTTGGCAAAGACGTCTGAGTCTAGTGATATTGTTGCCAGCAATCGCTAATCGGGAAAGACACTTCATGCCCACCAATTCATTGACCCCCTGAAGCGAGTTGAAATTCAAATTCAAGACCGCTACGTTGGGAAAGCTTGACGCAAAATCTTCTGGGAGGACTTGTAGGCTGCATGATGCAATGTCCAGGAGCTGCAAGCTCAGGAGAGCATTTGATGGTGCAAGGCAGCGCGGAGCAAGCCTGTTAGAAGAAAGGAACACTTTGCGAATGTCTTGCGTCAGGCCCAGGTCAACTTCAAACAAGCCGCCATTGCTCCCACTCATCTGATCTCGAGCAGATAAAACTTCCAATGAGCGGCATGTTCCGAGTCCGGAAATCGTACTCAAGAAGTTTTGATCGGCGTAAAGGAGTGTCAACGAAGGAAACATCGAGATATCGATGCTACGTAGTACATTGTTTGAAACCTTCAATGACTGTAGATTGAAAAGAGTCGCGGACGCTGAAAGCTCATACAGTTTATTGGAGCGGAGGTCAACGGCTGTAAGAGATGGAAGGGCGCTGATGTTCCGTATAGAAGTGAGCTGGTTGTGACTGAGGTCCAATGTCTCGAGACGGGTTCTGTTAATGCATCACGTGTCAGCTACTTTCAGGAGAGGCATCCAGGCCTGAGGCTACTTACAGCTCGGCTCGACCAAAGTCAAGCTCCTCCAGCTCATTGTTTCTCAGTTGCAAACTCAACAATCCATCCAAGTCGTAAATACCGCTGATATCTTTGAGGTTGTTGTCATTGGCCTTGAGCTCTCGAAGGTGAATTAGACTGCTGAACCCATTGAGACTCTCCAATTCATTGCCGGACACGTCCAGATATTGCAGATTCATCAGATGGCCCCAGGCTGTCAGGTTAGAAAGGCAATTGTCTTGGATATTAAGTGTCCTTAGAGTGGAGGGCACGCCGCTCAGTTGGCCGATAGCATTTCCGCACACATCCAAATCTTCCAGACGAGGGCAGAAATCGCACAATTTATGAAGCGTAAGCAGTCCTTTGTGTCGAAGGACCAAGCGACGAACATGTTCCCAGTGTGGTTCCCACGGTTCGGCTTCGGTAATGTGTTTGATCAGTTCTTCAGTCGCCAATGCGAAAGTTCCATGGACCTGGCGCAATGAAGTTGGGTGAGTGCGCTGTGCGACATAGCTTACTTCCAGGTGAAGGGACGGATCGATCTGATCAACTGTGAAGTCAGGTAAGGGGCTGAGGTGAAAGCTATACGTGGTTTCTTGGCCGTTATGTTCAAGACATGCCAATGATGTATCCGCGTTGTCCTTTTGCGGGGTCCAGTCGGTTGACCCTATACCTCTCCGAACAAGACTAAGAGCCTCGGCGGATTTCTCCCTCGTTGTCCTTGTGTCACGAGTCGGCGTCCGATTGGGTAAGGATACTTTGTTGTCAGGTGATTCAGGCTGAGGCAGTAGCAGGTTCTTCTGAGGCTGTGTGAAACTCAAGGGGCTGTTACCGGGCACTTTGGACTTGAGAGGAGGTTGCAGATTGCCTCGGGCTTGTAGAAGCTTTGCGGGACTCTCATCATCACTGTATGCAACCTGTGAGACAAGGGGGGACGAAAAGCTTATCGTCACAACACGAGCTTGGTTACGACCATTCATTAAGCGTCGAGGAGGCTTCGACAATCGGCCTTCGTGAAGCTGAATCTCATGTTCTATCTCGCTGACAGATTTGCTCGCTTTGCGGGCGTCTGTACCCCAGGATGTAGCTTTAGTTTCTGAATCGGAAAGCTTGGAGTTGGCTTGGTCCTTTGAGTGTACTGAACTGCCGTCAACCGATGCGCCAGAAGCCTTGAATTGTGGTGGGCGCAACGATGATTTCGTTGAGAATTGGGATGAACTGAGTGGGCTCAAGCATTGGTCATTCTCAAGCCGAGTGGAGTCTTTCGTTCTTTCCGGCGAGGCGGAGCTCTGCATTCGCATCATTTCTTGCAGTTCATCAACACTGAGGTCAGGAATGTCTTTGAACGGATCATCCTCACTGTCTTCGCCCTTTGGCTTCTCGGAAGTTGGTTTGGGCTTCTCCCGAACCCATTGGTTCTTGTCCCGATCGTAGACCAAGCCATTCACCTGTTCGGGTATAAGTCGCGAGATAACATCTGAAGACAGAACGCCCTTTGCATGCGAGCTTTGTGAAGAGCCTGTGGGAACTGAGCGCGCACTGAGGCTCTTAGACGATACTTGCGTGTTAATAGTGAGAAGCTCAGGAAGGTCGTCATCTTCCTTAGGTTCTCCAGCGGACAGCCCAAGTTCATGCTGACGGAAGTCTAGGTCAGGAGACTGCAGGTCAAGCTCATGGCTCTCGTCTTCTCCTGCCTCCTCTCCCCATGGGACGTTATTATCGTCGTCCGAATGCTCTTGGTCGTGGTGCAGATTCAGAGACATTGCTGACGCGTTCACTCCGAACTCCTGGTCATCCTCTTCTTGAAATCTCTTGAGATGACTTAAGATCCGGGGGCTCTGTTGTTGGGGCTCCCTCAGTCTCCGCATGTCGGCGCCATCGCGACTTGGAGGCCGCGAAAATTCTTCCCGAGTCGATTCGTCTTCATAGCTCCCACTTTCGTCGACATCTTCGGCATCAGATTCCTCCACGCTAGACAAGCCGCCTGCAGACCTGCCCTTGGATCTGATTATATCCATTATCTTCGTGGCCTCGTTGAGAAAGTCTTGAGTGGTAATTGAACCCTTACGGCCGCCTTCATTAATGCCATTCACTCTTACCATAGGTATGGCACTGTCCGCAGGGGAGTCCTGATCAGTAGAACCAGCATATCCAGCCCGCGAATAGGCCCTGCCTGATGACGGCCTTTTCCGTGAAGCAGACCGCAATTGACTTGGAGTTGGAGTCCGCGGTCGGGGCGACGATTGTGAGCGGAGCGAAGATTGATCGTCTTCATACCTCAGGCCCTGTTCAACCAAGCTCCGTTGGAGCAAGGACATGTTGTCTGGATTCTGGCCAGGGTTTTCGGGGGGCTCTTGTCTTGAGTTGTACGATCTGAGAAAAGTTCTGCGCCTCTTGGGGGTTGGGTCTTTAGCAGGCGTGTTGAGCGATGAGTCGGTTTCCGACAGGTACATCTCTTCTACCCTTGCCAGCCCTTGGTTCCTTATGGCCTTGGCACTTGAGGTGATGTCTGACAGAGCCGTGGACCTCGAGCCCCTGTTTGACTTGCTGAAGTCGGAGCTATGGCTATTTTGTCTATAAGAGCGGCGCCTGATGTATCTTCGCTCAACAGACTGTCGCCGCTGCGGTTGTTGCGTAGATTCCACCGCTTCATTATTCAGGAATTTAGGTTCGTACGGACTCGTGTCGGAGAAGTCGAAATTGTCCAGCTGGCCGTCCCCAAATCTGTTGATGCGGGGAGTCGGTGTATTGCGCGACCTCGGCCGTTCGTGTCTCCTCGAGGGCTGTTCACCCACAGCCTCATGATTCACGGTCAGGAAGCTTCTGCTTTCACCCTTCCGACGAGCTTCCTCGGATGGTGAGACAGGTTCATCATCCTCGGAAAGACCCCCAAAAGTCTCTTCGAACTGGCTCATCCTGCGTAATAGATGATTATTGGTGAAGGTATCATGGTTTCCGAAAAGCTTGAGCGGGCTTCCGGAGGAGGGCATGGCTTCTGGTCTATCAGCGCTCGACTGGACAAGCTTTGGTACTCCAACATGGGCAGATGAGGGCCGCGGCAGCGTCGGTGGGTCAGTAATAGGGTTAGCCTTTTGGTAGAATGGAGGTGAGCTCCGGATTCTTGAGCTGGCAGGAAGGAAGGGTGAAAGCCGCTCAGAGGGGAAGGGAGGCGGAGACAGGCGAATCCTTTGGAAAGAACCATCGTTCGCATACTCCTCCCTCCGCAAGTCCGCAAAGGCTCCTCGTCCCCGGTAATCTAGCGTCCCCATAGAGAGATCTTTTGGTAAAGAATTACTTGTGACGTCGAGTAAGTCGTCCTCCGGCAGCGCATCCACCGCGGTTTCCGGCTGTTGATGGATCAGCAGACTATCGCTCGCCCGGGATTCCGGACGATCCCCGGGTGATAGATGTAACCTCTCGAGCTTGTTTGTCACTTGTTTCAATGCCGATTTGATCACTTCCGACGTCGCCTGTCCGTCAACTGTATTTGTGCGGGTAAACGTGATCGGCGTGAAATCCTCATTGCGCAAATCCTCCAATCCGCTTGCAGTTCTCTGTTGGTTATTATTGACGGAGACCTCGAGATGATCACCACGGTCTGGAAGGGATTGTTTCGATCCTGTTCTCATAGCCACCGTTCCATTGCTCGAACTTTTTGGGCTTCCAGCAGACTCTGCCTGCTTGGGCGACAACTCGGGACTGTGGCTAACTGAATCTCCATCGTTGTCGGCGTCAATTGACGACGGGTCTCCGAAGTTGGTATCGTCGTAGCTGTGAGGCGTCGTAAAGTGCCACAAACTATCTGACTGTTTCAAGCGCGATATCGCCTCGTCTTGCGTCTTCTCGGTGCCCGGGGTCGGCGGTTTGAATACACTCTCCAAGCCAATCGGTGCAAATAGGTCGCGCTGCTCCCCCGCGGGTATGGCTCCCTGTACCAGTCTTCTCCGCCATTCAGGGGTGCCGTCCTTGCCTTTGCCCTTCTTTGGTCTCACTTGGACTGTGCTCTGCTGCTCAGATTCGCCAGAGGCGTTCGAAACTGACCGTAACGGCGACCTCGTGTCCATCGCGGACTGTTGTTTACGGAGCGAGGGCGGGTCCGAAATCGGGTTCGGGCTCTTCTTGGTGGACTTCTCCGGGAGAGGGAGCGGCGATCGCAGTTTGGAGGGGGTCTTGGGGGTACGAGGGGTCTTAGGTGTGGGCGGTTCTCGTTTGATGAAGTGGCACGGTCTGGAAACTTTCTTTCTGAAAGAATCAAGCGAAGGGCGCGAAGGGCCGGCGGAGCGACGCGCGGGGACAGGAATGCGACTAGGAGAGTTTTGTAGGCTGGACTGCCGGGAATGGGTGAATGATCGAGATGGGACTGGACTGTTGGGAGTTCCAGGAGTATCAGGAGTTCCAGGTGCAGGGACTGGCACCCAATCGTCCAAAAGGTTCTCCAGCCATGGAAGATTATCGCTCATTTTCTGAATTATAATATTTGCGATCACTTTCAAGCGGGTGGGAGGCAAGCTTGCGGAGAGAGGGGGGGGGGAGCGCGTCGCGATTCACCAGGTCCGAGTGAATGCAAGCACAAGCGGAAATTAGCAGCTGCAGGGCGACCATGGGTCAAGGAACCCTCATCCAAGAATAGAAATGGATGAATAGATCAGAAGCATTGAGCTCCAACGACAATGAATGACTGTAAAGATGTTGCGGGAACATGCGAGACAGACTGTTCAGATTTGGGGGAGGGGGAATAAGCGATAAATTGTTGATTAGTAGGTTGAAGATGCGGGAGAGTTAAGTTACGACAACGACCGATAACTTACTCCTAACTAGTAAAGATGCGGTCGGGGCAACCTTTGACTACCCGCTGTATTTAATACCGGGCGGGCTAGTCTACAGCCTAGTTTTCTACTACTTCCTGGCTTGCTACCTTTCGATCTTTCCAGTTTCCAGTTTCCAGTTTTCGATTTCCACGATGGAACTGTCAGTTCAATCAGTTACCCACTTTTCCCCCCGTGATAATCAAGAGATGCAGGCATGTGCTTCCCCGAGACCGTGCTCTTCTGCTTGCTCCGTACTAATCTGCTTTAATTTTACTTTTTCACCCCTGCCCCTCGATGGAAAGTGATCGATCTCATGCCTTGCTTCGGGTCGACCCCATTTGATTTCTCTCCCATAACGCTTAGATTACGGTTCACAGAAGTTATGAGCTGAAACCCTGCGCTCCAGTGCGTTGGCACTGGATCCTTACCAGCCAATGGCAGCACCGCCTCTGTTATAGTCAACATGGCGCCTGGGCACCTAAACAATCCAAAAAGCACTCTAATCTACTTACTAGGTGCATCAAGCCACAGGCTCAACAGTACATACATACGGCAATTCTACCTCTTGCACGTCCTGTTGACAATGCATCAACGCGAGGGATCGATGAAAGAAAATGCTGGGCCACCCCTGCAAGGTTGCGGCTTGGTGTTTCAGGTCCCTAGAAGCGCATCATACGTAAGATGGGCGCAAAACTGGCTTTTCCTTGGCAAGAGCGTCTTGCTGGTGGTTGGGAATCCACCTCTGCTGCATTAGTAGGCGGCTGTTAAGGGCCCATTGATACCTCGGCAAGTTAGAGCTGAGGCATCTAAGAGAATGGGTGAAGTTGTTCCAGTAGCTGTTGAGATACTTATTCTGTGCGCGCAAGGACGATAACACCATGACCACTAAATGTTCCTCCTCTTTGTTCCTCCACTTTATGTCGAGATCAGCAAAGTCTCGAGAGTTCCAACAGCACTTGAGGGATATGGGCTGGATTGATTGCAAGCTGCGATTGGATATATCTCTCATGGAGTGTCTTGTAGCCAGCTCAGCTAGTACAATGCACAGAGTGTAGTTATTCCCAAGTTTGTGAGTATTTTTCCTAAAGGAGTAGTCAACTATTGATGCCCCCGACGGGTGCTGACATAAACACAGCCGCCAGCACACGTTGCTGGGGCATCCACTCCTTAGTGGACGCGTTAAGTGGTTTTTCTCGCGTGACAGACACTTCTGACAGATCGATCAGAATGGAGAAACTCTGACTGAGCTTGAAGATGATGCCTTACAACAACTACGTTGGTTGGAAGCTATGAAGGTCACTCTACACTACGCTAACTCTTCGTCCTACGCCAGACGCAGTCAGTGTCAAGCTGCTGCACTCTTGAACCTCCCCTACCCAACTGATCAATGACTACATTATTTCACCGATGCCACCTCGTCGCCCAATATCCCCGCTCTCCTTTGAATCATGCTCGCTACCCCCACCAGACAATGATCTCGACTCTCTTGCTGCCTCTGATGATGATCTGAACCCTGCTGAGCGTGTAGCTCGACGTCGGAGAATTGAGAAGCTTGCTGAAGCTTATCTACAAGGCTCACCGCTTTTTCTTTTGTCCGCCTCGCTCCGAGGGCCTTTTGATAAGGGATGGGATAATCCTTGGAGGAAAGATCGGCGCAAACACGGCGGATTGGAGAGGAACGAGGATGAAAATAAGAGACGACCAGTGATCCCAGAGACGAATCCGCGAAAACGGGCCCTAAACCACGAGCCCCGTGAAGTCCAACGCTCGCGGCTTTCCGCTCAATACCACGAAACCACTCCCTCTTCTCCGAACTCTGAACTCCGGAAGACCTCAATCAATGGCTCTTCCAACAAACGAGTGCGAGCTGAGAGCAGCAATATACGAGTTGCAAGTACCACACCGAAAGATACATTCGTTTCGAAAAGGCAGCCTACCCCGCAGACAAACAGAGGTTGGCTGAAGAAGGACTGTGCCGGAATCGGATTTCGAACCGTTAATCCGCCGGCATCCCCTACTGCAACGATATCAACTCGCCGTCGAGGGACAAAGGACAGCACCATACAAGTGCCCGGCACTGACTACCGGTGGGCGGTGTGGGATCATCGGAAGGACCTTAGCCACTTACGGGAGGACAACAATGATGGCCCTCGTGTCCCGGACAGTGTCAAGGTCCGTACCTTCAAAGAACAACGCAGTAGTCAAGCAGACCCTCAAAAAATTCCATCCGATGCAGTGAACCAGGATGGCTCGCTATGCGTCCTTTCCTCGTCGTCACATCTGCCTAAATTTGAGTACCGCCGCACAAAGTTATCCAGCCCTCGCAGGCAAGAGCTCAAGGCTACATCTGCGTATCAAGAACCGGAAAATAATGCGGATCAAATGGATATAGTTGAGGGCAACAACCATCCAGAGCATCAAAATCGGCCGTCACAAGGCACGGCTCCTGAGGAGGCTATCGAACTTGACTCTCCTGGACCTCCAGTGAATGAGCTAGACTCAACTGCTTCTCGGCCGAAAATTGCAGGAGCCACTACAACAGGGTCTATATCGTCAGCAGAGAAGGCACCATCCAACATTGATCCCGGAGTTGCGAACGTGAGTGACAGACTACCCTCAGCGCAACATAACCCCCATAATCCAGCCGTCACGCACAACCTGACCTCGCTACACACAATCTCCGCGGGAAAAGCCCATACCCAGAGTGACGACGATACCATTCCCGATCCACAGTTCAATACACAGGCCGCTCTTCTTCACGCCCAGATTTCATTCCAAAAAGACCTCGAGAGCCCAGATAACACTCCTGGTCGGGTCTCAAACCCCGAGTCAATATCTCGCCACGACATCACACCATTTTACCGAGTGGATACGCCTGGTGGGCTCGGGAATATCCCAAAAAACAAGGTACCGGGGACGATAAAAGGTCCAATGATGAGCACACAATACCTCATTGACGCCGTCACGCCATTCACACTGAGTACTGAGAAGAAGAGGTCTAAGCCTCGATTTCTATCTCCAGCAGATGATGGGGATAGCACTAAGCCAAGAATATCTTCTGTCGCGGGGGCATTGTCGTCGCCCGTTCCGAACTATGCCCACGATGAGAACCTGAATATTGTATCATCTCAGCCGCCAGATCATGCCGATCTCATAGATCTGGCTCAAGGAGAGGATTTGGAGATGACTTTCTCCGGAACAATGCCAACCACCGGTGAGGATGGTCAGGGAGGCGTGATGGGTGCTGAAAGTTTCAACCTCAACGAGGCCATCGCTGAAGCTGGGAGCTGGTTGCAGGAGAGTTTCGACATAGGTCAAATCAAACGATACGCACATCCGAGATCCAAAGGGTCGTCGCCCTCTGGTGGCGGTGGCATTGGTCCATCTGTGGTAAGCCTGGATGCTTGAAGACCATGTGGATATAGGTTCGGCTTCAAAGAAGTCACAACAGTCACTTGATCATTCTTGGCCACGGAAAGGCTCTGGTTCTTTGGTGCTTTCATGTACATTTACTTTTCTTTGGCGGACATAGCTTTCATGCGGACTTATTGCAACATAGAAGCGCATTATGAGACATGATACCCTCGCAATACAGTTTACACAGCCTCTTGTATTCTTGCCTATTCCCCATCCATTCTCTCTTGTATTTTGCATACCTCGATTGTGCTGCGGAAAGTATAGAGGAAAATTGCAACCGTGTGAGTGAGTTAATATATATATTACCGGTGAAAAATTTTTAGTTCGACAGCCGAAGCCAAAGCATAAAAACGAGAAGTACGTGTAGTACCTGAGTCAGAAATTAATTGTGGTTTTTTTTTGTTCAACAAGCTCGGCTTTGGTTGTTTCCCTACAATCCCAGACACTCATGTACAGTACACGCAAAAGATGTAAACAGCTGACGTTATGTTCGGAGATACGGGCGGAGCTACCGAGTCGATAGCGCAGCGGAGCTCATCCGGCAGATGTCGCTGTCGCACCCACTCCACTGCCACCGTCACTCCTGCTTGCACTTCCTCCCATTCCGCCAATTGCCCCCAGTCCATGGCGTGGGCTGTGTCCAGATGGCTTTGACATCAGTGAGATTGGATCCATCGCTTACTAGCCTTTCAGCCTCAGCATGTCACTAATGCGCCCGGAACTAGTGGAAAGCGTTTAACTTCTTCGATGTCTCATCGGTGAAGCTGCCGGAGGAGAGCTCATCCATCCTCGGTGTACGCCCCCTTTGCTTTCGCTTCGGACCTCGTCGCTGAGTCGGCTAACATCCGTAACGAGTACAGTCTGATATTCTCTCCCTCTGTTCCGGTTCTGCCAACCTTTTCCTCGGTTCAAGCGATGGTTTTGTCCACATCATCTCCTCGTCTTTCAAGCTCGCCCGCTCGTTCAAGGCCTCTGAAAATGGCTCGATCGCACATATCAAGCAGATAGAGGGGTCCTCGTTGCTTCTGACTATCGCAGAAGATCTACCTAACGAGCCGATATTGAAGGTCTGGGCTCTCGACAAACCCGAGAAAAAGACCGGTGCCCCGCGATGCCTGTCAACAACGTCCATCCAGAACGCAAGGAGGATATTTCCAGTATGTGCTCGACCTGATACTCTGGGGGTTGAAGGTTCAATATTGATGAATTAGGTTTCGGCGTTCACTGCTCTGGACGATCTGTCTCAGGTGGCAGTTGGGTTCGCGAATGGATCTGTCACGATCATCCGTGGTGACCTAATTCATGACCGCGGGGCAAGGCAGCGCATTGTGTTCGAGTCGGAGGAACCAGTTACGGGTCTCGAGGTACAAAGCGGTCCTGTCGCAACTTTGTACATCTCCACCACTAGCCGTATGCTGGCCCAGATCATCTCTGGCAGAGGTCAGGGCCAACCGGCACGCATTCTTGATGACATGGGCTGTGCAGTGGGCTGTATGTGCCTGGATAAGGATACGGGTGATGTACTGGTGGCCCGGGAGGATGCGATATATACCTACGGACCACACGGACGTGGGCCTAGCTACGCTTTCGAGAGTCGGAAAGACTCAATCAACATTTTCAAAGACTATATTGCATTAGTCTGCCCGCCGCGCGATACTTCCTCGCGGCCCGACGCTCTGCGCAACTTCAACGTCAGTCAGGCGGACGACATCTTCAAGACGACCATGTTCACGCTCCTGGACACAGACTTGAAATTCATCGCGCACTCCGAGTCGCTTGTGTCTGCGGTCAAGAAGATATTCATCGAATGGGGCGATCTTTTCCTTCTCACTACGGATGGCAAGGTAGGTTATCGGTGCTCTGATTCAAGAAATTATACTGACCTTGGCAGCTCCATCGGTATCGCGAGAAAAGTCTCCAGCAGAAGCTCGAGATTCTGTATCAGCGGAACCTATACATCCTAGCGATCAATATCGCCCAGAAGACCGGAGTGGATACTCTACAACAAAATGCCATCTACCGAAAGTACGGAGATTTCCTGTATCAGAGGGGTGACTACGACACTGCAATGCAGCAGTACCTCCGGGCTATCGATAACACAGAGCCGTCCCAAGTCATCCGAAAGGTAGGGACTATTCCATTCTATGTATCCGTTGTTGTTCTGAACGGGATGTAGTATCTGGACACCCAGCGAATTCACAATCTTATCGAATATCTGGAGGAGCTACACGATCACGATAAAGCTACAGTCGACCACACCACTCTGCTCCTGAATTGCTACGCCAAGCTGAAGGATACGAATAAACTAGACGAATTCATCAAAGCCCCCGGAGAGCTGAAATTTGATCTCGAAACTGCGATTGCTATGTGCAGACAGGGTGGATATTACGAACAAGCAGCCTACCTTGCTACGAAGTATGGCGAGAATGACATGGTCGTCGATATCCTGATCGAGGATTCGAAGAAATATGCGGAGGCTTTGGAGTACATCTGGAGGTTGGACCCTGAATTGGTTAGTATAAATGCGTCCAAGCTTACAATCACAGACTAACATGTGCAAGGCCTATCACAATCTGATGAAATATGCTCGCGTATTACTTTCCAACTGCCCGGAGAAAACGACAGAGCTTTTCATCAAATATTATAAGGGCCAGTATAAGCCTAGGACCGAAGTTGAGCCACCCATTGAGCCACAAGCACAACAAACTAGCACTTTACAAAGTTTAGCGGCTTTTCTCCCCTTGCCTCTGATGAACTCTAGTGCTGGAGCGAAGGCTGAGCCGGCGGAGAAGTCACGCGAGGCTAGCGATGAAAATGTCGAAGAAGTCGTTGACTACCAGGTTCCGAAGCCGAGAACGGCGTTCTCGGTGTTTGTCGGCCATTCTGAAGAATTCATCTCATTCCTCGAAGCGCTCATCGAAAAAGAAGACCTGGAAGAGGATGATAAGATTGACCTCTACACAACCCTTTTTGAAATGTATCTGGATACCGCAGGCCGGAAGAAGGATGCCGCTGAGAAGCAGGCTTGGGAGAATAAAGCGAAGAAGCTCATCGAAGGGAAAGATGTGAGGAGCTTGTCCCGATACATCGTGATCAGCGCTAATCTCCCCAGATACCTATATCTACTTCAAGCGTTCTGCTGTTGTCCGACTTATCCGGCTTTCGGGAAGGATCTACTCTTGTCCGCGAGCAAGAAGGTCTTCGGTCAGACATCTTCCGTTCTTTCACGTCGGCAAAAGACACCAACGGTGCTATCCAGGCGTTGAGGAAATATGGTCCGGAGGACCCCCAGCTCTACGTGGATGCGCTCACCTATTTTGCTTCAAGCCCCAAGATTCTCGAGGAAGCTGGAGACGAACTGGACGCTGTCCTCAAACGTATTGACGAAGCTGGTCTCATGACTCCACTGCAGGTTATTCAAACGTTAAGCAACAATGCAGTTGTCACCATGGGTCGTGTCAAAAAGTATCTGAGCGAGAATATCGAGCGGGAAAGAAAGGAGATTTCCACGGTCTGTCACCTTAGCAAGAATTTATGGCACTACCAGGCTAACCTTAATTAGAACCGCCGCTTGATAACCAGTTACAGCAAGGAGACTGAGAGTAAGCGAAAGGAACTGGAGCAATTAGGCAACCAACCTGTCGTTTTCCAGTCACGTCGGTGTAACTCTTGCGGCGGCGCACTCGATCTACCTACGGTGCATTTTCTCTGCAAGCATTCCTTCCACCAGCGGTGTCTGAATAGGGTGGACGAGGATGCAGAATGCCCAGCTTGTGCACCGCAGAACTCCACCATCAAAGCCATTCGAAAGCGGCAGGTCGAGTCAGCCGATCAGCACGACTTGTTCAAGGGAGAGCTGCAGCGCTCCAAGGACCGATTTGGGGTCATCAGTGAGTTTTTCGGGCGGGGAGTGATGCGGCCACAGAGCACTATGGAGTGATATGATTTCTTTCTTTTTTTTCCAGCGCAGCCTTGCACATGGTGTAGATAACTACCTCGATATCACATTCTGGCGATTTTTGTTTAGAGCAACATCATAACTAAGTTCTAGCACATGGCGGCCCAAAGCGGAAAGTCTTATCGCCACGTGACCGCGCGTCATCTGGGGATTTTCGATCTGCGGGACGCGACAGGCCAATATTATTGTCATTAGAAAGCTTCGGTGCATGATCGCGCGCACAGCTACGCCAGAGCACAACTCGAGTAGCAGAAAATGTCTCATGACCGTGTGATTCAAGACTCAGATGCTGAGGATGATCCGTTTGTGGCACCCCGATCCCCAGGGCAGGAGGCCGATAACGTGCATGCCGACGTACAAAACCACCAAGAACAAGAGGGCAACTATGATTCGAGCATGAATATCAACTTTGATCAATACCTGCAATCGCAGGAAAGATCACAGCCCGGAATCCGCTTTCAGCATCAACAGGAAGATAGGTGGAACTCGACGAATGCTGGAGGTGGACCTATGGGTAGGAGATCTCGAACTACCTACATCTCACTTTTGACCGTCATGCTAATCATTGGGATCATGCAACAGGCTCGATGATGAACGAGATTGGACTTGCGCAGCAAAGACTTTTCGACGATGACGAGGCCCACGTCGTCGATACGTCGAGGCAGCACCACCATGAGGGCGTCTACTCAGAGTCGATCCAAGCAGTTACTACGATACCTGTACAAGCCGAACAGGTCACTGTTGATCTCACCGGTCATCCATACACCAGCAACTCATCATCGTACAGTGCCTTAGATAGCAATCTCGGCTGGGCGCAAGCAGACCCCTCGCTATCATTAAATACAAATCCGAACCCCTCCAGCCTCAATCGCACGCCTCCACCTCAGCAATACGAGGCACCTCGGTCCGATGATCCCAACGAATATGCCACTTACGCTCACGTCGAAGTGCCAATACAGCCTTACTACCAACAATTCTCATCCATCCCAAGCCACAATCTCTCCTCCGCAGCCAGAACATCCTCATCCTTCAACGTCTTTGAAGCATCGCTCCCACCCCTCGAGAACGCATATCCTGATACCACCGACAACCAACACAACATCACCTACTCCGCAACAACCATCCCCACTGAAGTTGCACCTACCTCCTCTCCTCGACGAATTGCCTCCCTCCAAGCAACCCCCTTCTCCCCGCACGATACCCAACCCTTCTCCTCCGTCCCGTCAGCGGCGAAAGCGAGTCGATACAAAAGCGACAGCCATCTCGATACACCGACCAGTCACCCATCCTACAACGGCAAAGCAACGGCAACATCACTGGCCCCAACGCAATTGAGCGCCGACGAGCTAGTCGCCATCCAAGTCCCCGCTGCGCAAACTCCTACCGTGGAAAAGAAACGCGGCCGCAAGAAGAAACAGCAACCGCCGGAACCACAAGCACCATCTCTCCCAGAACCTGATAACCCAACTGAATCCGAAGCCATTGTAATCGACGACAAAAGAGTTAGCGATCTCGCCGAACCAACCACTACCACCACCACAATCAACAGCACAGACATCCAAGACCCCAACCCCACAACGACGACTACGACCACCACCACAAGCACAACCGAACCACCCAACAACAAGCCCGAAAAACGCAAACCAGGCCGACCACCAAAGAACCCCAAACCCCCGACGACAGACCCGGAAGACCCATCTAACATTGAACCACCTCATCAACAAACAGACCTGCCACCCAACCAACAAGACGAAAAAACCCAGCCCTCCGGGACTAAAGAGCCCAAAAAGAAAAAGCTCAAACGCGGCAAAACCACCTCCATCACCCTGACGAAAACCTACGAATCAGACATCGAACCCGACGTGATCTGGGTCGAAGAAGAAGAAAAAGAAAATTACGGAAAGCGCGCTGGTCGGGGCCCAGCGATTGAACTCTCTCCACCACCTTCAGCAACGCTATCCCTAAAACAACACCCCGATCCAGAGATATTGGAAGCGAAAGAGAATTTCGATCCTTCGACTACAGCAGCAGCAGCAGCAGCAGCAACAACAGCAGAACCAGCGCCCAAGAAACGCGGCCGCAAGAGAAAGAATCCCCCTCCAACGGAGCAGGAGCGCGAACACGAACACGAACAACAGAAACAGGTGGAACAGGTGGAACAGGAGCAAAACCCCGCGGAACCAACCACTGAGCCAGGGGGCGACGAAGGAGAGGATGACCTTGTCCGCCCTCCAAACCAAGCCGAACCGACTCCGGATCCTCAACCGAACCCCGAACTCAATACTGTTCCCACTACACCACTGAAATCGAATAAGGGCCCTACCAAGCACAGTCCGATCTCGTCGACGAGCAAGGTGCCTTACCGCGTGGGTCTGAGCCGGCGGGCGCGCATCGCTCCGCTGTTGAAGGTGGTTAAGCGATAAGATAATGTCTGGATACCCCTACTTCCAACTGCTATTACTGGAAAACAGGAAGGTAGTTGTCGGATGGAGTCAGTCACGACGCGCTTCTTGCTTTTCACTTCTGCTCCATTATATGTATATTGCTCGGTGGAAGGGAGCGGCTCTCAGACTGTAAAATTCCTTTTTGAGAATGAGTTATGTCTTCGCGAAATACCCCAACAGAGCGGTCTTGCTTCTCGGAATGGCTACAATTACTTGTTTCGTCAATCATTCTATCTACAGTGGCTTGATGAGGCCACGACTGGACATCTCTACAATGGTTACGGCCTCCAGAGATGTCAATGACAATCGGATATATTTGTTATTCTCTTCAGTAGCCTCAAAGGTCACGCTTCATAACTTTCGTATGAATGCCCAAAGGAGTGTACAAACGCCAAATAAAGAATTGGTCCAGCCGATAAACCATGCACGACTCACAAACATAACGGTGAACACTGCACCCAGCATCTTGATGGTGAACAAGAACAACATTGCCCTGACCGGTCTCGGGTCCAGACTACCCAATCAACACAGCAAGCAAAGACAATACCGCAAACTCAACGGGAAGAATCAAAGGCACCATATAGCTCGCATCCGACTTGGCGGGCTTGTCCTTCGACATAGCTTTACCGGTGGCTTTGAAGTCCGTGTGGTCCTCTACAGCCACGGCGACATTCGTCTTGCTGTCACAAATGCCGTTGTCGGACTGACAACCCTCACCGCAGAATGTGGTCAAATTGCCACAGAATCCGGTCCCACTGCAGCAAGGTCCAAAGCGGGATCCATCGCATGTGACATTGCCGCCACACATCCCATCGAATGAGACTATCCTCGAAGGGACCTTGAAGACATTCTTCCTCGAGTTGCGGCCATCGACGGTATTGTCCTCGCGGTACCAATACTTGGGAGGATCACCCAGACACTCGCCCACTGTCACTGGTCGGAAGCCCTCAGCGATGAGCTTCTTCAGCATGTGCTCTGTGAGATTATGGACAGTCTGTTCATGGACATCGTGAGCAATCACAAGCCAGGGCCGGTCAAAGGCAGTTCGGGCATCCAGACTACTGTCGAAGATGTCCTTGGAGCGTTGAATCTCGGTCGGGCTGTCGTGCTTGTAGTCCTCCGTGTCGATATCGTATAAAATAATATGGTAGCCAAGCTCTCCCATATCCTCCAAGCAGCCGGACTCGGCCGTGCAGCTGGAGTATGGAGGTCGCATGTATGTGGGGAAAAACCCTAGAATGTTCCGCAGGGCGGCTTCATTCCACAGCAACTGGATGCGACGCTGGTCCCGTGAGATCTTGCTGAGGTCTTGGTGAGACCAGGTGTGACTCGCGATCTGATGGCCACTAGCATGCATACGCTGGATCAAAGACGCCCATGGCATCCCGGGGCTGTCAATCTGGCCTTTGGCGTTGTTGTTGCCGGTAATGAAGAAAGTAGCCTTTGCTTCGTACCGATCGAGAAGGTCAAGCAGATCCTTTGTGAACTCCTTAGGTCCATCATCGTAGGTCAGAGCGACGGTACCCGGGACCGTACAGGATCGGATGATATGGGGTCCATAGAGAGCAACTCCATCAAGAGGCCGGGGAATGTCTTCGGTAGAGGATCCACCGGGGGTCATATGTGCGTCACAATAGCCGTAGTCGATCTGACAGTCCGGAGAGGCGCAGTGGTCCTTAGTATCCCCACAGTAGCCTGTAGCCATCAGAATCACATTTGAGGGTGAGATGCACAAGGCAACATACCAGCAGTAGAGCAGCAGAGTTTCTCTGGACACTTCCCAACTCCGGAGCCACAACGCTTTCCAGTCGCACGGACGGAAAGTGTCTGGATGCTAACATCATCTTGGGGCCGAGGGAGAATCGGGGACAAATGATGGTTCGACTGCAGGGTGATGATGTTCCGCGCCGTCGTGCACGCTGCAAGACCATAAACGGAGAGAGCCCAATTGAGCATACGCATCGCGCCGAAGGTAAACCTGATAAGGAGTATACGAAGGTTAAGATACAGTGTAAGTCAACACGGTAAGAGTCTGATGCGGAAGATAAGATGTTTGAGGGAGGATGGAGGAAAAGTCGAGAGGAAAAGTGGCAGAGATGTTTTGATCGCGTTGACCGACAACACAGAAGGAAGCTGCGGTTGTTGACTTTGCAAGGCAGGAAGCGACCAGCTTGTCCCAATAATGACTAGGAGGCAGTAACGCTGGAGGAGGCATCCTATACCTCGTTTTGCCCTGTGATACTGTCGTTGCCTGGGAAGATCTAGCCTAGTTTCAAATACGTGAATTGCAGTTGGAAATCCCACTGGCCGGAAGCACGCCGTACCTTGCTTCCTTCGGTGTCTCATCTAGACGTTTCAGTATCGACTGATTGACTTAGTCTCAGCAAAAAGAAGCGCAACCGAGAATTCGTTCATCAGAGCGCCGCACATTTCCATCGAGTAACCACCCAGAGCTCGAGAAGTTACGCAAACACGGCAGTGGCTGCCATGTAGCCGTGGTAAGCAGGGCGCACACATCGTAGATGATGCCAGATAGATCGTCCAAATACAAATCTAGTGATTTGGTGATTTCTCGGAATCGAGGTTGAATCAGAAAGGAGACCATGATTTTCATTGAGGGTATAGTAATCCATAAGGTCCAGTGATAACCGGGAGTTCATCAATCTATCGAGACGAGATCCTACAGTACATTGGAAGTCGTTACTTGAGGAGACCGTCAGGGCGCCACAACCACGCCAACTCAGCTAACTGGTGCCACTGCATCCTCCCCCAGGGCCGAGAACACGAATGGAGCAAGCGTCGGGAGGTAGGGGCCGAACTTGGCAGGGGCACTCTTCGCTATACTACCCACCGTGGCGACGAGGTGGCGTTGGTGAACGGTGGTAGGCTGAGAGTTGAACTTTTGCGTCAGTTCCTTTACAAAGAGGTTGAGCTGATTATCGGAGAAATGAAGGACCAAAGCCGAGATGGCGGCCAGCGCGCGCTTCGTTACCACGGTACCAGCCGTGTCGTTGTCGACGATGGACATGACGGAATCTTTCAGAGCAGTCAACTCCGCCTCCTTCAGGAGCGGTCCAAAGCAATTGATGACCTGAATCAACACATCAATCGCGTCACTGCTGAAACCCTTGGATGGATCCTTCTCGAGCATTCCCTTGACAACCGAGCCTCGTCTGCTGGAGGGAGATTGTACTGGGCCAGTCAGCCGAGGTATGAGCACGCGAGACACCGCTGAGTAAGCCGATGTAGCATCTAGACTGGGTTGTTGTCCGGCCTGAGGACGAGGAAGAGCAGTGACGATATATCGTAGAGCGGTGTTGGGGACGGATGTATCGATGGTCTGGGAAGCTGTCAGGTTGGTGAGTTTCTCCAGAAGAGAGGCGAGACTCTCAAATGGCAGTCGGTGAACGAGGGGACCAAGGCTATGTATCATCGAAAGATCAGATCAGGGTACGCGAAGGTAGAGAGGGTAGGAAAGGTACCATTTGAGAGCCTGGTTCTGGACGTCACCGTGTTGATCATCTAACGCCTTGAGGAGACCTTCGGCCAGCTTTGAGGCGGAGAACTGGTCATGAGCCAGATATGTGGAGTTAGGACTGTTTAAAACGCCAAGAAGATCGTTGAGGGACATGTATCTCATGTCCGGGTCGGGGTCATCCAGCTTGAGGAGTAAGCTGTTCAGGTTATGCTGAACTGCCTGTCGGTCCGCCATGGTGAAGCCCCGCACTGAGTTTTGAGCTGGCGGCGGGGTTTAAGATGCTTCTGAAAAAAGATAAAACACAGTACTGTCTTTTCCTGATGAGCGAGCACAGAGCTGACCCAAGACGGAACAGTGGGTTGCGCAGTCGAAATGTGATGGTGGGGAGGGGACTGGTGAGGGGATGAACATCCAGCTGATAGTGAGTGAGAATGATAACTTGCTGTTACTATCGGAGCTGCTTGGCTGCCTCAGGCCGAAACAAGCTTCTACGGGCTACCACTGAGGCCAACCACGCAGGCATCAGCCACCGCAGATCAACTCCAACATGCATTTGGCCTGTATTCTCTGCACATCGCTCGTAAGTATAAATAGAGAAACAATGCCAGCAATGAAGTCACCGCTGTCAGAACTGGTAGGTATACAGATAAATAATCAAGCAATGCTGATAGGGAGAAATTCCGGGTGGGAACAGCACAACAGCACGAGGCCGATCTCCGCATGGAGAGTGATTGGAGACAGAGGCATTACATCATTTGGTGTAATCAATCAGTTGTTTGTTAATAACTTGTACTTGCAGTTACTTTGACCACGCCGGCAGTTCCCGCTCCGTGGTGAGTGCAACTACAGCCAGCTCCAAGTATTCTATAGTAAGAGATTCCCCGGTCATTAAGTCATACCATCATCCTTCCTCTTTCCCAAGCCAGCCACCTCTTTTACTCTTCCTTCTTCCTGCTTCCCTCCCTTCTTCCCTTCTTTCTCCTCCTCTCTCCTCCCTCCTACCAACATATACCCAAACCAATTGCTTCACCCTACCATCCTATACACCCCAATTCCTCTCTCCTCCTATCTAGAATCACCACACAACCAAACACAATGGTCCTCGCACGCCCCCAGTTCCTCCGCGCCTCCGCCCGAGCCCTGGGCACCGTGCGACGACAGATGCCCACCCAGCAATCCGCCCGTCGAACATACGCCCAAGCCGCCGAAACAAGCAACAAGCCCTCCGACCTCCCCTGGTAAGTTTACCTATATCCCCAATCCCTTGTACCTCAATCCCCAGCTCCCACTCACCAATTGCCCTTCCCAATCGCGATTCCCACGCAACTAACCCAACGCCCACGAAACAGGCTCATCGGCTCCCTCGGCCTCGGCATCCCAGGAGCATACTACCTGCTCGCATCAGGCGGCAAGGCCGCCGCCTCGTCGCACGACACACCCGACACCCACAACCACGGCGAACCCAAGGGCAAGGCCTCGACCTCGGCGCCGATCGAGAAAGAAGAGGTCGCGCCCGCCAAGGACTCCGCTCCTCAACCGGACCGCGACGCCGAACAGAAGACCGAGTCTTCTTCGTCCTCATCGGGTGCAGCTACCCCCTCGACGGATGGGAAGGCGCCTTCGGAGGCTGATGAGGTGAGTTTTGCCCTAGAGAAAAAGTCCCGATGGGAATATACGTGGGGAGCGGGGATCCCCTCCACCCCCCCCCTCCCGCGATTGTAATACAAGGAATGGTAGTGCTGACCATAACAGGCGGCCACTCGCAAGGAAGCCGGCAATGCGTCCACCATGTCCGGCAAGCAGGAGGGTCTTTCCAACGCGACTACGGATAACCCGTATGTGAACGAGCCCGGCAAGAGTATGAAGGGCGAGGGCGAGACGGAGTCGGCTAAGGTCAAGGGTACTGTGTCGCCTGATCGTCCACAGCAGTAAACTCGGATGTCTTCGTCTTTGGCGTTTTAAAGAGAAAAGACGGGGTGTTTGTTTTTCTCTCTGCTTGATGCAATTGTTTCATGTATAAGACCATGAGTGCCATGAAGGGGGTGGGCAGTTGGCCGGTATAGCAACTTAACTGATATGATCTCGCATCTTCTTGGATTCCTGCGTCGTAGACTCGTAAGTGTAGATCTGGGGAAAGGACATAGCTGCGAGGGTCAGTAGATTAGCTCAAAGGGCTACAGCTGTTTTGTATGCGAGATCAATGCACAGAAGCTTTGGAAGTGAATCGCACCGGCCAATGGTCAGTCGATGCGGATCTATTACTATATTAGATTAGACATCTGCAGGCGGTTCCAATGCGCCATCCTCTCCTCGAAACAGGAAAAGAAAAGCTTGTACCTATCCTTCACACAACCTTGAGGAAAAATAAAAGAAAAAAGGAGAATAGGAAAAAGCCGCACCCGCTCAGTCATGGGGAAAATTTCGTCACTTATATTCATTTCAGCTTGCATCACCTGCGACGCCCCGACCATGACGTGACCGACACCTCAAAACAATTGTATGCAAAGCCAGCAGCCGTTGCTCTCGTAGACCCACTTACACCCAACGACCATGTAGAGAGAACAGACATGGGGGGAAATACAAAGGTCGTTTCTCCTCAAGGGGCAAAAAAGAAGAAAGGAAAAAAAAAAAAGTTCGAACATGGAGGCCATAAAATGTTCTTCGGAAGGTAAAGAAGTTATAGACAAGCCTCACCAAGAGTGGGCTACACGATTCCGCATGGATCGTAACAATGCGATATGCATACCTCCACGGCGATCTCATTGTTTGGGGACCTGTCGGCAATGGTGTTTGACTAATGCTTGCTGTTGACAGGCTGGCCGTTCACAAGGACCTGAGGGGTCTTGTTCTCTTTGCTGCGGGCATTCAGGGTCGGCGCCTCGATACCCGTCGCGAGAGTGGCATGAGTGTTGGCGTCGGGAACCGGGATCTCCTCCTCAGTATCCTCATCATCGCTTCTCTCGTCTTTCCTGATGTCACTGATGATGTAGTTCTTCAGGATACGCAGAATCAAGAAAAGCCAGAACAGGTTGACAGCTTGCAGACTGGCCAGCAGGGCGAATGTGATGTATTGACTGATCCAGCACTTGTATTGCTGGGTCTCCCAGTTCAGCTCGAACGGTCCGACCGTGCGGAATTCAGTCAAAACAGCCCAGAGGATCTTCAGGTTCAGGTAATGCCGAAGATAGATCCACATGCCGACGAAAATACCAAAGTATGGCGCCGTAATCCAGTGGTCGAGGTAGTTGAGGGTCTTGGAAGTCTGCAAAGAATCCATGTTAGCACTTCGTTAGGTTGCGCGAAGGATCGGTGTACGTACGGCAAGGAAGAAGTCGGAGATATCATGTGTGATATACACGGCGATACCCATGTAAGTGAAGTGGAACCGGTAGCTCAATCCAATGAGTGCCAACGTGATGATGTGGTGTGCCACCAGCTCCTTGAAGTCCTTGCGCGGCTTCTCCAGTTGAAGCATCAACACGATCGCCTGTTGTGCCCAGTAACTCGCCTCCAGCAGGTAGTACGCCTTGAACAGTGCCTCGTGCTCTCGGTGAGGGAACCCTTCGAACATCGCCGTGGTGTTGAAATACCAGATATCGGACCGGTACATGACATACAGACCGAAGGGACCAAAGATTCCAAAGTAAATGGCCGTGTATACCTGTTCCATGAACCGAGCAGTCTTGCCTTTGCCGCGGATGCCGCAGTACACCGCAAAGGGCCGGATCCAGCGCTGCATCATAAACTCACGAGTGAATGACAAGACAACCGTGTAGAAGGAGACGAAAGCAATATCCTTGGGACCTTTTCCGTACATGATTGGACCGCCAGGGACCTTCGGGGGCTGTGGGTAGGACAGGAAGATGGCACTGTGCAGCGGATTCGACGTTGTCGGGTTGATCGCGTACAGGGATAGAAGAATGACCATGATGAGCAACGGCAGAAGCCAGGTGTGCTTTAGACAAACATCCTTGAAGCGGCGCAGAGAGGACTTCTTGCGACGTTTGGCGGGCGCCTTGGGCGACTTTTCGTCGGAGGCACCGGACTGCAGCACCTGATGATGAACGAAGTGAGCCGGGGTTATGGGGGGGCAATGCGAGTCAGGGCCATCGACAAGGCCTAGGGACATCATACCTGATCCCATTTGGGGGCTTCTCCATCAATTGGGCTGACCTCATTCATGGTGGACATGGCCGGTGCGCCAGTGTCACCGCGGATGTCCGCGCCCAAATTGCTGGATTTCCGTCCACGAACCATGACGGACAGAGGGGCGAGATGTGAGTTTTGATAAACCGCCTGCTTGTATGTTGGAGAAGGAACTGGCTATGCCTTTCTCTCTTCTGCCTCTTCAACGACTAATTCGAGCCACCGAAAGCAGAAAAGCGCACGGGGAAAAAGTACCGAGCGGAGCGGAATGCGAAGCGCCGGGAATTGACAGAGCGCGCGGGAAGGGGGATGTTCGACCAACAGAGAGGACTGAAGAAGAGCGACCCGAAGGGCAATTAAAAAGACAAAAAAGGGCTACACGAAGAGAAAGAGAAAAGAAACAAGGGAAGGCGGCGATCGCAGATTGCGAATTGAGGGCGAACCGTTGGGGAAGAGTGGGTTGAAGAAGAAGGGGAAGAAGAGGCGGCAAGACGGAGAAAGTGTAGAGTTAGTGTTGAGTGTACTCCGTAGACGAAACTAAGATGTCAGTCCCGCTCTGGGCTGGTGCTCGCAACGAACCTCGCAATCTCTTCCCTTTGCGGACTCCCAAAAGCTAACTTTGATCGGTTTTCGGACAGTTCAGTTTCCCCGACCACTCCACACTCTACAAATCGACATCCTGTCGGACCATCGTCAGACTAACCCCTGATTGTCGTGGTCTCCTTTCGTTGGGAATGAATTGCTGATATACAACAATTCGGTCCACGTTGATTGTGCGCATGTCATTGGGTCAACCTCGAGGAATAGTGTTCTTGGCAGCAATACGATTACGACAGCCCACTCATATAAGCGGAAAAGGAGAGCATTGGGCCATGTTTGTGAAGGACAGTTGTCGTAGATAGGCTTCGTCCCTGATATCCTACTGCATTCTGCAGGAGATCGATCAGAGGATCCATCTACCTATCCACTTTAAACCTTACTCCCGACAAGTAAAGATCGAGAAAGGCCCTGACATACATATAGTATAGTAGTTACTATAAAGCCACGTTTTAAAGCAAACCACTAGAAACTCGTGATATAGATCAATCACCATAAAGTTCAGTTGCTGATTTCTGCACGTTGCCAGCCTGCAGTTCGCTGCAAGAATCTTGCAACTCTGCAGTGTAGAATTTCCAAGTGATGATTAAACCGCGGGCGAATCTCGCACAATGAAACCCTTGAGAAGTAAGAGGCTCTGCTTTGAAACTTGACCGCCTGATATACCGTTTTGACCGGCAGAACGCTCGTGACCTTGAGGTGGAAATGGCGGAATTAAGCGGATTCAAAGACGAACAGCCCTCGAAATTTATTTCAGAAAACTGTTAAGAATTGGCGGTGGCAGAAAAGTGTGAGAGCGGCGCTTCAGAGCTATCACCGCTCATCTCACCGCATCAGCTGGCAGAACCTCCGCGACCTCGCAGAGAAAACGCCGGAATTAAGCGGACTTAAGAGAAAACAGCCGGCCAAAAGTTGCCGGCGAAACTGTTTAAAAAAGGCGGTGGCAGAAAAGAGCACCAAGCCAGCAGCAAATCGCTCCGGACTGAAATGAACTACAAATATGTGGGCTTAAAGGCACATCTAAAGCTTTCGATCGATTCAAAATGATTGCAACGCTTACTCCTTCCATCAATTCACCCCAGGGGTCGCATTATCAACGTTTCTCCCCTTTACTCTGAACTTTAAAAAGCTGGCAATAGTGGATAAGCATCTAACCTAATCCAGCTAGCGAAAGAATCGTATGCACGGCAAGGACACCGTTTTCCCGATTAGGAAATCAAGTATAGCCTCAGCTCCATCAACCTTTGCAGCTTGCAATCCATATCATCCTCCTGAGTGAAGAAAATGACTCACTTGTACTCAGCCAAGTCTGTCAGAAGTGTCAGAGAATAACATAAAAGGCGCTTCATCTCCCCTGAAACTTCTATCTTCCAATTCACAGCACTCCTCACCTCGCAATGACGGCGCAACCTGACACCTTCCTCAGCCTTCAAGGCAAAGTGGCCCTCATCACGGGCTCAGGCAAGAAGAGAGGTATTGGCGCGGGTATAGCCACCACCCTTGCACATCATGGCGCATCGGTCGTCATCAACTACGTCTCGTCATCTACGGCATCCTCCGCCGCGGCAGTGGCAGAGGGTATCTCTGCTACGGGCAGGAAGGTCCTCGTCATGCAGGCGGATATCTCACGTCCAGAGGAAGCCCAGAGACTTGTGACAGAGACGGTCACCGCGTTCGGGAAGATCGATATACTAGGTGGGCATTGTGCTACGTCTATACAGAATTGAAAGCTTACTTGGAGGCACAGTCAACAACGCCGGAACAGGGTTTCCCGGCCCCGTGCTGAGTGCGACACCAGAGTCCATGGCAACTACCTTTGGCGTCAATGTCTTCGGTCCTCTGTATTTGGTTCAGGCTGCAATAGCGCATATGCCACCGCACAGTCGTGTGATCAATATCGGTTCCGTGGCGTCAAAGTTAGGAGTGTCTGGATCGCCCATCTATCTGGCTTCGAAGGCGGCAACGGATGCGTTGACCCTTGCTATGGCTGGTGAGGTAAGATATCATACAATCCTAGTTGTGCGCGAGTCTGGGGTGGAACGTACTGATTGTCTTTAGCTGGGTCGCGGTCATGGTGGCATTACAATCAACACAATCTCCCCTGGCCCGGTCGACACGGACGGTGTGCCACCCGCTGTGGCAGAGATGATTCACAAGACTATGGTACCCATGACCCGGGTCGAAGAACGGGTTGGCACTGTGGAGGATGTGGCTGATGCAGTGCTTCTATTGTGCTCCGAGAAGAGTCGGTGGATATCCGGGCAAGTTATCTCGGTCAGTGGAGGAATTGTGGGCGGTTGAGGAGTACTTAAGGCTCGCTTGTCTGTATATCCGTTCTATGTACATGTTGGCACTGAAAGTCCTGTAATGAAAGGTTCGGTCTGAATGTGCAAAGCATCGACCCAAAGAATACTCTTGACTGTCTTCAAGGTATCGATACTATCGATGCCTAGACGATCCATCACGGCCCTGATTTCCGCAGTATATGGGCCAGGGTATCCAGCGTTCGACAGTAAAGAGACTGTCGCTATCGCCCATAGGCATAACTTCAGACAGGGAGCATCATACTCGGGTATGGGCAAGAATGGAACGAGAGTCGCGAATTTATGCTGGAGGTGCGGCCATTCACTTGAGGTGAACAGAAACACATCCCTCTTCAGCGCTGCGAGGAGGATCAGAAGAGCTAACCGTGTGGCCTCTCGGAGGAGTATTACTCCCTGCGCGCTAGAAGCAATATCCGTTGGTCTCGACATTGACAGGAGGAAGTGTGTAGCTGGCCCAAACATGTTGATCATAGTAATGTTGTCTTCCTGTCGCCAAAATGGGTCGGGGCTACACTGGCTTTCATGTACGGTAGTTGCGATGGACGTCACGTAGTTGAAAGCAATGACAACATCACTAAACGTCCCGCGCCTCATCGATATTTCGTCTAGAAGGCTTCTCGCCAAGTGTGTCAGGACATTTGGGGAATCTGTCCACAGATATTCCGCGTCCACCATTGGTTTCGGCATGCGAGGACGATTATCCTCTGCCACACTCCCAACAACATCAAGCCTAATTATCAAATAGTCAGCTAATGTCCAAGCTTATAGAGACATTTGATCGTACGGAGCAACATACCAAAAAGCAAATAACGTCACATTGGCGTTGAGACCATGATACCCTCCTCTCAACTGGATGATACGTTCAAGGCCACTAAAATGGGTATTCCATCGATTTTCCATCCCAACATATAGCTCCAGCATCAATCAACAACTCCAAATCGGTCTCACGGGAACGGACAAAACTTACATCATGACAGATCAACCCCAGGATGGCTGTGATCACTCCTTCGCTTAGGCTCTCATTGACATCTTGCAAACGGCCCCGAACCTGCTGCACACACTGCCCATAGTACGCCAGACACTCGGCGCTTGTCTCATATCTAAACTCCCTCTCACGGGTCCTCTGGTCGAAGAACATGGCTGCATTCGCCAAGGCCACAAAGATGGCGCTAGGATCTGTCAGCGCCATGGAGAACCAGACGGAGCGAAACGGTCGGAAGACGTAGTCCCTGTCGCTTGTCACTGTAGTAGATAAGCTTGGCGCTAAGAGGTCGGGATGGGGTGCTGCGTGGGGCCCGTACTGAAGTGCATCAGCTGTAGACCTCTTTCGTCGAGCTGAGTGGGGTAGAATGTGGTGTTGCATGGGTCGAGAGATGTAGGTATGCTCGTGTCCATCGAGGGAGACCCGCTAGTCACAGGGTCTGGCCCAGGGGAAGGTCTTAGGCTCAGGGCCAAGGTCTGTGGCCGACGCTGTGTCCGACGCGATTTCCCAATGTCCCGCATCACTCGGCGCCGGATAGTGCGCTGAGTAGAGGCGGATTTTATCTCATCTGGTCGCGATATGTTCACGAAGACAAGGTCGTCCTGCTGGGAGGGTGAGTGTTTCATCTCAATGCGGTATTCAGAAGAGTGGTGGGGTAGGAGATTCGAGCAAAACTCGAGATTGGATTTGATTCCCGTGAGAATCACAGATCACACTAAGCCGGGTAGAGGATACTAAATTCCTCTAAGTGCCTGTTATCGAATTCCTTTGACTCTGGACGAGTTCTTTATTCGATTTGCTATAAGAGCAAGCGCTTCTTGTTGTGGGCACGACTTTACAAGCAGCATACGATGCGATCATAACTTTACTATCTTCTTGTTCCATAGTCGCGTGATCTGCTTTGTATAACAGGCACGGACAGACCGCTAATGTCAAAATATGCCAGTAATAACCATGAGATTCTATGGATCATCCGAAACCTCTTCTTAGCCAGTCGTAATAAATCTCTGTAATCTCTCCCTCTCCTCGGAGCCATGTGAGTCTACCTCCAACGGTCTAACTGAGCAATTGGATAAGGTGGTTTGCGACCACTTCCCCAACCAAGTCGTACCCATCCGGAGTCATATGAACCCCATCATCCCACATCTTCTCCTTGAAATCCTTCTCAGCGCTATGATACGGGACCTCTTTGTGAATATCGAGAGCATAGCTAGCCACCTAGTCAGTTCATGCAACGCCTCACCTCCGCCAACGTAGAACACTCACAAGCTATCGGCAACATAACTCAAGATCTGCGAATTAAGCTCCGCGCGTGTACTGTCCACCCTTCTTTGCTTGACCCCGCATTCAGGGACAGTCAGAGCCAGGACATTTGCGCCACTCTTGATAGCCATAGTCCAGGCCTCCTTCAGCGCGGCAAAAATTCGGTCAGCGGGGTACATGTAGCCGAGATCACTGCACGAATCAGAAGATTAGTATGTTGCCTTGGGGGCGCCAGATGGATGTTACTTGGACAATCAAAAAGAGGCTCTCTGACTTTGTCCCACCCAGCATGATCACCCAATCATAGGAATTTGCTGCGCCTAGAATGGCTCAGTCGTTGATTAGTTCCTCATTGGTTTATGACAGAAATTTTAGATTGGAAGGAATTAGGACATCGGGCGACTCACATTTTTGCTCCAAACGCGACAGATAGCGCCCCGGGGGACAGTTGACCAAGTCGCCTGGAAGTCCGTCGACATCGACTTTGATGGTGTGGTCTGGAAATGCACCCGTGAGACGATCTTCCAACTTCCATGCGTAAGGGTGGTAATTCAATCCGAAGTCGTAGAATCCGGCCGTCAACGAATTGCCGAAGCAAAGGATGGACAGTGATTTGCTCATTTCTGTGGGTGGGCTGTATTGATGACGACTGGTAATCAAGCGGAGTGTTTGTTTGGGTGAAAGGAAGGGAGGGATGGGAAAGATGGCGAGGCTGGCAGGGAAGGCCGAGAAGGGCGGTTGCGCGGGGTATGGTGGTGGTAGTGGTGGGAGTAGTGTGCTGTCTTTGTTGAACCCATTCACTTCCCTGCACCACAAGATACAGTCAGTGACTGGCTCCCTATGGCAGCCTAAATTCTGGGATAATCCAACCCCGACTCTTGGATTTCAGCTATCTCGCTATACGAGAAGAACTGTAAGTCGCCTTGTCGATCCTACCCCTTGTATGGCTTCTGAACCGTGGTTCTGAATAAGGTAAACACTGACAGCTGATCAGATCTGTGATAATTGTGAAACAAGTTAGGAGCTTCTTGGCCAGATCTGTCTACGCACCTTGATACTCTGTGGCCACCGTTCATGCAAGGCATTATAATGACCTATGCAAAATGGGCCACAAGCTAACACTTCCATCTTCCATCCACCCGCCGCTATGTGCTCGGCCTCGAAAGCATGAGTAGCTAGCTATATGCTAGGTCTCAAGGAGGATGTTGCTGAGAACCAGAGAGCACCCAGTTCAGCATCTCCTTGACTAAAAGAATGGCTAGTCTAATCATATCCTAGATTGATGACTGGCGCTGACAGTCAACGCCTTTGCGGGTAGTCTTATGCGGCATCATCGGATCCTTCATGGCGATCGCTCAACACACGATCAATATCACAAGCGATCTAGTCAAACTTCTCAGCTGGCTATGGTTTCACTGTAGGAACTTAATATGTCATCTTCTAGTGTGTAAATGATTTCAAGGCTTGTACCTGGGCCATGGGCCAAATCGCTTGGGTATAAATGTCCGGCCTAGTGCATCTACTCCCTTGGCAAAAAGCCACAGCACTAACCGCTACAGAAAGATAATCTGAGACTAAATTTACACAGTTAGTGACGAGGGATTGAGCCGATCAGCTGACCTTCCTCTCTCTACCTTAAATATCAGCAGTGAACGTGTTTTGTTCCCCTCCCTCCTCTCCATCTACCATCCCAGCCCTGAGTGCCATCACCGCCATCATGTCACAGATCATCCCAGGGCGTTGTACTGTTCTCGTGGTCGGTGGTGGGCCGGGTGGCTCATACTGTGCTGCTGCTCTGGCTCGAGAGGGCATTGACACAGTGTTGCTGGAAGCAGACCAGTTCCCTCGGTAAGCGCCATCTATTGGCTCCTGCTTGGTAACCTATTGCAACAAGCACTGAGGCCCTTCCTAGTTACCATATTGGGGAGAGTATGCTGGCATCGATACGTCATCTGCTTCGGTTCATCGACCTGGACCAAGCCTTCGACCAGCATGGCTTCACAAAAAAGGTCAGTCAACCTGTCTCTCGCTGGCGACTACGATGACTGACCAGAAGCTCCTAGGTCGGGGCATCTTTCAAGCTTGATAAGAATAAGCGAGCTGGATGTAAGATACGAGCATGACGCCTTGAGCAATTCATTGCTAACGAGGTCATGTGGTGTACAGATACTGATTTTATAGCCGCTGGGGGGCCCGACAACTACGCCTGGAATGTTGTCCGCTCTGAAGCAGACCAATTGATGTTTCAGCATGCGACAAAGTGCGGTGCCAAAACCTTTGACGGAGTCAGAGTCAAGGCTATCCACTTCGCTCGCGATGGGGATAGCGAACTCGGAAAGCCTATCCTAGCATCGTATGTGTGCCAGCAAGACCAGTCTCAAGAAACCAGAGAGATTGCCTTCGACTACCTAGTTGATGCAAGTGGTCGAAAGGGTTTGCTTAGTACCAGGTACCTCAAAAACCGCCGATTCAACGATAGTCTTAAGAACATTGCGCACTGGGGATACTGGAGGGGGGCTGAGACTTACGCGAAGGATACCGCGATGGAGAACCAGCCTTTCTTTGAGGCACTGCATGGTACGTCTACATCTATCGACCATGATTGTTTTCTCATAATTCTAACAGGTTTTTTCTCCTATAACCAGATGAGAGTGGCTGGGTTTGGCTTATTCCCCTGCATAATGGAACCGTGTCGGTCGGAATTGTGAGGGACCAGAAGACTGCGACTGCAATGAAGCGTGAGTCGGGCTTGGGGCAGGAAGAATTCTACCATTACACGCTGAACCTGACACCGGACATCCGGCGCCTGCTTGGCAATGCGGAGCTAGTCAGCCCGATCAAATCAGCTTGCGACTATTCGTACAGCGCATCATCGTATGCAATGCCCCATGCTCGCATCGTTGGCGATGCAGGATGCTTCATCGACCCCTATTTCTCGTCAGGCGTCCACCTAGCCCTGGTCGGCGGCCTTTCCGCCGCCACCACTATCTGCGCTGCCTTGCGTGGTAACTGCGACGAGGCGGCGGCTGCAGCCTGGCACTCCGACAAGGTCTCTGACAGCTACATACGGTTCATGCTCGTGGTCATGAGCGCGTATCAGCAGATCCGCAGCCAGTCCAAACCGGTGTTGAGCGATCTTCACGAGGACAATTTCGACCGCGCGTTCAACATCATCAAACCCAGTAAGTGTGCTGCCACTTTCTTGCGTACCTAGCTTTGTCCAGTACACTAACGAATAGATGGATAGTCATCCAGGGAACCGCCGACGTCAGTCCGGAGAAGATAACGCAGGAAGAGCTGGATCGGACTATACAATTTTGTGCCGCTGCTCATGGATCAGAGGACGAGATTCGTCATCACGCCAGAAAGCTCTTACGCACTGAAGACTCTCTCAACATCGATAGCTTCAGCACGGACGAGATCAATGGCTTCGTGCCTAATCTCGAACAGGGCAACCTGGGCTTGGTCAAGGGCACGGCCTAGACATGGGTTTGAACATACCGTTGGACAAATCACATGGATGGCAGGCTTTACTGTTTGGTTTGTCTTTGGATCTGGTTTATTTGGTTCAAAGTGTTGTACAATTATGTGAGAAATTGACTGTCAAAATGGTTAGGTCAGCGGGATCTACTTCGTTGTTGCTCAGGGACCTCAATGTATTTTGACACGGGTGTAAGACATTTACTTCACGCTCAAGTGGTCGATAACGAAATTCTACGCTAAGTAGGACGATTACTAGAAGCCGTTGACTGCTCCTTTCCAATATCAGCATATTGATCTGCCATACAACTAGAGTGTTGGACCGTGGAGGCGTTGATGATTGGAGTATGGTTCGGGTTTGCAGACAGTTCAAAATCTTCGTCACGATGAAGTCGATGTAGGCATCGAACCACGGTAGCGATATCTAACAAGATCTACACGATCGAGAAATCAAAGATAGCAGACGAGCGCTGGCTTGCTCTGTTGCAGACAGTCCCATGTGTCGGGCGCAAACAAAAAAGAAATAATGGGATGAGCCCAGCCCGGCTCGATCAGGCAACCTTACGATCTGGAGTCGTACGCGCTACCAATTGCGCCATAGGCCCATTTCTTGATCTTAGATATCAGGAAAAGAAATCTGTGCCCATTTAGCTTCAGAGAAGACTGCAGCGTGCAAGCCGAGCGATCCCACACCTTGCGAGGCGGCCAGCGGAGTGAAGGTATAGTGGTCCATGGGCTGCTTATTTTGATGGGAATCAAATTCCCGAACTGTATCGAGCATATCTGGTATAGCTCACATATAGCTCGAAGGGCACTATAGTTGTGATTGGCGACCCTGCGCCGGCATCAACTGCATGTGTCTCGAGCATCAACGGCTAAGGTATAGCTTTACGGTACCAGGCTGTGCGCTCGGGTCTCTTCGGTTTGTCAATCGGCTTGAGGAGTACATGCGTATTCTGTTGTCGGTTGATGTAACAGGTTGTTGTTCGGTGATTACGTCTTGCAAGAAGGTAGTAGTGTGTGACGGCTCCAACATGACCACGACAAGCTGCTTCCATATTGTCTGCACCTCGCTTGTGGGGATACTCTGGCTTGGTTGAAGGCTTTCTCAGGACAGCCGGGTCTGGCGATGTCCGTGTGTCGAATCTGGGCTTCTGATATGGTAGTGGGCAAGCAGAAAGGCAAAAAGGAATGGATGAGCCCAGCCCGGCTCGATCAGGCAACCTTACGATCTGGAGTCGTACGCGCTACCAATTGCGCCATAGGCCCATTCTTGATGACTAACTTCCATACCGGTGACCTCTGAGTGCGCAGACAAGCATAAAGGTGATTTGGTATGAGTTGTCGCTGGTTATGTTGAACAGCTGGAGCGTGTATAACCAGGATAGAATGGCCTGTGGTCTGTAAATTCTCCTCCGGGATAGAGGTGCATGATTATAGTGCGCAGTAGGCGAGTAACAGCCGCGTTAGAGCGATATGTAGTGCTTGAGGGGTAGGCTCGCTGGTTCTGTGTCTGGGTTGCAAAAAGGGTGCCTCGCAAGTCTGGCTGCTACACATTTGTTCGTAGGTGTTCTATAGGGGAGGGTGTGCTAACTGTGTCAAGGATATTGCTCAGCATGGGTGGTGGTGCTTCCATTGATCTTCGCGAGGGTGCTTTTTAGCTAGGCTGGAAATACCTTGTCGTATGGTATCTGCCCAAGAGTCGCGCCCCATGCTCCAGGTTATCATCGCTTTGATTCTGATGCTGTGCTGTGGCTCGACGTTGCCATAACATTATGGTATTGGTGAAGATTCCTTCGTATGCGAGCGAGTATGTCCGTGTCGGAACTATATCCCAATTTGAAACTGGTTATGTCAATGTGGTCCCGAGTGCTGTTATATATGTCACGGCGAGGAACTTGAGTACACCTACCTAGCCATGTAGGACGCAACCCCTCCACCCCCAATCTGAGTCAACACCGACAGCACGCAAGACCGAAGAAGAGTATGCAAAAAAGCGATTCCAGCATCAGTTATCGCCAAGTACCGAGACGGTGTGCACATCCGCCTAGTGGATAGTTTATCACTACTGCGATGATAGGACCAAATGAGTCAAACCTCCGGGAAAATGCCGCACGAACTGCACCGAAAATAGACGAATGAATGAGCATATTGATGACCGCCATCATTTCGAAGTTGAAGATGATCGGTTAAACCGAGGAGACAGGCGTATTGTTTCGCAACCGATTGCCTTCTGGTTGGAAGGGATTCCGAAAGGGGTATAGCAGTTGAAGCCAGAAGCCCGGAGCTCAACTCGGAGATCCCATCAAATGCATCAAGAATCTAGTGATTGACCCGAGATAACAAGAGAGTACATCGAGTCTGAAGAGGTGAGAACATAGCCGTGAAGTTGAATGAGTGACAGACAACACTGAAATATGGAACCGTATCTGGCAACCAATGTTGATTCCTGACCGCCAGTAGGTTTGCGCAGAACATCGCATAAGCCTTACGCAAGGGGCTGAAATAGACTTTCGAGCCACAAAACTAACTTCCGATATCTATAAAAGAGTATTATCAATTGCAACTCAGATCTCAAGGCCTTGTAAGCAAAAACGATACTGAAGAAAAACAAAAAGAATATGAGCCCAGCCCGGCTCGATCAGGCAACCTTACGATCTGGAGTCGTACGCGCTACCAATTGCGCCATAGGCCCATGTTGGGTGATGAAGTGTAGTAAGGTGTGTATTATAACCAATCAGAATTGCCAGTACACAAATCGCCTGGGCACTGTATGCTTTCCATTTCTGGTAATGCCTCGACGTCGCCGGCGGGCGAACTCCATGCTTACTCTACTGTAACGCGCATGCTCTGCAGAAAGTAATTCTTCATTGTTGAATCAATCTCAGAGCCCACAGTTGCGTAGCATTTTATCACTTCTGACCAATGGAATCAAAGCTAAGAGGAATGCCCATCACCTAGAGAGACAAAGCATTTTAGGCCTGACCTTCCTAGGCTCGCTCACATCATCCGTCAATTCAAATAAGCAGAGGCTCGTCATGACTGCCTGGGCAGCATATTGTTCGATTGTAATCGTCAGCACCGAGTTTGCTTCGGCAATAAATGACTACCAAGTAAATATAAAAGAGACATGCACACGAATAGAGGAATCCACTATCCCGACATATAGGCTAACATGGATACTGACCGCGACTTCAGTATTTTCTAGGCTACTCCCCCCCAGACTGCAATATTCGTGAGCTTCACACAGACATCTAACTTCCTAGGTGCTCTTAGAACCAAGAGCTGGCCCCGAAGCAGAATCCGTACAACCACCTAGTCTCCGGCTCCAGTCCTCAATGCCTGTGGTAAGGCTTTGACACCCGCCGCTTTCTATATACACACCAAGTGAGAAGCAGAGAGTGTGTATAGCAACATTTCTGCCCCGAAGCTGCCGAAAAGTATTAGGACAACGAAGACCCCTAAAACGTATACTCATCGGGACAAAGGACAAGATTGATGTATGCGACAACCAGTCTGCCGGGGAGGTTCAAGTCACCCTGGCCTCAGACCCTTGTTACCAGAAGCGCGAGCCTACATCGAAGCTTTATGCGAAACCACACAAGAAGCCATGATTCCGTGGCGCCAAGCACAACTACCATATACCACGAGCTAGAAACTTTCAAGTACATCAGCCCATCGGAAACGAGTGGCCAATATGATGTGTTTGGTAGTCATGAGATGCAGTATACTATCTATCGGAGCCACTGCTGAGAGAAAAGTTGCATGTTAGGTCGGGTTTCTTTCCCACCAGAAGATTCTGAAGACCCTGCAGACCAATTTCCTGAACAGGTAATCGGCAGTTCCGCTCCAACCGAGGGTAAGACATCCACACATCCCATCATCGATGATTGGCGCAATCGCGGTCGATTGATTGCATTGTGGCCAAGCTAAAGTAGACTTGTCATACACCATGGAGCCAGTCATGGCCTTTGTTGGGTCGACCAAGGGCATTGACGGTGCTTGGCTTATCTGATCTGATTAGATTTTCTTTTCTCTGATCGACCCAGGAAAAGAGCTGCCAAGTCGCTTGGCGACAAAGGGTGGAACGGAAGGATATCCCAATGTAGAATGTGGGTTTGAACGTCCCCGTGATATCTGGACAGTTTCATTACTCTCTAAGACAGTGCTCGGATCCTTTCAGTTGTGGAGCTGACCGTTTTCTAGCAAGGCTGTATAGAGCGAATCCAGTCTGTTCACTAAGACTTTGCTCGGCAACAGCAATAGTCTTGACTTTTCAATCAGCCCATTCCTTTAGCCTTGCTAGTCTCGAATTAGTAAAGGTGTGGCCGACTGCCCTGTGAGTGTGGGGATCATCATTTGATCCCTTATCTGATTGACTGAGGCCAGTTGCTGATGGATCAGATAACAGAATTTTCGTATTCACATAGTCTGAGTCTGTGGTCTAAGCGACGATAAATAGACATTGTCCTCTTTGGGTTTTGAGTAGTGTGTTCCTCCTTGGACAGGTACCATCGCCTAAAGACCTGGCCCATAATGGCGGACGACAAAATTACTAATGTTACCAACGCAAGAGCAGACCTCGACGGTGACAATGAAGCCCTCAAGGTCAACCCGGGCGAGGTTCAGTCTCAGGGCGTCACCCGCATGGAGGCCGTCTATCGCGAAGCCCAGTCTAACCGCAAGTCGCTCTGGCTGATTGCGATTTCAGTTCTTGTGTGCGCATGGGCCTATTCCTTAGATTCCTCCACGACCTCGTACTACTCCGTCGACGCCTCTTCCTACTTCAAGCAACACAGCTCGGTATTGTCGACCCTATCCATTGCAACAAGCATCATCGGTGCCGTGAGCAAGCCCTTCATCGCCAAATTCTCCGATATTACGTCGCGCCCATACACCTATATCTTGACACTTTTATGCTATGTCATTGGTTATATCATCGCCGCAACATGCAAGACCGTTTCCGCGTACATTGTGGGGGAGGTGTTCGTCGCAATTGGAAGTTCAGGCCTCGATCTGACCAACGACATCATTGTGGCGGACCTGACCCCCTTGGAGTGGCGTGGCTTTGCCAGCTCAATGCTCTCGACGCCGTTCATCATCAACACCTGGTTTGCGGGTAAGATCGTTGATGCTATCGACAGTCGAGGACAATGGCGATGGGGTTACGGCATGTTTGCCATCATCCTGCCCGTGGCACTAGGTCCAGCCGTTGCCACCCTGATATACCTTGACCGCAAAGCAAAGAAACATGGTATCATTAACATTGCTTCATCGAACGCCGCACGGCGCGCTGCTCGGGACCTTGCCGCAGCCGAAGGGTACGATGCGCCCAGGGGAGGTGTTGTGGCGCCTGCTGCTACTTCCACGATGTCCTGGATGGAAGCCCTCAAGCACAACCTGGAAGAAATCGACGCGTTTGGTCTGATTCTGCTGGGCTTCGGCTGGTCCCTGCTGCTCTTGCCGTTCTCTCTCAAAACCTACGCCGACGGTGGGTGGCGTAACCAGTCTCTCATCGCCATGATGATCGTGGGCGGACTTCTGTTGATTGCCTACTTTGTCTACGAGCTGAAATGGGCACGCGTGCCCAGCGCCCCTCGTCGACTCGTCTTCAACAAGACCTTCATCATGTCCATCGTCATCGACAGTTTCTACATGCGTATGTTGCCCCCAACGTCACCGCCTCCCTTCACCATACATACCTCAACCAAGCTAACATCTACCCCCAAAACAGTCGCAGGCAACATGCGCGGCCTCTACTGGAGCTCCTACGTTTACGTGTCGAAGCCCTGGTCCTACCAAAACTGGGTCTACTACAGCAACACCCTAACGCTCGCGCTCTGCATCGCAGGGCCGCTCACGGGCCTCCTCCAACGCTGGACCCACCGCTACAAAACCATCCAGATCACAGGCCTGTGCATCAAGATCATCGGCATGGGCCTTCTGCTCAACGGGCCCACCCACCGTGCGACCGCTAACACACCCGCCATGATCCTGTCGATGATCCTGATCGGCTTCGGCGGCTCGATGTCGGTTGTCGGCTCGCGCGTCGCCTCCCAGGCCTCGGTCCCGCACCAGGACGTCGCCCTCGCCATCTCGCTTCTGTCTCTGTGGTCGAAGATTGGCAGCGCCATTGGCTCTGCCATCGTGGCCGTCATCTGGGCCGCGCAGATGCCCAAGCAGCTCCGCGCGCACCTGCCCGCCTCCGCGACCGAGAAGGACGTGCGCAAGCTCTTCGGCAGCCCCAAGTCCATCCGGACCCTGTATGCGATCAATGACCCCATGCGCGTCGGCGCCGTCGAGGCGTACCGCCGCACGCTGTATTACTGCGTGGCGCCTGCGCTGGCCTTGGCGTTCGTGCCCCTGATCGCCGCGTGGTTTCAGACGGATTTCTTCCTCGGTAAGGCGCAGAACGCTGTTGTACCGGTGGGGAATGACGGGTTGGCCTTGAGCGAGGAGGAGCGGGAGAAAGAGAGAGGCAGGGCTGAGGCAAAGGGCAGCAAGAGGGAGGCATTTTTGAGGTTCTGGGCCGGCAGGTAGATGGCTCGTTCTCCCTCCTTTGAATCTGAGGTAGGGAGCGTGGCTTATATGGATATCCTGTTGTCGCGGAAAAGTTATCCACTAATTATTTTACGGAAAAAAAGGAAACTGCGGCAAAGACAACCGTCTTATAGGGCCGCGTTGACGATCGATGAATATCTGCGCTAGTGGCAATAAAACTGGTATATCTCATAACAATCAAGCTAACCGTCGAATTATCTTTTTGGTTTCATTATACATAAAAAGCGTTTCTCCCAAAGCAGGCATGACCCGCAGCAACTTGGAATCATCCGAAATAGAAGAAAGGCGATATATGACACCACAGAAGATGAAGAGAGACCAGGACCAAGATCAGCAGAATCACGGGATTATTATATTTGTAAGAAATCCTATCAACCAGTCTTAGTATACATGGATCGAGTAATGCACAGAACAGAAGAAAGATAACCAGAAATCAAAGAAACAGATTCAATTGCATACACAGGCCATAAAGAAGACATCACAAGTTATTGGCATCATCGCTCATATTTCTTCTTCATCGTTCTTTATTCATTTCATTTCTCAGACCATAACACGCATAGTGACAGACATTACATTCAATTGGTGTGGTGGTGGTTTTAGTGTTTGTGTGTCACTTACACCTGGCCGGTGCAATCCACCGAGTTGCAGCACTGATCCTTGCCGTTCTTCCAGATGCAGTTGTTGTTGGGGTGACGGACGTCGCAGGGCACCTCGGTGATATCGATGGGGATACACGACTGCTGGTCATAGGTCATGAAGGTGAAGGCCGGGGCCAGGGCGGGGTAGGCGACGCCCAGGCCGTGCTCGTATCCGCCAAGGCAGTACTTGCCACAGGGCCACTTGGTGAGGGCGAACTCGCCGGCCTTGTCCCAGTGCACAGTCTTGCTGATCTGGCCGCCGTTGTGGGCGTTGTTGAGCCAGAGGCCGGGCTGGTGGCCGTCAACAGGGTTGCCGTGCAGGTCCTTGATGCGGAAGCCATCCTCGGGGTTGATAGGGAGGTTAGGCGTGCAGAATTCGTCCTTGCAGAGCTGGAACTTGCCGAACTTTTGCTGGAGGTCGTCTTGAGCGGCGAGGTAGTAGCCCTCGGAGTTGAAGCCAAGGCGCTCGGCGTTCTCCCAGGTGAACGTGTAGCACTTGCCTGCAGGGGATTGTCAGTTTGAGTGGTCTGGATGTCGAGAGACTGACAGAAGCGAGGGAGTGGAGCTTACCAGTGGAGATACCAGAAGAGCAGGTGCGCTCACAGTTGCCCAGGGCATTTTCGAAGTATCCGGCAGGGCAGACGCACTTGCCATTCACCAGCACCTTGCCCTTCACACAGACGGGCTGAGGAGCCTTGCAGACCTTGCCATCGAAGATCTGGCCGATAGGGCAGCAACGGTACCCAGTCTTGTTGGAACCAGCGAGCTCGTGACCCTCACCACAGCAGTCAAAGGCAGTGTCAATGCTGCCAATGAGCTGCTGAGCCGGGTAGCAGCAGGCAGCGTACCGACCAGACGCGCTGAAGGTGAGGTGCTTCCCGGATGCAGGAGCGCAGCGGAAGTACTCCTCAAAGTCGGAGCGAGGGTCGGAGAAGACAATCTGATCCCCATGGCGGACACCAGTGCCGTCCATCTCCGCAATCTGCACATTGCGGGCGCCGAGATCGGTTCGGATTCCAGCGTGAGTGCCAGTGGCCTGCAGCAGGAGGGCCACAAGGCTCCAGGAAGTGACAGCCTTCATTTTGTGTGAGACGAAGGAGAAGAAGGTGGAGAGAAATGGAGGACTGGTTCGCACAAACGAGGGGTTGGTGCGCGGGACTCGTCCTTTATTTAAGCTTTCCCCGGGCGAGCGACTTCCAGCGCAAAGCAGCTTGCACATTCGCGGGCTCGACTCTGAGCCTCACTTTCAGCTGGGTGGACCTTTGAGCTATGGTGGACCTTATGAAAGTTTTTCATGATGGAGCCCATCCCATTTGTGCGATCGAGGCCAGGCGTGGAGGAGCCATACCCGCAAGGGAAATCATCTCAAGGTCTCAACCTCAGTCACCGCTCCTCTTTACCGACCGAGCCAGTGCGTCGTTTGGCTCACCGTGTATCGCTGAGGTAAGTACTAGGAGAGTACCCAGCTGCGCCATAGTCAGCCACCACGGCCTGGAGCTTCGAAGATGGTACGAGCTCGTCTCCACACCGAGGAAGCTGCGGGATGGAAGCATTCCTGGTGTGATAGAGGGACAGCAGCAGCATCATCACTTGTATTATTCGTGGTCGGCTCCCCGTCTTGCGAGAGCGAGACTGGATGGTCGAACGAAGCTCTCCCCGCAGGCTGCTTATCTTCCGAAAATGCATGCAGAGTGACAGTTTTCCCACGGATCCGTCGGCCAGCTGGGTGGCGATAGTGATCCTCTTGTAAGCAGGCTAGATCAGACTAGACTATACGCGCATGATACATACTGCCGCTTTAGGTTTAGTCCGAGCAAGCTTTGTCCTTGGCGCTGACCAGATGTTTTAGCCTCGATTTTCCCTCCGATCGGTTGTTTTGACCACATAATGATACGGGCGTGAATTCGTGTATTGAAGCGGGGTGGGTCATAGAGCTCTTGTGATTATGACCGAATTAATCGGCATGTCCGAGGCAGATAAACCATAGAATCCTCATATCACGGCCGGGGAATTGAGTTTGGCAGCCATTCTTTGGAGGGTTCTCGAAACAAGGCAAAGTTTAGCGGACCATCCGACCAGACTGCTCTTGTGGGGGCAAGGAGCTACTAATTGGCAATAGTGGAAGAACTCTTGGATTGGCGGTGTGTCAGTCACTGCCTGTCTTTCGGGGGTGAGTTCTGAGTCGAAAGTGCCTGGTATCTTTTTCAAGTGGTGACTTCTCTGTTCGCCGAAATGTCAACATCTCTAGATGACATATGCAGCTAAACTTTGTCTTCGGAAGGTGAATGCATGAAGAGACTTGCCTCGCTGCGCCTCTTTTTCCAAGTCCACGATTTGGAGTGCTCGTGTTGGTTATGGGGCCTTTCGCTTCATGCCGGATCCACCCGCTGCACCTAAACGTATACGCAAGCTTATGCAGGCATATCTTGCCGACGTAGCTCCCAACAATCCGCCACCGTATCAGAGAATAGCAGACCGGCCTTCTAGGACGAATGGTGTATTCTCATAGAAGCATGTAACAATCTGATGGTTTCTTGAAGGGTATCAGTCTGGAGGTCTTGGAGAACTCGTGAACTGTCGAAAAATCCGAGCATCGATCTAGTGTCAGTGCTTGTGCAAGGTCAGATCGATAGAAAAACACAGACTATCATGTGGCCATGGCTTTTCACGAAGACTTCCCGCGCACGATTGGCGATGCAAATATTCCAAGCTCCTACAGCTCATGGCCCGCCTGAGAAACATGCACAGTTTGAAGTTTCATAGAACCAGGTGCCAAGTTCTATTCCCGTAGCCTGCTCGCATTTCTTTTGCATTGTTTGAGAATTTGCTCGCTTTTAATCATTCTCCCTGGAAAGAAGCATGGCGATAACGGGACTCTGGTCTTGAAGTTCAGATGGCAGGGCGGATGCCATTGCACGGCGCACGTCAGGAGAGAGAGAGTGTGTGTGTGAGGAATTGATATTCCATAACCGGCGAGTGTGTTTGTGGACTATTTTGAGGAAGAGTGGGATGCTCTTGACTCTCGGACGGCGTATGACTGTTCCGGAGCTTGGTGAAACGTAGGAGGGTCAAACTTTATGGTATATTCTCCGGTCGGATCATAAAGACTCTTCAGAGACAGGAATAAGAGGACATTCTCTTTGGGGTCTCAACTCTGCACGTCGACCCAGTAGTAGATATGAGCCGCATCCATCAAGATCACTTGGCATCGGCTTTGTGGGGACTGTGACAACCAGTTGCATTTGTGCGAACAGCTGTTTTACCACTACTTGAGCTGGTCTGCTTGCTGGGCCCCGTCTAAGAGGATGCGATGTCCATCGATGTCCCAGCTCCTGCGATCCTCAGAGAATAGATCGAGTTGATGTGAAAATTCACTGCCTGTTCAATAGAGACTGTTATTTGAAGCCACTGTGATGCAAAACATGTCTGTGGCTTGTGAAGCCTGCAGTGACTGGAAACCATGAAAGGGAGATGAAGAATGGAGGATCTGAACTGCCTGAGGCACTAGAATGCAGGGTGTAAGCCTTACATCAGATCAGGCAGGCAGGCATCCAGACCCTTCCCCTCACAAGTGTACTTGTACTTGTGTTCAATACTTCGATCCCAACTCTTCATCGTTTCCTGCTGTCTCGCGCCGACTTCTCAGTTACACTGATGACAGCCACCACCTACAGCAAAACTAGATTGGGTAATATTTTCTTCCCCCCCCCACCTTTAATTCTTGGAATGTTGGAATGTCTTACACCCGATTTATCCCTTGACTGAGAAGTGTCAGGTGAACGCAGATAAGAACCTGCCGCGGATTTACCCCACGCTTCGGCTCGCGGTCTTATCTTGCCCGCGTGCGAGCCAACGAGGGCCCAGAAAGCTGGCCAAAGACATTGGGGTCGCCACAAATCCTCTTTCAGCCCGTTGAACTAGGCCATCATAGGATAGAAGTCTCCTTCGAGCTTCCTCCTATGATTCGGAAAATCGACGTTCCGCTGCGGATTGGTACAGTTCGTATGGATGGTGAAAGTCTAATAAATCCAGGAGGAGGGCGAAAAGGCTTGGAAGGCGTTTTCTTCATGTTGCGCGAACAGCCAAGACCTGTTGCTTATCATCCGAAGGCAGGCTGCCCTGAACCTTCCCCGCTCTCCGCAGCGCAGGTGTGTTGCCAGTGCCTTCCGATTGTATACACATCGGGACTTGCGCTGAAAACCAGGTGAGTGTTAGTACATCGAAATCGATATCCAGGAGATCTATTATTGCCATATACCATGTCGAAGCGAACAGAAGCCGGACCCGCACATGATCACAATAACTTTGGTTGCGATTCGTCTTAGAGTGAGGTTATTGCGTTTTAGGATCCGTTCACCACTAGCGCGGGTAGGGCTACATTGCATCTATGGCGAATATCACCTTAGCCTGTGATCAGAACGAATCATCTTCGCCAATCCATGGCACGGAGAGCTATGGCACCGGCTGTCCGTAGGGAATCCGTGGTCAAGTGAATTCCAGGTTGGTCGCTTTCCATTCGGATGTTACCTTGACCTGATACCGAGGGGTTTATCTCCCTGGCAGGCTAACGCCTGTCTTATCTTCCCGGTCATGGCACCACTCATGATGGACAATTTTACCAATAGGCCTTGCAGCCCTCTTTTAGATAAAGGGGAAAGTAGTTGTGATAGCATCGCGGAAATTCACGGACTGATAACGCCACCGAATGGCGTGAGATATCTTTCGTTCTTTCGCCTCTGACAGCCACAGGCAAACCCAGGCGCGACTATCGTCGGCTTCCCATTTTAGCCTGCCAGCTGGATAAAGCAAGTATACCAAAGAGATGACAGAGGCAAATAAGGGCACAAGAAGAGAGGGTCACAAGCCTGGAAGTGGTATCATGCTCATCTATTTTGTCTCTCTTCCGTTTTGGGAGGAGTCTGCGGGCCCGTTTTCTCGATTTAGTTGTAAGTCCAGGGCAGTGGCAAGGACTACCTAAGAATCCCTATTCACTTGCATGGCTCATTTTGGCTTTCTATGGTATCAGATCCCCTGGCCATCAAGATGAACTAAATTTGATCCCACTTCACGTCACACTGAGAAAGACTATAAGAGGCGAACACTGCCGGCTCACGAAGACAGGCGACCAGCTCAACAACTCTTTTACCCCTCCCTCCCCTTACTTCGCTAGCGAGAGCCATCCAATATGGGCCCTCCACAGTTCACTTCGCCCGCTGATAGTGGTGATCTGTCAGCCTACAACTCAACTCCAGTTGAGGAGAAGACTGCCATCACTGTGCTTGGCAAGGATGAGCACAAGACTGACACCGACAATGTTGGCCACGAGAGTGACGACGAGGATCCCGATGCTGTGATTGTTACTGGAGCTGATGCAGCGCTGCATCTGCTGCCACTACGAGATGACTTCGACAGTGCTCTTACCTTTCGCAGCGTTGTTCTGGCCTCATGTCTGGCGTGCTTCCAGGCTGTCATGTACCAGATTTACACTGTAAGGCAATCGAGATACTTCCTGGCGTGAGTTTCCTCAGACAATGACAGATGACTAACAAGAGCTACAGTTCAAACCGACCCTCATCACCATTCAAGGAACCTTTATCGTCCTCATTTCATACTTCGTCGGCAATGCTTGGGCTCGATTCCTCCCTCGCGGTGATCATTTCGAATCCCGGTGGAGGGCGCAGGGCGGACAGGGCAAGCTTCCGTTGTGGATTGGGCTCATCAAGTTCATAAACCCCGGGCCATTTGGTCTGAAAGAGCACGCAATTTGTTCTATTACTGCCACATCCGCCTCAAATGCTGCTGCCAGTACGCAGGTCTTCGCGGCCCAGGATCTTTTCTATAACCTTCCCTTGAGCGCGACTACCGTCATCTTGAGCACTATCTCAATTGGTCTATTTGGTTATGGTCTCTGTGGTGTTATGCGCCCCATAGCGGTTTGGCACCCAGAGGCTGTCTACTGGGGCACCTTACCGGTTGTCAAGACCTTGCAGGGGCTTCATTGGCAGCAGGTCAAAAATTCAAAGCCTCTCCGTTGGTTCTGGTATGCCTTTAGCGGCATGGCTCTCTATGAGATTATCCCTGCTTACATTTTTCCATGGCTAAACTCTGTCTCCATCCCAGTACGTGGTTCTATTGTCTGTGGAAATGCTACAATTGTCTAACTGAATCCCGAAAACAGTGTTTGGCTGCTCAGAAGGCCACTGGCAATACTGCTGCCATCCTCACCAATATTTTTGGTGGAGCAACAAATAATGAGGGATTGGGCTTATTCTCTCTCAGCTTTGACTGGCAATACGTAAGCTTATATGACTTACGCGCTATTCTTTCTCAAGTCTGACTGGCGCAGATTACCTCTTTCCAAACCTCGCTTCCCCTCAAGTTACAGATTCATCAAGCGGCGGGATTCCTCGCTTGCTTCGTCATCATGCTTGGTATCTATTACGGCAACGGCTGGAATTCGAAATCGCTTCCCTTCATGTCGACACGCCTCCTACAGGCAAATGGAACATCCTACCCCGTCGCAACGATCTTCCCGGGTGGAGTGCTTGACGAAGCCGCCTTAGAGGCCCACGGTCTACCAAAATTGACGGGCTCATTTGCTTTTGCCATGTTTATGGCCAATGCTGCAGTAAGTGTGATACCGCTTTATCTCGTATAGTCAAAAGTTAAAACTTCCTAGATCGGCGCCTTGGTTGCACACACCATTCTCTTTTGGGGAAGAGATATCTGGCGGACCTACAAGAGTGCCAGGGCAGGCAATTACGAGGATAGGCATCACGTGCACATGGCAAAGCATTACAAAGAAACTCCGTGGTGGTGGTACGTTTTCGTACTGTTTTGTAGCTTTGTCCTAGGTCTGGTGGTGGTTCTCAAGGAGAATGTCACCCTTCCTGCCTGGGCATATGTCGTCTCCTTGATCGTTGGGATTGTCTTTTCGCCATTTGTAGGCACCCCTCCCTCCCCAAAAAAGAAAACAGATTTTCAGGTGTTTCTGACCAAACCAATCTTGACAGAGTACGATTCTCTATTCGAAATATGGCAACGGTATTGCTACCAACAACCTCTCGAAGATGTTAGCTGGCTTGATGATTCCGGGCCGCCCTGTTGGCAACATGTATTTTGCAGCTTGGTCACACAATGTCATCTCCAATGCTGTGAATCTGTCCAATGACTTGAAAATGGGCGAATACCGTGAGTATTGCGAACAATCCACTCATACGACCACTAACCCATCGTCTTAGTCAAAATCCCACCCCGTGTCATGTTCCTAACGCAGATTTATGGCACCATTCTCGGCGGCTTCATCAACTATGCTGTCATGATCTCGATCGTGAGTGGGAATCGAGAACTTCTCACCAACGGCAACGGAGATTCTTCTTGGAGCGGTGCAACCATGCAATCTTACAATACAAACGCGACTTCCTGGGCCTTGGCATCTTACCTATACAGAGCAGGCAAACAGTATAGCATAGTACCGGTCGGCTTGGCTATTGGTGCTGCTGCAGTCGCCGTTCATAAAGTGATTCATAAGGTAGGTAGCCTCGTTAACATAAAGCCCCCTCTCCTCAGTGACTCGCGGGGAACGACATTAACACTCTGATGCTTAATTTTAGTTGGTTCCACGGATCGGGAAGTTTGACGTGGCCGAAATCAACCTGCCGCAGTTCATTCAGTATGCAGGCTATATCCCTTACAACCAGAGTCAGACCTGCGTCCTCTTCAGTTGGGTCATCGTGGGCTTCTACGTCCAGTACTACCTTCGAAACTTCAAATCTCGCATCTTCAAGGACTACTCGTATCTCATAACCGGTGCCTTTGATGGAGCTAGCTTGACGATCGTGTTCATCCTCTCGTTTGCGGTGTTCGGAGCTGGAGGCCCGGCGCATAAATTTCCGACATGGTGGGGGAACAACCAGGATGTTGGATACTATGACTGGTGTCCTTCCTCGGACTAGGGTGATATTCGTCAAGGGCTAGAGAGATCCATGTGGAGTTGCGGCCGATTCCTGAGCACGGGTCAAAGTGATACTATGCGTTTATACTTGGAGGTTTCGAACTCGATGCATAGTTAGGCTACATATTAATAGGGGTGACTTGCCTGAATTACATTCCAAGTTGTAGTAATATTCGTTTGCCGATGAAGTCTTCATGTTTCAGGGGTTCTTGTAGGCTTAATCTTACTCTCTACGGGCTCAAGCCTAATGCTCGCAGCCCGGGCCCGTGACTATTGCCTCTTTTCTCCTCCCGCCTTCTTTCGTTTGTCCCTCAACCATTCATCTCCAGGCTCTTCGTGACAGCTGTCGAAAACACTCGAAATGCATCTACTTCAGCTCCGCTTCTATTATTCCCTGACCATCCCCTGGAGGGACCCAGAACCTAATCACTTGAAGTCGCATCCCAGCATCCACCCGACATTAATCTGTTCAACATTACCACCCCCTGCATAGCTTTGGACAGGCTCGCTTTCTCTTCTCTGATGGTCTCAATCTAGGAATTACCTGATAATGCTTTAGGAGACACAATGGGCTCTAGTCCGATGCTAGTGCCCTTAGCGGGCGTTGGTGGGCCGGGGATGCAGGGGTTGTCCTCCGTGCTTCTAACCGAGCGCGATCATAGAGTGAGGCCATTATGAATGATTGTTTCACAGGGTTGACGTGCATTCCGGCCATATTGCACTTCGAAGACACTGAATCTGCCACCAACCCACGCCAGCATATTCGCTGCAGTTTCGCTCCTCCTGATTCACTTTCAATATGGCACGAATGATGCGCCCTTGGTGACTAGGCCATGGTACTCCGTCCTAGCGCGATGAAGACTGATTGACATGGTGATCTAGTAAAAGCAATCTCCACAGCACAGCGAGTGTTGCCTTCCCAGTGACGGAATTTCACCAACTCCGACCGGGAGCTCTTCGATTCAACGGTATCCTAGACAGCTGACAGGGCCATTGCCCACAACAGATAATCGGTCGTGTAAGAGGATATGATAATCCCTGCTACCAGAGAGCAGGCCTCGTTAAGCGCTGCGTATAAGACCGGCTGCGACTGTCTGTGAGCAAGGTACGTGCAGAAACACTATCCGGCGGCCATTCGTCCCATCATGGCTGCTGCCAAGCGCACTGAGATTGAAGCTGTATCTCGGGCCTTTGGTAGCCTCACAATCACCGTTGGGGTGCTTCGATTGTATACTAGGATACGGCTGACCGACAAAGCTGGCTGGGATGATGCTTTATCACTTTTTCATTGGTATGGATGCCGAAGAAGTACCCCTTTTTGAGAAAAGCATGCTGACGCATATGATCCGACGCAGGCGAGTGCCATGTTATGCTCTGTCTTAGTACAGATTGGGATAAAATATGGCTTAGGCAAGCACCTGAATGGTATCAGCGACACAGAGGCCAGGATCCAAGCATTCAAGTACACGGTGATGCGCCCAACTTCTCGGTAGTCAGTACCACAACGAGGAAAATAAGTGTCGTGATTTTTCTGCTTCGCCTGATAGGCCACGCAGCCACGCCGTGCAAGAGGTGTTTTCTATACAGTTTGACTATCGTATCGATTGTGTGGAACACATTAGCAATTGTGGCCATGATAGGCTTTTGCCGGCCAGCTTAAAAGATATGGCGTTCCGAGACACCTAAAAGCTGTTTAGCTTGGGATTTCAGCTGGTACTTGGTGCCTCACAAGCCGGTGAGACTGTTTGCACCCGGGGAAGGGCGACAAGAGCTCGTCCTGTACTAACGCATATTCCAGATGTAACTCATTATCATTTGTGCGACTTTGCCAACCCTACGCCAGTCCTATAATAACTTTGCCCGCCGATCTCGCCGATCGACATCGGGTTACGAGTTGAGCGGCCCCGATTTCAAGCTGAAGCCCAGCCCCGTGGCACGGCGCATGCCGGACCAATCGCTAATCGAAACCCATATAGATGCGGCTACGCCGCGAGATGACCACGGTAGCCAGGAAAACATTCTTCAAGCAGACAAGGCACATGAGCCATATATCATGAAAACCACGGGTTTTCGTGTCCACGAGCATGGATAGGGCTGGGGGTGAAGTCATTGCTTGATAGGCCACCGGTTCTGTCAGCCTATTTACCGACGTGAGCATAACCTTAAATGAATTGACATATTCACCCCCGTGTGCTCTCCCTAAGACAGCACAATAATTTCTCCATGTTGCAGTGCATGACAAATCGAATTGAATACGCCAAGACATGGAGTCAATCTGACTCACGAAGCCTGGAGCAGAGAGCTTAGTTGGGTATTTCTCGGTTATTAAGCTCTCTAGATGTTTCATGAAGGTTATTTTAACTTACTGCTCTTCCTTACAAATCTCGTGTCCGTCAGATTTGGAATGATGGCGTGGCTTGGTTATAACCAATGGTTGGCTGACTAGAATTCAGTGATCAGTAAGCATCAACCCTCGTGTTCAGCGGGTGCTGCTGAATAATTGCTGGAAACACCATCCATGGAATCGCATGGGTGCTTTGTCCTCAAGGCTGATTAATTCCCATACAGATATACGAGTTGAAGGCCCTTCATGTCGCGGATAAATATGGCCAAAATGTCTGTCTTCGATTGCTACAATTCAAATTCCCCAATCCGCTCGCCCGTCACCACATCCAACAATGGATTCTCTCATTCGCAATAGTACAGCTGGCCAATTGCTGCGCTGGATCACAGGCAACAAAGTCCTGCTCTATCCTGAGGAACGCCCTGACTTCCAATGCCCAAGCTGCTATGCAGGAGATACTAGTTCCGCGACAATCTTTGAAGCGGGCAGCGAGAGAAACTCGAAGTCCGAATCCGACGCCGAAGAACGACAATCCGAAGATGCTTCCACAACCGAAACGGCCACCAACTTGAGTCGAGTGCCGTCAATGACAGACCTTGAGAAGGTTCGCACCCAAGACGACCTTGCTCGGCTGTATTCTGTCGCAACGCAGACCGAGGTACTGCAGGCGGCTCCCAGCCGACCAATAGCACCCACCAAGACCGACGATGGTACTATCCTCGTTGACTGGTATACTACCCATGATCCAGAGAACCCGCAGAATTGGTCCTCGGGCAAGAAGTTGTTCGTTGTGACGCAAATCTATCTCTATACATTTGCCGTTTATATGGGCTCGTCGATCTACACGCCTAGCGCTCCTGAGATTCAAACACGTTTTGGCGTCTCGGCGACTGCCGCATCTCTGGGGCTGGCTCTGTACGTCCTGGGGTACGGGATTGGGCCGCTAATCTTTTCGCCGATCAGCGAGATTCCCAGTGTGGGTCGCAACCCACCGTACATCTTTACATTTGCGCTTTTTGTCATCTTCACCATCGGTGCGGCGGTGGTCGACACATTTGGAGGGCTTCTCGCTCTCCGCTTTCTGCAAGGCTTCTTTGGCAGTCCGTGTTTGGCAACGGGAGGTGCCAGTATCGGCGACGTCTACAGCCTCTTGAAACTGCCGTACGGCCTCACCACCTGGGCGGCCTTTGCAACCCTGGGTCCCGCGCTCGGTCCTCTGATTTCGGGCTTCAGCGTCCCCGTCAAGGGCTGGCGGTGGTCACTGTGGGAGACAGTCTGGCTAGCGGCTCCGATTCTCGTCCTCATGTTTTTCTGCTTGCCTGAAACGTTCCCGGATGCCATTCTTCTGCAGCGCGCGCGCCGCCTGCGCCGGTTGACGGACAACGACAAACTGCGCTCGCAGTCCGAGATCAAACAGAAGCAGTTGACCGTGACCGCCGTGGCAATGGAGGCCCTGTACCGGCCATTCCAGATCATCTTTCTCGACCCGGCCATCTTATTCTTCAACGTCTACACCAGCCTGATCTACGGAATTTACTACTCCTTCTTCGAGGTCTTCCCGATCGTGTACATCGACATCTACCACTTCAATCTCGGCGAGATGGGCCTCGTCTTTCTGAGCATCGCCGTGGCTCTCGCCATCGCTGTCCCGCTCTACTTTCTGTACTTGTACAAGATCTTCGAGCCCGAGATCCGGGCCCACGGCCCCGGGGCCCCCGAACGCCGACTCATCCCCGCCCTCTTCGCCTCCTTCCTCCCGCCAATCGGCTTGTTCATCTTCGGATGGACCTCGACCGCCTCGATCCACTGGATCGTGTCGGTGGTGGGTATCCTGCTGTACACGATCGGCATCTTCACCCTGATCCAGTGTATCTTCATCTACATCCCGATGACGTACCCGCAGTACGCGGCTAGTCTGTTCGCCGGGAACGACTTCATGCGGAGTGCGCTCGCGTGCGGCGCCGTGCTGTTCGCGCGCCCACTGTACTTGAACCTTGGGGTTGGGCCTGGAGTGAGTCTGCTGGCGGGGTTGACGGTGGGTTGCATTGGGGGCATGTTTGCGTTGTACTACTATGGGGCGGCGCTGAGGGCGCGGAGTCGGTTTACGGCGAAATAGAGCGGGAGGTGAATGGTACATGTTTTTTGGTTATGGGTTATGTATTAGTAGAGCTAATGTTTAATGATGACATGGTCTATGGGGTATTTAGTGCGGAATGGAATTAGCTGGTAGATTCAACTTATGGAGCTGCATTGAAAACATAACACTCAAGCAAACTAGCCTGCTACAGTAATTCCTTTCAAGCTGCAGCTATGTACTCCTGTCCAGTAGCAGCGACAGTCTATGGTGACAGATTGACCGAGTAAGACTGGATGCAGCCTGAGAGAGGCGCCCTCCCAGAACAAAGTCCCACCAAGGATATATGCTCCAGATTGTTCTAGCGAGCAGTATACGTAGCCCCCATCGACGGGAAGAAGAATCCCAGTCACCTAATTAGCGTCCTCACTCACCAACACGACCGCCATCCGAGCAATAGCATCCGGCACTCCAGGGCCATTGAACGGATGACGCCGCTGCATAACCTCGAGAGTATTCATATGAGCCATCCCCTCCTTGAAAATCGCCGTCTGGGTATCTACGGGTTCGGTCAGCAAAACAGCACCAACCCCCATTACTCAGGTCTCTGCCGATCACATATACACCCAGGGCAAAGAGCGTTGACATGGATCCTATGCGGCACATACTCCAGCGCGAGCTGCCGCGTAATATTGCTGACGGCACCGTTAGACGCACAATAGGAGACTAACCCCGTGCCGGCGATATCAAAAAGTTAGCCAGCCCTCCCCCGCGGCACATGCCACTCACAAGGAACTGCAAAAACCCTCACCACTCTCCAGATCAGTCACAGTGCCCAGAATCGAAGACATAGTAATAATCCAGCCCCGATCCCAGACGAATGTGTCGACCGTGCACACAAAGACAAAAAAGAATGGATGAGCCCAGCCCGGCTCGATCAGGCAACCTTACGATCTGGAGTCGTACGCGCTACCAATTGCGCCATAGGCCCATTCGATGTAAGAAGCAATGCCATTTTGCAAAATTATCTTATTATTTCAGGGTCTTATATCCGACTGCTGCTGTGTATACATTCACATTGCTCTTCCTCAACCCATTCCTCACCAAATCCTTAGCGGGTCCTTGTCATGTCCACAAACTGCAGCCGAGTCTAAACATGCGCCGTAGCAGCGGTTTTCTAATCTTGACTGTTCATATCTGCGTGTTGTCTGCTTCTGAGTTCGCATCTCATAAAGTGAGAGGGATATTTCCCCAAACACAACAAAACCATCTTTATTCTACAACACATCAGTTTTTCTCAAAAAAACACAAACACAGTAAAATAATCCTCTCTAAGTCATCCTGTCTACAGGGCTCAGGGTTCATGTTTTGACAAATAACTAAGAGAAAGAAAAAGAGAAGACCAGGACATAATGACCATCCTACTCTCGATCTAATACTGCCTCCTCTTCCATAACCAACAAGACACTGATCCACCCACCACTGTTTTCAATCCGCATAACCTCACCATGTCGTCGTCACCAGCAATCATCTCAGATAACCCAGAGAATAATAACACGCAGCCAGACCCGCCCCGGAAGCTACTGGAGATAATACTTAGCTGGATGGACGGGCCTAACGTGTCCTATTTATGATGGGCCACAACTCACCTCTGTGATATCACCCGTCTTGAGGCTGCTCTCTCTTTTACCAGTTCCGGTCATGACCCAATACCTCATATAATCATCTGCATGAAAAAACCATGCACGATGCAATTCAACAGTGGATAGGAGAAGACCCACGGGACCCTACACAGGATCTGAGCCAGTCCTTTTTCGCCTTCCAACAAGGGATATTTGCACTCGCAAGGGAAAGGGATCATGGACGGTGTGTTGTGACAAAAGACAAAGCAACCGCTGAGGCTGTATACATCTATCCGCCGTCATTGATGGGATGCGGAGCAGTAGAGCAGCATAGCAGTTGCGCACCCCTACCCTTCTGGTTAAACCTTCGTCTTTGGTTCTCCCGAGAAAGGGTCATGAGATGGCAGAAGGTCATTTTCTCAGACACCCTGGACCCAACGCGAGCAGTTGGAACCGTGGAGAATTTAATCTGTCTGTCGAGCTCTTTGCATATGCTGTGGGATAAGGGATACTTGGTTTTTCGACCGCCCGCAGAACGTCCTTCGCCTGATAGCAAGGAAATGACCGTGGAACTCTTCTGGGTTCATCCTCGTCCGAAGAGTGATGCACCTTCAGGCCATATACCTCTGCTGACGGAGCCTACACCGATGTAGAGAGGAGACCATCAGACTATGGGCATGGGGGCTGGAAAGTCTTGTGGTTCAGAGATCAAGAGTGGCGATCAGGTTATGCTCAAGACTGATGACCCGAAACTTCGCCCTCTCCCCAGCTACGATCTTCTTGAACTGCATTTTGTCATGCAGCAGCTCATTCTACTGTCCGGTGTCGGCATTACAAGTGATGAAGACACTACAGGTGATGAAGATGATGACGGTGAGGATGCAAATATGCGTATTGAGAGGTGGCGAGACGAGATTGAGTTGCCGTCTGAATGCTTCGAACCTCCCTGGGGCGGCATGGAGGGAACACCGTCCGAGTCTGTTCCGCTGCCAGAGGCGAGAAGGGGAAAGTGACTGAGAGAGTATAACTGCAGTAGTTGATGAGGATCATCAAGTTAGCGGGTGATTGGCAGTGTAGGGTTTGTACAGTAGATAGACCTAGCAACCCTTACATTTTCCTGTCCAGTTCATCTTCTACCACAGGCTACAGCGCCTTCACCAGTTCAGTCTGTGAGTTAGATAGCATATTTCTCATTCTAACCATGGACTACTACATCTTTTCGGAATATACCCGACATGTCTGCAGAAGATCGGCTACGATTCCTTCAATTAGACAGCACTGTCATGCCCACGCGTGCGCCATCACATTACCTCCCCATGACAACTGCAGTCTGCTCTATACACTCACCACCAGTGCAGACTCAATGCCCTAGCGAGAATTCACCTCAGCGGTCCCCATCTCAGAAGTAGGGTCTGTATGCCCTCCTCCCCAGCAGCTCGGTTCACACATCCCAGGAATACACGCGTGCTAGACGAGTCTCAGATAGCTAAACAGGAGTTGCTCTCTAGCTATATTTAGCAGGTCTTTACTATCCGACAGAGAACTCCGATCCAATGCTAATGCGAGACCACTGAACCAGTGACCGTAATCGCACGTGCCCGGACACAAATATACATCGCAACCAGGTATCTCATCACATCGCACCAATATCGTCCATAGGAGATCAACTCCCAACCTGCCTACCACCAACCAACCAAATATATCAACCACATCAACAAAACAGCCAACTCCTCACGGGCCCAACCCAACTTGACATCCAAGCAACACAAAAAAAAAATCTCCAAATCCTTCACAAAAGAACCCATAAGCCCATAACAGCCACCTACACCTAGGACAAGACAAGATGAATAGATCAACAAATTTCTTCCCCAGCCACACCTTGTTTATTCCCAACAATACTATTGAGCGTAAAAAGAGAGCATCAAATATGGCCCTATGGCGCAATTGGTAGCGCGTACGACTCCAGATCGTAAGGTTGCCTGATCGAGCCGGGCTGGGGTCATTTGTTTTTTTTTTTTTTGGCCCCCCCCCACTGGGGCAAATACATTGGGGGCCAAATCTTCTAGATATTTTGTACTCGTAAGAAAGGACCTTACGTGCGTGACTTACTGACCGTCTATTCGAGGAGGTTCGGAGTGACGTTCCGGGATCCTGTATCATTCAATATCTCTATATTTGGGACAACTATATGGATGAATGAGGAAGAGCAAACACGGCTCGCTCCGCTGTTTGAAGGTATCTTTTCTAAATGTCCAGTTATATATGTGCGTAACTTGGGACAGAATTTACTGCGTTGGCGGATTTCTACCCTACCTCCCGCTGAATGGGTTGAGACTCGCGATTCATCCACTACGCTCGAACTCTTAAGTACCTAAGACACAAACATCATCATCCTTCGATATATTCTAACTTCAGTCCCCTTCAACATCATAAGTATACTACACAAGTTAAGATTAAGTTATAAACCGTGGCAACGCATGGTATGGTATCTCTTTGCACCCAAAGCCAATCAATCAATCAATCAATCAATCATCTTCATCTGACATCATCAGTCATGTACCCCCCTCCCTTACCCCTCTATCCCACCTTCTATATCTCGCTCACTGCCCCTCCCTCTCAATTCACCCCAGCATTAATGCAATGCTGAAACCTAGATCTTAGGCTCAGCAGTCTCGGCATGGACGACCTCGCCGCCGGCACGCTTCTCCTCGTCGAAGCCGACCTGCTCGACCATGGCACCGTGCCTGAACTCGTTCTTGGTCTTCCAAGCGGGTGTACCGATGTAGGGGATGCCGTTGGGGTCGGTGAAGATGGCCTCGACCTCCTCGAGGGTCTTACCGGTGGTCTCAGGGAACATGAAGAAGATGTGCAGGGTCATGGCGGTACAGAAGACGCCGAACAAGACATAAACCTCCCACTTGATGTTGACGAAGGCCGGGGGTACGAAGTATGAGAGCGCGAAGTTGAAAGCCCAGTTGAACGAGGTGCACAGCGCCACCGCCTTGCCGCGCACGCGCAGCGGGAAGAGCTCGGGCGGGTAGACCCAGGAGGCCGGGCCGAAGGAGACGGCGTACGAGGCCACGAAGAGGTACGTGCAAGCGATGACACCCTTGCTGGGGGCGCCCTCGATGATCCACGACTCGGCCTCGACGTCGTTGAGACCGCCGGGCGGCGCGGGACGACCGTACGAGGCCATCAGACCGGCGTTGGCGTACAGGAAGATCATCATTAGGATGGAGCCGATCAGGAATGTCGGCCGGCGGCCCCAGCGGTCACCCCAGATCAGGGCCGGTACCGTCGTGATGACGTTGATGACGTACTGGATCGAGGAGGAGACCAGGTTGTTGTTGCCCTTCATGCCGGCCATCGCGAAGATGTAGGTGATGTAGTACATCATGACGTTCATTCTATAGGCAGTCCTCTGTTAGCTCTTCTGACGACAATCACACATTGCATGCACCGTTGTTGCACATACCCCGTAAGCTGAGACCAGATCTGAGTGAAGACACCGACGTGGGTGCGGTTGATCATGTTAGGCTTGAAGAGCTCGAGGTACGAGACGTCGGCGTTGGAGCGCTCGAATTCACAGATGCTCTTGATCTCCTCGAACTCGCGCTGGACGAAGGGAGAGTTGGGGTCGCCATGTCCGTGCACCAGGGTCAGAACGGCGTGGCATTCTTCCCAACGGTCCTTGCGAGCCAACCAACGGGGAGACTCAGGCAGCACCATCAGGCCGAAAAACAGCAGGACGGCAGGGATCATCTGCAGACCCCAGGGGATACGGAAGGCCGCAGTGCCCTTGATGAAGCTGCAGCCGTAAGAGATGCTAACGCGGACAGTCAGCTTGACATTTCCAACAAGTCATAGTTCGATCGACGTACTAGAACATGATCAGGATACCCCAGGTGATAGCCCACTGCTGGAGGCCAACAACACGACCACGCTTGGTCGGGGGAGCCTGTGGGGACAGTTAGCATGAATATTAAGAGTAAGACATGAGGTGGATGGACTCACGATCTCAGAGATGTAGACGGGCACCTGAGCGGAACAGATACCAACACTGAGACCGTTGATGATACGACCAACGACCAGCATGGGGACGTTCTGGGCGGCGCAGACGATGATGGAGCCAATGCACCTGTGCCACCACAATTAGGCACCGGCCTGAAACACACCGCGCAATATGTTCGAGGAGACATACCAAATGACCGAACCGACTTGGATGGAAGTCTTACGACCGAATCTATCCGACACAAAACCAGAAATCAAGGCACCCAGCCAGGAACCTCCCGCCATAGAAGCAGTGATACCACCCTGCACGTCGGCATTGGGACCGGGGCAGACCTTCTTCCCATCCTTGTAGTGAATGGCCGACTTGTTGAAATAGCAGAGATAGGCATCCGTGCTGATGATGGCGGACATGGACGAGATATCGAAACCGAAAAGCCCACCGCCGACGACGGCGATGGCCGCGATGAAGTAAATGTTGCCGACCTGCATGGTGACGATAGACTCCGCACGAGGGGGGAGAGCGTGGAGCACACAGTCTATCTAGAGAGAAGAAGAGGGGGACACCACCGAACAGGGGAACACATGAACAGAGGAGAAAACTGGGGAAAAGACGGGGATTTTAAACAGCTGGGTCTGTCTCCCCCTGGGGAGAGAGCATCACCCACGCGCACGCGAGTGTGGATGGAGCCACGAGAGACAAAGTGAAAAAAAAAAAGCAAGAAGAAAAAAATAAATTAAATGAATGCTCGCCACTACGTAGGTGGCCCAACCAAGCATCCGCCATAACCTGGACAAGCAAAAAATAAGCCATCACGACCGGTTTCGACCGCTAAATCTTAGCCTGCCCGCTGACCCGACCCGACTTGTCCTTCCTTGGAGATGAGAAACCAGGAGGAGCCCCGCCCATCATAGCAGACGAGACGATTAGCGCAGCAGAAAAATTAATACTTTCGGTTGCGGCGTCGCCTGTACCAGCGGAGCGAGTGCGCAGATATGGTTTAGCCTCCAGAGCGAAGTGAATTTGTCCTATCGCGAGGACGTGGATTGGATGCAATGCAGCCGGAAAGGCTGACATTGAAAGGAAGCCGTGGGTCAATTTCCATCGGCTGGCCGAGACGCGAGACGAAACTGAACCTGGGTCAAGCCGGGGATGACAGATGGGCCGACGACGTTTCTGTCTGGGGCAAGGGAAGCACAACAGCACATGAGAAAATAACCGAGACGTGAACCGAGATTATTTCTCACGAGATTGTAGGTATCTTGCCATATGGGACAGAGAGCCCCAACCCCAGAATCGCGCGACCCTGCACCAGAATCAACCAGCCGGATGAGTGGGAACGGGAACGACAGCAATGGAGAGGGGGGTGGAAAATGAACAATTGGTTCATTCCCGTCATGCAGGACCACCGGGGAGGGCCGAATGTGACCCTAAGGGGGCAATTGAGCCGAAGCCGTGGTAATGAAGAGCCTCTCCATCTGGGCCGTGGTGGTAGTACTATGCCGTTCTCCGCACGAGAAGGATATCGAATCATCCTCTCAGCTGGGCAGGAATTCCCTGACCCGAGAACGGGTTTCCGAGGTCAACCGTGGAGAGGGGAGGGGGGAAGAGGGGATCCGGGGACCCCAATCATAAGCCATTATTCAGCGAGCTCCGAATCATGTCAATGGGCGCATACGAGATTCGCGAAACAGACTGGATTGTGGGAGAGGGAGAGGGGGTCACGAAGAGGGGACCGAGTGGACATGAATCGGGATGGATCGGCATGAATGCCTGCCTAACCCGGTGGTAAGTAGACTCGAGTGATCGAGTCGAAGGAAGGGCAAGCCAACAACAACAACAACAACGACAACACCAGTGAACGGTGCAGGGACGGTGGCCGGGATGCAGATTGCCGACTAGAATTGCAGGGTGCAGCAGCCAAGTCGGCTGTGCGATGCTGTGTGACGGTGGTCCTCTCACACCGATTATTGCTTGGATAGCTTAGCTTTGTCGGGATGCTTGGACATACGGGTCGTCGGTCGGTACAGAGTCAGACAGATGGGATGGCCTGATTGCAGGAAGGAAAGGGGGTTCACGAGACCAAGCCGGCTTTTCCTTTTTATTCAACGGTTCTGGAATGATCTCTCCGTAATACTCGGGGGAAAGCAAGGCCGGGGGTGTGTGTGTGTGTGTGTGTGTGTGTGTTTGGGTGTGGAAATCGGCTGATTGAGAGAGAGAGAGAGAGAGAGAGAAAAAGAATTGTGGAGCCCCGCCCGGACAATCCTCGAGTTCTTTTTTGCTGTTCTTTTTTTCCCCCGGAGCACATGACTGCCGATTGCCGAATTGGGTAACCAGGGTCTCGGCCCCCCGCCCGTCTTTCCCCAGACCGTCTTAGTCAACTGGCAACTGGTGACTGCATTTTCTGTCTGCCTTTTTTTAAACAGTGCGGGTGAAAGACTAGGCCAGGAACAAGAGTCACCACGGGCAGACACAGACACAGACACAGACACATAGAACAACAGCCCAGTACATACTCCGAAAATGCCTGAACCTGCAGTCATATCCTACCCTGCTAGCTTTCCAGCTGAACCCTGTGGTGGCTGATCCTAATTAAATCTGTGTAAGTAATCCCTCAGGAACCATCCATCCATCCCTCCGTGCAACCAACCAACCCGCTGCTGCTGGGTTAGCCGAGGAAAACGGCTTCTGAAAACCCTCGCGACGGAATCGCCCGCCCCGAGCCACGGATTGGCGGATTTTCTCCCTGCACGCCCTTCCTCCAATGCGGGTGTAATGGTGTATTGAATCAAACCACTATCGCCACTAGATTGATTGTCTTAGGTAAAGTCCTACCTCGGCTGGGCTTAGGGGTCTGAAGAGTTTGCAAAGAATCTGCCTACTGGCGCTCGGTGCCCCGTGCTCGGCCATCTGCTCTCACGGCTTTCCTGGGCGCCGGTCTCGCCTAGTTGCGGATGGCATATGGATATCGTCATTATCATTATAGGTAGCAATAGAAAGTAATTAATATACCGAGTACCCAAAACCAAGACCCTTCCAAGGCAAACGAACCAGAGGCACCCAATGGACATAATTCAGGATGGAGAAACCGGCATGTAGTTGCAGGCCTGTGCAAGCGGGGTCAGGAAATCCCTGAATATAGCCAGGCCAGAAACCTGAATCATCCCCTGAGTCAGCCCTAATTAACCGGCAGGCCTTGATGGCCAGAGGGCCGGCTGCATTTGGGCTGCAAAACCCCGATCTCATCCCGGCCCTTTTCTAGACCAATCTCCATTCGGCAATGCCTGCCCACGACATCGCCACCTGGTTGACACGGCGCCAATACTCCTCCGCCGTGAGAGGCACACCTCGGGGGTCTGTCCGATCCCCAAAACGGGTTAACACCACCACCTGCACCGTCTGACCCGGCGTGCCTAAAGTTCGAACATCCGGCACATCCACGTACCACAGATCTCCGCCGCCGCCGGGGTTAGTGCCCCGATAGTGCGTGAAAACCAACCGATCGTCCTGTCGGCCATCCGCGCCGTGCACCACCAGCAGGAATAGACCTGGCTGGGCCCGACTGTGATGCTCCAAGGTCCAGTGCTCGCAGATGAGTTCGAACTGGAATCGCAGCGGCCCGCCCTGCTGCACCGCGATCTCTTTGGCCGCCGGGCGATAGGTGCGGGCTCCGATGCTGTGCTGCTCCGCATGCGCGAAGATCACCGGCTGCTCGGCCCATAAAGGGGAGGCGGGATTGCCCAGGATGTATTCTTCCCAAGTGATTCCAGAACGGCCGTCATCCCGGTAGAACTCGTTCGCGTTGGAGGGAAAGTGTCTGAGGCCGAATTCGTCATTGGTTTCCGTGAACTTGGTCGGATTGAATTGTCTTCGGTAGGGCTGACCCGGCCCCTGGACACATCCCGCCCCCCAACAGGCGTCGATGAGCTTCCACTGGCCATTATCAATCTGTACAACGTTCCACTCATGGTTCCCGTCGAAAGGTGGAAGCGCCGAGCCAGGAACAGGATCCGAGTACCCGGTTCCCTTACCGTGGCCATGAATCACACGACATTCGAGGCCTGCCTGGGTAGCGAGGACCTGAAAGAGCCTCGCATACCCCTCACAGACCGCCAACCCGGACGCCAACGTGCTCGCAGGCGTCGACGGTTGCAGGTTATTGCCATAGAAAGCATCTACATCATAATCGATGTTATGATGCATCCAGGTAAAGATGACGCGAGCCTTGTCTGTGGGCGAGGGGAAGGGCGCCGTGAGCTCTCTTGCCAGCCAGCCCAGGTCGTGAGTCGGGAGCGTCGCACGCGGGTATCGAGCAGCGTGAGCATCTGGGGCCGAGAAATCCCGGCATTTTAGACAGGCCACTGTCGGCGTTACAGTCGGTGTCACAGCCGGTGAACTAGTCGCAGGTAGGCGAGGCTTGCTGGCTTGAAGTCTGGAGAGATCCGGTGGGGGCGGGCGAGAGGCCAATGGCACCGGCGGAGGAGCGCCACTCGTTTCAACCGGAGGAGAATTCTTAGTGATCCCTGCGAATCCAGCCTGCTGCAGCTTACCCAGAGCGGCGGTCGATGGAGGAGGCGGAGGCAGCCTTCTGGTGGGGAGTGTCGGTCTACTTTCGGTGGAGGCATCCCCATTTGTGCTGGGTGACCTGTCGCTGCTAATCCTGGACGGGAGCCGTGGAGGCGGTCGGGGCTGCTGAGAACCTATACTATCGGTGGAGCAGTTACTTTGAGTAGAACCCCTGCGCGCGGGCAGTCGGGGCACCGACAGACTGCTATTGCTTTTCATAGATGTCGCTGAGGGTCGAGACGGCAACTGGGCTTGTCGTTTGGGAGGCAAGGGAGGTAATTCTACCTCGCCCCATGCGGGCGGCAGCGAGCGACCTGTGCCGGAATCGGAGGAGGCCACGGAGGTGATTGTTGCTCTGCCCGTACTGGTTGTGGTCGAACGAGATATATCAGAGGCCATCGACTCCCGCGACACTTTCCGGGAGGGATTGGTCGGTCGTCGGGGTGGTAGTGCAGGGCGCTGTTGGACCGCCTGTTGATCGGAAGGCTTGCGCACGGGCAATGGTGGGGGCGACTTGAATTTGGCCGGTGCGGGGGTGGGCGATGGCCGTGGGACGATTGGTCTAGGGAATGATTCATCGTAGGTAGGCGGCGGAGACTGATTGTGAGTCCATCCATTGCTGCCAGCAGCGTCATTGTCGTTGCAAAGATTGAATGTTCTTGGTTTCGGAGGAGCAGCCGGGCGGATGGGCGACGGCGTGGGCTGGATCAAGGTCGGCTCGCTGGCCTCGGCGCCTCCAGTCTGACCCGCTTGGGCGTGTTTCAACGCCGCAATCCGTTGCTTAATAGACATGACTTGTGATTCGTCTGCCATCCTGGACGGTGGGTGAGTACAGAGCTATAGACACGGAGAATGAGGAGAAACACGAGAAAAAGAAAATGAATGATGACCCGAGGAGGATCGTGTTCAGAGAGATACAGCGGACGAATGGGAGAAGCGTGCCTGAGGGGTTGCCGCAGTCAGGAACGCGCAGAGGGGGAAAGAGATGAACGAGTCAAAGAAAGGTGACAAGAGAACAGATTGAGACAGAATAAAAAGAATGAGAGGGAGATATATCAAAAGAGAGAAGACTTGGCGGCGGGGGAACCAGAAGATAGTAAGAGAGAGAGAGAAAGATAGAGGAAGAAATAGATGGGGGCGATGAATGAAGCTGGAGGCAGTCAGTCAGGTCAGTCAGCCCTGCTTGATTGAGGTTGAAACTGCTAAGTTACTGCCTGCGTGTGGATGCCTGAGGCGGAGGCGGTGATTCCTGCCTTGTTTTTATTTCCCCTGAAGTTCCCCTGCCGTCAGCCCTGTTTATGGATCCTGCCAATAAGTTATAGATAGACATGCCCGGGACCCGACAGCAGTCAAATTCTCTCACTAGTCTACAGAATCTACAGAATCACGATACATGAACTTCTCTCCCTTTGACGAAAACCTGCACAATATTCCGATCATCGCCTGTCATGAGAAACTTCTCAAACACCGTCCTCACATCATCGTTCTCCTCCACCGGCGCCATGACACCCGTCTTCCCATCCGCCCGTATGAGCAACGCATCGAATTCCTTGCCAACCAAAAAATTCCCAACCTTGCCTTCCAATCCACACACTCTCGCGCCTCCCAATGTAGCCATATAGAACCCCTCTGTGACATCCAATGGTTCATCACGTCCCTGCGTCATGGTACACCGGGCTGTAGAGACCACGAACGCCGCCTTCATCACTTCCAGCATCGAAGTTGAATATCCACCACCGCAGTCCGTCCCCAGCCCAACCTTGACCCCCCGTCGCAGATACTCCCGCACCGGCGCCACCATGAACTCATCCATTGTCACATTCGGGATCGGACAATGCGCGATCCCGCATTTCAACTGTGTGATCCGCTTGATCTCCGCATCCGAGAGATAGATCGCATGGGCTAGGATGCTACGCTCATTCAGCAGTCCAAGCCGCTCGTAGAGCTCCGTCTCACTTTTGTCCGCGGGGAATAGTGTCCGTGTGAAGTCCACCTCACCACGAGACTCATTGAAATGCGTCTGGATTGGTAAGTCGGGATTTCGAGTCGCGAGCTGCCCCAGTTGGACGAGAAGCTCCTCCTCGCAGCTGATTGCGAACCGGGGTGTTATCACTGGGGTGACCAGGGCATGATCTGGGTCCAGAGCTCGGACTTTTCCGATGAAGTCTTCTGTGCTTGTAACCGATTCGGTGACCGAGCTATCGCGATACCAGTCTGGTGCATGGCGGTTCATGTTGCATTTGCCGATCAGGGCTCGCTGACCCTGTGCCAGACAGATTTCAGCTAAGATGACGGATGCTTCGGCGTGTCGCGACCCATAGTAACAGGCGGTAGTGACTCCTTGCTGGAGGCTTCCTCGAACGCAAGCCGAATAGAGCTGCCGTGCGTAGTCCGGGTCGGCTAATCTAGCTTCGTGAGGGAAGGTGATTTCTTCCAGCCATTGCATAAGAGGGATGCCTCGGCCAGTGCCGCGCTGGGCCCATTGGGGAGCGTGGGTGTGGGTGTCGAGGAAGCCGGGAATGAAAAATTCAGTGGGCCCGAGGATAGTCAAGCGATATGCGGTTGGGCTCAGGTCATGATGCTGTTCCAGCAGTGGAGAGATGGCGGCTGTTGGCGTGGAAGGATGGATACCCTTGATGATGCCGGTCGGGGCGACGACGATTACCGTGTCGGTGAGGATCTCCAGCTCATTTGGAGAGATGGTATGAATCAGTGTGCCATAAAAGACCTGAATCCGGGACAGCTGGGTAGCCATGATATAGGGATGGTTGATAGATGAAGTGAGTGCAATAGTGAGAAACAAAAGGAAGGCCGTTGAGGGACAAATGAGGGGGTTCATGCTATCTAGCGGGGTAATCCTGGCTCTATTCTACACAAAGTTTCCCCAGCAACGCCGAAAGCTCCAAGTACATTATAGGGTATAATAGGTCGCCATTTCCTCTTGAAACCAGTCATAAGAATAGAACAATTGCTCTGCCAGTTGGGGATCAATCACTGGCACCATTCCGGAAGCATCTACCAGCAGAACGTCGTCCAGTACCGGCGCCATGGGTACCGGTGGTGCCATCAGAACATGCTGTGGCTGAGGAGGCAGAGGCTGCTCAGGGGCCAACAAAGGAGGAGGTGGGGCTGTAGATTGGGCAAGATGTTGGTGTTGGTGTTGCTGCTGCTGCTGCTGCTGCTGCTGCTGCTGCTGCTGTTCTTGTTGGTATGCGAAATGGCTAAAGATTGTGGTACTCTGATTGCGAAATGATTCTGCCAACCGCTCCACTCCTGGCCGACGCTTGCCAAACTCCTCCAGTATAACAATGACGGCCTGAATGGCACGCCGCATTGCTCGCTCTTCAGGCCGCCACGGCGCCACCAGGCCCTCACTAACAGTCTGCAGGTTGTGATTCAAACACCACAAGATGGTGATACCAGCAAAGTAAATCTGACTGAGAGTCAACCAAATCCACTTGAGCTTCCCTGCCGAGTAGCTGTCCCAGTACGACCGAAGCACCTGAATACTTGCGTCGCCGCAGCTTACAATGCTAGCAGCATCTGGCGTGGGATTTCGTGGGCTTGGGCGGTACATGAGCAGCAACGTCGTGGCATATAGATAGTCATAATAGCTGGTCGAATATAGCAATGCCGATGGATATACCGGAGCAGCTCGTCGCCACTCATCTAGCTCTTGACGAAAATGACTCAGCGTGACCACGACTTCAGCGGGCGGTGGTGGGGGTTGGTTGTTGTACACTGCGCGGGTCAGTAAGTGAGGGAACGATCGCAAACTATAAGCGACAACATAACCTACAGTAAGAATAAAGTCGGGAGAATATCCGGCGGAGACGCACCACCTGCAAAGGAATGGTCATGGCGCTGGCTGCCGGAGCCTCAGTCCAGTCATCATTGAATTCCCGCGGTAGGCTGACCGAGATGTCCTCGTCTGCGATGCCCAGCGGCCGCCCCAGGGTACTTGCAATCAATCGATCCAGATTATAAAGACTCCAGAAGGCTCGTTTCGCCATCTCCTCGTCGACCACGTTGGCCACGGGACGAGCTTTGTGTAATCCTAAACTGGTAGCCAGGCGAAGAGCCGTCCCCAGCAGGTGCCATACACTCGGTCCACTCGTGGCAAACATGGTGTACAATGCCATGCTCAGCAAAGCTCGCAGGGCCGCCAGGTCTTCGTTTTGTAACGCCGAGGGGAGTGTCTCGGTACCAGCTTGATAGAATTCTTCCGCCTTCGACCCATCGGATCCGATCAACAACGCGGTCGCAATAGTGATATGGTATGAGTTATGGACTTCGGGAGCAGGAACCTCGCCCGCATAGATGCGGCGCATGTTCGTAAGGAACTCGGTGCGGTTGAGGAAGGGGTACTGATAGCCCATGCTATCAAAATACTGGGAAGCGACTCGCTCCGCTTCCTCCAGTGAGGGAAGCCGAACCACCCGGGGGGCAGACGCGACGGGCCGGGCGACCGAGGGGCGGCGATGTTCCAACTGGTCCCGAAAGATTTCGCCCACGTTGGGCAACTCTGTACCCACGGCGGAGGAATTCGGCGGTGATCCGCTGTTGGACCCGACTGCGGCTGTAGGGGTTGTGGTCGCGGTGGTGGAGCGCGTGGGCGCCTCGCGCGCCATCATCATGGCCGGGACCTGATACCACCAGTCCGGATCGGCCTCCCCGTCCAATTGGGCCCCCGTCGGCCGTTCCGCGACCGAGATGCCCGTCTTGCGGCGTATGACCTCCTCCAGCCATCGGACCCGGTTCTGTAACGTCTCTAGCTGATCACGGGGAACGGAGGCCGCAGCGACCTGCGGACCCGGGGGCGGGATGGTACATCGAACACCGGCGCGTGTGCAAGCCGAACAATTGGGATATCGGAAGTCGCATTTCTTCTTCCTTTTGCGACAGAAGTCGCAGGCAGTCGAGACTCGTTTGCTGCGAGGCGGAGGAATAGGGGAAACCGACGCTTGGGATCGAGGTAGCGATGGTGGTTGTGGAGGCGGATGGTGTTGGTGCTGGTGATGCTGGTTCTGCTGGTGCGGGAGCGGGTGAGTTATCGGGGGCGGGAGCGATGGAGGTAAAGAGGGCGACAAAGCGTACGAAGGCGCAGTAGGAGTGATTGCGTTCGTTTGGGGACCACGAGACGTATGGGAGGGGACCGGCAGCGGATCGAGACGGAATTTGCCCAGCTGGTGTCGAAAGTCGGGGTCACGATTCGTCATGGTGCTAGTAGAGAAGCAGCAGGCCAAAGGGGGCGGCTCGGACCGCAGGCCATACCGAGATGGGGATGATGTTTCTTGTAAATGGTGATTGTGATTCTGATTGAGATGAGGTAGTTAGAGGTAGAGGAGAGGAACAGGAGAAGTGGGAAGAAGGGAAAGGGAGATTGAAACTCTGTTTGCTCAAAGTTGGGGAAAGTCAAGGTTGTTTGCTTTGCTGTTTGGCTTTGGGGAAGAAAGAGTGGGGAAGTGCAAAGCGCCGCCGCTTACTGCCGGTCGGTCGGGGATCACCGCCTGGCAGGCACGGGCACTGGCAGGCACTGGCACTAGGTATTGGGTTCGGTACGCCACTTGGAGAAGTTAAGTTGGCTGGTTGGAGTACTTTAGGAGGTCTGGACACTCACTCGCATGAATTCAGAGGGAAAGAATAAAAACGAAAGAAGGCAGTTATCGAAGAATAGTTTTAGACACTCAATTACTCCGCCTGATTCTACATTACTACCCACGTATTCCATCTCTTGAAACTCCCTAGAATGTCTATCATCTATGTACAATACTATACACATCCAAAGAGAAATCTAGTCGGGGTCATTCCCAGGTTCCTTTATCAGGCCCGAAGAACCCAGCTGCAGGCAGAGGTCGATATGGAGTGCCATGAGCATCCGTGGTCTGACCATACACCATATTTCCCCACCAGTTCAGTTTCCCCGCAGGCAGCGTGATGCAGAAGAAAATAATGACTGTCGCGACCGCGACTCCGGCATCAAGGGCAGCGGAGAGCACGTAATCTGCCTTAGTTAGCGAGAACTAAACACTTGACTGAGAATCAAGAGTGGACGACGTACTATACTTAGACCACCAGGCTGGCTTCCGTCGCCTCAATAGCCCGTTGAAGATGACATTGACTACCCACCACGAGGAGAAGTTGATGCCCGTCGCGGGAGGAACCAAACTCATTGCGCCAAACGCCACCGGCCAAGAGAGATAATTGAACTTCCTCCACCGCCGGCCTAACAGCCACGTGAGAACCACAACCACCGGGCCCACGAGGAAGAACCAAAGCAGGTTGCCATAGATATGGCCCGGGGAGAAGTTCCGCTCCGGCCCAAGGGCACCTGGTAGTAATAACCCCAGATTAGTTCATGTGCTTCGAGCGCGTGTGCAACCAAAGGGAGCCGCGTTGGAAAGGGGAGGTAGGGGGCTTTGGACTTACCCCAGATTAACGAGGAGGAGTAGGTCACGGCCCCATGCGGGCAACTAAAGCCTCCTGCGGCTTCAGGTGTACACACACCGTGAATCCGTGTGATCATAAAAACGGTCACACCGCACTGCACCACGGCTCCGATGAGCGTGGCAATTCCCTGGGCGATAAAAAGTGTTCGGGGGGCAATGTGAAGATAATGTGCCAATTTCATATCCGCCACGAATCTGAAGCCCATTGATATCAGCATTGGTCCTTAATCTGATCCCAGCCTGTGTTAACGACTTACTCCAGACCCTGGGACACGGCTACAAAGCCGTAGAACTTAAAAGCCATGTTTGCGACCGGCCGACCGAGGAACGCATACCCGCCGACAAACTCGGTGATCAGATTGAGCTGATTGCTGGAAATGTTGGTGACTGCCTTGATGATTCCGACGGGGATGAAGTAGATGATGGGCAGAAGAAAGGACACCAGCACGGCCCATGCCGGCAACCCCGTATGCCACACCTCGTTAGTCACAACGCTCAGCACAAACATGAGGACGGTGACGGCAGCAAACCACCACCAAGGGACCCTCTTGTAGGTCGCCATGAGCCGGCAATGGACGTCCTTCTGGTCACGTCCTTTCCACTGTTCGACTAAATCCTTCCCATGGTACAACGCCACGTGGAAAAAGATGCCGGTAAGATTAGCGAATGCGATGCCATACGTCAAGGCAAACCCCGCAGGCAAGAACATGGGGGAGTAATCGCGATACGCGTCTACATTGAAGGACCCATCTGGGTTCATCACCCGGGAGGTATTGTAAGACCTGCCCGTGTTGTCGAAGGTGTTCGAATTGAGAATGGGCAGATACGCGGAGTACCAGGTGTTGGTGTAGTAGATGATGGGACAAATCACCCAGTAGAACAAGACGAATGAACCCATGACATTCAGGCCCGCCCAGAAAGGGACCAATAGTGGGCTTTGATTCGCAAAAACAACCTGGGCCCAATCGAACGTCAACAGGGACATTCCCAGTCCTGTCACCTGGCCGAACAGCTGATTCACCACTACATTGTCGGGTACAATCCAACAGATAAAACTGAAGGTGCTGAGGGCGGAGAAAAGGTAGCCAGGAACGAAGTACCAGATCGTGCCCAAAACAAAGACGATCAGGAAGAACCGGAGTCGGCTAATGATCCACCCGTCGGCAACGAGGTTTTTGCGCGAATGCAGGGACGAAAGTAGGGCTGCATTCGACAGCACCTGCGGCCAGATCATGGTTGCCGGGCCCACCAGCCAGCGCGATGCCATGCCCGCCAGGCCAAAGCCGAACAGCTGACTCGTGATTACCAGCAGGATTTCGAATCCGCCGTGAGAAGGCATGCCATAGAATTTGACCATGGCCTCAATCATCTGAGTGGCTGCCGCCGATCCGAACGAGACATTGGCCATGATCGTGATCAAGGCATGCTCCTTGATGTTGAAATGGCGGTCCGGGTTCAACCAGCCCAGCGGCACCCACTGTGCCCAAGCGCATCCGATCGGATACGCCACCAACTGCGCGACTAATGCACTGATGGTTACGCTCGGTTGTCGCAAGCTAAAGAACTGGTTTAGGCCGCTTCCAACCTGCAATGAGGGGTGCTCGTCAGTGATTGAGGCCATCTCGCAGCCATCCCTGTAGCCGTGCCAGGGAGCCAATGCGCATGGTACATAGTACATACTATGGTAAAGACCACGCCAATCACCCACATGCGCACCGTGTTGACCGGCAAGTGCTGGTCATCGACCGGCCGGACCACCGCGCGGACCTCCGGGAATGGCGAATCATCAGCTTCATACGGAAGGATCTCTTCGGCATGGTAGTCGCTCAGTACGCTGGTGCTATCACTTATCGAGTCTAACGGGGGTTCCTACGGGACAGAGGACGGTCAGTGTTACATGCAAGGGCGATCCTCTGATTGGAGAGCGAACGATATGTCAGATCGGGGGTCGGTGACCGTCCTGTCATCTGTATGCGGGTGTCGTGCGACACGCGATGGTGGGGGAGCGAACAACCACGTGGGGGGATGCAATGAGGGGATTTATGACCACGAACAAAGTGACTCTGTGCTGGCACTTCCCATGGGGGTTTTGGATTGCATCGGGCATTATGGGTCTAACCCACCTGGATCGTCGATAACTTCTTTTCATCCGTCATCATCGTGTTCTCGTCTAGCCCCCTCCTTCGTTGCCCTGAGTGCCAGGGTGGTGAGGGGGTGAGAGAGTGTGGGGTGAATAACCCAATCGGCTAGAGGCTGGATGCGAGACACCCTCTCTCGGATCAGATGAAGCGAAGGACAATCTATCTGCAGAGTTGGCAGATTGGGGCGCTCTGGCTGGTCCGGGAGTTCCTGGACAGCTTTGGGCCACGAGAACAGTGGAGTTGCAGCGGTACAGTCGAGTAAAGCCTAAGCCTCTCGTACGGGCTAAGCCGCCACTAAGAGTGCCCTGAATTTCCGAAGAGAGTAATTTTAGTAGCAAGTCAAGCGGGACTGATTGATACACTGGTGTGGTTTCGAGAACATGTGGAGAGGGGGCGAGAGAGGGGAATTGGGAGAGGTTCAAGGAATTCAAGACTAAGATGATTTGTTTCTGTTTTTCTTGCTGTGATCAAGGTCAATGGAGAACTTGGGAAATGGAAAAGGAAGGGCAAATCCCGAAGCGAGGAAGAAAGTGACGTACATCCCTTCTCTCCAGACACCGAAGGCGCAAAGAAAGGGGGGCGATGGAAAAGGAGGGAAAACTTTGATACGGTAATAGGGTTGGTAAACCTAGGTAAGGATGCCGACGCCCGAGGACTTCTGAGGGGAGAACTTGAAGAAGTGTGACTATTTGGACAAGGTGGAAGTAAGTCTCCACCCACTATTTACAGACTTTAGACTACAGTTGTTTGGATCGCTTGTCTCGTATGCCAAAAGACGCTCTAGAACTGGCATCTGTGCAATTGATGTGCAGCCATGAAGAGCTTCGACCTGTTTCCATTACTTTGTCCCCCCCCCCCCCCCCCCCCCCCCCCCCCCTTAGTTATTTAAAAGCTCGGGAGCCAAAATCGTGTACCCCTCGTGGGATTCAAGCCACGATCGCATTACCGTCGATTGCAAGAGCCCGTGATATGTCATGACATGATGACATCCTCATAAGGATGAATTGAGGGGGGTTGGTTTCCCTTCCCAGTGGAGTCTCTCTGCCGTCTCTGTGCCATCTTACCATAGTAACCGGCAGAGAGCCCTACTTTGAGACCCCCGTGTATAATCGTCTGCCATTAATGCTATTAGCACTACTATACTTATCCAGCTCAGAGCTCAGTCTCTACACAGTTGCAATCTAACAACGGACATAACTCGGGCAATTGACATGGCTCTTCCCCTCTTCCTCGGTGCCGACTCACCTACACCGTACACGTACCCATCGTCATCGACGAAGGTTGGGGCAACGGACGCGCAAGAAAAGGACACTCGCACGGACGTGGACCGGTTTGCCACGCTGCGTACCGCGATCCCGCGCGTTGTGCAAGCCGGAGAGACCCCCGACCTGGAAAGTGAGGGTTTGGATCTGCAGTAAGGGCTAGTGCTGCCAAGTTTTCCCGCCTTTACAAACGTTGCTCATTGCTGTTACTGGATATGCTCGAGGGTGTTTTTGAAAGGGAACGGTGCGCAAGGTGACTTCAGGTCAGGGGAAGCGGAGACGGAGGACGAAAGCAATCCAGACCTTCCCTGCATCAACCTCTGTAGTCTAGATGCTACGACTATGATGACGATGACGGGCTTTTCAGTATGCCTAGGTCCGATTGTGCATCATCGGACAACATCCGTCCATGGCGTCCACGGCCGCGATGAGGCGGAGAATGCACGGGATGGTCGAAGATTGGAGGACGAGGGAGGGGGGCGGTGGCGGGGAGAGAGGGGAAGAGAAGGGCCTTATGTATGATTTGAGAGTTTTCCCATTCCTCAAACTGGGTCCGACCAGACCGAGTTACGCAGGTCTTGAGAATAGTTAAAGGATGATAAACTTGAGAGAACCGTGACCGTCGTCCGGAGTTGATGTAAATCAGCGGATCATCCCGATCGGTCGCTGATCGCATCACGTTTGCAGGTCGGGAGAGTGAAGTATGGAGTGATTAGGTGCCTGAGGCAGAAGAAGATGGAGAGTGGACGGAGAGTGGAGCAATAGCTTTGTGGCTGTTGGTCGATTCAGCCTCAAATGATAGTTAAATGGAAGTGAGACTGAGTATCACTGGCTGGGTGTGGTTCTGAATATACTCAATTAATACTATACTGTTGTATGTACTATGTAGTCAAGTCATTAGGTAAGAAGCTCACATTAACAATTCCCAATAACCTTCAATTTGATTGATCCTTAATCATCCTGAGCAAAGGCCTCCTCCGTCAGCTGCGTAAGCACTGGTGTAGCACTGTTAGTTGATAAGCCTCAGCAGCAACTAACCGCGACTAAGCTCTTTTTCTCAGGCTGAGCCCGACTGAGGAATCCCAGCGTGGCGCTTGACTGCAAGGGGAATGCGAGCCGGGTTGCAGACTGGCCGGTTGGGTTCTGGCCTTTGGGTTGCGGGCGCAGATGAGGTCAGATCTGGAGCCAACTAGTGGGAAAGCGCGTTCCCTGCCTTGGTCACGACCCGGATTTTCCTCTCTATGAAACCGGAATCTTCAACAGCAGTCCTTTGAACGAACCGAATGGATTAATCCATTCTTCTGGTGTGGTCTGTCTTTTTGCCCCTCCCTCCTCCCATTTTCAGACTGGTGGTGGCCTATTCTCATCTACTTACTATTTTATTCTTCTCTTTCTTCATTTACTTTTTTTTTTTTTTTTGGATATCCCTTTTTCCCCCTCCCCTCTCTCTTCAGGTTGGATCTTGGTGACCAGATCAGAATCAGGATCCAATATAACGAATGAGGCGTGCAGGGCAAAACTAAATCATCACGGGCAAAAACAGGCGAGGGAAGGGCAACATTCCCGATCGATAAATTGAGGGATGGCTGGATATCATAATTTATAGCTCCAGTGCTGTTTGTGCCTTATGATATGGTAGTGATTGCATGATTTTTGTTGATCGCTCTCTGTTTAAACCATCAGCAGCAGCAGCATCGTCAGCATCATCAATCTTTCTGACGGTTCGTTCTTTCGTATACAAGACTAAAAGGATCCACGGTCTGGCGGCTGATCATTTTTTTCTTTTTCTTTTTTTTCTTTTATTTTTATTTTTTACTTTTTTTTTATTTTCTCGCCTGCCTCCTTTTGCCTTCTAAGTACGAGTATTTGGCAATCTGCTTGCTTGCTTTGCTTGCTTGCTTCGCTCGCTTGCTTTGCTTGCTGCTGCACTGCTGCATTAGGACAAGACCAGCCCCGACTTGAGAAGTTAGTCAGGATTAATTCCTTACTAAGTTAAATTCTTTTTTAGGGAGCCGAAATTTGATCCCCGCGGCAGTCGGGCTTCGCTTCCGGCCAGTGGTTGGTCGATCCAGTCTTCTGACGGCTTACTGTTGACGTCGGTGGTGGTGTCGACTTGGTTGGTGTGTCTGAGTGCAGTTGACTGGTTCACTGTCTGTGGCTGTCTCTCTGTCTGTGTTCTTGTTCTTGTTCTTGTTCTTGTTCTTGTTCTCTGTCTGTCTGTCTCTCTGTCTACTTACTCCCTCCCATCTATTCGACCAGGTCTCTTGTCCTGTCCCCATCTATCCATCTATCCATCTATCCATCCATCCATCCAACCATCCATTCATCCATTCATCCCCCCCACCACCCTCCTCATTCCATTCCATCTGACACTGTTCTTCTTCTTCTTCTCTTTTACTATTACTTCCTCTAGTTCCTTTTCTCTACTTTTGTTTAAAGTGAAAGTGGTACAGAAAGGGAAGTCTTTTTTTTTTTCTTCCTAATCCATCTTCTCTCTTGTCCCCACCCTATTATCCACTCTTCTTCTATCTGTCTCTATAAGCAACTTTCGCCGCCAGGATCCTCCCTTTCTCTTAACCCTTCTCTCTCTCTTCTGCTCTTCATTTCCCCTCTTATACATATCTATTCTTTATCCTTCATACACTATTTTTAATACCCCTGCCTTGCACTACTCTCCCTCCCATTGTTGTCCCATACCTCTCCCCTCCGCCGCCCTGCACGTAGCCGCTGTTCATCCATGTGTGATTTACCATGGATCTCAACAAGCGGCTCTTTCGCCTCGACATCGAGAACAACAAGAGCCAACCGCCACCCCTCAATTTCACCATGGTCACCACTCCCCCCGATGAGGATGAAGACGACGAGCTTAGCCCCTTGAAGCTCCGTGAAGAATCCTCGAAACCTTCGCAGATTGATCTCGCTAAGCGCGTAGACCCCGTCGCGAATGTACAGCCGTTCGACGCCGCTCTGAGTCGCATTTATCGCCACACACCCACCCCGACCGTGGTGTTGGACGCTTCCTTGCAAGTCGTGGAAGTCTCAGATTCGCACTTGTCGTTTGCCGGCCTGTCAAGGGATGTGGCATTGGAAAGCTTCATTTGCGATATCTGTCCTCGCGTCATCCCCGCCCTCGACATTGCCACACTCTATGGCGCGCTTCGGGCGGCGATCACGTCGCGAGACATCCAGCATGTCGACAACATCCACCTGCCCGACCCCAACTCCTACTACTCACTGCGTATAACCCCGATCTACGAGAAGAGCACACTGTTGTACATGACACTCGAAGCGCACTCCATCACCAAGAAATTCTCTAACCCTACAAATAACCATCACTCCTATGTCAACGATACTTACAAGGTGCTTCTGGACACCGTCAAGGATTATGCCATCTTCATGCTGGACACGCGAGGTAACATCGTGACGTGGAACTCCGGTGCCGCCATTCTGAAAGGGTACAGCGCCCGAGACATCATCGGAAAGCACTTCTCCACATTCTACGGGGAGGAAGATCGTCTCGCTGATAAGCCTGGAAAGGAACTGGTCGTCTGTCTTCGGGAGGGCAAGGTGGAAGACGAAGGCTGGCGATACCGGAAAGACGGTTCACGATTCTGGGCTAACGTGCTGATCACCCCGATGTACGAGTTCGGGCGCCACATCGGCTTCACTAAGGTCACGCGGGACTTGACCGAGCGCAATGCCGCCGAAGCACGCATGATCGCCGCCTTCGAGGAGTCGGCCAAACTCAAGACCGATTTCTTGGCGAACATGAGCCACGAGATCCGTACGCCCATGAATGGCATGCTTCTCGCCTTGACGACACTTATGGAAGCGGGCTTGACCGAGCGGCAGCGTGAGTACGCCTCAATCATCGAGGATTCGACCTCCCTTTTACTGCAGGTCATCAACGATGTCTTGGATTACTCAAAACTGTCGTCTGGCTCCTTCTCGCTGCACCCTGACGCGTTCAGTGTCGACAATGTCACCGGTGCCGTGGTGCGCAATTGCAAAAGCACTTTGAAACCTGACGTGGAGCTGGTTAGTTACATCGCCCCGGGCTTCCCCTTACAGGTTGAAGGTGATCCTCTGCGGTACCGCCAGGTACTTCAGAACCTGGTGGGAAACGCAGTCAAGTTCACCGACAAGGGCTACGTCAAGATCCAGACCTCTTTCGCTGAAGATATGGCCGACCCGACGCTTCTCAACATCACCACGGAAGTGTTCGACACCGGAGTAGGAGTCCCTGAGGATGCGCATAGCTCACTGTTCACCCCATTCACCCGCTTTGCCGACTCAAGCACGAGAAGATATCAAGGTACAGGCCTTGGCCTGTCGATCTGCAAGAGTTTGGCGGAGCTTATGGATGGCAGTGTCGGTTTCCGACCAAATCCCGAAGGTCGTGGCAGTGTATTTTGGATGACGACCAAGATGCGTCGGGTCGATATTAAGGTACCTTTGCGGACCCTTAGTCCCGGTTCCCTTGTGGAGAACGATGAGGATATTGAGGCCAAAATTCACGCTCTCGCACCTCACAAATATGTGTTGCTTGTGGAAGATAATCTGGTGAATCAGATGGTCATGCTCAAGCTCCTCAAAAACATGGGCTTTGCCCGGGTCGATGCTGCTTGGGATGGAGCAGAAGCCGTGCGCCTGGTTAAGCAACAACCGTTTGCCTACAACTTGATTCTGATGGATATCAACATGCCGATTTTGGACGGTGTTGAAGCGACTCAGCAGATCCGGCAGATGGGGCTGGACGTCCCCATTATTGCACTTACCGGCAACGCGCTCAAGGGTGATGCGGAGATGTACATGGCTAAAGGCATGAGCGATTACATCGGGAAGCCTATTCATCGGAAACAGCTTACCCGGTTGATCTGGAAATGGATTGGCACCTGATTGGACACTAACAAGCCAATTTTGTTGTTCTGACCTGTCGTCTTTCGCAACAAACCGGTGGCTAATCTAATCGCTCTAGACCTGCTATCTGCGACGGCGCGTTGAGAGCTGGTCTCTGCCTCAATAGCCGCACCCCAACCAAGCAGCAGCCCAGATGGGGGAACCAAAGGTCCCTCGGCTACAGCGCAAGCTTATATCGCTCCCCGCACCCTGCGTTGCCGCTCCCTTCGTCTAGCAATAATTCATTGTTGCAACACCATGCTACACCAAGCAGCGAGACAAGTGGACGGTGTCAAATGACGAGTCTCATGACCAGCTTACCCACGAACCATTTCTCTGACGAGCCGTGTGCGCTTGAGCGCCACCATGAGTTGCAAGCATGCATGCATGCATGCATGCATGACTATGACTATGACCATGACCATGAAGTCTGGTCCCGATTATTTCTATAACATGAAAGCCGGGGATCTACCCCGAACGGCTCAAAATCGAGTATTGACACATAACCAAGCAGCGTACATACTGTTAATCTACAACGTGTTCATCTACATTAATAATCTATTGTTTCCATCAGAACCTCATTGCCGGTCAATGGGATGCATGACTTGAATTCGCTGTCCATGTTGTAATGTACTTGCTGTTCCATACTGTATATGTACCTGCTTCTACAAATCTTGTATGTATATGTTAACTTTAGAAAATACCCTTATTCATGAGACCCTTTCCCCGAGGTCCCTCTTCTCTCAAATCCCTCCACATTCTTCCCCCCATAAGTGCCCAGCCCCTCCCATAAACATGTACCTGCATCACATACTCCGAAACGAAGTCCCCACAGCCGGAGCGACTCCCATTCCCTTCCCTAGACCCCACTGCTAAATGAATATAGAGAAGAGGAAGAAGGCACCAATCCGACGATCGACCCACTCACTACTTTATACCCACCTAGTAGGCGGAGTGACCCCTCCCTCTGACGGCGTGGAGATATGCGGGCGGGCTCGCTTCTTCTTTCCTCAACAATGATGTAATCGATAATAAAAGATCCTCGTCACCAATGGAGATGAATCGATCCTGTCTTCTGCGTGATATGTGTGGGTTAGTTATCTATGTGCATGGTAGTGACTACCCGGCGTAATACATTTATAGATAGATGATCTTGCTGGGGTAGTTTCATTTCATTTGGGGTATGTGCATGTATCGGTTTAGATCCTGTGATTGTTCAGAATGCTTGCACGCTGGCAAATTGTGGAAAGGTGTGGGGTGGTAGACTGACGGGGGTAAGTACAGCTCTTCAGACACATTACCAGGCGGGTCTTTAGTAGCTGATGGGTAAGGGGTGGGCCAGAGGCTTGAGTTCTCTAGCTGAAGATAGCCTTACCTCAGCCCCCGCTTACCCTCCCCCCTTGGTTCGCTTCGCTTCACCAGCCATCGACAAGGGACAGGCTAAGTACAGTGGACCTGTTGTGACGGGTTTCTGATCTACGAGTCTACAAATCCATCGCGAGAAAGCAACCAAGCCCGTGGAGACCATTCTATTCAATCTAACCACCTGGAAATCATCTATACACATCACACATCATATATTCTTTTTCATATCTCGAAAAACAAAAGATTCATCAGTGACCAGCACATGCATCTAAACAACAACCTTGTGGGTAGCGGGCTTCTCCTCCTCCTCGCCGAAGATGTTGATATCCCAGCGGGGCTTGTTGGCGATGTAAGGGGTGTTGTAGCGTCTGCGGTCCTTGCCGAGGGAGGAGACCTTCTCGACCTCCTCGGGGGTGAGCTCGACCTCCTGGAAGTTCTCGACGATGCGCGAGGGCGTGACCGACTTGGGGATCACACTGTGGCCGCCGACCTGGGACCAGGCGAGGATGACCTGGGCCGGGGTGACGGTCTTGCCCAAGCGCTGGGAGGCGGACTCGGCGACTTCCTTGACTTCGGGGCGGGTGACCAGGAGAGGGACGCCGAAGCCGTTGTTACCGAAGGCCTGTGATTTTGATTCGTTGTCAGTTCTGGGTTGTGAAGCTAGAAAAGAGAAGGTCTAGGGCTGGACTGGGCAGTGGGAAACGTACGGAGTAGGCGGTGATGTGGATGTTCTTCTTCTTGGCGTATTCGATCATCTCGTTGCTCTGCAGGACGGGGTGACGCTCGAGCTGGTTGACGGCGGGGACAACGCCGGTGCCGTTGATGATGGCCTCGAGCTGGTGCGGAGATCAGTTTGCTTGTTCAGAATGTAGTTGTGGGCTTCAGAGTAGCTTACGTGCTCAATGGTGTGGTTGGAAACACCAACGGTGCGGGCCTTGCTCTTGGGGAGCTTGGTCACGGCTCTCCAGGTGTCGACAATGGAGATCTCGTCGTCGAAGGCAACATCGCCGCCCTCGACGGTGCTGTTCTCAACCAGGGGGAAGTAGTCGGAGCCGCGGGTGAAGGCGACGGGCCAGTGGACCAGGTAAAGCTGGGTCTGTCAGCCAATCTATATACAGTGGAAGAGTATGGTGTTCCTACGTCGAGGTAGTCCAGCTCGAGCTCAGCAAGGCACTCGTCCAGGGCCTTCTCGACATCGTCGGGGTGGTGCTGGCTGCGGGGCGTTAGTTGGAGTCGTGCGTGTGCTGCCAATCAGACTGACCTGTTCCAGAGCTTGGAGGTCTGGGGCGAGTTAGCAATGGATATGACCGTCACGGGGAGATTATACGCACGATGAAGATGTCCTCACGCTTGAGGCCGGGAACATCCTTGTAGGCGCGCTTGATACCCTGGGCAACCTCGCGCTGGTTCTGGTAGCTTCGAAGGGTCAGTATGTATGGTCGATTGGCTGCATTGAATCGCTTACATGGTGGCCAAGTCCTAGATTGGGTCAGCTTCTAACTCTGTCGGAGTGAGGTTCAGGAAAACCTACCAAGTGACGGTAACCGGCCTTAAGGGCCTCGTAGACGGCCTCACCGACCTGACCGGGGGCGGACTGCCAGGTGCCGAATCCCAGCTGGCTGCAAGAGGTCAGCGCTTGCTTTATGCGCCGAGAGGATGAGCAACTTACGGGATCTCGTGGCCGGAGCTGAGGGTGACCTTCTTTCCGAGAGACATTGTGAGAAGATATGAAGATGTTCAATGGATGATACGAAGGAGGAAGAGGAAGAGGAAGAGAGCGGGAAGTTAGGGAGGATTGAGGAGGAAAAAAGAGAAGGAGAAGAGAGGAAGAAGAGGAGGGAATGGAGGAAGAAATACGGAGGAGTCTGGGTGGATAGTGGGGGGAAGAGAAGAGGAGAGGAAGCCAGTCACGACAGGATTGCCTCTTCTGACGAACTAAACTAATTATCCTGTCGATACTAACTGCGACTAGTAGTAACTACTCCTGCCTCTTTTTTTTTACCCCGCCAGTCGTTCAAAACAACCCCTCGGTGGGGCAGAGCGTGGGATGGCCTCAGGTTCAACTCGCTTTGAACCCCCCCCCTTCAACCGATTTCAACGTGTTCTATTCCGATCAATAAGTTGTCCGGTTGCCAATCCAGTATTGTCCCGAGCAAGCAGGTACCAGCATCTCCGAGTGCTGCACAGCCTTGTTCATCTGCCAGCATTCCGCCGACCTGCATCTGGCAAAGAGTACCTGGGATGTACAATGCACGTACACGCAGTGTGTCAAGAAGCATGATGTCACGGATGAGATTCCTCCGTCTTCTTTGCCCTTCAATTGCGGATTTATTGGTGGAGACCACAGCCCAAACACCATACTGTGTAGGGAAAGGCGCCGGAGAAATTGCCGTCCTCCAGTCCCGTGGCTGAGAAGAGTGAAAATAGCCTCCACTTACCCCTCCAGACTTCAGATGAGGGGGATCTGGCACCGTGAAACGAAAACGTGGGGGAGTGTGGAATTGGAGAGAGTCGAAGGGACATTGCGCAATGGTAGAACCTCCTCCCTCCATCATTTGCCCTTCACAAGCGACCCCCGCCGGAGTTTTCGCACCCCCCGCGGAGAATTGCCGGTTTGGGACAATCCCATTTTAACCGAGACAACAACAATCTCAATCGGCGCAGACAATCAATCTATGATGCCGGCAGTGACGTGCATGTCTTTCCTGTCTCGGAAATGCACAATCCATATAGAATGCAGGGACCAACCGAGGGCAAACATAACAGTTCTCTCGATATACTGAACACGAAGCTCAAACGCTTGTACGGAGTAGTCCCTTTGGAAATAGCATAGCTTCAACGCAAACCAGAACAAGGTCCACGGCAACCTCCAAACCGAGACTTTGATGGATAAGTAGCATCGTCAGAGATGCTCAGAAGCCTCTACTCATATATAGATCGTCTTCATCATTCCTATCCAGTCGATCATCTGCAAAAATCTCATAGAAAGGGATCCCGGATCCCAGATCCCAGCCAGCACGGGTCTTGCTGCACCGAACATTCTAGGCCAGCCTTATGAACCACGGCTTGGATCGAGGCTAGACGTGGGGCTGCCGCTTGGGGTACCATCTGAGCCAGGGGTTGCATTCCGGTGGTGAGATGAGGGGCGTTGAGCCCCAAGTGCTCGGTCCGACTCCCAGCAACCAGGACGAGGCAGGCGCTCTCGATAAAGAAGGGGTTCAAGGGGAGATCCTACTTCGGTCAATGCCCGTCAATCACTCACGTATATCGGCTCACCTTGGAGATAGAACCGCCAAGATGGACGTGGTGTAGATTGTCAATAATAGTAACCGCACTCTCGACGCACTGCTTGCAGGCTTTCAGATTGCTGGGATCATCGGCGTCAACGGTGCCTGAGTAGTGCCAGGGCGGATGCAGGGCCGGTTCTTCAGAGCTCTGATTCGATGGCCGATAAATGAGCATGATCGCCCAAGGGTATACTTAGGGACTAGTGAGCACGTGGCACGATGCCAATTCAGGGAAAGAAAGGATCTAACTTACAAACATTCATTGACGGGCTGCTATTCGCTGGTTCCTCTGCTGACCGAGATGTCTTCTTGCTGTGCTGATAGTCTTTTGATTTGGCACTAAGTGCATGGGATGCCTTCAGTTGTGTCACCATAGAAGCATTGCTGTCCTGCTAGAGGTGGATGATCTCGCCCATTGCATATAAGGAATTCGTGGTGTGGTCGAGCACTGGATCATCTTTTCTCGAATTGAGAGATATATTTTTCGCAAGTACTAGAGTAGGCCGTCCCAGGATAAGACATATCATAGTACTGTTTCCCTTACAAAATGTAAGTTCTTCATGGGTCATAGACTGTAATTAGAAAGATGAGTACAGGCCGTTCGTTTTCTAAAGAGACGAAGGACTTTATGATCATTCACTCTTCCAAATTCTGGGCGTCCATTACGATTCCAGTTGCCATGAGCGGTCCCATTGCTGTCGCCAACTGCGCGTACGCCGCCTCAGGATCCCCGGTATCGAGGTAGTACTGAATGTGATTAACTGTCAGTGTGGTATAAACAGACCGCCTGAAATTCACTTATCAGCAGTAGATGGTGTTGCAGTACTAGCACGTCGGGCGTAGCGTTGCTGTTCTGGTGCATAAAAATAGCCTCTTGTATGAGTTTCTCGCCCATGTCAGCAAGTTCAGCACTTATGAATTCGATGGCCAAGGCGCTGCAAGATAACTTATAATGAGTGGCGGGGTTGTACCCTCCCAATGCATTGCTCTGAAGCTGACTTAACCACCCCTTGGAAAAGTCCGGGGTTTGAAGTGGAGGTATTGCCCATGCAGTAAGAATATATCTGTCCATAGATAGATCTATGAGCTCTTGAGGTCATGTAATCAAGAGCTGTTGGGGAGTTAGCAACATAAGGAATACGAGTGGCGATGGACCGAGGTGCTCTCTCATCAACGGTCGAGGTTGGAATGAGTCAGGTAAGATATTTCCGTCCAAGAACGCCTCGGTGTGAGTTTGCGGGTGATATTGCCCCATGATCAACCCGTGCAAGTGATGTAGAAAGGCGATGTTGGACGATGGTACATATATAAGACTTCCACCACTGGACGAGGGTGCTTTCGTATACACCGGAGATAATAACCTAAGGGTGTGTAGAACAAACCGCGAGTTTTTGATGAATGTGAAAAGACACACAGAATGAAGAGAGATACGCAATAGCAAACCTTTCAAATCTCGGGTCTCGGGGCTGTCACTGCGCATATGTGCTCGCCTTCGCGCATTTGCCCTAAAGTTGCATGGGATACTGCGTCGTAAGCATCGGCAACAGGGAGAACGGCCATCACACTTCAACTTCCGGTGTCGACACTCTTCGCACGCTTTGGAGACGTGAATTCGGGATCAAGGCGTCTTTGAAGTAGGTGACATATCTCTTGGTTAATCCGCAAGTCCGAAATGTGTATTTACCAAAGATGCGCGTACACCTGAGTGACAGAAGTGTGATAACTGATGCCAGGTAGGTGAGTTTCTCAAGAATATGACAGTAAGGCATCATGCGCAGTCCACAGATACGATTGTCTGGGGAAAGGAAGACAGGCCTTTCCGGGGGAAGACGATAGAGCAGGAACTAGCGAGACCGTCCGGGCACAACCCCGGATCGCCCTCTATTCCCGAGCCAAGCACTGAGTTCCGAAGCTGGTGCATGATAACATGTCCAGGGCTGACCATTTCTCTCCAACCTGGTGTGGATGGATGCTGAGCCTTTCATGAAGGCAGCAAGGTGCCCGGGGCAATTTCCGTCTTTGCTATTGTGTAGGTGAGGATCGGAGACTCTGCGAATCAAACACCACCGCTTGACGAATTCAGAAGCAGACACCCAAGCATTGAATGGCGTGTGAACAGAATAGGCTTGAAGTCTCTCGATTGTTATAAGCACGGCCAGGCAACAGTGACTTTGATCCCACCTTACCTTGTCCTGTCTCTAGTTACCGTGGACCCAGCGAGACGTCTATAGTAACTGTCATGACCTGGAGATCAAGTCTATTTGACTCAATTCTCCGACTATCCGCTTTCCTAACAACCAATTATGCCATTCTCAACGAGCAGCTAAACCAGACTTTCGGGGCAGAAGTGGTATTGTGGAAAACTATCGTTACTAGCAATCGAAGGGTGAGTGATAGCTGGAAATACGGCAATGGGCTAGAGCTGTCAAAAGTCACACGAAGCCAGCTTACTACAGATACGATATGCTTATCTAGTACTTTGGGGATGTTAGCATTAACTACACTATCTCTGCAGAGAATATTCGCTAAGAAGTTGACATATATTGCTGGTGAAGGTGCTGCAGAAAATGAATACCAATAAGACCTAATAGCCAGCTAAGCCATTACAAACTGGAGCAGCACAGGTTACATAGAGACTTAAAGCCACACTCTACTTGTTCCCAAAGAGAGGCACTAAATAATTACTGTAGGAAGAGTCATAAAAAGGCATTGATTACATAAGCATCGCAGCCGATCAGTCGGCCCGGACACTTTTTCGAACCTGATCTCGCCAACTCCGCGGCAGAGCTGCAACTGCGAACATGTCGTCGTTTCGATCATCCGCTTTTCATTCCCTACTTCGGAGCAGGACCTCGTTACTGCGTTCTCAGCAGAGAAGATGGGCTCAGGTACATGATGTCCGCTTCCTTGCGACACACCATGACCCCAAGCAGGTGCTGGATAGATACAAGTCGAAGCTCGACCAGAAAGCCAAGCAGTGAGTCAAAAGAGATCCTCCCAAAGTCCGACGATCATCACGCTTATTTCGAATTGACTAGGGAGGGTCATGAGGATATTGAATCCCTGAAAGATGCCTACAAGGAAAAGATTCAAGACTTCCGCCGTCAAGCATCCACCTCAATCACTCCCGAGCCATCGACGCCGTCTTCATCCACCACCGGTCCCCCTCCCCCACCGACGCCACCTCCTTCCCCTCAAGCTCAAGCTGCGATCAAGGCTACGACTTCTACTAAGTCAGGCGGCATCAAAGGCCTCGACTCTTTCCTTGACGTCGAAAAGATCCGCGGCCTTCCACCCAAGGAAATCGAGGCCCTCTGGCGCCTTCGGCACGCGAACAACTCCCACTCCATTTGTGCCTGTATCCCGGTGGAGACATATCAGCGCATTGTGGACGCTGCTCGTCAGAACCCTCAGTTTATCCTGCCTTTGCCGCGCAATGCGACGCAGTCCGAGCCAGCGGAGGGTGAGAACAGCGAGGCTGCCAACGGCGGAGCAGACATCCATTTCCTCCAATGGGCCTTCCACCCGCCGGCCTCAGCGCCGTCCCCGTCCGCCACTCATGCGTCTCTTGCCAACTCCCATACTTCCACCATCATCTTCACGCATCTTGCCGCCTACAAGCTGCATGGCTCCTTTGCCCAGCCGCATACCACCATCACCCACCACCTTGATCTCGCCGATGACAAGGGACTCGTTCTCATGCACGGCCAGGTGATGCCAGACTCGGGGGTCTCTATCAATGATGCCAGCTGGCTGGTCAGCTGTGTGCAGCGATTCTATGACTTTGGTGGACAAGCCAGTGGCCGGAAGGGAGAACTGTTGCGGATGTTCACGCGGGGTGATGTGCAAAATTTCAAGATTGAAGACCTGATGGCCGAGGCGGAGAAGTTGTAGATGAGCTCGTGAGAGGATTCTGTGTACCATAGATTTAGTCAATGCATGACCTGGTTTCGACCTCGTATCACCTACATCCAGGCTGGCTGCGTGACAGGTGAATGCCAAGACCACCCAGACTCGGGGAAAGCGCCGGGATCGGCACTAGTTCCCTGCCGTAACGGTGTCATATCACGTGAGTATCCATCCTGCAGCCCCGCGCGCCTCCTCCGCGCGCGAAAGCCAAACACGCGTCCAGACTTTCGACCACCACGGTTCCGATTGGCACCAGAGCTTTGTTCCAGACTGACTGCTCCCCCTCTTATCATTGGGAGTACAGAGTACTTCCCAACATTTAACCAAGAGAAGAGTTGGTTCCCAACCGTTTTCGTGTTCTGTCTGTGACTCTGCAGGGTCCAGATCGCCGGAGTAACTTGCCTGATCAACGCTAGCTCCAACATCCGAATTTCTCCGGAAATCGTTAGATTCACATCACTCTGTGCTCAATCCTGATTTATTTCGCAAAAACTCCCCATCTTCCGCTGCATCTCCAGCTGCATTCTCAACCAACGACGGGTCCACTACCTGCATACTGTCTTGGGCGGCATAGAGTCGACGCCAGTGGGAGAAGCTGTCCCGACTACTGCTTTACCCGTCCAGTGTGCCCTGCTACAACTGGCAACGCGCGCACGCGCTCCTGCCCCCAAAGGAAAACCCGCCGTAAACGTCACCTCCCGTCACAACTCTCCGGCTGATAAAGCGTTCCAACCCCGCGGTCATGACTTGAGGGATACAGAAACGAGGCACACCCCGCGGGAATCTTTGAATGATATTTACTTTTTCTCCCCCCTCTTCTTCTTTTTTCTTTCTTTTTTCCCCCTAGTTTCGACAAGTTCGATTAACACAGAACGCAGCCATGGCTCGGAGATATATGATCCCGTGGCTGTATGACTTGGGGGTGTGGATTTTCACCCTCTGTCTGGATATCTTCTTTCGCGAGGTCTACTCTCGCGGTGCATGGCGGATCCCCAAGCGGGGCCCCGTAATTATCGTCGCGGCGCCCCATGCGAATCAATTCGTGGATTCAATCCTGCTGATGCGCATCATGAAGCACTATGCGGGCCGTCGCATTTCGTTCCTGATCGCCGACAAGTCCATGCGCGAACCTTACATTGGGACTATGGCTGGATGCATGGGTGCGCTGCCTGTCGTGCGCTCGATGGATCATGTCAAGCCAGCCAAGGGTGAGATCTACCTCCCAGACCCGGAGAACGACCCCACCCTGCTGAAGGGACGTGATTGCGATTTCACAAGTGACCAGTTCATGGTGGGTGGGACCATCATTCTGCCCCGTGTCGGCAAGTCGAGCCCCGAGCAACAGGCAATCGAAGAGATCATCGACGCGAATACGATTCGACTGCGCAAGCCGTTCAAGACTTTCGACAAGGACCACCCTCTCCACGATGCTTTGCGCAAGGGAACCCCGTTCAAGATCGCTCCCCATATTGATCAGAGCAAGATGTTCGATGCGGTGTACCGTGAATTGATTGCCGGTGGCTGTATTGGTATCTTCCCTGAAGGTGGCAGTCACGATCGTCCTAGCCTTCTTCCCTTGAAGGCTGGTGTGGCTATCATTGCGTTGGGCACACTTGCAATGGATCCCAACTGTGGGCTGTCTATCATCCCGTGTGGTATGAACTACTTCCATCCGAATAAGTTCCGCTCTCGTGCAGTGGTCGAGTTCGGAAACCCCGTTCAGGTGCACCCGGACCAGATTGAGGCCTTCAAGGCTGGTGGAAATTCCAAGCGGAACGCGGTGGGCTCCCTTTTGGAGACAATTACCGAGGCATTGACTACCGTGACCCAACAAGCTCCGGACCATGAGACCTTGATGGTCATCCAGGCCACCCGTCGACTGTACAAGCCGCTGAGAATGAAGCTTCCTCTCCCCGTCGTCATCGAGCTCAACCGACGTCTTCTCAAAGGCTATACCCAGTTCAAAGACGAACCCAAGGTACTTCAACTCAAAAAAGCTATCTTCGACTACAACCGGCGGCTCCGCGCTGTGGGTATCCGCGATCACCAAGTTGAATGGGGCGATGTGAAGCACCGTCCCTGGTGGCTGGTCCTGGGCACCTTGCTCTACCGTGTCGGCGAACTTCTCACGCTGGCCATTGGCACCCTTCCCTCTGTAGCCCTCTTCTGGCCCGTCTTCGTCACCGCCAAGGTCGTCTCCGTGAAAAAGAAACGCGCCGCTCTGGCCAACTCCGTCGTGAAGCTCGAGGGCCGTGACGTCGTCGGCAGCTGGAAGATCCTGGTCGCCATGGGCCTGGCCCCCGCGCTCTACACCTGGTACACGGTGATCGTGACCATCTGGCTTCACTACTGCCGGCACGACGGGTTCTACGCCTCGGTCGTCCCGTGGTGGTTGAACGCACGGACCTACATTCCCGACTCGATCCCGCTTGCGCTCTTCTCCATCTTCTTCTTCGGCCTGATGATCTCCGTCTCCTTCGCGGGTCTCCGCATCGGCGAGATCGGCATCGACGTCCTCAAGTCGCTGCCCCCGCTCCTCGTCGCCCTCAACCCCCGCTCCGCCAGCTCGCTGGCCAAACTCCGCGCCGAGCGCCAAGCCCTCTCCGCCAAAGTCGTCGACGTGATCGACAACTTCGCCCCCGAGATCTTCCCGGACTTCGAGTCCGAGAAGCTGATCGACCACGGCCACCCCGGCGACGACGCCTACCAGTCCCGCCTCAAGAGCATGCCCCCCAGCGAGCCCGAGAGCCGCAACCGCAGCGCCAGCCGCAACGGCCGCAGCCGCTCCCGCAGCGCCGGCTTCAACCTCTACGAAACCTTCCTCAAGCCCCTCAGCATCAAATCCAAAGACGATCTCGGCGAAGTCAACCGCCGCATCCGCGATTCGATGCAGGAGCGCGGCCGCCAACGTGTCCGTGCCGAGTACGATCAGGACGGAGCGGAGGAGGATGTCGTCTCGTTGGATGGCTCAGCCAGTGTCGGCAGTGGTGATCTAGTCGTGGTGGAGGAGATGAAGAAAACGAAATGATTTGACGATGCTTGAGTGGCGAGGATGGGATACATCATAGGTGTTGAGGTTCCTCTAGTTTTTTTTTTGTCTCCCTTGGTAAGGATTGGAGGCTGATTTAGCTGATATGAGCATTGTTCTATCGGTGCAACGTACACGCAAGTCCTGTAGCGGGTCACGTTCTGGTGAAGGTGGTTGTTGTTGTCGTTGTGGAAGTGTCGATACCCTCTCTCATTTTTTTTTCCCTTCCCATGACTTTAACCTTCGATTCCTTCTTTGTTTTTCATGTGGTTGTTGTGCATGTTGCATGTTATCCTGTTGCGTTCTGCGAGTTGATATATTCTGTCTTGCGGTTAGGAAAGTGAAATGAATGTGACATGTATTATGGGCTTTTTATGGAATTCTCTTCTCTCAAGTTGCAGAGTGGTTGTAACTAGTAGTCTAGTAGGGAAGACCGGTTCCACGTGCCTCCAACCAACCGCCAAGGCGGGATTGCGCCATAGAGCGGTGACGAGGGGATGATGCCCGACAGGGGGTCGTATTGTTAATGTTCTTATCCACATGAACATCAACCTTCCTTCATTTTGACTTTCAACTTCTCGATCGAAACCAGGTTCCCATCTACAGCACGCTACAGAGGACAAGGTTCTCGTCTAGATTATTCAATTCATCATACGGGTGTGTGTGTATTGCATGCATGTCTAATGACTATATACTCTGATGCTTATGAAATAAATGCTGATGATATGCCTTGCTCGCTGGTTAGATGTATGTCATTAATTAGGAGGTATCGTCAAAACCGGGTATCGTGCTGCGGTTGGAGAAAATCGACTAAAAGTGGGAGATATATGGTCGGCCAACTCGAACTTCATCAGACTCGGGGAAACGAGTTCAAACGCGCTTGTCGAGGAGCAGACCTCCAGCTGGGGTTTTGCTGCTGAAGCCTTCGTCGCGGTTGAAGATCTTCTCGCCGCGCAGCCAGGTCTCGCGGACCATGCCGCGAAGCGTGCGGCCTTGGTAGGGGGAGCATTTGTTACGGAAGAGCATGGTGCTGGGCTCGACGACCCATTCGGCCGTATCGTCGAAGACACAAATGTCTGCATCGTGGCCAGGGATGAGGTCGCCCTTCTGACTCTCAAGGCCAACCTGGCGAGCCGTGTTGGTGCAGCAGAGGCGGACGATGTCTTGGAGAGCTTGAGTCGTGGTCTCGTCGGTGCTGGTGGCGAGGCCTTTCCGTCGACTGAGCTCTGTCCACAGGATTGGAAGACCCAGGCCAACAGAGGAAATGCCACCCCAGGCCGAGAAGAAACTGCCTTCATTTGTCACGTGACCACTAGATGTGCAGCCACCAGGCACATTAGATGGTAGCAGCTTCAGATCGGGCGTACAGGGCGAGTGATCAGACACGATGGTCTTGATGACGCCTTCGTCGGCATGGCGTTCGACCTCTTCCCAGAGACGGTCCTGGTTGGACTGCGAACGGATGGGAGGACAACACTTGTGACGAGTATCACCATCACGGATCTCCTCAGCAGCCAGGGACAGGTAGTGGAAGCATGTTTCGGCTGTGATAGGAACACCCTCAGCACGAGCCTTGCGCAGCAACGGGATGGCTTCCATCGCAGAGAGGTGGACAATATGCAAGGGAAGCTTGGGGGCCAGGTGGGACAGCGCGAGGATCTCTTCTACGGCGCGAGTCTCATAGGACGATGGACGAGATGCGAGGAAGGTGGAGTACGCCTCAACGGGACCTTCGGGCGCCGATTCCGTATCTCCAGCCATTTCTGCATGAAACATAAGCGTCGTGGGCTCATCGGCCAGTTCAGCCATGGCCTTTCGGATGTCATCCGGGGAGACGGCGGGGAACTCGTCAACCTAGTAAGGTTAGTATGGCAACACACTATCAGAGACTAAAGACGCAGGGACAGAACCACATACCCCGCTATCGATAAGGAATCCTTTGAAGCCTCGCACTCCTTCATTCACCAAAGCCTTCAACTCGCCGGCATTTCCGGGGATAATGCCACCATAGAAGCCAACGTCTACCCAGCACTTTCCATGGGCTGCGCGGAGCTTCTCCTTGAAGTTGGCTACTGTGGTGGTAGGTGGAATGGCATTCAGAGGCATGTCAATGACCGTGGTAACACCACCGAACGCAGCGGCCTGGGTACCAGTATAGAAGCCTTCCCATTCGGTACGGCCGGGCTCGTTCAGGTGCACATGGGCGTCAACCAACCCAGGCAGTAAGACATGAGGGGAATAGTCCGTGTACGGAGTGCCAGCAGGAAAGTCAGTAGCAGGGATCACGGAATCGAAGACTGCCGTGATCTTTCCACTGGTGCGGGAGATAACGATAGTGGCTGCCGTCAAACGCCCCGAAATGACGGCCCGTGAGGAAACGATAACTGTGATCGACGGTATTTGAACGGGCTCCATTGTGTCTATGGACCGCAAGGACTGAACGAGAGAAAGAGGACAGAAGACGACAGGAATGCAAGAGGCAGAGCAGACAAAAGGTCGAGGCAGGAAGTCAGACTACCGAACAATGGACAAAGATAAGGAAGGAGATGAGCAAATAAGGCGGAAACAGTGGTAGGCAAGGGATTCTCTTCGCTGATAAGACAAAGGGCGAGAAAACGATCGAGTCAGGCCCTCCGATAAGGGGTTGTTTAAGTATTCGGCGAGATAAGCAGGCATTGTTCTCTCCTCCGCCTCGCCCGATTAGTAGGCCAATCGCTCATAATATTGATCGAGTAACAGAAATCGGGATCCACAGCAGTGACAGATCCACCGGGTCTACCTCTCTTTGCCTCTCGTTTAAAGGTTGAACTCCTGACGATCAACTGGATACGACTATTCTGCACTTCACCACAAAGGTGTGGTAGTGATCTTGAGCCTCCTCACCAACTGCTCTCATGACTTGGGAAAAGTGCTTGTGTTGCGTCGCGGCAGGTTCTTCCTCCCTTTGTATGCCTTCATTATTCCCCATTGACGCGGCAGACAGTCGCGAAGGGGGCTGCGAGAATGTCCGGGTCTGTGTGTTCATCACCCATGGGTCGGAAATGTCGGGCGCCTCCGGCATCCGCCATCGGGGATCCCCTGGGGCGAAACAAATTTTCGTCGGTTTGGCATGCTGTTACTCGATCAAAACTCGGAGGGGTACCTGAATTTGACATTTCCGTTACTCGATCAAAATTCTCCAGCGGCCGCGGGATAGGTAGTTGAGCATTGACCCTTCTCTTCCCCTGTTGTCCCGGAGGCTTTCAAGCGTGGCCCAGGCTGAGTGGCTCAGTGGAAAAGCATTGCCGGTTCTCCAAAGGATCTAGACGGATTTGATTCCAGTCTCCGATTAGTTGTCTGGAAAAAATGCGGGAAAACACCACACAGACTGACCGCCTTGAGGACAAATTCTGCCTGCCGGCTTTGCGGGATTTCGATTAGGTTGAATTGCCACCACCCACCTCAATTTCCTGTCTATGCTCAGAATTGTCCCTGCTTGGTTTCCAGGGGGAGGCGAAGATGGTGATGGCATAGCATTATACTTCAATGAGGTCAGGTTGACTCGATTGTCAGCAAGCGAATACACCACCCCGATGACGGATACCAACAGGCGGTGTAGGTTTATCTCGGCAGAGGCGGTGTCACTCTTCAGCGCCGACATCGAAGCGTCCATGGACCGGACCGAGTCTCTGGTTCCTATCTCGGTAGTAGAAAGAGAAATCATGTGAGGATATTGAACCCCTCTCCTTGTTTTGTTCTGCAGGGAAAAAAAGTCAAATAAAGATCAGTTGCATCGGCTATCGCGGCCGTTGAGAGTGCAATGCACGAGGCAAGAAATGAATGTCTCACAACATGGCAAAGCAGAGCGAGTCGATGCCTTCCCAAAGAGGAAGGGAATTGCCTTTCCGACCATTCGTTGCAGTGCCCAAAGTCAGGTTGCTGGGTCACGTGCCGGGACAGCGTTGGGCGCAGTGGTTTCGATCATGAGGTCTACTCGAATACGAGGAGAGATCCTTGTCACGAGCGAATGTCTTCGCTGGATCTGCAACACGAACACAATTGCGTGACGTTACAGAGACTTGGGGTTTTGATTGTCTGTCTGTCTGTTTGTCTGTCTAGATCGCTTATCAACCACTAATGCACAAACAATGAATCAAACACACTTTACAGTCCGTTGATTCCGTCCTTAAACTGACGAATGTCATACTCCTCAGGGTATGTCTCCAATATACGCTTGAGGTCTTTCATTTGCTCCTGTGCCTCCTCTGTGATCTCTTCGTACACCCCTTCGAATGCAGACCGTAGGGGTGGTTTCAACTCGCGTTCAGCCTCGCCGAACTCCTTCAAGACTGCTTTGCGGAGCTGATCGCGTGTATCTCGCTCGATATCTTCGTTCCAAAGCCCTTCGTTCTCCAACCACTTCCGCAGACGGATAATCGGATTATCACGCCGCTTCCAATCTTCCACCTCAACACGGGCTCGATAGGCGAAGCTGTCATCACTGGTGCTGTGATGTGAAACGCGGTAGCTCATCGCCTCAATAAGGACCGGCTTGCCCCCATCAGTCAAAGCGATCCGCCGAGCTTCGCGCATCGCTTCATAGACGGCGAATATGTCGTTCCCATCAACACGGATTGTGTCAATCCCATAGCCAACGCCACGACTCGCGATACCATCACCGCGATACTGCTCCAGGGTCGGAGTCGAAATAGCATATCCATTATTGCGACAGATGAAGACCACGGGGCAGGATCGTGTGGCAGCGATGTTGAGACCCGCATGGAAATCACCTTCACTGGCAGCTCCTTCACCAAAGTAGCAGGCTACGATTCGAGGTGGCAGATCAGGGTTCTGTAGGGTTTGTAACTTCAAAGCATAGGCAGCGCCTGACGCTTGAGGTATCTGGGTCGCAAGGGGCGAGGAAATTGTGTGCTGCAATGGTCAGCCGTCCTACTCCCCAGGCTCACTCAGTCATTGTATGAGTAACTCACGGTTCGGGGATAGTTTTTGCCATAATGAACAGGCATATTGCGGCCGCGGCTATTATCATGCTGATTGGCAAACAGCTGGCTCATGAACTCTTTGAGGGTAAAGCCTCGCTGTTGGAAGACTCCGGCCTCACGATACTGGGCGAACACGACGTCGTCGGGGGTCAATGCGGCGGCGGACCCAACGCTGATGCCCTCCTCTCCAGCAGAAACCTTCACTGACGATTAGCTTCTTTCCATACTATGTCAATATCCGCCAAACAGAATTGGGCCTCTACCATGTAAAAGCTTAACCGGCCTTGTCTCTGAGCCTCGAACATGACCACGTCCATGACGCTCACTAGCCTTTGTCAGACGCGATGTGATAATTCCAGGGCAAGAATTTCCACTGACCGGTCAACATATTCTTGTACCACTCCAAGATCTGTTCCTTCGGTATATCGAGGGGCTTGCGTGTCTTGTCAACCAACACTCCGTCGGAATCCATGACTCGATAGGTAGGGATGTTGGACACCTCGGTGGGATTGATGAACTCCATATCGTTGGTGAATTTGCTATTGACAGCTCCTGGAAATCGGACTCTAATACAAACTGTTAGCTATCGATATCCGTGGTTTTGCTAGGCGCGCAATGTTGTGGGGAGAGGGGTCATACCGATCAGATCCCGGGCGCTGTGATATTGAACTACCCCATCTGCGAGGTATCTTCGGTGCTAGCGCTAAAGAGCGATTGAATGAACGAGAAAACGAACGAGAAATGCTGAGGATCATGATGTCTCTATTCAGTGCCAGAATCATAGAATGATGCTGTGGCAGAAAAAGAGATCCTCTGGTATGCACAGGGTGCTGCGATCTATCCAGTGTCCCTGGAATTCCTGGGGAATGCGGAGAAAACGGTTGGCCTCGGGCTCGACGTCACATGGACACCGGGGATAGCCGCGATTGGGAAGTCGAGTTTGCTTTGTTTGCGCTGATAACCGAGTGATTGCAAGCACATGATCAAGAGGAAGATCTACTTATCAACGTCGGTTATTGATTCTTTCGACAACTCCCGACAATACATTCATGACACAGATAACTAAAGAAGCTTCGAAGCTGGAAATGCGTCGGCCGGGACTAGCAGTCTCCGTTTGGTGTGAGAGCTGGCTCCTTCGGCATGCCGATCCTCGGCCCGTGGTTCCGTGTGAGCCGATAGCGTTGAAGCATGGACTTTTTCAACCAGGTGGGCTCCATCGTAGCATCTCTATCAATCGTTGATATTACTCCTTTTTCTTTTCCTTTTCGTACGGAGCTTGCATGAGCGTGTGGCTGAGTTGAGGTCCCACGAACCTTGTCCAGGACAGCTCGCTCAGGTCTGACAGCCCCGCTCAGGAGCTGCGTAAAAGGCGGCTTCAAGTCTTTCCACCAGCTCTGGTGTCGCCCAAGACAATGCCTAGAGCCCCATAGCACCTTTCACTTTTGGCTAATGAGTGACATGTAGACTAAACTTCGGCTAATTATGCCATTTGACCGGCAAATATATCCAGACGAGAACGGTTGTTGCTTCATTTTGCTTGGTTGTCTCGTGTCTGCACTCAAGAGAATGACTCGTCAGTGCTGGAGATCAATCACACCGGATATAGTCGGAATGGGACCTGCAGTGAAGGCTCAGTTCAGTTCGCTAACACCTTAGACAGGCCTTAGACCATGAAGCTAATGGTGAAGCTATGGCATCTTGGATGGCGTCGCGTGTACACCGGGCTCGGACGGAGCGGCTAGTAAAGATGACTCGGCTGCGCTGGGCGGAAATATTATTAGGACCAGTGCACGAGAAGTTGGCAACAGACCAACATCTTGGGGAGTGAAGTAGAGACGTATATACAATATAAGAGTAGATCGACTTGGTGGAGCTGCAGCTCCGCTACTGGTCGTGGAAGATACCGGATTGCGTATGGTTGACGAGCAGAGGTCGTCAAGATTCCTCCTTGTGTCTGGACCGAGGTATAAGGTTGATTGCAATTACGCGCGGAGATTACCTTTTCACGACGCACCCTCGAGGAAGATGCTGGATTTGAAGCTGTAGAAAGGCTACTGGAACGGACATCTTCCCAAGTCTCTCTTTCAATAGGACTATCTATTTACTTATTACTCAGTATTTCCATACTTAATGGCAACGCTCGGTCGGCGGGTGCTGGCGAACTGCCTAATGCGGTAAGCATCGCCATTTCCCCCATCCATTCATTGATTCATCATCCCTTCTTGTCTTCTCCTCTTTCGACTTTCTACTTCTATCATCTACCATCTCCTATTCATCCTCCAGCTCTTTGCCTTATACTCGCAAAGGCACCCTCTCACTCACTCACTTTCTTCCTGTCTTTATCTACAAACCTAGACGGCTCCGACTCCCTGTTTCAACACCGGCTACTGCCGAGTGCCGCGCAGCCCGTAGCGATTGATCGACCGAACGGGCCAACCACATCCCGCACCATGGATCCGCTCGCTTCCCTCCGGCAGCTGGTTCAAACCCATCCCCTCATCGATAACCATGCTCATAACCTCCTCGATAAACCCAATGCATGCAACTACACAAAGTACGCTTTCGAGCAAATCACATCGGAGGCCCAAGGCGTTGCCTTGGAGAATGCACCCCTTACCTTACCGCTTCAACGTGCCGCTCATCAACTTGCGAGCCTCTATGATTGTCCCTCGAATGATTGGGACCGTGTAAAGGCGGCCCGCGATCAATGGGTGGAACGAGATTACGATGAACTAATTCGCCGCTGTCTCGAAGGCACGCATAGCCTTCTGCTGGATGATCTTTTGACTGAGGGGGATATCGAGCCCTTTGACTGGCATGATCGTTTCACTGCAGCCCCGACTAAGCGAATCGTACGGATTGAGGTAGTGGCCGCCCAGGTCCTCGCTTCCATCCTACCTGAAGGATATTTGGGGTCCCTAGATGACATCGTCAATTTGAAACAGAACTTCGACCAATTTCGCCAAAGCTTTCATCAAGAGATCGAGAAAGCGATTGCGGACCCTGTGGTAGTCGGGTTCAAATCTGTCATCTGCTATCGTACTGGCCTGAACGTCCAATCCGCTGATGATGAGGGAAATGAAAATTGTCTGCTTCGATCTTTTGCTCGAACAATTCAACAAGGGACTGGCTCCACTTACCGTGTTGAAGACAAGCCCTTGAATGACTGGGTCGTTCAACAGACCCTGGATCTGCTTCAGAACGCTAGAACCACGACGCCTTCTGGCCCGAATAAACCATTGCAACTCCACACCGGGCTCGGAGACAATGATATTAACTTAATCCTCTCGAATCCTGCCTACCTACAGGACCTGATTGCCAGATATTCGAAAGTGGACTTTGTCTTATTACACTCATCTTACCCCTATACCCGCGAGGCAGGTTACCTCGCTTGCGTTTACCCTAATGTCTACTTAGACCTTGGAGAAGTGTTCCCGATGGTGAGCCGAGACGCCCAGGAGTCTATAATCCGAGAAAGCCTGGAAATCGTACCGACCAACCGTCTTCTGTGGAGCACGGACGGCCACTTTTTCCCGGAGACGTTCTGGCTTGCCAACAAGCAATTCCGGGACGCACTCGAGAAGGTGAGGGCGGATATCCTATAAGATATTGACCTCATAAGCTTACCACATTTAGGTTCTTGTGGACTATGTTCGTCAAGGTGACTTTGCTATCGACCAGGCTAAAGCAGCAGCTTCGGATATACTCTTCCACAACTCGAATCGACTATACAATTTAAATGAGACCCTTTTCTACGGTGAGACGCACAAATCTGCCTCTAGGCCACTAAAAGGGTCATCAAGCGATGAATGGGAGGCCTTTGTACGGAACAATCCGGATATCAAGTATATATGGCTGCAGTTCTTCGACTATACCGCGACGCTGCGCCTACGCATTTTCCCAGTTCGGGAGTTTGCCAAGATCGTACGCAAAGAACGTCGTATAGGGGTCTGTCTGGCCACCCAGCAGATGCTCCAAAATGACACAGTTTGTCCCGAGGGCTCTACCACCGGTCAATTTTACATGAAGCCAGATCTGTCCACTCTTTCCCGCAACGTAGGGCTGGACTCCAAAAGTGCGACTGTCATGAGCTGGTGGTTTACAGAGGAGGGTGCGCCCTTGCCTGGATGCCCTAGGAGCCTTCTACGCAATGTGACTTCCCGGCTGCAGACCAACCATGAAATTCAAGTCCTGTGCGGGTTCGAAATCGAAGTTGTGTTTCTGGAATGCATCACCAATCCTGACTCAAAAGAGGAAGAATTTGTTCCGTGTGTCAGAAACCACTCCTGGTCCCAGATGACCAGGGAGACCAGACGTATGGTGCCTTTGCTCGAAGAAATTGTCGAGAACCTCGCGTCTATCGGCATTGATATCCAGCAGTTCCACGCTGAATCCGCCCCTGGTCAATTTGAATTTGTCCTTCCTCCTGAGTCACCCGTGGCTGCGGTTGACACCCTTATGAAAGCACGGCAGGTGGTGACCCAGGTCGCTGAACAACATGGTCTTCGTGCCACGCTGCATCCCCGTCCTTACCCCCACGCTGCTGGCACAGCGTCCCACGCACATCTCTCTATCAACCCACCCACCAAAGAGGATAATTTTCTTGCAGGTATTCTCCAGCACTATCCGGCCTTGATGGCCGTTGCACTTGCTGGGGATGTTAGTTATGATCGGGTTAGTTCTGGCCTGTGGGCTGGTAGCGAGTGGGTTGCTTGGGGTACGCAGAACCGTGAAACACCAATCCGGAAAATCTCCCCAGGGCATTGGGAAATCAAGACATTAGATGGGCTAGCGAATATGTACATCGCCATGTCGGCTTTCTTGGCTGCAGGCTATCTTGGAGTGGAGAACAACGAACCTTTGACGGCCTCTGATTGTCCCTGTGAGTACCCTGATTTGTGGTTTAGCTGCAAGCATCTGCCCCTGCTTTGTGTTTCATCCTTTCTGACCGAGACAGATGATGCTGCGACCTTGGATGAAGCGGACCGTCAGGTCTACGGCATCACTACTCCACTGCCGAAATCGCTGTCTCAGAGCCTTGATCATCTGGAAGCGGATTCTGCTTTGCAAAGCATACTTGGTTCGACCCTAGTCGAGAACTACATCATTGTCAAACGCGCAGAGAAGAAGACGCTGGATGCGATGGAGGAAGATGCACGGAGAAAGTGGCTGTTGGAGCGATATTAATTTTGACGTATATACCTCGCATAGCGAACCGATTTGCCCTGACGATCAATATGATTTTTTCTAGTGACATTTATTTGCTTTGTGGACTTTTGGAAGTTCCTCTGGCATATGAATGATGAATGCAGCATGTTAATGCTACTGATTCGATGAATGGATTGGTCTAATGGCATTCAATAGATGTGCCATCAAAGCTTTGATTGATGATGGCGATTTCACGGAGTGAAGGGTAATCCCCCCCTCCCCCGGTGAATGCTACAATTCCAGCAGACGACCATGATCGTATCCTTTGTCTACCTCTCTTCCTTTTCTTCCCAGCTAATCTCATCCTTTCCCAAGCTAACTCTACCAGCATCTTGCGGAAGTACAGACCCAGCTTCGTCCAGAAAATCAAGAGGATGCTTTTCCACCTCCTCCATTACCTGAGAGCACTTCCAGGAATTAATAGAATCGGCTTCCTCGGTATTCGCAGGACTCGCAGACTGGAAGCAACCTCAATTCGTGGATCTGGCCTTAGGAGGTCGGTCTACCCAAAAATAGCCAAGGAAGGATACAACATGGAGTACTTCCCTACTTAGTGGAAGGGGGGATGAGGAACAATACGGTCCTTTTGATCGCAAATGACATCCTAACTCGGCGCTGTTCTTCACTGTTTGCTTGTCTGCTGTAGCCCTCCACAGTCTATCCGAAACATGGCTGAGTAGGTGACCTGTGCCCACGATTCCCACAGGATTCTAAGACTGACATATCATCTAGAAAATTGCTCTGAGTCTGTAGCTTAAGCAACGGCTTTTTGTTGCCGAGATTCTAAGTTTCTCTACAGAGATCGAAGTTCTCACCCGCCAATCAACATATTACCAAATACCTCTTGATGGACCATTTTCGGACACAAACGGACAGAGGGTCTCAACAACTAGACTGGAGCACTCACTCTGAAGTATCCGACGGTGCGATGAGCTAGCTTTGAGGTGGCGTTGTGGAGGAATTTGTATCTTGCCTCGAGCGCTGAGCAACGTGCTCGTCAGCGGTATGCATTTGACAGGATCTTACAAGTCGTGGCCTGAATGACTGCCACTCAAAGCTAGCCGGCAGTTTCTGGCCTGAAATCTCAGCAGTCTAGGCATGGACGTGTTTGGAGAGTTGGAAACATGGGATCTCCGAGACCAACCTGGGTACACTCTGCATAGCATGATATTCGGTTTTTGGAACGAATGGATAAAGCAACACGTGAATATGTTTTCTATGCTCGCCTCACCTCTTCTGCGACAAAAGAGGTTAGTCTGCTTTTCCTCTAAGCAATCATTGTCTTGAGCAAGTCAAGCTGCGGCCGAAGGAGGTCGCGATAGGCTTTTACAGACTGCATTGCGTCGGATCACCGAACGACCATAGGTCTGACCCACACGGACTGGCTTGAGCTCTCTGTGGAGTAATTCTGAGAAGAATCCTGTTCTGTACAACGACATGCCTCCAGATTATCTTCTTTATAGGGGCCGGCAAACCAAGCCATCTTCAGCTTACATATTTACCTCCGCGAAGGTTGGATTTCTTCGGGGGCCTACAAGCCCAACTCCCGTCTCAGAGGCCCTTGGGGACGGGAGTCGCGTTGCTCCGGCTGGTAAGCTCCCCTTACCAGTGAGAAGAGGAATGAAGAGATTCGTGGTCGAGCTTCGCCGTAATGGGGCATTGGAAAAGAACTTGTTTCTCCAATACATATTTCTGGGTTTGATAATTTACTGGGCATGGTTAGCATATTGCAGCGCTTGGTTGTTCAGGCTCCTTGGCTCGGGTCCGGCGAGATGCACTGTCCACAAAGCTGCTTCTGTTAAGTTTATGTCTTTTTCATAGTATATCTTTGTGGCCACTATTGGGGCGTTATTGCCACAGTCGATGAAATTTGCGTGTTTTTTGAGGATATCTAAGACGAGCAGCTCTATTCTAAAAGAAGCAGCATCCACCTGGACCCTGGTTGATTTTTTTCAACCCATCTGGCTTGGGTACTCTTGTTTCCCTTCATGGTCCAAATAGTCGAAAGACGTATCCATGCCTATGTTTTGAGCCCACTAATTCAATGGAGCAAGTCATCCAGATAAGTTCCAGACATACAGTAACTCACGGCATGGGCCAGACTCCCTTACCGAAGGGTCTCGACCCTGCCCGTAAACCAACCCCTGAAACCAGCCCGGGACTCCACCGTCCAGACCCTGAGCCACTCCACCAGTCAAGAGCCAGACCAAAGCCAAACCACGCCGCCAAGCCCCGTATACTTTCACGCTAACAAACCTGACCCTTTTTATATCGCACGAGTCATGCCCATGCTACCTTCTTATATAAGTTCGCGCACCCCCAAACCCCAAACATCCAACCTGAATCCCATTTCAATCCACGCACTCAAACCAATCCACTCACTTCCAACCCCGACAATCCAACCCAACCCACACAACCCTACAGCCAAAGCGAAAGCAGAAAGAAAGCAATAGCAAAAAAAAAAAAAAAATGAACCTCCTCCCCCTAATCCTAACCCTCACCCTCACCCTTACCTCGCCCATCCACGCAAAGACCGACATCGGGGCCCCATGCACCTCCTCGACCACCTATGTTGACGGCATCTTCACCCGGATCTTCTACATCCCGGAAACCGGCGAACTCTGCGAACTGATCGATTGCGGTGGCGGCCGCGCGCCGCCCAAGTCTACTGTCCCCGGCTGTCCGCTGTATACCGGGACTGAGCCGGTGCCGACGCATTACTTACCTGGTTGGGGGCCTGAGGGGCGGTTGGGGGAGAGTTCGGTTTCCGCTACTGCTACGGGTGTGGCTGCGACGGGGACGGGGGCTGTCGCTTCGGATTCTGCTTCTGCTGGGACGGGTAATTTGGGGGTTTCTTCTGCGTCTTCTGCTGCTGCTACGGATGCCGCTGCGGCGGGGACGGTGACTGGATCTGCATCTGGGGCGAGCTTGATTACTGCTGCTCCGTCGGTTAGTGGTTCGGGGATTCAGGGTGCATCGGGTATGTCCGGTGCGTCGAGTGCGTCCACTGCGGCTACGACTTCAGCTGTTAAGGGGAATATGGCTCCGCGTGCGATGGGAGGTGCTGCTGCTGCTGCTGCTGGGGTGGCGGTGGTGCTGGGGGGTGCGGTTGCTCTTGTTGCCGGGGTGGCTTTTTAGGGCCCAAGCTGGTTGTAGGGTTGGATCTGGGTGTTTGGGATGATGTTTGCATATTATGCTCCTGTGTGTATATTAGTAGTTTTCTCTTTGCTGAATAATGGATATGTATATTTTGTTATCTTGTGGAAGGAGTTGGCAGCTCCAGGGTTGTACTAAATCGGGATTGAATACGAACGTCTTGTTCTCTGGAAGCGAGGGAAGGGATCGAGGGCAGGCTCTATCGGTTTTGATATACTGTTGATATTGCATGGCTCGATCTTGAACTCGAAAAGTGATGAGCGATCGTCGGCTCAGTTGCTGGCGCCAGCATGGTTGGCGTGCCATGCTCAGAGTGAGCACATACGTGTTCGACCTCCCGGCGAGAAATTAGTATAAGGATTAGCAAATGGCTGTGTTTTGAGTACCCCGCCTTCAGACCACAATGTTTGCCTCGCAAAGAAAGTGCTGGGCAGCAATGAGGGGCACTCCTTTCAACCAACCCCCCGAAGATCATTTCGTAGATAACATATAGTCATTTATAGTATTCAGAAATAAACAATAAATTATCATAACATAGACTCGCTGCAAGCCCTACCGACTTAAGCTGTATTATAAATATATTATATATGCAATGAAACATGGCCATCTCGTCAATCACGGGCAATGCCCAAGCTCAACCAGATTCGCTGAGCGACTACACCCGCTTGTGCGTACGCGAGAAAGAGGCGAGAGCATTCAGGGAGTCTGTCATAGGCCACAGCGCATAGTAGAAGCCAATGGCGCCCCCCACAAGCAGGACATAATACGCCACCGTCCAGCCCATGCCCAACTGTCCATACTCCGCGTCATCCAAGCCACCCTTCCCCTTGGCCAGGGGTGGCCCGATGGGTACTCCTGCCTCGACTCGTCCCCACAGCCGGGGCAGCCCGCACCAGTTGCAGAAGGTATGGGCGAGAATGACCGCGGGCAGAGAGCCGGTGCGCAGGTAGAGAAAGGTGGCATACCAGCCGAAGATGGTGGTGTAGCCGAACTGGAAGATGGATCGCAATAAGGCTGCGATCACCGAGGTGTCTGGATGTGTCAGGCGGAACTCGTAGAAATGATGCACATGGGCAATGCCGAAGTACAGGGGTGCCACAAATACAATGTGGCCGGAAGACACTTTCGCAAGCAAATGCAGCGGGACAATAGCGGAGCGGAACATAACTTCCTCGGTGATGGGGCCCTGATCTTCACTGTTAGCCATCCCGTCGTTCAGTGCCGTTGCAGCCACAACGTACCGCCACGTAGTTCCTCCATCCGATCCAGCTGCGCAGGGAAGCGGTGATGCGGCTACCTCGGATCCATTCTCTCCATTCCCCTTCAGCAATGCCCCGTTCGAACAATGGGCCCGCGAAGAGAATGGCTGTCAGGACCAGGCCACGGAAGATATCCGCAAAGCTGACGGGCCACCATCCCAGGAGTTTGAGCGCCTCCATCAGAGACCCGTCATCTTTGCCAATGATCAGCCAGGCGACGATGAGAGTGCTCGCAACGCATGAGAGGGTCACGCTTCGGATCCTTGCCCGGATCACTGATGGTGCATCGCGACTCAGAGTTGGAGATGGCCGGGTGGTGGCATTAACGTAGAAAGGTATCACGTATAGAAGAGTTAAGAAAACCTGAATTCATGTCTCAGTCAACGCTGACCTGATGGCCTCGAAATTTGCCCGATCGCTGCCTGCACAAACGAGTAGCAATGGCTTCCAGGTCACTTACTGAAAAGAAAGCAGCTGCCGTCGTAGAGATAGCGGGCTCATCTGTACGAAAGTTTTAGAATTAGGCCCCAGCAGCATTCTCATGGACTTACCGTAGTCTTTCGAGTAGAGAGTTCTAAGACGCGCCAGCAGATTGATCGGGGCCATAATCACCCGACTAAAGAGGGATTGTTGTTGCGGGGAGCGAGTATGCTCGGATCGGGATGAGGAAAGTTTGGTCAAGATGAAACCCAATGCAACCACGAGGTCAAAAAGCCCACATGAGAGTATGAATACAAACAAATCTCAATTGCAGTGTTTTTCTTGGGATAAGTAGGCGAACAATAGCCTGGAGATGCAAGAGAAAAGAAGAACAAAGGGAACGGAGGAAAACACGACGTCGGCTGTGAATGCCGAGTTTGACAGGCATCAAGGCATCAAGGCATAAGCGGGTCTGACAGTCACGTGATAACATACAGCACACTTGGTCACATGATATATGTCGTCATCCAAAGCAATTAAATCCACGTGATCGCGCGCGCCGATTGCCTGCGAGGTGACGTCGCGGGGATGTTCTCGAAGCACCACTCTTTCCACGCCTGATTTTGCACATCCCATCGATCCTGCATATTAGGGACTAATCGCGCGACCTTGGTCTCTATCCGCCGCTTTCGCACCGTCCAGATGTTGAGTCGTTGCGGTGGTCCTTTGCCATAACCGGGAGTTGACCCCGCAGCATGGGTGTTCATGGACTGTGGACGGTCGTGCAGCCCTGCGCAAGGCCAATCAAGTTGGAAACCCTTAATAAAAAGCGTCTGGCAGTAGATGCATCGATTTGGATCTATCAGTTCTTGAAAGCCGTTCGCGACAAAGAGGGAAACGCGCTGCGCAACTCTCACATTGTCGGTTTCTTCCGCCGGATATGCAAGCTGCTGTACTTCGGTATCAAACCGGTCTTCGTCTTCGATGGTGGAGCTCCGGTACTCAAGCGGCAGACCATCGCCAACCGAAAGAAACGACGAGAGGGTCGCCGAGAGGATGCTGTGCGAACCGCAGGAAAGCTGCTGGCAGTGCAGTTGCAGAGGTCGGCAGAAGACACAGCTGCCGCGAGCCGGAAACGCGTTGCTGACCGGGAGGAGGACGTGCCAGATAATCCAGTGTATGTCGATGATGCCTTTATGACCGACAAAGAAAAGACCCAGACACGCTCGTTCAGAAAGAAGGATGCCTACCACCTACCAGATCTACAAGTGTCCCTCGAGGAGATGGGGGCTCCTAATGATCCCCGCATCATGTCACGAGAAGAACTAGAAGAATACGCCAGGCAATTCCATCAAGGCGAGGACATCAACCTGTATGATTTCTCCAAGATAGACTTCGATAGTCCGTTTTTCGTCAGCCTTCCGGCGACGGATCGGTACAATATCCTCAATGCGGCCAGACTCCGGAGCCGCTTGCGTATGGGCTACTCGAAGGAGCAATTAGACACCATGTTTCCTGATCGTATGGCATTCTCGAAGTTTCAGATTGAACGTGTCAAGGAACGGAATGATCTTACACAACGCTTAATGAACATTAACGGCATGAACGGGGAGGAGGCGTTCTTCAATTCTGGACAGAGAATAGCTGGTGAAAGAGGAAGGGAGTATGTTCTGGTTAAGGATAACTCCATCGAGGGCGGCTGGGTCCTTGGCGTGGTGGGAAATAAGGAAGGTCAAGAGGATAGACCAATTGATGTTGACCAGTATGGCCAGCATCAGGTGGTCGCCGCGAAGGAGGAGTTTTCTGATGACAGTGATGGCGGCTTTGAAGATGTTCCTATCGAAGGCCTCAACCGACTCCCTAAGCTCCCTTTTCTGCGCGAAGGCGCATTCGACGAGTCGATCACGAACCAGATGCATGGAGTTGGAGAGAGCAGAAGAAAATCGGACAATGTGGACGATGACTCTTTGTTCGTTCGCAGCGAGCGACGCACCAGCTTTGCAAACAACAGGCACACTAATGACGACGACATGTTTCATGATCCAGAAGACCACGATGAGGAGCTCCAACGCGCCATCCAGATGTCTTTAGAATCCACGACTCACGATATCGAAGACAAGGACATGCCTGAAATCCAACTGAACCGGAGTGAAGCTCCCTTACCGCAGCCACAAGATGAATCAAAGGATTTCATGGATGAGAGTGAGGACGATTTTGACTTTGCGGCTGCTCTAGCTCAGTCTAAAAGGACACAGAAAACCGGCCCTACTACTCGCGCGAATAACCCATTCGATGGCCCTCTACCTTTCGAGTCGATGTCCCTTGTAAAACCAACCAAGGCCATTGAGGCGCAGGAGAATCACAAAGAAGAGAAAAGCCAAACTAAGGGTGAAAAAGAAGCGGGAAAAGCTAAAAAGGAGGCTTTACCTTTGCCACCATGGTTCTCAGCGACTTCTCGTGATATGCAAAATGTTGACTTTTTCACCGACAAAGCTGATGACCAGCCGGCAAGGAAAGCTCGTGATGAGAGTCCTGAATCGGGCACACTTTTCATACGAGACCAATCAGCTAATAACGAACACACTGCTGGTGGATTTGCGGACACGAAGGAAGTCATCGATATAGACTCTGGATCCGAAAGGGAAGAAAGCTTACCTGTTTCTCTGGATGCTTCGACGATACACACCACAATCACTACCGAGGAGGTTCCCAGTTTTGAAAAGCCTGTGGGATCTCCGCTATCTGCGCAGCCGCCTGATGAAATATCGAGGAATATCGAATTAAACAATCAAAATGAAACCACTCAAGTGAATGGCATTTCGGCTGACGACAATGACAAGACTAGCATTGCACAATCCGATTCCTCCCCTACCCCTGAGTTTGAGGATGTTGCCATACCGGATGCTGGCAAATTTAGTGATGCTATGTCTGGAGGACAAGATGATTTTGAGGACGTTGTGGTTACCAACGGAGATAGAGCTGATAGCGCTAAGAATGTCACAGAGAATGCACCAGTCTTTGATCTTGTTGACACAGGAGATAGCCTTGAACAAGACTTCTCTGATCCTGAAGACGAGGATCTCATGCAGCAGCTTGCAGCTGAAGGCGAAGAACATGTCCGATTTGCCGCCACACTGAACTCTGACATAAACGCCGGGAGCGCATTTGACTACGAGCAAGAGTTGAAACAGTTACGATTCCAGCAGAAGAAAGACCGCAGAGATGCGGATGAGGTGTCACAAATTATGATTACTGAGTGCCAACAGCTGCTGACGCTTTTTGGCCTGCCATATGTCACCGCGCCCATGGAGGCTGAGGCTCAGTGTGCGGAACTGGTGTCACTAGGCCTCGTTGACGGCATCATCACTGATGATAGTGATTGCTTCCTGTTCGGTGGTACACGGATCTATAAGAACATGTTCAACCAAGGCAAATATGTCGAATGCTACTTGACTTCCGATCTCGAAAAGGAATATGCCCTGCATCGTACCAAGCTGATTAGACTTGCTCATCTGTTGGGTAGTGACTATACAGAGGGCATCCCCGGGATCGGCCCGGTGACCGCATTGGAGATTCTTACGGAATTCGCCGACTTGGAAGAATTCAACGCATGGTGGACACGGGTGCAGACGGGTACCAATATGAGCGACGATGAGCACGCTGCTTTTTACAAGAAGTTCAGGAAGCAAGCCACAAAGATATTCTTGCCACCATCGTTCCCTGACCATCGGGTGGACATTGCATACCTTGAGCCTGAAGTCGACTCCGACCCTTCACCTTTCCAGTGGGGCGTGCCTGACTTGCATGGGCTACGGAATTTTCTCATGTCGACCGTTGGCTGGAGTCAAGAGCGGACGGATGAGATCCTCGTGCCTGTTATTCGTGACATGAACCGCAGGGAGCAGGAGGGTACTCAATCGAACATTACCAATTTCTTTACGGGTCCTCAAGGGGCGGGTGCATTCGCTCCTCGTGTCCGCAGTGGTGGTCAGAGTCGGATGGAGAAGGCCTTCCGTCGCCTTCAACAGCAGGCTGGTTCTGCAGCAGAGCCAGACGCTTTGGATGGAGAAGCCGCTCCTGCCACTGAGCTCTCGCCCGAGAATCAGCTCTCCTCGGCCCAGCTATCGAGCAAAGAAGCAGGCACCAAACGGGGGGCGCGCAAAGCACGTGCTGTGGATCAGGAGCCGGTGGTTGATAAGGTTGGAACCACTAAAAGGCGAAAAACGAGACGTGGGGCCAAGTAGTCTGCAATACTTCGCCGTGGATCTAGCTCAATTCTAGGGGCATGGTCAGTATCCTGGACCGAGTCCATTGAATTAGTATATAATCACGAATGTACAATAGTCTTGTTCAGTTTCTGCCTTGCTGCCTGGGCAGTATGCCTAGTTTGCAAGGCTACTTTCCTTATAGATCAACCTCCCATTGTCTCATCAACTCTCTCAAGTATCTTGCTTCCGGCATATAGGATCAAAGGGGTCGCATTCAAATCATTGAATCAAACTCCATTGGCCTTTCTGTCCCTCTTCTGCCCACCCAATCTCAATTCTGCGTGCGTATAAATAGACCATGTTTTCGTTTCATGGTCACACCATCACCATCCGCGACGATGCGATCCCGCACAGTATCAAAGTTAAATGACTGGCCTGCAGGCGACGTACGTGACCTCAGCGATGGTGCAGATGTCGTGCAAATTGACAAGAGAGGGGCAGCCGGAGCTGTACTTAGTATCCGTGGTCCACCTTCTCTACCCCTCCTCACTCTCCCCGGCCACAAGAAGGTTATATCAATAAATGAACCGACCACATATGAGTCCCAACCATAGAACACCAAGCCTCTTACTCCAGCGAGGCAATGGCAGCAGTCAAAGCTCCACAGACTATTCGAACAGAGCTGCCGATACTTAATGGCCACGATGGTGCTCATCTGCCGAAGACTGCCGTCACCCACACAATCGAAACCACCAAGCCTGACGATACTCGACGCCCGGCCTGTGAGATAGAAGAGCACCCCATTGATCAAGTCCGCCGGATCAAGGTCGGCGTCATTGGAGCAGAGCTTGCAGGAGTAACAGCGGGAGCTCTGTTCCCTGGCAGCGCGACGCATTTGAACTATCTGCGGCGGGATCCACGCTGGGAGGATTGGGAGTATACCTATACCAATCCGAGCGGGAATCGGTTCGCGTACTTTGGGAATAAGTGGACTACAAGGTAGCTCGAGAAGGACGCTGATCTGACGCCGCATTTGAGCCGGCCGGATACGATTGAGTTACAGATTTAATTGGAAGGGTGGTGGGATGCTTGAGGTGGAGCGGGGTTGTTCTTGGTTTAAGCTTTGGCTGTTTTTAGCTCTAGATGTGGGTTAGATGAGATTCTTAATCGATAGCCATTGACAATGGGCTTTAAACTGGTTTCTGCTGTGGTAGAGAAAGCGAAACAAATGTCCTTTGCTCAGGTTAAATCTAAGCAGCATATGAGGCGGAGGGCCTTGTTTTCTGATAGATACCGGTCCTGATACACACTCCCAGGGCACAGTGCACTTAGTCTCTTGTGCCGATCTGCCCCGTAATCTTGCTGATACTCTCGAAGAATTTTCGGACGGTGCGACCTGTCTTAGAAATTCTAAGAGCAGTGTAATCTGGGTGGATGATGATATAGGCGTAGTGTGCCCATTGGTCAACATGCGGCTTCTGATTCCGGACAGGAGTGGGGATTGATAACTCCCTCGTACGAGCCAAGTAGCTTTCAGACTCTGCTGAGCGAAAGCCACTCAAAACAAGCCAAACAACGAGGATGCCAGGCAAGGCGTACATATAAGCAAAATGCCACATGTCCGATCCAACAGTTGAGATAGTGCATAGACTCTGATTCAACGGGTAACAACGTTGATGTTGTGCGAGCGGCCATACGCGACCGCTTCATACAAGACGTGCTCGCAGTGAGCCACATTAAGGTACTTGAGACGTGGTAGATTGTCCGCGGGGCGCGCGTCTGCGAACATCTTGACCAGGCGACCGGTGACATCCGTGACTGAGACGTCTAATGCGTACAGATTGGGGAGATGCTGGACCAGCGCCCTTACGCTCATGTCGGTGACTCCTCGTAGAGCGCAGATTCCCAGCTCGGTTAGATCTATGGGGTGTTCGGTTAGGAGGTGCTCGAGCTGCGCGTAATCGAGTCTCGGGCAACTGGCCACTATGAGCTTTCGTAGTGGTGCCTCTGTTGTGACGATGAATGTGTGAAGTGTGGTACGCGTAACCCAGCTGAGATCACGGAGGAGGAGGGTGTGTAGGTGGCGGAGGTGGGGGGATCGTCTGAAGGGAAAAGGGAACTCTTGTTCACCAGGGCATGAGCCCGCTTGGATGCTGAGGTGCTCGAGGGTGGAAGGTAGTGCGAAACCGCCGATAAAAACGCCTTTCAGCTCTAGTTTTCGTAGACGGGGGAACTGGTTGGGGTCGAATGACAGCTCGTAAGGTGACCAGACTTTAGGGTAGGAGTCAATTCGCAGTTCTTCCAAGTTGGGCATCACGCAAGGTTGCGACTCCTGGCAAGGTTAGCTAAGGTGCATGATTGGTAGACGAGCAAGGGGAGAGTTTGTGATGAAGGAGATGATAGGGAGCATACTGTGACAGGAGGAAGATAGAGAGCGTTTACACGGCCTGGTGGCTGCACGGCCGCTTCTTCGGTAGAGAGGGTGACTTTCCGCATATTCGGGAGGTGTGACGGCCACTGAACTTTGGTCTCGGCCGAGGGCTGCGCATTATGAACTTCAAGGTGCTCGAGGTTGGGTAAATTCGACAAGAACTTGGCGATATTTTCTTGTGAAACGGGTGTTCCTTTCGCAATAACGAGAGATCTCAGTTGTTTGCAGCCTTCAAACTGGTTGTACAGCCCTTCGTGGCGCCGGATAGGATCTCCAATCTCCAAGCTTTCCAATTTTGGGCATCTACTCAAATATACAAGCACCTTGTCCTGGGATTGACTTGCTATATTGCTTATCGTGGCGTGGGTAAGCATGGCACCAGAGCGCTGAATGTATGTTCTGATAGAGCGCCAGGATGCTTTGCGACGGGCTTCGCTAAGGTCGAGACGCATCCACAAGTCTCGCATCGACAAGAAGCTCTGCCATCCTTTAGATACGCGAGTATAAGTTCTTGAAACGCGCATTGTCAGTGATAAACAATGACAATTCGTCGAACTGTACTGCACTTACACAATTTCGCGGAACGAAAGGTGTCGGAGAACCATCATGGCTATTTCGAGCGGCAGGACACTGAAAGGATCCAGACGCTTGACTGAAGCTGCATCACGCACTTTGCAGAACATTTGAAGGACAAACTAAGATACTAAGTATACAATGTCATCCAGTGGTTTGCATGGCAGGGTACTGACCTTGCGACGTGGATTGTCGTTAGGCAGGGTCTTGAGACCGTATCCGTACGCCTTAAGAGCCTTGACACGATCTCCGGTCAAGAGTAACACTTGACCATAACGCAAAATACCCTAAAAGAGTCAAGTCTTAGCAGAGTAGCTGAAACGTCAACGAGGTAAGAAGCCAGCCATACTCGTCCGTCCTTGGTATCTTTTCGAACCATGTTTCGGGAATCGATAAGGGCCCGATCATATCGGGCAAGCTTGATGTAGGTAGCCGCTCGATTATCAAGTATGCTCATCACATCAGCGTCTTTACAGGAGAGAGCCTATGGAGCCATCTCTGTCAGCGTCTTGTCTTATCAGTCACGGTGGAGCAGAGTTACCTCGGTGAAAGCATCGAGCGCGCCTTGGTAATTACCCTGTTTGAAGAGCAATTCTCCTCGCTGTTGCAGGGAGCCTCCCTCGCCGCGAATGACCCGTGCCATTATGGCCAAGCGTATGGGACAACATAGACAGCCCAATTGGGGAAAAGTTGAAGAAACGCGTGAGAGACGCGCGCGATAAGGAATTCGATCATGATAGATAAGAGTCGAGAATTGCCGATAAGGAGGCTGAGGTAAGCAGGCTGCGGCAATGGCTGCCGTCGATTGCCGGAGAAGCCCGGGCAGTGTTTACCTTCTTCCTGTTTGGGGTTTCCGTCCGCAACTGAAAAATAACAGTCGGGCGAGAAAGACGATCGATCAATTCAGCTTCTTCCATAGCAGTCGTTCTGCATATGCGCTTGCTTGTCACCAAGCTTGCAGGCAAGCCATGGAGCCACAGAATCTGCAGGCTGCATCGACCTACATCAACAATTTACTATTGGCCAGGGGTTTGTTGAAAAGCGGTCACCCCATCGAATTCGCCAATCCCGAGGATGAAAATGGAGGCTCAGCAGCCACCATGGGCAGGATCATTAACTTGGTCAATGATCTGGTCTTGCGGAGAGACGTATGTGATTGCGTCTTTTATCTCTGATGACATATCGGTTGACATTGAAACAGCGCGAAGCCGAGCACCGAGAGAGCCTCGCGACCACGATAAGGACGCTGCGAGCGGAGGAATCGCAGAAGACTGCGGAGTTGGTGCGCGATGATTGCTCAGTAGCCTTCGCAAAGGTCTTGCGCTGACAATACAATTAGGAAAAATTCCAAACGAGAACATCCGAACTCACTCGATCTCTGGCCCTGGCCGAAGCGCAAGAACGGTCCTTGAAAGCCAACCTTTCAGGGGCTGAGACGACTATCCGAGGATTGAAAGACCAAGTACAGCGAATGAGGGCCACTATTCAGCAGGTCAGAGCTCAATGCGCCAACGACATCCGCAAGCGCGACGCCGAAATGCAGAAGCTCAAGATGCACTTGACAGAACGCCAAAGGGGAAGGAGGGATGGTCTGACGGTCACAACCATCAACATTAACCCGGCTACTGGTCAGCGTCCGCGACCAAGATCTATCGCAGGGGGTGAAGGCCTTAGCAATCCTGGTTATAGCTTGAAGCAAGAGACGAATGACTTCCTGACGGAGCTCTGCCAAAACCTAAGCGACGAAAACGACACCCTAATCAACCTCGCGCGCAATACAGTTGAGACTCTTAAAGAGCTTCAAGGATTATCGTCTTCTGATGAGGAGGAAGCTAAATTCACCGGCGTCATGAGCGTGGGGGCTCCGAAATTGTCCCACGGGTCGGTAACTAGTCTTCCGGCCACTTGTGATGAACTTTCGGATCAGATGGATCGTGTACTCGATCATCTCAGGACTTTGCTCACCAACCCTTCGTTTGTGCCGCTTGAGGAAGTCGAAGTGCGTGACGAAGAGATAAAACGTCTCCGCGAGGGCTGGGAGAAGATGGAGGGCAGATGGAGCCAGGCGTTGACAATGATGGATGGCTGGCACAAGCGCATCGCTGACGGAGGACACTCGGTGCAGGCAGAAGAGCTTCGTCGAGGAATGGACCTCAACTTTCGCCTGGATGCAACTCAGAAGTTAGCAGGAGACAGTGATCAGGACGAGGCCATGCGGTCACCTATCTTTGAGGATCGTCACGTTGAGAAAGAAGAGCAGACAATCGCGCAACCTATCTCCGACAAGACAAATCGCCCCCTACCTGACAGAAAAATCAAACCACCGTCTGGCGAAATAAAGGTAAAGAAGAACAGTAAGGCCTTGAAGGAGAAAAGCGACAATATCATGGCAGGGCGCTCCCCTAGGAAAGTTTCATTTACAAAGGGGCTCCAGAACTCTCCCGGCGCTGCCACGCCCGCTGAAGACGAAACGTTGCAGGTGAAAGCTCACCGCTCGGAAATGGTTACGCGTAGAACATCCAAGAAGAAGGCAGAGCCTAAGGCTGCTCCTCACCAAGTACGTTGAATCGCTTTTCGCGATTGGGGGCGTCATGCTAACCTCAAAACAGAGTCCAAATCCACCGCGGATGAGTGTACCGCAGAAGCTGGAAGCAGTAGAAAACGAGGCTCGGGCTGCCGAGCAAACACGCAAAGAAAACGAGAGCCGCAAGCGAGGACGGAATCTCAAGGGGTCCAGCAAAGGGCAGCGAGACCGACGTAGAAGTACCCTCACCAGTGACGAGCTTGGCGAGCTGATGGGAATGTCTTCGAGATAAACTTACGGCTTACTACATGTCTGATGATGAACCTGTTCGATACCCCTGTCTAAGTGTCTAAGTATATATTATTCTCTGTCTACTGTTGCAGCACAGTCCTCCAAGACGACGCAATCATGACCTGATGGCTATTCTTACTCCTTTCATAGCGTTGGTGCAGTACATCTGGATAATATTAATTGATCTAATGACACTTCAATGATCTCAGAATGCTTCACGTCCTCACCACTCGTCCTAGCCCAAGGAATCCAATTCCGTATCACGGCTGCTCTTGCTTTCGCTGCTTTCGCTGCTGCAGCTACTGTTTCTCAACTCGTGAGTCAATTCGACTGACTCTCCATCGCGGCCCATCCTTGAGCGCTCCACGGCAAGGCCACACACTCTTGTTATATGGCCATGGAACATAATTCCGAACTCATCACACCTGGGTGAAACATCAGGCGATGCAACCCTGAACGACCCATAGAGCACCACCTGGAAAGCTCCAGACGAGCTCTATTAAGCTTTTTGCTTCAGGCAGCGAGATGGAAATCAATTCCACGCGATGCATGACGTCTTTCCTGCCTCGTCGGATCTTGCAAACTGCCCATATCTTTAAAAAACCACGGCGTAGCGAAAGTGAATCCAGCACAATGTAATACACCACAGGCGAGCCTCAGTTAGTAGACATGCAAAGGCTTGAATCTCATTCCTGCAGTCAAGGTGCCTCCATAGGGCTCAGTTTGAGTCAATCGACCCGCTAAGAGGGTTCAATTGTCGAAGGCACTGTCTGAAGTTTCTCTTTCGAACAAGATGAATCTTTTTTCAAGCACGTAGAGGGCTCTGCTTCCCAGGATAAGTTGGTGTTGTTGTCCTGCGATATTCAAGGGTAGCCATCCATGCTGGAACGTTCCTGCCCGTATTGTTACCATACGGGCTCGCTCGCCCTCTGGCACCGGCCCTCTTGGTCTGAGTTTCACCACCTCAATTCCGATATATCAATTTCCTGGACCATAGTTAGCCCTTCGAGTCATCGCAAGTTCTTGGGACAGACTTACCGAATGTTGAAGGCACCGCTGGTGAGTAATGAGTCCCCCCCCAAGCCAGCATAAAAAGCGGTGCCCACTCTCGCACACCTTCTTCTTCCTCTCTCTCTCTCTTCCTTCCTCTTTTTCTCTCACCCATCCTCATTGTCGTGTCACTATCATCTTTAGTCACATTGCTATATTGCTAGCCACGAAGTTATACTTACTCCATCTGCTCTTATATCCTTCGAACATTCACCTCTTCTCCAAACAGCCGCCTCTTCTCTTCACATCCTCCTCTTCTACCGCCAAGCTGCTTCGAGAAACGACTCCGGTCCTTGGTGAAGAAATGTCGCCAACGAAGGGCGAAATGAGAAGCTCTGGCGGGGGCTCTTCCTCTCCTGCTTCCGATCAGCCAGCCAGCCAGCCAGCTGGACAGCCAGCAAGAGAGCCGGAAGTTCAGCCCGAGAGACAGCCAGCCAGCATGCCTGCCCATCAAGCTCCAAGCTGGGGGCCAGGCTACTGGGGCCAGCCGGGTCAGGGTCGCTGGCAGCCAGGGCCGGGTTACTGGCGGCCAGCACAAGTGGCAGTCCCGTCCACATGGCCGGGATATCACTGGGTACATCGCCCCATGGGTGAGCCCGCGCCAGTCATGGCTTCTTTTCCTCCTCGGCGTCCTGCTGCAACTGGCATTGGCATCACAGATGACAATTCTCAGGAGCGTCTCCCAAAGGAGAATACTCTTTTTGTGGGGAAGTAAGTAGCACATTCTTTCTCTTATTCACTTACTTGATCATCCACTTGGTCATCCACCTCTCTTGATGCATTCAACATACTAACTTCTCTCCAGCCTGAAGGACAACGTGGATCAAGGGCAGTTGATCCGCGACTTGAAGGCGGTCTTCCAGCAATGGTCGATCGTCTGGGTTAAGGTCCGGATGGACAAGAAGGCGCGCAGGGGGAGGAAGCAGGGACTCAGCGCGGCCTTCATCACGTTCCCGGTACGTCGATAGAACCCCTCCTGTGTCTGGCATTAGCATTCGTTCGAAGATTGCTTCGTGACTGGATAGACTTACTGACATGACATCGTTGCAGACTGCCGTGCTCGCACAGGAGTTCCTGAAGGGCGGGAGGAAGCTCGACCTGTATGGTCGGGCTCTACGACTTGAGCCGGTCAAGTCGGATAGTAAGTTACCTTCCTTCCTTCCTTCCTTTTTCTCTTGTCCTTCTCTCTTCTCGATCTTGCAACAACAGTCCAACTAACCTGCCACGAATCTGCAGATCACCACCCGGCCGCGCCCAGCACCACGAGGAGCAACATCACGTTCACCCCGAACGTGGTCCAGGCTCCCAACGCCGAGGTATATCGGGCGCTTCTGGAGGCTGGCATAGCCGAGAGGATGAGGGAGGCGGAGGGACGTCGTTCTCGCGTCCCGAGAAATGGATCGGAAGGATCTCAGTAAGCCACATATAGTGGCTTGCTTGGGTATGTTTATCTCGTTTTCATGTCAGCTTCTCAGTTTTGCTTGGTTCTAACATTCGTCTATAGGTCCTTCCGATCCATCCGAATGTTTACTTGTTGGAGTTTTGGCGTTTGGGCTTTTGGGCTTTTGGGTTTTATGATATTTTTGCATTGAAGTTTTGCATTTTGGTTTGAACTTTTTGTTTAATATACCCTTTGCTTGTTGGTATGGACGCCTCTCAGGAAAAGTTCTGCCATGTCTCTGTTTGGAGTCTGGCGTTTGTGAGCGACTTGGTTTGTCTCATTTTGCTATGAAATTCTTCTGAGTTGTTTTACTACTGTGCCGGCGTTGATTGCAGTAGACCTTTCCATCCGTAAACCGGCGTATCATACTGGTAGAGAAAAAGAAGGTAGGGCGTAGACAGTGAAAAGAAAAAGGCCACGATAAATCAAAATGAACTTTTTTTGCCTCGAGTCAGATAAGGCGGGAAAATTCCGAACATATGAAATCAGGATTAGGTTGGCTCAGCGCTGGTCCCGAGTAATATAAAGTAGTAGTTATGTACATTGGTGGCAACCCCAGGATTAGGGATTCATCCTGTATGTACCACACACTCACCATGACGATTATACACTCTACACTAGAGTCCCCATAACTAGTAACATCCACCACCAACCATCTCACTCAACAATTTGAAATACGCCGGCCCATTTTAGATCTCCATGATCCTCGCTCTCTGAACCAACTGCCTCAATTCCTCGCCGACGCGCAGGACCGAACCCGACACGATCATACTAGATCCAGGCCGAAACATCGTTCTCACGCAGTGATCACGCCTGACACCGAGACCGCTGAGCACGAGACGGGAGAGATCAAGACACTCGCGCCACGCGCAGCCGAGCACATCCTCCCAGGAGCCGGAGCGCGCATCCAGCACGACATCCCTAAGCTCGAGGGTCTCCAGGCCCCTTTCCGCCATGTTGAGGAGACATCTCTGCAGAATCCCGACGGTGACCTCTACCTTACGGACATCGAACACGCGAATCCTCTGCGACGCGAGCTGCGCCGTCGACAGCGCCTCGAGGATATTCCCCGTGGGGCGCACGCGCCGGGCACCCACCACCCTCAACTCCTCGAGCGCCGGCGTGCACTCCAGCAGCTCCCAGACAATAGACGTACCGCGGAACTCACGAAAATAGTCATCATGCAGATGTAGCTTGCGCAGCTTGCCCAGACACTCCGGATGCAGCGCCGGAACGGTCAAGTTGGGCAGCTGCATGATCTGTCGCTGGATGGTGGTGGGCTGCTCGATGATACCGCTTCCACTGCCTATACTGCTGCTGCGACTATGACTGCGACTCCGACCCCCGCTACAGCTCCCACCACCACCACCACCACCACGACGAACCCGATGCAAATGCGTCATGATCTTCAGACTCCGCAGCGGGATCCTCGCAGCATTAAACACGTCAAACATAACGCGCACGACATCACCGGAATGGATGCAGTCGATAGGCCCCGCCGGCGAGTCAAGGTAGAAGGCGAAGTCGCGGCAGCGGGTGAGCGCGCCCTCGAGATCATCGCGCAGGATCCGGATCTCGCGGAGCGCCAGCGGGTCTTCGATCTCGCTGGAGATGGCGGCCCGGTTGAAGGGGGTGTTCGGCCCGGTGAACGGATACCGGATCGCGAGTCTTTTGACGAGCTGCGCCAGCGGGTTGCCTCTGGGTCGGCAGAGATCGTAGTGGATGCGCCAGATGCTGTCGTACGAGAGGTTCGTCTCGATCGTCTCCAGGCTGCGCGCGAAGAGCGCCCACGTCAGTGGCTCCACTAGGTACTTCACCTCGTGCGAGGTCAGTCGGAGCGCTAGCAGGCTTTGGTCGTCCAGGTGTTTGGCGATTTGTAGGAATTGTGCGTGCGGCACGCACTCGAAGTGAGAAAAATGCATGGCTGGCTTACGTTGGGGGGGGGGGGGTTCCTCTGGGGGATTGGGGAATTGGGGGATGGGGTTGAAAAGACGGCGGTTTCAGGCAACGAGTAGCATTATCACTTACTACTGTTTCTGGAATTGGAAATTCGACGTTCCTATATAAATGGGAATAAGGGTTGTTGTACTGATTATAAGTACTACGTATCTCGTTGAGAGACTTCCTTTTGCTGTGGTCTTCTCACCAGGATCGGTAGTCAACAGCGGACATCTTCCTGCTAACTGGTTGCGCTCTTTATCTGTGGTTGTCTGTTGCATTTTCAGGTCTAAGAGCAGCTTGATAAGAAGACTTGGGTAGCTTGAACAAAGGGCATTCAAGGAAGCTTGGTTCTAAGTTTGGGAAAGAACAATGGACGGTAACTCCGGCTTTATTCAACAATACTTCGAACAATTGAAGAGACAATGAGTCCCAGGTCAAGCTTCCAACCCAGACAAAGGAACCGTACATCATAGGTATGTCACACGATTGTAGGTTGCAACATTACATTGGGTTCTTAGAGACTCCAGCTAGTATAAGCTATGAAGTAAATATGAGGTCGAGCCGGCAAAAACAACAACAATTGGTTTCACTCATTCCCAAGTGAAATTCAAGTAGTAAACCCCAAACAAGGCTGGTAGTAGAACAAATCTGCAATTGCTCGACGGGATAATGCATAGAGCACTCTGAATGATAATTCCAGGAATGTTCTAATTATGCTTAGGAGGGGAGTTTTATATAACCTCTAAGAATCTATATTGTTGCCTTCCACTAGCCTAAAGCGTTGCCTCCACCTCATCCAAGACAGTGACCTTGATACTTCCGTTGCGCGGATCAGCACAGAGCTCGAGCGCATCCATAGCTCTCTCCAATGGAAATGTATGCGACACCAGCTTTTTCAGATCCAGGATTCCTCCGCTGAGACAAGCAATAGCAGGTGGCCAAGTATCACGATACCGATTGATGAAACGCAGATCAATCTATGCAACAACAATAATCATTAGCGATGACTTAAGAACATAATTTCTAGTTCTAAGACCTACCTCGGCCAAGGAGATATGCATGAATGGAAGGTTATTCATGACCGATTTACCCACTCCGATGACAACCACAGCGCCGCCCCTCCGAGCTGTAAACGCTGCCGTGCACACGCTACTTTCTACGCCCGTGCATTCAAGAACTGTTTCAGGAGCATTGTACTCGTTTGGTCCGAACAATGCTCTGATCAACTTGGCGTTCCCTTCCGCGTCTAAGGATCTGCTCACTTGGTATGTGATGCAGCTGGGGACGAAATCTCTCGCAAACGCGAGTCGCTTGGGCTCAATATCTGTTATGACGATCGGGTGGGCACCAGAAGCACGAGCCGCGGCCAGAGCGATTAGTCCAATGGGGCCTGCTCCACAAACAACTACTCTGCGACCGAGCTGGAGGCGTGCGACTTGAATACCACGCATGACGACTGAAAGGGGCTCAAGGAGGGCACCTTCCGTATAAGAAATGTTGTCCGGAATTCTAGACATTTCCGTAAGTGCAAGCTCCGGAGGAGGTCAGGCAAACATACTTGTGAAGCCATTTGGCTGGGTGCACTTTATAACGTTGGAGAGTCCCAGCATACGGGTAGACTCCTGCGAACTGAACACCTTGGCAAAGATTATACCGACCATCGTCACAGAGGAAGCATTTTTCGCATGGAACTCCTGGCTCTACAGCCACGCGATCACCTAAGAAGACACTTAATGAGCATCTTATTTTGAGCATGACCTACAATCGGCGCCGCCCATTGATTCACTTTACTCACCAGGCTGAAAATCTGTGACATCTTCTCCACACTTCAATACAACTCCTGCTGCTTCATGGCCGATCACGCAGTCCCCTTGAAACACCAGCTCTCCGATCCTTCCAGTTTTCCAGAAATGTATATCAGATCTGGATGCAACGCGTCAGAAAGGGCAGTGGGTTTTGCAATAGCTCTATTTGCATACCCGCAAATGCCGGTGGCCTTGATATGGAGGAGGACATCGCCTCGTTGTGGGGCATAGACCGGAGCTGGGACGAATTTCAGCTTGTGATCTGCGGTAACCTGGAGGGACGGATTCGGGAATGGCGGAGAGAGGATCGATGGATCCGCAGTCGCCGATTTAGCGCATGGGACAGCAGAAGGCGTGGACTGAGAGAGCTGGAAAGACGGAGACATGTTGGCTGGTATGATGAGGTTGCTGAGATCACCTCAAGACACTTTGCGAGGGTCCGCGGGAGTTTATCAGACGCATCGCTGGTAAAAACAGAGGAGAACTGCCCTCGTCAATGGGAAGAATAAGGATTATTGCAAGGCAATCAGAGCCACAAATAACCGTGAAGAAAGAATTGATTGGAGAATGGCCGCATTGTTGAGCTTGGACCAAGGGTGAACTGACCCCGCAGTGACTGTTCTCATAGCGGGGGTGGGCTCGACTTTCCCCGCTGAGTTATCGGCGCTACCACTTGCCCGATCGGGTAATGTGCATAAAGCTGCCGCATAGGAATAGTTCTCGTTCATGCTCCTGATGATGGATGGATCTCTGCAAATCTTCCCATCTCCTAGTCAAGCAAGCAAAACCGCATTGTTTCCCCACGTTATCTTCCAGAGTGGAATAGTCTCGAGTTTTATAAAGATCCCCTGTCTTCCTTCACAATGGATTTCCACCAGAATCAAACATTGTCACCATGGCTGTCGGTCTCGATCACTCGCTCGTCAACGGTGCCTCCGCCTTGCCGCTGGTGCGCCAACTGGCCAAAGACCATGACCAAGTCTTGAAGACATTCCGCCTTCTCATTGCTGACCTATGCCAGCAGTTTGGTGGAGGCCATCCTGGGTAAGATACTTGTCACCAGAAACAGACTTGAGTCGAAGGAACTAACCAAAGCAGTGGAGCGATTGGAATGGCTGCCATTGGAGTCGCACTCTGGCGCTATGTTATGCGATACGCCTCCCATTCTCCCGACTACTTCAACCGCGACCGTTTCGTTCTCTCCAACGGCCACACCTGCCTGTTCCAGTACACATTCCTGCACCTGACCGGATACAAGGCTATGACTTTCGATCAGCTCAAATCGTATCACTCCGACCGCGTCGATGCACTGTGCCCCGGGCACCCTGAGATTGAGCATGAGGGTGTCGAGGTAACCACAGGACCCCTGGGTCAAGGTGTCGCGAATGCCGTGGGTCTGGCCATGGCGACCAAGAATCTGGCTGCTAAATTCAATCGTCCCAGCTATGACGTTGTCTCGAACCACACTTGGTGCATGATTGGCGATGCCTGCCTCCAGGAGGGTGTCGGGCTCGAGGCCATCTCTTTTGCTGGACATCTGAAACTCAACAACTTGACCATCATCTATGATAACAACCAGATCACCTGCGATGGCTCAGTCGACTTGACCAACACGGAGGACGTTAATACAAAAATGCGCGCTTGTGGCTGGGACGTAATTGACGTGGAGGATGGCTGCTATGATGTCGAGGGTCTCGTCCAAGCACTCGAGCGCGCTCGAGCATCTCAAGAGAAGCCCACCTTCATCAATGTGCGAACGGTCATTGGCCTGGGTAGCAAGGTCGCAGGAATGGCTGCCGCTCACGGTGCTGCCTTCGGATTCCCTGACATCGCCGACATGAAGAGGAGCTATGGGTTTAATCCAGAAGAGACGTTCGTCATTGGTGACGAAGTTCGCAGTTTTTTCCATGACCTCCCGGCGCGGGGAGAATCTCTCGTTCAAAATTGGAACACCTTGGTCAAGCGGTATAACGCAGAGTACCCGGAGCTTGGCGCAGAGTTCCAGCGCCGTATGCGCGGAGAGCTTCCCTCCACCTGGAAGGACTTGATCCCTTCCAGTTTTCCAGAAAAGCCCACAGCTTCGAGGGCGTCTTCTGGTCTGGTTTTCAATCCTATCGCCAAGGAGATTGAGAACTTCATGGTCGGAACTGCTGACCTCTCTCCGTCGGTGAACATGATCTGGCCAGGGAAGGTAGACTTCCAGCATGTGAGTACTATCCAGTCCACTTGAGTGAATTACACTGACCATCTTTAGCCCGCATTGAAAACCACATGCGGCATCAATGGCAACTACTCCGGCCGATACATCCATTATGGCGTTCGTGAGCATGCGATGTGTGCCATTTCCAATGGTATGGCTGCGTTTGCTCCCAATACCTTCATCCCCATCACTTCGTCCTTCTTTATGTTCTACCTCTATGCCGCACCTGCTGTCCGAATGGGTGCCCTCCAGCACCTGCAAGTCATCCATGCGGCCACTCACGACTCGATCGGCATGGGTGAAGACGGTCCCACACATCAACCCATTGAACTTGCGGCTCTGTACCGTGCCATGCCGAATCTTTTGTACATCCGTCCCGGTGACAGTGAAGAGGCGGCAGGTGCGTGGATCGCGGCCATTGAAGCCAAGAAGACCTCGACGATCATCTCCACATCCCGCCATGCCATTCCTCAACTAAAGCAGACCCGTCGCGATGGCGTCGCCCGTGGTGCCTATGTCCTAGAAGAGGCCCAAGATGCTGCAGTGACGTTGATCGGAGTTGGAGCGGAGCTCTCCTTCGCGCTCGAGGTTGCTCAACATCTGAAGGAGACTCAGGGTATCGTAGCGCGGGTGATCAGCTTTCCCTGTCAGCGACTGTTCGAGCAACAGCGCCTTGAATACAAGCGAGAGGTTCTGCGGAGACACCAAAATATCCCGGCCGTCGTGATCGAGCCGTATGTTCCAAACGGCTGGGAGCGATATGCCGACGCAGGTATCTCTGTCCGCCGGTTCGGTCACAGCTTGCCGGGCAAAGCGGCGTACAAGTTCTTTGGCTACGAGACCGGGGTGCTGTCGGCTAAGGTCAGCGACTATCTCGGTCGTCTGAAGAAGGGCGAAGCACTCAGAGGTGAATTTGTTGATCTGTAAATAATGAATAAAATAATGCCATCTCGATCATCTGTTGAATTGGTCGCAATCGAGTATTTGCAAGGGCTAAGTATGATCCGGCGTGATCAATCTTGTGGAGCGTTCGGCGTTCGCCAAGGACAACTGTATGAACCAAGCACTAATACCGTGGCTATCGGAAGTCAACGCCAACTCGCCCGTCTAATAAATAAGCCTATACAATGCGCGCATTCTCAAATAACTCACAAGGATGAAGACAATACACACTAAGCCCCTCTGAGCCCAATAACCTTGCCGCGTGTGACCACGACCATCTCGCATATGCAGTCGATTTGAGAATATCATTGAATTTACTTCTCCACAAGTCGACCAGGGCGTACACGCGCTCGCGAACGCAAGAGGAAGTAGAAGAAGTGGCCAACCGACGCAGTTTCTCGGTCGAAAATCAAGACAGGGGCTCCGAAACACGGTGATATTGTTCTTTCGCCCCGCAAGAGGAACAATATGATCTGGCCAAGCCACGAATCACAGTTTGTGCGTCAGGTGTCAGAAGTGAAACATGCAATTAGACACCGTGTATCACGCGAGCCCGCGGTATCGTATCTCCCCCAAGTCCATGTCGAAACTGCTTCTAGTCCAGGGTAGCCAGCCTATTCTCGGCCGTCAACTGGGGGGCTGCGGTGAAAAAGGGGCGATTTGGGTCCAATAGCCTGGAGTTGAACGTGGTGGTTGTTGCATCGAGAATGACCATGTGAGTGGTATTCATTGGTTGGACGTGCTTATGAGGTAAAGCGGATGTCTGAGACAAAGTCGATAGTGGATGGTCTGGACCTGTGCTGGTGACTCTCAGGTACAGGAAATGTGAAGGGTCAAGACTGAAGGTGCGGACAGATGGCAGGTGCGCTCGTCTCTCACATGGTTGTGTCTGTTCTCTTGTATTGTACTTAACCAGCCAGATCGGTCACTCTTCATCCACCTCAGATTGTCAACAAGAACCTGCAGGTATGGCTTTGGTGCATCTTGTCTGTCTCGGGCTCCTGGGATGCAGTGTCAGTGCATCATCGATTTCACTCCAGAATCCAGTGCATACCTCAAGGGAAGGTATCACATATGAGCTGGGAGACGTAACCTACTTTGCCAACTCAGAGCATCCACAGGCGACAGGGAAGATAGGAAAGTCCAAAGGGGGTGATGCAGCTGATCTCAGTGCATACACTCCGATGACTGTGGTTGTCGCCAACCAGAGTATCGTCACGGGTGGTTTCTTGAAGGAGACAATTGACGCCTATCTGGCTGGAGATGATGTTTTCTCTGCAGGGTTTCTGGTCTCGCTCTATATCACTTCTACCTCTTTCGTTCGACCCGCCTCCATCGACAAGTCGTCACTAGAATACCTTGCCCAGATCGGGGTCGACCAGCTCTTTATCGACTCAGCTGTCTTCCGCAGAGTTCCTAATCATGCTGTCTCGGTACGCATGAACGACCAAGAAGCTCTACAGCCCGGGCCATATACCGCTCGACTCGTTGGAACGACAATTCACCTCCTCGACACCTATCGGCTATACGTGGACGAGTATCGCAACTTCATCACGGGCAGTTATCCTTCCAATGATGGCTTGAACACCTACGCACCGCTGCAGTCAATGGACTCTCGAACCTGGGCACCAATGATACCAGTTTCCAGTCGCATTCAGTTCTGGAACGACCCACGTCCTCTGGCTGGAAAACGGGTCGCCATCAAAGACCTGTTCGACATCAAAGGCCTACAAACCTCCGCCGGCAGCCAAGCGTGGATTCACACGCACGCCATTGCCGACTCGACAGCGCCGGCCATCCAACGACTGATCGACTTGGGCGCAGTGCTCGTGGGCAAATACAAGCTGGCCCAGTTCGCCTCAAGCGCGAGCCCCTGGGACTGGACCGACGGCCAACTCCCCTTCAACCCCCGAGGTGACGGGTATCTGACCTGCGCCAGCTCATCCTCCGGAGGCGGCTGCTCTATCGCAGCGTACCCCTGGCTCGACCATGCCATCGGCACGGACACGGGCTCCTCGATGCGCCGGCCGGCAGCCGTATCTGGCACCTACGGCAACCGTCCGAGCCAGGGCATGTTGTCTCTCGAGGGCGCCGTGCCCCTCAGCTGGGCGGGCGACACCGTCGGCGTGTTCGGGCGTGATCCGCGCTCATGGTCCCAGTTCGCGAAGTCTTGGTATCGCAGCGACCCCGAGCTGCATCAGGACGCCTCTATCACCGGCCTGCCTCCCCTCTTCTTCCCAGACACCCTTACCTCCTTCCCATCCCGCATCCTCTACCCAGACGAATACTTCCCCATGCGCAACCCGGCAGCACAAGACCTGCTCACCTCCCACCTCACCAGACTAACCACCGCCTTCAACATGACAATCACCCACCTCAACCTCAGCGACACCATCACAACCGCATCCATCTTCCCCGACACGACCGACAACTGGGCCCGGCTCGCAAACAACACCATCGTCCTCAACACCTGGCCACAGTACCACGACGTGGCGCAGCCCCTGATAACAGCCTGGGCCGAGCAGCACGACGGTCGCTTTCCGCCGGTCGACAAAGGCCAACGCTACCTCTGGGCCCATCTCGACCCGGACGTCACAAACGCAGAGAACTACGCCGCAGCCGTGCAAAGCCGCGCCACAAGCATCGAGTGGTTCGAGCGCGAGGTCCTCCCATTCGACGAGGACGCCTGCTCCGAGGCTTTGATCGTCTGCGACGCCGGAACAGGGGGCATACCCAGTTTCCGCGAGGCGCAGCTCAACGAGAGCCCGAACGCGACGTTCCTATCCTGGTACCCGGACGGCGCGGTGATCCCGTGCGTGACGATCTGTGCGCTATTCGGGTGAGTTCTCCCCCCTCCTCTTGAATGAACAATCCGGCTAATACACGGTTGGTTGGACCAACCCCTCGAGCAGATGTGCAGATTTCACGATCCCCATCGGCCAGGTCCCGTACCAGTCGCCCGTGACCATGGTGACGGAGCAGTGGCCGATAGTGTTCAATCTCATCGCGCGACGGGGGTGTGATTTCATGTTGTTCGATCTAGTGGAGAAGATGGCGGAGGAGGGGATTATCACGGAAGTAAAGACGGGGAGGACTGCGTTCTAGGTATTATTGAGCGGTAGTTCGAAGCGGGTAGCTGTTAGGCCTGGGCATAGTAATACAGAGCAGATTGCCATTCTGACCCGTTGATCGTAGATCCAAGCACATATCATCTGTTGTATCTCACAATACACGAGCGGCGAGGCTATCAACCACGACTCCACTGCGAAGCGCCCCACCTGGAACTATCATGAGGTATCACTCTATGAACAAATCAGACATCAAATGACATAGCGTAGGTTATCATAACCAGACAAGAACCGATTGATATCCCTTGTATCAACATCGAAATCACCAAAAAAAAGAAGATATGAGGAAAAGGGGGAGAAGGGGTAATATGCACACAGACCCATCCCACTCCAAAAAGAAATGAACAAAAAGGTTAGAAAGAAAAAGGTAATACTCCTATATACTCCATACCCCAGCGGGGGAGCCGCAGCTCCACAATTTGCCATATGAAAAAAAAAAACAAAAAAAAAAAAAAAAGAAGATCTCCAACCAACCCTCCATTTCCCAAACTCAAACAGGAGGAAGAAGGAGAAGAGAAGGAGAGGAGGAAAGAACTATCCCATCAACCCGCCAAGCACGACGCGACTAACGCCCGCAATTTCATTCTTCGCCTGCAGACGACTCGAGTCTTCGAACTCGCGAATAATGCCCGCGACCATGATCTTGCGGATTTTGGCGTCAGCCTTGGAGAACATCTCGCCCAAGGCGACGGTGCAGATGCTGGGGGTGTAGACGAGCGAGACCAGGCGGGTGTAGCAGTCGATCAGAACATCGCAGAGCGTGACGAAGGTCTCGAAGTAGTCTGGTTCGAAGGGGAGCAGGGGCGTCAGGAGGTACGTGTATTCCTCGCCGGGGAGGAGCTCGGAGGCCTCGGTGTGCGGGAAGCCCATCGAAGCGGACGAGGCGGCGGCTGAGGCGGCGGCTGCTGCTGCTGCGGACGAGGAGGAAGACATCGAGCCTGCGGCCATGGCCTTCAGGTCGGAGGGGTCGCTTGACTGCATGGGGAGGCCGATCTCTGTGGCGGAGCTGGCGCGGCGGGCTTTGGAGGAGTAGGTGCCGGCGTGGGCGGCGCGCTTGAACATCTGCGGGATGCGGGCGCGGGCGAGGGCGGAGGCGGTGGAGGAGGCCGGTCCTTCGGGGGAGTGGACCTGCTGGAAGGCTTCGAACTCGAGGAGGAGGGCGTTCAGGGCGCGCAGGAATTCGACGGGCGTGGTGCTGACGTCTAGGATGGGCGGTAGGGAAAGGCCCAGCAGCAGGAAATTGATGGCGCGCCGGGCCAGTTTGCGCGCCTCAAAGTACGGCATCCGGCTGATGTCTGCGCGCGAGAAATTCACCGTGTTGAACCAGTAGATGCGCCCTTCGTGCGCTTTGCGGAGGTAGCCCAGCGTCGAGATCCGCTTCGCCGCCATGTCGTGGACGTGCTGGTAGACCGCCGCTGCGCTCTGCGGACCGTACGAGCCGTTGTTGCTGGTCAGGGGCGGCGGGAGCGGTCCGGCGCTGCTGCTGTGACCCAGCCCGACGCCGCTGCTGCTTTCATGGCTGATGCTGGATTTGGTGTCGCGGCGGGTGAGGCTTGGGGCGAATGATGAGGACATCATTTCGTTTCCTCGGGGGGAGGTGGGATCGGAGGAATTGGCGGGCGAGAGGAGAAAGACGCAGTGACAGTGGCAGTGGCAGGCGGGGCGGCCTGCCCGCAAAAGGTTGAAATTGTAAGTGAGTATGCGATTTCTGGATAAGATTCTGGTCTGAGATCCAGTCTTCAATGCCGTGGGTGTTGTCCAGGGGCGAGAGAGGGGCCCGCGGAGTGAACGGAGAAGACCCGGACCAACAACTGCCTCCCTCTCCGCGATCCACCGTTCACGTCAAACACTGCAAACACCGCAAACTCCTTGTACTTGTCTCCGCCTGGGTCACATGATGGCCCGGGGAATTGGTCTGGAGCTTCCTTGCTTGCACGTGCACACCAATTAATCAAAACACAAGTATACACACTCGTAGTGCTCGCTGCAAAGATCCCATCACGAATGCAAACATATCACCTCATATATCTCTGCAACTCTATATAACGTCTACTATCAAGGCATGCACAAACACCACATCACCTATAAGGCAGGAACGATCATTAATCATAAGCACAGATATATACGCCGCCAACACCATCTCGAGGCTCCAACCATGCAATAAACCACCAGATCTAGGACTTGGGGGGCAACGGGGACATCCATCGTCCGTCTTGCAGCCACACGCCTGCCCCTCCATACTTGCCAGCTTCCGCTCCCTTGAGGAAAGCAAAACGGAAGAAGAGATCTTCTGGCTTGGGATCTTCCTCCTCGCGGAGGATGCCCACATCCATCGCATCACTTTCGATCGTTGGTTGGTGCTGCAATTCGAGGCCACTGTGTCCATGTCTATGCCAAATAAATTCTCCGCGTTTGTCTTCATCAAGATATCCGCGCCAGCGTTCTACATCGTTCACCAGAACCGATATTCCATCCACGCCCAGTTTGGCCATGCGTTGCCGCTCCCAGAGACTGAAGGTGATGTTACCGTTGCCGTGGTGGGCTTCAGGAGAGTCCAACCCGGGTAGCGAGATTGAGACGGAGGAATCACTGACGTTGGGGTAAGTGCCGCCCCACCACCCGTGCGCTCCACCAGGACCTGGCGCTTGCTCGCCCAAGGCTGCGGGTGTTTCGATGATCGACGCAAACCCCCACCGGGCAACACCGTTGATGAAGAGGCCAAGAAGCAAGCCCTGATAGATCAGTGATGGACGGGTCGGAAGGGCCGTGCCAGGCATGAGGAGAATGGCAAGAATGTAGTGATGAATGCGCAAGCGAAGCCCTGGCAAAGGAAGTAAGATCAAGAGAACGAGGCCCATCGTACAGTAGACCTTGAGATAGCGAGGCATCAAGCCGCCCATGCGAATTTGCCAAGCTTGAGTGAGGATGATCACGATCACCGTAGGAATGACGAGCGCCAACGCTACTTTCGCTCCAGGCTGCTTCTGGATATCGTGGGGTGTGAGTCGTTCCAAGGGAATCAACCTCGCGAAGGTATAATTGTTGAGACCACCAATGAAGGCAGGAGGCAAGTAGAGCAGCGTCTTGGTGAACTGATAAACAGGCTCCGATAGCGGAGCCAATAGCGGTCGTGCGCAGTACTTGAATAGGACGTAGGCCACGAAAGAGGCCGGTAGCAGCCGCGACAGCAGACTCGAGAGCAGGTCGGCAAATTGAGTGAAAGACGGCGGATCTGAAACAAGTCCCACTTGGCAGAACAGCAAAAAGAAGGTACTGAAGAAGAGCACCGGTGGGGAGGTGCTGAAGAGCCAAAGCACGCTCAAAACACCAATGGTAATGCCGAGCAGCGGCCACCGAGGATCCTGAGGGCACGTCGCCTGCGACGAGGACAGCTCCACAAAGCTGAATGACTTAGGGAAGGTAGATGGGAAGCCGACCGAGCGGATACCATGCTGCTTGGAGGCGAGAAACGAGTGCGCAGCACCTTCCAACCTCACCACACCACAGCCACCAACCGCGTTAGTGATGACGCCCGCATGGATGGCCGCTTGGCAGACATAGCTGTCTGCCCGGTAGATGCCGGGCTCATCCGAGCCGGGCTCCGGCCCTCCCACAACCAGGCCCTGATAACTATAGGTCTCATTTCCAACCATATGCGGCTCGAGCAACTTGGCGTCGTGGCAGTTAGCAGGACAGCGGAAGGCGATAGTCGACTCCGAGAACGGACGACAGTCATTTCCATTCAAACCACATTCATTCCCGTGCGCCCTGGAATCCCACACCGTTAGCCCAACTCTGTCATTTCCAATGCGTTAGCGCATCTCAGCTTACCAAAAGCTTGTCCGACAGGAGAGAGTCTGCGGACGCCCATAACCCTCGATATACCCAGCTTGCCGCGAATGCCAGAGCACCAGACTCCACGGTAGAAGCCAGATACAATAAAGCAGCACCAACAAGCCGATCTTCTGCTTGCGCTTGGGGAAGAAGCGCTCGAGATAGCGGACCGGAAGTTCCTGGATCTGCGGGAACAAAGGTCGCAGAAGCAGCGATTGCGGGGGATTGGGGCCCCTGACCCAATCCGCGGTGGCCCGACCGACTTTGCGCAGCGGTAAAGGTACCCAGGCCCAGCGAAAAGATTTGGAAGACTCCCGTAGCCAGACGGGGAGATATCGAAGAGCGGCCTCCTCGTCCTCGGGCTGATCGGAAGCGTCGGGATCGACAGAACGAGCCTCTTCGTCATCCAGTAATGGCGGGACGTACGGCCGTGAAGTGTCCTCGGGGCCTTCACCAAGCATTTTTTTGGAGATTCCCTGCTGTGTGAAAGAATCGGCCCGACGATAAATGGTGGTGGAGGATTAGATGCAGGGTTCTGATGGAGAGAGCGACGTATCTATGTGGGGGGGCGAACGGCGGAGGTAAGCTAAGGGCCTAAGGCTCGGTGCAATCTAGATCCCAACCGTGACGTGACGACTGAGCGGGAGACGAATTTCCCAGCCGGCAGACGGAGAAGAAAAAGCAGAAAGTACGACGCCGTCTGAGGAGCAAACAGTGAGAATGACGAGGGGGGTAAAACGAATGATTGTCTTAAAGAGAGAGAGAGAGAGAGAGAGATGCATGAAAGAGAAAGAGAGGCAAGAAGACGCGGAGATCGGAAGGAGGGCTTGCCGCCCGGCCTGTCTACTAGTAAGCCTTGCCTTTTAAGGTTCAGGTTCCATTCCACCAGCGAGTCACCCGCAACAGTCGACTGCTCGCCGCCCTAACCACTTGGTCCAATCAGCGTCGATTAGGTCAGCCCCACTCCTCCGCAGTTCGTGTCATTATATAATCCACCACCCTTCAGGGAGGGACTGACGGGGAGTAAGGAAGACAGGTTGGTGACCACCTCAGGTATACTGAATTAACACTTCTATATATACAGTCATATATTTGACCGGCCAAGGCTTCCCAAGACAGATTCCACAAGACCTATAGACATTACGCCTTTCAATAAAACATTATGTACCCGATCATCGAACCCAGCGGGAATATAAACCAAAGAAGAGAGAGAGCAGCCCTCGAAAACAAAGCAGAAGATGAATATGTAAGAGTGGCAAATGACCACCACGTGGTATATAGAAGCCGCAATATTAAGTCGTGCGGGGCTGAAACCTAACCTCCGAAGAGCATCCAAGCAATCATGCCACCCCAGGCACCAACAAAAACAATCGTCAAAATAGATGCACCCGCCTTGTCACCGGCGGTGATCGCCCGGCTGGTAGTCTTATCACCGGTGGTGTCGCCTTTACCGGCATTCGGATTACTTGTACTGTTGCCACCCGTATCAGAGGTCACCGGGCCGGTCTTCTTGGAAGTGATGAGGGCAGAGGAAAGGATATTGGTGACGGCGATTTCTTCCTCCATTCCATTCCAACCATCCCACTTCTTCGGATACCACCGCACGCCACAAGTGTTGTTATTCATGCCGCTGCAGGAGGCCGCAGCGGCCTCGGCGGAGCCCTGCAACTTCGGCAAGATCTGGTCGTACGTCGAGGGAACGACCAAAGCCACAAATCCGAGCCAACCGCTAACCAGGCCCTTGAAGAGAATTTCGTTATCGTTACAAACCTCCAAGGGTTCGCAAAGTTCCTCGGACATAATATTGCCGCCATATTTAGCCGGAAAGAATGTAGTCAGAGTCACGTTCAAAAGGCCATCCACGGCGGTCTTCCATTTGGCCTTGCCCGTCTGCAGTTGTCTCTGGTGTTAGCTTCCACGCAGCCTACAATCAGTTGAGACCGTTCTTACGTAGTTGTACATGTATGCGGCGCCCATCAGATATGCTCCATAGTTGTAGGACCACTGGTTGTTTCCCTGCGTTGTGCATCCATTATCGATATCGGTCGAGTCCGCGACGTTCCAGGTTTCATTGTTCAAGAGAGGGACGGAGGCTGACCAATCGAAGATCTTCTCGGCCCAATCGGCATACGTATCATTGTTCGTGTAGCGGGCGAGACGGGCGGCCAGCTGAAACAATCCTCCGTTCGAGATGGAGTTCTTCATGTTGTAACCAGCTTCGTATGGCCAAATTTGCCAGCGTAGACCACCTCCACAATTCGACGAGTCCCAGCGAGCGACCTGCGTGTTGTATACTCCCTGAGCGAGAGCAAGCCAGGAATATCCGTCGGTCGAATCGGCGAAGTTGATTTCAGCGGCGGTCATGGCTGCGAGACCCCAGAACATTTGATCGTCGTTACCCTACTCGCCAAGTTCCCAAGTCAGAAGGTGTCCAAAGATCTTATCGCGCGTAACTCAAGCCACGTACCAGATAACTACTGTAGTTGGACGGCATGTAATCACAATCCCCCGCTTGCCACTGCATGCCTTTGCGAATCTCATCGTTGTAGGTGGTGTCCCCGGTGTAGAAATAGTATAGAAGCAGACTCATGAACAGAGCACTGCCTTCCCACCATTTGGTGGGGAAGGCACCAGGAATTTGACCAGTTTCGTTGCCGTGGTACCATGTCATCGACCCGTGTGCAGACTGGCTAGCCGCAGCCTTTATAGATGCTATTGTATGACGGAGTAGTCAGTCTCGATTACAGAAGAGGTATATCTTGTAAACATCATAAGATTACTCTCCGACGGGTACGGGAGAGCCGATAGCAATCTGACGTCGTCAGAGAAGAGAAGAGGAAGAGCATACATTCACTGTTGATATCGATATCGATAGCATAGGTAACATGGCCGAAGAGAGCGGCGTTCAAAAGCAGGGCCCCATGGAGAGCACCATGGAGGAAGCGCATGGTGCGAGGCGGCGACTCCGGGAGACGAAGAGAGAGAAACGAGCGGCAAGGGGAGGTGAAGAGAAAGTGAAGAGGAGACCAGAGGAACGAAGGAAGGTCACAATTGACCAGCGGGGAATGAAGCCAAACAGGCGGAACGATCGAGGGGGGGAGGGGGAAAGAGGGAAAAGGGTCGGACAAAAAAGGATAGAATCAAGAACGGCTCAGGACGGGACAGGAGAGAGGAAGTGCGTTTGTGTCAGTGAGAGTGAGAAGATGATGGCGTCTGGCCGCAGCGGCAGCACGTCGCAGTAGCAGCAAGCATTATTGGGACTGCAGCAGACGCAGAGAACGGGGCTGGGGGGGGGGGGGGGGGGCGGCAGCACTGTGCTAATGCTAGCCGCCCTGAACCCATCTCAGGTTCCAGATTTGTGATTTGATTATTGATTGTTATTATTTTTTCTCAAATCGGAGAGAAACAAAAAAGGAGATTGGCGGACCAGTGGCCAGCAATGGAGACGGACAATCGGGCGGACCACGTCAGCCTCGTGCAAATCATCATTGAGCGCCGGCTATTCTTGGAATAAATTGGGAGAAGTGTTGTTGCCCATGGGTGGATGGTGCGACATTACAGGGACCCAGGGTCGAACTCAATCCAGGCTTTCTTCTTTCTGATGTGTGCAATTCTTGTTCTGGGTGTGATCCAGTCCCTTGTTCAATTTTTGTTGGCTCTTCTTTGCCCTCTGCCCCTGTTGAAACTTTGATTGTATGCGGTCGGGGTCCTAAGCTTTTTTGCCCAGCTTTGCCAATAATGCCAATTCCCGATCGGTCCGTGTCACCAACCCAAGCATGAGGCCATGTGCCGCATAGCTTGCAAGGGGGAGTGGAGGAGGGGGGGGAAAAGGTGAGACATGACATTTTGGCTGTGTGGTCGATCACATTTGCTGGGCTGCATGTCAGCACAGACTGGGTAACTCACGAGGGACGAATTTTCTATCTCTTCATGACATACTTATTCTTGACGGGGACTTGGCTTCCATATAATAACTCTCGTCAGTCCGTAGTAGCGCGGGAATAACGACGATCAACACGCGCGTCATGGCGATACTTTTCCCACTGTTGCCTGGTCTGCCGACCGTCGCAGTCCAGCCACCCACTGCGTCATTTCCTTGAGTAGGGGATGGGAAAATAAATACGAATACGACCTCGAATAAATCAATGAGAGAAAGAAAGAAGCCACTGTGATACAGTTTTATGTGTCGCCAAAAGGAGTTTCGAAGGGGAATAACAGAGAGACTCGAGTGAGTGGACAAGCAATTGAAGTTGGGTGGTTTCATGATTCCCTTCTCCCCTCCCCCGCAAGGGTTCCTTCGTCATTGGCTCCACGGACTGTTCACAATGAAAGGGCTCTTACTCCATTTCAAAAACGGATACTAGTACATCTGAGATAAGATACATCAAGTGATAATAATTCGGGTGAATTGCTTCTAGAAATCATTCGTAGTACATGCAAACTATGGGTATCAGTATTGCGGAGAGCCTGATGGCGTAAAAGGGTGCGACTGAGGGTATCGACTTCATAGCCACGTTTGACCCATGCCTCCTAGAGACGTCCTAAATGTTGAAGCCGCCCCCTAATCTGCCATCACTCACCCATCCAAATATGCGGAAGTGTATGGTCGGCAATCATAAAACGGTGAGCATTAGTGGAAGTTCAAATCTGATCCAAGGAAAAGACAAAAGTCGCTTTTCTCCCATGGACATGAGTCAAATAAGCATCCAGCTCGTGCTCCTCGTCAATGACAAACGCAATCTCATTGCCTTTCTCGTCGCGGTCCGTCCCCTCGATCTTGGTAATGACGGCATCAGGGTACCTGGCTGCAACCAACTGCTGGAGCTCCGTCATCGACCTCGCCGTGAGTTTGTCCACCCAGGTCTTGGCGTCCCCATGCACCGGGCTCTGGGGATGGACGCGGAGGTAGACGGGCACGTGCAGGAGCGACGACCCCAGCAGTGGATCCACATAACCAAAGGTATGGCCCGAGTCAGGATGAGAAGCGGTGGCGAAGGATGGGTCGTTGGCGGCTTGGAGCAGAGAAGGGTCGATCTGCATGTCACCCAGCTCGCTGGTCGACACCGATGCACTGGCCAAGGCCTGCGAAGCCAGGGTGCTGATGCCGTTCGCGATGCCACCGCCATAGGTGGCGCTGACGCTGACGGGGGGACTCTCCAAATCCGGGCTGGGCACATGCGAGTGCGTGACTGACGACTTCCGGGCCGGGTGTCTCTTCGTTTGGTCGTCGCGAAGTCGCTTCATGACATCGCGACAGAGAACCTCAAGAGCTTTCAACTTCGTCGCATGCTCGGGGTCCGCCGAGCCGGGTGCTAGGATGCGTCGTAGAAGCTCCGAGTTCTGAATCCACTGTTCTTTCAATTCCTTCCAATGTTCATCCCCCGCCTCCAACTTACTCGTAAAGTGGTCCGCCTTGAGCGTGTTGTAGAATGCGTTGCGGATCTGCCGACTCTCCTCCGGGTTGATCCCGAGGGCATTCTTCGCCTCAGCGATAGTCATCCGGCGCTCCATCGTGCGCATCCGCTTCGTGACATCAGTACATACCACATCCAGAGCCAGAGACTTCACATCTAACTGATTCTGATCATGAAACGCCTGCTGAAGATGATACGACTCCTGAATCAACTTGTTCTTAGCTTCCTGCCACCTCTCAGGCCCAGCAACCGTTTTCTTGATGAAGCCCGCTTCCTCACAGATCTGCTGAAACTGGTCCCGAATCTGCCGATACATCGCATTATCCAAGCCAAGATATTTCTTGCTCTCATCGATAGTCGTCTCCGAGGGAAACCGGGGCGGACCCGGAGGATCAGCGGGCATGCCCGCCCAGCCGCGCGTACGCCGACGTCGTTTCCGATTCGCCCAGCGTTCAGCACTCTCCGCCTTCAACTTATCAAGCCGCTCCTTGCGCTTCGCCAGAGCATCGGCCGACAAACCGGGGGAAGTCGGCGAATCCGACGCGTCGGCACCAGCCGCACCAGCAGCAGTGGCAGTGGCAGTGGCATTGGCAGCGGGGGACGGACCAGGGATGAGAGGCTCGGCCTCCTCGAAGGGTAACCCGGATTTATACACCTCCTGCTGAAGGACCAGCAAGGCTTCATCCTCCGGCAACTGGACGGGGGTCTGCATACGGGACTGCGACTTCATGCCATTGGGGACGCGGAGCAGCCAGCGGTTCTTGGCGCGCACGCGCATCAGCTCGCGCTCCTTGATCTCGAAGCCCTCCTCGTTGAGCATGCGCAGCATGTCTCGTTGGCAGGTATTCCGCTCCCAGAGCTGTTTGATGCGCGCGACGAGTTCGACATTCTTGTGGGCGGGGTTCTGTTTGGACGGGAACCCCCATCGCTTGAATTGGGTTTGGAACGCTCGTTTACTATAGTAACAAAATCGGACACAAAGGAGGTCCAATGTCAGTGAAACAGTCACCAGAGATCGAGGAAGTTGGGTTGGGGGGCGGGATGGAGGGATTATCGGCGACGTTTCACATAGGATCACAAAAAGACTAGCGGAAAGTCATACTCGAAAATAACTCACCTCGGTGCAAATTGGTAGACATTCTTCATGTATTCCATAATCTCCTCGAGCGCTTTCTTGTCCTTGATGTACATCTGGAAGCAGATGTCCCGCTTTCCTTCCCAGTCGTACACCATCTTGACCGACGCCGCGGAGTATCAACACCCCTTTCCCGCAGAGGCGATGGGGAGCCGTGTGTCCTTTGAGGATAGGGTGAGTGACGCACCCCGAGGGAGCGAGGGAGGAAGGGAGGGCGCAGAACGCCTTCTCGTCGACCGAAAGCGAGAGCGAAAGCAGCGTCGAACGAGTTGTTGAGTGGAGTACTGGTGTATAGATCGCCAAACAGACGTCGGTTGTCCTTGTTGTGCCCCGTAGTGCGTCTGGTGTCCAGTGAGCTTTCTGGACCACCGTAGTTAGTGAGTTAGTCGGGTTGGGGGGTTTTCGAAGGGTGAGTTGGAGATGATACGGTAAGTCGTTGACACCAGAAGTGCGTTGAAGCACGTGACTCTTATCATTCCCCGCCGATCCTCCGATTGCGGCGGTTTGACTGGGGCTTGTTATCGGCCGTTTATAATGAGCTTAAGGCGCACTTATTATTAAACTCTCCCTTGAATCTTGCACAACCAACTCCCAAATCCAGCATCTTTTCCCATAATGGCTGCTGTTGCTAGAACCCTTCGCATTGGTTAGTTGCCCTGTTCTCGTGACTGATCTGGTTCGAATCCCAACTGACATTCTACGTGCGGTATATAGGTCTCATCCCCGGAGACGGTATCGGACGGGAGGTCATCCCTGTGAGTCACTTCCACCCACCACGGCACCCATTGCTCGCTCAACAACGCAATCGAGGACTGTTGACTAACCAATCTTCGCAACACAGGCCGGTCGCCGCGTGCTGGAATCCCTTCCGTCGTCGCTGAACCTGAACTTCAGCTTCGTCGATCTCGATGCTGGATTCGACACCTTCAAGCGCACCGGTAGCGCTCTGCCGGACAAGACGGTCGAGACGCTGAAGAAGGAGTGTGATGGAGCCCTGTTCGGAGCCGTCAGGTAAGCTCGCCCGCCCCCGGTGAACCTCACCTCCTGTTCAACCCCATTATCGCTACAAACAAACCCAAACTAACCAGTAAACCCAAAAAGCTCCCCAAGCACCAAAGTAGCGGGATACTCTAGCCCGATCGTGGCACTCCGCAAAAAGCTGGACCTGTACGCGAACGTGCGGCCGGTGAAGACGACGGCAGGGGGCAGCCACAACGGCAAGCCGATCGACCTGGTGATCGTGCGGGAGAACACGGAAGACCTGTACGTAAAGGAGGAGACGACGCGGGAGACGCCGGAGGGGAAGGTGGCGGAGGCGATCAAGCGGATCTCAGAGCGGGCGTCGTCGCGCATCTCGACGATCGCCGGCGAGATCGCGCTGCGGCGGCAGAAGATCCGCAGCGCGGGGCCACCGGGCCTGTCGACGACGGCGCGCACCAGCCCAATGGTGACCATCACGCACAAGTCGAACGTGCTGTCGCAGACGGATGGGCTGTTCCGCGAGACGGCGCGGCGCGCGCTGGCGGCGCCGCGGTTTGGCTCCGTGGAGGTCGAGGAGCAGATCGTCGATTCCATGGTCTACAAGCTGTTCCGCCAGCCTGAGTACTACGACGTCATCGTCGCCCCGAACTTGTACGGTGACATTCTGTCTGATGGTGCTGCTGCCCTCGTCGGCAGTCTGGGCCTCGTCCCCAGCGCTAACGTCGGTGATGGCTTCGCTATCGGTGAGCCCTGCCACGGTAGCGCCCCCGATATCGAGGGCCGCGGCATCGCCAACCCCATCGCCACCCTCCGCAGCGTCGCCCTGATGCTCGAGTTCCTCGGCGAGGAGGCCGCCGCTGCCAAGATCTATGCCGCCGTCGATGCGAACCTCGATGAGGGCAAGTACCTCTCCCCCGATATGGGCGGCAAGGCGACCACCCAGCAGGTCTTGGATGACGTCCTCAAGCGTTTGTAAGGGATGGATGAAGTGTGTATGATTAGCGCGGGGTTGGATTGTTAGAGTACACAAAAAGAGAAAGGGAAAAGTTCTGCCTTGGAATGCTAGGTAGAGAATGGTTGAGACAACGATGCGTACGCTATTAGCAATGTGCCTGCTGTAAACAATTTATTGTTATCGTCCTGAACGCACTTGCGGGCCTGCGCAGACGGGTAGTGGCTTGTACTACCAGCCCTGGATCGTAGAGGTCGGGTCTGTAACACCTCTGGGCCATGAAACCTGCATGAGCCAGTGTCAAGTCGCACCAGGAATGTGTTTGCTCCACATACTGTCGCTCGAGTACTCACATCCGGCAGCTTATATAGTTTGTAGTACAAATATCCAAATTCTTGATTTTCTGTATATCTCTCTAGGTCAGACCCAGCAGTCCATTGCCCAGGCCCTGTAGCTGAAGCCATACTATCTGATTCGACCAAGCCAAAACTATATCCCAATCTGGATCATCTTGTTAAGGACAGAAGTAGCCATGTGGCCAAGGCCTCTCGTTGCCTGGCAAATCAACGCACGCATCCAAAAAAAAATCCAAAGCATAAACCCATATCTCATCTCTTTCATATCAAGAACCAACGGAAATCGACAAAAATGCCTCCGAAATGCGTATATACACAGAGGTCAACTATACAAAACAACTCAAAAACTGTAGGGCCGATTGAAATCCAACAAGCGGACACAAGTTCCGCGATTCAGATTACTCCAACTGGATCCTCCGCTGATTCCAACGCTCGCGGACTCGCTCAAACAGCGTGGGCAGCTCATAACCCCAATGGCAGAGCATGCCAGCCACGAAGCCGACGGCGTCATTCTTGAACCCGACCAGCAACCCGACGGTGACCATCATGACGGTCCAGCGGCGCTTACGCTCCCAGTCGCTGAGCATGGGGCCAATCTCCTGGGCGCCATCGCCGGCGAACCCGTGGTTCGCCTTGCGGATATCGCGCGCCCCGGTGGTGTTGAGCGACTCGCCCACGCTGACCAGTTCCAGGCCGGCGGCGATGACCATGACGCCGAGCAGGGCGGTGGGGAAGCGCTTCAGCAGGCCGACGAGGGATTCGCCGAAGAAGACGCCAATGATGAGCTTGACGACACCCAGGAAGATGACGCTGGCGCCGGAGCGCGCCCCGAACCGATACTGGGCCGCCAGGCCGCCGGAGCCGTGGCACACGGGCATGGCGCCGAACCAGCACCCGATGAGGTTCATGCCGGCTACGCTGAGGCCGACGGAGGTGATGGAGGGGATCTCCTGGGTGGGGAGGAGATCACTCGCCAAGTGGACGACGGCGACGATGGAGTTCAAGGTCGTCAGGGGGATCTGACCGACCCCTGCGTCAAGGGCGCCGATACGCCATTCGTGGGCCGAGGGGATCACGGTGTAGGGGTGCCAGAAGACGAGGGAGGGGAGATCGGAGGCTAGCGCGCTGCCGATGACAGCGAATGAAAGCCCGAGGATGAAGACGAGGAGGGCGTAGGGCACGTTGCGGTACACGTTGGTGATGATGAGGAAGAGGAATGCGGCCACGGCCCAGATGCGGTTGTCAGCCCAGGATGGGTATAGCCACCCCAGGGAGGAGAGGATCGAACCCCCTGAGGCGATGATCAGGGATAGACCGGCGCCAACTTGGATTCCCTTGATCACAGGGACGGGTATGGCATTGGCGAACCAGTTCAGCAGGCCGGTGATGCTGAAGAGGAAGATGCAAGCACCAACAAAGATACCGGCGGCGGCGATGGCCCCGTTGGTGAAGGTCCGGGCAATGGCTACGGCGGCAATAGCTTTCATGGGCTGCACAGGCAGAGGAATCCCGAAGAAGAGACCTGTCAGGATGTTGAAGAGGCCGGAGAAGATCAGAGTGCTAGAGAGAGAGACGGTGCCATTGATGGCGAGGGCGATGGCAATAGGCAGGAAAGTGCCTAGGTCGCCCAGCGAGCCCGAGATCTCGGACACATAGTGATGTCGGAAAGTGTGAAAGTTGTGTGAGGTCACTCGACGGAGATTCATGGCGAAGGCGGTGGTGGGACAGGGGAAAAGGGGAAGGAATACATTCAGGGGGGGCGATGATAAGTAAAGAGAAGACAGTGAAGGGCGAGGCAGCAAAAACCGGGCAGATGAGGAGATGATGATGGAATGAATCCTCCCACCATTGTTTGAACTCGTATCGGTGAAGGCGATAAGGCTTGTTTGGGCTTGGACTGGATTGAGTGGATACATTCCCCGCACAACCTGCAGTTCACTCGTCCATGGTTGTACATTATACTGAGTACAGTACCTACAGTGGGAGGAAATTAATATGCACCCCCCCCTCAGAAAGAGTTCAGCACTTTCCCTAATCAAGTCTAGCCTATGGCTATTCTGCCAGCTTCTTCCCATATATTTTAGGCGGTGTGTGAGCGCTTCAAGCAGGCGGTATCTCTAGAACCAAACATTGGGGGAGAGGGGGGGGTGCAAATTAATTTCCTGCGACTGTACCAGGGGTCACTATCAATCAGAGACGATGTGGACCTGGACCTCAGTTATATTCAGTATAGATCACTTGCAAGACCAGATATACAAGCCTTGTAATCAAGATAGAAAACACATCGGAAATCAACCACTGATGCATTGATTCGTTCCCATATTCTATCGGAGAACCGACGGGTTGAAGGCCCTTATCTTATCCCTCGACGCCACTCTTATATATGTTACTATCAGGACTCTTCTGCTTTCCCCTCCACTAACATAACTTACTACTTATAACACAACGGAAGACAGATACCTTGTGATTACGTTTCCCGAAATGACCGTCCACAACACACAAACCTATCATTTATATTCCTACTTCCGGTCGACATGCACAAATCGCGTCGTGATTGCCATGCATCTCAAAGGAATTCCAGTTGAGCATACCTACATTGACCTTGGCAAAGCGGAGCATGAACGCCCTGAATTCGAGGTGCTCAACCCAAGCAAATCTGTACCTGTCCTGGTGATCAAAGATAGTAATGGAAATGAGACGGTTCTCACCCAATCTATCGGAATCCTGGAGTACTTAGAAGAAAGCCTGCCCACACTGACACCACTGCTGCCTCCCAGCGGGGACGCTGTGCAGCGAGCCCGGGTCCGAGAAATGGTGAACGTCATCACCAATGACATCCAACCGATCAACGACGGGCGTGTTGCCAAGAGAGTGCGTGCCATCCGCGGAGAGGCGTAGGACCAGATCAAATTTGTTCGAGAGGGCTTCCTGGCGGGTTTGATGGCGTATGAGAAACTGCTGGTCAAGAATGAAGGGGTGTTCTCGGTGGGGGATACAATCACCATGGCCGATGTGTGCTTGGCACCTGCGGTGGAAATGGCGCTGGCTTACGGAACTGATCTGGATGGACTGCCCCGCGTCCTGGATCTATATAAGCGTCTTGGAGAGTTGCCGGCTTTTCAGAATGGACATTGGAAGAGGCAAGGGGATACGCCGGAGAGCATGAGAGACACCTAAGTACGGGTAGGAGAGACGGGCTTGACGGAGAGTATAGTAGCTTACGCTTTCATTAATACTATGGTTTTCAAAAAGACCACTCGGATGTTATCTGCGGAAAACAAACCAACTCGACGATATTCGCTTCCATCCGCCGGCAATTTCATCCGGGCCACTCACATTATTCTCCGATCTCCGCTTTGTTTCTGAGTAACTCCGTAGACACCATAACGGTCGAACCACCTCGATCTTCACGTTGCAAAGCCATAATAGACACATATCTACAGGACTAAATCCCCAATACCAAACCCATGTCTGCACATGACAAACAAAAAGTGATATGTACAAAGTATAATCATAAACCCATGCCCCCAATAGCCCAACCCTAGTAACGCCCCTCCATCCCCAAACACAACCCATACCCATACTCCCCCTTACATCACCCCCACCACCACCATCAAATGCAATATGCCACCCCGTCACAAAAACCTCCCACTCGAAAACCTGCTCCCAAAATCCGCCGCCTTACTCATCATCTCCCGCCTCTGCGCATGGGTAATCTTCCCCTGCAACCCCATATCCTTCTCGCGATCAAACGCCCTCTTACTCGGATCATCCTCCGCCTCCTCCTTCTTACCATCACCACCCTGCCTCCTCCTCTCCCTTACAAGCGAATCCTCCCTCCTTTTATCCTCATTGAACCGCTGAATCCTCTCCTGCATCGCCGCAGACGGCTGGTTCTGCCTTGCCCCCGCCGCACCAGCCGTCGCCGCCGCAGCACCAGAAGAAGAAGATGGATGCTGTACACCCAGCACCTCATCCTGCAGACGCTTCATCTTCTGCTCCGGCGTCTCGGTCCACGTGACGTCTATCCCGCCCTTCCCTGAAGTGGAGGTGGAGGTATTGGCGCGGGGCCCCGAGTTGAAGCGCCGGTTTTTTAGGCGCGTGGGGTCGATGCGGTGTCTGTCGGTTGGTTCGAGGGGTTCAAGCATCCAGGCGTCGCGTTGGGGTTGGGCGGTTGGGGTTGTGGTAGTGCTGGGCTGTGTTGCGGTAGTGGTGGTGGTGATGCTGGGTTGTTGTGCGCCGGCGGGTGGAGGGAGTGTTGGGCCGAAGTCGTCATCATCGGAGCTGTCGCTGTCGCTGTTGTTGTCGTTGGCCTCGTTGCTGGGACTGGCGCTGGGACTGGCGGTCGGTTGTGGTGGTGGGAGGGAGGGTCCGATGACTTTGCGGCGTTTGCTGGCTGCATCCTCTGTTGTTGTTGTAGCTGCGGGCGCCGGGCTCGGACCCGCGGTAGGGCCGGCGTATTTGCGCTTCTCCGGGGGTGGGTGGTCCATCTTTATCGAAAGTTGGAGTTGCTTCGTGGTGAGTTTCAAAGCGGCGATGGTAGGACGAGGCTCCTTGGTTTCGATTGGGTGGTGCAAGTCCTGCTTGCAGTGCGGCACTCGGTGAGTCTCCAGGTTTCTTGCCGAGACGTTAAGTAGATAGTGTAAAAGTGTGGGCCTCAGAGTTGAGTGCTGTCGGAAGGTAAGTTAAGTTGAATGCGACAGAAGAGCTGATGCAAACCCGGCAAACGTCACAGGCGAATCATGTGATCCGCTCTACAAATCGAGATCCACGTTATCGATAGAGCGATCATCTTATCGTCTATGAGAAGGCATACCATACAAGTACCCAAAAGGAATCTCGAACACAACATTCAAGAATCACATTCAAGCATCCCAGCTAGATCAACTATTCTATCCTACAAAAGCACAACCATAAGAACCATAGTTCCATCATAAATTCAAATCTAACCCGCTTTTTGCCCGAATTTTGCCCGTACAATGAACATATTCAAAACAGCCCCCAGAAACACAAATCCCCATGGATATATATGTACATATTAACAGCCAAACATAACAAACAACATAGCCAAACCTCTATCATCAACAGATCACAAATTAACTATTCATTGCTTGTTGGCCCGCTGCGCCAATAGGTTCAACGCACTACCAGCCAGAATGAACCCGCACTGGTCAGGGCTGAGCGTGTGGCGGACGGGAATGACCAGCTGCTCACCGGAGCGCTTGGTGACGTGTAGCTGGATGGAGCCCTGACCACCGGCCTGGAGGACATCGTAGAGACCCTCGGTGGCGACCTGGTCGCAGGCATCGATCCTGTCGTAGTCGGCGGGGTTGGCGAAGGTCAAGGGAACGACACCCTGCTTCTTGAGATTGGTCTCGTGAATACGGGCGAAGCTCTTGGACACGATGATGCGGCCACCCAGGTAGCGCGGCTGCAGGGCGGCGTGCTCGCGGGCGCTACCTTCACCGTAGTTCTCCTCGGCGACGACCAGCCACTCGGTACCCTGGGCCTTCCAGTGGGCAGCCAGGTCAGGGATCGAGTACTGCTTGCCGGCCTCGTCATAGGCCACGTTGGTCTCGCCGGTGGCGGCGTTGACGGCGCCGATCAGGGTGTTGGCGGAGATGTTGGGCAAGTGACCCTTGTACTTCAACCACGGGCCGGCCGCGGAGATGGTGTCGGTGGTGCACTGGCCCTTGACCTTGTAGAGGACCTTCAGGCTGGAGAGCTCGCCCTTGGGGAAGGGGGCAAAGGGCTCGAGCAGCGCCAGGCGATCAGAGGTCGGGGAGACGATCACCTCGCAGGAAGCGTCGGGCACAGCGGCCGTGGGCTGGAAGTTGGGGTTACCGTCGGCGAAACCCTGGCCGGGAAGAGCCTGACCGGTAGGGGGCTGGAAGCGGAACTCCTCGCCGCTGGGGGTCTTGATGCTATCCTTCATGGGGTTGAAGGTCGTGCTGCCGGAGTAGACCATGGCAGTGACCAGCTCGGGAGAGGCCAGGAAGTTCATCGTCCGACGGTTGCCGTCATTACGGCCGGGGAAGTTGCGGTTGTAGGAGGTTAGGATGGCGTTATCTTCACCCTTGGGGACACCGTCTGTGCGCTTCCACTGGCCGATACAGGGGCCGCACGCGTTGGCCAGCACGGTACCTCCCGCCTGCGAGAAGGTCGACAGCGTCTGATCACGGTCCAGGGTAGCCCGAATCTGCTCACTGCCGGGAGTGATGAAAAAGTCAGCCTTGGGCTTGAGGCCGGCAGCGGTGGCCTGCTTAACCAGGTGCTCCGCGCGGGTCATGTCCTCGTAGGAGCTGTTAGTGCAGCTACCAATCAGACCAGCACCCAGCGTCTCAGGCCAGCTCTTCTCACGTACAGTCTCAGCGAAGGCCGACACAGGCACCGAGAGATCAGGGGTGAAGGGACCATTGATGTGAGGCTCCAGGGTCGACAGATCGATGGTGATCAACTGGTCGTACTGCGAGCCGTTGTCGGCGCGGAGGAGGTTGTGGGGTCCAGAGGCGGCGATCTCAGCCGCTGCCTTAGCCACATCACCACGGTGAGTAGCCTGGAGGTAGGGAATGTGGTTGGGGGAGAAGGGGAAGACGGAGGTCGTCGCGCCAACCTCAGCACCCATGTTACAGATGGTAGCCATGCCCGTGCAGCTCAGCGTCTCGACACCGGGGCCGTGGTACTCGATGATGAACCCAGTTCCGCCACGGACGGTGAGCTTACCAGCCAAGTGGAGAATCACGTCCTTGGGGGAGGCCCAGCCGTTCAGCTTGCCCTCCAAACGCACACCGAGGATGCGAGGCGCCTTCAGCTCCCAGGGTGCATCGACCAAAGCATCAACGGCATCCGCACCACCAACACCAATGGCAATGGCACCCAGACCACCCGCGTTGGGGGTGTGACTGTCCGTACCCAGCATCATGAGACCGGGAGCTGAGTAGTTCTCGAGCACGCTCTGGTGGATAATACCGGCACCGGGAGGCCAGAACTCAATACCATACCGCTTGGCGGCGCTCTCCAGAAAGTCGAAGACCTCGCTGTTGCCTTGGATCGAGGCGGGCAGATCAACGTCCGCACCGCGTTCACCCACGATCATGTGGTCGCAGTGGATACTGGCCGGGACGGCGGTCGAGGGCAAGCCGCAGGACATGAACTGCAGCAGAGCCATCTGGGCAGAGGCGTCCTGCATCGCCACGCGGTCCGGCTTCAACTTCAAGTTGGCCTTGCCACGGACGTCCCGTCCATTGTTGGTGCCGGTCAACAGCGACTCCTCGGGGTTGTCCAAGTGGGCGTAGAGGATCTTCTCGGCCAAGGTGAGCGATCGCGAAGAACCCAGAACCCGACGGACTTGTTCCAAGTTGCGCACGATCTTGGGGTAGGGGGGCATGCGCGAGGAGGCAGGGGTCGAAGAGGCCTCGGTGGCCAGACCACGGCGAGCGAATAACCTTTGCGGGGAGAGGCACTTCGGGGCCAACTGGAAAGTGGAGAGAGAGTAGGTCAGTTTCCCATCTACTGCGGGTTGCAGGACTATGAGGCTTCAGGAGCACACCACATACCCTCTGAGAGGCGGAAGCCCGCTGCCAAACAAGCTGTCGCACCATTGTTCTTGCAGGAGAATACTGTGAAGAACAATTGCGCAGAGAAGGAGAAAAAGAATGGTAGATAAACAGTTGAGGCGAGGGAGTCATTCTTATTCTCGACCTTTAGTCGCCAATTGATTATCTTCGCCCTGATTGGCTCGCCACACCGCCGATGCCGGGAGATCAACTTAAAACTGTTACGATACCGGAGCTGTTTTGTCATTTTGCCGCATTGAGGCGAGATGGAGGATTCCTGAAGGCGGCCAGCCTCTGAGTCATGCAGCCCCCTGTGTATCGGAGGGTAACTACAATACCATGAGTCTACGCGTTAGCTTTCTTTCTCCACACAGAACAGACGGACAGACTTACTCTTACTTTCATACTGTACTTGCAGGTAAAAGTCGGTGAAATCCTGAAAACCGGTTTTATAAACTCCATAGTTGGAAGTAGCATCTAGTAGGTCTATACACACAGGGCAAATGAAATAGGCAGTTGGCAATCAGTCAACCACCCCAATGTCGTCCGCCCAACTCGGCTGGATACCGCGACACACGCCCTCGTAATCCTGGAATCGCTGTGTATCTTCTGTCAATCCAGGCGTGGTCCAGAACATCGTCCAGTTGGTATCATTCAATTTCCAGGTTCCCTGCGAGCGCTCGAAGTACCACTTGTTCACCGGGTTGTCCTTGCGGCTGCGCCAGCACACGCCGTTGGGGAAACAGGACCGCACCATCGCATTGAACACAATATCCGCAACACCTCCCGCACCTTGACTCCGTTTTAGGACGGCAAACTTGTCCAGGTAGGGAACCATGCGCGCCTGACTCGCCTCGCTGCCGTCATCCTCCACCCCTGGCGGTAACTCCCATGTCAAGATAGCTCCGCCTTCATATTCCCCGGCAATGATGAGCCCAGCCAAACGGCCATTGACACGGTTGAGATAGTCCTGTACGTCGAGCTTGCGGTTGAAGGAGTCTTCGATCAGATGCACCAGCCGCGGAAGGTCGATGCACGGGTCATCCAGCCCTAGTCGTGGCCGGTTTTGTGCGGTCCATACCTGGACGCGCGGATTCGGGATCAGAGTCAGCGGCATGCCTCGCTTGACGAAGGTGGTATGCAGTACGGGGGCAGTAAGAGAGGTCGGCCGGCCGTTCAAGGCTGCGCGCCGGCTCAGAGGCAGAGAGGAGGAAAGTAAGGGTTTGTCGGTGAGTAAGTTGTGGATCAAAGGATTCCGCTGCCGTCGGGTTCCCACCGCAGAGAGGTCCGGGGCAAGACTATGGGAGGCTTGGGCTGAATTTGCGACTTCGAGAGGAGAGGTAATAATTCCAGAAGAAGCGGATGGCAGCAACGCGAGCGCAGCCTGGCTTAGTCGCAAGTTCTCAAGATGGCCATCTATAGCACTCGCTTCCAAAACTGGAATCGTAAGGGGTAAGGATGGTTCGGGAGAAGGGGTTTTCTCTGCCGATAATGCGGATTGTTGGGCCTGACGCAATTCTTGTTGGATGTCACCAAACTCTTGCTCCATGTTGATGAAGACATGGGACGACTGGGGCCCACTGAGAGCAGGAATACCCCCCAGAGGATCAAGAAGGATCACCCGATCCAGAGAAACTTCCGCCTGCAGGTCCCTGATCCGCTGTGCGGTGAGTATGGGGTCCTCGTCCGGATCAGGCGCTGTCGCCAGCCCTGCGAGCTCCTTCGTCAGCGCAAGAATGGCATCCTTGCCCGTGACAGTGACAGCTCGGGGAACATCCTCCGTGTACGCGACGGGAGCCACAACCACGATCTGACCGTCCCGCAACGGGCCCAGCAGCGCTTTGCGCGAGGCGACTCTTAAGGTTGGCGGCTTCGTCGTTGAGATAGACAGCACCGAGTCAATGTGGGCAGATTTCGAATCCGGCTGCGCGTTGACCGCGAGCGACAGCCGGTCCGCCTGCTCCCCAGCGGTCTTCCGCAGCGCATTAAGGTCCTCGCCCGTGCCTGGGTCAACCACCACACAACAAGCCATGCCCAGGCGATTTAGCTGGGACAGTGTTTTCGCCACGCCATTGATGGTATAATCATCCAGCAGTTGCGGGGTGGTGATCTTGATCAACGCCAGATGAAGGCGCTCGGTAATGGTCTGTGGTGGGCGAGTAGGGGTGGTATCGTGCATAAACACCGGGGTCTCGTAGACCGACCTGGAGGCGCCGTAGAACGAGCCCAGATTGACGCCGGATGGTGAGGGTATCGCCGTAGAAGGAATCTTGACTTCTTCCGTCACGAGGGGCTTTTGCGCTGCCTGATTTGCGTTCGATTTCTGCTGGGCCTTGAGACGAGCTAGATAGGACTTTGCTTCTCGCTTCGTGGACGCGGAATTCAAGAGCGTGAAAAAGAATTCCTAGACCTGTTAGTTTCTTTGGTTGCAACTAGGTCGCTTCCCCCGGATGAGGGGGGAATTATCATACCCGATCCAGCAACTTCTCCTTGGCGCGACGGCCCAGTCGCTCATAGCTCCGACTGCTGGACGAGAATTCGGCGCTCTGCTGCACTCGGCGATCAGGGGTAGATGAGACATTCCGTCGTGACGAGGGACACCAGGCTGGCTGGCTTGTGTTTAGCGAAGCATTGTTTTGCTGTGTGCAGTGAGGGTGTTGTCAGCCCGTCATGCACCCAAATAGAGTCATAACCCCCTCTGAGTCAGTCATTGTTCGGCGGAGCACACCGGCATACCTTGAGTCGCGAGGACTTTGCAGTCCTGAGTCCCGTCAAAGTCCTAGAGCTCATGTTTCATTCCTGGCAGATAACCACAGCACACATCCCAGACGAGAATACATAGAAGGTTCTGTCTCTTTTTGAACGAAAGGTGGGGGGGAAGCGAGGAAAGAAAAGAAACCTCGGTGGTGAGGGATTTGCGCAAGTCAACGCGGGGAGCTTTCCTTCAATTGGGGCCGGTCGGAGCAGCTGTGCAAATAAAATTATGACGCATCGTCCGTTGTCGGACCAGATCGGCTCCGAGACAAAATTAATCTAGATAAGGGCAAGAAACCCCATCGGTGGAGCCTGGGGCCAGTTCAGGAATCAGGACTCCGGTTTAATGCTGTTATCTTGATTGCCATCTATCCTCAATCTTCCTCGTCTTCTAGGGGAGTGAGAGACTCGGCCTCATTGGAAACAGTCCGTCGTTTTCCTCAGAAATCCAAGAGGGCAGAAGAAGATCTCGAAAGGAACGGCATCCCAGCGAATGGATTCGCCCACCCCTGCACCACCACTTGGTCCTGCATGAGCCATCTCAACTCGGGCATCACTGATGGTGCAGGGAGACCAGATGGAAAAAGTCCGACCACATCCATGATCCATCAGTCTCCACTTTCCACTCCATAGGCCCTATTTCCGGTTCGGCAGAAGACCTTTCCGTCGCTGAAGAATGAACTGGACTCAACGCCAGATAGCAGATCAATAAATCACGTCCGACAGTTTCTAGCAGTGCCAACAAAAGGCTGTAAGGCTGACGATGCTGGTAGTTACACTGGCACCACGTCGTAATCCCTGAGATCGACAATTTGGAACTTGACACTAAGTTTACAAGTCGACTGCGAAACAGCGTGGAATGTCTACTGCATGAACAGTCGTACTTTTGATGGCGGGAGCATCCATCGGTAGAGCTCATAGGTAGATCAATTTCAACATGGGTAAGGAGTCAAAGTCCACCTGAGGACATTGCACCCCAAAGAGACACCGGAAGTCGAGTCGCGTCGAGTCGGAGGTCGGAAGTCGGGAGCTGTTCTTCAGTACGTATGGAAGAGCTGAAGTCTAGCGTGAACCAACGGACCCATTTCTCTTCTTTTCCTGTTGGTTGCGATGAATGCGGAATGGAACAGGGGATTTTACATAGCAAGGTGCATCAATGCATACATAGTATAAATGTGCTGTACTTCCTCTCTTGCTGCTGTTTGCGTGATGAACGAGGTTGTAACCGAGCCAGGTGTCGCTTCCTTGGCCGTGCGTTGTGTAACTCGAAGATGACTATCGGTAGGTATGTGAATTGGCGACAAACTGTTGACATGGCAATGATCCTATCACAGCCCACCAAGCAGCGATCCACACCAGAAGCTACCTAGTGAAGGCAAGGCGACCTGTCCCCACGGACTAACTTTCGTCTACTTATTTAGCTACTTGTTGCACATCAGAAGGGACAGGCCCCAGTTGGCCTGCAGGCCAAAGTCGGACACATCGCATAAATTTGACAGTTTACAGACGAGCGTTACGGAAAGATAGAGCAATGGACAAACTGTATTGTACAAGAATATTATGTCATCTGGTATCTAGAGTAGAGTTACATGTCAATAGTCAAAGCATTTTAGTAAACCCCCTGAAAAAAAAAATAACTCCTTGACTTGGGCAACATTGCAAAAGGTGTCGTGCAGGTAGCGTCAAAAAATTTGTTGACCACAAATTGAGCCAGGGGCTATTAGTAACGAGACTCATAGCCTCCGCGGTCACCGCCGCGAGATCCATAGCCACCACGGTCGCCGCCACGAGATCCAAAGCCACCACGGTCGCCGCCGCGAGATCCAAAGCCACCACGGTCACCACCGCGAGATCCAAAGCCACCACGGTCGCCACCACGAGATCCAAAGCCACCACGGTCGCCGCCACGAGATCCAAAGCCACCACGGTCGCCACCGCGAGAGCCGAAGCCACCACGGTCACCACCACTCCGATCGCGAGGGTCGAGTGGGCGGCCTCTGCCTCTGTCAGCGTAGTTGAAGTTGCGGCTCGTGCCGGGTCCAGTTTGAAGACCGAGGCCGAGGGTTGCGAAGTTCTTGAGGGCCACTGGAGCGCCTCTGCCCAAAGCACCCTCAAGGTGGCTTCTGAAGGTCGACACGGCCTCCTCCTTGAGGTAAGTGGGGACAATTTCGGCAGCTTTCTTGACCTGATTGAGGTACTCGTTAAGTTCTTCGGTTTCAAGATCCTTGGTGGACGATTCGATAGATCTGTCAATCTTGAGCGGGAGACCGGCCAGTTGTCTTTGTGCATGCGCCTTCTCATCCTTGTGGAGGAAAAGCCATCCTTCACCCTTCTTGTTGGCACGGGCTGTCCGTCCCAGACGATGGATATAGGTTTCGCGGTCGCGGGGAGTACCAATCTGGATGACATGAGTCACATCAGGGTAATCCATACCACGAGCGGTGACATCAGAAGAAAAGAGGATAGCCTCCTTGAAAGCGCGGAAGTCTTGCGAGGTGCGAGTTCTTTGAGCCTGGGTCAATTGGCCATGAATCTCCAACAAAGGCATGTTACCCAAGGGATGTCCACTGCGAACGTCGGACGGGTCGTTGAGCAGGCCCTCGAAGACGTGAGCGGCCAAAGAAGTCATTTTTGTGGTGTTCAGGTAAACGATGGCCTTGAAAGGACGAAGGTCCGGGTCCTCGTTACGCTTCGCCATGTAGTTCTCCCGATAGTTCTTGACCATCTCGAGGACAGAGGCGAAAGCATTCTCGTAGCCGTTCATGATAACAGTTCTCTGAGGGACAGCCATGTGAGTAGGGGTTTCATTCTCGTCGATGGTCTTAACATTCTTGAAACCAGGCTTCATCATCATCCGAACCAAGCGCATCACGTCACGAGTCATGGTGGCGGAGAACATCAGGGTCTGGCGGTCGACCTTGGTGGGATCAGGCAGCAAGTTCGCGATTTGCTGGATATCTTGAGAGAAACCTTCATCCAAAAGACGATCACATTCATCCAGCACGAAAGCAGACAGCCTAGGAGCATTGATGCGGGTGTATGCGTTGGACAGGACGTCATAAAGACGGCCTGGGGTACCAACGAGGATGTGGCAGCCTTCGGTCTGGCATTTCCTCATGTGCAAAAGCTTCTGTGTTCCTCCAACGGCAGTCTGCACCTCCACGCCCGTCCCTTCCACGAGGCGTCTTGCCTCGGTGGCAATCTGTTCAGCCAGCTCTCGGGTAGGCGAGATGATGATGGCGCGAACGTCGTCCGCGCGCATCATCTGTTTCTCGCGGCGCGACTTTGGCAACCCTCTAAGCACTCTTTCAACGACAGGAACCAAGAAAGCTAGGGTTTTTCCTGTTCCAGTCTTTGCTTGTCCAAGACTAATAGAAAGAAATCAAGGTCAGTCTCATTCATGATAGGCAGGCAAAAAAAAAAAACGAAAAGTTTTATCGAAGCAGAACGCAAAGCCCGAGAGTCAACTAACCAGTCAGATCCATCAAGAGTGTCAGCAATCGTCCTACTCTGCACATCTGTCATAGTAGTGATCTTCATCTTCCTCGTGATGTTGTCGATGAACTTGGGATCAATCTTGCCCTGCAACTGAGAGAAGTTGGTCAACTCCTCAGATTGGGTCGGAGTGGCCGCATTCTCGGCCTCCTGCGCAGCAGCAGCAACCGAGAAACGGACAGGCGAGGTGTGGAAAGAGGACCGGAGAGTCTGCGAGATGGGAGTAGCAGTGGAAATAGCCCACGGAGCGCGCTGCGAAGTCGTCTTAACGGCAAGAGCCCGAGATGCTCGCAGCGCATGGGACACACCGGCCCTGCGGAAAGCGCCCAACATGATGAAAGGAGGAGGATAAGGATGGAGTAGAGATGATGAGAATACAGGAACTCGATTCACAATCGATGAAAGAGAGGGAAAGGAAGGAGGAAAAGGGAGAAAAGGATGCAGAGCGATAGCTGCAGAAGGGGGCGGATGAGAAGATCAACAAATCTTCCTGTCGGGATAAGAAAAACTGGCGGCAGAAAAATCTCGGACGCCCGGGCGGTAACGCCACTCCAGGAGCCATGCTATCACGTGATAGATAAGTCCGAGACATCCCGATTGGGAATCTCTACTTCGGGCCCGGGGTTCCCCGCAAGGCCCGGCTTGTATATGTATAAAATAAACATTACCTTGAAGTAGGTCTATCACAGGTATAAATCATGCTAGTCGATAATAGTTGTAGGAAAATGTCCTTGAAAACTTTCACAGCTTCATATGGCTTTCTCTTTTCTTCTTATCTCGCACCTTACACGAGCATGCCCCAGCTGCGGTTGCAGAGCGTACGAATAGGCAAATCTTGAAAGTAACATGAAAGTAGTCATGTTGGCCCAATGGAGGCCTCTAGACAATATGACTGGCCTACTGTGCTTATTTGTATATAGATTACTGACCGTTCGACCTCATAAGGCAGGTAGACCACAGCCAGATCATGATACCCATCTGAGCAGGCCGTTGACTGCATTAGACTGTAATTTCGAATCGTTGCGGTCTAACTCGACATTGATCGATAAAATTGAGGTTGGCATGAGTAAGAGAGTTCACCGGGGTTGCATTTTCTATAACTTGGGAACATGTTTGCACGTTTAGAAGCTCATGTCGTAGACGGGGAGTGGGAGGTTGGTGCTTAGGAATATCTCGTATGCTTCAAAGGAGACCTGGTCAACCTATCCCAATGTTCGAGGCATTGGAGTAACTGGCAAAGACTTTCTCGCCTTCAGTCTAAATACTCTTTCTGTGGGGTCTTTATTGTAGGCAAGCTCCTTTGTATTCAAGGCCATGTATGTAGTATTCGCTAATATCAGAGGGTACGCCTGATCTGTAATCCATTAAGATGTGTACTCAACACTGGTCCTTCTAAAGCAACTCCGTGATTCCCTTGAAATCGACCCAGAGGCCCAGCAATCGCAGGTACCACGGGCAGTAAACCAAGGACGCCATTCATCAGCTTCCACGTGATGGTGAAAACCACTGCACCGGCTGGTAACTGCTCTTAGGACTCGATCTCGCCTTGAAACTCCCTTGTTAGCGAGTATACCGACAAATCCGAGAAACTCTCGTGAGTTGCCGCAGTCCCGCGCGGCGCCGAGGAAGTCGCCGTGGAGACATGCACAGGCGACATAAGTTCCCGTACATGGCCTGGAAACAGCCCCTTGTCAAGGTCACTCTGCCACAGTCTGCGTGAGGCGTCGAAGGCCTTGTTCACAAGGACTCTTCGAGCAGCCTCGTATTCCTGGAACAGGGTCGGCAAGGCGCAGTTGTCATCGCGGTGCTGAGCGAGGATCTGGGTAAAAATGAGGGCGTCTTCGATGGCATACGCGGCAGATTCGTCACGAGGAGGCATCTACATCCACTCTCCCGCGAGGGGAAGAGCGAGGGGTTCAGCGTTCGGGTTGAGAGGGTACATAGAGGCAAGGGAGGGGGAGCGAAATGACATACCGCATGCGCAGCATCCCCTAACAGAAGGACCCGCCCCGTATACCATTTCCCACGCTGTCGTACTTGATAGACAGGATACAGCGCCCAATCTTCGATGCGATCGACTAGTTCCCGAATACTAGGTAGGGTGGACTTGCCGAATTGCGTGCGGACCAAGTATCGGATGGACATCTTCATGCTCGCCTCAGACTGGGGGTTGGCCGAAGCAGCCTGATACCGTTCAATCAGATGCTCGTTGACGCGGAGGATGGCGGCCGCGAAGATCTTCTGTCGATCCGGGTCGCAGTAGCTGGTGAGCAACGAGCTATGCCGGGTAAAATGCACGGCGGATTGGTCAAAGTGCATTGGCAATGTGAACTCCTGCGCATCAGCGATACTCTGGATGAAGGAAATTCCTGTATACTCCGATCGATTGCCGGGATCGACGATCTGCGTCCGTGTGACGGAATGCACCCCGTCGCAGCCCAGGACTAGGTCGCCAGTGGTCACCGAACCGTCTTCAAACTTCAGGGTCACGCTATCATCAGTGGTACTACCGCCCACCATTTTCGCATTATAGGCGACCGTCACATTCGGAAGGTCACGGATGACGGCCAGCATAGCACGCGACAGCGCACTGCGCATCACTCGACGGCCCTTGTAGCCCCCATATCCACGGCCATTCTCGTCGGTGAACCGGAGGGGACCTAATCGACGGCCAGACCGTAGTGAAAACAACTCAATGATATCGACTTCAATTCCCGCATCGTTACCCATCCGGTTCAGCTCCGACAAGACCCCCAGCTGATGTAGGTAGTTCTGTGCAATGGGAGTCAAACTGATGGCGCCTCCTGAGGCGGAAGGACCAGATGCCCCCTCGAACACGGAGATCTTTAGATCGGGATTCGAGGAGCCCAGCTCCCTCGAAAGCGATATGGCGCAAGCGAGACCAGCAATGCCAGCGCCCACAATGAGGATATTCCGAGGCATTCTTACTGACGGCAAGTGAAAATGTCTTGGTAGGCTTCACTAGCAACGCAGTGTTTTATGACCGGAAGAGGGGGATGGATGTACAGGACAACTGGACCTAGCGATTAGACCCCTGCGCCTGTGTAAGACCAAGTGCTTCCAGGGGATACAAGTGTAAAAACAGGGATTTGACCGATGACGAGGATGACGCTCAGTCCATCTTTCGCACGCGGAGATCGTGGGGGCAAGGGGGGGATCTCCACGGTCGATGTAATTGTTGCTATTTCTTGATCCGATGGAATGACCCCGATATCGATAAGGGCACGCACTGACGCCAGCCACGATCGAGGAGGGGAGATTTGAGTTGATCCTCCGTCTCGGGAGTTAGCAATCTGACACCTGGAACTTGGAAACTTGAAATCATAACCGAAACAAGGCAGAAAAGGAGAAAAAAAATTGGCACAGTGAAGAAGCGAACGAATAGTCTGGCTAGACCCTGGTCAACTTGCAGCCAACCGTTCCCGGCCCCTAATAACGGTCGCAAGCGCCTGCGATAATGGATACCTGAGGTACCCATACGGTCTCCGCTGCCGGCCGAAGACGTGTCTCCAGAACCAATCACAGGCAAGGATGGGTTGCAGGAAGACCGAACCGGATCCGATCACGGGTCGGGAAATCCTCCCGATTGGTGTAGAAAAGCATAAGCTCGGTGGGCATTCCTAATTGGTTCCAGTTCTTCACGGCATTTCCATCCATGATCCAGTGCCACGCTACCGAGCTTGCAGAAAAAGGCTGGGATCCGACTCGGGGGTCGGGGCTGGATCAAGAAGAACCTTCCCAGCGCAGGGGCAGGAACCGGTGGAGTGCTTGGGTTCCAAGGTTCGCAAGATCTCAGTAAGGGCGACCGGTCTTCCACTGGCCGTAATCCCCCCACTGTGGGAATGTCCATGGCTTGCGGAACAGAAAGCTTCTTCGGTTTCTGCTACATAACCAGAATAAACCAAAAAAAATTGCAACCATCTGCGAACACATGCCATAATCAATACTAAAAAGAATAAGAAAAATCTGCGATTGACTGAACGAATGCTCGAGCCCGAGGCTCTTGTAGGTACATGCAAGAGGAACTGTTTCTTTCCTCAACTCCCAGAAATCGGAGATAAACATCATGGTAGTAGGCAAGTTACAACCTTGCCGAAATCATCATGTCATCTCAAATCCCATTCCGCGTGGAAGCATAGGTCACTCACAACTCGTTAATATTACCATTGTTCAAACCATATATCGCGGGTATCACAAATGGGGTTCTGGAGCCCATTATTTCACCGGGTCCGTGGGTATCAATTATTAGGACAACTTGGTTCCACCACCTCGCCGAAATGGTGGTGGTCCTCTATCACAAAGTTGTGGGGGGCGATCTCTGCCACGCAGCGCAAGATCTTTTTTACACTAGTAGTAGATCTTCTCCGTGTAGACAGGAGGTGTGCCCTTCTCCGCGTTCCATTGAATGTGGTTCTTCTCATCCAGCCAAGCATCTTCGTCAGTGATCTCAATGACTTTCGAGGTGTGTCTGACCTCCTGGCGACTGACACCCATCTCATCACGAGGAACCCAGAGAAGAGGGGGTTGGGCCTTGATCGAGGGATGGAAGTAGGCAGTTTCTTCAACTATCGGATCATAGCTGGTAGTCTCGTTGGTCGGAACCAGACGACGCAGCTGCGCGTAGCCACTGTACTTGTCGGGTCGAAGATAGCGCATCAAGAAATTGGTCTTGGGCTCTTCCGTAGCCGGGGAAGTCAAGCCCTTCTCCGCGGAATCGACGTTGGCCACACTGCTGTTCCGACCGGCATCTGCAGAGCTGCCAGCAAGAGCTTTGTCATCGTATGGTTCATGAGAAGAGCTCAACCTGGCCTCATGCGCAAGAAGAGACTCTCCTTCCGCCTCAAGGTTCTTGGGCAGGTACTGGATGAGAGGCGCCAAGGCACTGTTGAGAGAGACATGGTACAGGACAGTGAAAACAAGCAAGATAATCATGAGGATCAAGGGGCCAAGAGCAATTTGGTTCGCAGCAGTACCGATGGCAAAGAGCCCAATCAAGCAAACGATGAGGATGTAGCAGCCAACCGTGAGTTGCTGCAACGCCCGGTAGAAGCATTTTCCTTGCGTGTCGATGTCGGCATTCGAAACAAACAGCATGTTGTACCGGTAGGCAAAGTAGAAGAGGTAAAGACCAATGCTCGCAAAGCCGAGAACAAGAGGTGCAATGCAAGAGTAAATGATAGCTATTGAGTAGCCACGCATTAGTCAAAAAGTGCTGTCGACGGGCAACCGTGAAAAGGAAGGAAATTCTTACCGATGACCGACAACAGAGTGAAAACAGGGTACACAGTTCCCCAGCCCAATCCAGACAAAGAAGACCAGCGCTTGTACATCTTCCGGGGGGTGTTATCCAAGAGCCTGCCAAGGATCTTACCAACAATCAAGCCCGAGATCTGCAACAGTGCACCGGCGCTGAAGGACAGACCCTGCAAAATGATGTATGAGATGTAAAAGTTGGATGCGGTCGGGATGTTGTTCGCCAACAGGGATGCAGCGCTAGTGGGCTTATCGATAATCTTGGTGACAACAGCTGAGGCAGATGACGCGAGGGTGACCACCAGGAACACCTGCACGACCTGGAACGCGAAATAGAAGTTCTGGGTGGTCAACTCGACGGCAGCCAAGCTGGGAGCACCACCGAGCTTGGCCATCAGGCGAAGTATGATGGGAACGAGCGCCATGAGGATGGACATCAAGACGGTAGGCAACAGAGAGGTGATGACACCCTTAATCCAGCTCGGGACATCATTGATGAAACGCAGGAAATGAACCTTGTCCGTGAGGAAGTTGATGTTGGAAATTGAACCGACGACGGCGGTTGGGATAGCCCAGAAGACGATCATAGCGCAGACAAAAGCGATGGTCGCGGAATACCGCATGATACGCTCCCACCACTTGATGCGCAAGTTCGACCAGATGACTTGTGTCGGGTCAAGACCAATGTACCGAGGTGCCATATGCAAGGGGAGATTGTGGGCCACTGCATATGCATATTAGCGTTGGGACGAATGAGGTCAGAAGGGCAAATTGCGTATACCAGACTGGAAGGCCGCCTGAGCATCTGCCTGAGCGTAGAACTCCACAAATACAGAGGAAACCAATTTCGCATCACCCGCGCGGTGCTTAGCCTGGAGCTCCTCAATCTCGGGCGTGAGACGCTCGATCTCCGCCCTGGCCCAATTGATTGTATCCACCTTCTTGCCAATGAGCAGCTTCAGCCGGTGCGTAGGGCGGTCCGAAGGTCTAACCCAGCGGGCTGCCACAGAGCCCGACTCTCCATCGGTCTCATCGCCCGCAGCATCTCCAGAGACGGGGCCATCCTCCACATGTCCTTGTTTCTTCAGAGCCTTGAGACGAGCAGCGTTCGCCAACTTGATCAGTTTCGTTTCGGCACCCTCCAGCTTCATCGCCGCATCGTCGCGCGCAGAAACCTTCTCTTCCAACTCGCTAGTATCGGTCGTCAACCAAACATTTTTGACCTTTTCGACACCAAACATCCGACGAATCTTGTCGCGATCGAGATAGTCTTGGGTGACGGCAGAGAACAGCACGGTACGCGAGGACAGACGACTGGCGTAGGCGGGGGAAAGAGCGTAGGCCTGGCGCAGGTTAATGTAGAAGAGACTTTCGCGGGTAATCGTGAAAAAAACGAATCCTAGGAAAATTTGAGTTAGAATGATCCGATTGCTCTGTCCGGCGCAAGATCGCGCTAAGCTCACCGATGAAAATCCAGGCGACAAAGCAATGCGCAAAGTAACGTCCGTAGCTATTTTCCGAGACGTTCGACATGCTCAGAATATCCAGCTGCTTCTTTCCAGCACCACCGGTTCCATTGACTGGGAACAGAATAGGAAACGTAATGCAGCAGCCCACGAAGCAGATCATGGAAACGGTCTTCAGGAAGCGAAGTAAGAGATAGGCATCCATCGAGTGGTGCTGCAAAACATATTCGTCAGGTAGCTGGTACATATGTCGAATCCAATTCCATAGTCCGGTCGGCGAGGCAGGTGTCCGTTCAGAGGGTCGCAAAACTCCGACATAGGTTCGCGGCATGTACATTCGGCGCTCGCTGCGACGCAGAATAACGAAGACGGCGACCATGGCAACAGCCACCACCAAAGATGGGACCAAGGTGGTGACCAAGCCTGATGCCGAATTGGAGGCATTCTGAGGATTATCCGTGCTCTGGAAGCAAGTTAACCGCGTCCATTATCAATGCGAGATGCACATGTATCGCAATTGTCTGAAAATACGTACTCGCCCGCCCAAATGACGGAGGCCTAGGAGGCCTACATCCGTTAAGGCCATGGTGCCCCCCTATTAGAGCGCAGTGGGGCAAAATCACACCCGACAGTAGAAGGCCGCGGTTACAGAGGGTTGAAACCGTCTAGCACAGGGTCTTCTTCGATTGACAAGTTTAAGCGATCACAGAAAAGGGTGGATCGCAAGTTGGGATGGGATGAAAGCAAGGGAAGAGAAATGGAAAAATGAAGGTTGTGGGAGGGGGGACGGTAGTCAGTATTTGTTTGAAGGAGGGAACAAAGTAAAATGAAATAGACTCAAGGAACCCGAAGCTTAGCGATAGGGGAAGCCACTTCAACACACGCTTTTTTTTCGTGCTGAATTTTCTTCTTTGCTCTGCTTGAGTCTGAGCATTCGAGGTTCGAGATACAATGTAAGAAAAAATCGAGGGAAGCTATTAGGAGCCAGCTCAGCGCATTCCAATTGGCGCTCCAGGGATGAAGCAGATACTTAATTTCTTGCGAACAAAATCGGTACCACCGACCGACGACCGTAGTAGTTAACTACTACTTCGTACTTGGTAAATAGTAAAGCTACAGACTAGACCAGGTTGAGTAGGCCCTGGGATAGTCTTTCTCCACCGAGTGGCCAAAAACGAGTGAGAAGCGTAACCGGCGATCAAGCAGACATGGATCGCAAAGAGTCGATGACGCTGCCGCGGGGGTTTTTAAGGGGAATTTTGACTTCGGTCCTGATCAAACAAACACAAACTAGTGACGAATGCCGATATTTCCAGACGCTCAGCTCGTTCAGCCACCCCTCATCATGTCATGATGAGCCCAAGCCAAGAGCGCACAGTTGAGAAATCAGCCAATGTTGTGGACGAGTGATGGAACTGCGCTGCCAAATGCGGATCGAATTGGAGATTGAACCTTTTCTTTCTTCCTCTGTTTGCACGCAACACGGCGGGTTGCCCACCTGCAGAACACGGCAAACAAACCGAGTCCCCTGACTGGCTTGTCAGAGAAGAAGAATTCCGAGGCCAAGTGGAAGAGTTGTTGCAGTCTTCCAATAGATCGCCCCTAGCGCGTGCCTGGTGTGGTATTAGCCTGTCTCGGAGATTGTTTAATCAGGTTGTTGATAAGGCCCAAAGCTGGCAACAAGAAGAAGAAACCCGAAAGGGAAGATGGGAAATTGAAGGGAGAGGGGAAGAGGAGAAGATGGGGGGGGAACGGGCATTGGAACCATGGTGGCAAACCATCTCAACTTTGGGTCCAGGATTCCGATCGCTGGGCTGGCGGAATGCAAACTAAACTTGATATGGTTGGAAGATTAAGTAGCATGTGCATTGTGCAACTGTGCAACCAAGCCCGAGCTGAATCTCTTCCCACCCCACCTGCACCGCCCCATGATCCTTAATGTGGCTTGGGAGCCACTCGACTTGACACTCAATGCAGCATTGGAAGGTTGAATCAAGCTAGACTAGACAGCAGAAGGTGCGGATTTCCAGGGCCCGACTTGTCCGTTCAACGCCGTCAACTCGAAATGACCAACTATGTCGTCAATCGAGCTTCCGAGGTCGTCTCTTCTTTTGGCCCGTATGAGAGTGTGGCTGGACGGGGCGGTAGTTATAAACAGAAACCGCCCAGCCATGAGCTGCTCCCCAGCCACAATTGTGCCGTGCTCCTGACGCAGACCGACTGTTTCACCCAGTCAGAGATCCGAGTCGAGATGAGATGGGCTCGACGTGATCCTCGATCGGAGGAGGAAAGCTCCACGAATTAAGCTTGATGGGCAGGTGCGGGCCACCATGCAACAAATGCGAGCTCCAGACGGGCGGGTGCTTCTTGCCACCAACGTATGTCCTGTGCTCGTACCATTATCTTCTGGCAGGGTCAACGTGTCCATCCAAAGTCAACCTTGAACTGTCAGTCGGCTTCGCAATTTTCCTTCGATCCACTATGAAGGCTAGATGAGCGTGTTGTGTGTCAAATGATATCAATCAATCGACGACCAACTCAACCTTGAACCCAATCCGCACATAGTCTACCAACTTCAATCTCGCCCTTTCAGCTCTCAATGCTTGGGCCTCCAACCTCCGACATTGCTGTAACCAGCCAAAGCAAATCCCAAACTCAGCGCCAGATTGCAGTGATCTTATCGTTCCAAATCTAGACCCAGTCTAGACCTTGCTCCGCGGCCGGACCTCATGTCGCACACAGTACGCTGCTTCGAAGGAGACAGCTTTCCTACTTTGGCCGTGCATCTTGGTCATGCCCTGCCCATGTCAACAAACTTGTCCCGAAAAGCGCCTAGATAATGCACGGACAGTGTTTGAGTGGGACGTGTGGCGAAAATTTTTAACAACTTTTGCATGGCAGATGTCACGCGGAGCTTCGGGTTTTCTTCTATCTTGCCTGCCCCTCTTTCCTTGATCTTGATTTCGGTTTTCATTTTAGTCTTCGTTCTTGTCGAGTAGACAAGGGTGACCGGGCTAGCCTAGGCTGTATCTGCAACCTGCAGGTGTCCGATGTCGCCTGGGGTACGTAACAGATCTTGAGTAACCAGAAGAGCCAAAGGTTGAGCTGACAGCGATGCCATTTCTCGCAGGCACGGGCGGCGCTTGCCGGTCTTCAATTAGCGTGCATCATTTCCTCGCCATGCTGTGTTTACCAAAACTATGTCGAATTAGCTGACGCTCATCGTAGGCATCGACGTGAAGCTTCGAGCGAAAGGGCTCTCAGAGCAGTCAAGTGTCTTGAGCAACTTGTCTTTGTTCTAGTCTGTTCCTTCGTGGCCTCTGCTGGACGACGGGACCAGTCGTAGTGTCTCGCGCAAGCTCTCGTCAAGTCGCGCTCTTTCCAATGGGATACGATCGCTGTGTGCCTTGGCGACAGTTCACGAAGGCCCGGGCAAAAAAAGCTTGTATGATGGGGTCAGAAACAATCTGTAACCTAAGCCCCTCGTGCCACAATTGTATATATCTCATCCTCGGCCTCCGGGATCTTGGCACGAATGGCGACAATGAAGCGCAAACATATACTCATAAATGAGACGTCACGATAGTAGACTCAGTACTATCACCGAGAAGACTCAATCCCGGTCACAAGCCTGCCCAATCTACTAATAAACAATGGCGGACTATTCCGTATACACTAGTTGGCAAGCGCTACCCCGCGGGAGCCCGCCAAAACCACAGGAGGAATTTCCCGCAATTCGACAGCTCAACCAACAAACTACCAAGGATATTAAAAATTTCGACTTGAGGTCAATGCTTGACTTTGGCTCAAGGATTTTGTCTCACGCGGAACCGCGACGGGTAGTTGCAGCAGGGATCGTGTCTTGTCCTACTGTACTGTATGTACAACTCCTCCGAGCTTTTCCGCGGGGCCTGAGAAACATCCATATATTGTGCGCTATTGCGAATGCGAATGAGAGGACCATGACAGATTCGTTATGATGGGCGACGGAGTCCGGCCACTCCCTATGCATGGCAATACGAGATGAGACACCATTGGAGCAAATGGACCAGCTGGCTGGATCCGACTATCCTCCCTTGGGTTATCATCTGACAGGCGAAACTTAGACTTCGGCACTACGTCATAAGCGACCGATCTAGGTGCTTTGACCCCTGCACTTTAATCAGTCGTTGGGCCTTTCTTTTCTTTTTCTCTGCGGGGGAGATGATGTGTGATTGATGGTTGGTGAACCTCTGTAATCAATGCTGATGGATGTGGCACTCTGGTCGATGCGCTTAGCTATGATATCCCGACAATCCAGAATCGCCCAAACGCCGCAAAGACCTATAATAAACCCTGGGTATAAGCCTGATACAGACTCAGCTCACAGCAGCATATAAATCCCTTTCAAAACTTCTGACATCTACAGCAGGAGTCTCGAGCATGAGATAGCTAAACAAGATTTTACTGAAATGGACCTGCATGTTGAGTGGTAGTTGTTTAGCCATCTTCAGAAGCTCTCCCGTCTGCCACGCCCGATCTTGTTCATCCCTCAAGTCCGCACTATAGCGATCCTCCAAAAGGAGCCATGTGAATGTCTCGAACGCCGGATTCCTGTCCAGCTTGTATTCTGTGACAAGCTCATGAAGATGAGCGAGAAATTGAATCGTCTTGCTATGTGCATCCCGAAATTCCCTCAGCGCGATCGTGATGTATATCAAACACGCGGTGCGGCTGACTTCGTGAGTGGGTAGTCTTGGGCTCAATACATACTTGTGCAGATTCTGTGGTACCGCGGTTGGCCAAGGCCCAGGACACAGTGAGCGGTAGAGCGGGCCCGACATTTGGAATGCTGTACGTCGCTGGGGAACGGAGGATAGGTAAGTATCTGCGCTGTGTTCGAGCTTCAAGTCTTCTGCAGCTCGAAGGAAGTCGATCAACAAGCGTTTCTTATTACTGCTCAGTGAAGCTTCTCGTGGCGGCATCTTCAGGTATCGCACATAATGCAGGAATACTTCGGCGATTCCCCTAGGACCCTGACGATGGCGCAAGATTCCAACTGCCTGGTCTTCATACTTCATGGCAGCAAGTTCACTATCACCGAAGCGATTCTCATGTAAAGACATCCCAGCTAGGGCCATGGCTAGAATGTCATCATTCCTCTGACCTCTTGTTTCTCCAAGCATCGAGGAAGCTCTAACCAGATGTTGCGCAGCTTCGGGGCTGGATTTATAACCATATAGAGAGGCTCTCCAGCGAGCGCTATACGCAAGAATGACTGCTTGAAAGCACACTGGATGGGCCTTAGCGGTGTTGAAAACCTGCAGCTTGATGTACTGATTCTGACCCGACCAATAGCTCAACTTGCTCACCCATGCATCAACCAGCTCCTGGTCGGCTAAAGAGTTGACAGCTGGCAAACTGTCAAAAGGATCTTTCTTGAACGAATTGAGAACCGTGGCAGGCGATGGAGACCTCATAGAATCCGTGAGGGGTGATGTTTGTGCTCGTGCAGGGGGACTGGTTCGATTCTAGAGAACGGACAACTGTTAGCGCGATGCGGGGTCATGATGAGTGGAGTGTAAACCAAACGATAAACGACGGCAACGTCATCAGAGCCACAATGGTGCCCCGAATTGTGCAGCGCGCAAGCTGATGTGAATTGTCGCAAGACTCACATTGCGAATCAGTGGCCGTGGACCCGTCCGTTGGAGACCTCTTTTCTGATTATGGTTGCGCATTACATGCGCCCTCCGCTCACGAGGGGGCAAGTCATCGTTGACGAACAAATATTTGGGGGGTTCTTTCTCGGGTCTTGATGGGCGATTGTGTTGGCCCATGTCAATGAGAAATCGAGGAGCATGACCGGACACTTCTGGCACGAGTAGACTGGTGAGCTCTTGTAAGATACGTGCACACACATTAGTAATGAGAGAGGAGACATCGGAAAACCAACTTTGTTGTTCTGCTTCAGGAAGATCCGTTGCCTCTAGGACAGGTTCACAATGGCTTGCCAAAGGGGACATTAGATAGAGTGTATTAATATCACAGTACTTCAGCAGCTACTCAAGAATAGAACCGAAAGTGAGTGGGCCAGAGGAGAAGAAAGGGGAGGCGGGCGTTAGTCCTGCATTTCGAAACAGACGAGATCCCTTGGAAGCCAGGAAGAAACGGTCATTGCCCACAAGGCTGAGAGCAAAACGTATATTCCGCTGTCAGGCCACGAGGAGGGAGAAAGCCAGCTTATCTACTCTTTTGGGAGATTGGAGAAAATGGGCAGAGCTGGGAGAGAGGCGGGGGAAGGAGGTGGAGGAGTTGGTGGAGGGAGGGATGAAGCGAGAGAGAAATCAGCTCGAAGAATAACTAGGCAGGCCTGAAGAGAGAAGCGGCCAGTGCACTGGCACTCACCTGTGGGCGAGCTAGACAGAATTTACAGGGCCCCACGACCTACTCTAGACTGCTGCACAGTTTATGCTTGGATTAGACTTACTTGTGTCCTCGGGTCTTCAGGGACCCATGATCTGGGCATACAATCTCAATTACCTTACGTAGTTCAGTTTGGAAATTCTACCAGTATCTGTCTTAATCATTGGTTCGGAAAGAATTAAACCAGGTCCGGAAAAGGAATCCTTACCCGTCAGGTCCCCGTATGATTGGATGTGGGGGAGCGATTGAAGCCCACTTTGGCTCTACCTATCATTCAGAATCATCCAAACGGGAAGGATGCCGCAAGACGGATTGGTTTGGGCCGTTGAATGACTCGCTAGGCCTCTTTTCTACTTAGTAGTGTACTGTACCCCATTGTTAGCCCCAGTTCGCAGGACTTCGCAGCCATCTTGTTCCAAAGAGGCAAAAGGTCATATGGATATATCGGCCGAATTCGGTAGGTCAACCGCGAGGGGGGCGTGCATATCCTTGAGAGAAATGGATGATGATAATGTGGGAACGCACTCTCGTGAAGTCAGCCGGGCGAAGGCCTTTCATCTACTGGTATGCCTTCGCAATTCCCTTAATCGCCACCGTCATTGACCAATAATGGAAGAATGAGTGGTGATGTTCAATGGCCGCAGGTGTTTGTGTCGCGAAATCAAGCAACTCGGCCACAAAACCTATGGCGTGAACGCGCTGATGCTGAAGCTCAGGAAAAGGCGTACTTCGTACTACTGGTAAGTGCTGCCCGTGGCTGCTGTAGGCGCAATGCTAGAAAAGGTTAGTCTAAACCACTCAATGGAGGAGGACGAAGCAATATCGCAAGCAGAACACGAAGAATGACGTCAAGAAGTCTGGCCGTCATGATTCAAGGCCATACCCCAGACAATAGTAACTCAGCCCTATGATACTTAGCGGTAGTATGCCGAAGGTAGATTTACTCTCTACCGGCGCATATCGAAACTTTCACAACAGGGTGAGAACTACTCATAGCAAGCGAAGTAGACACCATAAGGCAACGGGAAAGAAATATCACCAATGGAAATGTAGATCAAGGAAACCGCAAAGTTCTTGTTATCTCGATAGTCGGTTCCTCTTGAGAAGCTGCCAATCCTTTCATGGGGTCCCTAGGCTGCTTCGGTAACGAGGGTATTCCATTCAAACTGAACAGCGCAGCGGTGGCGTCTGCAGTACAATGGACTCCGATTGGGTTCATGACTACCGGACGGATCCGTTTAGGAGTCCTATTCGAGGAGCGAGTAGGATCTGGGGATGCCGTAAATACGCCTTCAGATTTCCCTTACGTGTATTTGCGTATGTATGCGACTATTTCCTTTTCATTCCATATACATGTATCTGAGTGGAATTCTTGGCACTATTTTCAGCCAATCAGAGGTTTTTATTTTATAGCTAAAGCTTGCTTACCACGTGACTCTATTAGGCATCTTTTAGCAGTAATATATAGAGAAAACACGTACGTGATTTTTGAAAGTTATACGTAAACACTTTTTCCTTACATGAAAATAGAAGATACATGTATTTTGGTCCGGCATCCCTAGTAGGATCAGCTCAGGTGCCGCATCACGTTTGCAACATGGCCTCTGTACTGGGCTATGCTCCTTTGGATCATCGGGCCAAGCCTACATAATTGCCTAGACGGGTAACCTTTCCAGCCATAGCCCTGAACTGCAGGAGGAGACAAGGTGTCAAAAGTACTAGCCCATCCTTTCCCGACTGATGTCTACTTATGCATTAGTTGCAAAACAATGCCTCTGTCCTGCTGATCATAATAGACTACTGCTCTAGATGCTGTATGTCTAAGGTGCTCGACCGTGTTGAGTGTCATGTGCAGTAGAGTCCCCATCGTTGAAGCTCCTGAGTGCTCATTGTTAGTTAGCCCTATGAAGAATGGCATGGCATTGTTGAGTTCAACACAATGTGCAAGGCGATGGCAATTGCATATGCTTGAAAAGGCCTTTCCTTGGATATGTCCTGCGAGTCATGCTGCACTGATCATGAGTCTTGGAAGTCCTGACGATGGTATCTAATGCCTTACATGTCCCATCCGAGGCCGGTTCCGAGCCCAGTTCGTCCCGCTCGCTGGAGTCACGGTCCACGGTGTCCGTACTTCTGCTTCAAAATGACTAGCCCTAATTCAACGAGCTTGGCTCAAAGCAAGTAAATAATGAGTAAGCACCCCGTGACCCAAAAACCACTTAACGCGTATGGAACGGATCAAGGTCTTTCCGACGCGACCGTGTTGTGGACGCGTCCCATGCAAAGCTCGACGGAAAAATGCCAATACGAAGCAAAAGCGCCAAACACACTCCTATCAAACCCCCCTCGGACCAACCCACCTTCCCCAAGGCTGGTCCTTCTGATTGACCGACACGGAATTAGACATCTATTTGAGACAGCATCAAGACTCCGGAGTTTCATATCCTACGTTATATCTTATCTAGAAACACCACTACTCCCAACGGTCCTTCCCTGGCCGTTCGCCCTTGATCATGTCCTCCCTCTTCGATGCCGTCCTGCAGTCCGAATTGGGCTCGACGGCAGGCTCTCGTCGTCTTCATTCGGATCAGATCCCGAGCTCACGTCCGCAGCCCCCCTCAGAAAGCAATGGGCCGATGAGCGACATGCACGGTTATCCCGACGAGCAAGGAGCTGACTCGAACGCCTCGACTGTTGGCCGACTCCGCAATCCCTACCTTCCCCCTCCTCCCCCAGTGACCGATGTAGCTGGAGAAAAAGTGCAGCAGGCATTTGAAGAACTGCTTGAGACTTACGTGGAGGAGCCTTCACTCTCACAGCCGCCCCCGCCGTCCGCGGAGATCCTGAGCGACAAGTACTATGTTGCTCAAATTCGGGGCATGGCCAAATTCGAGCTCTCGACGCTCTACGTGGACTTTACACATCTGACCTCCTTGAGCAACCCGATTCTGGCAGACGCTATTGCCAATCAATATTACCGGTTCCAACCTTTTCTCACCAAGGCCCTAAACAATTTGATCGCCAAGTATGAACCCGAATACTTTGCCGCACATCGACAGGCTACCGCTACTAGTAGCATCTCTTCACAGGCTGGCACCTCTATGGTTGCGGGTAACTCAAGCGTGTCTGACAATCCGGACTTGGACCGTGATATTCGTGAGAAGACTAGGCATCAGCAAACCGATCGGCTATTCTCGCTGGCTTTCTACAACCTACCTCTTGTGTCCCGATTGCGCCAACTTCGGACATCCCAGATTGGAAAGTTGGTTTCAGTGTCTGGCACAGTCACGCGTACCTCTGAGATTCGGCCCGAATTGTCTCTAGGAACCTTCATGTGTGAACTATGTAAGGCAGTATGCCCCAATGTGGAACAGACATTCCGCTACACTGAACCCGCTCAATGCCCCAACGAAATCTGCGGCAACCGCACCGCATGGCGGCTGGATATCGGTAAGAGCACTTTTGTCGATTGGCAGAAGGTCAAGCTGCAGGAGTCGTCTCACGAAATCCCAACCGGCAGCATGCCGCGGACAATGGACGTCATTCTTCGCGGCGAAATGGTCGATCGTGCTAAAGCTGGTGAGCGGTGTATCTTTACTGGTACTCTGATCGTCGTGCCGGATGTGAGTCAGCTGGGATTGCCTGGAGTGCGACCGGAGGCTGTTCGTGACGACGGTGCCTTCAGGGGCAGTGACATCGGCGGTGGTGGTGTTAGTGGTCTCAAAGCTCTCGGTATTCGAGACCTCACCTATCGACTCGCCTTCCTCGCTTGCATGGTAACGCCCGACACAACAACCCCTGGTCAGCAGACGAAACAGCAATTGAATGGCCAGTCACACAACATCTTGGCTTCCCTCAACCAAATCTCTGATCCTGAGACCGATGAAGATCAGGCGCAGGAGGCTTTGCTTCAGAGTCTTACGCCCTACGAGGTCCAAGACTTGAAGAAACTCGTACATTCAGAATACATCTACGCACGTCTCATCGATTCTATTGCTCCCATGATTTATGGTCACCGGCAAATCAAGAAAGGCATTTTGTTGCAACTAATTGGAGGAGTCAGCAAAAATACCGAACAAGAAAACCTGCAGCTCCGTGGTGACATCAACATTTGCATTGTTGGTGACCCCTCAACTAGCAAAAGTCAATTCCTGAAGTGAGTACCTCGCTCGTGCTACCCTTGCGTTTCAGACGAAGATACTTACACGGACTCTCTCAGGTATGTTTGTTCTTTGCATCCTCGGGCTGTTTATACCAGTGGCAAAGCCTCCTCTGCGGCGGGTTTGACCGCGGCTGTTGTGAAGGATGCTGAGACAGGCGAATTCACAATCGAAGCAGGGGCTCTGATGTTGGCTGTATGTGAATCTCATGATTATTGTGACCAATCATCGCAGAACTAACAAATTTATGCAGAACGGCGGTGGTATCTGCTGTATTGATGAATTTGATAAAATGGATCTTAGCGACCAAGTTGCCATTCACGAAGCCATGGAACAGCAGACGATTTCTATTGCCAAGGCTGGTATTCATACTACACTCAACGCCCGTGCATCGATTTTGGCTGCGGCAAACCCTATCGGCGGCCGTTATAACCCCAAGACTACGCTGCGTGGTAATTTGAACTTCAGTGCTCCCATCATGAGCAGATTCGATCTTTTTTTCGTGGTTCGTGATGACCCTAATGAGACGGTGGATCGCAACCTTGCGGATCACATTGTCAATGTGCACATGAACCGCGATGAAGCAGTCAACCCAGAGCTCAGTACCGAACAATTACTGCGTTACATTCGGTTCGCAAGAACTTTCAGACCCGTCTTCACCGAGGAGGCCAAGGCCTACCTGGTTGAGAAGTATAAGGAGCTTCGTGCCGGCGATGCTCAAGGTGGCATGGGCCGCTCCTCATACCGCATCACGGTCCGACAGCTCGAGTCTCTGATTCGTCTTTCCGAAGCCGTTGCTAAGGCTAACTGTGTAGAGGAGATTGTGCCCAAGTTTGTGCGCGAGGCGTATGATCTTTTGCGGCAGAGCATGGTGACTGTTGAGAAAGACGATGTTGAAGTTGATGATGATGAGATCAACGCCGCAAGCAATCGCGTTGCTGATGAAGACCATGAGATGGGCGACCGCGATCGGGAAGGCGATAGCCCCATGCGCGATGAAGGGGAGCCAGCACAACAGCCTCAACAGCCGCGCGCACGTACCAAGATCACTTATGACAAGTACATGAAGATCCTGAACTTGATTGTACGACGTGTGAGGGACGATGAGTCGATGTCCGGTGAAGGTGTTGAGCAGGAAGAGCTTCTGGTTTGGTATCTGGAACAAGTCGAGTCTGAGCTTCAGACTGAAGAAGATCTGGAGCAAGAACGCTCCCTTGCTGTCAAGGTCTTGAAGCGCATGGTCAAGGTACGTGTCACATTGCGCACGGCACTTCTTCTGTCCCATTGCGCTCATGCTAACTTATTCTTTAATCTACTACAGGATAATATTTTGATGCCTATTCGTGGACAAGGTCTGGTCGATCCAGCTGATGAGTCCGAACAAGTCGAGCGGACTATCTATGTCATGCATCCCAACTGTGCCATCGACGAGGAGTGATTCTGTGCTTGATGTTCTCATTTTTGGGTAAGGTAATGATTGAGCATTGGTGGAGCAGGAGTCATGGTGCCCTCGGTCGTTATGAATGATGATTTTCTGATTTGACCTTGATATGAAATTATTCGCGCATTCTCGATGAAGCATATGTGATCTTGGACTGACGAGTCTGGAGTACATTGGTTGCACTTTTCCCTTCTTATCCTATGAATATAATAGTTCATGAATTGCCGATGCATTCATCTCAAACTCATTTTCTACTTCATTTGATCCAATTCTGACTTCATATCGCTACATCATCCCTCATCTATGCTAGGTCTGTAATCTTCGCTTGGCCTCACCTGCGATCCTACATGATCTCGCAAACGTGTCTTGTCGATCTATGGAAGCCGTATTCTTACGTCTTTCCATCACTCTTTCCTATCCTTCACTCCCAAAACTTCCCACTTTCTGATTTACATGTTGCGCTTACCTTGGCTTCATGTCCTGAGGCTACTCATGTATTTCGCCAATCTATCGAAAAGCATCATGATCTCAAGCTCTTGCAATCTTCTTCACCATTCTCTTACAACTTGCCTACATGATCAGGTCCTCTTACATGGTTAGTCTCTGTTCTCACACTGCAATAACTGCCGAGGGGCGGCACCCAAGCATCTTGCTAGCCTACAAATACCACTACTCATCTATGACTCCTGTTCTTCCATCCTTCTCACGAACATTCTTACTTCTACTATACCATCATTCCATTCCTCCAGACATCTTCACCTCTCTCTCTGTTCTTCCTCTTTGCATTCGTTCCTGATAGTACCAATGGGCGTTGCCCGCCTACAAAAACCACCCGTTCTACCATAAATCCTTCTCGCCCCGTCTCCGTTTCTCGTTCATCCTCCTCCTAACCTCTCTCCTGTTCATCCGCCTTCCCCAGTCGTTCCAATCGTACTCTACTCCTGTTCTCCTACCTCCCTCGAGTCTTCTTCCCGAACTTACCACTATATCTTCCCGATTTCCCCCTCAGTTTCTTCCCACGTTGGGCTTTCTTCCCTACTTCCACAGGCATTCTTCTTTCTTTACAACTGCTTCCGCTCTCTGAGTCAATATCCCAGTCTTACAAATTTCAGCCTTACATACTCTTCACTTCATGGACCTCGTCATCCATACTTATAATTCGAAGTCATATACTTTCACTAGAAATCTTATGTCTGCTAGTGCCAATTATGTCTTCGGAGCAGCCTACAAGCACCCAGGATGGGACGAACTTCAATGTCCAAGCCGAGACTCTCGATGCTGGGAAGATCCGTGAGAGCATCCGGGCGCGAAGGGAACGCGCAGGTGCTGCGATAGCCATTGTTAATGGCCGTCAGGCTTTACACGAATCTACACGTGAGCAAATATCCTCTTTAAGAGATGCGATATGCATCGAGATACTAACATCTTATTGACTAGTTGGCTCCGATGATTGGATGACAGGAGTCGGGTATCCAGTAGCTTCGATTTCTCCTAATGGCCTTCAACACCCCGACGGACAGGAGTCGCTCTTCTGCTCAGGTCCGACTATGCCCCTAGAGCCTTCAACTTGCGACTCAATTTCTCCTAATGGCCTTCAAAACGGCGGAGAGGAGTCGCTTTCCTCTGAAAATGTTACAATGCTTGGTGATCCCCTACTTTACTTACCCAGTGATACTGATATGCCTCACCCGAAGGAACCTAATTTGGTAGAGACCGCTATCCCGGAACTGTCAGACGCAGAAGTCGCGGCATTATTGCAAGGCATGAACGGATCGGTAATGACAAATTCAGTCGAAAATGCAGAGCCCACAAACCCAGTTCCCTCGGCAGATAAGAACAAAGAGCGTGAAAATTCCGCTAATGGGGCAGGCGATAGTGATGATGGCAATTCCGAGTCGCTATCAGATAATATGTCTGTCATATGTTCGTCGTCATCCGGAACAGAAGGTGCACATGATCTGTTGATGGACGCAACTAGCGAGGTTGACGAGCAGGGCGACCGATCCGAGTGGCCAGATGAGGATTTTGATGATATAGTCAGGGAAGAGCTTTCCAATGCAAAGTGGGGCCCGTATGCATACATTCCAGTGAAGCTTGACTGACTGCTATGTACAGATTCAAAGCTGCAAAGCGTCATTTCAGGAACATTGCAAATCCTTCTATGGAGGATAAAATCCGATTCGAAGCCGCGAAGATGAAAGAGGAAGCCCGTGCGAGAAGAGTTTCCGCGAGAGAGGCTCTTGAAGCAGAGAGCAAATTGGCTAATTTCAGTGACAAGGAACCAGGAGCCGAGCTTCACCAACAAGCGCCAGTTCAAGCCACGCCACAGCCATTGGAGGAGATCGTGCAACTTTCTCCGAGTAGCGGCGATTCAAACAAACAAGGCCGACGAATTCAACCACCGAGAAACAAAAGTAACAGGATCTCAGCCGAAGAGAAGCGCAAGAGCAAGAAATACGGCCTCGACCTTGCTCTCAAACAAGGAGACCACAAGACCGCAAGGAAATCTAGAAAACGCAAGAGTGGGGAAGCCACTCCGGATGCAGAAAAGGCAGTCTCCGAGAAAGCAAGGAAGAAGATCCGAATAAGTACAGAATTCTTCAAAGATCTCTTGGCTCCTAACGTCATAGAAGATGCACACGCGAGTGCTTCTGCAGAGGCAATGCCTAAGCTCAGCGAGAAGAATAAAGAGGCGGCATTCAAACGGCTTATTGCCAGCATTCCTGCTGCCGATCATTCTGGAGCAAGATCGGACCAGAGCAAAATCATTGATGCAACCAGGAAGTTCTCAAAACTTGCTAGAATGGATGGTAAAGGCGGATACCGCATCCCGGGTATGAAGACAAGCTTGTACCACTATCAGCTTCAAGGAGCAGCTTTCATGCGGGATCGAGAGAATTCATCTGTTGCACCTTCTGGTGGATTTCTCAGTGATTTTATGGGATTGGGAAAGACAATTCAAGCACTAGGTAAGTGCGAAGTCCGATATCTGTCATGTAGCCACTGTGCTAACGAAGTCCAGCGAACATCGTGGATGGACAGCCTCCGGCGAATGACCCTGTCAAGACTACTCTCATCGTTGTTCCCTCACAACTTGTATCTCACTGGTATGGCCCATTATGTATATTCACTCCGCCTTACTGACTCGCTGACTCGTGCAGGAATACCCAAATCACCAATCACTGTGATGGTATTGATGGCAGCGAGGTCCTTACTTACAATGCCAGAACGAGATTAAGTACACTGAATACAACGAAAAGCCTCCAAAAATACAGTGTAATAATTACCACGTACGAGGAGGTCAGAATGTCATATCCTAAATGCAATCAAACGTCAGTGCCGACCGGAGATGAAGATGAAGTGACCGCATGGTGGAATGAACAATACGAGGAGAAGGCCGGCCCTCTCCATAGGATTAAGTTTCTCCGTATTATACTAGACGAAGGACATATCATCAAAAATTATTCGTCCGCCGTCTCACTCGCTGTTCGTGCGTTGACCGGCAAATACAAATGGATACTGAGTGGCACACCTATACACAATTGCCTTGATGAATTATATCCTCAATTCGACTTTCTAGGCGTACCCGGCACAAAGACCCTTGAAAAATTCATGAAAGACTTCTGCCAGAGTGAGATAGGTCATAGCCGCCTGGTCAATCTCATGCGATCTTTCATGTTCCGCCGAACTCATGCTAGTCGGCTTTTCTCATTTCCGATTGTCAAGCTACCGGACGTCAAGGATAGAGTAGTCAGGGTTCAATTTTGTGACGCTGAACGTGAGATCTATACTGCCATCCAAGACGTATTCATTGAGAACCTCAACAAGTGTGGAAATTTAAAGCATCCTGCGTTGGCTCAGTATCGATGCTTCCTGACAATGCTTCTGAAATTCCGCATGTTCTGCAGCCATCTCTTGACAGCACATGATATGTTAAAGAAGCTGCTTTCGAAGGGACCCCTCATGACGAAGCTCTCCAAGATGTCTAGGGAGCGAGACGGGCAGGATCCCACATCCATAATAGTACAGAGACTGGTCGCAATCCGCAAGAATCCAACAGCCATCCGTGACGACCAGAACGAGCATCTGGTTCACTCTACAACCCTCCAAGGAGATCGGGAAAAGCTGACGAAGGACTTCTATGAGTTCATGGTACAGCTTCACGACAGTGGGCAATGGGAAGAACGCCTTGAGAGAAACAATTGCGCTCAATGCAAGCTTGTGCCAGTGTACCCCGTGATCACCTCGTGTCACCACCTCTTCTGTGAGGAATGCTACAGCTCTCTTTTCGTCAATGAAAATGCAGGTCAAGACAAGCCCATGTGCTTAATATGCAAAAAACCCATTTGCGAAGCTGCTTACTGCGACGCAATTGAAGAGTTGGAGCTTCAGCAGATGCAGGCTTCTCAGCAAGCACAGCCTCCCAGAAAGTCTGCTTCGCGGCGAAAGCCCAAAGGCTCGTTCCGCCGAGGCACTTTTTTCGATGCGAATGAGGAGTCATCGGACGTGCCGGGAGCAGATGAAGAAACAGACTGGATTCAAGCATGCGCTGGCCTCATGCCATCTGCGAAACTAACCAAAATTCGAGAAATAGTAGCCGAATGGCTGGCGGAATCCCCTACGACGAAGATCGTGATTTTTACCCAGTTTCTCGATTTCGTTCGTATCGTGGATTTTATGTGTCAGAAGGAGGGTTGGGAGGTTGCCTGTGTAAGACTCCAGATTAGTTATGCACAAGATGCTCGTTCTGAATCTGAAATACTTAACTGACAACTTGTAGTTGACAGGAAGTATGAATTTGGCGAAACGCGAACTAAGCATGAAGCGGTTCAACAAGAAGGACGGTAATACGAACATCTTGTTGGCTAGCTTAAAGGCAGGAGGCATAGGACTGGATCTAACGGCAGCAAACAAGTGCATCCTGGTAGATCTCTGGTGGAACGAAGCCATCCAGGACCAGGTATGAACGAAAACCCTCATTCAGAGATTTCGTGAGCGACACTACTAACTATTATCGATTCTAAGGCGTTCTGCCGGCTGTGGCGCCATGGGCAAACCCAGGAGGTGGAATTTGTCAAGCTCATTGTCGACGACACAATTGACGATTACCTTCTCGATCTGCAGGCCGAGAAGAGTAAATGCATTGACGAAACCATCGGAGATGATGTCCTCAGAAAGTTCGAGACCTTAAAGTCCTTGCTCGAGATGTTTTGCGATGTTGAGGTCGAACGCAACGGCGCCTACAAATTGACTAGAAAGCAGATGGACAAGGCGAAGTCGAAACCCAAACCGAAAGGCAAAGGCAAACAGAAACAGGGTGATTCTACGCAGTCAGTCCCTGCAGAGTCTTGAGCTGCGCTCCAGATCCCTGTCTTTTTAGGTCGACACGGATATCTTTCATCCCCATGCAAGCTTGGGCATTTGTTTATCTCTATTACCTTTTTTGTGATACCCTCTCATATAGCCTGGGCTATATACTGCAATTTTGATGCTTCATCTTTCAGTTCGTTTCTTGCTATGGAAACTGGAAAGAACAAATTTGGCGCACGCATATAACTTCGAATAGCCGCAAACGCGAGCATTATGCTCTTGTGCATGACTGCGGTTATGGATCTTTTCCTGATATTTCAATCTGCATCTAGCTATTTCCTCGACAAATCCCACATTCCGATAGTCTAGTCATGAATACAAGCAAATGTCGACCGGAAACAGCGAAATCAAAGGAAAGCTAAAACTAACGCGAGGGACCGAGAACATGATTCCCTTCATCTCGAAAGAGGCGTATATCCGTATCCGCCCAATCTCCCTCCTCCCTGCCATCAGCATCTATGACTTACTCCGAGCCACCATAACTTCTACGAATTGCTGGCTTATGCCTAGCGCTGCGATCATACAGCATCCGATCTGCAATTGACTCAGCCAATTCCATCCGTCGCGTGAGAGGTTACGATCTAGACTCAAGTGACGGAGTTCCCATGTAGAGGCTTAGCCTGCAAGATCTCATCTGTGCCGAACAGCTAGGATCCAGAGTGCGTCAACTGGTCTCCCCTCCGGCCAGGAGGAGCAAGTACGTACGGGGACGGGGCCAGTGGCGGCTTGGGTGCTTGAACCCTTCCCCTCCCTGGTTCTTTTGTACACAAAGTAGGATATAAGTCCAGAATATATGGACGCAAATTAGTGAAGAACTAAAGAGTGATATTGGATTGAACTTCATGGAATCAAACAGCTAGTGAAAAGACATACAAAATAAGTACCTACCGGAAACAAACAAATCCGACAGACAGGCCACCATACGGTACCCTTCATTCAAGTAAGCACATAATAATACGAAGTCATCATCGCGGTGCTATCCTCGTACTGTTGCTGCTGCTGCTGCTGCTGCTCCTCTACCGGTCCGCCGCCGACTGTCCATGCTCTCTCGTCGTCCTCGTCAACGATATTCTCCTTGTCTCCATCCCACGGAGCAAAGACATTAACTCTAATCTCCTGCAACTCGATATCATTCGGGTCTTCATAGATGGGGAAGCTCGTTCGCGAGAACGATTGGTGCTGAGCATGGTACTGGTGCACGTGGTGGCTCTCCGCGTAAGGCTCAGGATTAGTTGCCAGCAGGGGGTCCGCGCCGGGGAAGGGAACGAAAGCACTAAACCTGTGTGCCGGGGAGGTGGAGTGGTGAGGTGGTGGTGGCGGGATAGCGCAGTCTTCAGTGCCAGTCCATCCGCTTGCAGCAGTGATAGTTGTAGTGCCATTGGGAGGAGAAAAGAGGGAGATCGTGCTCGTCTCGTCCATTTCCAGCGACATTGCGGTGTCGATGTCGATGTCGATGTCGACGTCCATCTGCGGGGCGTCGAACGAGCCGGTCCCTGCGTGGGAGAGTCGGGCTAAGCTCGGTAGATTGAGGTCCTTGAATGTATTTATGATGTCCTGTTGGCCGGTCTTTCGTCTCTTCTCGCGGTGCGGGAGTGCGTTCGCGCTCCGCGGGTTGTGTTTTTCGTCTGGATCCTCGGCTTCACCGCGCTGGGTGAAGGTGCGGACTTTGAGATGGTTTGAGGGGTAGGAGGACGACGATGAACGCTTGGGGTTGTATGGCGGGGTGATCATTTTGACAGTTTGGGTTGTGGTCGGCCAGGGCTGGTTGAGAGGAGGGATTAGTATAGTATATGATGCCAATAAAGATTTCTTGGATGATGAAAAGGGGAATGGCTTCAGAGAAAGTTCTCGCTCACTTTTCTGCAGTTCTTGGGTCTCGTGGTACAGAATTGACTCACAGCTTCCATGGTAGTCTCGAAGCAATGATCGAGTACTTTGAGGTTATGTTTGTGATTCTTCCGCTATGGGACGTTGGCCGCGGTCATATCACTTGGGCGTTGTTGAACGGCATCGGGGTCGAATACTTAACCCTTGCAGGCAAGACGCAGAGATGAACACTCTCTTGCAGTGTACAGAAGACGTTGGTCTGGCGTTGGAGTCCGAAAGACGGTCAATCCCACACAATGGCGTCGTGCTGTTGTGGACGATGTTGTAGTAGACTGGCCCGCTGGCCGTCAAGCCGGAGAAAGCCAGTCAAACGAGACGAGGGATGAGGGAGGGAAGGATGGAGGGAGGAAGGGAAAGACCCCGAAGAAGTCCAGTTGGAGAGAGGCAGCCCCAACGCGGGCAAATTATCAAATCCCACAAACTCACTCGGTCACAAATGGCGTGGGAATTATGTCAAGTTTCAGTTCTTCCTAATTCCTACTATATCAACGCAATTCCTACAAGTGGCCTACAAAGAATGGACCGTAGTCGAGCAATAGACTTCCATTAAAGCCACCAAGCCATCTCGAAATCCAGGCTTATGTACGATGGCATGAGATCAACTATCAAGCGAAGATAAGACCTATCGACCTATTGCCCGGGATTTTGTCGTTTCGTGGTGGTTGTCCCGCAGAGGAGAGAATCCGGTGTTGATACAATCTCTCGTTGCTCTCATTCCGTCACAGAGCCAGGCCAGCATCCAATCGGCATACCTCTCATACTCACCTTCGTCATGCATCAAGCCGGTAGCCAAATAAGAAAGAGATAATAGAAAAGAAACAGATACAAGCAATGGTTATGTATCAAGATAGCATGGCAAAGGGTATGCGAAGGCGCTGCAAGATATGGAGGAATATATGTTCAGCGTACTCCCAGGGCCCGATTGTAGGAACAAACAAGTAACCACCAAAGCCACCCATACACTTTATCTGAACTGTCCAGGTCCAATCATGCCACCTCTGGCGTCACCACCAACTTGACCGAACATATCCAACAGGTGCCGGGAGGATGGGGGAGGTCCTTGTGGCGGAGGACCACCCTCGAAAGGAGCCTGTCCACGAGGTCCAAGCCCCATCATAACATCGCCGTTAGGTGGCATGGGTGGAAATGAAGGTGGGGGGCCATTCATATAACCGGGGGGAGGCATCATCCCAGGAGGTGGATGGAAACCAGCCGATCCACCGCCATTGGCGCGGGGAGGAAAAGGTTCGCGCTCATTGAGAGGAGGAGCACCTGCGTGCATTGGCATCATGTTTGCCATATAACTCGGGTTTACACCGCGTGTAGGAGTCGGGATCCCCGGGGGAGGGGCCAAAGGCGCCGGTCCACCTGCAGGTTGCGGCGGCATTTGAGGACCCGCCCATCCAGGGGGCGGCAGATGCTCAAAGCCTGGCGGTCTCTGCATACCCATAGGAGGATGGACTTGACCGTGGGGAGCTCTGGTTCCACCAGGCGTGATGGGAACTTGACCACCTGGAGGGAAAGGGATTTCGTCAAAATATCCCATGGGTGGCCCGTTTACAGGCCGTCTCCGGAGATGTTCTGCGTCGGGTCTCTGAATATTCGCAATCGCTGGATCATCCAAAAAGTTGGGTCCCTTCTGGACAGGAGGGATACCAGGGGGAGGAGACAGTACGTCGGGCATGTTCATCATACCAGGCACGGGGCCGGCACTCTGCGGCTGGTTTTGACCACCCGGGGCAGGGCCGCTTACAGGAGTGACGCGAACTTGCTGCATCAGTCGAAGAAGGTGCTCTCTATCACGAGCCTGCGTCTCCGGAGGGTATGGGTTTTCCTTGAATGGGGGGGCAGCGGCTCGAGAAGGTGTCTCAAGCATAGCCAGATACTCCTGCCGCTTGACATGTTCTCGCGCAGGAGACGAAACGGCGCTCTGGCCTTGTTCCGCTTGCACCAAGGAAGGGGGGCGATTGACAGAGTTAGTGTCATTATGAGGCGTTCCATTACGCGACTTCCCGCCACCAAGCATCAGCAGGATACGTTGGAACCCTTCTTGGTCGGCATCAGTGGATCCAGCAGGCGTCAGAGCTGGGGACCTGGTATCGGTTTGAGGTTCTGGATCCCTCGCAGGGCTTCCTGGCGGAGGGCTGAAAAGCCCAGCAAACCGGGACGACTTCATCGCTTTAGAAAATTGGGGCTCCTTCTTTGGAGTAGCCTCGACCGGCGCGGGCGGGGCACTAAGAACCTCGGGCGCAGGTGCAGGCTTAGACTCATTCAGCAATCCAAAGAAGCGCTCCATGGTCGCGTCCTGCTGGAAAGGAGTGCCATTGCTACTGAAGATCTCCCCATCAGTAGGTCGGGGATCTGCCTGCTGCGAAGGTGCAACACTTGTCTCGGCAGGAATCTCGTCCTTCTCCGCTGCCTGGGGCTGAGATCCGGCTTTCATTCGCTCTTTCCAGCGCTCAAAGTCCTCTTGTGTATGCACTCTTCGAGACTCGTCCCTGTCATTGGCATCCAACCATTCAGGCTCCTGTTCGAGTTTGGCACCGCGGGTCCAATCGCGATCAGCACCGTGCCGATCCCGGCGCCATTCTCGGTTGCGTATCGGGGTCTTGTCCTCTTCAGCGTCGGGCGTATCGTGGGGAGCGTTATCGTCTCGAAACCAACTTCCTTCGTGTCTAGCGCGCCCCGGAGTGCCGTCCTTGCGGAGGGTGAACCGAGTATCCTTGGCATCTCTCACAGTCCGATCGTGGGCGGGTTCACGTTGGTCGCGATTGTCCCATCTGTCGAACTCTCCATTGCGTCTGGGCTTGCGGTCCTGTTCATCCTGGCCAAATGTGCGGCGGGGACGTCCATTGTTCCAGTCCTCCTTGTCCCCGCGCCGAGCATTGAACGCACCCATCTTTCCATCGCGTCGATCGAAATCCCTCTCACTGGGATCCCGTTCCTTGAAGAATTTGTCCCGGAAGGCAAAGCGGTCGGATTTCACATCCTCAGGGTCGTGCGGTCTGGTTGACCTTTCCGTGGAGTCTATGGATCCCTTACCAGCGATGCGAGAGGCAGAAGCGAAAGCGGTTTTGGGAGGACCGAGAATAATATCCTCTGGAAAATAGCAGCAAGTGCTTGCGTTAGTGATGGCCGTGATCTCCCGCCTCGATTTGACAGACAGTGTGTTTCTTTACCTGAATTCGAATTTCGGGAGATGTGACGGGTGTCGAAAAGGCTCGGCCGTCTAGGTGTAGTTTCATTTGGATTGGTAGAGTCTCGAGAGTTAGATGTTTTCCGTTGCGTGGATGGGTCGGGTATGGGGCTAGAAGTAGAACGAATCAGTTTTATGACAATCAACGGCGAGTACCATCTGGGGAGGGCACGGGGATGATCCTACCCCATCCATTCATCTACTGGCGGCAGCGTAGGGGGACGAACAGCCAGGCGCGAATCGCGCAGCCGAAGCAGCTCATCGATCTGGTAACGTCGTGCCATGAGGATGGCTCGGGGGTGGAGGGTGTGATGCTATCCGGGGAGGGTGGGTTGCGTTTACAACGATCTCATTGGTTGCCGACGGAGGGAGGGGGATTTGATGATGATGATGATAATGAAGAGAGATAGTGGAGAAGACGATAAGGATGGAGGAGCACAGCAGGAGATATGAGTCAAGTAGTTGTGCTAAGGCTGGAAGAGGGATCTGGGAATAGTAGATGCGACAAGTTGTGTGGCCGAACGAGCCAAGAGGGAAGGCCGCTTGCCAGTGGCAAGGCCGAAAAGGCGGAGGAGGGAGGGAGCTTCAATCGGTCAAGAATCAAGCAACGCGGCAGCGGATGAGGGGCACCACAACAGTTTTGAAAATTTCTCCAGGGAGAACTCTTCTCGGGGATAATAGTTGAAACGATTATCAGGCAGTGATTGGAATGGTGACGGAGCAGGAGGCTGCAGGAACAGGGTGAAGGTATCGGGAGGGAAGGTGGACGGAGAGGGGGAGAAAGCGGTGTTTGGGAGGAGGAGAGGAGAGAAGAAGAGCAGAGAGCAGTTTGAAAGTGAAAGGGTGGAAACTGGCGGGCAAAAAGCTCGAGGCGAAACTTCACAGGCTGGAAAAACGTGTGCATTACCCAATCAAGTAACTCGCCTGGCTCACCTCTGCAACTTACTCCCTCACTCCCTCATCAAGAATACTGCAACACAACTCCATACCATCACTTCTCTTCATTTCGTCTTCGGCAGAAAAAAAAATGAAATTACTATTCTAGGAGTATGCATGGATGGATGGATGTTTGTTTGTTTGTTTCCTTGGTCAATACTCTTGTTCTTGTCATTCTACTACTCCCGCTTGCCTCGGCCTCTACTCCCTCCCCCTATCACTTGGCTTATCGTGGCGCAGAACAACTCGTCCCTGTCAAACTCCCCCCATGAGGGGTATTTATGATGACACGGCTCATGACTAGGTTTTCTCGTATCGCAATCCAATTGTTACTCATCACAGGTCGCTGGCCTGTATCAAACCCAAATGCGTTGAGCTTACGATTGTCTCCAGGTTGCACTAGTATACTACCTCAACCGAGCGCCAATTGGATTCCAACACATGTCTATCAAGCGTATACAACAATTATAATATCCCAACGGCTAGCCCTTTAGCCCGCAATGTTCTCAACCGCTCGCAGAACAGCTCCTCCACTCCACTTTTCGACCCGGTCGCTGTCAGAGGTCTGCTGCAGGGACTGGGCAATGGCCGTGAACGTGGGCGTTTCTTTAGCCGTCACGGCTGGCATTTGACTTTGAATCCAACTCATAATGCCCGCCCTCGTAATCAAGGTCGTACTACCCTGCACCTGGGTCGTGCGGTACAACAGTTGCAGAATCTTTCTCTTCACCGAGTGCGCCGCACTGGGGGCTTCATAGTAGGAGAGGGATCGCTCAAAAACATTGGCACGGCGATAGATATCCATATCCTAGATTTTGTAAGCCCAAGAACAAATGGAGGTGAAAAAAAAGCAATCATGATACAAAAACATACCGCTTCAGTGCGGAGACCTTTGATGAGTAAATCGAACAGCCACCCTGTCTCTTCAAAGTAACCATCATCAAGTTCGGGTTCGTGTAGCAAGATCTTGTCAATCCAAAACGAGGGAATCTTCTCCACTTCCCAAGAAGGAGCCTTCTGCAGGAACTTGTTGACCTTGCCATACAGTTTGTGCATTGGGTTGGTCAGGACATTGAGACAGCTAGAGGCACACTCCCCAACAATCCAAGGTACAGGGGATTCGAGGCCAATCTGTTTAACGGTTTCAAGCAGCTCACCCGTGAGGATGTAGACGGATCGCCATTCGACGTACTTAGAATCCTGTGGTCATAAGTCAGTCAAGGCGGCCTTGCAACAAGATCTATGCAGCGACGTGTGGGTTACCTTAAGCTTCGCCATGAAGCGATTCACATTTGCGAATGCCTGCCTGCGCACTTCTTCATGCGCCGAGCATAAGCAAAGCATCAGATCAGCAACACGACCCTGCTCGACCGCAACGTCGATTTCATCCTTTTCCCATCGGTACAGTCCGTTGTGAGTGGTGCCCTCTACTGGCAGTGTGCCGAAGATCTCGTCTAAGTCCGCCGCCTGTTGTCCAGTGGCTTCGGTGGGCAAATTATCTCGTGTAGAGGTACGGACTTCATCGACCTTGTCCTCTTCCGACTCTTCACTCTCCTTCCACGCCTTCTTCAAGGCTGACTTCGACTTCTTGTTCTCGGTGCCGCCCATCAATGTGTCCCGAGCGGCCTTCAAGGCTTTGGGGTCTTCTCCAGCGCGTTTCAGGCCTCCGAGCAGCTTAGAAATCCAAGCGCTCACCGCGAGCTCCACAGTCTTGTCGCCAGCCTTCACCACAAACTGCCACTGCTCGAGGACAGCAGCTGTGATGAGGCTAAGTGGCTTAGACACTTCTTCGAACGAGGTTTCAAGGAGGTCTTGATAATGAACCGGCTTCTTTGCGATACGACAAACACAATTATCAAAGAAAGACAGCTGGTGCTGCAGCTTGTCGGAGTCGGTAGTCTCAAAGCTAGATAATATCGAGGAAAAGACGGAAGGACTCTGTATGATCGAGTACTCGTTGAGTACCTTCCTGAGTAAATTGTCAATCTCGTTCAAGGACTCCCGTGATGAGGCTCGAACCAGAACTTTCAAGATAGAAGTGAAAGCTGAGTATTGCATGGAAGCTATAGAAGTTAGCGTATTGACTAGAAAAGTGGGGATATAAGCACTTACCTGGCTGCTGCCACCAACGCATCGACGCAGACTGCTGGGTAATCTTGAGCAGATTTTGCAATTGACTCAGCAATAGCTCGGAGTCGTCCGCGTCAAGATTTTGTTCGTCCAGTTGCTTCAGAATGTCAACCATGACTAGAGAAACGTCAAATCCTTCCTCCAATGCAGCATCTGGAACGATCTCATAATAGCAAGCAAGAAGCTCCGAGACTGCATCTTGCTGCTGTAGATCTTCTTTAGCGGTTCTCTTGAATAAGAGGATCACCTCCTTGACAGCTGGGCATCTTCGACAGAACTCGGCGATCAATTTGTTGGCCGCCTGCGTCCAGAGCGACTGGCTAACGCCATGATCAGCATTGAAGATCTTGAGGACAGCCCGCAGCTTGTTGAAGGCAATCGTCAAAATTCTAACAGCAAAGAGCGTGACAATCTCTGTGTTCATGTTCAGGCAACGACTCAGGATCTTTTGCGACAGAGGGCGCGGGAGGACGTTCTCGATCACCACAGATACCGGCGGTGGCATCGGAGGCAATTTGTCCTTGTAACCACAATTCGAGGGAACTGGGAGCTGCACGGTGGAGAACAGAAGAGCAGACTCTGCCATCCAGGAGGGCGTGGGTTTAGGGTCCGTGGTGAACATGGTCTTCTTGGTGAAGAAATCCGCAACAAGTTCCGGTGCTGCTTTGAAAATAGCAACGAGAAGCTCGATCTGTAGGCTATCTGTATCCGGACGGAGAGCCTGAATCAAATAAGACAGTGTTCCGTTACGAACGGGCACAGTCTTGTTGTATTTGTCCAGATAGACCGCCGAATCCAGACCCAGATCGATCAGACTGTCGTCGTCCGTCGGTAGAGTTTCAGGGTCGCTTCCAGTGGGATACCAGCCGGTTTCAGGCAACAGAACGCCAAGGTCAGGGTTCGTGCAAACATTCATCAAGATCTTGTGAACCTCATTTGCAGTCGAGACACCGGTTGGATTGGGCTCGTCCGACTCGCGCTCATAGCCATACAGGGTCACGAGTCGTTCAAGGTTCCATCGGCTGAAGAACTTCGTCTTTGCATTACGAGTGATGGAAGTATCACGGATAACATCTCTTTCAATGCACTGGATAATTTCCATAACAATATCCCGAGGGTCCTTCCTAATATATTCGAGGAATGCTCTAATCACCTTGTGCTGTTCAATGATATCGCTTTTCGCATTGGCGTGCTGGAACTTCAAGTGCGCAAGAACGTATTTTTGAGCGTTTCTTCGCAGTGTCGACTTATGGCCATCTTCAGCCATCTCCTCCAATTGAGCCTTGTTTGGGGTGAGGAAGAACTCGACGCGCTTGAAAGTAATGTGCCGCGCCTGGTAGACCTGACGTGCGACAGCGCCCCCGTCGAAGGTGACCATTTCCGTCAAGAGACGAAGGCAGGGGGAGATGAGATGTTCCTTTGATTTCACCGCCGTCAAGCCACGGTTGAAAAGCTTCAACTGCTCTTTCTGCAAGAGATACTTGCATAATGCCAAGCCGAAGTCCCGGAAGTCTAGGTTCGTGGAGACCGTCTTGAAAAATTGAGCTAGAACGGCAGGAACCGTGGTCAGTAATGACTCGTTGTTGTTGCTATCAGCGAAGCCCCAGGTCTGGACGAGATCCGTAAAGCAGACAGCCTCATTCTCATTAGTTTGGGAGAACTGCGAGTCGCAATAAGCTTTGAGAATGCGGAATTTTTTGGCTTTCTCGCCGTCATTCTCTGCCTGCGCGATAGAAGTGAGAAAGTCCTTGAACTTTCGTAGTCCTGTTCGAGTTGTTAATAGTCGAAGATCAGTAACACCTGGAAGCGAAATACCTTGCTTGGATTCGGCAGGGTTCTGCTGAAAGGTCAGGACGGTTCGGAGTTGGGTATGCGAGGTGATAATAGCAGGAATCTCCTCGCCCTCCGTGGCGCTGTCCAACTTTCTTCTTTTATGCCGAGATAATTGATTGTCGTGAGACGACATTGTGAGTGATTTGGGTGGATGCAAAGGGGAAAGAAACCACTATCAGGACTAGGGAGATTGAAGATATCACTGCAGTAACTGAACAGCCTGCGGCCGGCTTCAGAGTTTTGCGGCTTCTGATTGGTTCGGGAATAGGAGAGCTGCCTCAATAAAAAAAACGGTGGACTTTAGCCCACGCGCCGTGACTCCTGCAACGAATGACGGATCAAAATGCTGTACTGATGTTGGAGGTTACTATCTGTGAGAGGAAACAGCAAAGCATGAGTACGAAGGAGTAACAAAGGTTGGCCAGGATGCAGTGCTGTCAGGCACCTCCTGGAGTGCCAGGCCGGGCGGCCAAAAAAATGTCCTGCCAAATTCGGCAAGTCGCGCTAGTATCGCCCGTCGGCTTCTCATTGGTCACTCACTCTACACAAGGTCAATCAACTGTACTGCCACCTGTGGTCCATATCATCACCGTTGAACATGAATGCTTGAATCACTTCATCCTGACTACATCCGTCCGTTTTCTATTGAAGATACGGCTCATCAAACCACAATGGGTATCGCACTAGGATTCGCTATTGATGGTTCTTCTGAACACCGACCTCCACAGAACGACCTAGAAGCCAACAAGATTACGATACCCGGATCATCAACTATATACTTCCAGCCACTCAGCTTGGTCACAATGCATCCTCACAGCTTCAACTGCATATAAAAGAGCTCCTACCAAATCGGTCATGATCTCAAGATCTTCATAGATTCCTATCTATGACACCTGTTCATACGAGGACACAGCTACCACCACCAGCGATGCCTTCCCACCAACGGGAAGCCACACATCCAGGATCAAGGTTCAGCGTCCCTCGCGCCTCGAAGCCATCCGGTGACTAGAGCAGGTCGAATTGACTTTTCGATCCACGGAGCGAGCCCCTACCGAGAACCTTCTATCACGGGGAGAGCAAACATTATCACATCCGTACTACCTGAATAGCTACATTATCGCCAGACAACGCCGAAACACAATCCACGAGTCATTAACATCAGCCGAGACCAAAGCCACCTCTCCCTCCCCGGATTCTCTAGACTATACACGCGAGCATTCATTCTCTCTTCACTATAAAATTAATCTCCTCCTCCCTCATCTTCCAAGATGCAGATTTCCTCAACTCCGCAATCAACATGTCTTCCATCACCATCACCACCACCCACAAGATGCACACCCAACGAGACATTGAGGAAGCCCTCCTAGGCTCCTGGTCCCTGCTGGAGTACTTCTCCGACCCGTTCGACGGGAAGGGACCCTCGCTGCATCCCATGGGCCCCGACGCCCGGGGCATGCTCACCTACCACCCGGACGGACGCATGTCAGTGCACCTCATGCCCTCAGCTAAGATGAAATCCCGCACGGCGGTCAATGATGGCTTCATCTACACCGGGAGATACTGGGTGGAGCTGCAAGAACTAGGCAAGAACAGCTTCATGGTCTGCCATCGAGCCGAGTTGGCTTCGCTCCCGTATCTGGAAGGGATGGTGCAGAGACGCAAGGTCACCCTGCCGGACAATAATCGGCTGGTGATGTCCTTTGTAGGGATTGAGGAGCTTGATGTATGTGGCCCTTAAACCCCCCCCTTCACTTTGATACTTGACTCAAGAGTAAGAGACTGACTGGGGGGCTTCTGGCTACTATAGGGCCTGATGGTCAGGCCGGAATTGGTGTGGGAAAGGGTCAGTCGGCCCTTGAGAAGGTGGAGTGGACGGGACCAAGTGACTTTGTGTGAGAACGAGGTCCATGTTCATGGCTGGAAGAAAGCGCGATAGACCCGTGACTTTACGGAAAGATTCCTCATGTGCTATGATAAATGCCTTAACGCTTTGAATGCTTCGCAAACACTGTCAGATTGGTCTGAGGACCGCATATTGTACATAGATCGATCAGTCAAAGAGCCTTCCTTTCTTCTCTCACATGGATTTTAGCACGCACTGCAATCTGATGGTTGCGTTTTACCACGGCGCAGAATGGACTGTCGCAAGGGATAGAGTATCCAGGGAACTGGTTTGAGATCATGGCATTGCAATGGACCGTGGGACGCGGGCACATGCCCAAGTACAGCCCGTCCACACATTCCCGGGGTTACCCCGGAATAACCATGGTGCCCATTTCATTCGTCTACTAATCTTGATTATAAGATATGAGTCTGATGGTAATACATTTTACCACCCGCAGAAGAAAAGTCAACGTTTTATTATATCACAAATTCATGAGGGGTATGCTTTGAAACTGCCATATACATGCCTGAAAAGAAAGAGAGAGAAAATGTCTAAACCAGCAGCAAATGATACAACTAACCCCATGTGCCACCGCCGCCACCCCTGCCTTGGCGTCTCTGTGCAGAGAGACGCCAGTCGTCCTCGCCCGCAAAGCGATTGTGCAGGGGCTGGATGCGCTCGGCCTTCTTGCGCTTGGAGAGTCGATCGGTCGGCGCAACCTTGAAGAAGGTCGGAGCCGCCTCGACCAGCCACTTGGGCTCGATGGACGTGGTGCAATGCATGTACTCCTTCGTCGTGAGGACCAAGGTATGGTAAATGACGTGTTCGGAGGGCTTTCCGAAGAGCGCGGAGCTGGGATGCATGTAGACCGGGGTGCCCTCGACCAGTGTCTTGTAGCCTTCCTGAGGGTCTTTACGGGCTGCGTTGCGGAAGAATCCCGTACACAGTGCTTGTCGGACTTTCGTGGTGTTGCGACCACAAGAGACGATCTTGTGGTGGTACCGGTCCATGATGCCCAGCAACTGTTGGCGGACATCCTGAGCGCGGCGGATTTGTCGTGCTTGGATGAAGTTCTCGAAGCACCACGCGTTGTTGAACTTGGAATTCTTCCATGCGTTGTAGACGTTCAGTAGAGTCAGGTGGTCACCGTGCGGATCGTGGAACTTGGCCTTCTTCTGATCGGCCTGCTGTTGCTTCTCTTTGGGACGGTAGAATACCGACTGGATGGACAGCATGGCGACAATGCTCAGCATCTCGTCCGAGCATCCCATATCCACAGAAGCGATCAGAACCTTGGCTAGAGCCGGCTCCATAGGGAAATCTGCCATCTTTCTTCCCAAGCGTGTCAAGAGACCCTCGTCGTCCAGCGCAGAAAGTGCGTAAAGTTCTTCCAATGCAGTAAGCATAGTATTGGTGGGTGGGGGATCCATGAAATCGAAGTGCAGGAGGTCGTTAATGCCCATCGCTTTGAGCATGAGAATGGTGTGAGAGAGGTTCTGACGTTGAATTTCAGGAATTGTGGTAGGTAACATTTCAGATTGGTAGGCCGCTTCGGTGTATAAACGGAAGCATTTGCCTGGACCGGTTCTTCCTGCACGACCAGCTCGTTGCTTGGCTTGCGCTTGCGAGATAGGAGTCACAACCAACGAGTCCATACCGAGCTTGGGATCGTAAGCATTCTGCTTCACAAAACCAGGATCAATAACATAGTAGATGTTATCGATCGTAATGGAAGTCTCGGCAATGTTCGTCGCGATAACGACCTTCCGGCCACCTGGGGGTGCGGGTTCGAAGATTCGGCTTTGCATTTCACTTGGCAGAGCGGAATACACAGGGAGGATAACTAGCTCTGGCACAGTGGAACCCAGCGCTTTCATTCGCTCATAAAGGATCTCGCAAGCCGTGTCAATTTCTTCTTGGCCCGTCAAGAAAAGGAGAATATCGCCTGAGGGTTCTGTCAAGTGGATCTGCATGACTGTAATCAGGGCTGCATCAAGATAATCGGACTCGGGCTCCTTAGAGTACATGATCTCGACCGGGAATGTACGTCCAGGAATAGAGAAGATAGGACAGCCGTTGAAGTATTCCGAAAATTTCTCTGCGTCCAGAGTGGCAGAGGTGACGATCAGTCGGAGGTCAGGACGCCGCTTGATAGTCTTCTTTAGCAAACCGAACAGAACGTCTGTGGCAATCGTTCGCTCGTGGGCCTCGTCCAACATAATCACCGAGTATCTCTTCAATTCCGGATCGAGAAGAATTTCTCGCTGAAGCATACCGTCGGTCATGTACTTGATCCTCGTCTCCGGGCTCGTACAGTCTTCGAAACGAATCGTGTATCCAACCTCGGCACCGAGCTTACAGCCAACCTCTTCCGCGACACGTTTGGCAACAGACATTGCAGCCACACGACGAGGCTGCGTACAACCGATGAGACCGTTGTTAGCATATCCACCTTCAGCCAAGTACTGCGTCAGCTGTGTGGTTTTTCCGGAGCCAGTATCTCCGACAACAATCAACAATTGGTTATCGCGAACAGCATCAAGCAACTGCTTGCGGAACTTGTAGACGGGCAGGCTCTCCCGCTGCTCCTTGATAGACATGCTGGTACGCTTTCCGAAAGACACGTTTTTGCCCATTGTAACCCTCTTCCATTCAGGTACCGCCTCGTCGGGCTTCGCTTGCTGCGCATTCCTAAGATCAGCAGCAAACCTGCGCTCCTCAGGCGCAACCATGGGATCTTGCCATTGGGCATTGAGGTCAACGTTGGCTGCTTGTTCCGCAGCCTTATCCTGAGCTTCCTGCTGTCTAAGCTCTCTTCTGTCCTTTGCCAGGTTTGTACCTGCCATCGCGGCCCGGTTCATGGAGCCATCTGGTGCCTTGACGACTCGAATCGGAGACAACTCCAATGACATCTTGGTCTGACCCGCCAGGAATGGCGGCTCCTCATCGCGAACCTCGATGTCGACATCCTCTTCTTCCTCGAAGGTGCCCTCTCCAGTCAGGGTGGCATGATATTCTTCATCGATGTCAGGATAGTCGGTCGCTGACACTGCACCAGATGCTATGAGTTGCTTGATCTCCCATCTTTCAGGCGACGTCAACCGCTTCCGGTTCTTCATAGGCCTGCCATCCGACTCTTCGATGATAGGTACATCCGAACTCAAGTTGCCATATCTATCCTTGTCGCTGGTCCCATCAAGGCGTTCCATATTCGCACCGGACGCCAGACGGCGTTGAGGAATCAGATCCATACCAGTCACTTGGTCAACCTCCTTCATCGACAGTCCAATGCGGGAACCTTGTATGCTGACGACCTTGACCTTGACTGGCTGACCTCGGGACACCAAGTCAGAAGGATGATTGACACGCGCGCCCTCCTGCATCGCAGAGACATGCACCAGACCATCAACCTTCCCCTTAACACCCAGCAGATTGACGAACGCGCCGAAATCCTTTACACCCGTCACACGACCATCGTAGACCTTGTATAGAATGGGCTGATCATCCAGCTCGACAGGCGGAGGCTTGCGGAAATAGTCGTCATCTCCGGCGCGGTCGCGGCGACTCCTGCGCTCACTGTGTCCGTTGCGATGTCCATCATCCCTGCTGCTGTATTTGCTCTTGGACCGGCCAAACTCATCCACCTCATCCTCACCATCTCTCCGGCTGTAACGGGGACTGTGCGATCTCGACCGAGAGCGATATCTGTCGTTGCGACTGCGCCCACCACGCTCACGGCTGTCGTACTCCGGGCTTCGACTGCGCCTCTTGCTGCTCCGCTCCATCCGCGACGACGGGGGCTTGTCCTCGCGCGCCTTACCCGCCAGCCCTTCCAGCATAGCGAACGTATCATCCATCGCATCGGCCTTCGCCACACTCTCATCCACATCCTTGCGCGAAGTATAGTCCTCCTCATCCCACGTTTGCACCTTATCCGGGACCGCCAGACCCTTGAACACGCGCGCCTTCTTCTCGAGGGCCCCAAGGATATCCATATCGTCATCCCCAGCCGTCCCGGCCGAGTCCTTCGCGCCTGCATTCTTGGCTTTGTACTTGGGGTGCATCGTCAGGACAAGGCGATCGATACTCTCCATCAGACTCTGCGGAAACTCAGCGCCCATATCCTCCAGGCTCTTCTTAAACTCGGCGAACGAGCCGCATTTTAGGTGCTGGTCGATGACGAACTCGGCGAGGGTCTTGTCGCTGACACCCAAGTGGTTCTGGAGCTCTCCGGTGATCCGCGAGACGAGCGAAAACAGCTCCAGCGACTGAAGGTCATCCATGGCGGATGCTGGATCTTTTCTTGTTTTCGCAGTTAAGGGCAACGGCAGGACGGTAACTTTCGTGGGTGGGCGGAGGAGGAGCTGTGTTCTGTATAACTGGTCGCTGTTAAGTTTGCGAGAGCAGCGCCAAGTCACTCGGCTCTTGTCAGTTGGTTCGTTGGTATGAGGGAGCGAAAGGACGAGATGCTTCGCTGCCCGGTTTGTCCGTGAACTTGCGCGCGGACGACGGGCGACGAAATGGACGAAGCTCACTGGCGCGGAAAATCGTTGTGGCGTGCTTCGGGGTAACGCCGCCACCGATAAGATAAGAGCGCCAATGGATTTACTGCCATTTAGAGTATGTTTGTTCGTATAGAACTTCAGGGCACATGGTCATGGAGAGACCAAACACGGCTTAAGATCGTGCTACAACCAAGATCAAAGCATCTAGAACAAAACACCATGGCCAGGTTTGAGTAGTATCGGAAAAGGAACGGGGAAGGAAAAAAGCTCGCCCGCCAGCGCAGGCTACGCAAACCCCTCTTATCCCCGGGTGTTTTCATACCGGTGAATCTCGACTGGTAGAGCCAGCGCCTGGAAGTGCCAGCTAAGTCTCGAATTCAGGACCTGGGCATTTACCTCTACGCTCTGCTGCAGTGTTTCCCAAGTACGCCAACAGGCCCTGCTGGTTACCGAGTTGCTACCGGAGTGAATTGATATAAACATGGTAATGGCTGGTTTGGGAAGGCGGTGTAGAGGCCATACGGAGGTAATTCGGCGGTCAGTTCAACTTGACCATTTCAAGAGGCGGTCGGGATGTTGCTGACCGCCTAGCTGGTATTGCCATCTCGTACATGCTTATAGAGCTTGGCCTGATTATATTCGATACATGCATGATATGCCATGTGCCATTGCCAAACTGAGGCCAAGGAAGGAGATTATAGAAGAGGAGAGCTATCCTTGTAGAATTGATCCTTTTTCGCGTTTCTAGTATACAGAAGCGGGCCACTTAGGTAGTATGACACCAGGTTTATATGTACACAAAAGCATGACACAGTAAGCATGAAACATGTGCCAACCGTAGGGCACGCCCTCAGAAAGTAGGAACCTAGGGAGTTCCTGCATGGGAATCCGGTTTTTCCTGCACATCATCTCCCTGTTCATTGTCTTCCTTCAGATTCTGTTCCTCTACAAAATCTTCTGGCACTGGTTCTTCCAGCACGTCACTTTCCTGCCCGTTGTCTTCCTCCAGATTCTCTTCTTCTACAGAATCCTCCAACACAGGCTCTTCCAGCACATCGTCTCCTGGCGACAGGTCGTCTTGAGCTTGACCATGAAGCGAAGTCGTGCCACCACCACCGTAAGTCCTATCAGCCTCCTCGGCTAGCAAAAGCTGCTGCTCCAAGCTCTGTTTCTGAAGAGCGATCTGTCGACGGAGAGAAGAATCCTTCCTAAGCTTCTTGTTCGCGGAGAATTCGGTCAGAGCTCGGACCATCCTCTCCTCCAGCAACTCCTTTACATGTCCGGCCAGAGTCCGGTCCGTGAAAATGCCGCCAAAGCGGAAACTCAGCCAAAGATACAGAACGATCGACTTGTGCAGAGACTCCAACTCTGTCGTGTACTCTTTCCGGCCTGAAACCTCCTCTTCAAGAATCTCCAGGTTCAACGTCTGGAAGTTCAGTAGATGACCGTTCGAGTTTTCGGCGACGCATCGAGTGAAAGCGATCGCGGCGTCCCGGCCACCAATGTCCTTGACATACATAGGCGCGGCCATGAGTGTCAGTTGATCGGGCATCCGCAGTCCATCCACGGCATCGATGATCGCGGCATTTTCGAGCTGGTTGCGGGGATCACACAAGAAGAACAGGGGATGGACCTTTGCGACCGACAAGATGCGCTTGATCAAGTATTCTAGGGGAGTGTTTGTCGGGTAATAGGCTGCGAACTTTTGAAAAACGTGATCGGGCGGATGCAAACCGGCAGCAACAAGGGGAGGGGGCTCTACCTCCATTGCCTGCTTGATGTAAGGTAGATCAACGTCCTCGAGGGATGTAACCCAGCCGACGTTATCATCGTCATCGGGACGCCCGTGCTGCACAGCAGGCCGATAGCGTCCAGCCCGACCTCCAATTTGTTTAACTTCTGGTACAGTGAGTCTCACAAGACCTTGCGGAAGCTTCTTGATCACCGTTTCGAAGATGATACGCTTGCAGCTCCTAGATGACGCGGCGATGAGCATTTTGACAAACTCACGAGGATATGGAACAACTCACAGGTTAAGACCCATGCCAATAGCGTCGCTGGCTACCAAGAAGTCGTAATCATTGTTCGGATCGTTAAAAAGACTGGCTTGCTGAGTTCGGATTTCGGCCGGCAAGCTTCCATAAACAATAGCTGCTCGTTTCCCCGTAGTTTTCTCAATCTCCGCCTTCAAGGCATGAATGCCGACACGTGAGAACGAGACAATACAGTCACCTTTCTGAAGATTCCTCAAGTCGCCACGGAGACTCCGTTTAGCAACTCTCAACGGGTTCAGTCGTTCGTAGCGGTGAATCTCGAGTTTATCTCCAGTAAGAGCAGCCAGGTCTCGAATCAGAGGGACTGCTCTTGTCTCACCGCAAAGATGGAGCTCTTTGACGCGGGCACCCAGCACTGCACGGGTCCAAGCCCAACCACGCCGAGTGTCACTGATCATCTGGATCTCATCGATGACACCGACCTCATATGGCTGTCCTAGACTGACCATTTCCACGGTGTTGCTTACAATTCCTGCCCGCTCCTCCCCGGCATGGATCTTGACATCGTCACCAGTGATCAAGCTACATGGGATTTCCTGGGTCTTGAATCGCTGATACACCTCCTGCGCCAGCAATCGCAACGGTCCAGCATAGAATCCATTCCCAGACGCTTCCAGGCGCTTCAACGCATGATATGTTTTCCCCGAGTTCGTGGGACCAACATGTAGATGTATGGTGCGCTGCACAGCGCGCGCCTGGGGGTACTGCTCCGCCGGATATCGCAAATCGGCTAAGATCTGTTGCCTTAACTGGTTCGGTGCCCCGTATTCCGCCGTTATATCTTCCGAGTACATCTGAAACTCGAATTCATTGTTTAACCCCCGGATTCCATTGTTGAGGAAAGCCTCATGCAGGGCGCTCCTGAGGCGGCGCAAAGGACCTGGAACTTGGGCAATTTGGACGCCCCCGTCTGACTTGCATGCGTTTTGGACCTGACGTTCGAATTTATCCCACTTTTCCAGAGCCGACGAGTCTTCGCCGTGCTTAACTTTGATACGATAGGATTCTAAGGCTTGTTTGACGACGGCCTCAAACTCATTAGAGTCAAGGGTTCTGCGACGATTGTGTGGACTATATGGCAGGGAGCTGTCGACAGTGGGCTTTGATTTCGATGATTTCTTTATGAAAGAGAATGAAAGTTAGCATTCACGAAGCAATTCATTGACAAGCAATCTACCGTACCTTCTTTTTGGGTTTACTTCTCTGCAGCACCGGTGAAGTCGCGAACGTCCGGGTTGCAGGACGAACTGTCGGCTGTAGTATGCACAAAAGGCATTGACTGCCTCTGTTGCTCCATAGGCGCATGCCTGACGCGATAGTGCAAGGTCAATACGTATGCTGTTGTGAAGCAAGATATAACTTCGTTCCGTACTTAGATGGCGAAATCGGAGACTAGACGGGAGCACCGAAAAAGTTGTTCAGCGCGTGAAGGTGAAGGGACGAAGCGCCCCAGCAGAAAGGTGTAAAAAGGAGCGGTTGGAAGAAGAGTGTAAATTAAACAATAGTGAAGAAGATAATTAATCACAGCACAACCCCTCTATAACGGTTCTCCGTCATCAATTCGCCATCGACTTTTTTTTTTGCCATGGCTGAAGCTGCGGCGTCGCGGCAAAAATTCCGAGGCGCGTGTCCACACCGCCTTTAGCCAATCGCTCCTATCCCCTTGCGGGCGGAAAGCATAGGCCGCGGAGGAGAGAGAGAGAAAGAAGACTGAGGGAAAGGTGGGGACGGACGGGGCTCGGAGAGAGGGTCTCAACCAAGACAACTGCTACGTTTCATAAAGATACCAGCCAACCCCCTGACCGATCGGCGTGCAGCTCCCCTGTCACTTGTCTTTTAGCTTACTCGATTGCTTTGATTTATTATTTCTTCTAGTCTACCGTCCTAGCGACCCTCTCCCTCTTCCCAGCGTTGTGAGTTACAAGTCTATGCCCCAGCGGAGGGCTGCCGGTCAGCCACAATGAGCACCTCGATCCTCAACATCCAGCGCGACAGTAAGTTATTCTGCGATTCTGGGTGCGCATTACCCCTCATATTGACTTTCTCGCTTTCTGCCTGTCAGTTATCCTGAATACCATCCGTTATGCGGCGGGGAATGAGGTACGGTCATACAATCAGTAACCCCTCATTCAATTCGATCCCCCCCTCACCATCCTCCCCGTCTAGACGGAGCTGACGTCGAGCACTTGTAGTGGAAGGTCTTGGTCGTGGATGAGACCAGTCGGAAGTTGATTGACAATGCGGTCAGTGAGGATGACATCCTCAACCTCAACGTGACCAGTAAGCGGAGCTCTTCATGTCAAGCTATACACATCGGTCGGCGCTAACTGGCCGGTTCCTAAGATATTGAACAGATCGAACACCGACGCCCAACAAATGCCTCCATGGATGCGCTGTACATCCTATCCCCCCTCCCGCATATAGTCGACTGTTTGATGGCCGACTTTGAGCGAAAGAGATACAAGAAAGCATGGCTGGTTTGGACGTCCTGTTGGTCACAATGTCCCTGTGATGCTCTAGTTGGTGCTGACATCCAGCACAGTCCTCGATCCGCAACAGCGAGCTAGACTGGACCGGTCACAGATGGCGCACGAGAATATCGCTAATGTCCAAATTATGAACGCCGATTATTTCCCCCGTGAATCCCGCGTCGTGACATTCCGGGACCCGTGGAGCTTCCCAGTTCTGTTCCACCCTGGCTGTAACCATCTGATTCGCGCACACCTGGAGGGCCTGGCGCAGAAGGTATGAACCAGCTGTTAAGGTTTGCGATTCGGCCTTTCATGCTGACGTTTGGGAAAGATCGTGTCCCTCTGCGCTAGTTTAGGAGAGTATCCGATCATCCGGTACTATCGGCCCAGAACCCCGACCCACGAGGCGAGCGTGCTGTGCTCTCACCTGGCCCGCTTCATTCAAAGCGAACTGGATCAATTCGCACAATTTCAGCGAGACTTTCCGCCTCCATCCCCTCGACCTCGCGGGGTACTCCTCGTCTTGGACCGTTCGGTGGACGTCGTCGCGCCTCTTCTCCATGAATTTACATACCAGTCCATGGTGCATGACCTGCTTTACATCAACGATGGGGATAAGGTCACCTATAAGACCGTCGTCAACGAGGGCGCTGTCAACGAGGAAATCAAGGATATGGAGATCAATGAGCAGGACAACGTATGGGTTGAGTACAGACATATGCACATGAAGGACGTACTGGGGAAGCTGGGTGAAGATTTCGCCAAGTTCCGAGCAGCGAATCCTCAATTTGCGGAAGAGTAGGCTATTTGTGCCCTGCAGGTCCATGTTCTGCGCTAATCTGAGAACACAGTAACGACAAGGCGAACGTCAACACGATCAAAGACATGCTGGCTGGTCTAACCGAATTCCAGCAAGGCCGCGACGCATACACGCTTCATCTGAACATGGCACAAGAGTGTATGAAGTATTTCCAAGACCACAAGCTCCTCGAGGTCAGCTCGGTTGAGCAAAGCCTGGCCACCGGCATGGATGAGAACTACAAGAAGGCCAAGCATTTGGGCTCCCAAATTGTGCAACTTCTGGACGACGAAGCGACTCGACAGCCCGAAAGACTGAGGCTTCTCTTACTCTATATCATCTACCGGGGCGGACTGCTAGCCGGGGACATCCGCAAGCTGATGGCACATGCGCAACTTCCACCGCAGGACGGGGAAGTTATCTCTAACCTGGACCTTCTTGGTGTGCGCGTAGAGAAGCCCTTGAAGGATGATAAGCCACCTGTTCAGCCGCTGTTCGTCCGCAAGCCTCCACAATCAGTAGACATGGAGGAAGAAAGTCTCACTCGATATGATTTGAACCTCAAGTTGATCTTGGAGGAATTGGTACGAGGTACCCTTGATGCCGGTGTTTTCCCGCCCACACGGCCACACACTGAAGGCGAGGGTCCGGGTCAGCAAGACGCAATGTCGCAGGCGTCTCTGCGGAGTGCCAAACCCACGTGGGCACGAACCCGCACAACCGGCGAGCAGCCTCGACAGCGCATCATTGTCTTCATGGCGGGTGGCGCGACATATGGCGAGGCCCGTACATGCTATGAAATCTCGCAAGCGCACGCCAAAGACGTTTACCTGGCCACTTCACACATGCTCTCGCCGGGCTTGTTTTTGCGACAGATCAGCGATCTAAGCGTCGACAAGCGACGGCTGGATATTCCGGCCGAGCGGCCGAGACCCACGGCTCCTGCTCATCTTTTCGAGAAAGAAGCCCCCCCTACACCTCCACCGCAGGCGAAGAAGCCCGTCGTCGCTGCGCCCCCTTCGGCCGCCATGGCCTCGATGTCCTTGGGACCCAAAGGTGGAGCGCCGAGCGCTCCGGCCCCGGCCCCGACGAGCTCCAAGCCCCATAAAGAACACAAGGAGAAGGAGAAGAAGAAACGCCACCACTTTTTCCGATAGTGCACTTCATTCCCCAGTCGCTGGCCTGAATCGCTCAGTCCCTGATTTATGCTCACTCTGATTTCATCTCCGCGCGGCGGTGATACCAGTCTAATATCCGAGCAATCACGTCAGTACTTTGTGTACTTATGGCGATCTCCGATTTGGAATTCAATCTTCCGCCAGTGACATTCAGACAAGAATTCTAATCAATGCAAACACAACTTCATCATCATAAGAAGCACTAGGGGTATATATCTCTAAAGCAAAACAAAAGTAGCCACCTCTCCCATCACCAATAACTATAATCAAACCTCCCCACCACCCCCAAGATACCTCAAAACCCTCTCATCCCGATAAAACAACTCCCGCAACCTCTCCCCTCGCTTCTGAGAATCCATATGCCCCTGCCTGACCTCCTTTGCATTCAACTTGTGAATTTTACTCGGAGGAACTCGATCCGCACCCCTCTTCCTCTTCCGCCTTTTCGATTCGGAATCATCCTCATCCGAGTCCCCGGATCGTAAAGCCCCCAACCCCACCGTGTCAACCTTCAGCTTCCCCTTCACCGGCTCCCGGATCCCCTCTCGACCTGGTGCACCCAGACCAACCCTGCTATCGGGGTCCCAGCCGTACGCGGAGAGGTAGCGGAGGCCGTGTCGCGTGCGGTCAAGATGCGAGGGCGGGTGTGAGTGCGCGAGGCAGAGTTGGTGCGCGAGGGAGGCTTCGTGCGGGTGTGTCGGGTTTGTATTTGTAGATAGTGATAGTTGGGGGGTGGTGAGGGGGAGGTTGCAGATTTCGCAGATTGGGGATTGGTCTTTTGGGTTGGGTTCGGGGGCGGCGGAGGGCGAGGGCAGTCGTGGTGAGGATGTTGCGGGGTGGGATTGTTCTAGTTCAGTGGTGGGTGTATTCGTGGTGGAGACAGAGTTTCCCGTAGAATCAAGGGTCGGAGTCGGCGTCGCAGACTTCGACAGCACAATCGAGAGATACCTGTTTGCGATGCTCGCGCCAGCAGATGTAGTGTTTGACGATGGCGTAGACGGCGCGGAAACCGTGCGGAGTGCGGAGGAGGTAGTCTCGAGGTCGGGGTTGGAGGAGCGCACGAATTGCACGCGCTTGCGACGGATGCCGGCGCCGAAGACGCGCTGGTCTTCGAGCGGGAGGAAGTAGTCTTCTTCGTGGTCGGACATTTGCCCCTGTTTTCTGATGGGGGGGGGGGGGGGGTTGTGTGGTAGAGAAGTAAGATAGATAAGGAGAAGAAAGGATGGATGTGAGTGACGCAGTGCAGTGGCGGGAGATCGGCGGCTAAGCTAAGCAAAGCAAAGCACTTTCCGCGACGGGCCAGATTGTTGGTTTGGGTTGACTGTCAAGTTTCAACGCCTGAGCTTGCTCGTTTCCTCCTTTTCTTGCGGATTTCATGGTATTCGTTTCTGGATCGACCTCCTCTCTGGCTTAAGGCTTTCTTAGCTCACTGTTCTGCCCGTCATGCCTATCCCCCTGATCGTCCAGGGCGTCACCGAGGGAGTCTCCTCCATCCCCTTCGCCTGGACGATCCTGAAGCTCGTCCCGTGGGTAGTGGTGATCGCGGCGCTGAAGTTCTACTTCGGGGGCGCAAGGAATGCGTCGGAGCGAGTGATGCACTCGAAGGTCGTGATGATTACAGTCAGTCCTCGCCCTATCCCATCCCCCAATTCCCTCCCCCCACAACTAACCTCAACAATAATATAGGGCGGAACATCCGGCATCGGCGCCCAAATAACGCTCTCCCTCGCGCAACGCGGCGCGCAAATCATCCTGCTAACACAACACTCCCCCTCCGACATTTTCCTAGTCGAATACATCGACGATCTCCGACGCACGACAAACAACCAACTCATCTACGCCGAACAAGTGGATCTTTCCTCGCTGCACTCGATCCGCACCTTCGCCACAAAATGGATCGACAACGTCACGCCGCGCCGCCTGGACATGGTCATCCTGTGCGCGAGCAGCACACCCCCCGCCCACAAGAAGCGTCTCACGGTCGACGGCCTCGACGAGGAGTGGCAGGTCAATTACCTCGCGAACTTCCACCTGCTGAGTATTCTTAGCCCGGCGCTGCGGGCGCAGCCGGCGCATCGCGATGTGAGGGTTATATTTGCGGCGTGTTCGTCGAGTTTTATCCGCGCGGGCGGCTTTGATTTACGCAGGGTGGAGGATGTTACCAATCAACAGGTCTTGGCTGCTTCGCACGAGAAGAGTGCGGGTGCGGATGCTGGGAAGAGTAGTGGGAAGGGGAAGGGGAAGGGGAAAGGGAAAGGGGGTAAGGCGACGACGACAACTACGCCTAAAAACAAGAAGGATGAAAGCCTCTTCGGACTCAGCAAGCTCGCACTCATGGTCTTCGCGCATTCGTTTCAGAAACACCTGAACGCGTTCAAGCGCCCCGACGGCCAGCCGCCCCCTACGCGGGTGATCATGGTGGATCCCGGGTTCACGCGCACGCCGGGCATGCGGCGGTGGATGACGGGCGGCTCGCTGTGGGGCCTGCTGGTCTATCTGCTCACCTGGCCGGTGTGGTGGCTGACGCTCAAGTCGCCGCAGCAGGGGGCGCAGAGTTTCCTGTATGCGGCCATGGAGGCGCGGTACGGCCGCGACGAGGGCGGGTGGATGATCAAGGAATGCGGCGAGGTCGATGTCGCGCGGAAGGAAATCCGCGATGAGGCGGCCGGGAAGCTGCTGTGGGAGTTTAGCGAGAAGATGATCGAGGTCAAGGAGAAGGAGGGTGCGGTGCAGCGCGCGATGGCGAAGAAGGAGGCTGAACAGGTCGAGAAGGCGGGGCCGAAAACTCAGACGCCCGGGTCGAGGAGGAGTCGCAAGGGGAATGGCAATGGGAATGCAAATGCTGATGCCAAATGAGTGTAATATGGGTAGGCCAGGAAGCTGAAAGAAAAGGGGGGTCTGGGGGTTCTCCCCCAGAACGTTCATACCTGGTTCAAGAAGACAGCGGGGTAAGTAGTACTGTACATATATAGATCTCTGCTTGGTCAGGTTCGGCAGGGAAAGGGGAGTGCATATGTATATTATCCAGGAGTTCAGGTATCTAATCAAACAATTTTCACACATTATCTATCATGCACATAAGGCAAAACATCCATGTCCGTGACAGTTCAATCTAGTACTGGATCATACACCAAGTAAAAAAGGAAATTCGTCTCATTCAATGAAATCTCTTGATGCGATTTTGGTTTTTCCGCAGTCGCCAAAGACATGCTAATTAATCAACGGTAGGTAGGTAGGTAGGTATCATTTACGATTAACTTAGTTCTTGAGCTTCTCGAGGAGCTCGGCGGGGGGCTGTTGCCGGTAACCCTCAGGGTTGTTGCGGGTCCAGAGCCAGAGGTCCTCGCAGGCCTGCTCGAGGGTGTGCTCGGCCTTCCAGCCCAGCTCTTGGTTGGCGCGGCTGGGGTTGGAGGTGAGGTTGAGGACGTCACCGGCACGGCGGGGGGCGACCTCGTAGGGGAGGTCCCGGCCGACGGCGGCGGAGAAGGCACGGATCATCTCGTACACAGTGCTGCCCTTGCCGGTACCCAAGTTCCAGGCACGGACACCGGGGTTGTTGGCGCGGAGGTAGTTGAGCGCCTTCAAGTGGCCGTCAGCCAGGTCGAGGATGTGGATGTAGTCGCGGATGGCGGTGCCGTCGTGGGAGGCGTAATCTAGCGTTGTGTTAGCCATTAGGCCTGTTTTGCTTCAGGGACAGGAGAGTCGGAACGTACCATCGCCGAAGACGAGCAGCTTCTCGCGCTTGCCAGTGGCAACCTGGGCCAGGAGAGGGAGCAAGTTGTAGGGGACACCCTGGGGGTCCTCACCCATGATACCACTGGGGTGAGCACCGGCGGGGTTGAAGTACCGAAGGAGGGCACCGTTCCACTTCTTGGCCTCGGCCTCCTTGCCGGCCTTGGTGGCGTTGTTGCGCTGAGCGTTGATCAGGTCGGTGATGGCGGTCTCGACGGCGAACTTGGTGTTGCCGTAAGGGTTGGTGGGACCCAGAGGGCAGTCCTCGGGAATGGGGATCATGTTGGGGAAGCGAGTGGCATCCCCGTAGACGGTGGCAGAGCTGGAGAAGACGATGTTGGTGACGTTGTTGCGGACCATGGAGCGGAGCAGGCAGATGGTGCCGTAGACGTTGACGTGCCAGTAGTCCAGAGGCTTCTCGCCGGATTCTCCGACAGCCTAGGGGGCGGATTAGTGTTAGCATCTTCATCCATCTTCATTTACAGTTCATGAATTAACAGCAGAGCAACATACCTTGAGGGCAGCGAAGTGGATGACGCTGTCAATGTCGGGGTGGGCCTGGAAGACCTTGTCGAAGGCAGCCTCATCGGTGACGTCCAGCTGGGCAAACTCGGGCTTCTTGCCGCAGATCAACTCAATGCGGTTGAGAGCCTCAGCGGAGGAGTTGTACAGGTTGTCAGCGACGACCACCTTGTAGCCCGCCTGCAACAAGGCGAGAGTGGTGAAAGAGCCAATGTAGCCCGTTCCACTGGAAAGTCGGAGATTGCGGGGTCAGCTCCAGCAATGTTTTAGAGGGGGGGAGACATTGCGCGGGGGTTGTGGGACTGGTGACTTACCCTGTGACGAGAACTGATCCAGCAGACATAATGATAGAGAGCAATTGAGATGGTGGGGGAGGGGAAGAGAGAGCTGAAAGGTGGGAGGTGGAGGAGAAGTATTAGAAGGGTTAGGAGAGAGAGAAGAAGAAGAAGGAGAGGAAGAACAGAACAAAGCAGGCGGGTGGTCGAGAGCGAGCGAGACGGGATATTTAAGGGGAGGAGGAGGAGTTAATCTCTTTGATGATGAATGGATGGATGGTGGGGGAAAACATGGAGGGGCTCAAGCCATGTCCGGAGATGGAACCAGGTACCGTTTCGGTATCGTCATGGTAGCTATTTCTCCGTGTTCACCGCCCGGTTCAGCCCGGTTTTAGGACGGTATCACACACGGGCTGACGCGGGCTGGTCTGGATGCAACCATAGATGACCCCGAATGGATTGCATTCTCTTTCGCAATCTTTCCATGGATGGGTCACTCAACCCGGTTTCTGCCATGAGGGAGTTGGCTGAGAATAGCTCTCGGGAACGGGACTCTTGTCGTACATGTCCCTTCTGTACAACGGCTTGCCTGTTCCTGTCCTCTCCTCCGTTGGCTGATCCTTGACAATCCTCCCGCATTGAGTGGTCAAACGGGACGATCCAATCCACCGGTTAATTTACCCAACAATGATCATGACACTTGGGAGGAACATCCCTCCCTCCCTTCTACGGTGGGGAGGACAGTCGCAAGGCAACATCCAGAAATTTGATCAGGGATGGACTGATAGCCAGCCATGCAAGCTGCAGGCCCGGTGCATATGCCGCCGACCGAGCCAAGCCAGCAGGTACAGTCCTGTGTCTTCGGTCCGACTCGCTTCTGACCGAGGCGAGAAAGCGAGAAAAAGAGGCAGGAGACGGACTAGCAATGTCTTAAGTCTATTGCTGCCCATACCATGGAAAACCTCCCCCCAGCACCTCCTCCAGAAAGCACCCGATGGAGTCATCGACATCGCCAAACCATGCATCTTTAACCGACCGGACCCCAATTAGCACGAGCGGGTCGTCGGTCCACATTGCGTGAGTGGATCTGCTCCTCCAAGTTCCGAGGCGAGGGTCTGTCCGCCCCCGTGCTATGTTCAGACAAGACTTGATGGTCTCCTGTCCTACTAGACCAGACTAATGAGTAATGAACTAGGCGACGAGCGATGGCACCACGCTCGCCTGGTATCAGCTTATCTGCCTAGTCTCTCCTGGGACTAGACTAGACCTGGCACGCAAACATTCTCTACTAACAAAGCAGCCCTGGGGGTTTCGATCGTGAACCATACATTTATCAAAGCAACTAGAACATGAACGGAGAGCTATTGACACGACTTTCGAAAACATGTCCCCCAAATCTCGCTGTAGGACATAACAAAACTAATAGGATACGTAAATAGGTAGGTAATACATCATCAAGAATGCACTTCGCATTCAGCACCGCCAAAGGTGGGCAGACACCACGGTTGGGCTTGTCTTCTTCCAATTCTGCTTCCGAGAGTGCCAGCCGACCCTGTCTGTCAGCGGCCTCCCTTTTCTGTCCCTCTGGTTTATAACACCCAGAGAGTGGTTTTGTTGAGCCGTGGCTCACGTCTGATCAGCCCATTCAGCGCGAAGACATGCCGCCTATGGCATACTGCATTGCGTACAGGTGTAGACCCGCACAGGTAAGGGCCTCAGATTGCCCGGCCTGACCAACGCGGAGTCTGTTGTGTCGCGAAGTACCGAGGTCTAAATCAGGCCTGAGAAGCACGTCCTCGTCGGCTTTTAACCCAAAAGTTCGACGTCCAGACCGATGGCCCGCATAAAGAGGTTGACGTTTCCGAGACGCTGGCTGGCCATGTCGGCAGGAAGCGTCTTGCTATACGTAACAGTCTCCATCACACGGTCCCTGTAGAGGCGATTAGAATCGATGGTGAAGATTATTGGGTAAAGGAACTTGGACTTACTTCACTGCAATGACCAGGCGCTGCTGTTGATCGGGGCTGGCGCCAATACCGACAGCGGCCAAGAATTGCCAAACATACATGTCGTCGCCCGCGTTGATCGAACTGGGGAATAAGTCGGCAAAAGTGGGCTCTAGCGTATCAAATAGTACGTTGAACTTCTCTACCCATTGCTGCCAGTCTCTCTCTGAAGCTTGGTCGGCTTCCTTCACAATTTCCGCACGACTCAAGAGCATCGTCAGGATTCCGAGGCCAATCCTAGTCTTGGCCACTAACTGAACATGAGTCTGCGCAATCACAAGTCCCAACAACCCAATGATAATATTGAATGGAGCTTCGTTGACGTAACCGAGAAGGCTAGGCATGACAGTCTGAGAGAAAAGGTCGATGGCTTCACGGACGGCCAAGGATGGCTGGGTTTCACCCGGCACAGGTTGTGCGCGTCGGACGACGTCCAGGGTATCCAGGTGAACAACGATCATGGTAAGAATCGTAACACGTTGTTCTTGGTCAATGTGGCGGAAAATTCGTGGGATGGCCTTCTTGCCCTTGGGGTAGGAAAGGAAAGCGATGAACGGGTGAGGAGTGTTAGTGTTCGGGACAATAGGTTCCATGACCTTGAGTTCGCGCCACAATTTCTGGTTGAGCGAGCGAACGTTCTGCCGCCATTCCATATGCTTCTGAATAGCCTCGGGATCGTTCTCATCTGGCGGAGGTGGCATGGTGCGCTCCATATCTTCCATTTCCATCAAGGTACTGTAGACGCTCTCGATGTTGGTCAGGATAGACTTTCGGTCGCTCAAACTCAGGTCGGTCTGGGGCTTCTTGAATGACTTGCCACCTTCGGAGCTCTCGGGACGCTTGAGATTGAGCATGGGCTTCGGAGCCTTCGCGTTGCCGAAAGAGATCTTGCCTAAGCTGCCTTCGATGATGAGTTGCTTGTTCTTCGGCTTTGCCTTAGCAGCTTCAACGGCCCGCTGAACCTGCTGTTGCATTCTCTGCATGTGGTTATCGGCATTCTGGAACTGTCTCCGATTGCCGTGACCGCCCAGACGGTTGCCGGTCTGCAGAAGATATGTCTGCGCAAAGTGACCAAGAGGCTGGTGAGGATGTTGCCGAGGAGCGCCTCGGATCTGACTGTAGACCTGATAGTAAAAGTCCTCTGCCAAAACGGCTTCTGAATCCGAGTCGACCACGTTACCGGCGGCAGCCACCAGTTGTTGGAGCTGGATACGGGTAATGAAGTTCTTGTCTTGTGGGGTCATAAGTCCGTTGCCCTTGGACAGAAGGAAGATCTTGTGGTTCCGCTTGGCGCGCTTGGCATCTTCCATCAGGTATGCAACACGTTGCTCTTCCGACAGATGCATCAATTGCTGAGGATTGGTGATCACGGGCAGCTGGGCGTTGTTACCCCGCATGTTCTGAGGCGGCGGGGGAGGCTGTTGTTGCTGGGCCCGGGGGCCTCCGGGTGGCATCATCTGACGTTGAGGAGGACCCATGTGCTGCGGGGGCATGTTGGCATTCTGCAATAGATGCATTGGCATATTGGGAGCATGCGGAGCGAGAGGGTACGGCTCAGGAACCATTGGCGGTTGATGCAGCAGCTGCGCCGGCGGTGGAACACCCTTCGCGAACTGAGCGTGCAGAAGCTCGGGCGGCAGCTGTGCGAAGCCTTCGGGTAGAGGAGGCATCTGAGCCCGCTGGAGGGGATGGGCAGGCTCAGGCATCGACTGAGGGAGTGAGACCGGGACTTGACCAGGCAGTGCCGATGGATATCTCCGCAACTGCGCCTCCACTTCCTCCAGGCTAAGCATCTTCTTTGCCTGTGCCTGCGCCTGTGCCTGTGCCTGCGCCTGCGCCTGTGCCTGTGCCTGTGCCTGTGCCTGTGCTTGCGCCTGCGCTTGTGCTTGCGCCTGCGCTTGTGCCTGCGCCATCATGAATGGTGTAGGATCTTGCTTCTTCTGCACGCCCCAGACGCTCGACTTAGCTTGGAGGTCCGGGATGTACCCAGGATCCGAGTACTTCTCATAGCCTGTCCGTTTCGGCTTCCCGGCCGCAGCAGTCACGGCAGGATCGGCAGCGATATCTGCAGTGACAGCAGCGGCGGGAGGCGCTCTGGGTTTCTGAAGACTATAGCGAATTTGCTCTTCTCCGATGGCATCAGCCACCTGCGCAGTCTTCCCGAAGAAGTCGAAGTCCTTTCCGACCGGAGGAGCGCCGAGGTCGTCGCCGAAGGTGTCGTCGTTGAAGGCATCCTGATCGTCATCGAGCTGGTCGCCGAGGCCATCGTAGGTATCCTCAAAGTCAATGCTATATGCATGGGCAAGACTCGTTAGTCACAAGTTTCATCCATTAATCGGACTTGAGCCCAAGTCAATAGACCTGGAAGATGGGGAACCTTACACTTCGTCATCGTCGTCGTCGCCGCCTTGGAATCCTGCAGCACGGGCGCGAGCGACCTCGGCGAACGGATCAGGGGTCTCGAAGATACCTCTCCGCTCCGAGGGAGCAGCCCGGTCCCTGGGCAGGGTGGTATCAAAGCCAAAGAAAGACATCTTCGGCAATGGAAGGTGGATGGGGAACAGGGGGGGTTGGCGTGGGGAGGGAGGGGGGGAACAAGAATTACCACGGCATAATTGTGGTGCGGGATGAGGTTCAGAGCCGGTCTGATATCACCCGCCTAGGTGGATTTAGGCTTAGCTGTGTTTGCCTCAGGCAGTACTACGACAGGCGGTCAGTTTATGCTACGTTAACCCGCCACCGCCTGGCTGCCAACCACAACAGAAACCATGGCAGGATGTGTGGCTGAGAGCCTGAGACTGTCTCAGGCGCAGTCTTGCAATTTTAGATTCTCTAGTCTAATGGTTGATGGAAACGAATAACCAAGAAGTACTTCGTCGAGCTCTCTCGTATCTGCCATAATGCTTCCAAGCATTCACCGGAAGATAAACTTTGGGGGTGGGTTATTATAGGATTGCCTTCGTATAGTTGAGGCTTCAATCTATACACAAGTGGACAGATTGATAATAGATCCATGAGAGATAGACCCCGTTCCAAGGTAGACTGGATCGTGCGGCGGCAGCATGACTGTAGTGACTATGATGGATTGTAGCACGAACCCTCCCTTTGTCTTCTAGACAGATCAACTCGACTTTGCTCGAGTAGAAAGAAACAGGCTTCATGACTGACCAGTGGGTAGCCAAACCCCCGAAAGACGTACGTGGCCTGGCCAATAACCACCGGTGTGGTTACGTCGCCCTCCATTCATTCATTCATTGAGATCCATTCAATCCATTATTATTCTGCCGCCGCAGGGCTGACCTTTGCCTGCTTTACTCTCCGTAGCAAAAACAGCCTCCCCCCTCTTCCTCCTGAATTGAGATTACCATGATTTCATTCGCTTCCTTCTGACTTACTCTTTTGCTCTTATCATCGTCCCCTCCCCCTTGTTTATGTTCATTTTGTCGCAACCAACCTCCGGTTTGGGAAATACCACCACTGGTGAGATCGAGACCGTTGCCCCATAATAATTACACCACCGCACCCTGTTCATCTCCGTTGTCGCCGCCGATCATCTCGACACTTACTCCTCATCTGGCGCCGAGTTTCCCAGTCCTTGTTTGAGATCAGACCGTGGGATTCCAGGCTCCCGGATCTCCTCCCACTTCACTTCACTTTAATCTGTCGCTCGCTTTTTCTTCTTCTTTGTTATTCTTCAATTTTCCTGGCCAAGCGGCCCTTCCCAACAGGCTTCCATATTTACTCCGCTTTACGGCAATTTCAGTACATAGCCACCGCAACAGACTCAGTACATTGACCGCACAGAAACATCTGTGATCATGGCTCTAGGGCCAATTCGATATCTCCTATTCGCCGTCACCGTCAGTGCTCTCATTCTCCGACGGGTTTTATTTATGGCTAACTCAGCGCGCGCAGGGACTGGCACTTTTCTTCCTGATATCGAGAAGCGCGATACCGATCCCGGAGCAGATCGGTTCGAAACTCACCTACGGTTCTTCCTCATCCTCATCCTCCTCGTCATACTCCCAGAGCGATGCTGCCGCTGCGTATGCATCCAACAAAGTCGTTCCCCCCGCCGATCGCGTCAACGCAACCTTCGTGACCTTGGCTCGGAACAGTGATCTTTGGGAAATGGTCAAGTCGATCCGCACCGTGGAGGATCGATTCAACCGCAATTATCACTACGATTGGGTCTTCCTGAACGACAAGCCCTTTGAAGATGAGTTCATCAAGGTCACATCTGCGCTGGTCTCTGGAGAGACTCACTATGGCGTGATTCCTCAGGAGCATTGGTCATACCCCGAGTGGATCGACCAGGAGAAAGCGAAGAAGGTGCGACAGGAGATGGGCGAAAAGAAGATCATTTACGGTGACTCTGAAAGTTATCGCCACATGTGCCGCTACGAGTCGGGCTTCTTCTTCCGCCACCCGCTGATGCTGAACTATGAATACTACTGGCGCGTGGAGCCCAGCATCGAGCTCTTCTGCGATGTCCCGCTCGACCCTTTCCGTTTCATGAAGGAGAACAACAAAAAATACAGCTTTACCCTTAGTCTTTACGAATACTATGACACGATTCCTAGCCTATGGGGCACCACCCAGCAATTCATGGGAGCACACCCGGAACATGTCTCGAGCGACAACTCAATGGATTTCTTGAGTGATGACGGCGGCAAGACCTACAACAAATGCCATTTCGTAGGTAATGTCCGGCATTGTGTCGAGTGCACGGCTAACCAATCCATAGTGGTCAAACTTCGAGGTCGGAAGCCTGGAATGGCTGAGATCGAAGGCATACATTGATTACTTCGAGACTCTGGACCACGCCGGTGGTTTCTTTTACGAGCGCTGGGGTGACGCGCCGGTCCATTCCATTGCTGCCGGTCTGCTCCTGGACAAGAAACAGATTCACTTCTGGGATGAGATTGGCTATTATCACGTGCCATTCACTCACTGTCCTACCGAGGAGAAGAAGAGACTGGATCTGAAATGCTCCTGCAACCCTGCAGAAAACTTCGATTGGAAGGGTTACTCCTGTAAGTCCTGCTGGTCTCGTCTGGTAGGATACCGGTTTACTAATAATCCCCATAGGCACGTCTCGGTTCTTCCAAATCAATAACATGGACAAGCCGAAGGGCTACGAGGATCAGAGTTGACTCCGTGTGATCGGAGGATTCGTGATCTTGGCAACTGTTATTTGTGGTATTGTTGTTGTACTGAACAGAAATAGCCGGGTGCTGGTGGTCCACAGAGCAGGTCTTCTAGTGGACCACGTAAATACTGGCTGGGAATCTGTGCGGAAATGGAGAAACGCCTACTAAGCAGGGCTTCCCACTGCATTCTTCGGCCTCGGATTTGGGTACTTTGAGTGCTCGCAGACTAACCAACCCTCTCATTATTCCTCCCTCTGCCAACCTACTTCCATACTGCCCCGTGTTTGGGTTCCGGTGTCATCGGTGTCACATGTGTTATCATGGAGACGGAGGTTATTCCATGTTTTGACCCGAGTTCATTTGCGGCGAGCATCACGATTTCAAGTGGATATTTGATAGATGGAAAAAGTGGTATCTTTTCCAGAGACTGTCTCATAAATGTACATAGCTGTTTTTAACGATGAAACCAAATGCCTTGAAACAAAACGAGAATAAAAAAGGAACATAGATGATACAGATAGCACTCAGGTGCTCAGTACACTGCGGACAAAATTACGCGACATTCGCACCCGGTGTCCGTCTAGATTGTCTAGTCACTCTTCGGCTTCTTCGTACCATACTTGGATCTGCTGGTCAGGCGATTGGCAACACCACCCTACGTACACAACCGTTAGCAAGCAGTCGTTCCTCGGGCTGGTAGAAAGTGGATACATACCAAATCCATAGCACCGCGAACCAAATGGTACTTCACACCAGGACAATCGGGAGCTCTGCCGCCTCTGACCATAACGACACTGTGCTGTTGGATATTGTGACCTATTCGAGGTACATGTTAGCCTTGCCTTTCCTTTCCCTGTCTAAGAACTACAACCCTCCCCAAAAGACCCAGACCAGCTCCTCCCTCCCCCGGGGGAGAGAGACACCGGATCATCCACACCACACCACGAAACGCAAACGAAAAACAAACTAAACGCACCTTCACCAGGAATGTAAGCAGTGACAACCTTGCCACTGCTCAACCGCACTCTGGCGGTCTTCCGCTCCCCGGAATTCGGCTTCTTGGGCTTAGTGATACCGGTCTTCAGGCACACGCCCTTCATCTGCGAGCGACCGATCAGCGCCGGCGACCGCGAGCGCCGCGCCTTCTGTGACACCCGGCAGCCGCGGCGGATCTGGTTGTAGGTCGCTTGGCGGAGCGGGGAGGTGGAGAACTGCCGGCGTGCGGCGAGCGTGATCGCGGAGGTAGTGGAGGGAGTTCTGGTCGTCAGGGCTGCGAGGGCGGAGGGCGTGCGGAGCACCGGCGTGAATCGGGGGGTGCTGGTGGCTTGCGTCTTGATGGTGCGGAGGGGGACGGCCGCGGGACGCTGAACAATCGTCCGGAGGGTGCGCAGGGCGAGCGTGGAGATGAGGGCGGGCATTTTGTCTGGTTGTTGTGTTGGGTGTTGGGGGAGATTCCAGCGTGTGTCTGGTGTGAGGCGATGAATTTCCTGCGATGGGGATGGGTTCACGTGATTAGAGAGAGAGAGAGAGAGAGAGCTTTTGCGGGTGTGGGAGGTGCCGTCCGCCGGAGAGAGCTTAGGGTGAGCGCTCGCTCGGGGCGGCGAACGCGCCAGTCGGAGGGAGCCTACGCTATCGATGTCAGAGCTGCCGACCGACCTTACCTGAAGTTCAGTTGTCCGCCGTAACTACTTCCACCATTTCAACTCCATCTCCTCCCTACCTTTGTGTTTCGTCCATCCATCTTCTTCCTCCAGTATCTGAGGACACAGGTTAACAGCTCGATAATTAACCCTTACCGTCAACGTTCATCACAACACCGCCATAATGGTACGTCCACTACCTCAGCTACATCCAGCACTCATCCAACAAACCATCCAACCATCAACCTCATTCTATCCAACCATCCGAAGCCCAAACACACCTCACCCCCCTTCCAACCCTTTAAAACCCCCAGGATCCAAAACTAACACCCCAAAGTCCCTAAGGATATCCCCCCCCTCAACGAACCCAACCCAAACAAGCAACACAACAACTCGCACCCCGCAAGCCCTGACCCTACCGCACCCATCAAAAGGCGCCCCCTCAGCGCCAGGCCTACCCGACACGCTCCGGAACAACCTCACGCTCCCAGCAGCCCGGGGCCCGCCGTCAGCGCAGACCGGCACCGCGACGTCGGCGCACCCGCTCGAGGCCCGGCTGCTGGGCTGGCGCCAGACGCAAGACGCCCTGAAGATGGAGTCGCTGCGGCGGGCGTACGGCATCGCCGAGCCCATCCGCCGCGGCATGGAGCTGAAGATCGTGCGCGACGGCTCGTTCCGCCCTGCCTTGATTGGGGGTACCGAGACGCTGCATGAGGATATCTTGGTGCTCGGTGGTCGGGACGCGGAGGTCGGTTGGGAAGATGTTTTTAAGGGTATGTCTGTTCTTTGTCTTTTCTTTCCCCTTTGTCTTTCCGATTGTAAAAGGGGGGCGGGGGCGGGGATGCGAGATGGAGCTAACGCTGGACTAATAGGTGATGAGTTCCGTGAACCACCTACTTTCCATGATGAGATGGAGAAGAGATTGCGTATGGATTAGATGGTGATCATTTCCATCTGGGTTAGGGTGATGGTGCTTATGCTGTGGCTATGGTATTAGGTTCTATGTTCATTACTGCTTTTTTCTAAATCGGTTTCTTTGGTCCTCAATCTGAACGGATCGATGTAGTCTGCGTTGCTCTGGTAGTGTGGTAGAAATTAGATTGTGGGTAACTGCAACTCAAAGTACACATACAACAATCAATCAAAATCATCGGCTTCAGACAACAGTATGGTTCATTATGTATGTGCAGTTGTGGTGGTTTGTACATCATGTGATTCCCGGGAGTCACCCGGCAAGACACTATATATTGGACATCTGGACACGCTTCAGAATAAACAGGCGCCGCATACCATGGCGGTCCAAAAAATCGCCATCGGGTTTCTGGTCCCCGATAACCACTCGCCTGAGTCCAGGGGCGGTCAGGCCTTGTTCGGGGTAAATGATAACGACACAAGCAGGAAGTAATACGCTGCGTAAGCCAAGAACAAATGCTAACAAACGGCCTGCCAAATGTGAAAGAGGGTGAGGACGAAATAAAGGGTATATATGAATCAGATAACAAGCACGAGTGGCATCAAGCGACTCGATAGTAAATCAGAGCTTGGTGGGCGACCGATAACACCGTAACCGATGCCCTCGTAGGACACGGGCGATGAACATTGCTAGACCCGGAAAAATGAAGCCAGTCCGACGCTGTCTTCGCCGCAATCAGGTGATCAACCCGAGGTGCCGCCTGCAATCAAGGCGGAGTAAAGGGACGACCCTGGAACGAATTCATCCCGGAAACGGGCTCATAACCAAGAAGCCAGATAATCGACGGGCAAGCGATAGAAGATGCGGCTTCGCAGACGACCGAATAAGAGGATATCAAGGAGTTCAGGACACATAGCCCTAACTGATAGTGTTTCCCTGTCCCAATACACTGCTTAAGTAGCACATCGACAAGTCGTGTTCATTGGATAATGCAACGGCAGCCAGGGCTACGCTCGCTGGCCTCCCGCTCACGGGTGTACTGGGCCTTGGTCCCCTTGGCATCTTCTTCGTCCACGAGTTCCTGGGGCTTGACGGTCATGTGCACCACGTTAGGAGCATCTCGGTTGAACCGGCAGTCTGGGACGGTCAGTAAAATCAACATTTGGTGATGGAAGGGATCATATAGGCTCTATACCTGATAATGGAGACTTATCATCCAGGAGCTTCCCGAAGGATATCAGTCGAATCGAACTAGGCGAAGACGGCCGTGGTTCCCAGTCTATGCGGTGCAAATATGTCAGCCGCCGGATTCAGCGCCCACGGACAATTCCCATACCTTGTCGCCATTCCCTCCAGATCAGTTCCTTCAATGTATATACGCTCATGGCGAACGGATCATGGTTTTCGACATTCACCGATTGCTTCTTGAGATAAGCGGCATCAATCTTGAAAGGGTGTCGCGAGCCAGTGATCAACAACAAAGTGATGACGAGGTGTGGTCCTGAGTCTTCTTCTTCCTTTACATCCTGAGGCGGAGCATCGCCAGCAGCTACCGAAGCTTTCGTCTCCTCATGATCGCCAGCCGATGCGCTGGCGGTCGGAACATCGCTGGGGTCGTGCTGCGAGGCACGTGTTGGTGCGGGGACTTCGGCGAGGTCGGCTGATTTGGCGTCCGTCAAACTGGGCTCTTGAGTCTCATCACCCGTACTATCCAGGCGAGAAGTGGTATTCAAGGCCTCTGTGGACTCCGACGATAGACCGGGAACAGCATGTGGTTGGGCGGTATCGCTGTGAGGAGCCAACGGGGTGACCGCCGTCTCGCCCTTATTGCCCGCGCTGTCGGACATGATGACAGTGATCGTATAACTTAAAATGCGAGTGAGCGCTAATAGAAGCAAAACGACGTGTCGATTTGAAGTATGTCGCGCAAGGAAAATTAAAAACGATGATGGTAACGAATATTTCTCCGGTAGATCCGGGGCGAGCGACCGACGTCGTTATTGGAGGGGGGGAGGCGGGAGACCCTGGGGGTTCAAGGAGAGGTGCGACGACGACGACGACGAACCTAGCAACGCGCAACCCGAACAGCAAGAAAAGAAGGGGTGCGGAGGGGGCCCAAAAGGGGGGCTAGACTAGATAAAAAGAGGAGAAATCCAAGAATGGTGCGAACAAGTGACTAGAACCTTGATCGGAGGAAGGAGATGAAGGGGGAGGAGGCCATGCGACCCGAGGGAGGCGAAAAGGGGACGAAGAGAGAGAGGGAGGAGGCGGCGGCGGCGGCGGGCAATTGGTGTAGGGTAGACGAAGGGAGGCGACAACGGAGCGGGCAAAAGGAGGAAGACAGAACTTTAATTAAAAGACCTCCTAAGGGTAAAAGGAAAAGAAGTAAGATAGAAGCTAAATAATGGAGAATATACAAGATATTTCGACAATGGAAGGGGGGAGGAGAGTGAGGGGAAGGAAGTCCAGAGAGAGATCAAAAGCGATCGTGATACTAGTGATGAGTGATGGATGATGGATGGTGGAGGGACGGGAAGAGAAAGAGGAGAGAGAAAATGAAAGGAGAAGGGGGTGAGTAAGTGCGTGTGAGACTCCAGACTCCTCCATCCCTCCATCCAGTGAGTCCAGGCGGGCGACGATCCGGTTGGGCGCGCCCGGCGGAAGTCAATGTCTTTCTTAGTCTCCGTTTTGTCATCTTCACCTGTGTGGATGGAATCATTCCAAGCTTCGCTTCTCCTTCCATTGATACTTTATTCCTCTATTCTTTCTTCGACTTAGTTCTGCCTGACTGCCTGCAAAAGCTGTCATACTCCCGAAATATTTCCCATTGAATTCTTCCGTCCAATTGAGGATGGCTGGCGGCCGTCGGAGATTCTGCATCGGCTTAAATAATGACACTGACACCTGTCAGGCTCGTATCGGACCCGATCTTGCGATGGGTCGTCCTCACAGTATCTATTGATCTTCCAATCTAATCTACTTAGTAGAAAGGTGTTGCTTCAGTCACCTTACAGCCCAGATGCAATCGGTGGATGTGATGCAGATCTTCAATCTCAAATATCAGACTGGGGAAATCGATACCGGAAGGCCCGCTAGGAGGCATTGCTTGGCCTGTGTTGTTACTATATATAACCCAACCCACGACGACCTCGCTTAATCTCGAGGACTGCATGGCCATCATCAGGCCTTGTCTGGACCCTGGTTTCTGTCAGGAAAGGACTTAGTAAGTCATATGACGATTCAAATCGCAGCTGAAGCGGCAGAATGGATTCAAATCCCATCTCGACCGCCAAACCGCCCCGAGTCACGCCATGGAAATGGCACGATCGACTACTTTGCAATTGCACACTGGTTTGAACTGCGTATCTTTCTGTCTCTACCATGTCAATGAGTAACAAAGCCATTTCGGCCCAGGCCTTGGGCTTATCGCTACCGACACCTGACTGATATGCAGTACAAAGGCCGAACCACTAGCCGCAAAGTCAGAGTCCTTCGCGTGAACTTGACAGTGGCACTAAGGTCTAGTACTTATGAACGCTAACGCTAATTCCCACTACTCTCCAGGGTTCTACTATGATGATCTCCCTCCCAAAGTACCACCCACTTCCTTCAATCTTCGCCACGTCTACTCTCTCGGCGCTTTATCCAAGGAAGAATGCGGGATTTTCGCCATCTTCTGACCCGTTCGTTTGGCACTATCGTGAAGTGCTTGCGCACGTGGTCGTGTTCGGCTCTAACATCAAACACGAGTGTCTTGTTCTAGATTCAGGAAGTCTCCCTCGAACCTCCCCGCGCCAGTCTGGCGAATATGTCAGATACTCCATGGTTAACGTTCTGTCATATACGAACCACTCAGTAACCGGTCTATCCGGTCGACTTGTGTGACATCATTCTTGCATTGATCTTCGTCAAAGACGATCATTGTCCACAAGGATCATCAAAGCTGGAGACTGACATTCCAACTCGATAAAAGCGAAGGGCGCTACCGTAGGGCTCATGGCCAGTCTCCTAGTCCGGAGAGGTGGACGGTAGTCATTCTCACCGCGAGGACTTTTGATCACAGTTCGCCCCTCAGGGGCGAGATACGGAGTCGGCTGAGATGGTCAAGCGAACAGCAAGCGATCTCGTTTTGTCATGCAATCTAGAACCTGATATCCATCTCTCTCGGCTCCTTTTCGGTCTTTCTGATGTAATGGACTGATCTTCATCCTGATCCAGTTTTAGGTCATATGGCCACAATGCAATTTCTTATGCCTCTTATATGGAACGCATCCATCTAGCAAGATGCTTGCCTCGCCAGCCATCCACCATATCTTTCGCACTGAATTCGCCCGCGGAGACCTCTCCTCCTAAGGAAATGCTTCGATCGCCATTCCCGATTGCACGCAAGTCAACTCAAGAGGCTCCTTTCCACGTTGACTCCTGTGGCTTGAGCCTGGATATCAATATCACCGAACCAGCTTTATTTGTCCCGACATTTTCAGACAAACCAGCAGTTCTCCGTGGTGAATGTCGACTGACGGTGAAAGAACCCATGACAGTGAAACGACTGACCGTCAATTTGCGCGGAACAAGCCAGGTTATATGGCCTCATGGTGAGGACTATACATGGTTCCGCAAAGTAGGGACCTCCCTCAGGTTCAAATCGTCTGACTTACAAATAATGTACAGGGTTTCGTGAACGCCATAGGGTGACGGACCAAACATTGACACTGTTCGGCCCAAAGATGACGCAGCCGGTGCTTCCGTGCTACATCGACACAATACAGGAGACAGTATCCCCACCGGCGGCGCTCAAAGGGACCACATTATGGAATATCATCTCGACTAGAAAAGACTCGCACGGGTGTGAGGAGAAGAACGCAGGGTCCAAATATCAGCAACTGACACCCGGGACCCACATATACAACTTCGAGATGGTCCTGCACTCGCCTCTGCCTGAATCTATTCAAGTCCGACAGAGCAAGGTCCGATACCGGGTCCGAGCCTCCGTCGAAAGACCGGGCTTCTTAAATCGCTCGTTTTCCCGAAGCAAGCCCATTGCCGTCGTTCATTGTCCCGCAGAGGATTTTGTGGATGATGCTGAACCTCTTTACATTGCTCGAGCTTGGAAGCACCTGCTACAATCCGATATACTGGTCTCGAGGAGGGGTGCGCCCCTTGGCGATTTAATTCCTGTCACAGTATCATACACCGAGCTGGGCCACGCCAAGTTCCGAGGGCTGCAAATTTTTGTCTCGGAAGATGTGCAATACCACCAGCGGGACGGTCTGGCTTGCAGCAATGGGCCTTTCAGACGAAGTCTAGTTTACGAGAGAATGACAGGGCCAGTGTCAAAGATGGCGCTGAGTCGAGTCGACACCGACGAGCACCCAACATACATCGAGAAGGACGATTATGTCACCGCCAAGACGGTCGGGGATGCCGAGGCACGAAGCCGATCGCTGCACGATGGCGACACCGAACACACCGAATTAGACCTCCAACTCCCGCTTCCCGTTTGTCATCTTCACTCCGATCCAACCAGGCCGCAGGGTATGCATTTTGACACCCGGTACAAAAATGTTCGGGTCAGTCATTGGCTTGAGGTAAGATGATGATTTCGATGATGTTCGCCGGTGCTGGAAAGGGTTCGACCAGGCTGACCGATGACACCAGTTTGCTTTTCTGATGGCCAAGCCCGATAGTATGAACCTGAACAATGAGCGCATTGTGCAGAAAGTTGCCCACGTCCCACTGGCGCTGCGCTCCTGTTATGCTCAACAAGCCAATGCTTCGCTGCCTGCATACTCCTAAGACGGCTGGGTTATAGCCAATAGTTCGATCGGGAAAGTGTCGGCTCGAATCCTGGTTGGACGTTGCAGAAGATCTCCAGTCGTGTTGAAGCTTACTCGTGGCCGTGGCCTGCATCACAGCACCTGAGCGCAGAGGCCCGTGGGTGTGTGGGAAGTGGGACCGATGAGAAAGGAGTGGATACACAATCACGGCCAATCGTGACCAGATCACTCCAACCTGACTTTTCAATGGATGAGAAGCCTGAGAAGCCCGAAAAATCTTCAAGAAGATCCAGCAATATTCTTGCAAAATGGCAGCCTTTACAGGCTTTGCCGCCACCGAGAGTGGGTACCTTACATTTCCGGATAACATCCAGTGGGTCGTCCCGGCTATCGGCCGCTGTGCAGTTACATCATCCGCTATCCGTCGGCGACCTTTCCACCTTCTTCCCACCTGGAATGCATCATTCTCACATCATATCCCATCCCCCTTCTGCCCTCCTCCGTCCGAAACCACCACATACTTCCATCCCGAACTCCGTTACCGATCGGTCCCCGCGCACCTCCGGTAAGCGGCGCTCTGCTATCCTCAGTGGTGTCCCACCGCGTGTCAGTCGTAACGAGGCCCGGTGATGTCAGCTTGGGTTGGGCAATCGGAAAAACAATTCGACAAAAAAAGGCAATGCCCCATGGTTAAGGGTCATAGTATAGGGCGTGGAGAGACGAGGGCCACCTCCAATTTTTTCCCCATGGGTAACCTTCTTTGGATCAAGCGTGAAGGTAGCGAGCGCTCCACCGCTTCTTGCCGCATGCAGTACGCAGATTCTTAAGTTCACGTAGTCCTCCTCTCGGTCTGCTGATATGCTCTTCTTAATCTTTAATCTTCTCTTTCCTTGTCTCCTCCATCTCTAGAATTCCCTTTCCTCCATCATCCTCTCTATACACCCCGTTTTTACCCCGGGTATCTGCCATTTGTTTCTACCATTCTGGCTTCGTAACGTTCTCTCATCATGGCGCCTCCCACATATGCTGGGTTCTCGGGCCGGCGACTCGGCCTCGCAATATCAACAATTGCAACCATGGGCTTTTTGCTTTTTGGTTATGATCGTAAGTGACTGCCCAACTTGTTGAGTCGGCTGTGGGCTTTGAGCTCACAATTTGCACAGAGGGTGTCATGTCAGGTATCATTTCTGATCCTGCTTTTAACGACATGTTCACTGCCACCAAGGGTGACTCGGTCATGCAGGCAACTGTTACTGCAGTCTATGAAGTCGGTGAGTGGCTCTTGTACGAATACCAATCTAGTTGTCAGGAGGCTAACTCGCAGGATACAGGCTGTCTCTTTGGTGCCATCTTCGCTCTGATTTTTGGTGAGACCCTGGGACGTCGTCTCATGGTCATTTACGGTGCGACGGTGATGATCATCGGTGTGGTTATACAGGTCACTGCCATGCCCAAATCAATCCCACTGCTACAGTTTATTTTCGGCCGTGTGATTACCGGTATTGGCAATGGTATGAACACGTCGACTATCCCGACATATCAAGCCGAATGCTCCAAGACCAGCAACCGTGGTCTTCTGATCTGTATTGAAGGCGGCATTATTGCTATTGGAACCATGATTGCTTATTGGATTGACTATGGTGCCCACTATGGTCCTCAAGATTTGGTCTGGCGCTTTCCTATCGCCTTCCAAGTTTTCTTCGGTCTTATTATTATTGTCGGCATGTGGAAACTTCCAGAGTCCCCTCGCTATCTGATCGCCCATGGTAAGGTAGAGGAAGGTACTCGAGTTCTCGCTGCCCTCGCGGGCGAGGAAATCGATCATCACCAGGTCCAGCTGGAGAAGAACTTAGCTCTGGACTCTGTTCGAGCGTAAGTTGATCCGACGTTGGCATATACATAGCTTCCTAGCTAACATACCTTCCAGTTCCGGTTCTTCCGAAACCAAGTTCAGCGATCTGCTCACGGGCGGTCCCTCTCAGCATTTCCGCCGCATGCTGGTCGGCTCGTCGTCTCAGTTCTTCCAACAAATCTCCGGTTGTAACGCCGTCATCTACTATCTACCAGTGTTGCTCGAGGATTCCATTCATCAGTCCCACAACTTCGCGCTTCTCATTGGCGGTATTAACATGATCTGTTACGCGATCTTCGCCACTTTCTCCTGGTTCTTCATCGAAAAGATCGGCCGTCGTAAGCTGTTCCTTGCGGGCAGTTACGGCCAGTGTGCTGCAATGGTCATTGTTTTCGCATGCTTGATTCCTGGCGATGCCGAAAGTGCCAAGGGGGCTATCTTTGGCTTCTTTATGTATATGTGCTTCTTCGGTGCTACGTGGCTGCCTCTCCCTTGGCTCTATCCGGCTGAGATTTCTCCTCTCAAGACCCGGTCCAAGGCAAACGCCGTGTCTACTTGCAGCAACTGGCTCTTTAACTTCACTGTGGTCATGATCACGCCTGTTATGGTCGCCCGTATTGGCTGGGGAACCTATCTGTTCTTCGCCGTATGGAACGCTATCTTCATTCCCGTCATCTGGTTCTTTTACCCGGAAACCGCGGGCCGCAGTCTGGAAGAGATTGATCTCATCTTTGCCAAGGGCTATTGCGAAAATATGAGCTATGTCCGCGCGGCAAAGGAATTGCCCAAGCTCACCGATGATGAGATTGAAGCCAAGGCGACGGAATACGGCATCCTTGGTGACGAGGAGAAGGCTGAGGAGCGCATTGCCGAGAAGGATCCTCCCCGGTCGGCGGAGTTTTCCCAGTTCCAGCCCACTCAGCTGTGAGAGGAGACAGCGCGTGAGAGTTCTCCTTATGACGACATGCCTCGCGACGTGATCTATTATATCTGTTTGTGTTTTCGTTTTCCCATCTGATGCCTGTTGCTGGCCAACCTTGCCTACGCAATCATTGCCCGGTGCATGTGATGTGTGGTGATATGCGCATCCCTCTTCAATGCATGGGATCTAGAAAAAGCGAAAAGTTTTCTGGACGAGATACAGATGCTAGAATTGGATGTGGATATCATGTAGTCATAGTCGTCGTCCATGTTGTCCAGGCTGCGGGTTTTTTTCGGTGTGGTCATGTATATACCTGACGTCTTTTTCATTTCTTGCTTATTAGAACATATATTAGACCTCAATCTCATCACGACTATTCATTGTAAATCACATTGTTTTGGCCTTCAGTCTGCCTTCTTGCACCATTTGCAAGGGGGCTTCCCATGCAAACAGGACTCGTATGACCGTTACTCATAAGAGAACTAAACCGTGGTGTGCACACTGTTTTGTTCGAGTTGGCAGGACAGCTACGTCAGCCACTTCACTTCCTGAACGGATGCGTCCGGGCCCAGCGCAATTGAGTTCGCGCTGTTGGAATGGAAGGTTCATTAGAATGTTGGGATTGACTTTCGATTTTGTCTGCCATCGATCGGATGGCTTTCGTTTTGGGTTAGTGGGACGAGGATCCATAGTTTGGTTGTGTCCTTTAATTCTTAATAGTCGTCACATTAAGCCTTTCCTGGATGAGTTGTGCCTGGTCTTGGTTCAAGGCTTAGTTCGGGTTGCCAAGTTTTCTTGGAGCGCGTGCCTCGGTTACTCTGCTCGGTGGGTCTGAGCACGAGTGATCATTGGAAAAGAGGAGGCAATCCGTTGTTGACATGGCGGGTGTTGTATATGCCAGCTCAAGATCAAAGCAAGGAGGATGAGTGGACGTGTGGTAATGGGTTAAAGAGTGGTGTAGTTATTAGGTAGCCATCATCGGTGTAGTTATGAATCCCGTGCGTCGGCAGGGAACCAGTTCCCACTGGGTCAAGATTTAGTGTAACTGACTCAGAAATTTTTGATCTACTTCTGATACAGTAGAAGATATATTACTTATATTATATAATATTATTTTCTAGTAGTTCAGAAATCTCTAAGATTATATAATTTGACTTATACTATTTTTAGACTTCCCAGTAAAAAATTATTTTTCTGAATTAATAAAGGTTTATACTAGGTTTAGACTTAGTATAAATTATTTGATTATTATTATTATAATTAGCTTTAAACTAAATATAAATAGAATATAAATAGAATAATGAATAAATTTATATTTTCTTTTCTTATAATCTTATATTTTTGTTATGGGTAATCTATATAACTAAGTGGTTACTATAATAGAATATCTATATCTTAGTTATAAAATAGTTATAATATTAATAATTTAGTAAAATCTATATTTAAAATATCTGAGTTTTATTATACTTTAGAAAAGTGAAAATTAATTTATACTTGTATAATACTAGTACTTTAATTCTATACTTAACTAATTCTTTTATAATTTTAATTCTTTTTTTTTAGTTATTTTCAGCAATCGTCGTATCTATAACAATTCTTCTAATATAAATCCTGGTTCCCATTCCCCCCTCTGCACACAAACCATTCAGCCTATCGTCTAAATCTTCCTAGGTTAACGATATTTGAACCCACTTCAGCTCCCCATTTCGATTTCAACAAATCGACAGCAGACTGCCCAACCCCTTCTCCCTTCTAAAATGGAAGAATCATTAACACCCTTTTTGCAATATACAGAGAAGGACCGTCGGTGAGCTGATCCCGCTACTCAACGGAGTTCTGATCCAATAATTAAACTTGGCGACCACTTGCAATAGACCTAACGCGCCAGCCTTTTCACTCGCCCTTCAAGGTCCGGAAAAACTGTCACGCACAGCACCATACCTATTTCATGTGACCCTACAGCGGGTCGATGAGGCTAGCCATTACTGTGTCTTTGCATGGTACCCGCAGACTCATGGCTTTGCTACCTCAAACGGGTTCATTCTCCTTCATTGTACCGCGCAGGGCGAGCTGCACCAAGTCAAACTCCCCGAGTACACCACACTCCCCCAACTAGAACATCAGCACTTCTCCCCTTACCATTGCCATAAGCCCGGTAATGTCCAGCAATATTACGACGTTATTCCCGACCGTCTTATCCCATGCCTACAGACGGGCGAGCGATATGTACTCCTCTGGCCCGGTCAACAATATAGCTCATGGAATTGGATCGACAAAGTAGACAACTCTAAAGTCGTCTTGCCAGGCGGGCCCTTCCTATCCTTCACAGTCGAGGACGATGGGAACAGGCCGATCGTGCCGACGTTGATCTCTGGGTGAGAATCTTCCTTGCTCCTCTCCTGCTTGTACTACCCCCGAACACATATTAAGCTCCCCATGCACCCATCTGTTTAGATTGCAAGAATGCTGTCCCACTCTGATTGCAAAAATCGAATGTTGCCCTCAGGGCCAGGTGGCTTTACAGGATGACCTCGTGCTTGCGACCCTTCATGTGACGTACGTGCCAACAAGTGGTAGTGGCGGTAGGCCGTTTACTTTCAACACGGCAGGGTTGACCGTCGAGCTCTGGGTTTGGCGGGATCGGTGGGTCAATCTGAAAGGGTTCGTCTGCGGTGGAGGATGGGCATTCGTCGATGACCCTGATATGCAAGTCTCGCCAGGCCGCGATGAGGGCTTTGCCAGTCTGCGTCCAGGAGAAACGTGGTCCAACGTCTTGCGGCTTCCCTTGCTCACGGACATGGAGAGCAATGATGGCGGGGAGGCCCGGGTCGGGGAGGGTATCCGGTGTCTCTTCACGGGCCTCCAGCTCGACTGGTGGGTTTGGGGAAGTCGGGAGGACTATTTGGAGACGACAGTCACAATTCCAGCCACGGGAAGCTGGACGGTACGGGAGCCGGGCGAACAGCCCAACGTTTCCATTCCTGCGGCGGCACCCGTGGATTTGGAGATTGTATAGAACGAGCCGATGGGAGGAACGACAACTTGCTACATGCGACATGACATGTCGAAGGCAACTCGTGTGTTATCTGAACTTTAAGCAATTCATCCAAGTTGGACGATTCTTCCAGATCAAGCTATAGGATAGAGATATGTATGCGTCTATAATACCCCAACCTATCTGAAGTCCATAGTAATCATATTGTAATCCAAGAGCTCACTTCTATATATCTATTCTGGCTCAATTTGACTTAAGCATGGCTTCATTCTGTTCGAAATGATCTTGCTATGTAGCATAGACAAGCTATCGTAGAAGAACCATTCTCTGAGCACGGGAAGCCCCGGATCGAAATTCCCCACTCGCCGAAAAAGGTCCATACTTGGTAATTTCCGTACCGATACGGAGTACACCACATATGTACCCATGAACTAGTGGAACCAGTAGTTGAGTGGGGATACAGCTCCGAAGAGTCAAAAATCAGTACGAAGGGGTCAGACCGGTGCCGGAAAGACAGCTTGGTAAGGTTCAGGATTTTCAGACACCTAATGAGCTTAAACATGTGAGTACTTCTGACACCTAATCAGCTCTGCACGTAACTAAAAATTATAACACAAACTTAAAAAACTTTCCCTAAAGATATTAAGAAATCTGAGAAGATTGAGTGATTCAAAGATCATTAAATGTCGAAGTAGCTGATTAGGTGTCAGGATTCTGAAAGCTGACATCTAACAAGGTTTACACGTGACGGAGCTCATTAGCTGTCAGGATTTCTCTGACCCCATCGCACTAATTTCTGACCCCCTCGCAGCTAGGACCCTTAGTTTAGTTGGTCCCTGAGACACTCATAGCCCCGAGCTCTGATCTTTAAGATCTAATAAGGATGATTCTTTGTGCATCGAACCTTGTTACGTAGAGAACCAAACCTCAATCCAAACCCTCGCGAGGATTAATGCTTAGAGGCACATAAGATTTACCACTAAAAATTATATGATTCAAGGGCTTCTCTTCTCTTTTCTTTCCCCCTCCCTTTTCGGAGGCCTTCGGGGGGGAGGTGACACCGGGGTTTATTAGACGAACACACTAATTAATAGACTGCGGTCTCTGGTTGTCCCCACTGAAATAGACGCTCATACGATTCGATGCTCTTCGGAATACAGCATAGCTTTGAAAAACTCTTATGAGCTTAGAGGTAGAAGGGAGCAATTTCTGTACATTGCTGCCTGTTGGAGACAATCCAAGCGACCTAAGACCACATTAGTTTATATGCCAAGACCGCTTACCTCGCAAAATTGGTGGATATGGGCTCAAGGTAATGGTCTTAGTGACAATCCGTCTTACCTTTGATTCGCCAGGCCATGTCAAGAAATGCATACCCAGGTGCTCCTGAGGCTCCGGGCCTTGGTGTAAGCGCTATAAAGCCCTAACCACTCGGTGCCTAGGCTTGCCACCGGTCCGATGTCCGGAGACCCTGAATTGAAACCCGCATATTGCAATCTCATCGCATACACGACTTGAGTCTCTGTAACAATTTGATGGAATTGCACCGTCGCGCGCACTCCGTTAAATCAATCCTGTCTTTGAATCTGCGTTGTATACTTTCGCTGCGTTGCCGTCCGTCACTCAAAGCACCGTGGGCAAGACCATCACCAACGCCAAACTGTGCGCAGATGTCAGGCTCAGGCCGGCAGTGGAACTGGGAGTTAAGTCATATACAATACACTGATAATATCCTCTTCAATGCCCGTAAGGAGCGATTTTTAGTGCCTCCTTTCTAGTATTTAGAAATACTAATTATTTTTATTCATTGAAATATAAAACATAAATTAAATTCATTTAATTTTATATATTTCTTTTTTATTTACTAATTGAAATATAGATTTTTTCTATTTAAAAAAATATATTTTCTTAAATTTTTCTATCTAACATAATAATTATATAAAACCTAAAAATCCAAATATTTTTAAATTATTATATATATAGTTATTTTTTATTAATTATTTAATTAAGAACTACATTAGTTATCTAATTATATAATAACTTAAATTATTTAAAAGATTTAATAAAGTTTTTTAGAAAGATAGTAAAAGTATGAATATTATGAAATTAATTTAAAGTAATCTAATTATTCAAGATTTTATTTTTATTTTTATTTTATTTTTATTTTTATTAGTATAAAAATAATCTGTAAAGTTATAATTTTTTTAATTTAAGTAAATTAATTTTAATAAACTTTTTATAAAATTTATTGGTAATTTCTAGAATTAATTTTTATTACAATTAATTTAATTAATTCTAAAAATTATATAACTAATTTAGAGAAAGCTATTAATATTTTACTAATTTTAAAAAGTTAAATAATATTAATCACATATTTATTGAATTATATATAGAAATATATATAGAAAATAGATAATAAATATAAATAATTTTTATAATTAAGAATTTTAATTTATTATATTAAAAAAATACTTACTATTTTCTAAATTGATTTAAGAATATTAAATAAGAATTTTAATAATTTATTTACTATATTAATCTTTAAGTTTTATATTTTTATAATAAATTAATTAGATAATAGTAAATCATTATGGATAATTTATATAACCTAATAGTCACTATAACAGAATATTTATATCTTAATTATAAAATAGTTATAATTATTAATTTAGTAGAATCTATATTTCAAATATCTATATTTTATTATATATTAAAGAAGTAAAAGGTTTTTATTTATAGAACACTAGTAATTTGAATTTATATCTAGTTAACGTTTTTTGTTATAATCCTAATTTTTTAATTATTTATAAAAGAATATAGAATATTATTTAATAATTATATTCTAGAAATAGTTTAAAATTAAAAATTCTGCTAATTATTAATAGATTTTTTACTCTAGTAATTTATAATTTATTAATTAAAAACTTGACTATAATATAAGATATTAATAAACTTTAAGATTAATAAAGGAAAACTATTATTTTATTTTATTCATTTTTCATCTAAGAACTCTTTATTCTTAAATAATATATTCATAAAAATCTTAAGAATAAAAAAACCAGATTATTTAAGAATTTTACATTTTACTTTATTTTATTTATTTTTGAAAAAAAAATTCATATCTTTATATAGATTATTAAAATCTTAATAAAGTTATAATTCACATGCTGAAAAGAAAGTGTCACAAGAGCCTTGGAGGGTGCGCCGCCCGGCTTAAATCATCACGCGGAACTTTAACAAGTTTCTTTGGAGGACGTCCTGCTTCTTCTGCTCCAGCTCCTCCATGTCCCAGCTCACCGAGGCGAATCGGCCTGCAAGCCAGTCGCGTCGCTCACGGGTGAGCCAGACCAGCGTGTCGGCGGCCAGCTCCGGTGTATCGGTCAGGACGGATTGCCTCTCTAGCGGCATGTTCATGGCCAGCTCGGTCTTGACGGCGCCCGGATGGAGCGAGATGGCGATCAAACCCTGCTGGCAGTATTCTGTGTCCATGAATTCGGTGAGGCGACAGAGGGCGAATTTGGTCGTCTGGTAGGCCGACGCACCGGGAAACATGGCATGAGCACCACCGCTGCTGATATTGATGATAGTCTTGGTTTGCGACTTGAGCAGCAGTGGAACGAAGAAGTGGGCGGCGAGATAGGTGCCTTTAATGTTGACCTCCCAAGTCCGCCACCACTCGCGTGGCTCGGAGTCGGCGATGGGTTTCCACTCCTCCAGGTAGCCCGCGTTGTTGATCAGTACATCGAGGCTGCCGCCGAGCACTTCTGCTGCGGTCTCTGCGGCCGCTCGCACTGAGTCCTCCGAGGTCACGTCCACCTTCAGGGAACGCACGAATGGCTGGGGACGGTTTGCCTTCATGGCGGCGTTGTGAACGGCTGTCTCAACGTCGGTCAGGTCCGAACGAGCGAGCATCAGTATCTTCGAGCAGCCCGCGATGGCAAAGCTGATCGCGGTCGCCTTGCCGATGCCCTTGGAGGCGCCTGTGATCAAGACCGACTTGCCCGCCAGGTCAGCTCTGGCGGGATCGATGAACGGGTAAGTGTCCTTGCGCGCCGAGACATAGCCAGCCACAGCAGGCCAATTTGTCAGGGAAGGATCTTGGGCCAACATAGTATTTCTCAAAAGGAGCCCGGAGATGTAGAGTCGGGAAAAAGGATGAGGTGAGAGCTGCGCTTGGAAGCTGTGTTTGCTGTGTTCTTATCATCACGTATAGATCCAAGACGAAGAAGCTGACTAAATAGCAACTCATCCACGATACCATTCCTCAGCGGAAATAGTGTTTCTAACTCCGTCGTGTACTCTTGTCCGTTAACTCCGCGGTTAGAAATTCCCTAGTTTAAAGTAAAATATTTCTCCCCGGCTGCTAGTTGCCTCTTGCGCACCCATCTTAGATAAAGCAGCCGAGCAGAGTATAGGGCTATAATTAAATTTATGTTGTTCGACACTCTGACTCTGTATTCTTCTGAAGCTTATATATAAGCATAAAAACTACGATTTTATGTCAGTCAAAAGGAAGTTGTTAACAGTATAGAAGAGCTTTTAGAAAGATATACTATACTCTAATAGAAGTTTTCTAAATATGCTTATACTGCCGACGCGTACTGCTATGCTATTATTGAATGAATATACCATCCCTGGTGTAACCAGAGAACTAAGGGCTAGTACGTATATTCTTAAGTTATTTCCTAAGTATAAAGAATTAATTATATATAAGCTATCTTCTCCTTGGTACCCGTGATTATCAGCTCGAAGATCCCACTCGTGGACTTCTCAATCGTGTCCGGGGCCGATTCCAGACCCCAGCCCTTGGCAGCGCCGTTGCCCATGTCGATCTGAACCCAGCCGGGGTCAATGACGAAGGTGTTGAGCCACTCGTCCTCGGCGTTGATGCGCACCCCGTACCAGGGAATGATGGACTTGGAAGCCCCGTATGCGGCACTGGGCACGGGGGGCTGACGGCTGATGGGGAAAGTCGCGTCAGTGGGACTGTCACAGATTCTGTAAGGGGACCAACGCATTGTGTCTTACCCGAGCGCTCCAGCACCCGACCCCAGAATGGCGAAGACCGGCTTGATCGTGGTAAGCTCGTGCATGCACCGCTTAGTCTCCAGGGGCTCTCGCGGTGGCTTACTCGTGGTGCTAGTCGTGGAGGCTAAGCGAACTCATATCCTCACTGTTGTATGTCCATGTATATTATAGCAGAGTCCCGAGTCGCTACCAGATCCATCACATCGTCCACGGACAAGTGCCTCGATAGTGTCACTCTCCTCTCAACACTTGACCGGTCTTCCCTGTTCTTCCTACCTGTTCTTTCAGATCACTACAATGGCGCACATTCAAGAACCCGTGGCGATTGTGGGCTTCTCCTGCCGGCTTCTGGGAGGCAACAAAACCCCCGACAAGCTCTGGGAGTTCCTGAACCAGGGAGAGGTCGCACCCCGCAATGTGCCCGAGAACTGCTTCACCTTCGAGAACCATTAGGATGGCTCGCTTAAGCCTGGCACCATGCCCACCACAGGTGGGATGTTCCTGGAGGGGGTCGACCCGGCCGATTTCGATGCCGCCTTCTTCGAGATCTCGGCGCGGATGCCATCTCCATGGATCCCAACCAACGAAAAATGCTGGAAGTAGTGTTTGAGGGATTAGAGAATGGTGGCATTACGATGGAGAGTCTGAAGTGGCAATCAATGGCTTGCTTCGTGGCGTCCTTTGCCACCGGTACGTTCTCCTACCTCTTCCAACCCTAACCCTAACGCCCGTTCTAACCATGGGGGGACGATAGATTACGGTGATCTCCAGAACCGGGACCCTCTGGATCGGGCATCGAAACATGTCATCGGGATTGGACGTGCCAGTATGGCCAATCGATTGAGTTATTCCTGGAACATCAAGGGCCCCAGTGTCATCATCGATACCGCCTGCTCCGGAAGTATGGTGGCCTTGCATCTGGCCGTCCGCCCCCTGCACAACCACGAGTCCGACAGTGCCATTGTGGCCACGAATGACCTCTTTCTCAACCCGTAGCATACTCAGGAGGTTGGCAGTCTGGGCCTGGCTCACTCTTCGACGGGCCTGTGCCACACCTTCGACGCCTCCGCGGATGGCTACATCAAGTCCGAGGCTGTCAGCGCCATTATCATCAAGCGTCTTTCCGATGCGATCCGGGACCGGGATTCGATCCGAGCCGTGTTCGAGGCACTGCGTCCACTACCAACGGACGAACGAACGGCCTGGCTAGTCCCAGCTCCGAGGCACAGGCAGCAACCAATAGACAAGTCTATGCTAGTGCTGGCATCACCGACTTCAACGACACGGCCTATCTTGAAGCCCACGGCAACGGTACGCCTACTTTAGACGATCCGACAATCTGAATTTTTAGTATTTTTAGTATCCTGAATAGTAATCTAGCTATATTAGAATGTATAATAAATCAATATAAAAATTATATAATAGTAATCTATATAAAAATATAGGATAAAAACATATATACTATAACTATTATCAAGAATAGCTTATTTAAAAATATGAGTATAAATAATAAATAGTATAATACTAGAAATTCTAAACTATTTATTTTTTATAATAAATATGATACTCTTTTTGTTTTAAAAAATTAGTTATATAAATATATTTCTTATTATATTGAATAATTTATTAAAATTATTTTCATTAAATATTGTTCTAGTAAGTCTAGTATAGAATCTAATTAGTATAATTAGAAATATAATAATCTTAATAAAAATATTATTATATACTTAATATTTTATAATTATAAAAACTAGCTTTATGATTATTAATTTATATATATTAGTATATCTAGATACTAGATACTTATCTATAATTATTAATACTAATTTAACTTATTTAGTTTTTAATATTATAAGGACTAATATCCTTATAATCTTCGCGATAAGCTTATTATAAAGAAATATCAACTACTCCTGTAAGAATAAGATAAAAGATTATATAAAAGACTAAGTAAATAGCTGTAACTATTATATAAGTAGTAGCTATTTATAAGAATAGAAAACTAATAATAATATTTTAAAATAATATAATACTATCTTTAACTCTTATAAAGAATATTTATTTATTATATTATTTTATTTCTTAATTTTTATAATTTTATTACTTATACTTTATAAAATAACCCAGTAAATAATATCTAGATATTATATATAAAATTAAAATAAAAAGAAATTCTTAGATACTATTATAAAAAATATAATCTTTATAAAAAATAATTCTTTTATAAAAAAAATATAATTCTATATTTAAATACTTTATAAATAACTAAACTTATTCTAATAAATTATAAAACTATAATAAAAACTAGAAATTAATTCTATAAAAAAATATTTATAAATAGATTTAAATAACTTAAACTCTAGTACTACAGAGATTAAAAAAATAAATATATAAATTAATTTATTTATAAATAAGAATTATTATAATATCTATAATTATATTATTTATTATATATTTATTACTCAGCAGAAGTTAATTATAAAAATAAATAATTAAATTAAGAATTAGAAGATATAGATTATAGTAATTTATTTAAATTATATATTAAATAATTTATAAAAAAATAAAGTAGTAGAATTATATTATAAAAAAAATAGATTAATTTTTATAATTTTCTTAAAATATAGTTAAGAAATCTTATAAACTACTTATAAAAAATATAATTAAAAATTCTAAAAATAAAGTTCTGTAAAAATAAATAAGAATTTATATATTTTTAATAATAAAAAAAAATAAAAAATAAATTTAATTATAAGATATAAAATCTAGATATTATATAATTTTATTTTTTTTTAAATTATTCTACTCTGTAATTAAGAGAAAAATTTATAAATAACTAAATTTTTTTATTTTAAAATAAGATTTTATTATATTATTTATAAAATTATATCTAATTTAAAATCAATAATATAAGTAATATAAAAAAAAATCTTATAAATAGAATCTAAAGATTAGAAAATAATAAATTAAATTATATAAAAATAATATTAGATTAATTAAAAATAGAATATTTATAAATAATCTTAATAAATAAAGAGATTAATTATATAAAAATAAATTAATAATAGAATTAATTATAGAGATCTATTAAAATTATAATATATATATCTAAAGAATCTATAGAACTAAAAATATATTTTAAATATAATAAAATTAATTATTTTATAAAAAAATATAGAATAAGTAAAATATTTATAAAATAATTAGTTAATTAAATTATAGTATTACTACTAGACTAAACTAAATTTATAATATATCTAAATTTATATCTATATAGTAGACCTATTCTAAAGAATAAAAAAAATCTTTTTATAAAAATAGAAATAATAATTAATATTAATATAAAAGTTAATCTTATACTTATAATATTTATAAAATAAATTAATTAATTAATTATACTTATAAAAATCTTAGTAGAAGGTATTAGTAAAAAATATAATATAATTAAAAAAATTATAATATTTATAATTATACTAAAGAATATAGAAGAATATTATAAAAAATAAAAAGATTTTATAATTATAATATTTATAATAAATAAAATAATTCTGGGAATATTATAAATTAGAAAATAATAATTATTTATAAAGTTTTATAAATATAAATTAGAGTTTTATAAAAAAAGAGAATTAAGAATATTATAAATTATAATAATTTAGATTAAATAAAAAAATTTATAAAAAACTAAATCTTTATCTAGTAATAATATAATAAATTTATAAAATAATTAAGAATTAAATAATATTAAAATAATATTTAAAATATTATAAAATATTTATAGAGAAGAAGATAGTAAATCTATTATTATAAAAATTAAGAATAAATTTAGAAATAAACTTTTATAAAAAATTTAAATTAAAAATAAAATAAATTTATAAAATATTTTTTATAGAAAAAAAGATCCTGTAAGACTATTTATAAAAAATATTTATAAAAAAATAAATAAAATACTTTAAGTTACTAGTAGAAATACTAGTTTTTTTTATAAAAAAAAATAATAACTTATAAATATATATAGATTATTATAAATTAAATAAATAGATAATTAAGAATATTTATCTATTATTATAAATTAATAAATATATTAAATAATTTATAGAAGTTTAATAATTTATATAATTAAAATTTTATAAAATCTACTACTAAATAAGAATTATAATAAAATATAAATAAAAGATAATTTTTTATATAAAATATAAATTATTTAAATATTTTATTATATTATTTAAACTTATAAATATATATATAAGATTTTAGAGTTTTATAAATTCTTTATTTATAAAATATTTAAATAACTTTATAATTATCTATCTAGATAATATTATTATTTATTTATAAAATCTAGAGTTATATAAGAAATAGATTTATAAGATTTTAAAAATCTTATAAAAAGTAGATTTATATATAAAATTAAATAAATATATTTTTATAATTATAAAGATTAATTTTCTTAGATTTTTAATTAATTATAAGAATATTTATATAAAACTAGAAAAATTTATTATTATTTATAATTAGCTAAAGCTGTAGAGTATAAAAAATATCTTAAAGTTTATTAGATTTATAAATTAGTATAGATATTTTATTAAATAATATTTATAAATTACTATAATAATTACAGATCTAATAAAAATATCTTATAAAAAAAAAAAACTAGATATAATTTTCTAATTTTTAAAATTTATAAAAATTTCTAAAAACTTAAGAATATATTTATAAAAAATATAATAATAATATACTTCTAAAAAAAAGAGTTTATAAAAATAAAAATAAATATCTTTAGATTTATAATTAATAATATACTATTATAGAAAAATTATAAAAAAAATAGAAATTAATAACTTTTTATTTATAGAAAATAATTTAAACTAAATAGAATTATAGTATTTATAATTAGAAACTACTTATAATAATAAAATTTTTTAAAGAATAAAAATATTAATTAAAAGATATAGAATATCTAATTAAAATAATTATTAATTATAAAAACTTATAATATTTTATAATAAATAAAAAATTTTTATAGAGATAAGTTTACTAGATATAATATTTTATAATATTTAAATTTTTTTTAGTATATTAGCTAGAATTATAAAATCTAATAAATATATTATTATAATAATTAGATTATAATTAGAAGATAGTAGAGAAGAATTATAAAAAATTAAAAAAAATAATTTTATAATAATTAAATAATCTCCTGGAATTCCAGGGAGTATAAATTAATCTAAAAAAAATATAAATATTACTAATTAAAAATTTTATAAAAGACTCTAAATAAGTAGAGTCTAATATAACTATAAAAAAAATAATTAAAAAAAAAAACTCTACTATAAAAACTTATCAGAAATATTATTAAAGATAATTCTAAAATTATTAAAAAAAAATTATCTTATAAAAAATATTTTTTTTATAATATAAAAAAAAAAAAACTCCTGTAACTAGGTTAATAAAAAAAAATATAAAGACTAATATCCTTACAATCTTTATAATAAGCTTATTATAAAGAAATATTAACTACTCCTATAAGAATAAGATAAGAGATTATATAAAAGACTAGATAAATAGTTATAACTATTATATAAGTAATAATTATTTATAAGAATAGAAAACTAGTAATAATATTTTAAGATAATATAATATTATTTTTAATAATTATAAAAGATATTTATTTATTATATTATTTTATTTTTTAATTTTTATAATCTTATTATTTATATCCTGTAAAATAGCTTAGTAAATAATATCTAGATATTATATATAAAATTAAAATAAAGAAAAATTCTTAGATATTATTATAAAAAATATAATCTTTATAAAAAATAATTTTTTTATAAAAAAAAAAATATAATTCTATATCTAAAAATTTTATAAATAACTAAATTTATTCTAGTAAATTATAAAGCTATATTAAGAATTAAGAATTAATCCTATAAAAAAATATTTATAAATAAATTTAAATAACTTAGATTCTAGTACTACAGAGATAAAGAAATTAAATATATAAATTAATTTATTTATAAATAAGAATTATTATAATACCTGTAATTATACTATTTATTATATATTTATTATTTAGTAGAAGTTAATTATAAAGATAAATAATTAAACTAAGAATTAGAAGATATAAATTATAATAATCTATTTAGACTATATATTAAGTAATTTATAAAAAAGTAGAGTAATAGAATTATATTATAAAAAAAATAAGCTAGTCTCTGTAAATTTCTTAAATTATAATTAAAAAATTTTATAAATTATTTATAAAAAATATAATTAAGAATTTTAAAAATAGAGTTTTATAAAGATAAATAAGAATTTATATATTTTTAATAATAAAAAAAAATAAAGAATAAATTTAGTTATAAAATATAAAATCTAGATATTATATAACTTTATCTCTTTTTTAAATTATTTTATTTTATAGTTAAAAGAAAGATTTATAAATAATTAAATTTTTTTATCTTAAAGTAAGATCTTATTATATTATTTATAAAATTATATTTAATCTTAAATTAGTAATATAAGTAATATAAAAAAAAGTTTTATAAATAAAATCCAGAGATTAGAAGATAATAAATTAAATTATATAAAAATAATATTAGATTAACTAAAAATAAAATACTTATAAGTAGCTTTAATAAATAAAAAAATTAATTATATAAAAATAAATTAGTAATAGGATTAGTTATAAAAACCTATTAAAATTATAATATATATATCTAAAAGATTTATAAAATTAAGAATATATTTTAAATATAATAAAATTAGCTATTTTATAAAGAAATATAAAATAAATAAAATATTTATAAGATAATTAGCTAATTAAGTTATAGTATTATTATTAGACTAAACTAAATTTATAATATATTTAAGTTTATATTTATATAGTAAACCTATTTCAGAAGATAAAAAAGATTTTTTTATAAAAATAAAAATAATAATTAATATTAGTATAAAAATTAATTTTATATTTATAATATTTATAAAATAAGCTAGCTAGTTAATTATACTTATAAAAATCTTAATAAAAGATATTAATAAGAATATAATATAATTAAAAAAAACTATAATATTTATAATTATATTAGAGAATATAAAAAAATATTATAAAAAATAAAAAAATCTTATAATTATAATATTTATAATAGATAAGATAATTTTAGAAATATTATAAATTAAAAAGTAATAATTATTTATAAAGTTTTATAAGTATAAGTTAGAGTTCTGTAAAAAAAAAAACTAAAAATATTATAAATTATAATAATCTAGATTAAATAAAAAGAGATTTATAAAAAACTAAATCTTTATTTAGTAATAATATAATAGATTTATAAAATAATTAAAAATTAGATAATATCAGAATAATATCTAGAGTACTATAAAGTATTTATAAAAAAAAAAATAATAAATCTACTACTATAAAAATTAGAAGTAGATTTAGAAATAAATTTTTATAAAAAATTTAGATTAAAAGTAGAATAGATTTATAAAAAATTTTTTATAAAAAAAAATCCTATAAGATTATCTGTAAAAAATATTTATAAAAAAATAAATAAAATACTTTAAATTACTAATAAAAGTATTAGTTTTTTTTATAGAAAAGAAAAATAATAGTTTATAAATATATATAGATTACTATAAGCTAAATAAATAGATAATTAAAAATATTTATTTATTATTATAAATTAATAAGTATATTAAGCAGCTTATAGGAGCCTAATAATTTATATAATTAGATTTTTATAAGATCTACTACTAAATAAAGATTATAGTAAGATATAAATAAAAGATAATCTTCTATATAAAATATAGATTATTTAAATATTTTATTATATTATTTAGATTTATAAATATATTTATAGAGTTTTAGAGCTTTATAAACTCTTTATTTATAAAATATTTAGATAATTTTATAATTATCTACTTAAATAATATTATTATTTATTTATAAAATCTAGAATTATATAAGAAGTAGATCTGTAAGATTTTAAAAATCTTATAAGAAATAGATCTATATATAAAACTAAATAAGTATATCTTTATAATTATAGAGATTAATTTTCTTAGATTCTTAATTAATTATAAAAATATTTATATAAAATTAGAAAAAATCATTATTATCTATAATTAGTTAAAGTTATAGAGTATAAAGAATATTTTAAAATTTATTAGATTTATAAACTAGTATAGATATTTTATTAAGTAGTATTTATAGATTATTATAATAATTATAGACCTAATAAGAATATCTTATAAAAAAAAAGACTAAATATAATTTCTTAATTCTTAAAATTTATAAAAACTTCTAAAAACTTAAAAATATATTTATAAAAAATATAATAATAATATACTTTTAAGAAGAAGAGCCTGTAAAAATAAAAATAAATATTTTTAGATTTATAATTAATAATATATTATTATAAAAGAATTATAAAGAGGAATAAAAGCTAATAATTTTTTATTTATAAAAAATAATTTAAGTTAAATAGAATTATAATATTTATAATTAAAAGTTACTTATAATAATAAAATTCTTTAAAAAATAAAGATATTAATTAAAAGATATAGAATATCTAGTTAAGATAATTACTAATTATAAAAACTTATAATATTTTATAATAAATAAGAAACTCTTATAAAGATAAGTTTATTAGATATAGTATTTTATAATATTTAAATTCTTTTTAATATACTAGCTAAGATTATAGAAATTTCTAAATATATTATTATAATAATTAGATTATAATTAAAAGATAATAGAGAAGGATTATAAGAAATTGGAAAAAATAATCTTATAATAATTAAATAATCTTCTAGAATTTCAGAAAATATAAATTAATTTAGAAAAGATATAGATATTATTAATTAAGAGCTTTATAAAAGATCCTAAATAAATAAAATCTAATATAATTATAAAGAAAATAATTAAAAAAAAGAGTTTTACTATAAAGATTTATTAGAGATATTATTAAAAATATTTCTAGAATTATTAAAAAAGAATTATTTTATAAAAAATATTTTTTTTATAATATAAAAAAAAGAAACTCCTGTAACTAGCTTAATAAAAAAAAAAAGATTATAAGTAAATAATTACTTATAATAGATAATTAAATAAGAATTATTATACTTTATAAAAAAGTTATATATCCTAGATAATTATATATTTAAACTAAAAATTCTTATAAAATTATATAATAATCTTATTATAGAATACTTTATAGAGACTAGAACTAAGAAGTTTATTATATATAAATTCTAGTAGCTAGAATTTATAAGTTTTATATAAAAATATTATTATATATATAAAGTATATTAGAAAGAATAGATAATTTATAAAAAATAATAAGAATTACTAAATCCTTTACTAATATTTATATAACTATAAGAAAAGATAATAATAAACTTTATTACTAGACTTTCTGTAAGTATAATAAAAATAAAAAATATATAAAAATTATTTAATAGTATACTAATAATAATAGATTATTTTAATAAAATAATTTATTTTATATTAATTTATAAGATATTATTAGATAAGAGACTTATAATATTATTTTTTAAAAAGATTTTTTATTTATATAGAATACCTGTAAAGATAATTATAAATTAAAAAATAATCTTTATAAAAAACTTTTAATTAGATTTTATTTATATTCTTATAATTAAGCAGGGATTAAGTATAATTTATTATTTATAAATTAATAATTAAATTAAGAAGCTAAATAGTATACTAGAATAATACTTATAAAATTATATTAATTTTAAATAAAATAACTAGATAAGTATATTATTTTTAGTAGAGTTTATATATAATAACTCTTTATAAATATTTATTAAATATTTATTATTTTTTATAGTTATTATTTAATACCTGTAAATAATTATACTTAACTTATAAATAATAAAAAAATTAATCTAAAATCTAGAGAAATACTTATATAAGATTAAAGAAATTAAGAAGTAAATAATTATAAATCTAGAATAAATATATAATTACTAAAAAAGATTTTATAATAAGAATTAGAAGCTAGTTATATTTATAATAAACTAGAAAATATAATTATTTATAAAAAATCTTTTATAAAAATATTTAAACTAGAAACTAGATTAATATTATTATAAGCCTTTTTAGATAATTAAAAAAATAAATAAATAGATTTATAAACTAAAGTTATTTATAAAATTATAAATATATAATATATTCTATATTTTACTACTTTATAAATACTGTATTATAAAAAAAGTAGATTTAAGTAAATAATTTTTATAAAAAAATAAACTAGAAATTTATAAGTATTATCTAAAGATACTCTTTATCTTATAAAAGTAAAAAAGATTTATAGAAATCTTAATTAAATAAAAAAATTATTTTAAAAAAGAAAATACTTAAGAGTTTACTATAAATCTATATTATTTATAATTTTATAAAAAATTTATATTATAGAAATAAAAAATATAAAACTACTTTAAAAAAAAATATATAAAGATTATTTATAAGTTAATTATCTACTTTTTATAAATTTTTATAATCTATAAATCCTAAGATAATAATATAATTACAGTATATATTACAGTAGATAAAGATTAGAATATATAAAAAAATTTTAGTAATAAAGAAAGTAGTATATTTTTTTTATATATAAATAATTATTATATCTTTACTTAATCTTTTTAGATATATAATTATAGAATATCCTTTTATAGAAAAAGTTATAATAATATATATATATTTAATTAGATAATAGTTATCTACTAATTTAAGTTATAAGAATATTTTTATAAAACTAGGCTTAGACAGCCAGCTATAAGAATTACAATTATTTAATATAAATAATTAAATATATAATAAGTAGTTAAATCTATATCTATTTATAATTAAATAAAGATTACTATTCTGTCTAAGAGAAGAAACTAGATAATATAATAAGTATTATTTTTTAAATCTTTATAAAGTAGACTACAGAAAATAATTTAATAAAAAATAAAATATCTTATTTTTTATTAATAATTTATATATATAGTACTAGCTAGTTTTAGATTACTCTAGATATATCTATAAAAAATAAAAAAGATCTAATTATTAAAAAACTTTAAGTTATAGGAACTATTTATATATTATTTATTTTTAGAGTATATTATATAGCTCTACCCCAAAAAAGTAAAGTATTATAAAAAAAATTATAAAAGATTATAAGATACCTGGAGTACTAGTAAAAAAAATAAAAATTAGAAATAAAAAAATAATTACAGAGACTAAAAATATAGAATTAATTATAATAAAAAAAAATTATAATACTAGAATTAATTATAATATTAGAAAAGATTTTTATAAAAAATTATTTATAATAAATATTATAAAAATAGAGATTAGTAGTAAATTAATTTTACTAAAAAATAATTTAATAAAAAAAAATAGTAGTAATAATATCTAGAATTATATAATAAATATTAATAGTAATAGTAATAATAAACTACTTAAGTTAATAAATATCTAAAAGATTTATAAGAATAGAAAAACTTATAAAATAAATAACTTAGTTAAAATTAGAAATAAAAAATTATTTATAAAATAATATTATTTTATAAGAAACTAAAAAAAAATAATAATAATTAGAATTTATATCCTATAAAGTATAAAGATAATCCTAATAAAGTAAAAGATTATATAAAAATCTAGAGAATAAGACTTTATAAAAAAAAAAAGAAAATTATATTAAGATAAAGAAAATCTTAAAAAAAATATTTTATAATAAAAAATTATATAATATCCTGTAAGAAAAAAGAAAATAATATTATATTAAGAAAAAAAAATCTTTATAATATTTACTGATAAAGAAAAGAAGAAGAAGATAAAAAAACTTAAAAATTTAAAAAAAAAAGATCTTAATTAAGAAAGAAAAGATTTTTTATATAAAAATAAATTCTTTTTCTATAAGAATAGCTTTACTAGTCTTTCTAAAAATAGATTATAAATACTAAAAAAAAGAATTTAAGAAAATAATAATATTATTCTTTATTTATATAAAACAGTATCTGTAAAGAGAAAACTGGTAAATAATTAAAAAACTAGAATTATATAAAAAATTATATAAATCTTTATAAAATAATTATATAATAATCTATATAAAAGAATATTAACTATAAAAATAATTATTTTTTTATTATTTTAAATTTTTTTATAAAATAGATTTACTGGAGGAAGGCTTTAATAATATATTATAAATATAACTCTAATTCTATTCTATAAAAAAAAAGATAATTATAAAAACTAATATTTTTATAATCTTTATAATAAACTTATTATAAAAAAATATTAATTACTCTTATAAAAATAAGATAAGAGATTATATAAAAGATTAAATAAGTAGTTATAACTATTATATAAATAGTAATTATTTATAAGAATAGGAAACCAGTAATAATACTTTAAGATAATATAATATTATCTTTGATAATTATAAGGGATATTTATTCATTATGTTATTTCACCTCTTAGTCCTTATAAAAAGAAGAGAAAAATTATAAGTAAATAATTATTTATAATAAATAGTTAAATAAGAATTATTATATTTTATAAAGAAGTTATATATTCTAGATAATTATATATTTAAACTAAAAATTTTTATAAAATTATATAATAATTCTATTATAGAATATTTTACAAAAACTAGAATTAAAAAATTTATTATATATAAATTCTAATAATTAAAATTTATAAACTTTATATAAAAATACTATTATATATATAGAGTATACTAGAAAAAATAAATAATTTATAAAAAATAATAAAAATTACTAAATTCTTTATTAATATTTATATAATTATAAAAAAAGATAATAATAGATTTTATTACTAAACTCTCTATAAATATAATAAAAATAAAAAATATATAAAAATTATTTAATAATATATTAGTAATAATAAACTACTTTAATAAAATAATCTATTTTATACTAATTTATAAAATATTATTAAATAAAGGATTTATAATATTATTTTTTAAAAAGATTTTTTATTTATATAAAATACCTGTAAAGATAATTATAAATTAAGAAATAATTTTTATAAAAAACTTTTAATTAAACTTTATTTATATTTTTATAATTAAATAAGAATTAAGTATAATTTATTATTTATAAATTAATAATTAAATTAAAAGACTAAATAGTATACTAGAATAATATTTATAAAATTATATTAATTTTAAATAAAATAATTAGATAAATATACTATTTTTAATAGAGTTTATATATAATAACTCTTTATAAATATTTACTAAATATTTATTATTTTTTATAATTACTATTTAATACCTGTAAATAATTATATTTAACTTATAAATAATAAAAAAACTAATCTAAAATCTAAAGAAATATTTATATAAAATTAAAAAAGTTAAAAAGTAGATAGTTATAAATCTAGAATAAATATATAATTATTAAAAAAAATTTTATAATAAAAACTAGAAGCTAGTCATATTTATAATAAACTAGAAAATATAATTATTTATAAAAAATTTTTTATAGAAATATCTAAATTAAAAACTAGATTAATACTATTATAAATCTTTTTAAATAATTAAAAAAATAAATAAATAGACTTATAAACTAGAGCTACTTATAAAATTATAAATATATAATATATTTTATATCTTATTATTTTATAAATACTATACTATAAAAAAATAAATTTAAATAAATAATTCTTATAAAAAAATAAACTAGGAATTTATAAATATTATTTAAAGATATTTTTTACTTTATAAAAGTAAAAAAAATTTATAAAAATCTTAGTTAAATAAAAAGATTATTTTAAAAAGAAAAATATTTAGAAATCTATTATAAATTTATATTATTTATAAATTTATAAAAAATTTATATTACAAGGATAGAAAATATAAAATTATTTAAAAAAAATATATAAAAACTATTTATAAGTTAATTATCAATTTTTTATAAATTCTTATAATTTATAAATCTTAAGATAGTAATATAATTATAGTATATATTATAATAAATAAAAACTAGAATATATAAAGAAATTTTAATAATAAAAAAAATAATATACTTTTTCTATATATAAATAATTATTATATTTTTATCTAATTTCTTTAGATATATAATTATAAAATACTCTTTTATAGAAGAGGTTATAATAATATATATATATTTAATTAGATAATAGCTATTTATTAATTTAAGTTATAAAAATATTTTTATAAAGCTAGGCTTAAATAACTAGTTATAAAAATTATAATTATTTAATATATATAATTAAATATATAATAAATAACTAAATTTATATTTATTTATAATTAAATAAAAGCTACTATTCTATCCAGAAAAAAAAATTAAATAATATAATAAATATTATTTTTTAAATCTTTATAAAATAGACTACAAAAGATAATTTAATAAAAAATAA